TGCTTCCAATGGTTCTTATCATACATAGTAACATAGGGAGTACGTGCAAGGGGGGAACAGCATGCCTTTGTATTTGGGGTTAACGAACTATGCGGCTCAGCGGGCACAAGGTGAAGTTGGGGGCGTTATTGCGCCGCATGAAGTTGGGCTGAGGTGATATGTACAAACTTGTTATGTACCTGGGTAGTTACATACCTATTATCTCCTCGTCTTCATTACAGGATAATATACATACATACATATGTACATACATAGTCGAGATGGTAACATCCGCTGCATGTTGCGTTTCTCGCGTTAGGTGGCTAAGAACCAAAGTACCTTGATCAGCGGGTCTGCAATGCAACTACTCGTGATCTACATGAAATGGATGCATTAGGTACATACCATCACTCCAGTACCGTAGGGGGCAGTCAGATTTATCATTTGCCGGACCTAGTTATCCTAAAAGTTGGGCTGTGACATTGATTAGATCCGATTGGCGCTTCTCGAAGATTTCTATGTTAGGTAGGCAAGTAGTGCGATTCGCCAAGGACTCCGGCAAGGTCGGTGCCGTCTTTGGAAATGAAATGAGAAGAAAACTTACAGTAGGCTTCCAGTAACATTAGGGGCATAGCACGGGATTAGAGGAATAGCCCTGGAGGGAATATGGGAATATGGTGATAGACTATAGTGTAGTTAAGACTTCAAACTGTAGGTCCTCTTCACATCATAGTACTACCATAGTACGGTACTGTAGATGCTTCCGCTCGCTGCTCATCGGAGCCACCGTTTTGGGGGTCTGTACGATCGAGACGCTACCTATGCATGCATGTTTCACGTCTAGCCATTGATCATGTATGCCGCCATTAGAACCTGACGACTCACATCAAAACTCCACTACTACTACCCCTCCTACCAGCTCTGTGTTTGATTCTCTATGCGAGGAATCCTTGGGGGATGCTTTGTATGCGCCGGCCAAGAAACGTATATACTGTATATCATATGTAATATGTAATATGTAAGAGATGTGTAATGTGTAGTGCTGTCTGTAGGTATCCATATGTACTCGGCTCGGGAGGGCAATCATAGACCTGCAGAGGACCAAGTTGCGACCTTTGTTCCCGTGACTGATATCGAGTATATACATACATACATACATACATACATACATACATACATACATACATATATGTATGTATTACACATGTGCATACACAATCTATATGTGTATATGTATAAGTAGGTATGTAATGTATAGTAACCGACATGTCCATATCTCCATCTAGTAGGTACCTAGGTATGTAACCACGTTGGATGGATGGATAGGGGTCACTTGACGTATTACAAAAAAGCGGAGCGAGTTGAGCGAGGGTGTGATGCGAGATGCTCACGAGGCTTCTATAGCCTTGTTCCCGTGACGATTTCTAATAACTAATAAGTATACAGTACGAGGAATGAGACGAGATAGATAGTTATATGTAATCGGTGAAGCTGGATTTCTATTTTGTTCTGTAATTTTGCTTGTGACCATGGAGGCCATGGAGGTTGGAATGTGTAAGATACGTTAGGTATAGCAGGTAACGTAGGTGTAGGTATGGATCATATAATTGAGATTGATACCTATCTATTACATATTTACCTTCTACCTTAACCTCTAATAAGCTGTCATAGGTCACCAGACCTATGTAGATATGTAGGTTGGTAGGTAGATAACCAAGGTATGTGGTAACTATTATGGTATGTATCCATGGATGTATTCAGAGATCTAACTAGCCATCGGTAAATATGCATGGCTGGGGAGCTCACGTGTAGGTAAGCATGTGTGGACTCGCGAATCTTGGGCGCTTTGTTATATTTCCGTTGAATATAGCCAGCATTGCTATAATTGATATCATAGTCTTATGTTGGTTGGTGTTTGTTTTGATGGATTTGGGTGTTTGGTGTTTGATAGTGTAGTTTTTGCGTAGTTTTTTTGTAGCGTGTGATAGTCTGAACTTTTCTTTTTTTTTATTGCCCTCTGCACAATGAAACATTTCAATGGAGGTTTTTTTTTCTAATGATGTCGATTTACGTACATAACCTACATAATATGGTAGGTAGTACAGAGTAGTAGGTAACTAGTAACTTGGAAATTACATAGAATGCAAGTTCAATCATTCATTGATGTTAGTTACCTACATTAGTGGTATTAGGTACATACATGTACGGTAATAATTACAATTGCCGCTTGCGCCACACTGTGTGACATACAAGGTTAGGAGGCCTTAGGGCTGGCCTATGCACCATGCACCCCTGCAACTTTTGAATAGGCCAATTAATGCTCCGACCACAGTGCAGGTCAACCTCGAAATGTCCTAATCTCATTCCATCTCGTATGCATTTTGACATACCTAAGACGTATGTAACCTTATCAACAATTAAGGTCGCGACAATGTATTGCTAACATGCGAGGACATGCGAGGATTCTAGGTAACAAGTCACAATCTAAAGTAGTCATTAGTACTAGGTAGTCATTAGTAGTCATTACACCTATTGCGACTTCCAAGTTACCCGTAGCTAGCTAGTTTGCTAGCTGCATGTTTATAATACATAACAGGTAGTAGGTACTAGACAGATAACTGCTAACTACCTACAACCTAGTAGCTACCTAGTATCTATCTAGGGTTAGTCTTGGTGCACAGTCCACATGCCCACCCACGGATAGCTCCTTTTTACCTCTAAGCCAATGAGTCTTCTTTAAGCTTCTGACATTTTGTTTTCATGTTAATAACCAGTAGTACTAGCGTCTCTCCCGTTCCCCGTCCCCCGTCAACTATCCATCTACGGTAACCATACTCAATTAGTCCCCGTAGCCCCTGGCCTATCTGGGAACTTTTCCAAAGCCAAGTTTCCATGCCTTCTGTTTATGTATAGAAAAAAAAAACTTCTAGCTCGACGTCTTCTCTCTCTCTGTTTTTTTCTATACATAACTACTACATACATACCTTTTCCCCATATATGTTACATGCAACAATACTTTGTACGTTGTCCTCCCTGGTAACATATTGCAATATCGAATCATCGATTTGGATCTGTGTTTTTCGATCTCCTCCTCATCATCTTGCGGGCTTCTCCGAAAGTGCCTATTGGATTTCAGTGGTCATTGGGATATCACTCCTCATTGTCTATCTAGACTTTTGATTGGCTTCAGACCCCAGTCCTCTGCCTTATACATACATATATCTCACATACGAGATAACCCCCCCTAAGCCCTCAAACGGCAAACACCTACATATCATACTACGTACATAAGCACTTCAACATTGAAGTGCCCTAAAGGTTAGTCAGCTTTAAGCTAGTTATTGTTGTTCTTTGCAAGTACTTGATTTCCAGGTTTACTTTGCCCTACCTTGCGTTACCCAAGTGCCTTACCTACCAGACCCTACCTACCTGTCTACACATTGTCTGGTCCCCAGCACCCAGCACCCAGCACCCAGCAACCAGCAACCAAAGCACCCCCAATCTAGCACGCGGCTTTCCCTCTAAGAGATTTAGAGTGGTGGACAATCCCGCGGCCTTGTCCGCCTACCGATCTTTATTATTATCTTATTTGCTCTGACCAAATCAGTCCCAATCACTTGGTCTAGTCGACCCTTTTTGTCGTCATTCGTCATTCTATTCATTCCGCTGAGACCCTCTCTTTGGCTAATCCAGGATCGCGAAAGGCTCCCCGGTTGATCCATCACCCAGTGGACTGTTAAGTGCCCATTTACACCCTTGCCAACTGCATTACCCCCTACAATCTTGGCTACGTACCTAGTAGGTGGGAAATCGGATTATTGGGCCTTAACATTTTGCGCGTCGCGTACGAACGTATGAACACAGCCTCTGGGCTCTAGCCTTTTATCTTAGCCTCTGCCTCTCTCTCCACCAAGTCGCCGCAAAACTCAGCTGGCCCATAAGCCTCCTTTTTATTTTATTTTATTATTTCTCTTTGACTTTATTTTTCCCTCCCTTACCAAAGTTTGTGGGCCAAAGCAATTTGACTTTCGGAGGGTTCTGTCAACAAGCCCAGCCCAGCATCCAGAATTAAACATTCGTTTATTTTGGTGGAAGTGGAGGAGGAACAATAGGAATAGGGAAATAAATAAAATAAAATCAAGTCAAGTAAACTTGTTTTTATTTATTTATTTGTTTATTTTTTAACGGACAAGCAAAAAAAGAAGTTGAAAGGGGAGAAAAACCAAAGCAAAGCAAAGCAAAAAAAAAAAAAGGAAAAGGAAGAAAAAAAGAAGAGAAAATCCTAACTTACCTAGGTTGGGGGGTCCCTGCGGTCAAACCCGCATTTCTTCGCCGCCTTTTTCATCAAACCTGCCCTTCCGCTGCTCGCTACAGGCCCAAATACCAAATTCTTCTCCACCGCATAACTTCAAGACCAGGTCCAAAGTCCCCTTTCCAGAGGTTGACAACCTATCATATATCTTCATATATCCTATACCTTCTTATACCTCATATATCTCATATACCTTTTATATCTTAAAAGGGGACATTTGGGACATTTAGGCGACCTGGTACACGAGAACCTCTCCTATTCGATATTTTTGATCTTCCTTGACGGCGTCCTACCCGAACCTAAAACCTTCGGCTTCTTGCATTCTTTTCCCCCTGCAAGGTCAATCCTGCCTGACTTTTCCAACCAACCAGTCATCACATCTTCGTCCTAATCCCATCCATATCGAGTCTCGATACATACTTGATTCTCTGCTATCTATCCTCTACCTACCTACCGACCCTTGACGCTCAAGCCATAGTTGTGTTTTTGCGAGGAGCTTGCGACCATTCTACCTCTTCCTTCTCCTGACGACGCTTTGTCTCTGACTGAACTTTCCGTAGAGACTAAAGGTAGAACAGGTCTCGAAATCTGATACGGATATCACTCAGGCGTTTCGGCCTATCTATATACGCGTAGAAAGGGAGCTGCAGCCTGCTGGCTCCCCACAGCAGCAGCTGCACCCGCCCTCAATAGTAGTATTGTGGCAACCATGAATCAACAACACGATATGTATTACGACTACTCGTCCACCACGAACCGGTCGCCGGGATCGTCGAGACAGGGTTATGCCACCGTTGGCCTGCCCTCGAGCCTAAGTGGTAATCGATCGGGACAAAGACCTATCGAGTCGCTTGGCCAACACATGCAATCTTCTTCCATATACGGACATGATGATAGACTCGGTGGTGCTTCGGGTTACGACGCGTTGTCTAGGTTCGATCGAGTTGCACCGAGTGCTATGCAATCTGGTTATATGTTAGAGAATAGTCAAACTTGGGGCTATAACGGCGGAGTTGCCACAATGAATGGTCCTATGAATGGTAATGGCAGATTAGCAGTCAGGGGTGTCAATCGCCGGGCCGCTCTTCCAACGGTAAGTCATCTCTACAACTTCCTTTTTCTTCCCTCACTTGGAACTACGGATAGTATAGTTGCTGACTAGTATCTAACTCTAGACGTGGACCGACCAATCTGGATTGGGTGTTCATTCGATGCCTCAGTTATATGATCCTAGCATGTCGATGAATGGAAACGAACACGATCTTGCAGGTATGGCCGGTGCCGCAGCGGATACACGAGGAATGATGGCTACCCCAGGAGCCAGCGACTCGGAACAACTCATCCCAACAGCTATTGTCATCAAGAATATCCAATTTCAGTGTCGAAAGGAAATCCTTCAAGGTCTCATGGCTTCCATGAACCTCCCCCAACCGTATGCTTTCAACTATCATTTCGATAAGGGCGTGTTCCGTGGACTCGCGTTCGCCAACTTCTCGACAGCAGAAGACACTGCTCTAGTAATTCAAAAGATGAATGGATTAGAGGTTATGGGTCGAAAGTTGCGCGTTGAATACAAGAAGATGTTACCGCAGGATGAGCGCGACCGGATTGATAGAGAGAAGCGCGAAAAACGAGGCCAGCTCGAGGAGCAACACCGAGCACCACTTCCCATGCACCAGCAGAGTGCGTTGCAGGCTCTCGGTGTCAGTGTCAATAAGCAGCCAAGCAATTCGCCTTTGCGTAAGTTTTACCCTTCAGATGATTAGTTACTTTGTAAATACCGTTGCTAAACAAGTTCACAGGTGATGTTGACCTGAACGATCCAACTACTCTCGAATTCTATACACAGCTTACTCTCTTTAAGAGTGACCCGTCCCGCGAAGTTCACATCTTCTCTCCTGATGTGACTCCCGAGCAGCGTCGACAGATACATATTCTTGCCCATAATATGGGGTTGGAACACAGATCCGTTGGCGAAGCTGATCGAAGACAGATCCAGATTATGAAACGGCCGCAGAACTCGCCTCCAATCCACGCGCAAAGCCAACTACCGAACGTGTCTTGGGAAGATCACAGACGTGGACTTAGCCGTGCTGCTACATATGACTTCACCGAATCTCGCATCGGATCTAGCGCGTACCATGCCCTCGGTAGACAGGGGCCTACATTGGAGCTGCCTGGTAGCCCCGAAAATGGGATACCGAACAATCTTAGAGCAGCTAAGAGCTTTGCTGATTTGCGCACACACAGCCCAAGCCCTGCGCCCTCGGGCTCTAGCTATGTTGGTCTTGGAAATGGTTTAGGAGCACGTTATGGTGATTTCTCCCAGACTTCGCTGACCACTCCACCCAATTTAACCCCAACGTCAGGTCAAAATGCTGCCTCCAGCACCGAAGCCTTGTTGACGAGCAATATGAACTCTATGAATCTAGGGTATGACTCCAATGGTCCTCACATGCGTGCTAGAGATACCCCGGGAGCCATTGGAAGTCAGAGACCAGGTGCAAATGGAACGGCCAACCGCAATGCTCCTGACCGACAGCCACGCGGCCCGGAATGGAGCGAAGCCGGACAAGGTTTCGGCGGGCGTAGCCGTGGTCATATGCAAAGGGGCAGCGGTTAGTATTCGGTTTAAGTTCACCATTTGGTTGCCACGGATGCTAATTCAGGCCTTACAGACTCATCCGACGCAGGCCGTAGCTCTGGAACTGCTCGTTTCCACTGATCCACCTCAACTTAGAAAAAAACAGACTAGTAGGAGAAGGTTACCTATACAGAGAGCAGCTTATATTATGCTTCACGAAAACCTGGTCACCTCATGATGGTCATCCAACCACCAACTGCCCTAGTCTCTTGCACGCCGCCATGCCCTGGATTAATGTTTCAAGATTAACAGAGATGTACTACGGTATCAATGATCTTTCAAGCCCTCAACCTTCTTGGTATCTCACCCCGCTGGTCTCGATAATGAGCGTTGGGTCTCGGTCATTAGAAGCATATCCCCAACGAGAGACGACTTATGACATAGACTTATTGCCTTCATTAAACTGACGCTACGGTTCGGCGCCTGTCGCAACACGATTCTCGCACACTCAGTCGATGTATAAACTTCGACATGCATTTTTATGTTTTTGTTTTTTTTTTCTCCTCCTATGATTCGTTTGCTCTGCTTTGAACTAATATGGTCTTGTAATATGACATTTGATTTTGGATTACTTGTTTTATTCGATTTCGACTACACTTTCTCCGGCCGTCCTGGATTGGGAAAGAAATACAGATCACGGAGTTTGCGATGGTGAAAGGTTGCAGTGTTGCATGGAAAAGAAAAGTTCAAGGGGAACAATGATGCACATCGTTCCAGTTTTACAATACCCTCTTCACGATGATCGACAAATGAACCATCTCTCGATACACCATACAGCAATTTATGGGCGACCATTCACGGCATCACGACTCAAACTCCTATACCCTCTGAGGTGTCTTGAGGTCTTGACGGCTTCCGAGGAGGTGTCAAGCCTGAAGAACCTCTTTACGATGGTTACGCTGTTATGACGCACATGCACATCACTAGATGGCAACGCAATGCTGGCCGGCCATTTGGCTTAGGCGACTCCCAACTAATAAACTGTTCTCGAAGAGCATCTACGGGGACGTCCTTGGCGATGGGGCCAGCATGGCTTCGGAGCGATTGGAAACGACGAACGAAGCGATGAAGACGAAGACAGCAAGAGTAAAAATTTCGTTGCTGAGTTAGGAAACTTTGTTTTCACTGGAGGACAGAACAGAGAACGAGGTGAGACGGAACACAAGAAGAAGATCTGATAAAATTACTTGCATTTGTATATGGTTGTTTAGGCCGCATTGATCGAAGCTGTTTTGAAGCTGTTTGTTTTTGGTTTTTCGTCTTTTCCTCCTTAATCGGATATTTGCGACCTCCACTCTGCGTTATTCAAACTCGCTGCTATCCGTCTGGCAAGTCTCAACCGTCAATGGAGATACGTTCTCGTTCGGGAGGTTGCGGGGAGGCTCAGAACTTTTGTCTCCTGGGTGAGAGAGGAGGGATTAGTCAAGGAATGAGGAGAGACACTCGCTATAGGCGCTCTGCTGCAATACAGAAAAAGTACTTGATCGTTTTTAACTTGATACTCGAAAGTTGTTAGTGAGTGAATATGTGACGCAGGTTTTGTACCCGAGAAAGAAATTGTCTGGACCGTTAGGTGTGAAACAGAGAGAGTGTGTGTGTGTGTGTGTTTATAGATCAGGGGCAGGGGGCTCTAGTGACATGTTTCATTTGATATGGATGTATTTGCTGAAGTATGTAACAACCTTGGAAGAAAAAACATTATAAACCAACTGACGACGCCTCTTGAATCTATGTGCCTTATGTTATCATATATAGGTATACACACAGAACCTACATATTCTTCGTTGGTCTTTCGCTGAATTAGGACTGAACTGACTGGACCTAGGCACGACGCTCTAGCTCGCCTTGGGGGCTCGAACAAGGTATGGTGCTTTTGCATCTCACCTGCTGAGGCATCGTTCTTGTAGGAGCTTTAGTTAGATAGGTACCTGGGATATAGGTAAGTCCTTTCTATTTCAGTTGCCTTTCTTTCTGACTTATTTAGGTTTCAATATTAGGTATTATGGCACCTTGTATCGTATTAGGCGAAACGAGCATAGGTAACTATGTACTAGGTACTGATCATGTTTCGGGATCAAGGCTGGCGGGTACCTGGGTGTGGTTATAGAGCGGCAGGTAGGTGCGTGATAGTAACGTCGCATGCCTACCTAATATTCCAAGACGAACATAACAGCACAGGATATGTTTGATTATTTGACATTATGTTGTGCAAGCTACCCAGCTTAAATGAAAATGGTATCTACATCTATACAGTTATACAGTCCTTTACTCACTCACAGCGCCCAACTCGTCCCCTTCGCCGCCGCCATCGACGCCGTCGACGCATCCACCCCCACCCTCACAACGCCCGAGTCCGCGCCCCTGATCTCGCCAAACTCGTACCTAAGCCCCATCTGATTAACGCGCCAATCCCGATCCCTCCGCTTCAGCGTGCTCAAGCCCTCCATCCGGACCAGCATCCACGAGTCGCAGACGTAGTACATGGCGCCCGCGATGGTGCCCGGGTCGACGGGCATGTGGGGCCAGGCGGCGAGGAGGAAGAAGGAGGCGAGCACGACGAGCACCATGACGCACAGGATCGACACGGCGAGCCACATGCACACGGTGTGCGCGAGGAAGGTCTGCGTCACGCGGAAGGGGATGTTGCTCAGTGCCACCGTGAGGAACTCGGAGAGGATCGAGGTGAAGGCGACGATGGCGAGGAAGAGGTCGCGGCGGCGGATCGCGGACCAGAGGCCAGAGAAGGCGTTGGTGGGGGGCGCGAGGAGGATCGAGCGGTGAGCTTTTTGGGGCGATTTGGCGAGGAGTTGGTAGGGGCTTAGGGTTGCGATGCCTGGGGGGGGGAGGGTTAGTTCGAGCTAGAGGAAAGACGGAAGAGGGAAGGGGAAAAGGGGGAAAACTTACTGCCAAAGAACCCGGCCCAGAAAAAGCTGATGATGACACCGACGCTGGTAAAAAGGAACCGCACACCAAACGACTCGCTGTCCATGAAATCCTCAAACGCCGTTTTGCCCCCCGTGTTGGCGTACGTCAGTATCAAAGCCAAAAGGCCGCACAACAGAAACAAGAACACTACGCGTCCCGCAATCCCGAGCATCAGGAACGGCAAGTGCTGCTTCGGCTCCGTGCGCGCAGGCTGGTTCAGCGGGTCCTTGAGATCATCATACTGGTCCGAGAGGAAGCTCTCCCGATTCCCCCTCGGCAGCTTCCCATGGAGCATGATCCCGTACTCGACCGTCCCGTTCGGGCCGTAAAAATACCCCAGCTTGAACCGCCGCTCCGCCAGCACCGACTCCAGCATCCCCTTCGGCACGCCCGCCGCCTCGTCTCCAATACCACTCCCACCACCAGCACCAGCACCGATAAGCAAGCGCCTCAGCTCCGGGTTCAGCGCCAACGCCGCGGCGCCACAGATGCTCCACGGGTTCGTCGCGACGCCGGACCTCCAGCGGCGCAGGACCACGAGGACGAGGACGAGGACGACGGCGACGGCCATGAGCGCGAGCAGCACGGCGGTGGCCTTGGCCGCCTGGTCGAACACGCTGAGCACGTACGCGCAGTTGGCGGCGGACCCCCCGCCGCGCACGCACCCCGCGCCCCGCAGGTCGAAGGCGACGGCCTCCGCGGACGCGGGCACCAGGACCGCGGAGACGAGCACGAGGAAGGAGGTGAGGAAGAGCAGGGCCTGCCCGCCCAGCAGCGAGCGCAGCGAGGTCAGGAGGGACTGCCAGCCCGAGGTGTCGAGGCAGAGGGAGTCTTTGCCGAGGGCGCCGGCGTCGGGGGTGGCGGTGGCGAGCTCGTGCCACGGCTGGAAGAGCTTGGCGTTGGTGTCGAGGATGCGGACGGGGATGGCGAGGGCGATGGCGAGGACCGTGGGCAGGAACATCCCGATGAAGTACTGCCCGTAGGTTATCGAGTAGGTGCGCACGATCACGCTGGTGCTGGTGTCGGAGCCGTTTTCGTTGTCGTTGTCGTCGGTGTCCGGGGAGGGGAGGACGGGGAAGAGGGTTGCGGTTGCGGTTGGGATGCCCGCTGAGTCCGTTTCCACGGTCACGGATGGGGTCAGGAGTACGTGCGTCTCCTGCGTGGCGGTGGGGCGGCCTTCCCAGTCTGTGAGCGTCGTCGTCTGCGGCGTCGACACGGGCTCCGGGGTCTCTGTCCACGTTGCGGTGGGCACGCCGGCCGAGTTCGTCAGCGTGGTGGCGGGCGGTGCCACGAAGGTAGGGGGTTTTGCCTGGACCGTCGTGTGGGAGACCGTCTCGGAAATGGTGACGGTGCCCGCGTTGCCGTGGTTGGTGGTGGCCGGGAGGCCCAGGGACGTCTCTGCCGGCGGCGCCTCCGAGATGGTGACGGGCTGCCCGACCTTACCGAAGTCGGTCTCGTCCTTGGAGTATTGGGGGTCGGTGGGCAAGGGTGCCATCGTCGTCGTTTTGGAGGGGCTGGCTATTTCCGTGACGACCTGGGTGCCGACGTTTCCGAAGTTCTCTTTTGCTGGCGTGGAGGTGTCAAAGAGCATGGTTTGCGATTGCGAAGCCGTAGTGGCACCAGAAGCCGTAGTAGTATCAGCACGGCCTACGATGTTAACGACGGTTATGATGCGCTTTGTACCGGCGTAGTCGGCCAACGAGGCGTTGTCGAAAGAGTCGAGGCTTCTCTTATCGAACATGTTGAAATCATTGTAGTGCAAAGGTAGGCTTTGCAGAGCATACGCCACCAGGCCAACGAGGGTTAGGATGACTATTAAGAGACTGGCCAGGAATGGCCATCTCAACGCCGATGGCCTGTAGTTTGGCCTTTCTCGTTCTATGTCCAATACGATTCCCACGTACTCGTCAGATGTGATCATCTCAGGCTGGTAGGCGGTAGGAACCCGAGTATAGTCTGTCCTCCTACTAGACAATGACCGGTCATCTCCATAATATGAGGAGCTCTCATACTCTTGGCTGGGTCGACGAGAAACATCGTAATGGCTACTACTATCGTCTGGTGAGCTTCCTAGGTTGTGTTGTGGCTCATCTGCTCGGTCTGCAGTGTTGGTGAAATTTTGTTGGGTGTCTAGATCCCCATTTGTTGCATTTGACTGAGGAAGGGCATCGAAACCTGCTCTCCCAGCAGGCGTCGTCGTTGTGATGTGCGACATGATATCCACTTTTCTTCTTCACCTTTGGTTAATAGCCCGATGTCTTCCAACTCATGGCCAAAAGCAGGCGAAGTACTCTTTTTTTCCCGGAAGAGGTTTCCAAAAAATCTTTAAGTTGAATAAAGAGCACCCGCTCCATTAGGCGGTATGATATTAAGAAGAATAATAATAATAATAATAATAATAATATGGGCATCATTTCCTTCATAACCTGTGAATAATAGCGTGGCGAAGGATAGCGGTTGCAGCGCTGCCGCAAGTGGATCGTAGGGCTATCGAGAACTCCATATTCGTCGGCCTCAGTGGCTGGGTGCGCTTGGCAGCCCTCAGCTACCAGTACTAAGAGATTAAGATGTCAGCAGCGATCGTTATGCTAACCAATGAGCCAGGTAGCTAGGCAGCTTCAGAAGCCCCGAATTTCTAAATAAAGCTTGTCCAGCTAAGCTACCATACTACCATATGCCGATCAGCAGATGGTGCTGACGAGGCGGCCGGGGTAGGTGTCACATCGAGATCTACATACCGGCACCCCGCCCCCCCGGTTCCGTTTCCGCTCCCGTTCATCGTTGCAACGTAAGGTTCATGGGTTTGTTTGTACATGGAAGAATGTTTCGATGCTTTGAAAGTTATGGCTTCGGTAGAAATATGGTAAAAAATAATGGTTATAAAAAAAGGACAAAAGTTCAAAGGCAGCAGATTAGGTCAAGACGCCAAGGAGCTAAAGGGGGAAAAACAAGACGAACATGGCATGAAACTTCGTATGAGGAGGCATCAATATTGCACATCCCTGGAATCAGGATAGGCTGCCATGCGGCTGAATAGCATCCCATGGATGCAGGTCATCCTACAGATCGCGAGCTATATTAGCGCGGGATACTCTATGGTTCAATACCAAGCATTATACGAGCAACGCGATGGTTTATAAATATAATAAATATAAGTCCTAGGCAGGAGGTAAATATGCAAAGGAACGTGCGTATATTTTCCCATCGATCACCATCAGCACACCACAAACACCCAACATGACCCCTTCGTCGAACTGTGTCTTGAAGATCAACGCAGTTGCTCAATTCTGGCGTGATCAATCAGCCAAAGCGATCAAGATTCATTGAGAATAGTGTACCTAGGTGTTTATCTAGATGTTTATCTAGCAGCCTAGGCACTAGGTATGCATGTCAGTGAGGCGCATTCACAGCCAGACCCACCAAATAGTCCGAGATAATGCCCACGTAAGTAGGCATATATCTAGTTAACCCCAAAAATCTTTAAATCTAGACGACCGTCCGCTAGTTAAGCGCCCTGTAGTCGCTGGTGATACACTGGAGGGTGGGAGTTGTGTAGAAAGGCGGCACGGAGTCAAAGAAAAATGGTTAAAAATGAAAATAAGGAGGGAGAGAGAAAAGGGGGCCGAGAAAGGCATGATGTAGTACCCGTAAGTCCACTGGCCGACGACAATGGTGCCGCCGTCGCAGGCAAGGATCCAGATGGGCACTTCGGGGTTCTTGGGGGCCTCGTCTTATCGTTAGAACTGGTCAATGGTGGTAAAGGGGCTGGTCACGCTGGTGGTAGAAAGCGCACTGCTTATAATAGGCGGCACGGGCGTACTTCTCGAGGTCGCCAGAACGGAGTCCTTGTCTGCGTGTTGACGACATCCTGGCTAACGCTGCTGAACAGAGCCTTAAGATACCAGGAAAACATTGTACCGGAACAATATGACAGACCCTCGGGATCGGGGCCGACCAGAGACTTCATCTCGAGCACGTGGAAAAGCTCATCGGAGGCGCGGAGCCAGCCTGAGTGTCTCGTTTGGAAAATGGCTGAAAGGCCGGGAGTCAAGTCAATGATCTATGCGAGGAAGACGAAGATCTCACTAGTCCCAAGCACCCCCTTCCAGCGCCCACAGATGTAACGCTCATCCCGATAATACCCCCCATGATAGATCATGGCTTGGACAAGAGTTAAGGAGCGGGAAGAGGCCCAAGTCGCCCACGAGTTTTGGCATTCCCTGGAGTAACTCGAGAATATAGCCAGCACCGTGTCAGGTAAGTGGTACCTCCAGAGCTACCCAGTGCTAATGCCACCTCCACATTGAACTGCCCCACACGTACACACCAAGCGAAGAAAAGGAGCCTCATATTTAAGGCCACAACTGCAGCTCCCTACCTCGTTACCCGCCATCCTACCGAAGTTAAACTTATAGGTCCCCGTAAACAGCATTCTATCACTTCCTGGGTGAGAACTCAGAAACATGGGATTTCACCCATGTTGGCTCAGTGGTAAGGTGCGAACACCACCATGCGGCTCCCTTATAAAGTGCGGGTTCAGAACGAACACCACTGCGGGACGCCCAAAGGTGCGGGTTCAATCCTACCACACACCCTTTTGCCTTTTTTTTTTTTTTTTCTTTTTTTTTTTTTTTAGCAAGCACCTTACACAACACAGTACCAGGGTATGTATGCTTATAAAATGAAGCTATTCATACATACGTACTTGAGGCTCCTCCCATTTTATTAAAATTTATAAAACCTTGTATCCTGATTTTCACCAACAAGGAAGATGCCAGGCTTATACCCACCGAGCAATTAGTACCTAGACATGCTTCTAGCGTTACGAGGTGGTCTCTAATCAGCAATTTTGGCGAGTTTCGTATAAGCTCAAGCCCTCGTAGTTGATTATGACGTCGCATGAACGGGGTGTGGAGCTCTGTATCGCGTATCTGTTGGTAAGGGTCCTCGACATATCAACCATGGATCGATGCGGCGGGAATAGCAAGCCTAGGAAGAAGGTAAGTTGTCGATTCGGTCGAGGTCTCTTTTTTGGAGTATCTCCTTGTCTCTTGGTAAGCTCGAATGCCTTCCTGTAATGTGAGATGAATATATCATTCGCCTCCGGCTTGCGAGGACATGGTCGGGGCACTGGGCAAACGAACAAACGGAGCTATTACGGGCCCTCGGGTTTCTGCCAGCGTCACCGTACACTTGTACGTAGAGATACTGCGTGCTACTCCGAACATAGTTCAAGATTACAAACCCGTACCTTTCATGCCTCCTCTTATGGGAATAAGACTATGCATCCACGAGAAGCGTAGAGCCATGGCATATTGGTAAAGACCGAACAACCCCTAGCTTCGATCGAGGTCCGTTGACACCAAACTTTTGACCAGGGACTGGCATGGGCGCATTCCTTTCTCGGTCTCCCATAAACACAAATCCTGTGCCTCCTCTCCCGGCTTAGGTCTTCTCGAGGATGCTCGCCTTCAAGTCGTAGATCTTCGCTCTAATCAATCCATTTGATGAGCTAGCATAGGATTATCCTGGAGTTCAATTATTGAAAAGTAGCCAAGAACCTTATGCTCTACTTGGCGCATTCATGTACTCGAGGAAATAGAAGGACGTCGGTTTGCGGCTTCTTGGTGAGCATCTTAGCCAGATCTTGGCAACCAACTTGGGAATGCAAAATCAAGAATAACTAAACTGAACCTTATGGCATTGCTCATTTTTAATCCACGTGGGCGTTTCGAAGATGCTCGTTCATTGTCCGTGTGTCATATAGGTAGTGTGGTGACTAGGTTATTAGGTACTTACTGATTGAAGCATTTATTGTGATTCGTGATCTCGTCAGGTCAAAAAGCTGTCGCTATCGATAGGGAAAAAAGTATCAAAGTATCAAAAAAGTCAAAAAGATTGAGAGCTGCAGGATTCGAACCTGCGCGGTTTCCCATTGCGGGTTTATAAGGTTTCCCAAAGGAGAAGACCTAAACACAACGCCTTAACCACTCGGCCAAACTCCCAGTGAAAGAATATGTATGTTGCCAGAAGAGGTGTTTTTAATTTCTCGCATCAGCATCCTACGCCGGGCTCGAACCGGCAACCTTCAGATTAGAAGTCTGACGCGCTACCATTGCGCCAGCAGGACTTGAATCGAGAACCTCTTAAGGCTGATTGGTTGAAATGGGTGATGTTTTTATGTATTATATACCTAACTTAGGTAGGTAGCTTAACTTTAGTTGTTGCTGGATTGCGAACTGTGTAGCGTCTCTATATTGGGGCTAGCGCCATAGTACTTTCACCGTACTACCACTGTCTGCTACCCTACATAGTAGGTATCTAACCTAGGTATGTATGTAAGCACTCTAAACTCCAAACTCTTCATTGTAGCCAAACAGTTACAATTCTAGTGGCGTTGATGGAATCTAAAAACTTCACGAGCTTGGTGCTTAGACCAGTAGAACGGCGACAAAGCGTGGCCCGGGCCGTTATTATCGTGGTCGCCGCCGACATCCCCGGTCAGAGTACTACTGATATTTTCCTGAATCGAATCGACCTAGCTACCTAGTCTTCATGGCTTTAGTCGATGGCTCGATGCAGCATGGCCAACGGGTGAACCTTTGTCAGCTGTCTTATACTATTAGTAGTATCAAAACTAAAGTCGAGTCACGAGCTGTGTCAAGCCGATCCCCAACCACCAAAATATCTGACGATCGCCGATATAATCCACACAAACCGCCTACACCTACGTAATAGTAACGCCGATTTAAAGGTGCATCTTTGTTCGGAAGTTCCCGCAACCGACAATAGTTCGGCGACAGACATTGTATGCGGCTCAAAATGTCTTTGTCACAGCTGCGCCATCTTGAAACATCCTCTTACCTCCCCTCTTTCACCACGAATCAGACAAGTATAAATATCATGCGCAGGTAAGCACGGTCGTTTTATTGTGATCTATGATCTATGCGTATCTGATCATGAGGGCTGCTTTCTATATTACCGTAGCGACAATGTAATGTATGCCTCCTTGTCTCTGCATCTAGCCTCATCGAATGCTGTGTGAGGTTCGTTATGAAAGTGATGCCAGCCTGACTAGCTAAGTACCTACGCGGGCCTAACACGTTGGTTTAGCACAATGTCGAACAACTAACTCCACGTGGCGAATAGCCTCACTATAGACCATATGATAGGTATAGGTATCTATTACTAACCCAATACTTCACTTTAACCCAGACAAGCACATTCAACCAAAGATTCAAGATTCAACTCTTACTGATTTTATTTACTAAACAACTATCAAGCATACCTAACAAACATACCTACCTAAGTAGGTAGTAAACAACAAGCAAGCACACTACATTGATAGTTCATCACTTTCACCATTTCTTTCAAAACATATCTTTCTCTCTCGCTCTTACCAGAAGGAATCAACCAAAAAAAACCCCCGCCAAACTTTTTCCCCCTTTAAAAAACGCCAGCACCTAGTAAGACGCCAGCGCCTAGGTAGCATAATGCCCCCTTTCCATTTCCCGACCGCCGGCTAGCCTGTTACCAGCCTACCGGTAGTTTTCCTCCTCATATCGCCCCCCCTTCGCCTTCAAGAACTCAACAAAAGTCAACTCCTTCCTCTCCCTCCCACCACCATATGGCTCTGGTATATGCGCCATATACGGGCGGTGATGATTGTAATGAGGGCGGTGATGACTGTGCGCCTCGACGATCGTCGAGCTGATCTCGTCGCCGGTGAGGTCTTCGTGCGACGGCAGTGCGGAGCTGGCGTTGATCATGCGGAGCGTCGCGTTGAAGGCATCCCTCGATATCGGCTTCTGGGCCAGCGAGGCGGGCACCGTGGGGCGTCTTGGCGAGGGGAGGGGGTCGCGGTATTTGCTTTGGAGCTCGTGACGCTGATTACTCTGGCTCGGGTGCCGCGGTGATGCTGGTGATTTGGGCGTTGGCTCGTGATGGCCCCGAGAGGGGATGTGCAGTGACCGGTGCTGGCTTTGGTGCTGGCTTTGATGTAGGTATCGCGGGGACTTCGGAGAATGAGGCACTGGCTCGCGAGGAGACTGGGGAGGAGGGGCCCGAGAGACCGCGCGGTTCGGCTCAAACCTGTATTTCAAGTGGTCTACAACTTCTTCTTTCCTCGGCGAGGGTATTTCGACGCCTCGACCTTCTTCCGGGTCGCGAGACTGCGGGTGTCGGTACTGGTAGTGTGATTTCTCATCATCCCGGTATTTCGACCGTCGGGCTTCACGGCTTTCTTCGAACGCCTCGTGCGACTGGTGGTGGCGGCGGCGTTCGTGGTGGTGTCGAGCCGACATATTCAGATGCCGCGTATCCTGCTCCAGATCGTGCATCGCCTGATCCAAAGTAGAGTTTATATGCAGGGGCCGTGTGTCCTGCTCCAGATTACGCATAGCTTGATCCAGGGTCTGATTCGCATCTCTTCGTCCTCGTTGTTCCGGACCGCGATGGCGACGGGATTCCCTGGCGCCCTCGCCAGTTCGCGTCACCAGCTCGGCCCAGGGGTTTTCCTCCCCTGGGTAGCCTCCGTCCGCGAAGCGAACGGTTTTGCGCTGGTATTTAGTCTCGCTGTCGGTGAAGTGCCCCGACAAGGGCGAGGATTCCTCGCCGAACTCCGGCTCGGAAACCCAGCCCTTGTAACTGTCCGCAGCCCACAGTCTTCCCACTGGGTGTTGGGATAGAGGGTGTATGTGGTCCAGTGCCGCACAGCACGGGACGGGCTCTACAGTTTTGCCGGTGCCCTCGGTATATACTGTGTACTCGTGGTCGTAGGCCACGACCTCGCCTTCTCCGTATTTGTCGACATCACGATATGTCAGCTGTCCATTGGCAGGCTCCTTGGCCGGCTTCGACTTTCTTCTAATATGCATATGCATTGTAGAAAATGTCTTATTTCTATTAATTATTATCTTTTACCCTAGGTACAAACCAAAATAACCGCCAGCCAAGTGTGAAAAGAAGAATTTTCGAAACACGAGAACTGCAATATAAGTCTCAGCGAGTCTGTGCTGCTGTTCTGCTGTAAGTAGCATGGAGGTGCATCACCAAAACTGTTTAGCTTCAGTGGCGCTCCCATATATATAGGATATTCTCCCCCGCCACGAGCATGCCTCTGCGTACTGTACGACCATCTAAGGGTATGGTGTTTGGCGTGAAGGTTTACTGTTCCAACAAAGCCGTGGGACGAGCTGCGTCGAACGGACAAAGCCGAATCTCGGGTCGATTCTGACATGTCGGATTCTAGTCATAATAGGATTGTCTCTTTGTCAAAGAGGGACTGGGCGTGTGAAGGGATGTTGTTTAATCCCTACTAGGTACGGTTCCTGGGTTCTGTACAACACCAAGCTATGAGGTGGAGATATGGTCGTTACTTAGGCTTTGTTGGGCGTGTGTAGGATCAAAGTAGACATTCAGATCGTGCTACCTGGATCTGGTTAACGTCAAATAAACTGATTACACTTTTTACTTTGCGTCTACTTTATGTATGTAGGTACTTATGCCCCATAAGTCCGTAAGACTCAAGCATGCTTGACATGGTGCAAGATGGTTGGAACTCATGTTGACTAACCTACACTGGATGAGCGCGCAGAGCCCAGGGGCTAACATTACTCGATTCATCTCGACAGAGAATAAGAATCCTGGTATCATCTCTACCTAGGCTATTAATCCACCACCTAGCCAAGTATCACGGTTTCCAACTGCTCGCGATCCAAATGAGACTGCAACGCTGCTCTCAGTAATCCCTGGCTCTTTGCTATAGCGGGCACGACGCCATCGATCTGCTGCAGATTCCCTCGCATGCTGTCCATGTGATTCGCAATCTGCCCCGCCAGACCGGCCAGCTCCTCGTCTACGAGACCAGCAAACGCCCTACCGCTTCCCTTCGCCGCAGTTTCCACCCCGCCGGTATAGTCGTCAGAATAAGGAGTGGGCGGCTTCTCGGGGACCAGCACGTGCATCTTCCTCATCTGGTCTCTCCTCTCCCTGGCTTCGGCGCGGGCGTTCGCGCCGAGACGACTGAGTACCTTATACTCGTGGTCTAGCTCCTTCTCGGCGCGTTCCTTTTCGCGGCGCAGGAGCTCAACGCTGTGCAGTAGCGGATCAAGCTGAGACTCGAGGTTCTGGATCCCGGAGATAGTGCGCTCGAACTCGAATTCCTCTTCGCGCCGCGTTGATGTGGTCGCTGGCGGAAATGGCAGGCCGCGCGAAATCTTGGAGCGTAGGCGGTTGCTGACAGCATTCAGTGCTGATGTAGCGTATGAGTGCCGTTGTTGGTTGTTTATGCGTAGAAGCACAGGTCTGGAGGTGGATTGCAAAAGCGTCGCTACACTGGAAAGAGCTGGCGCCTCAAGGGGTGTCCATTTGGATTCGATGACATTACGAGGGACTCTGCGTGTGCGCGTGGCGAGGTGGCGGTACCGCGGTGGTGAGCCAGCAGAATCTGGAGACGATGACCGGTCCTGCGCCTCAGACGACTGTCTGTGTCTTCCTGATCTCGAGGCTGCTTTATTGGCTTGACGAGACCTATTCGCTCCAGGACGATTATCTTCTTGTATAGAAGCATCTTGTTCCTGCGATGGCTGTTCGAGGGACTTCTTCCGCTTCTCTTTCCCAGGCGGTGCGGCATTCTTCTTGGGCTGGTTTTTGGACTTGGTATTTCCTTCCACTTCATTAATCACATGATTATTGAGAGAAGGGCGACCTCGTTTTTTCTTAGGCTGAGGTCTGGCTTCTCTTTCTATCTCAATCGTCTGGGGATGCGCTGTCTTCTCACGCCCCTTAGACTTTTGGTTACTTGATGCTTCTTCAATGGTAATGTTGACCACCTCTCGTGCCCCTTTGCCGAATAAGTCTGGAGACCGGCGAACTCGACCGCTTCGTCGGAGGAGGCTCGAGTTACCCTCGTTTTCGTCGTCTGCCTCACTTGCTTCAGCTTGATTGTCTTCGGAGCCCTGAGGTTCTTTGGGAGGTCGACCGGGTTTCTTCTTTGGCGCGTTTTCGCTTATTGGGTTTGACCTGCTATCTTTTTCGCCTTCTCCAACGTTGTCGCTCTTTCGAGAACCTTTCGGCCGACCACGTTTTCTTGGCTGTGTAGGGTCTAGCTCTGGCTCTGGTTCCCGTTCCGCATTCTGATTGCCTCCTCCACCGTGGTTTGTGTGTACTACTGCCAGGGGAACGCGCTTCCTCGTCGTCTGTTGTGGTTGTGAAACTTTGAGTTCGGGCTCAGGCTGTATCCGGGAGGTTCCAGCGTTGGATGGGCGTCCACGCTTCCTGGGACGTGAAGCTCCGTCTACATCGGCATCTCTGGAGTTTTCAGGTGCTGTAACTGGCTGATCTTGTGTCGAAAGTCCAAGCTGGGATTCCGACGCGTCGATATTATCGCGCGACGCGTTTGTAGGACGGCCTCGCTTGCGCTTCTGATTTGCAGTCTCTGGCGCCTGGAGATGGTTAGTCCTGAAGAGTTAAATGATGGAAGTTCACAAACCATTATTTCTGAATTAGCTAAAACCTATTACCGCATCGCCAACTGGTATGATATACTACTATGTATTAGTTGTTATCAAGTTGAACCTTGAATCAATGATGTCTTCAGATGTTTAATGTTCATATAATAAGTACTTAGGTACGTAATGTGTACATTACATACATACAGTAACACATTCAATCTTATCGTTATCGTTATGCCTTATCGCATTAAGCTGTGGCTAATGAGCATGGTGTGGAAGTGCAAGCTACTGCCCAATGTAGAACTTCCCGAGTCAAAGTTGAAGTTGAAAAGGCTGGGATTTACCTGGTACGTACTTGGTTAGCTCAGTCAACAAATTAAATGCGCCGCCTACAAGGTGGAGCCTTAAATCTTGGCAAGGCAAGGATGGAGTCGCTCATCTTATCTGGGGAAGCAGCTATTGGGGGAGGAACGCGTCCTGGGGCTCCTTTGCGTGGAGTTCCCATTGACTGTCAATCGCTTACCAACTTTTTTTTTCTTTTTCCACAACTTTAGCTCTTCACACTATTACTTGACCAAGTGCCAGACTGGAGAACACCGTGGCGTTGAGCTTCAGTTTAACTATAAAAATATATACATAGTAATTCCTTCATTCTTGTTTATATCATCCTCAATTTAAATTGTAACATTATCCAATTACATCATCCTTCCGGCCTTCCGTGGCTTACTCTGTACTATCCCTCTGAGCTTGAAATCCACTACGAGGCTCGAGCTCTTTTTGAACACCTATCCCACATCTCGTTTACTATTTTTCAATATGCGATTCTCTACAGCCTCAGCTATCATTAGCTTGCCGCTATTAGCAGCAGCAGATGTCCCTGAGTATCAAGCTCAATTTGAAAACTACCTCGGCCAGGCGCAGACCTACCTGGGCAAGTTTGCCTCCAAGATCCCTCACCCTAACAGACATGATCCCGTCGCTGCCGCCGAAGCTAAGGCCGGTGCCTTGAATATGGACGTGTTGAGCTTGAGCGGCTGGAAGGATACTCTGTACGGGCCCGTCAAGCCTGAAAGCACAACACCAGAGGAGTGGTGGGTCCTTATCACCGGTGGAAATAGGACATGCTTTGGTAAGATCCTACATTCCGCGAGCTCATTGTGAGGCTCGCATATGACTTATGCCCCTAACCTTAACTAGGCCATTGTGGCAACGTCGAGGCTGCGTTCAACGAAACTGCCGCGAAATGGGCTGTTACACCGGGTGCCCCGCACACTGCTATGCTCAACTGCGAGGATCAGCCTGTTCTTTGCAATTCATGGTCGGCCCCAGTTGGCGCCATTTGGATCTTCGAGATGCTACCCGAACCGGCTCCGGTCGACATCTGGACCAAGCGATTCAACATGACAACTGTCACTGCTGATGACATCGATGCTCTACAGAAGGAGGGCTATAAATCCACTGCTAAATTGCATGACGGATATTTCCATCCCTTCAACGGTCCTCTCGCCAAGAATGGTGTCGCTGCCCCCCTTGGATGGGTTCTGTATGCCTTCAACCTTCTCCCTAGCTGGGCGTTCATGGTTCTTGTTTCCATCTTCAGCCGGACTATGATGTGAGTTAACTTGGCGTAACCTGAATGTAGACAACAGTTGACTAACAGTCCAACAGGACCAACCGAATGACCCAACAAGCAGGTGGCCAACGCCCGGCTGCTGCTGGTCAGGCCGCCCCTAGAAGATAGGTTGGAATCTGTTAGATAACACTTGGGATATCTTATGGAAACTGGATGGTTATGGGGAAATGCGGATGATATGCTCAGGGTTCTGGACTGTTGGTAGAAAAGGACTGTATGGTCACGTTTTCGCAGTATTGGGTCAGGGTGACATAGTCATATAGTGGTCTAATGAATGAGGTTGCGCATCGTTGATCACGTCTTGTGTCTGCAAACATCTTCAATGCGCCGAAGGCCATCGAGAACGTCGTCTTTCAACTTGGGGTTCCCGAACCGGCCATATCGTAGATCGCTCATATTGCCCACAACTTGTTTAATAGACTCGAGGAGGGCGGCTTCTTCCTCTTCCATGGCCGATATCTCTCGCTCTATATCAGCGACAGCTCCGTCCATATCAGGTAAGATGGTGAGCAAGGTATGCTGCTTGGGTTGAAGTGTGCTAGAGGTCGGCCCGAATAACTAGAAAATTCAATTAGCGGTGGCATTTTCAAGGTGGTTCATTAGTAAAGGAAGTTGTACCGTTCGCTCAATTTCAATTTCATCGTCTTGCTCCTCAAGTTCGGCTTCTCGCCGAGCCTTGATCACCTCTCGGCGTAGAGCTTTGCCCTGCCTGATTTGTGCATCGATGTTCTGAGACACGCCATCAACTACAGAATTCCGCTGTTGTTGGAGATCTCGGTAGAGGGCACGAATTTGGGGAGATGATTGTTGTGATTTGGGGAACAAGGAGGTGAAATCTTGTAAGGAGATGAAAGTGGGTAAGCGGGCTGGAAGGAGAAGGTAATTGCGCAGAATGGTCGCCTCGTTAGTTGCCATAGTGGAAGAATTAATTGTGTAGGTATGATACTAGACATGTAGGGAAAAGAAAGATAAGTTGCCAGGTGTTGATTGTGTTTGTTGCATATAGCCTGTTCAGAGTAAAATTGTTTGTATGTACAATACATAGGTATGCACCTCTAAATAATTGATCAATGATGTTGTAGCTGAGTTATGAGCTGGCTGAGTTATGTGATAGTAGGTAATTGCTAGGTAAATACGGGTAGGTACCTATTCCCTACCTCCCTAATTAATTGGTGATGATTGTACAAATACACGAGGATGTACATGAACCCAAGTGCCCCCCTGTTGATCACCTCAAACTCCCCCCATTTTGGGCCGACGACTATACCTCATTCGAACAGGCACTTGGGCTCAACTGCTTTTTTAGGCACTTGGGTTCAACTTTTTATCTCTTAAGGTTTATTTTTTCAAAAACGAAAAATTCATAATTAATTATTAATTAATTATAAACATAACTTTAAAAGATAATTATAATAATTATTAAGTTTAATATTGAGGTTTGCTATGTGCACTACCTATTTTTGCTATCGGGCCCTTAGGTGCACTACCATTAGGTATTGTACATCCTATAAGTCCACTAAATCTTAAAAGCAGGGGCCCATCTAAACCATCCATCCCATCCCCCCAAATAACTCTTCAACCACATGTCGCATCACAATGCAACCAGATTCAATTGAAAGGGCGTTCAATTACCGATTGATTGATGTAGGTCTTGAATTGAGGCGATTCGTGGTCGGAAAGTTATTCAGGTAAATAGGTGGTAGCCCGGGAGGCACGTGACTACTCTTAGGGGCACACTAGAAGCTCTTGGCCCACGCTAAGAGCCCTTGGGCCAATTGGAGCCAAACCTTATTCAACAGTTTCAATCTTGAATAACTCCCTGAAACATCCAGCTACAAACATGCAACCAAATTTGATTAACAGAGAATTCAATTACTGATTGATTGATACCGGCTGCACCTTGGGGCGATACGTGGTTGAAGAGTTATGTTGGTATTTGTCTCGGGAGCAGTCACGTGACACTTACTAGCGTGACCCCAGGCGGCTCTAGGGCTCTTTGGCGGCTCTAGGGCTCTTTGGCGGCTCTAAGGGCTCTTAGTGTGGCCCTAAGAGCTCCTAGTGTGGCTCTAAGGGTGATCACGTGCCTCCCAGGCTGCGACCTACTTACTTGAATAACTTTGCGACCACGTATCGCCTCAATTAGAGACCTATATCAATCAATCGGTAATTAAATGCGCTTTCAATTGAACCCGGTTGCACGTTTGTGGCTATATGTTTCAGAAGGTTATTTGGATTGAATTGAGGTGGGCAGCTGGGGGCGCTAGAGGCGCTAGATTAGGCCCGGATTTCAAAATTTAGGGCATGTACCGGTACCTAAAGGTAGTGCACCTAAGGCCCCGATAGCAAAAATAGGTAGTGCACATAGCAAAACTCTTAATATTTTATATATTTTAATTTTAATTTAATTGATTTATAATTAATTTGTAATCAATTATAAGTTAATTCTTAATTGATTTTTAATTGATTCTTATTTAATCATTAATTAATTAAAAATAAATTGCTATCGGAGGCTTATCCGCACCCTAGTACATAGCGCTGGTCCGGGCTCTCCAGCTAGCCTCTAACATACTATCCTTAATAACTTTTCCTTCAATGGACGCATCTTGATGCAACCGGTATCATTAGAACCGTCTCAATTAGCGCTTCCAAATGATATATGTTTCAGATTGATGCGACCGGTAGTTGCGAAGTTATTTAGGATTTCTTGAAGCAAAGGCAGTTGGCGCTAGCCGAGGGTTATCACGTGATCCAGGTATTGGTTACAGATGTATCTTTTTTCAGGTGCTTCTTAATCTTTAAATTCAAATAACTTCAGATTCAGATATCGCATCAATCTGAAACATATATTGTTTGGAGGCTCTAATTGAGGCGATTCCAACGATATAGGATGCACTAAAGCCTCAGCTTGGACTGATGATGGATTGTGTGGTTTTAGGCAGATTGAAGCTTTGAAGCTTGGGCTTTTTGCAGCCAGCAAAACTCAAAAAATAAGACTCGAAAGTTCAAATAATCAGGTGGGCCCCTGTCAGTCATATGGCCAATTACAACTCGCTAAACTCCGGATTTTCGTGTGACCGAGCCCCATTCTGGGTGGGCTTTATAGCGGGACACTAGGCCTAAAATGGGGGGAGTTTGAGGTGATCTACAGGGGGGCACTTGGGTTCATCTACCTCCTGCAAATACACCGGGGTGGGTGTTGGGGAAAAAAACCACTTTAAGGCAAAGCGCGTCGGAAAACGCGTCCGAGCTTTTTTGGTGTATCATTGCCACGGGCAGGAACGACATTCTTTGCTAAGCAAGCACACTTTAAACACTTCCTTCCTCAATCGCATGTGATCTTAACGCAAACCTTCCCCCCTTTTTTTCTTCACCTCTTCACACAAATTGCGAAAGACGCATCAAATTCGTCATTGTTCTTACAATAAAGCAATCAAGAATTGTGACACATAAGACTGCACTGAAAATAACTATAATTATCGCCCCTTCTTACTTCTTATTTCCACCCCTGTGAACATAATCGTAACCAACGCGATCATGGCTCCCTCAAGACAGAGCCAGGCGCCTCCATACGCCAAAGACGAAAAGGTTCTTTGCTTTCATGGCGACTTAATGTATGAAGCAAAGATCATTGAGGTTGCCGTAAAGTCCGGCCAGAAGCCTGAAGATGCACAGTACCGCATCCATTATAAGGGCTGGAAAGCTAGCTGGGATGATTGGGTTTCGCAGGACCGTATACGAAAGTTCACTGAGGACAATAAGCAGCTTGCCAGTCAACTGCAAGCTCAGGCTCGAATGCGGACTCATGGCCCTAAAGGAGGAAAGAAGGGTGTTAAGGCTAACGGTTCCGAGTTGAGTTCTGCTCGTGGTAGTGAAGAGCGTGCTGCCGGATCCTCAAGCTTTGGCGGCCGTGGCCCTCGGCGCGGCAGGGACTTTGAACTAGAGAACGTAAGTCCCTTTATTTCATTCACCTATATCTCATTATAGTCAGCATCGGATTCTGGGGATCGTGGGCGTTGAAATGCCTTCAACCCGCCTGTCCTTTCTTTATATATCAGTACCTCCCTCCATATGGATCAATATCGCCACATAGGAAGGACTAGAGGCCACCCGTTCCCCAAATACGTACCTGGATTCTTTCACCGGAGGCCGGCTATCAATCTCGACCTTGGCCCTGGATTTACTATCTTCACGGCATACTGAGGTTACTGCAATGTTGAACGACACCCGCTTGGTAGTCTTTACTCTCAGAGTATGGGTTTACAAACATGAACAGCCCATCAGTGTGAATGGGAGTAGGAATGGGAGCAAGTGGGGTGAATACCGATGCCATTGGGACGGCATGTTTAATATTCTTCTCACACGGTGGGACGTAACTGGGTAGCCTGAGGATTCAGGCATGAACTTGCGACGAACGACTGTCAACATGACAATGGCGGCTATTTTGAGGGCGCCAAAACAATTTGGTGCCTAGGGCATCCTCCTTGCCGAATCGCCATCTATGCTTCCCGCACTGGTTCCAAAAACTATATAAACCCTTGCGTAAAATACTTTGACGGAATTCTATCCTCCTTCCATACACACACGCCTTCGAACGCATAACCTCATAAATCGTTCAAATTTCTTCACACCCAACACAAAGACACCAACCCTATTCACTACCTAATCCTCAACCCATTCTTTTTATTCCCTTCATATCAATCCAACGATTGTTTCAAGATGGGTCCGAAGAAGAATACGCAGGCGCCTAGACCAAGACGCATCATTACCATCAATGACTATACGGTTCCACCAAGACGAACCCGTAGTCATACTGACCCCGAGGATCCAGAACTAATCGATCTGGATCACCCGGAAGCCGCGCGGGAGGCAATCGAGGCAGGCAACGCGGCATCACTTGATGCTGTCATTGCGGCCACAGCTGCCTCCCAGCAAGAGAAGTCGACTGGCAATCCATCGACTTCTCGGCAGACCCGAGCAACCAGAAGCTCAACTGCCACTCTGGATGCTGCCACCGTACCCCGTCTCCCCCACCCCACCTTGACTTCAAATCACAAAAAGTCATCACCTAAAAAATCATCTCCTCCCAAACCAACCTCTCCTACCAAAAAAGCAGCTCCTACCAAGAAAGCAGCTGCTTCCAAAAACTCATCCCCCAAAAGCAAAACTCCTACCAACCCTTCCACCATGGCTGCCAATAGCGACAATGCCCCTCAGCTGAACAAATTCTCCGACGAGAGCATTCTGGCTCGTCAACAAGAATTCATGAAAAAGGGAAAAGCAGTGGGCACGAGCGGGCGACAACGAGTCATACCTCTTGTCGCTCCCTCGAAAGAACCTCAAATACGTCGGCAAGGACGGAAAGCTCCTCGTTAATGACGACCGATTCGAGGTTCCTATAAGCGCTGCACACCAAGATGGTCACCCGAAGGCCATTGACGCCGAGGAGCGAGGCGTCTTGACCCGCCAAATAATGATTTGGTACCGTGGTGTTGACCATGGTATCAACAGACCAGTGGCCGGGATCCCTTCTAGCGAGCCTTATAGGCCGCACGACCTGGAAGCCTTCGAAGACAGAATTGGACGGGTTATTAATGATGATGCTAACGCCCAACCACAGGAGGACATATTCCACGCTCGCCCTTCAATTAAACTCATCGTTCCCGACATCTTGAAGGCGATGCTCGTTGACGACTGGGAGAATGTCACCAAGAATTACCAGCTCGTCCCCCTCCCCCACCCTCACCCCGTCTCAAAGATTATCGACGACTACTCCGCTTATGAGACCCCCAAGCGCCCTGCTGGCTCGTCTCATGTCGACATCCTCGACGAGACGCTATCTGGCCTCAAGGAGTATTTCAACCGATCTCTTGGACGTATCCTTCTCTATCGGTAAGTTCTACTGTTCTGAAATTCGAGGCTAGATTCTAACTGCAGCTAGGTTCGAGCGTGTCCAATATGCCGAGATCCACGAAAAGTGGCAATCCAACGACCCCGAGTACCACGGCAAGCACGCGAGCGACTTCTATGGCCCTGAGCATTTGATGCGTCTTCTAGGTATGCCATAATCCCCCCGTATCATCAAAAAACTCGAACTAACTGCCTACAGTCTCGCTGCCAGAACTTATTGCTCAGACCAACATGGATCAGCAATCGGTCAACCGCCTTAGAGAGGAGTTGTCCAAGTTCTGTGCCTGGCTTGCTCGCAACACGGATACGTACTTCGTGAACCACTACGAGTCACCTCCCCAGGATTACATCCAGAAGGCCAAGGACTAAATACCGACTAGTCTTCAAGAAATCGCCATGTCGTCCATGATCCCTCTTATATAACGATACTACGCGGCATGTGTGAGGCTGAAGGGAGTCTCGAACTCAAATTTGCAACAAGACTCACACCCTCTCTATACATCTATATAATACCCAACAGTCGACACGGTCCTCTGCTTCTGTCAAGTATATGCCATGTAAGGCATTACGAAAAATAAGAGGTGGATTTCCTCTATATATCCATATGGATGTGAGGGGTATACTTATCGGCTCTCTAGGTGCCTACCTACTAGGTACACATTACGAAGGGTTCCATGAGAGGAGGAAAGTGGAGGAATATTTTTTGGACTCGTTGGCAAAGAGGTTATTCCCGTCTCCGGATAGGGATTCCCTTCTATGCCGTATTGTACCCATAGTTTAATTTCGCGGGTCTTTTTTTACTCTTCTGGTTCTTTTCCTTGATGTGACGTGACTTGATTTGCTGTGCCTGGGTGTCTTTTACAAAGTTGTGCTACATCGTGCCTAATAATTTGGAGTGTTCATGGAGTTCATGGCTGGGCTATCTCAGTGTTCGGGTACCTCAATGAGTGGAAGTTTCGTTCGTGCTTTTGACCTCGTTTTTTTATGCTCCGAATCCTCTGGAAGTCCCTCGTATTGATGATACCTACCCAATCAACTGCTGAATACAATGCATCACGATACTATCAGAAGCGCCTACCTATCTACATAGCCCCACGTCATCACCATACCTCGTAGAACTAAACGCCTGAGCCCCCTGACTCCCGAATTGTTCATCTGCGTCTACAGGATAGTAATATGCACGTAGCTACCAATGAGCCCTACGTATATTAATGCTGATTAAATACTTAATGATATGCGTATGACTAAGCACAGAGTAGACATTGATTATTAGTTATTCTAGACTGATGGTATTATATCGAACTAGGCAGGAACGTGCTATCAGCGCCTTCCTGTTACCATGGAAATATCTAAAAAAAAAAATTCATCTGCCCCTCTTCAAGTTGTGCGTCAACATGCCCTACCCTACCCTCGGTACCTAAGGTTGATGCATCGTTGCTGCCGCTGTTTCTTTAAACCTTTTGCTGGCCCACTTATGAGCAACTTTGACAGGAGGGGTTTATAAACTTGGAAGGAGCGAACTCTAATAAAGCAGGAGGAAAGAACGGCAAACGAGTATCTTATCATCAGTTTTGATGCCTGAAGCAAGCTCGAAGCGAGTTAAATACAGGGCTTAGGCAGTGGATGGATACAGCAAGATTAAGGGCTCATTTAGGCCCAGGACAGAGGGGTTGCCAACATATACCTAAGTTGGTATAATAGCATAATTTTCTCCTTTCTAACAATAAACACACAAGCCTGCTGTTACATTGAGACCTACAACACCTCCAACTAATACCTCCTAACAAACTCCCCCATCTTCGCCGCGACCCCCCACGCGCTTTCCTCGAACCCGAACGCATTGCCGAGCATCAGCGTATCATGGCACGCCGCCTCTTCATAGTGCAGCTCCACCACATTCCCCCCCTCCTCCTCCTCCTCCTGCTCTCCCATCTCCTCCGCCCAGCGCGCGATATCCGGCGCAAAGACCTCCGCCGCGCCAGCATTGACGAAGATGGGCACCGGTGCGGGGAACGGGTTACCTAGCGGCGTGATATACGGGTGATATTCAGATTTCGGGTTGGCGGCGAAGCGTCCGGCGTACGCATTGGCGCCCCATTTCAGAAACGCCGTCGGGACCCAGTCTGTCCGCCAGTTTGGCGTGCGCGGCAGGGCATCGTATGTCAACGGCGTGACCCACGGCGAGACCAGCGCCGCGCACCTCGGCACCGGGATCCCGAGCTCGGCGCCAAACTCGTGGAGGTACCGCAGCAGCGCGATGGCGAGGTTCCCGCCGGCGCTGTCCCCCGAGACGACGATCTGCCGCGCCGGGATCTGGAGGTCCTCGAGCAGGAACAGGTAGCTCGTCAGCGTGTCCTGCAGGGCTGCGGGGAAGGGGTCGCGGTTGGAGTAGCCGGCGAGCCGGTATTGCAGCGCGAAGACGGCGTCGGCGCCGCCGTGCTCGAGCCAGCTTTTGGTCGCGAACCCGGTCTCCCCCGGTCGGCCGTCCCCGAGGACGAACGCGCCACCGTGGAGGTAGAGGACTACTAGTTTCGAAGCGATGTCTGCGGCGGGAACATCCGGGTACCAGGTTCCCCCCACGGTCGCGGGCTTAACGTCGTTGGATTCCAGTGGCCCTATATATCGGTCCGGGGACCGTGGCTTGATGACCTGGAACCGGTCCCCTTCTTTCCCGCCTTCTATGGAGAGCGGCAGTGTGATGGAGATGCGCGAGCTCATGCCAATAATCGCATGCATGAGGTGTACCGTGAACGTCTGTTTGGCGGTCCATTTTGGGTGTGGCCTGAGAGGTCGGATGAGTGCAATCGCAGCCCAGAAGGGAAGACGGACGACGATCGTTCCGACGGATGCCAATTGGAACAGAAGCCTGAACGGTTGGTATGATACGAGTGGATGTGAGTTCTTGTTGGCCATCTCTGAAGGCACGCAGAAACCGCGTGGTATGTAATAGCTGGGAATTAGATAAGTAGGTAAGTAGGTAAGTAGGCAGCTGAGTGGTGATGCTATTGCCTAGGTAAAACTGCTGCCCGGGTCAAGGTATACCCCACTGATGTGCAAAGACAGGAACGAAGATGCTGGCAGATGGCGTTCTTCGTCAAGACGCCTTCAAAAGATATTCTCGGCATTTACTACCAAACGAGATATTTGTACTACCCTAATCAGAAACAGCCCTCCCGCCTCTAGAAAATGGACGTGATGATAAGGGATGCCGTGGATTATCTTCACGTGTTGGCCAGTTCCTCCCTACCCGAGTAGCTGGGGTTCAAAGCCATGATAACCTTGGTATACATGGGTTAACTCTTGGTTTAGAGAATGGGTGAATGTGTTCATTCCAAGTGCCGACCCGGCTGGTCAGGAAACTAGACCAGGTACTAGGTTAGGTAAATACAATCTGCACCAGCCCGGTCTCTCCTCATTTTTAGTAGCTCGGCGATGCTGGTAAGATTACTCCAAGTCATGTTACATATTCGTGCTGATAAAAAAAAAAGAAAAACGCCTCTTGTGCTTATCGGATCCATTTGGCGTGTTTTGTGTGAGACAAGAATTGAGCGGGATATCGACTTTTTGAAATAGGGAATTTGACGAAATGTGAGGAAATGTCAATGAATATTGACAATCTAATGTCTATACAAGGCGCATGGTAATGGTTACCAGGGAGGTTGCAAGCTAAGGGAATCGGGACGTCCAGACGGCTAAGGAGAATTGAATTGGCACGTGGCAGCTGTCCGCAGATGTTTCACAGCTGTCGACGATCTGGCTGCTTTAGTTCAGGTCTCATGTCTTTAACAACACACACTCTCACAACCTCGATGCTTAGGTAGGTAGGTATACCATGAACAGCCGGTCACAAGATTTGAGCAAAAGGCATGGGGAAAAATGTGAATATCACGCCAGTGAGCATGAGTTTGTTAACGAAAGGGTTTTTACAAGCAAGAGCTCTTCTATCTTCTCGGCTCTCTATAACTAAAGCATGTATCTGAAGGGAATGACAATAATACTAACACCCAGGTAGCTAGTTATGCAACATTGAACATTTAACGAAGTACTATTGATACCACAGTACAATAGAACAGGTAAGACAGAAGTGCCCATCATAGACTTCTCCTTTTTTCGAAAAAGAAAAAAATTTAAGCATGAAAGACTATCGACCGCAGAGTGATGATGATGATGATGATACCCGGCTCCCAAATGGCTGAGACATCGTGATGCCTAGTGTACTTACCTGCCAGCTAGCTAGGTACCTACCCACCTACCTACCTACCTAAGATCCTGATAAAGTTATTATTATTATTTTTTGGTCAATTCCATTAACTACTCGTCTAGACACCTGATAAATGCCGTCTCCCTCTTAACAACCACCCCGTCCCGTAAATATCATATACCTACCTACTACTCCTGTCTCTTCCCTCGCCATCATCATCATCATCAGCATAGTCGTGATCCTCGTCCTCGCAATCCCCCGGCTATTATACCGGCTATCAAGATAGGTACGTACATACCTACCGCCCCACCATTCCCCAGCAAAAAAAGAACAAAAAAACTGGTCTGAGCTGCAGCTATGTACAATGTATCGTACAGCTTTTACACCCCTTACCCCCTTCTGGCGGATAGTCAGTCAGGACGTTGGTGAAATCATTCCTTCCTTCCTTCCTTCCGGGACGTGTGGGTAGGCGGCGCGGAGGGGGAGGGGGAGTAGGATGAAACGAAGTGAGGATTTCTTTTCTTGGGTTGGGGGTGGGACGGTTGAGCTGGGTATCGGTGGTGTCTCCCCCCCCCCCCCCCCCTCCCCAATGATGGGGCGGTAAGGTAGGCTACTTTGTGAGCTGTGATATAGTTAACTACCTATATAGATAGGGGGACAATACTCGTTTCCCCAAGAGACATCCCCCATTGATTGTAATACTGTACTGTACGTACGTACGATGCTCAGCCCACCGAAAGTGACGTGCATGTTTTGCACATACATATGTAACTAACTTACATCGCGAGGCTCCGTGCCGCAACCAGGTAAAGAAGAAGAGCGGATCGATTTAACTACATAGGTTACCTAGATCTCCAGAGAGGCCCCATCGATCTTCTTGGCGTGGAGATGGGGATGTTTCCACCGCCTGATAACTATATCGGAGTGCGGAGCCGAGACGGAAAAGGGGGGGGGGCATTGATAGGTTGTACCTATATACGTGTAGAAAGGCCTCGCTGAAGTTTGCAATGGGTGGTGGATGGGTGAATGCTAGCATAAATAAACCTTCGCAACGGGCGACTAGACATTGTCATGTAGGTATCAGATCTGGGCCTCTTTGACATTTTGTATACAATCCACCTTATCATGGTAATATACCAAATAATTTCATGGAAAATAGACATAGGTAGATAGGCATATGACTAACAGACGGGCTTAACTTACCTATATGGGTGAGTCAACCATCTATCTCGTTAAGCACTGTGGCAAGGTTTCATATACTGTCTTCCATTGCGCATCACTCGACGACCATTCGTGCTCGCCGTATATGCCATTCTCCATACCACTACATATGTAGGTATTCCGACCTGCTGTTACTTGTATGTTCTTTTATTTTTGGGGGAGTTGCTCTTGATCGTGTTGTACGAGCAAGTGGTATATACAATGCGAGGCTGTACAGACTGCACCACTCGCTATATACCTACCTGCCTAGGTAGGTAAGCGGGTATGTATACCGTATTCCGGGACTCTCGTAAAGCAAGCAAGCAAGCAAGCAAGCAGTATGCCCATCAACCCAGTCCACTCACCATACCAGACTCACGCCCATCCATCCATCCACCTCACCACCCTCACCTAGGCACAGCCTTCTCGACCCAAAACCCCTTCTCCGGCCTCCTCTCGTCCCTGAGCTCCTTATTCGACAACGCGCGGTCGACCTCCGACACCTTGACCAGCTCCTTCACCTTGAGTATCATACCCGCCGACTGCGGAGACACGAGGTGAAACACGGTCTGGGAGCGCTTGCGCAGGCCGAGGGCCGCCAGGACACCTTTGGTGCGCTCGGGGAGGCCGATGGCGGAGCGGTGGAGGGTTACGCGGAAGAAGGATGACATTTTTCGTTGGCTTTTATTTTATAAAATATTTTCCCCCAGGGGGTTTTTTTTTGCCTCCTTCGCCCCCTTCTCTAATCGTTTGGTTTGGTTCCCTGGCGCTCGGAATGCGCTGTGCTGTGGTGTGTGGGCTAAAAGTCTATGTCGATATCGAAAAACCGACTCGGCTGGTAGGCAAGTATGTACCTAACCTAGTAGACTGCGATGCGACTCAATTAGATAGCTGCCATAACATTGAAATAGCAAGAAATGTCAAATGTATAGGTAGGTAAGATGAAGGTCATTGGAAAGAAGGGCATGTGTGCGACATACCGACTACTCAACTGAGTGTTTGTTGAACTGATTGAAGTCTTTCAACGTTGGTTTAATTCTTTCCTATTTTTTGTTTTTTGCTACTAAATTGAACTTTTTGGACCTGTACTGCTAGTAGGTACTGTAGTACGTCAATTCATATTTAAGTGGGTCTTTGCGAGGGATTTCCGAGCTTACATAATACATCGTGCAAATACCTTATCTAATCTTCTCTTTACTCCTTTTCAAGGGACTTTGCAAGTTTGGATATCTACGTTACATTCACATAGGCCTTGGTAGCCAGCAGCATAACATCAAAAAGACAAGTTGAATTTATTTACCATCATTTTCATAAGTCTATTGTCTAGATTTCCGAACCCGAGGCAATGGAAATACTAGTTTAGTTACCACCCCTTGCGTTTGGTATCACGCTCAAAACATGTCCCGGCCCAGGTCTGTTGAACTCGATGTGAAATCTTCTCATACAAATCTGTCCCTGACAGCTACAACTTTCAAGGTTGCCTCATCGACTCCACCCTGGCGATTATAATCTTATTTCCTCCACTCTCTCTAGCGGAAGAAAAAATTATGTGTAGCCTCTAAGCAAGTTTCAAATGCATCCGCCGTCTATCTATTTCATGGCAACCTCCACTCTGCTCTCACCCACAGGTCCCGTTTGGGCCAGGGTAGGGAGCAGGTACGTAATGTCATCCCAAGGATGTCTGTATAGACTTGTGCGCAGTCTCTTCTGGTCTAGGTAATGTGCGATCAGACCGATGCTTCGGCCCAGGACGAAGAGACCGTTTAGGACTCCCATCTTCATGTAATCCTCAGCCTCCTCGGGGCTGAACGCACCACAGCTCCTCATCAGATCCACAAAGCAGACAGCGACACAGCCGTCAACGTTGAGGATGAGGTTGTCCTTCTTCGACGTCGTCACCGTCTCAACGGCCAACGCGTAATCTAGAAGCTTGTGGCTGGGGAATCTGGCCAACACGTATTCCTTGACAAGTTCTACACGGAGATCAGGGTTGTTACGCGACTTGATGCGGTGACCAATACCCGGGATGAGCTTGTTCTGCTTGCGCATAGTGTCTACGAACTCACGAGGGCTGAGGCCGTTGTCAGCAGCCTTGCTGAACTCCTCAGCCGCACCGTCCAAGGCACCACCGAATCGAGAACCAATAGTAAGAAGACCAGAGACCAGGGAGCTGATGAGATCCTTGCCTGCACGAGTAGTGATGATGGTGTTCATGGCACCCGAGACAGCCGGGCCGTGATCGGCAGTGAGCATAAGAACCATCTCCAAGAACTTAGAGGCGTAGTCGGGTAGACGACGGCGGAACCAAAGAAGAGACATGACACCACCAATGCCAATGTCTTCCCTGAACACATCGGAGATGGGCATGCCGGCGTAGAGAAGCTCCTGGCCACGGTCGTCGGAGATGGTAGAGATAAAGGCAGCAGGTTTTCGGATGAGGCCAAGCTCCTGCGCCCACGAGTAGTCGATGGGAATCTTGGGGACGACAGGCTCAGGCTGGGGAACAATGACCTTCTCGCTGACGAGCTTCTCGTAGACAGTCTTGACGACCTGGGGTAGGTCCTCAAAGGTGTCGGGAACGTGGAAACCGGCCTCCTTCATCATCTTGTTCTTCATCGCAGCTGTCTCAAGTTGCGAGTTGGCAAAAGATCCAGCGTGACCAAACTGAACCTCCGTCTTGAACATGCTTGCGCAAGTACCAATAGCCCATGCAATGACAGGCTTGGTAATGATACCCTGCTTCACGGCATCAATGACCTTGTACTCCTCGACACCACCTACTTCACCTAGTAGTAGCAGTATCTTGCAGTCGGGGTCTTGCTGATATCGTAGCATGTGGTCAATGAAGGTGGTGCCCGGATATCTGTCACCACCAATGGCAATACCCTCGTAGACACCGTCGGTGTTCTGCGAGACGATGTTGTTCAGCTCGTTGGACATACCACCCGACTTGGAAACGTAGCCAACGGAACCCTTGCGGTAAAGCTTGGAGGCGACAATGTTGTCCATCATACCACCGGTGTTGCCGATCTTGAAGCTGCCAGGCTTGATACCACCAACGGTGGCGGGGCCAATAATGGTGACACCCTTCTGGCGCGCAACATGGGCGATTTCTCGTGCACGCTATTCATTGCAAATGTCAGTTACACTTATACATAATACGAAGTACTCTTGTGGGCTTGCTTACTCGTTCTGGCACACCCTCGGCAATGATAGCGATGGTCTTAATTTGAGGGAATTGCATCAGCTCCATCGTGGAGGAGTAGACACTTCGCGAGGAGGCGAAGTTGACTACAACGTCGACATCGGGGTGCTTGGCCACGGCCTTGGCCGTCTCCTGGTAAACTGGGAGTAGGGTCTCGCTAGTTCCCCAGTACATCTTACTGACGAACTGACCACCGAAGGTATAGATGATGCCAGCAACCGAGGGTGTAGGTCGCTTGCAAATGAAGTCGAAATCAAGCATGCCCTGCACTGCTCGGTTCTGGAGGCCGTAGACAAAGCATCTTGTCTTGTTGTTGAATAGGGCGTGTGAGGGGAGAGGGCTTAGAGGTCGGCTAGGAGCAGCGAAGCGGGTGATGTTGTCGTTAGCAGACAGTCCACCATTCGCGGCGCCAGTGGCACCGGTAGCGGCAGTGGAAGACATTGTGATCGCGTGGGTTTCAAAGAGTTCCTCTTCTCTATAATTGATGGAAAAAGTTAGTCGGGGAGTATTGCTAATATACTACTTTCAAGCCACTTCGTCCAAAACCCTTAGATATCTCAACCATATACAAACTACGTATATCCACCAAGACGAGGAATTTTGTCGTGATTTTCTAGGAGGGGCAACTTGTTTTGTGGTAAGAATAAAACACGTACCTCAGCTAAGATTGAAATAGTTCTGAATTTGGACAATTCTCTCTTGAACTCTCCTTGCACTGAATACTGCAAAGATTGTTAGATCAAATTGCAGTTGCAAGAATTAATAAGAATTAATCCTAAGTATGAAGGAGGCTAGCTCGAGAAGATGGGAATAGGAATTGGTAGTGTGTAGTGGGAGAGAAGGGGGGGGATTTTTTGGGTCGGTGAGCTTTGACGACAACTGGGATTATTTTCCTCAGGTGAGGAATTACTTAGTAGAAATTGAGTGCAGTTTAATCGATGCAGGGACCCACAATGTAAGTAGAAAGCTTCGTGCCTGCAGTTGCAGTTGGTGGGTAGGTAGGGTTGGGTTGAGAAAGGGAAGACAGGACAAGAAATAGGCCGTGCACTACCGGTTTTAGTACATGGTACCTCGATTGGGGTGAATTCCGAGGGGACGATAAAATACAACGAACATTGTATCTATAACGGTGATAGCTTCAAATAGTAAAGTGCACTTACCTAGGTCCTATAGAAACGAGAAACTCTCTCTCTCCTTTTTTCGATTCTAAGAGCCAAAATAATAAGAGATGAAGATGAAGATGAAAATAATAATGTCAAACTTGAAATTGTGTGGTTGCTGTCGCGACCAAAAGAGTCCACAAAGATTGTCCGGCGAGAAAGAAAAAAAACCGTGAGAGGTCTCGATCGGATTAGTTGGGGTAAATTTTTTAAGAAGTTGTTGAATTGAATCGGATCCCTTTTTTTCTTTACAAGCGCCGCTGGGATAATAGTAGCTATTCTTCTTCGCTGGTCCAATTGTAGTGCTGTTTTTGGCTTTCACTTGCCAGTATAGCCCTGGCAAATCCTTGTGTGATCCTGCTTATGTTGGCGACTGGGGGGGTTTGATGGTTGGGCATAGCTGCTGAGACCACCCCACCTTACCATCGATGTATCCTAGCTGGTGCTTGCGTCCCCGGTACGATTGAGAAGCCTCCATATTTCTTAAGGTTAGGTACCGGTACCTCTGACCTTAACAGGACCTGGCCCGATGGCCATACATGTACTCACTCAAGAGTTAAGGCGGGCTTATTCATCTCACCTCATCATCTTCCTTCAAGTTTCAACATCCAAGACCGAGTAAATTAATTTTCCGTTTACTCTCTCCATAATTAGAATAATTCCAGGCATAACTCATATATCACTGATATATCACTGATATATCAGATGACACTCAAGAAAAGTATAAGGCATGCGAACCATGAAGCCATCGTTAACGATGATTGAGAATACATAATGAAACAGGCGTAGTCTCCCCCTTCACTTGAATGGGATCTACTACATCCCTCACTTCTCGCTGATCAGCCAATCCCTATCCGGAGAATAATATCTACCTAGTAGTATTCTTGGATATTGGCCTCTCTTTTGCCGGATACTCCCCAATAACTAACTCCGGGTTAGGTAATAAGCAGACGGATGTCTCGCCTTGTACCACACCCCAAAGTCAGCCAAGACAGAGAGCATGAAAACCCGCACCATGAATTACTCCGTACTCTGAGCTGAAGCCTAGGCGAAAGGAGTAAAGTATGCCTTGTACCTATTGGCAATAGGATCTTGGATGCTGGAGCATTATTCGTCTTCCTTCACCCGTCGCTTACTTGATCCTTGGATTCGAAGCCCGAGTCATAAGCCCCGATCTGCCAATGGTAAACGAAGGTCGGGTTCGGTATTCGATCGGAGAGAGTAGTATCATACCGGAGACCAGCAGTGTTGATACTACCTCCATAGTGGTATAGTAGGATTTTATGAAAATAGTAAAAGCCGGCCGGGAGTATTCTAAAAATGTCAGCCTTAATATGGGATTCTCCAATGGGAAATCATGTGTAAGACTTTTCGGCGTAGCAGGTTCGAGATCGTGCCTAGGTGGTGTAGGTAGGCGGGCAGGCTGGTGGTGCTAGGTGGTGTATGTACCTGCTGGGTAGGAACGGCATGCACCTGATAGAGTAAAACCCGAGCTCATTGGCCGACTTCAGATTGTTAACCAGCTAAGTACCAAGTTGTATGTACAACATCGAAAGAGGGAAGTGGCGGTGGCTGTTGGTGTTGGGGTACCGGTACTAGCTCCTCTCCGGTTGTTAGCGGGGACGTTTGTATCTATTAGATAGCCCCAATGGTTTTGGCGTGATAGCGTCTCCGCGTCTGAATCCAAGTACCCACTCGCACCCGCCAGGTAGAAACCCCTGGCAGAGTTTAGTTTTAGTTGGGTACAATTGATATTCAAAGGGTCCGGGCTCGAGAAAGAGCGAAAAAAAAAGAGGGTACAGAACTTCTGGTGGGAGCTTCGCACCGGCACCGCTAACGCACCGTTTACTGCACAAGATTTTCGAAGTTGAATCAATCTTTCAATTGCTTGCCAACACCGTCACTTTTGCAATCCACACCTCCCAATTCTCACTAAACCACTTGGTCGCATCGTGACTTTGGAGAAAAATATATCAAACAGACTTGAGATAATATCAATTGCGACGAGGTAAGAGGAAAACGAAGACAACTTTGGCTTCATTTATCAGTTCCCCTCATATTTCCCCCTCCGTCCCCGTCTATTTTTTTATTATTTTTTTGTGGAATTGGGTGTTGGGTATTAGGAGAGAGGGAGAGGGATCAACTTGCAACTTGCAACTGGCACCAAACCTTTCCTGAATAAGTCCCTTCTTTCAACTTTAAAGCTTGGGACAATTTCCATGCTCCCCATCTCTTCTGTTACCTTCCACTCTTCTGATCCAAACTCAGAATCATAGACACCAATAGAAAGAGGGGAATCATCACAGCAGTTGCTAATATTCCCAATTTAATAGAAACGATCAACACGGTTGTGAATACGACAAAGTTGAAAAACATCACATACCTTTTTAACGCATAACTCGTTTCCCTCGTCATCATGTCTGCCAAAGCCATTTTCGAGGCCGACGGCAAGGCCATCGTGAACTACCATCTCACTCGTGCTCCTGTTATCAAGCCGAGTCCTCTCCCCAAGCCGACCACACACAACCCTCCGCCGAGGTTGGCCTCGCTGTACTTCCCCGAGGATGCTGATGTCAACGCGGTGCTTGACCAGGCCGAGGTCACCTACCCGTGGCTGCTCCACGGCGACGCCAAGTTCGTTGCGAAGCCTGATCAACTGATCAAGAGACGAGGCAAGAGTGGTCTTCTAGCCCTCAACAAGTCCTGGTCGGATGCGAAGGCATGGATTGCTGAACGTGCTGGCAAGGTGCAGAAGGTTGAGCACACTGAGGGTGTTCTGCGCCAGTTCCTCGTTGAGCCTTTCGTACCTCACCCAGACGGCACCGAGTACTACATCAACATCAACTCGGTTCGAGATGTAAGTGCATTGTTCCTTTATAAACAATTTGCGCCTCTTATTTTATGGCCGATGCTCTCCATCGGCTCCAATTATTTGAAAGCGGTCAGCGAATGCATAACATAGTAAACATGAAATCCTGGGGATGATAATGTTGGGCATGACACAGATCCAGATCCGAAGTCTGATGACAAAGGGATGGAGAATGCAGTGTGTTCACCGAAACAAGAATCTTGGGGGGGAAGGAATAATTGTGTTTTTCTACAACTATGTGCGCACCAAGTGGTGGTACCGCCGCACTCTTTATTTGATTCGGAAATTCAAGACCGAGCCGGCGGCGCGTACGGGCGAACGGAGACTAAACTACATGCATTCCTGTTGCATCCACTTCATCTAACTTCCGCAATCCCTCCAAACAATATTTCCTAGCCTTGTTCGCATATGTCAAACCCCCCTTTCTACTTATCAGCAACCAATCATTTATGATCTACACTTCGATTACTAACTCTTTTGCGAATAGGGCGATTGGATTCTCTTCACTCACGAAGGTGGTGTTGATGTTGGTGATGTCGATGCCAAGGCAGAGAAGCTTCTTATCCCTGTGGATCTCTCGCAATATCCTTCAAACGAGGAGATTGCTAGCACTCTCTTGAAGAAGGTTCCCAAGGGTGTCCACAATGTTTTGGTTGACTTCATCACCCGCCTGTACGCTGTCTACGTCGATTGCCAGTTCACCTACCTTGAGATCAACCCATTAGTCGTTGTTCCCAATGCTGATGCTACATCTGCCGATGTCTACTTCCTCGATCTTGCTGCCAAGCTGGATCAGACCGCTGACTTCGAATGTGGTGTAAAATGGGCTATCGCGCGATCACCCGCCAACCTAGGAGTTGCGGCCGTCTCAAGTGCCGGCGACAAGGTCAATGTTGACGCCGGACCTCCTATGGAGTTCCCTGCGCCGTTTGGCCGTGAGCTTACGAAGGAAGAGGCTTACATCGCTGAACTCGATGCTAAGACTGGTGCTTCCCTAAAGCTCACCGTACTAAACCCCAACGGCCGTATTTGGACCCTAGTTGCTGGTGGTGGTGCTTCCGTTGTCTACGCCGATGCCATTGCCTCTGCAGGTTTTGCCGATGATCTGGCGAACTACGGTGAATACTCGGGTGCTCCCACCGAATCTCAGACCTACTACTATGCGCGAACTGTTCTAGACCTTATGCTACGCGCGCCCACGGACTCCAAGGGCAAGGTTCTCTTCATCGGTGGCGGTATCGCTAACTTCACAAACGTTGCTTCCACATTTAAGGGTGTCATCCGGGCTCTCCGCGAATATGCCAAGGCCCTCAACGAGCACAACGTCCAAATCTGGGTGCGTCGCGCTGGTCCTAACTACCAAGAAGGTCTCAAGAACATGAAGGCTGCGACACAGGAGCTTGGCCTAAATGCCAAGATCTTCGGCCCTGAGATGCACGTCTCCGGCATTGTACCTCTTGCGCTCATCCCCGGCCGATGGGAATCAAGTAACGTGCAGGAATTCCAAGCATAAATGTAGCTAGGAGTGTTTGAATGAAAGATCCCCCTCTGATTTCTATATATAAAGAACGTGCAGATGATCGATATGACAGCATGGCTTGTAAGGGATTATCTAGGTTCGGTTAAGTGCCTACGCTTTGGAGGTAGAGCTTCGGATCCAGTTAACCTAGATTCGAATAATTCGAAATTATCATGATGGTCTGGGGAGTGGCTAGTTGTAACTAGGTATCTAGTTAGCTATAGAGGCGTCTTCAGGAACAAAACCGACAATAGACTGGTTAAATTTCCACTAAGGACATGCTTTGTGTACCACGTATCATTCAGTTCGTTATAGACTTGCTCTCTCTCTCTCTTGTAAAGTGTCGTTGATGTAGCTGATGGGATTTGTGTATGTATGCATTTTATCCTTTTCTATCCTGCCTGTCCTTCGTATTCCCTATCTGTTAGGGATTCCTGAGTTGGCTAAGATAATAACAAGTAACCTAGAATACACACGTCTCCCACTCCTCAGCTTCTACTACCACCCCCCAGGGCTAGATAAAGCAAAAGAGAAGAACAAACAGCATGTCCAGACATCGATAATCAATGGCTAGGTAGGTATATCTTGTACCAGCTTCTGTCCGACACTCCTGTTCCTATGCCTAGGTACATAGGTAGCGACAACTAACCAGGTAGGCAGATACCCAAGTAAGTAGGTAGCTTATTAGGTAACGCAAACACCAAACTAAAACATTAATATAACCCAACTATCATTACGCCCATCGCAATCGTAATCGCAGTACTAGTACAAGTACCTAACACGAATCTAGCCTCGACACCAGACTCCGCATCGTCGTCTGGAGAATTAGGGGTTCCGGCGTCGCCCGTCGCAGCGGGGGGCTGCAGCAACAACGACGAAGACGAAGAGGGGTCCGTAGGGGTGGTATCGGTGTCATTATCACCAGGCGACTTCTGCGGAACATTCAAGCACGAGGTTTCCGCGCCGGGGGTGCTGGCGCCGACTTCTCTGCCGAGGTTCGCGACGACGGCTTCCGTGTCCTGGAGCGAGAATGTCGCGGTGCCGTCGTTGGCGATGCGGACTGTGTTTTCGGAGGAGGAGACCTGTGCTGGCGTGCCGTCGCCGCTCTGCTCGAAGCTGATCCCGTTCCACGTCGTGTTGGCGGTCGCGTCCGCGCCGGCGTTCGTCAGGTACGCTAGGTACAGCGTCTGCCCTGCGGTGGAAGGTGGGAGCTGGAGTTGTACGGTGATGCGGCCCCTTTGTTTCTGTGGCTGCGACCCCGGCGCGCTGTTGCTGTTGCTGTTGCTGTTGCTGCTGCTGCTGTTGAACACCTTGCCGTTGACAACAACCAGCGTCGCGAGCGCCTGCTGCTGATACACCGCGTACGCGCGCACGAAGTCACCGTACCCGTCGGGCACCTGGGGTACCGGGTACTGCGCGACGCGCGCAGCGCACGAGGGGCCGATCGCCTGGTCGAATGCCACGATGCCATAGTACAGCGGGCGCACGTGCGCCGGCCGGCCGTACATGGCGACGGGCTGCCACGCGCTCGCGTTCGAGTTGTCCGTCATGTGGAAGCCGATGCCCGCGATGCCGAGGCTCGCCGTGTACAGCAGGAAGTTGAGCGTCCACAGCGCCGCGCCGAAGACGTTGGTCACGCCCTCGAGCCCGATCGGCCCGACCACCCCCATCTCGCGCAGAGCGTACGGGTACGGGGTTCGTTGTGCCTGCTGCACTTGCTCGGTCCACGCGGCGAATTGGTCTTCGGTCGTGGAGAGCTGGAGCAGGTGGGAGAGCGAGACGGGGTACCCCGAGACGCCGATGTAGTAGTAGTAGTCGTGCTGGTTCCAGCCGCTGAGGTACGATGGGGCGGTGCAGATGTCGAAGCCCAGGAGGTCTGAGATCTGGAAGTCGGTGCCGATCGTGGAGGCGGTGGCGGCGGCTTCGAAGAAGTTGCTCGGCAGGCCGTGGGGCTGCAGCACTTGCGAGTGGATGGCGGAGGCACGCGAAAGCCATTGCTGCGTGTAGATCTGCCCGCCCCACGGGCCGGTGCGGAAGCCGTTTTGCAGGTAGAGATCCGGCTCGTTGCCGATCTCGAAGGATGTGATCTTCAGGTTCGGGCAGTTTGTTAGGGCCTGCTTGGCCATTGTCGTGATTTGTTTAATGTGATCATCTTGATCGTATGCTAGATTCAACCCCCAGGTCACGGTGGTGCCGTTCGGCAGACGGTTCGCGGCCTCGAAGAAGCGAGGGCCGATGAGCATGCTGTCCTGTTTATTTGCCCCATGCTCGAAGGCGTTGTCGTTGTTAATCCATGTCCATTGGTTCTGGTCCTCGCGATAGACCATGTAGTCCTGGGTGTTCCCGCCAATACGAATATGAGGCGGCTTTCCCGTGTAGTTCGCGAGGTTGTTGAGGAGGTTCAGAGTGAAGGTATTGGGGTCCGCGGCGCCCATGAAGGAGAAAAGGTTGGAAGGTTCTATGCCGAAGCCTGCAAACGAAGGATCTATTGGCTTGGAAATGCCTGGGGGAGGGTTCAACGAAGGTTTAAGTCGTATGACGTTATCTGCTGCAGGAGATGCAGATGCAGCATAAGACAAGGAGGAGAATAATCCAAGCGAAAGGAAGATTAACTCCATGATTTCGGTATCCTATGCATGAAGGGAATGCAATGCCAAAAGCAAAAAGTGAATGAAAAAGGCAAAATTTTACCAAAAATGTGGAAAGAGAAGGAGAGGGAGGAATTAAAGAAAGGAAGACAAATGGGTACTATAAGACAGATAGACAGACGCCTGAGGTTACCAGCACATTTTACGCCAAACATGTCAAGGTGATGCAGAAGAACCGAAAATCACAAGTCAAAATTTGGTGAGAGGTGCACCTGCTACCACTTGCTTCAATGACGCATGTGAAATCGTGACATGGATTCCCATTCATGGAGATGAAGTGTAACTTTCAGGAAAATGCTTGTTGGTACAGGTGGATGGTCAAGTGCACCTGCATTTGCAGAATCATCGTGCTTGAGTACCTACTGCTTTCTTCTGCTTGGCCTGAGACCTGGGGAGAAAAACCTGATAGGCTTAATGCTTTAGACATGTTGAATATCTTCAACCTCGTCGGAAAATAAACCTCTTGAATGACTATTATCACACTCTACCAAGTTGAAATGTGACTCTCAGTCGTAATTCTGAATACCACTCGGTTGCGAATTATATCCAATGACTACCTACAAAAGGCAAATAAGCACCAATCTCTCCAATAATGAACGCAAATATATAGGTAGTTATTATCATTGGAGTTTTTAGGCTAAGTTTGCACGCATAAATCTCAAAAGCACTATTCCCCCCTATTAGGTATCGATGATAGAATTCAGGGGTAAGATTACTTAAGCACCAACAATGATTTTTGCATCAAACAGTATTTTATATTCTAGAAAATTGGAAAGTATAACTGCCTTCCGTACTAATCGTAGACCGTAGAAAACGTACGAGTTTTCAATCTCTTTCGGATACTTCAGCAACGGCTGAAGCCCTTTAGGTTGCCATAGAGCTGCTACAAGCCTCTAAATAGCATGTGTTGAGCTTAACCAATTAATCATCAATGACGCTATTTGGATTCAAGCTTATGATTCGTCCGATCTTCTCGGGGTTGGCATCTGCTAAGTTGGTAAGCCAAAGCGGGCAAGAAGAGAGAGTCCTAAGATTAATTAACCTGCTAGGCATCACCACCCCGCAGGACGCATCTTCTATTCTAGACGCAACCTACCAGATACTTTCACACACTTTATAAAGACGCATAGACATCTCAGTTCCATCATGGATTATGGCCAAACGAAGCCAGTGCATGCTGGCCCGGAAGATGGTTGGCATGGAGTGATAGGACCGGGATCACGGTTCCCTCCAGAGTCCGGCCGGTATCACCTATACATCGGCTATTTCTGTCCCTTTGCACATAGAGCCAACTTGGTACGTGTGCTGAAAGGGCTCGAGTCTGCAATTGATATTTCGGTCGTGAAGGCCTATCCCAAAGGAGAAGCTGGCTGGTCCTTTCCTGGGGCTAACGGACCTGACGACACATACGAAGATTCAACTCCCGATAAACTCTTTGGGTCCAAGTACCTGCATGAAGTCTACTTCCGTGCGGATGAAAACTACAAAGGCCGGTACAGCGTTCCGATGCTTTGGGACATTAAGGATGGAACCATCGTGAATAACGAGAGTCTAGAGATGTTGCGATGGCTGCAAACAGGGTTCAATGGCATACTACCCAGGGGTAGCCTGCAGAGGGAGCTTACCCTGTATCCGAAGCATCTACGGGCGGAGATTGACGAAGTCAGTAAATGGCTGACTCGCGATCTCAATTCCGGTGTCTACAAGGCAGGCTTCGCGCGAGATCAAGCTGCCTATGAGGAAGGCGTGATACCCGTCTTTGCGGCGCTGAACCAGCTGGAACAATTGATCCACAAGAATGGCGGGCCGTACGTTCTCGGAGAAGAGCTCACGGAGCTGGATATCCTGGCTTACCCGACCGTGATCCGATTCGATGTTGTCTACGTGCAGCACTTCAAGTGCAATTTGGGCACCATCCGGGGTAACTATCCCGTTATACACGAGTGGCTGAAGAACCTGTACTGGAACGTCGAGGGTTTCCGCAAGACCACCAACTTCAAGCACATCAAAGAAAACGTAAGTGTAGTAATCATCGTCGCATCGAAATAGGTAGGCGTCGCGTTTCGTTTGCTAATCTTCGAGTAGTATACTAAGAGTCACTCCGACATTAATCCGCTTGCGATAACACCACTAGGCCCTTTCCCAGACATCGAGGATAGTGTCAATCTAGATTTCGGCCATATCAGACCCGGAGTTGTAGCTCACCCTGCTGTGCTTGAGAAGCAAAGGGGGCTTCCTGATATTTAATTAAATGATGTAATTGATTTCTAATCTGGCTTTCATCTTTTATGGCTTGAAGGTATCGTTATAAGTAAGCGAGAATTCAACGATGGCTTGCCACAGCCGAGGCATCGTTGAGTCCAGATCGCTGGCTTTCGAGGGGGCGGATGTCAAGTAGTAGCAGCGTGAGAGGGGTACATATGTAGGTATGCCGACTTAATGTACGTTCCCGATCTCTAGGGTCTCTGGCATTATCCCCCGTTCTTATCAATCCAGGTACACATGTAACCAGCCATCGTTGGTTGGATGCTATCTTTACATGTGTGTTTCTATAAGTCAAACGCGATAAGGTCAACCAATGCCAAGACATGGAAGAGGATAAGTACGGTATTAGCTGAAGATCGCCGCCAAGGATAACTCTACACCTGAGCCAATCCCCCTGATTTCCAATATCTATATTATACTCACTATTGAATACATAATACACTTGCTTATCTATACCTACAGCATACTATCTCCGAACCCCCGTAACTCTCTCGAACTACGTACGTGTATATCGAGATAGGCACCATGTAGGTAAGTAGCTATAGATAGGTACGGCGCAGGAAATGTCGAGCCTAGGTACTTACCGAGATAGGCAAACGCATGCGTCTATCTACATGTAGGTAGGTGGTTAGGTAGGTACATTGTGGTTTCACAATGATATCTAAGACAACAGTCAACATCACAAACTTCCTTCCTCAGATGCCATCGCGATGAAAAGTGCCTAGTCCTATGAGTGACGATTCAACCAAATTAGCATCATCCGGTCCAAGTGTACGTGATAATGAGTAGTATCAAGGAAAAAGATCCCCAGCGTGGGTTTCCCCCAGCTGTGGACTACGAACAAGGCCAGACGCAGCTCGGGACGGTTCACGATGTACATAACCTCACGATTCTTGGCTACACGCCAGAGCTGAAGCGCAACCGGTCGATGTTGACGTTGCTGTTCCAATCCTTGGCGATCGCTGCTGTGAGTCCGGCTCATCTCTATAGCCAAGCCAACCACTCATCTGATATTCTCTAGATACCATATGGCTTCGGCGGTCCGCTCATCAGCGCCATTTACGGCGGCGGTAAGTCAACCTCAACCCTACTGTCCTCGCACCTCTTTCATCGCACTTACTTACACCTCACAACAGGCCAGCTGCCCATGTTCCTCGGCTGGATCGTCGTCCTGATCCTGAGCGAGTGCATCGCACTCTCGCTCAGCGAGCTCGCGTCCCGCTATCCGACGTCGGCGGGGCCGTACTACTGGTCGTTCCAGCTCGCGAGCCCCAAGTACCGCACGCTGCTGTCCTTCATCACGGGCTGGACCTGGCTCATCGGCAACTGGACCATCACGCTGTCCGTCAACTTCGGCTTCGCCTCCATGCTCGCCGCCGCCATCTCCCTCTTCATGCCCGACTTCGCCGTCGAGGCCTGGCAGCTGCTGCTCATCTTTTACGCGGTCTGCTTCTTGACCTTTTTCGTGGTCGCGTTTGGCAATAGGATGTTGCCGATGATTGATACGATTTGCGCGGTCTTCACGGCGCTGAGTATTGTGGTTACGTGCATCTATGTCTCGGTCAAGGCGGATGTCGGGAGGCACTCGCCGAGCTATACGTTGGTAGGTGGGGCGTTTTGCAGTAGGGAGTCGGCGTTCGATGGTAAGAAGTTGTGCTGATAGGCTGCGTTTAGGGGAACTATGATCCGTCGTTGTCGGGCTGGGGCAGCTTTTCTTTCTGGATCGGTGTGTTGCCTTCGGCTTACACGTGAGTACCTACTTTTGCTCTTGGCAAATGACTACCTACATCCAATTCAAGGGCTGGCTACTAAGCTAACGACCTCTCAGCTTTTCCGCTATTGGCATGATTTCTTCGATGGCGGAGGAGTGCAGTAATCCAACGGTCAAACTGCCAACTGCGCTGTCTCTCTGCGTGCCAGTTGGGGGTATTGCTGGGCTGTTTTTTGTAAGTACCGCTAAGCCTTGAAGAGAAAGGGGGAAGGGGGAAAATCACCTGCATAAGACTAAGTAAGATACTGCTAGTTACTTGAGGCTAACACCTTCCGTAAAATAAGGTCATCCCTCTATGCGCTACGCTTCCAGATCTATCAGAAATCCTCACTGCACCCGTCGGCCAAGCCCTGCCGTATATCTTCGGCAAGGTAGTCGGGTCATCCGGCGGCGGCCTCGCACTAACGCTGCTCGTCCTCCTCATCACCCTCTTCTGCTCCATCTCCATCACCGTCGCCGCGTCTCGGTGCACCTGGGCCTTCGCCCGCGACAACGCCATCCCCTTCGCGCGCCTCTGGTCCAAGATCGACGAGCGCCACGGCACCCCCATCTGGGCGCTCGCGCTCACCACCCTCATCGAGATGCTGCTCGGCCTCATCAACCTCGGCTCGTCCTCGGCCTTCCTGGCCTTCGTGTCGGTCGGCGTTATCTCCCTTGCCGTGTCCTACGGGATCCCGATCGTCATCTCGTTGATGCATCTGCGCAAGGAGGTCAATAGCGCTAAGTGGACTATGGGCAGGAATTTGGGCCTGGGCGTGAATGTGCTGGCGGTGGCGTGGATCGCGTTCGAGGTGGTGCTGTTTTCAATGCCGACGGCACTGCCGGTTAATGAGGTTACGATGAACTACGCTATCGTGGTGTTCGCTGGGTTTATGGTGTTGAGCGCGATATATTATGGTCTCTATGCTCGAAAAGGTAAGTACCTAACATGATAGTGCTTTTTTGTCGTCTAGACCCCCTTTTTCGGTGATGATGATGATGATGATGATGATGCTGACGCCATCTAGTTTACCGAGGTCCGCCAGAATCAGATGGGCTTCCTGTCGATACCTAGCTGGATCATGATTTGTCATTTCCCTAGGCATCCGGTGGCGATACCATTCTCTTGAAAGGGCCGTTAAGCAGGCCATCGGGCGGGCTGATACGAAAGGAAAACGGGGGTTTATTGTAGTATTGTCACTTGAGTACATAAAATATCTCTACCCAAAGAAGGGATCTTGTTCTAAAACCACTGGTACATCACGTTGCCAAATCGTTAGTTGGAAATAATCAAACACTGTCATATAATTTTACCTTTTAAATTCGGACGTGGCGGTGTCAATGAAGTTCATAAAATGCTAAGTATATATATCATCTTCCTTCAACATTATCCTCACATAATAGTCATGTATCCAATACACCTACACGCAGCTAGCTGCATGATAGATAATCAGATATTACCTACCACCGTAGAGCCGAGAGACACAACTAGTGAAATATCTCGTATTCAAACACCGTGTGCTTTTTCATGAAGCTGCTGTCCTGGAAGCTTGAGGCTATCAAGACGCTCAGAGTGTAAGGGGTCATATCAGCTGCAAGCCGACATGAGGCCCGAATAAGAAATTATAATATCTCACAGCCAATTACACCAGCGCCCGCATGGTAGCTCAATGTGACCTGACGCTCTAGACCTCGTAACCGATGGACTGGCTTACACCGGAATCACAGGAAGTGCGTCTATTACCTCGTATTCTGTGAATCTGCTCGAATATGATCAAATTGTATGTTCTAACCTACTGATGTTAGATATATTCAAAGAATGCTTCAGGCAGTAAGTGATCATTATAAAACCAGGGTCTTCCATCGTGCAAACCTTCATTATGGTGGTTAGGAAAGCATCATTCTTCAATATCAATAAATACCTAGGTACCTAGCAGCCTAAAAGAACACCACACTTCATCATGGTCCGCCCACTCCTAATCCTATCAACCTTCGGGTTGGCATCGGCGCAAGCCACCTACCTAAACCAGTCCGCCCCATTCAACCTCGTCCTCACAAGCGCCAACAGCACCTTCAACGGCGTGAAGCTCCAAGCCTGCCACTCCGGCGCCGCCGTGGAGTCATTCTGCGTCGGCCAAACTTCCTCAGACCCCATGTTCCAGACCTTCTTCTTCAACGGCTCGTCCGAGCCGCCCCAGGACGCGAGCCACCTGCCCACCGGCCTCCTGACGTGGACTTTTACCGGCGGGGTGCCGGTGTTCACCTCCAGCACGGCGATGACCTTCTTCTACAACCAGGCGTCGAACCTCGCGTTCCCGCTCATCTGGCCCTCGCAGGATAACGCGCTGCCGATCTCGTTCACCGAGGAGGACGGTCTTCTCGCGGTAGGGGTCAACATCAATGATGCGCTGTCGCCGCCGCAGCCGTACGAGGACTATATTGCGTATCTGACTGGTCGGTGGGCTATTTGCAAGACGTATTGGCAGGGGTATGGGTATGAGGCGCTGCAGTGGGTGCTGGGAGACCAGGAGCCGCAGAACCCGAGTTGTCAGAGGGTCACGGTTAAGAGGGTTTGGGTGTGATGTTCGTTCTCCGAACTGAGAATGAGTCGTTGCTTACCTAGGTACCTAGGTCATTGACAGGCCAGGACTATTATCTCTAGATATGGACCACCAACATGATGCAAGGTCTACACTTATGTCTCTAGGTATGCGAGTTGATGAATAGCATAGTTTATATATATACTATCGAAATGTAAAATGTGATAATGCCTAATGACTGAAATGGATATATACCGACGCTGTACCTATCCTGCCTATCCTACCACCAACCCAATATCCCAACCATTTCCACGACCTGAGTCCATACCTAACCAAAGATAACAGCAAAGAATGATCGTATAATCTCGCGCGAATTATCCTGATATCAGATCCCCTAATCCAGTTCCGCCAGTCCCCTTCACAAAAACCATGACCCCTACCTACCTACCTACCTACCCATCCTCACCCCTCACGCGTTCCCACACCCGCCCGACTTAAAGCACCCCTTGCTCTTGCCGAGGGCATCCGGCGCGTTAATGAGCTGCTGGAACACCTGATCCAGATCGAAGTCAAAGCTCGGGACCCCGCAGCTCTGGCCGATCCAGTTGCCGAAGAAGGAGGCCGCGTTGAGCCCGTTCTCGATGAACGTCTTGGCGCCCTCGACGGCCTTGCCCGCCGCGGTGGCCTCCGCGCCCCCCGGGAGGGCGTCGATGCCTTCCTCGACGAGGGTCGTGACGGCGCTGACGATCACGGCGCAGAGCACGTTGTCGAGCTGGGCGAGGCCGGCGATGATGACGTCGAGGAAGGCGTTGGCGGCGGAGAGGTCGCAGATGCATTTCCCGGGCGTCCATTCGTTGCCGTCGTCGTCGACGTCGACGATGCTCGGGTCGATTTGGTCGCGCGCGATGCCGGGGCCTTTGCACTGTTTGGTGGTGGGTTAGCTGCTGCCCAGCACTAGGGGGATTAAAGGGGTAAGGGGTTGATGGGCTGGGATGGGGAGGTAAGGGGTAGGTGCACATACCCCGACGGCATTAGGGTCCGAGCCGGGATTCTGTGCCGGGCAGAAGATGGAACATGGCGCGAGCTCCTTCTGGGTGTCGCCGGCCCCGAAGTAGGAGAGGCAGATCCCGATTCTGCCGAAGTTGGCGATGGTGGAGGCGTCATCGCGTGGTAGCACTAGCGCGGAGACCGGGCTGAAGCTCCCAAGAAGAACAGTGGAAAGTAGTTGTGTGACCTTCATTTTGTAATGTGTTTTGGATGTGGGTGGTTAAGAGCAGTGTGCAAGTAGAAGGAGGTAGAACAGGTCTAAGGCGCAGGAGGCAGAGAGGAATTAATAGTGTCTATGAGATATGAACAGGATGGAGTATCATTCATAGAGCTTGTTGTCCATCTCTTGGACTGACTTTATATACATGGCATCTAAGAGTATATATCAAGGCTGGAGCTCGGTCTACGATATCCGTCATTTTCCCTTACCTTAGCCATACGCGTCTTAGCCAATAAGCAGATAGGACAAGACATGTCAATATGCCTTATTTAGAACACCAGAGACTATGTTGGCAAGTGACCGGCCACGTTCTATCCTAAGAGGCTTGAGTTGTCTATTTTAGAATATGACTGTCGTTTGCATTCTTGTCACCAGCTGTGCAAACGCAAGGGCTAACAAAGATGAAAGATGAGTATAGAACACGCAAGGGGATCCTGCCGGATGAGTTCTATCCGTGGTCTCTTATATGGCAGATTTGGATGCCTCACAAGACCGCGAGCGGGAGGAGGAAGGGAGAGAGAGGTCATCTTGATTGGTCGCACGCCCATTGACTAGACACTTAGTGGCTGCCGAGATATTCTTGGGATAGTATCGTGGTACCGAATACCAAAGGTAGGTATTTTTGGCATGGTGGCGCGCAAACACCGAAATGGCCAAAGCGCCATAGGGATAGGGCGGCTGCTTTGTTTCGAAACAAAGCTCGGCTGAGAAGCATGGAGGCTTTATTCCAATCGCTCATTGGCAGGCGCTTAAAGATCGGATTCTGCGTATAAGCCCCCCCCGGGTCCCCGGGACGGGCCGGGGCTTGAAATAGAAATCGGGAGGGTCGGGGTGTTGTCTGATTCGCCAGTCATCCGCACAGCCACCCCTATCTGCACCTAGTTACTTGTACCACCTCCCAATATATCTTTAATATATTATGTAGCACCTAAATCTTCACTGCCTTCCGGATTCCAAGTTTACCGTTTCTTGGCACGTGGAAACTGCCAAACAGTCCGATGTTTATTATATGATGCTGACAATGGGCGGAAGTTCAAGTTTACCTAACTAGATACTTGTCAGAACGTTCCGCAGCGCCAAAAAGTATTCAATGTTGTTTCTAGGTACCTAGGGTTGTTTATGTCAGTATTACTATTGATGTACTATGTATGTATGTAACTACCCTAGGTACCTAAGGTATCCTACCAACATACAGTGAGATTAACGACCAGCTTCCAGGAATCATTAGACCTATGGGACCAAGCAGGCGGGCTAGAAGATCAACTTTACCTTTCCTTCTGCGAAGGGGAACTAACATATCCTATTGGCCTTCAAGAGCGGTTTTTTTCATATCAAGACTTTGATATTGACCTGACCTCATTCACCAATGTCACGCTGATTGTGGATGCATGTTTTGGGAAAATAGAGTGCCATAAGACCAGTTATATCAACATCTCTGTTGGCGATACCATACAATCCTCAGACAGCCAATCACATGTATTTGATGTTGGCAACTGTACCGTGACAGTTCGAACCCCATACCCGGGGGATATATCTGATAGAGTACTGTACGGCCAAATGTGCTTGTCACCTTGCGATGAGAATTACTCTCCATCTCTAGATTTTCATTCTCCATCATACATTGATAGCAATTTTACGCTTCAAATATTCAACCTAGATGTCGATTATAGCAACGAAGTAATGAACACCCAAACCCATACCTAGGTACAGGGCAGGTATGGTCAGAAGACGGCTTGAGAGAACCTGCCGACCTTCATTAAACCTAGGAAGCGTGGCCATAACCCGATCGTTGGGAAGATTCCCCCTTGTCTCCCCCCCTTTTCTTTTACAACTATACCTACCCAAATAAAAATTAGAATTAGAATAGATCTCGAAGTTTATGAAGGATCGATTAGGAGAGTTTTTTCTCTCGCTGTCTCTCAAACCAGCCCCATCACTAGGTTAATACAGAACCACTCATCAAGCACCATTCGCAAAACTCGCGCCCCCAACCTCTTTATCAAACTCCGCACACGCCGACAACCCACACAGCTCAAACACATCCCTGACCCCGCCATCGACCCTCCCATCCTCCGTATACCTCTCCCTGATCTCCCCCTCGCTCTTCAGCTCCCGGCACAGCTCGCGCATCGCGATGCACACGCTCGTCATCCCCGCGATCGGCCATATCACAACCCGGAACCCGAACTCCTCCTTCGCCTCCCGCGCCGTCACCAAAGGTGTCACCCCGCCGCCCACCATGTTCAGCAGGCACGGCGTCGGCGACAGGTCCCGCACCACCCTCGCCATCTGCTCCCTCGTCCGCATGCCCTCGAGGAACGCGACGTCGGCGCCCGCGGCGACTGCCGCCTTTAGCCGGGAGATTGCGTCGGCGTAGCCCAGCGGCTGCAAGGAGTCGGTGCGCGCGATGACCACGATCTCCGAGCCCAGCCTCTCGCGCGTCTTCACCGCGGCGCGGATCCGCGCCACGTAGGCCGCTGTGTCGACGACTTCTTTCCCCGAGAGGTGTCCGCACCGCTTTGTCGTGGCCTGGTCCTCGATGTGCAGCGCTGCGACGCCGGAGAGGATGTACCTTTCGGTGGTGCGCGCGACCATGAGGGGCCCGCCGAAGCCGGTGTCGGCGTCGGCGATGAGGGGGGCGGAGCGGTCGAGGCTCGCGATCATGGAGGCGTTGAGGGACATGTCGTCGAGGGTTGCGAGGCCGAGGTCGGGGAGGCCGAGGCGGGAGGCGGATGTGCCTGCGCCGGTCTGGGGGTGTTAGTTGTTACCTAGGTAGGCTTTTGGGGTTTGGGGGGGGGAGGGAAGGGTAGGGAGAAAGGGAGGTAAGTACCATGTAAAGGGCGTCAAAGCCTACGTTCAACGCTACGCGCGCTGTGAGGCCGTCGTGCACGCCTGGGCAGACGATGATTTTGTCCGGGTCGGCGAGCATTTGCCGCAGCTTTGTTGCGGACTTGGATTGTGCCATTGTTAGGGGTAGGTAGGTAGGTAGGATGTGGTGAGTGTGGATGGGTGCGGCTTCGTGAGTTAGGTTAAGATGCTACTCGAGGGGGGGTCAAGGTAAGGGAGAGCTAATGAGGCGTGCGTGTGGTTTTCACCGGAACAGATGAGTATTAGTTTGACGATGCCGGCACTCGTAAATTACTATCTATTCAGGTATGTAGTAGATGCTACCTAGGTAATGGGTATATCTCCATCCTCGCCTCTCCGTCCTCGGAACACACAGGTTCATTCGGGGCCTCGGAGCTTTGCTGGTTCTGTTTCGTCTCTCATAATGGTGCCTACCTAGCCTAGTCACCTACTAAGTATCCGCTTTATAACGCACTCGAGCGGGCTACTTAGTATCAAAATAAAAGACTGCCGGACGACTAAGAGTATTTATATGGAGTAAGTAGCCATGATGATATATTTTATCTCCGCGGGGATCTTGTCATGCTTGACCGTTGACGTCCACAGAGCAGAGTGTGTTCTCTTCATGGGGTGGTAGGCGGGTAGGCAGGTAGGTAGTATTATTAGCAACAGGTGTTAAAACGGCCCTTTTCGAGAATTTATCGTGTCTTCGTGTAAGAGGACGTGAAAGTTAAGTTCATGATCTTTGGTGGTTATTCTGACGATCTTCTGTGGGTATCAAGCCCCCCTATATCTAATAGGTAATGGCCTTCCAATGCAACTAATTACATAAGTACCTACCTACTATTTGGGAAGTCTATCCAGCCAATTCGACCCAGGATATCTTTTAGTACACCTTTATTGAGATGTCATTCGACAAGCGAACAGTGTTGTGTAGTATCAATGAGCAATATCGATGGATATATTTATAAACCGGCACATATGCTGACCTAAACCATTAAAGATAAATAATGACAGATGAATTACTCATCTTTTGGTGTAGCGGCACAGTCTGACAGAAAGTTGGGGTTCTATCTCTTATTTCAACTTCACTTCCGAATCAGGTATCAATTTTTGTCACTAGATCAATACAACAGCCGCCTACCTAAGCACTAAGCACAAAGCACTGCCAAAGAGAAGACCCTTGCGTGTGTACTAGGTAGATGGCTCTGTATTGATAGAGGCTATCAGGTACGATATGGTGTAGGTGAAATAAATCCCATAAGTGGAGCCAGGTAGGATGAAGCCACGATTAAGCGTCCATTTCAGGAATCACTGGTCTTTTGTGTGGTTTTCGGTTGAAAATAGTATTATGCATGACGTAGGATGAGGAAGACAGGCGCCGAATAGCAACGACAACGACAAAAAGACAAAGCAGATAGTTGCTAAGGAATGTGGCGCGTTAAGAGGTGAAGTTTTAATGCATGTAGGTGCCGGTAGATGTGTAGTCTTCATAAGATATGGGTGTTAACACACGGTGTCAAGTCAATGGCTGCATTTATATCAACTCTAATTATCCTCTACTTTCATGTGACATAATTCATAATTCTATGCATTATTGGTCTCACAAAAGCGATCAACTATGATCTTCGTCGGCGTGCTTGGACTACTATCCATTGTATCTTCCTGCAGTGGAAGCCCTACCCCTGAGCGTTCGCAGCTTGAGAAACGTCGAGATATACTATCAACAAATCAAAACCAGGCACACGGTGCCACTTCCTCTCATATTTACGAAGGTAGACCCGTCGTCAAGATATGGCCTATCAACCCCGAGGCCAAAAGAGGATCTACGGCACTCGAAGATGTCACCGGGGCTACACCCCACGACGGAAGTTGGAAGAACAGCTTTCCTGGCCGTGAGGATATACTACACCACTGCGAGAATACAGGAGAAGACGTAGTCTTATACGGCCTTAAAGGGGTATTCTGCAGCCTCGCCCGACTCTTCGGAAGCGAAAACCCGCAGGCTATAAGATCAAAGCCGAGGGAACCGGCGTCGCTAAACCCGAGAAGCATATCGTCGTTCATCAGCAAACTCGGCGCTCTCTCCGGACTTACCCCCCCGATACCACCACCATCAAACATCTACAACACCCCACCCACCTCCCTCTGCGACCTGCGGATCAAAGAGACCTCCGCCCGCCAAACCGGCAGCGTCAGCGCGAGCATCACGCTCTTCAACGAGAGCGGACGGCTCGCGCACCGCACGCGGGAGACGGAGATGCGCACCGTTGACCTGGCGACCCGGGACACGGGGCTCGCGCACGGGCTGCGCGTCGCGTTTGCCCGGGACGGGGACGGGGAGAGGGGGGTGCAGCTTAGGTACGGCGCGGCGACGACGACGTACTCGGTTTGCAAGGCGGGCAGGTGGGTGCGTGGGAGGCGGAGGGTGGATTGTCGGTTTGTTTGTGCGGGGGTGTAGGGGGATGGGGTTGATACCAACCTACCTTAGGTACCTAGGAGACCTAGTATGAATAAATTTGAGGATGATTCATGACATACTTGCTTTGATTCCCCTTTTCGTTGAGATGACTGTTCGGTTTCGTTGAAAACCTAGGTATGAGGTCTACTGTGCCAGTGTCAAGGTTGGAAATGTTTCCTTGCAAACAACAGTTCAAGGACACTCGAAACGTGTATGAAGATTCCCGTTCTGGTTACATATTGAATTGCTTGCTTTGGCAGCTCATAATTGGCAATTCCCGAAGTCAAGTCATACTCAGACTGCGATCATAAGATATCAAGATGACTAGACAATCCCTTTTCGGCCGAGTTTTTTGAGCTCAGCTTAGTAGGTAATACACACGTACCTATGATAATCAGATCAGTACCTAAATGACGACTTAACGGATCTAGATAATCTATTGATCTGCTCACCGAGTATTGAATATCGGCGCCTTGGTTTCTTGGGTTTTCTTTTCTTCTTCTCTTCGGAAGCTACGGTCAATGATATTCTTAGTGAGCGCGCCCAGCTAAGAACCAAGCCCGTTACTACAACTTAGTAGGGGTCCTTAGTCGTGAAATACCCTATCTGCACTGATTCTGCAGTACACACCTAGCTCAGGCCTAAGAAGGCTCTAGGACCAAGCGCCGGTACTCGTCGGCCATATTCTGACTATAGAAGGCGGGAAGAAAGCGGGAACTCTACATTGCCACACCGATGAGTGCTAGAGCCCGTTGCTGTTTATTACGTGAAGAGTTACAGTGACGTCAGGCTAGTAGCACGCTACAGTAAATAGTATGTACCTACGCCATTTTACAGCGGATATAAATCGGTGATACCCTCTTTAGCCTCGCCGACTAGTTAGTAGGTTCCTGTTTAAGCTCGTTGAGCCTAGGTCAAGGGCGCCAGGGCACGCCTTACTGTATTTAGTCTGTTCCTATATTAGCCCCTGGGCAAAAATTGTTTTACCTACATAAGGAACGATTCATACATGATACCTACCGAGGTACGTATGTAGTAAGATTCATTCCACTACGGCGCAGATTTCATTCGATCGGCGGATATTAACACAAAGGTTCAGAGTCAAGCCCCTGTAGGATTGGATTTGCTTCAAGGAGAACCGAAAAGCTTGACCTCCAGATCATATTGATTGGGATGTGTGATATTACATGGTAGTTAATCGTGCGAGGAAAGCAAATGATGTTTTCGAATTGATGAACAAAAATATTCAATTATTAGATGGCGGAAAATAAACAGCTGTTGCCCGGTTTCAAGTACATGTGCTCTGCTCCCGAGCACGTGGGAGGCTGTCTTAGCCCTGTTTAGTATTGAGTCGCACCATGAAATACCCGTCCATGGGAAAGATGTATGTACTATGTAGGTTAGCAGGTTAGGTGCCTTTCTAGCTTCCATATTCCCGCCCGTCTCTGTGAAGCATAGTGTAGGTACGTGAGATCTTGAGCCGTCGGGGTAAGTAAAAGTTAGTTAGGTAAGTAACCCCTATGTACGTACAATACATACATACATGAGAGATAGCCCTGGAGGGCGTACAGGCAAGGGATCCGTGTGTTACTACACTACTATGTACTAAGTAGTACTAACCTGGGGCCATCGATCTCCATTATCATGGAGTACCTAGCACGAATGGTGCTTGGCTACTATCTAGGTTGAGTGCTAGTGTAAAAGATCGTCAAACTAACCAGCACCAACGGAGATTTGGCAGAGGGGCTACCAAAATTGGACGAAGATCCTCATAGTCGTCAATCGCGCCCCTCCTGAACCTTTTTAATGATATGGATGGAGCTCACGCGTGTGTGGCTTGCTGGGATGGTAGGTGCCTATCTAGGGCAGATAGTTGAACCGCATCATGGTTCTTAAGGGGTTTTCCTCTTGGTCAGGGGTAGGTATGCACGTACAACCCTTACAATGCGTTGATCAATGGACATTTGAAGGACAGAAAAGGCACTTGGATATTTTACCTACCTCCCTAACATAGCTTAAATTCGTTTTTATCAAATCTTGGAAAGCGGTCCTGCCTTAAAGGGGGACTAAATGGACCGATCTGATCGACAAGATTCCTGTCCAATTGTTTGAAGTTGGATTCACAGATCGTCCGGTTCTGAACCGATTGATTCGGTCTCTGCCAAGCGCTATCCCTCCGCGTTTCATATTTAGCCTCTTAAAGGGGGCCATGTTGGCCAGTTGAATTCGATGTTCTCACAAGTAGTCATTGCGCCCGCGCCGCCGCAGACGGCATCACCTACGGTGGGCCGCATATCTTTTTAACATTCAGCCGCCCCTACATACACTACTTACATGTGAGTGTATGTACATGCCTATGTATGTACGAACGAGGGTCGCTAAAACTCCGTTGTTTTGCGGTCGGGTGTCCCGTTCGGCGGTTGGCGACTCTAGGTTGTATCTGGAGCGGATTGGCGATATCTTCATCCTCAATTGTAGAGTCACTGAATTGCGAAGACAGAGAGAGGGGGGGGACGGGAATTGAGGCTCCGACCTACCTTTGCCAAAACGCAGACGTCGGATTTCTTATCAGCAAATGGATGCATTCCTTACATCCGCCTGTAGCATGTAGGCATTTGATCTGCCGGTGTGTTCTGCTCAACAACCAAACACGACCTTTTCATCGAGTTGTGCTCCGGCCAACTGTATTCAGCAGCTTTGGCTGTTGCTCACCGTGAGATCGAGAACCAGTCATGTTTTTCCGGACGGCACGATCAGGAACTTCTACAAGCCCGGTATGTATGTAGTCATGGAGTTCATTGACATAATTCAAGTTGAAGTGCCGGGTACCTACATCCTGCCTAGATCCCAGGTAGATACATATCCTACTGTTATTTATACTGTACACGCCGTGCATACATCCATTCAATGTTCGGAGCCGAGTAACCGTCTGGTGTAAGTCTACTTGGATGGAATAGTGCCAGACCAACGGTAGATTTCTGTGCCTTTGGGGAACATGACACATGTCCCCTGCTCGAAGCTTGAAGTGCATATGCTTGGATGGTGTTGTACAATATCACCCAATAGCATTTTGATATGAGTTGAGCATCGACACTGTTCTAGATGTACTATCATGCTTAATGAAGATTTCATGTTTCCGTAAATGAGGCCTAGGCCTATGTATTCGCAAAAGTTACTTATCTTGACGGGTAGCATTGAAGCTTCAATGCTATATGATAATCCTTAAGTAATTTACAAGTTCCAGATGTTCCAGTTCCCTAGGTGCTCTGTTTGCTTGTCCCGACCGTTACGTTCGCGTTTCCAGGAGCTGGGGAGAACACAACAGGGGACATATCACGGCGGCTGTCTGCGTGTAAAACTGTGATAACAGGCAATAGTTAGCCAATCATGTTAGCTTGCCGGTATTTCAGTCATTTATCAGGCATATTGAGACGGCTTTAGGCGTGGAAGGTCCCGCCATGGAAGATTTATGAGGTGCAGAGGGCCAAGACATTTTAATCTTTTTCGTTGGTTCTTTTCTACATCTGTATATTTTCATTCAGGCTTCAGTAGCAGTCACTACTACCTACCAAGATACATATGTATGTATTAATACAGAATCAATTTTGGGCAAAGTCGCGACGCTTCTAGAAGCTCTAGACGGCTTAACGGCACTTATTACAATGGTTATAGTGCTGTAAGTGGGTAGCAATACATACCTCTCTGGTGGAAGCTATGAACAGAGCTTCATGTGAAGGCCATGACCTCGTAAAACACCAAGACCCTTTCATACGTGGAACTGTTCATTATTCGGCCATCAGGCCATTGCATTGTCATATCATTCATATGATAGATGAGTTGCAAATCGTTTCCCCCACAAACGTTTGAACTGAAAGATTGGAGAAATCCACCTATCGTACCACGAATACTGGGAGCTGGATTCTCCAGATGTCCCCCCTTCATTTTCAATGTTCTAAAAAAGAATTAACGGGTCCAGAGACGGGTATCGGCCATAGCAGTCTGTGCAGTTGTTTGGAACACACTCTACATGTGTATTCCAGCCAGCCAGCCATCGTGTCCTGATATGGGTTTAGGTAATGGCATCAATATTCTTCGGCTAAAGCGTTCACGTTCGTTTTTTCTATCCCATGATGAGCAAACTCGAATTCTTATATAAGATCTATGTATGCAGATGGCTACACATACCTAGGTTAGCACATATGTAGTAGAAATATATGATCAATACTGTATGTATGTGTATGTACTATTACATGTACTCACACATGTCCGTCCCCTGGCTTGACAATCCTAGATATAAATCCCAGCTTGCCCACTATTAATCGACATAACTGACGTAATAAGAGGTAATCGCGCCGAACTGGGAGAGGCTGGACAAGACATTCGAAACCAGATGCCCCCACAGCTTACGAATGCTGCACCTAATGGGGGGGGGAGTGTGAGCCTGTGAGGGGCGCCCCTAAGGCCAAGCTAGTGTACGTACCGTAACGATTTTAATCAGTGGCATTCAGTGCAGAGCCGGACGGGAGACCTATTCAAGGATTCCTGGTCTGGCTAGCTGGGATCCAAAATTGGATTTGATTGACGGTTTAATGGAAATATTTCTTGACTTTTCTTGAGTCTTGACTTTCCTTCGTCACTATTTGTACAGCTGCACTGTAACTTTTACACACAAGCACTTGGCGGATGGGATGAAAAGATAAATTCATCATGCAATCTAGATTCGAATGTTGCCATATACAAAAAAAGTTGAAGATGGTGAATACCTAAAGATAATGAACAAAGTAAACCTTCATTTTCATTGTTTGGACCTTGAACTAAAGTGATTCGTTTTTATTGTCCTAAATGAAAATTCAATTAAAATAAGGTACGCGTAACCTTCTTCTCAAATGGGTTCTAGACTGTCAACGTCAACTTACCGCACATAAGAGGGGTGGGAAGGATGGGAGCGATGGGACGGGACGCTAAAAGAACAAATCCAGATGGTGTATCTTTTTTTCCTTTCTTTTTTTAAACCGAAACTGCACAGTAGATATACTACACATGGCACTATCCTATGTCGTAGGTAGATACATCCATATTTTTTTACAGTTTGGGAACCTATGTAGGTACGTATGAGAAAATGAAGCAATGGCCACAACATTTGAACTGCCACAGCAACTTGAATTCTGTTGACGTCGTCATACTACTTTTTTTTATCGTCAACCATGTCCTGATTCGTCAGCTTGTTTTTGCTGGTTCAAGCTGTTCTAAATTCAGACACATATACATAAGTACAATCTACATACTTACCTAACCTGAAGCTTGTACATACTCAAGTTTGACATTGACAAGAGTTTGCCTCTTCGTATTGGAATGTAAAGAGATCGGACAGGCAACGGATGGCAACAAGATCGTCATCTAAACCCCAGATATTCAAATGTTTCGTAAACACATATTTCCTATTATTCCTATTACATGTTAATATAGCGATGACGATGACTAGATTGTTTCTCTGAATCAGCCTGGGCAAACCCGCTGGTACTAGCCGCTACCACCACTTTTAAGGAATCTGTCAATCCTAAATGTGATATGAATGGTAAACAGTAAGGTTTACCGTGCTATCTGCCATGCACACATACACCCTCCCGAATATGCACGTCCTGAGCGACTACGGAATTTGACAATGCCTAGCGCACAACTCAAGCCGAATATTGAAAGCCACCATGCGGCTGTCGTCAGTGACTTCCATAGCAGAAGCTTGCTACGTTGACAGTATTACAGCCAACGCGGCTATACGGCGTTTGGCCAAGATTGAAGATTGAACATTGAAGCAGCCAAGTTGAAGGTACATACATAGATACACATACATACATACCTAGGACACTCCACACTGTATATACTAAACACTTCAACTATACAATGTAATCTAAAGGGAAATCGGAAATCCAGAGGGTGATCTATAGCTTGTACAACACGCGACCTGACAACCAAGCCTTCCAAGCTTGCGTACCTAATAGATATTGCGAAGGTTTAGGCCTATCAAGAGAGGATTTCGGTCATTATGCCGATGTGCAGTCTTGCTGCACCATCTCACCCATCCAATCTGCACCTATCATGCCTAACGAGAACAATATACTACTAGGTAATATGTATCACATTTGCTAGGCGCATTTACTAGAGAATTCCCGCGAACTGTATGAGCAATAAAGCCAACTTTTTGCGGCGCATTATAATTTTATTATACATCCATAACATCCAATGTCATCCATTTGATACTAGGTTAATTTAAGTACTAGGTATGTAAGTGTGTAAGTATGTAAGTATAAGAAACCTGAACTTGAACAAGCACAGTTCAATGGTATCCCCTCTTATAATTAAGCCCACTAATCAAGGTAAAAACCATCAAAGCCGTTGGCACGCCATATCTCATTGGTTCCCTGATCTTCTTGGGATTCTATAATTTGATTGGTGCATAACTTTCGACCCGCCCCTTTCCAGGCTTTCCCTAATTCTCCTTGCGCCCCCCCTGACTGCCCTGACTAGAGTTATTCCTAAATCTGATGTGATGTCGGCCAGTGTCTGGTTCAAGGTTGATGTTGCAGTTTCCTGGTTTGTCCACACCATTTGCCCAGTTTCCACAAAACATAAGAGAATAAAAAATAAATAAATAAAAATAAATAAAAATGAGGGAGGAAACACTGCATACACTACCCTCATACACTTGCATTAGTAACCATATGATCATGTACATACCTTCGGTAGCCAAGTAACTGGGCATGCATATGTATGTATGTACATGAGAAGATTGAAACGAGCAGGGAAGATGCCATGTAGTTACCTGCTGCATACCGTAATACTGTACGTTTGTATCGAATGCACTGTTCGGCCACGGATCTAATACCAATCCCTGCAATCCCTGCAATCCCAATTTATCGCACCCCTAGTCGCCCGTGCCTGTTACATTGTGGCCATTTACCAGTTATGTACCCACTACTAGGTACTGTACTAGGTATAGTAGATACTAGGTATAGTTAGTACTACTCACGCAGTTTACGGTACTAGGTACTACATCTACAGGTTTCCGCTTGTAGCACGGAAGTGACTCCCCTGTCAAGCCTGTTTCTCCATTCATACATACATACGTACGTACATACATCCGTACATCCCAGGTGCCATCCACATCCATACCACTATGTACTTACTTACATTACATACAAGTACACTCTTCCCTTGATCGATCCCTCCTTTTTCTCTTTTCAATTGTCGAATTCCTTCCTCCTCGTCCTTCGCTTTGTTGCCGTTTCTACTTCACCACCCTCCAAGGAAAAAATAAATAAAACAATAAACATTCCTTCTTTGGCTTTGGCTTTTGCTTTGGCTCCATTACTTTTGACGGCCTCCTTACCCACATTAGAAGGGGTCTGCGAGTTGTGCTTGTTCCCTTTCACCTATCCGTCTCAGTTTTCCTCCCTTTGTTGTGTAAGGGCTGTCATTCGTTACCAAGCAACTATTTCGAGGCCGTTGAAAGCCAGCCCAGAGAAACGCTTCCCTTGACATAGATTGTCAAACGTCGCGCCGCATGCCCACTCGACAAACACGAAACTCGCTAATAAACGTCATCAAGTGGCCAGGAGGTTGAATAACAATCCAGATTTGACCAAAAATCACACTTACGATCGCATCCTAAAAACAAGTAGAAAGAAAAGAATCCAAACTGGCCAACAACAAGAGAGCTCCAGTTTCCTCTTGGCAAACAGTCACCGAGGGGATTACGATGGGAGCAAAAATGCCCTCTTCGCATCAGAGGTTTTTCAGCATGCGAAACCCATTCTCAAGATGCGTCCTCTTCGCTGTAGCATTGCTACTTCTACTAGCCGTCACGTGGAAATCCGACCGCATAGAAGACGTTAGTTCACGTATCGTGAAAGCAGCATCTACTCACAACAAGGGTGGCCTATCCCAGCAGCCTATCGGAGAAGGACAACAGGCGAATAACCAAGATGTCGCACCAGTGTCTAACCATGTTATGGATTGCAGCATCAACTCAACTCATATGAGTGAGTTGAAGTCGAAGTACGAACTCGGCGAGACGTTCCAGTATCTAAAGCGATACGTCAAGATTAACCGCGAGCCTGTTGCCCGAAAGTCTATCACTAAGCTTGGCCAGCAACTCCTTCCTAGTACCTTCGCTACGGTTGATCTGCAGCACCCAAGCAACTATGGAGCTGAAAAGTGCTCCGAGCCGCTTAATGTCCCAGTTGCCCAATCTCCTTTCCCCGCCACTGGTAACCTTTCCGATTTCATGTTCGGTGTGTCCACTACATTCAAGAGATTCAGCTCCGAGAAGACGAGCCCGGTCAATGAGTGGACCTACTGGTTAACCGACGGTAGAGGTAACTCCAACGGTGGAAAGCTAATTCTGCTGCTATTGGATGCAACTGAGGACCAGATCCTGCATGCCAAGACCATCTTGCATCACGCTGGAATTGATGTTGATGTGTACCATTCGGATTCCTCCATGGAAATGGCTGTTCGCTACCTCACGCTGATTCCGACTTTGTACAATCACCCTGAACGACTAACAAAGAAGTGGCTTGTGTCTTGTGATGACGACACTTTCTTCCCCAGTGTCCACGAGCTAGTTAAGAAGTTTGAGGTGTATGATCCCAACGAAATGCTGTACATTGGTACATTGTCTGAGGATGTTAACAATGTTGACCGTCACGGCTCCCAAGCTTTTGGCGGTGCCGGCGTGTTCATTTCCGTGCCTTTGGCTGGACAAATCACTAAGGATTATGAGACCTGCAGAACAGACGAGAAGGTTCATGAATCGAATTCTGGTTGGGGTCCCCAAGGTGATATTCTTCTCCGCAAATGCATCTACGAAAACACCGATGTACGTCTCTCTATTCTGAGAGGCTTATACCAACTCGACTTGTACGGTGACCCATCCGGTTTTTATGAGTCGGGTATCAAGCCCATCTCTCTGCACCACTTCAAGGGTGGCGGATGGCACTCTGCCCTACCCTGGGAGTACACCAAGATCGCCCACATTTGTGGCGAGGATTGTACTCTCCAGCGTTTCCAGACCAGCGACAACTTCATCATCTCAACTGGATTCAGTGTCGTTCAGTATCCCCAGGGCATCAATTTCAACCTTGCTCAGATGGAGCGAACCTTTGCAGCAGCCCCCCAGGACAAGGGCTGGAACTTGGACTACGTTTTCGACCCTCAGCGCCCTAGTCTTTTGAAGACAGGCCGCAAGATAAGCTGGGATCTCCAGGAAGCGAATTTGAACGAGGACAACACAGTCACCCAAGTATACGTTCGAAAAGCAGACGATTGGCGGTGGGTTGACCGAAGCGGCGAACCAATGGCGAAGCTTGACGGCATAATAGAACTTGTCTGGGTTCCGTAAGGGGCCGCTACTTAGTGCGAAACGAATGATATAACGATATTAGACGATAGTTTGAGGGAATGGCGGACGTATCATTCATCTACATGATTTGGAAAAGATAAGAGTTGGAGGTTGGAGATCCGTGCCATGGATGAGCGCCAGCGATTTCCGAGTCAACTTTTGCGTCTCTGGTCCTTTGGAGACACTGGCTACCGATCAAGTTTTGTCCGCCATCGCCATCGGCAACGGCATTTTGCATTACGACCGCATTCAACATGCCAGACCCAATTACACCGGCAGATGACTCTCGATCTTCGAGTTACTCGAGACTCAAGGAGGCCAGAATGGGCCCTCGTTTCTGTCTATTGGACATTAGTAGCGTCCCGATTGTATACTTCTTACCAGCGCTGGCCACCGGACCCAACTGTTTTTTTTCAAGATCCGATAATGCATAATACTCGACACCGCATATGTATCCCCTTGTTATCGCATACAGCAGTTGGTTGAGGCCCGCAAAAGTTTGGTAAAGTCGATATTCCCACGACATGCCTTACTCCACGATACTGAATATCCATGGATGTTGGATTTCAGTGTCAGTGCCGATTACGACAATCGCACACCACATTTATACGGAATTTTCTTTTCTTTTACATCATCTAGGTATACCGTTGGAGGATATCCAGTTTGCTTTCTTGGAACTACATTTTATTCATTGCGTCCGTTTGTATCATAGACATGCAGTCTGGGAAACGGAGTTACGAGCATTAGATGTTGAGCGGGAACAAAGTCTAGTATTCGTTGGAAAATGGCTCAGCTTGAAGTCGGCTATTTAGGTGGATTTTGGGGAGAGGGGGGGGATTCATGCTGGTGGTGGGTTATTATGTACCGTATTGGAGGACATGGTCGCATCGGAATCGAAGTGCTCGAGACGAAGCGAGTAGATGTTGCCGCTTGCGGCTGTACATACCTACATAAGACGAAAATCTGACATAAACATAAACATAGAGGTTTTTAAATATTAACTTTGTGAATCAATGAAATATAGTGTCTGTCTAAGTATACAATCATTATAGCGAGTCGCCGTCTTCAAAATAGAAGCGCATAGATGTAACGGCAGATGCGTGTAGTGACATTATATACCTACGTAGTACTTCGTAGTATGCATGTCATGTACCCAGGGGTATCGCTCATTCAGGTACAGCCCAATCAAAGACAAGTTAGACAACATTCAACCTCCAAGGCTGCAACCTTGAACCTTGAACATTTCACGTTCAAACCGTTGACATGTGTTAGTTAAAAGCTTCATGAGTTCGATATTCTATTGGTAGAATGGTTCATGCAGTCAGATTTCCCAGTGCCAAGCCTAACCTGGACTAAGGTACAGTTGCCCCGCGCCCCACTAAAGAAACAACGGCCTAAAATGAGACACCGACTCTTAATCTTTCGAGTTCCATCTTGCTGAGAGCAGGTGGGATGAAGTCATAACAGTTTTTACTTATTCAATAACCAGGAATAATAGATTCACTGGTCTAACCTAGGTTACGACAATGACACTTTGGGACCTAACTTGTCAACTGTCAATCTATCTTGCATAGCTTGTCCTTCTCCTCCGCACTTCTGACTTTGCTCCTCGAGAACGGCTGGAACGATACATCCACCCGCCATGCAAAACAATATCCTCGCGGTTCCTTTCCGGAAGGCCGCCCATCTTTCGCTATCGTCAGCTATTCGACAATACATATCGACCAAGTATGACCAACACCCGGACATGTTCCGTCAAGACCTGGAGGTTATCGATGCCCTAAGACGCGATGCCATCAACGTGCGAGAACCACATCAAAGTGGCGTTGCGAGACTGCAAGCCTATGCAGGACAGTTGGTCTGGATAGGTGGGAAATTCCCTATAGATGTATGTTTGTTCCACCCATATAACCCAAGCTCAAGCACGATCGCAGCTCTTTACTCACAGAATTGCTTATTGACGTTCATTTATACATAGATCGGAGCAGACTTCACATGGTATTCCGCCTTGGGCTACAACACCGAACGACCCATTGTACACAATAATCTTAAATTCGAACTAGCCAACATTTTATATAATCTCGCCGCCTTATACTCCCAGCTAGCTATAGCTAGCAACCGCTCGACGACAGATGGCCTCAAGACTGCCGCTAGCTATTTCAGTCAGTCCGCAGGTGTTTTGGCACATGTAAAGAACGAGATTTTACCCGAGCTACGGACTACACCACCAGAAGATATGGACGAACATACCTTGGGCTCGTTAATACAGCTACAATTAGCCCAGGCTCAGGAATGCTACTGGCAAAAGGCCGTTATGGACGGCTACAAGGATGCATCCATTGCGAAACTAGCTGCTAAGGTGTCGGATTTATATAACGAAGCAGGAGAGGCTGCTATGCGTTCCGAGGCTATCAGCAGTAGTTGGATTCACCACATGAGCGCAAAACACCACCACTTTGCCGCTGCTGCTCAATATCGTGCGGCTTGCGACTGCCTGGAGAAGCGAAAATACGGCGAGGAAGTGGCCAGACTACGCGACGCCGTGGCTTGTGTTGCCGAAGGGCTGAAGGAGAGTCGCGGTGGCTACTTGCATAAGGCGGTAGTAGACGATTTAAATGCGCTCAAGAAGAGAGTAGATGAAGACCTCAAGCGGGCAGAAAGGGATAATGATGTGATTTATCTAAGTATGGCGCCTATCACGATGTTCGACCGAACGAACTAGACAAGTTTCAGAGCTGACATTGATGGTTGATTTAGACCCAGTGCCCCCGAAGGCCGAACTAAAGATTCTTGATCGAGCTACTATGGCCTCTACACGGATACCGCCGCAAGTATCGGCGCCCCTGGACTACCTCAGCGAGAAGGGCGATTTCGGACCTCCGCTTTTCACAAAGCTTGTTCCATACTCCGTACACATCGCCGTCTCCATTTATGAAGAACGAAGGGATCGTCTGGTTAATCAAAATATCATTGCGGAATTAGAGACACTAAATGAGAGCATACATGAAGTCCTTTCGTCGCTAAATCTTCCTGGCTCCCTTCAAGCTTTTGAAAAGCCTCTTGGTTTGCCTGGGACTTTGGTCCAACATGCCGAGGAAATTCGCCAAGCAGATGCATTACATCGCTTACAAAGAAGTTTCGCCGATATTGACAAGCTACGCGCCGCCGACTTCGCCATGTTCGAGGAGGGGAGAGATTTGTTGCAAACGGAAGAAGAGGAAGATGCCCAGCTACGTAGAAAACATGGCACGGAACGATGGTCGAGGCCCGAAAGCCGCTCTGAACCAGACCAGGGTGTTAAACTGTGGAATCAGGTAGCGGACGCGGAAGGCTGGTTTGCAAATAGTGCGAGTAGTGATGGAGTTGTACGCGACAAATTTTACAACATAGAGCCGACATTAGTCGTCCTTTCCGGACCTGACCGTGGCTTACTAGATTTTGTCCCTTCGTCGCGGCGCACTGAGATCCCGGAATCGCTCAAGCCAGCTATCGGCCGTTTACGCACTGCGTACAACAACATAGCACGTCTCGAAGGTCGTCGCCGTAGAAAAGCCGAAGCTCTTCGCGAGAAGGCCCGCAACGACGACATCAAATCCGATATCCTCGCCGAGGCAGCCCGTTTAGAACGTGCCCATACGGTAGCAACCGCTATTGTGCCTGCGCATTTCGAAGACTTCTTCGAGAAACGACTGGACAAACTCTACGAACCGGACCTCGAGCTGGTACAGGCCGAAGCTTCCGAGCAGGAAAAGTTCATTACAGAGTTAATACGGGTAAACCGCGAGTTTGAAGGTCAGAAGAAGATGGTGGGCGACAAGGGTAATAGGGAGAGGGAGCAGGCGCTTCAGAAACTGGAGAATGCCTACTACAAGTACAAGGAGCTAATCAGCAACGCGGAAGCCGGCCGCAAGTTCTACAACGATCTCAGCCGCATAATAGGCGGCTTTAGAGACGGAGCACGTACTTTCGTGGCCGAAAGGAGACGCGAAGCGCGGATGCTGGAGGACGAGTTGAACATGCCACCGTTGAATAACCTGAGCTTGGGAGGACCCTCAAGTCGTGTCCAACAACAACAATCAGCAGCAGCACAGTCGGTCAGCTCCTCCTCGAGCGCTTGGGACGCTAGCTCGAGTTACAAAGTACCAAGGATGCAATCTCCCCCGCAGAGCTCCTTCATGCCGCCGCCTGCACCACCACAACCGCAACCACGGCAACAACAAGTCCACGCCCCTCTCGAGGCGCAAATCCAATCCTGGGCGCCCGCCAGCGAAACCGTCGCACCCCAGCCGCAGCTCCCAAGAGCGAACCCCATGCAGGGGGTCTGGAACCCCGGCGTCGGCATCAAGTTCGCTAACACGCCACCCCCTCCTGCCGCGGGAGGAAGTGCCCAGCAGCAGCAGGATAGTGGTAGTGGTAGGAGGCCGGTTAGTGGGACTTGGGATCGCAGCGGCGCGATTCGGTTCGGTTAGGAGGCGAATACTTCGCGGCGTGTGGGTAGGGATGGGCATGAAATATGAGATGGTGGTGAAGATGGCGATGGCTGGGTAGAGTTGAGCCTGAGAAAGGAGATTGTGATGAGGTTGGTTGGTTGGTTGTTGTAAGTACCTAGTGCTTTTTAAATTATTGCCCTGCATAGGTAGGTAGGTAATGCTTGCTTAAAGCAATAAGAAGAACTTGGAAGAGACGAATGAAAGAAAGAAATATTATGCAGATAATATTAAAGTATCAGTGTCAGTATTATTGGATGAATGTTCTCAAGTACTATATATATATATATATCAGGTCGGCGGTTTGGGCTGGGCTGAGCCATAGAGTACTAGGTAGGCATCATAATATAGTTCTACAACTCGTCTCATAAGATGTATATATATATATATATATATATATATATATAAGCCTGGGCGAGGATGTATACGTTAGGTAGGTAGGTAGGTAAGTAGGTTACCTAGGATGCAGTACACATTCATGATCACCTCTTTCATGTTTCCTCGTCTTTTCTAGCATTACCCTTACATGCAGGTACGCACATAACTACCTAACCTAAATACCGTAGGTAGGGGGGTAGAAGACGCAGGACTATCCCAAGCATCGTATTATTTACTCATTTAGCTGAGCGTTAGCCTTCCGCGCCCCCAGCACCGCCTTCCCCGCGGCCGAGTCGTTCGGCCGCCCCAGCTCCCCGGAGATCCAGTGTCCGACGTCAGCGACAGCGTCGAGATCAACACCGGTGTCCATGCCGAGGCTCTCGAGGAAGTAGACCATGTTCTCGGTGGCGACGTTGCCCGTTGCGCCGGGACTGTACGGGCAGCCGCCTAGCCCGGCGACGGAGGAGTCGAAGGTGCGGATGCCGCGCTCGAGGGCGATGGCCGTGTTCACGAGGGCCTGGCCGTACGTGTCGTGGAAGTGCATCGCGACGTCCTCGTTGCGGATGCCCGCGGCGGCGACGCAGCGCAGCAGCTCCTGGGTCCGCGGCGCGGTCCCCAAGCCCGTCGTGTCGCCGAGGGAGATCTCGTCGGCCCCCATCTCTAGCAGGGAGGTCGCGATCTCGGCGACCTTGTGCGGGTTCACGTCGTACCCTTCGAAGGGACAGCCGAGCACGACGGAGATGTAGGCGCGCGCGCGCAGGCCGAGCTGCTTGGCGCCCTGGATCACGGGCTGGAAGCGCGAGAGCGAGGTCGCGATCGAGCAGTTGAGGTTTTTGTGTGAGAAGGTCTCGGTTGCGGCGGCGAAGACGGCGAGTTCGAGGGCGGGGCGGCCGGGGTGGGCGTTGGAGAAGGACTCGGCCTGCGTGAGGTAGGTGTTCGGGTGTTTTTGTAGTAGGGCGGTGGCGTTCTCGAGACCTTTGGCGTTGGGCGCGAGGAAGGAGTAGGTGATGGGGCGGGGAGAGGGGGGTGGGGAGGTGAGGATGTGGGAGAGGATCTCGCTGGAGTTGTCCATCTGTGGTGGTGGTAGTCTTTGGTCAGTTTCGTCTTCATAGATGTCTCTACCTGGGTAGGTTGATAGGTAGGAAGGTACTTGGGAATGGTAGATAGTAGGGAACTGACCTGAGGCACCCATTTCGGGGATACGAAAGACCCAGCTTCTATAAACGACACACCCGTCTTCGCCAACCTCTCGATCAATTCGATCTTGGTGGCCAAGGGAATAGACTTTTTCTCATTCTGCAAACCGTCTCTGGGCCCGACTTCGACAATCCGCACTCGATTATCGGAACGCGGTTGTTGCTGTTGCGCGGCGGCGTCCGGGTTTCTTATGTCGGAAGCTGTGGCGAAGCATCGTGGTCGTGAATGTTGAAGACGAAGAAGAGCAGATGAGGCGGGAATTGGTGTCCGCCAACGAGCAAGCCGAATCATAGGACGCAGCGACGCCATCTTCTATTCATTTCGATGAATCTTCGATCGATCTGAAGTCGGGATGTTATTTCTTTCATTCGGTTATTCTTCCATATTAACCGAATCGGTTCTTTTGTTAGTTACATAGTTAGTATTATTGTTCTCCCCGCAAAGTTGAGAATGGGGGGCGGATGATGTAGATGCAGATGCAAATAGCCGGATGAAGTCTTGTAAGAGGTGTATTATATTACGGGGTAAAATAGTGGATACCTACCCTAGGTACCTAGGACCTACATACACGTAGGTAACGTAGGTTACCGTAGGTACTAGGTAGGCACCCTTGGTACTGAGTCGGGTGCAAGAACGAGTGTATGATCACATGACCTACCTAAGTTAGATAACTTCGCAAACACCTTTAGAGTCATATGTAAAGTTCGTTCTTGCCTACATCTAGGTACCTAGTAGTCATTACCTATCGGTCCCAGGGTTTCTCACAAGTTCTCATCGATCGTATCTTCCAAAGGCATCTCAGCCTCAAAGCCAAAAGTATTGTTAATCAATCCTATACTAAGAGTGTTCCTAAACTTGTAGGGAGCCTGTTTTAAACAAACCCCTGGACGTCACTCAGATATCTAGGTGCCTACTTGGCATTTATCCGCATCATGTTCAATGGCTCAGACTGTACGGTGATCACATATTTCATAGCCTCCCAAAACGCTCTCGGGAATTCGTATTCAAGCCCACGAGGATGGCCATGTAGCCTCCCATCATGCGGTGTTACCACCAGAGGGAGGGGGGAGCGAAGCGTGGCGTAGGTTTTACATTGTGATGTCTTACACTCATGTCTTATCCCGGTAGACACCGAATGGGCACCGAGTCTGTCCTCCTGAAAGCCATTAGACAGTTCTGTTTAATATAAGCCCGAGAAGACTTCAGCAACTCACTCAACTAAACTATTCTTCCCCATTGCCACCAGTGGGTAGTGAGGGCTGCATGACCATGGCTAGTACAGAATACCAAAAGCACCGACTTGACCAACCCGGACTCGAAGTCGCGCAGCATAGCAACCTAGAAGTTATACCAAATGAGTCTGAATCAGGTCTTCAAGCAGCTTACATATCCAAACTACCATATTCGCTTCTACCAGAAGATGAGTACGGACATACGGGATTATCCCGAGCAGAAATTGCAACAGAATCCGCGGGGGATAACACAACCCACAATGCAGCAGACGATAGCAGTCCACGAGCCAAAGGAAAGAATATCAAGAAAATTTTTCTCATTGCACTCGGCCTTGCTCTAGTTATCGTTGGTGTGGTAGTTGGCGCTGTTGTTGGGACTGAACAGAACCGGTCGTCGCAAAGTACGGCAGGGCAGAATATAACACCTAACACTACAGATCCTAGGTAAGCTGATAACAACCCATTATTGATTTGGTCGTTGCTCACAAGATGAAAGTGGCTTAGGAGATGGAAGCTCCGGGGCGCGTATGACTGGTAGTTCTACATTTGTGACACCCGGCCTGTCGCCAACGGCCATCTCCTGGGGTTATCCTCACCTCGAAATATTTGCCGTAACACCTAATACTTCGAGCTCAATTCATCGTAAATACCGCAATTCTAACGCGACGTCCGATACACAATTCTTCCCCGAAGGAACAGATATGGAGGACGTGGGCGATAGTAGCGAATACAACAACGTGTCGTCTCTTGCTGTCAATCGTCGGTTAAAAGGTGATACGAATCAAACAGAAATTTACTTTAGTAATGAAAACGGTGCAAATTATCACGCATTTCATGAATCGAACGAATACTGGTCTGGTCTGTGGACGTTCCAGGATCATATGGTCGGCGCCCTCACCGAAGTACGGTTCACTCCGTCCCTTGGAATAATAAAGGTCTTCTTCTTAGACCTAGTTAGCTCAGGGCTTTCGGTCTTTTACTATCAGTGGGGCCCCGAAGAGGAGTGGGTTGGTCCAACGTCAGTTGTTGGGCCCCAGGTGCAACGCATGGCACCTTCGGTAATTGCGTGGAATAATGATAATACACGGCTGGATATGTTCGTGGTATCTAACTCAAACAATCACCTGTTGCACGCATCCTGGGATTCCGATACAGACCACTGGTCCGATTTTGAGGACTTGCATGGCTTCGTCACGACACCGCCAGTGGCTGTCTCGCGCAGTCCGGGAATTATCGACGTATTCGCTCTCGGCGGTGACTCGGGACTTTGGCACATCTCATACAATAATCTGAACGGGACCAATAGGGCCAACAATGGGACTTGGTCCCGTTGGAATCGCATCAGTGATAACAGGAAAATCCAGGGTCAGCCAGACGCCATCAGCATCACTTCGGATAAGCTGGACGTGTTCGCTTGGGGGGATGATTCTTCTCTGCTTCATAAGAGCTACGACAGCGCATCGCAAACATGGACGCCCGAAGACGACTTTGAGGTTCTGATAGAAGGCACACTTTCGGGGCCCCCTAAAACTGTGGATGATGGATCAGGCAATATTCATATATTCGCCTATGACAACCTAAACCGGCTGATTTGGAGGGTCTTGGGCCCGTCATTGTTAAATGGCACGACGGTCGTATTAGCAAATGTCCCTATGGGGTCTGGTTGATGTCATTGTTGAGTAGGTGTATATGTGGAATAGGGGACTCGAATGTAAAATAGATATTGGCTGCTTGTAATATCAATTGTCTGTATTTGGAATTGTGTTTATATAGAGCTCTTTATATACGACCATCTAACTGGTCGTATCAATGTCGAGAGAGAAAGGGCATGGTATCTAGTTTATAGTCGCTAAGATGGCGACGTGGGATACCCAGAAGGCCTTAATCTTGGCATTTTCCTCTCCTTCATCGAGGAACTATATGTTAGAAGAGTTAAAGGGGAGGCTTTGATAATCTTGTCAATAGAAGGTCCTAAGTTTACGATCATTGTTGAGGAAATAACTATCTTCCAAGGTTGTTAAGCACCTGAATTAACCCCTAATACCTAAGAGATGCGCACTGACCACATGGAATTCCGTGACCTATCTTATCTAATCATTTATTACTTAGGTGTGGCTGTCATTGGCCCCACATGACCAACTGCGCCCAGCTTATCGGGACGCTGGAGCTTTTTGTAACGGGGCTGGTTTTAGAGCTTCCCCGTTCCAATTCTGCCCATTCAAGTTCGCTCTGTAAATCTAACGTCAACGGTGGCTGGAGCTTCAACAACGTTGGTTTTAGAGCGAAATAACCAACCAAGCTTCTTCATTTCGAAGAGCTTCATTCAACTACCTCGACCCTAACTTAGTACCACCAAATCCTGTTATTAAGCCACCATGGATCCCCGAGAGTCTTCCTCCTACTCCATTGTGCCGAGGATTCGGTACAACACCATCGGTGGTGTCAATGGACCGCTAGTCATTTTGGATGATGTTAAATTCCCTCGTTACAATGAGATCGTTACTCTAACCCTTCCCGATGGAACTGAGAGATCAGGCCAAGTCCTCGAAGCTCGAGGTGAGTAACAGGAAAAGCCAACCAAATTAAATAACCAATCGCCCCGCCAATGCTAACAAGCCGTTTTCATTCCATAGGCAACCGAGCCGTCGTACAGGTCTTCGAAGGCACGTCAGGTATTGACGTCAAGAAGACGAGAGTCAAGTTCACCGGGCAAAGCTTGAAGCTGGGTGTGTCCGAGGACATGTTGGGACGTATTTTTGATGGATCTGGCAGAGCTATCGACAAGGGCCCTAAGGTGTTGGCTGAGGATTATCTCGACATCAATGGCAGTCCTATCAACCCCTACTCCCGAGTATGTATGTCCACTGTATAGAACGAAAAGTTCCCTGGCTCACCATGATTTAGGTTTACCCCGAAGAAATGATATCGACAGGTATCTCGACTATTGACACCATGAACTCAATTGCCCGAGGACAAAAGATTCCCATCTTCTCCGCGTCCGGTTTACCGCACAACGAAATCGCTGCCCAGATTTGCCGACAAGCTGGCTTGGTCCAAAAGAAGGGTGTCACAAACAAGGGTGTGCACGATGATCACGAGGAGAACTTCTCCATTGTGTTTGCGGCTATGGGTGTCAATTTGGAAACTGCCCGATTCTTTACCCGCGATTTCGAAGAGAATGGCAGTTTGGAGCGTGTCACGCTTTTCCTCAACCTTGCCAACGATCCTACGTACGACACATTGGATATTCTCTTTTTGGCTCATTTTGCATTTTGCTAATATTAGACAGGATCGAACGTATTATCACTCCACGTCTCGCTCTTACTACCGCCGAATATTACGCCTACCAACTCGAGAAGCACGTCCTGGTCATCCTAACAGATCTGTCCGCGTACTGTGATGCCCTCCGAGAAGTTTCTGCCGCACGAGAAGAAGTGCCAGGTCGACGTGGTTTCCCTGGTTATATGTATACTGATTTGTCTACCATCTACGAACGAGCCGGTCGTGTTGAAGGACGAAACGGTTCTATTACTCAGATCCCTATTCTGACTATGCCTAACGATGATATCACACATCCTATTCCCGATTTGACGGGCTACATTACTGAGGGACAGATTTTCGTCGATCGTCAACTATACAACCGTGGTATATACCCGCCAATCAACGTGCTACCGTCTCTTTCTCGTCTCATGAAGTCTGCCATTGGTGAGGGTATGACTCGAAAGGACCACGGTGACGTTTCCAACCAGCTTTACGCCAAATACGCTATTGGTCGTGACGCTGCAGCCATGAAGGCTGTCGTTGGTGAAGAGGCCTTGTCAGCCGAAGATAAGCTGTCACTGGAGTTCCTTGAGAAGTTTGAGAGACAGTTTGTCGCACAAGGTGCATACGAACAGCGAAGTATCTACGATTCGCTCGATATCGCATGGAGTCTCCTGCGTATCTTCCCCAAGGAGCTGCTCAACCGTATCCCGGCCAAGATTATCCAAGAGTTCTACCACCGATCTGCCGCAGACCGAAAGGGCAAGGGCAAAGAGAGGAACGATAAAGGCGTGAAGGACACGGACGGTGCGCCCCAGGAGGAGAACCTTGTGGACGTATAGTCGGTATAAGCCGTTGAGTGAGTAGGATTGTGTGACAGATGTGTATAGGTTAGTCGCACATGGCGGAGTACAGGTTACGTATCATCATTCAATACAGTAATTGCTTCATTGGCAATGCTGAGTTTAACGATAATGGAAGAGTATGTTTGTATGAAACCAAGTTTGGTTATCTTCGCTGTGCCTCGAATGAGTGAAATGTAATGATCTGTGTAAAACGTGTATCACGGTTCAACGTAAGGTTATATAGTCTTTGCCGGTACCTGGTGGATAGAAAGCATTTAGATTATCAAGGTGTTTGATCTTGATGAAGTTTGCATAAGTATGTTTGTAGATGCATCTGACCGCATGGTTCCGAGTCGACTTGACTCGGGGCTTGGAGATGCTAGAACAGGGTTGGCTTATATTACGTAGATAGTATTGCTAATTTGTTATGACATTGAGTGAGGATTCAGTATTTGTAGGTTGGGTATGGTATGGTATAGCTTCTCGCGAACTACTTCCCTATATACTATGTACATACATATCATGACCATTTCCTGGACTACCCACATAATTACTATTTACCTATTTACTATAGTATTTAGGTAGGTAGCTTTGTTGATCCCCTGCAAAAGAACTACATACCTACCTAGTATTCAAATAGCTGAGGAACCTGACATCAACTTACATGATATATTATATCATATTATAATATTATATTATAACTCACGTGAAATCCCAATATTCTGGTCTAATGTAATGGTGGGTGAGGAGAGAGTGCGGGGAAACATTGAAGTTCTGAAGGAAGGATGCATGTGGATGGATGAATGCGAATTCGAACCTTCGGCCCAAGTGGGCAAGGTCAGGTGGCATTCACCCCGCATTATGGGGCCCTGTAAAGAGCCCTAGGCATGGGGGGATTCGGGCCTTGGAATAAAATGCTTAACTGCCTGTAAGCTGGCCTGTAAGCAATCCATCATGTCTGTGTAGGTATGTATGGGGCATCGTCAAATTTACAAACCCGACGACGCGGGATCTAATTTCACACCCAAGTCACCTGTTTACGAGAACAAGCGTCAGTGGCTACTCTGGTAACAACCATGTGCATATCGAAAATTTGCTATCGAAGGGGATCCCTTGATTCAACCTACATACGCAGGTACATACCTACACCGTTAAGCCGAATATTAACTCAGTACCTGGTACATAATCTATTCTGGCCAGTGGCCATGCCGTCGAAATCCGCAAACACCAGGAATGAATGCAAGGAAAGCACTTTAGGTAAAGTATACCAAAGGTGAATATTCTTTTGGGGGGGAGGTTGGAGTGTCACAAGAATTATTCCCTCTCCCTTAATAATGCAGCGCCCAATCTTAAACTTCTCTCAGTGGGGAATCATCCTACCGGGATCGATTTAAAGCACTCTTCGATTACATAGATCTTGGCTGGGCTTTTCCTAGCTATATGAGATCTAATTGTGAATACGCTTCATGCGGGGTCTATCACAAAGTAGGTATCGATTAATTGTATGTCGATTAAATCCCGTTGGCTTTGATTTGAGAGTTGGTGGAAATACCGGACTGAAGAGCCACGAGTTGCCTCGAAATCCTTCCCATAAACGTACTAACCTAGGTATCACGACACCCATCTATGAAGGATCGAAGTGTACCTGCTAGGTTAGAACACATACCGCTTCTTCCTATTAGTTCCTAAAATGCGGAGATTAGGTATAACACGACCCGGACTCGTGGGTTCTACATATGTATGTCTAACATTGAACCTTGGGTACGTTGTAATAACCCGCAAACATTACCAGTGACATTACCGTACTGGACGAACAAAGGACCTTGACCTGGGTACAATTTACCCGAACATTCTTGGGGAATCTTAGCGGACGAATCACACAAAGTTATTGAGTATACAAACATCAACGACCTTCTACATTCGTACTATTCCACCACATGGCTTTGATGAGGACCAATGCAACACTGCTAAACTACTAGGTACTACGGTACTACCCAGTACTAACCGTATGTACTTACATGTTGCCTGTCAGTTACGTCGTTTACCCCAACTTTTCCTAAAGAAAGCGGAGTAGCTTTAGTGTACAGGGCTTCCCACAAAGTGCTCCACACTAAGTCCACAGGCTTAGCATAAACGGAGCTGGGGATCGGCCGGGGCTTATATGCAATAAGGTGAGATTAATCAAAATTCCCCAGCCCTACTCCCCTGTATTGTATTCCCCGTGTCCCCTGTATCCCCTGTATCCCCTGTAAGTCAACGTGATGACTTCCTTACGCGACCTCCATTGTCCAACCAAATCAAGTTTCGTCAGACTTGCAAACTGGGGGTAAAAAGTTCTTTGATGACTGAATTCATATAAGTTGTATTGAATCCTTCCCCCAGATCATCCTTCGACTTTTTTGGTTTCTTTCCCTCTCCCTCTTTCTGCCACTCTTACCTCGTCACCGTCAGTTCAGACGAGCACAAAGAAAGTGGCCCTGGGACTAAAGGCTGCATTGTCAACAAACCCAACTTGACTTATTCTCACCCCCAAGTTAAAATGCGTCTTCATACTAGTATTGCTTCCTTAGGGGCAGCACTCCTTCTCCCGCTTACCTCGGCCCAGTCTCCTGGAGGTACCGGAAGCAGCAATGTCACAAGCAGTCTAGGACCTGATGAGAATGGCTTCTACTGGATTTATAGCGAAGGTCTCTCAGCCGCCTTCATAACTTACGGTGCCTCTATCGCCAAGCTTTTGGTTCACGACCAGTACGGAATAGAAAGGGATGTCGTAGCTGGGTTTGACAACGCGACTGCTTACCCAGACGATAAAGCTCATCCTCATCTTGGTGGTGTGCCAGGCCGATACGCAAATCGGATCCAAAATAGCACCTTTGAGATTGATGGCCAGACTTATCATGTCGATGCCAACGAGAACCCCACGGCAGAAGCTCCTAATGGCGCCGACACTTTGCATGGCGGTCACAATGGCTGGGATTTCCGAGACTTTCAAGTCGTTTCTCATACCACTGACAGCATTACCTTTTCTATTGTTGACGCTGATGGCGAGGAGGGTTTCCCGGGAGAGGTTATCTCTTATATCACCTACACCCTCCACGACTCGACATGGGACTTCAAGATGGTGGCTATTGCAACTACAAAGAAGACGCCCATCATGCTCAGCAGTCATACTTACTGGAACTTGGACGGCTTTGCCAACAACGAGACCAACACTGTCTTGAACCACACCTTCTATCTGCCCTACAGTGGCTCACGAATCGGTGTTGACAACATCCTGATTCCCACGGGTGATATCGTGGCTAACAAGAAGGGATCCGTAAACGATTTCTGGAGTGCCCCGAAGCAACTCGGAGCTGACCTTCATCAGCCGGAAGCTGAGGGCAACTGCGGTTTCAACTGCACCGGTTACGGTAAATATGCCATTCTATTCTAAATTGACTTGAGAAAAGTAGCTAATACAGGTACCTACCATAGACACGTGCTATACCGTCAACCGCGGCCAGAACGGCCCCTACGACTGGCGCGCCGACGGCGGCTTCGTCGCGCGCCTGCACTCGCCGTGGTCCGGCATCCAGCTCGACGTGTATACGGACCAGGACGCGTACCAGCTGTACTCGTGCAACGGGCAGAACGCGACGATGCCGCTCAAGACGTCGCAGGGCCTCTTCGACAACGCCGACTTCCCCCGCACCATCCCCCAGTACGGCTGCCTCGTCATGGAGGTCGAGGACTGGATCGACGCCATCAACCACCCCGAGTGGCAGCGCGAGAGCAAGCAGATCTTCGGCCCCGGGGGCGACCCTTACGTGCTTCAGGCTAGCTATGTGTTCAGTGTTAATGCTACGACGTCTTAGGGAGGCCCATGCGGGGACTGTGGAGATGGGGATGGGTGTAGTAAGAGCACCAACAGCAGCAGTGGTAGTAGTAGTAATGATAATAAACAATCATCCTCCTCCTCCTCCTCATTTTAATGGTAACGGCGGTGGCAACGTTATGAAGTAGTCCAGAGGTAGTAGTGATACTTGTAACCTGGTACCTAATCGCTACGCGGTATCCTACGATAGGATAATGTGGGTATCAGTTTTAGGTATATACCTGTCTACCAATAAATACTGTAAACTTCCAAGGTTCCAAGGTTCAGTTGAAAAGCATTCCACTTTAGTACTAGATAGAATATATCTACTTACCTAGGTTACATCTCCGTATGAATTTAGGGGACAACATTCGATATTCACCTGGGCAGGTAACTTTGATGTTTGAAGTTACGGTGTATTCAATGAGGTGTACTTGTGCCTTTGACGACACGCTACATATTTAGGGGGGGGTAATAAACCCTTTATCAGGTAGATAGGTACCTGTACTTATGTCTAATGAGTGCTGTATTCTATCCACATCCAACCCTCCCATAACGAACCCTTTTTTTTTTACCTTTTTACCACCCCTCCACCCCTTTACTTCACCCCCACCGCCACCTCCTTCGTCCTCCCCAGCCCCTCCCGCGCATAATAATCCATCGGGTACACACCACCCCCACCGCCATCCTTAACACTCCTCCCCCAGTCCTCCCTCTCGTCCAGCGCGACCAGCGCCTCGTACGGCGTCAGCAGCGGCCGCGGGAACGCATACCCCCAGTCAATACTCAGCCGCGGACACGCGACCTGGACCCACGCGCCGACGTGCTCGGACATCAGCGCCAGCTTCGCGGGGAAGATCTCGCTCAGCAGCAGCGTCACGCACGGGATGCCCCGCGACGCCAGGCGCGCCTCGATGCGGGAGAGCGTGTGCGGGTTCCCCTGGCGGCCGAGCGAGCCGAGGATCAGCCCCCAGGTCTGCGCCTTCCGCGCGGCGGCGATGGCGGCGCGGCGCTGCGACTGCATGTCCGTGTGTCCGTACTCCTCGCGCGTGAGGATGCGCGAGTACGGGTCGTACCGGTACGCGGGCGTGGAGGGGTTGTGGATCATGATGCTCTCGAGGTGGAAGCGGCCGTCGCCGAGGTAGAGGATCAGGTCTACGGCGCCATCGGGGAGGCGCGGGGAGGTGCACCCGAGGATCTCGCCCCTCGAGAGCGGGGCGATCTGCGGGACGAGAACGGCGAAGCCGGCCTTCTCGAGGGCGGAGCGCACGCCGTGGATGGTGGCGTTGAACTGGATGGTGCCGACCATGGCGATGGTCTTGGGGGGCGCGAAGTTGCGCTCGACGGTGGCGAGCAGGTGCGAGGTGTCGATGCTGATGTCGACGAAGACGTACAGCACCTTGATCGTCGTCACGTCGACGGGGATCAGGCAGCTGTGCGCGTAGTGCACCAGCAGGTCGCAGCCCAGCGCCCGCGCCGTGTAGTCGTCGATGCAGCACGCGCCGTAGGTGACGTCGCCCATGATGAGGGTCTCGACCCCGGGACAGAACTGCGTTAGGATGTCGGAGATCGTCGTCGCGAACATGAGGAGCCCCTCCGGCATTTGCAGCGCTACGCGCTCAGACCCTGACGACCGGATCCGGTGGATCGTCTTCGGGATCTCGAACGAGTAGTTTGCTGGCAGCAGGGCGATCGCCTCGTGCAGTGCCGGGTCGTTGAGGATCTCCGGCGGCACCTGGTTTAGTAGTCTGGGTGCTCTCCGCGGTTGCGATGCTAGGAGGTTTGGGTTTTAGCAATTTTTGTCCTTCCCTTAAACCCCCCCCCCCTTTTTTTTTTTGTACTACTTTGGGGACTACGGTAGTCGCTCACCTTGGATCGCCCCATTTTCCCCTGTTGTGGAGCTACCAGCACCGCCGTGTTTGGCAGCAGTTCTCCGTCCTACAAATCTCTTCTTCGGTTGTCTCTTGTTATCAGATGATGGTGTCGCTGCGGTTGGTGGTTGCGCATGAGACTCCTCGATATCTGCTGCGATGCCTAGATCGGCTTGCGCACGGTCTTCCTCCATCGTTGGGAGGGGGGGGTGCAAAGGTGTGAAATGAGGTAGGTAGATATATAGTGAATGATAGTAAATGGTATAATCTATAAATTTCTCTTATTTATGTATGCCACTTGTTATTTAGGTAAGTATCCACGTGAAAGGCAAATTAAAATTATTATGAGTGAGTGAGATTAATTCATTGTGAAGTGCATTTTGTATTTTGTATTTTAGTGAAAAGCTAGAAGTCAGTCGTCAAAATATTTCGGTTGTGAATAGTTGCATATAAGCGGTTATGGATATATGCATGTATATTCACAAACTGGTTAAAGGGTAGTTCCATAAGCCAGACAAATAAGGGGTTAATGGTGACAATGCCATTTCAACAAATTCATTAAAGATATCGATGCATTCATAAGTGTCAAGCCATGAACCTAGTTTCATCAAACCATTTATTAATGACAGTAACGAAACTAACGATATACGAACATAATTCAATCAATCTTGCCCACCCGACTCAAACCGCAGCTGCATTAGCTGGCCGCACTCTTACTTTGATGAAATCAAAAAACCACACAGGTAGTGAATGTCGTAGTATTCTTCGTGAGAGAAGTTCTTCCTGGCCTTAAAAGAGCTAGCCGCTCAAAGCAAGCAGAAAGTCCAGCAATTACACCTCACTTAGCAAGGGTACCTGGCTCCAAGATATCAGCTTCGTCTCGTTTGGCAAAGCTGCCTGGTTCAAAGACATCTCCTTCATCTCGCTTGGCGAAACTCCCAGGCTCGAAAACGTCACCTTCGTCCCGCTTCACGGGAGCATCGGCCACAGTGTCTGGAGAAGTGTTAACATGAGAGGGCATTCATTCATCTCCTACGTATCAAGTATCAGGTATTAGGACACATACTCAATGGGAGTGCCATCACGGCGGACACTACACCGCATACCAGAAGGAAAGCGTTCTTCATCAGCATGTTGACGGAGGTGGGAGTGAAAGCTCTGGAACTTATGTGACTGAACAAATTCGGATGATAATCACAGTAAGATTTCACTATAGTTATGTTGAGGAGATTTGGTGGTTTGAGTTTCCTACTCAGAAGTCTGGAACTACAAACTCGAGTCAGTGGGTAGGGAGTTAAGCAGCTGATATGTATATGCTTGTCGATGGGTCCTAGAGGCTGGCTAAGCCGCGAACCACCAATATATTGGACAGTGTGAAGCCATTGGCTGTGGCAGAGATGTGATCACCAGACGTATATCTGCCTATGAAGGGATAGCATATCACACCGTATGTTTCTGTGTGACCCCCCTAGATCATACACCCTAATGCAGTCATCCTGTAAAAGACTCAACTCATAAGGCTGGCATCCATGCAATGTTGATCGCATTTCCTGATCAGGCTTGTGAGACGAGTACCGATATCCATACTCGCACGGTAATAAGCTCTCAGTTTCTGGCCATTGTTTAATGTCCAAGCTGCCCGTCGTAGCAGCAGCTTCATGACTGCCATTACTCAGTCACCAACTTTCAAGACATTTTCCTTGGCTTTTGCTAAGCTAGAGAAACAATACGTTACGATGGCTGAATACAAGGCACTTATGAGCGAAGAGCCCGATGATGAGTCCATATACCTTGAAAAGCAGCGACCCCCTAACCGTACTATATCCAATAGCCATGGATTATATCACTCTAAGCTATTTTTCATACTCATAATCATACTCTCAGTTTCCTCAATTTCATTGAACATTTTACAGCTTAGCTTCTACTTGATATCACTTCGTACCCCTGACCACGAAGATGGGCCTCACTATTCGAAATACGGTACCAGACATAGGCCCCCCTGATGACTATGAAGACATCCACTTACTCTTTTTTTGGCTCTCAGCTAGACTAGAAGATGACACCGTAGAGGTATTCTGGAACCAGAGCGGCAAATACGCCAACCCCGACGACGATGCCAGGGACCACCTCTGGGACGAGCTCGACATCGACTCGGGAGTCGTCGCCGTGCCAAAAACATGGGCGAGGGAGAAAGGGTTACCCGAAGCAACCACGTTTCCTTGGGATACCGACAAAGCGCTGTATTTTGTAAACGCCTACCATAGCGTGCATTGCCTGGTTAGTAGCCCCTGAACTCCCCTTTCCCTCATACTTCACCAACTCATCTATCCATCTATCCACCACACACACTAACGCTACCCACCAAAGAAAAACGTCTACCGCGCCTTCCGCGACCTCCGCCTCGGCCTGGCCCCCTCCGTCGGCCCCGCGCACGTAACGCACTGCCTCGACCAGCTCCTCGCCGACGTCTTCTGCCACGCCGACGACACGCTGCGCGCCGCCAACCGCTCGACGCCGCACGTCACGGCGTCCAACCAGAACCGCCGGTGCCGCGACTGGTCCGCGCTAAGGCAGTGGACGCTCGCGCACCCGGGGTGCTACAGGTATGGCAACCATACCCTGGAGGACGCGAGGCCGAGCCAGATCGCGAGGATGCGGTATTGTCCCGAGGGGAGTAGGGAGTTGGAGAGGGTCAGGGAGTATTTTGGGAAGGGGGGGGACTGGAGGCCGGAGGAGGAGAGGAAGTGGAGTTGGTTTGATTGAGGAGGGGGGGATGGGTTGGGCTAAGTACGGGTGTTGTTGTTCTTCGCGGTAGATGCTTTATGGTGTATTTGGTAAATTGCAGTATCGGAAGGCATGTTTCTCATTCCTGGTTTCTGGAGTTCTATAGTATGATGGTATCTGGAGTATCCTACTCAGTATTAGGTAGCTATTCGATTTCTCAATATTCTACGTATTGCTTCATAACCCTCGCCCTCTTTCTGAGGGGCCGCTGATTACCGAGCATAGCTCATGACTCAGAATGAACGAATGTGATAGTACATGTACGAAGTATAGACTGATAGAGTGAAACTTACACTGTGTCGTGGTTGCTCACAAATGGAGATCGGGCGATCGTGTTCTCGATTAGGCATAAGATTGCGGTTCGGTTGGTCCATTGCAACAGTGCTTCTTGAGGATTCGTAGTTCTGCCAATTCGCCGCCACGCAGCATAAAGGGTCTTCTCCACGGGAGAAGGCCGCCAATGTTGGCTGTAGATGATGGGGGGGGCTTGGTGTTGGCACACGTATGTGATCCTTCCGGGCGGATTGTGAGCACTCATGCGATGTAACCCACCCAAACGAAATCCAAGAGATCCAATACAAGGTGCGGGAGAGCTACCCGATGCATGGTGGGAGCTATGGCTAGGTAGAAATGCTTATCTACCTCGGTAGGCACTTATATGCAGGTCATGCATAAGAGTATCGTCTACAACCTAGATAGGCACACAAATATATCGGCGCCATACAGGCGCCACTCCGAGGGAATTCTTGTAGGTATTATGTTATGTATGTTGGTAGATAGTTCGATCCTCGACTCAGCCCTACGATAGTATAACCCATTTGGACAGATCCAGAACCCCCTCGAATTAGCTAAGTAATGCGTTCTGTATGTGATCTTACCAACTCTCATCCTTCAAAATTACGTTTGTCCCATGACCTCAACGCCTGACCATACCTCATCAGAAGCAAGGGGACGGGTATGAAGGCCAGTGCAATAAATCCCAACACCGAGTTTCCCCAACCCAGCCCCAAGTTCTGATAAAGGGGTGGTCCCGCGAGGGGGAAGAGCGTTCCACCAAGCTGTCGGAACACGGCGCTCCCGGCTACGGCGCTTGCGGAATACACGCCAAACGCATCGACGAGGTAGCTTCGCACCGGTATCGTGGTGGACACCAGGCCTAGTCCCAGGATACCACTTGCGATGATCGGCGCCATGTACTGGACGCGGAACTCGGCTGTCCACCCATACATGAACAGGCCAATGGGGAGGATGAAGCCCCCAAAGATGACGGGCGGCAGGCGCTGCTCAGGCCGCATCTGCCCGGTTTTGGAATGCCGACGGATCCAGAGGTCTAAGGTGGAACGGCATACGAAAACGCCAATCACGCAGCCGACCCCTACACCGAAATAGGTCTAGGTAAGCAAAGATGGAGAGGAAGGAAAAGTAGGTAAGAAAGATAATAAGGGTGTGACACTCGTAATATGCCTGCAACTCACCGAGTCCTAAGAAACTGAGCCCTACTACACTTGACGAGAAGTTATAAACGCTCTCGAAGATGCTCGTGATTGTGGTCATAACTAGGTATAGATATCCGTACACGACGCCGACGTAAAGGGACAAGAGGAACAAAATAGGTGAGGTAAATAGCAACACCAAGGGCCGTACACAGGCATTTCTGAACAGCTGCCGTGCTGTATGATTAGTCTCGTATTTAGACCTATAACCTGGGTTCCCCGTCTCCTTCCGTAGCTTCTCTGCTTTGGTCCGCAAGATCTGGACCGCGTACGTCTCCCTTAAGAGCGCGAGGAAGCACAGCTCTATAAAAGCGCACAGGATGGCGATGAGCCAGAAGCACCAGCGCCAGCCCAGCGAGTCGCCCAGGAACCCGCCGATGATCGGGCCGACGACGGGCCCCAGCATCGGCGCCAGCCCGACCATGGACATCGCGCTGCCGCGCTCCTCCGTCCTGAAGAGATCGCCGACGAGACTGGGGTTGAGCGCGGTGGAGACGACGGCCATGCCGTTCAAGAAGCGGAACGCGACGAGCATCTGGATGTTCGTGCTCAGCGCGCAGGCGGCGGAGAACACGATGAAGAGGATCGTGCCGACGTGGTACAGGTAGAAGCGCCCGTACAGCTCTGACAGGGGGGCGACGACGAGGGGGCCGATGATCTCGCCTAGTTCCCATATTGAGACGATGAGCGTGATGTAGACGTTGTTGTTACTGGTGTTGCTGTTCCCCTGGTGCAGGTCTGCCAGGATTTGCGGCGCAACGGGTGCGCAGATGATGGTCCCGAGGGTTCTCAAGATTGGGATGTGATATCAGCACAAAGGAGAGACTCGATAGGTAGATACTGTAGGTATACGACGTAGAAATGCGAGGAGAGCAACCTTACACTGCGAAATCCAAAAGCGACACCAGGACAATAAGAAGCCATTTACGTCCCCGAGACCAGTTCTGGGGACTGGAAACGTCGGTTTCGCCCTCGAAATCAACGACAAATTCTTGTCCTGTCTGCCCTATCCCTACTTCGTTTGAGGAGGAGACATCGTTGTGCTTAGACGATATCGAAGGCAAGTGTGTTTTTTCTGTTGCTTCTGCTGAAGATCCTACGGTGTCGTCTGGCCTTGTATCGCCGGACACCTCGACGGCTTCAATCATCTTCAATGCTTAGATGTAAATATATATTCCCTTACATTTGAAGGTTCTGGAGAGTGATCATAAGGTGATCTAGATTAATATCCACCTATACAAGTTTACTACATCCAACTTCTCTAACCTAGTAGGTACCTACCTATGATATCCATATGGTATATACCAAGGTAGCTTTACTTACATATTATGCAGGTAGATAACCCAGATAGGCCCAACTAACAGGTATGTCGCATCAACAAAGAGTGGCGGACGCATTTCCAAATGCAGCGATCCGATTCGCATTACTTTACATGTAACTCGACATACGCACTTTAATGTCAGAATATTGCAGTAACGTGCCACTATAATGTCTAGCACTGTAATACCTAATCCTACCCAGCTATATGCCTACACAGGTACATACATACATGTAGCATCCATCCCTTGGAGGCATTGAACGTAAGGGATATCCATGGATGCTAGGTACCTACCTACCTACCTACCTACCTACCTAGCCTAACAACAATCAGTTAACCTTCTGCCTCGTCTCAGGAGCATCCCTCTTCATAACCCATCCATGAATCGGACAGCCGAGCCATTTCCTCACTTTCCCGAAATCCTCATCGTCCTCGTCTGCCGTCGTGGCATCCATGCTCAGCTCGTCAATGACATAGAACCCGCTCTTCTCGTACACCGCGCGGGCCATATCAGTGGACTCGACAAAGGCTTCGAGCCCTAGCTCGTCGGCTTTGTCCGTCCCCCATTTCAGCAGCAGCCTGGCCGTGCCTCGGTTCCGGTGCGCGGAGTGCACGAAGCAGTAGGATAGGACTGTGAAGTTGTAAAGTAGCGTGCGTGATGGTTAGTACATGTAATGTAAGTAGGTAGGTTGAGGTTGAAGTGGAAGGGGGGCAAGGGGGGTTAGGTAAAAATAAGATCAAATAAAACATACGCAGGTGCGGCTTGCTCATGTACTTGGGACGGTGCGCACTCAAGCCACTGTAGAGCTGGTTTCCTATTTCTCTCATGGGACCTTATTGGACACCCCTTATTTTAGTGTCTATGTATTAACATGATCGATATAATACCTCCAGCTTCTTATGCTTTTATGAAAAAGAAATCCGTGGATTAATTATCGTATACACCATACCTTCAGGTAGCCAGTAGGCTGTTTTCACTGGCTGCTCTACCACGTAGGGATTAGTCCTGTGAACGATCCATTGCGCACCACCAATGACCTGGCCGGTCTCATCGTCCGTCACATAAAGCCAGTGACTGTTAGGATCGGCATTGTGCCAGGCCAACTGACGCGCGCAGCAGTCTTCGGGGGAGGACCCTGTGGTAATTTCCCAAACACCGTTGAATGGGTGGCTGTACGCTTCGTGCTCTACATCGCACACTGCTTTGAACTCTTCATCCTTGGTCAGTTCGTGAAGCTTCAGCGGCATGGTTACGGGGGAGGAAAAAGGTCAGGTAGGAGAAATTGGAGTGATAAAGAATTGACGGATCATTTTGTTCATATTTCTTTTCTTTTTCAATATTTTGGTTCTTTCTCTTTGGTTGGAGATATGCGTGCTACCTACCTACATGTAGCCTTGAAGACTGCTTGTTAAGTTGGATTCAGGGGCGACGAGCGATAATGGCAGTACCTATGCAGATACATACAGTACAATTTGAACGGTCCCGAGTTTGAGCATGGCATTACATAGGTACATAAATGGAAATATGTCGATGAGACAAGCTTTTCAATGTTACTTTTATGGAGCGTTACATTCGATAAGTCCGTCCAATGTCTCAGCCCCCCAGACCTGCACAGTCATAACCCCCGAATGCCACCAACCATACCCTACGAGTAACGATCGCCTAGGTAAAATCTAACCCGTCAGATAATCTACTATTCTACATACTTATGTTGGTAGGTAGAACTTCTGAGGCTTTTATTTTCAACTACAATCCTATAGGGATTCTATATAATAGTCTCTGCTATGTACGAATAGCTACATCCTATCTCGCCTACCAGGGCAGTGATATCCATCCACAGGATCAATTGCCAGATTCCGCTTATTATAGCGAGATGCACGGGATATGTGCTACAGTGTGGCCACACATGGGCTTGCCTACCCTAGGTGCCTCCCTAGACAGGTAGCTGAGCTGTCCAATCACTCGATGACCTCGCTGTAGATCATATCAGACACCTACCGGCACTCTATGTAAGCAGCCATAGGCAAATACATGTAAGTCAGGCAGTCAGTCATTCGACCCAAAGTAGGTTATCTCGTCGTTCGGTCGATAGACAAGCCCGATTCGCTATGTAGGATGTATGTATCCCTCCTAAAATTCATTTTCAAATTTTTTTTTTCACATTTGCCTACCTTCATACCTAACTAATCACAGTAAATCCAGCCCAAACCCTTGCCCCCAGGCCTTCATAATGATCGCAGTATGTATCGTACTTGAGCCAAGTATGAAGCTGAACGACGAGAGAGAGAAGACGTTGTTGATATGATTTAAAAGACTCAATGAACTCTTCCGACACCCCCGTTTCCTTGCAAGACAGTCCCGACAATCACGGGGCTGTGGTCAACATCGTATCTTGGTTTCTCCTCGTTTTCAGCTCGCTGCTTATCCTCACCCGCCTAGGCACGAAATGGGCCGTGTCGAGGGTGCTCCATGTGGATGATGGGATGATAGTGCTATCGCTAGTTGAGTCGCGCCCGTCCCAAGTCCCCGTCCCCGTCCCCGTCCCCGTCAGCCCCAGGCTACTGGGTACAATACAATACAATATTGTGCAATACCAGGGGCGCTGCCTAGGCAAAGATTGGTTTAGCGTTCTGACTATCGCTAACCGTGATAAATAGATCTTATGCATCTCGCAAACCATCGCGACCAACCTAGCGGTTGCCAATGGGCTGGGTCGGCATATCGACACTCTCTCGGATGAGAACGTCATCGCCTTTCAAAAGGTGCACCTCTTACACCCTCTCCCTTCCCCTTTAGTTTGGCTCCGTCGGTGGCTGACTTTGGGAATCAACCCTGGTAGTGTTTTTATGCCGCAAATGTGCTCTTCATATCCAGCCAGGCTACATCGAAGCTGTCTGTCATATTCTTCATCCGAGTCATCTCACCCTACACTCTCCACCGGCACCTAACCACGATCCTCATTGCCGCTACACTCTTATGGACCTTAACCTCTACTCTGTTATTATTATTCCAATGCGATGTCTCCAGAGTATGGGATTCTCTCTCGAATCAATGCATGGATGAGAGGGCGATGTGGAATTTCATCAACACGGTGAACCTCTTAATCGATGTTGGCTTGGTATGCTTGCCAGTGATGGTGGTTTTGAAGCTGAGGGTCAAGTTGCAACGCAAGATCGCGGTCGTGTCGTGTTTCGGAACGCGGATCCTGTAAGTCTGGTCTCTCCCTAGATGCTCTACGCATCCCTTACCATAGGTACCTAGTACACAAAGGTTGCTAACATACTGCTGAATAGAACCATAGCCGCAATCATTTGGCAGATGATAAACTCGCAACAGATACCAAATCATCAAGACGCCACATTTTCGTATTGGTCTCTCGTGCTTTCCATGTCGCTGGCGGAAAACCTGGGCATCATGACAGCTTGCGCTCCCTACCTAAAGCCACTGCTAGACAGTCTCGAGTCCGGTTTGATCCGGAGCGACGATATTCGACGTCGCGCAAAGTCTATGGGGAAGTCTACCGCCGACAACTCAGGGGGGCAGGATCAAAGCCAGGGAAACAGCTCTGCCTCTGCCGCGAGCCGCTCCAGATCTATTGCACATGGCGTGTCACACGAGTTACAGGATCTGGGGAATCCAAACTCCGCCGTGACAGCTTCCGTCACAGCCGGGGGGGCGGGAGGCCATGGCAACTGGGAAACGGCGAGTCAGTCTAGCCAGGGGAAACTCATCAAGCAGGTCAAGACCTGGGGCGTTACGAGCTCTTAGGCGCCGGTACGGTGCATATTCATATCATACTATTCTTGTATTGGCAGACCTACAAGTAGCATTCACCTGTACTATCTATTGATCTAGAATTTATACCCATTATGTACAGTATAATATAGAGATGTCTAGTTCTGGCCATTAGGTACATATGTGCATGTATACATATTCACAGAGGCTGTGACAAAATTCGACACGGCAACTGAGAAAGAGTATGAGTAGGTATTTACACACCTGCATCTATCTCGCTCGGTTAGGCAGTAAGATTCTCTACGGCGTAAATACACATAATCACGACTACCACCCCCTCAAGCACCCCAGGGATGTCAGCAGTAATTTGGCGTAAATACCTGTTAATGCGTAGGTAGACGGATGTAACGCCAACCACCCCGAGTACAGTGTGACGATTAACAGTGTGCGTAGCTTGATTTTACTGGCCGGCTGGTTATCTCTTGCTTTCCTTCCTGCTGTGTAACGGTGACGGCGGTTCAGATATGATAGGTATTCCATCTCGCTACATCCGAAGCCCGAGCAAATCAACCAACATACATATCTCCCTTAGGTAGGTAGTAAAGTAAGTAAGCAGTAAAAAGCACGAAAACCCAAAATGCACAAAGGCAAGGCAGCCGAGACAATGTAGAGCCGCAGCTGCCGCTGTCGCCGATGCCCCAGCTACTGTAGGGAGTGGCGCCCACGTTCTGTGTCAATGGTCTTTTGTCTTGCACGCGGGCTTTTTCTAAGAAATACACGCAGACACACAGAGATCGCCACACTTCTTTCTTTGAGCCAACGCCCTATATTTCTCACCCACGTTTTCTATGTCCTTAATTAGCCCAGGAAGCTCAATATCAGGGTCAATCTATACCTTCTGGGACTTAGGTACCTGAAGACACAACTTAGACGGGTTGGGGTTGCGTATTTAACCCAGGGAGTACGTACAGAAGCCGGCCGGCCAATGAGAGGCGCAAAAAGCGAAACATCGAAAAGATGTCGAAAGACTATGAGATGAGCAGCTTCAAGCGCCGCGATGACGATGATATCGGGCCAAAGTCCACGTCAGCGGATATCATCAATGCGGACACATTCTCGGCTGAGGAGGAACCATTGTCGGCGGGTCGCCGGACTAAGCTTCTGATCGAGAATGATAATCAGACGCTGTCGCGCCTGGGGAAGGTGCCGGTGCTTAAGGTGAGAAGGGGATATATCCATGCGTACTTGACTTTGTGTATATGTTATACGTGATGACCGGGTCGCTAACCACGTATATCATGTTGACAGCGCAACTTTGCCCTGATGTCCATGTTAGGGTTTAGCTGCACGGTGATGAATACCTGGGAAGGAGAACTCGTGTGTGTCCACCCCTTCATCCATCCACTCCTGCTCCTATTCCTCCTATAATATCACGTGGCACTTCGGTATGTATTCTAGAACATCAATTGGAAAGCTGACCGTTATCCGTTAAATCGCAGACTATTTCTTCTGTCGTATGAGAATGGAGGCTCCGCGGGCTCGATCTACGGCTACATAATCGTCTGGATTGGTACCTTGTGTGTGTTTGCAAGTATGGGTGAACTTGCGTCAATGTAAGCTCTTTCAATTGCGTCGACTAGACTATGCCTTGATTCATATCTAATACTATATCTACACAGGGCACCGACGTCGGGGGGCCACTACCACTGGGTATACATGCTAGCACCAACCAAGTCACGCAAGTTCTTGAGTTACTTCATCGGTATGTCTACATTGTCCACATAAAATAGCCAATAGCCTAACCAAAACACCAGGCTGGTTAACAGTAATCGGCTGGCAAGCCGCCGTCGCGAGCCTCGGCTTCCTCGCCGCCGGCCTAATCCAAGGTGTCGCCGTGATGGGCAACGCGAACTACACGCCGCTAGCCTGGCAAAAGACGCTCTTACTATGGGCGTCGATCGCGTTCGCCGTCTTCGTCAACACGGTCGTCAGCAGCGCGCTGCCCAAGATCGAGGGGCTCGTCCTCATCCTGCACGTGCTCGGCTTCTTCGCCATCCTCATCCCCTTGGTGTACCTGAGCCCCCACGGCAGCGCGAGGGAGGTCTTCACGGTGTTCTCGAATGAGGGCGGCTGGCCGACGCAGGGGCTCGCGTTTATGCTGGGCATGATTGCGTCGGTGTTTAATTTTCTTGGTATGGTGCCTGCCTACCCCTATTGTAATAGTTGCTTGGAGATTTACTATAACTTGTGTACTAACTCCTATTTAGGTGCCGATGGTGCTGTACATGTAAGCACCACTTACCTAACCTAGCCAAGGCGCTTAAACCTCCACCACTCAGTGTCACTAACAGGCCTACGCAGATGTCCGAAGAGATCCAAAACGCCGCCATCATCGTCCCACGCGCCATGGTTTTGACCATCGTCCTAAACGGCGCCCTCGGTTTCGGCATCCTAGTCGCCATATTATTCTGCGTCGGAGACGTCGACGCCATCCTCGAGTCTCCCACGGGCTACCCCTTCATGGCTATCTTTGAGCAGGGCGTCGGTTCGGAGCGCGGCGCGCAGACCATGGCATCCATCCTGGTGATCCTCAATCTCTGCGCCACCGTCTCCCTGGTCGCTTCGGCGTCCCGGATGACCTGGTCCTTTGCGCGGGATAGGGGGTTGCCGGGGTGGTTCTACATTAGCAAGGTCAGGACCCCCCCACACCACCACTGCATCAACATCTGATCATCACGCTAACAATACCTAACCCACCCTCTAGATCGAGCCCCGGACCTCCATCCCCGTGATCGCCATCGCCCTGACAACCGTGATCTCCTACCTGCTCGCGCTCATCAACATCGGCTCCTCCGTCGCCTTCAACGACATCGTCTCGCTCGCCATCAACGGGCTGTACGGCTCGTACCTCATCGGCAACAGCCTGCTGCTCTGGCGGCGGCTCGCCGGCCACATCCGCCCGTACAACCGGGACCACGAAGGGCTGACGAACGTGTCGCACGACAACCTGTCGTGGGGGCCGACGCGGATCCCCGAGCCGCTCGGGAGCATCGTCAACGCGTTCGGGTGCGCTTTCTTGCTTGTGATGCTGTTCTTTAGCTTCTGGCCGACGGCGATCAATCCGACGGCTAGCACGATGAATATGAGCGCGTTGATGGTGGGGGCGACGCTGATTTGGTCGGTGGTGTACTATGCTATCTGGGCGAGGAAGGTGTATTCTGGGCCGGTTATTCAGGTCAGCTAAGCTAACTAGGTAGGTAGCTTGAACCTTTGGCCTTAAACTGTTGTTTATATGAGCTGCGGCTCTGAATTCGCCAAGCATTTCCCCCCTATTTTAGCCTCATTGGCTCAGTTCAAAATAGCAACAGCTCAAGGACACTCAGGGGGGGGGGGGGCATTATAACACACATGTATATAAGAATGTTACGATTATCTACAGCACCTTGTTTATATAGTTTAGAGATACTTCATCAGGGGCCAAAATAGGAGTTATCAACGCCTTCCAAGGTTCTAACAGATCCAATCCATTCATTCGTAAAAAATAATCCCAACAGATCCCTCGCGTCCCAATTGCCTACAAATCTACTGTCCCTGCATGTCAATCCAATCCAACCCAATATACCCAAGCCCTCGTATCCTAGTTACCTTCCCAAATATCTATCTACCTACGTCCCACCCACCGCCACCCCCAAAAACTCCACATGATTATCCGTAACCGTATCATTAAACGCACTCACATCCTGATAATACAGCGGCGTACTCCCACTCCCACTCCCACTCCCCTCCGTGCCCCTATCCCCATCCCCTCCAGCACCAGTCACTCCCTCCAACGAAAATATCTGCCTTGTCCGCCCAACCCCAGACGTGTGGCTGTTATCCGCGAGCCGCATGTACGTCGCGGTCCCGTTGCGCGACGTGCTGAGCACCGAGCCCCCAAACCCGCTTCCCCCCGCAGCAAACGCCTCCAGCCCAGCCGGAAACACAGAGTCCCCACGGACCTCAAGCACAAGACTCTGGTTCAGATCCGCCCTCAGCGCCAGATCGCCCGCGTCCGAGTACGCCGCCGAGCTGCTGCAGTACAGCGGGTAGCTGTAACTAGCACTGTACTCGATCCCCAGCCCCGCGCCGGTGGCCGTGTCCGCGCCCGCGATGCCGAACGTGTTCACGTTGTCGAAGCCGCCGGCGTAGACGCCGCCGTTGTTCGAGTACGAGAGGGACTGCGCCCAGGTGACGGTGCCCTCGGTGTTCTGGGTTCTCACGTACGAGGAGATGGATAAGGTGCGCGTGACCGCGAGGGTGTAGTCGAGGGTATCGTTTCCGCCGGTGGCGTTCTGCGTGATGCGCTGCGAGAACGCGATGGTGGGGTCGGCGGTGAGCTGGGCGCCGAGTTCCCCTGTCGTGATGGAGGCGGTGTCGGCGTCGAGCCAGAGGAAGATCTTGCCGGTGATGTACCACGAGCTGTCGGTGGTCGTGGAGAGGTGCGCGCTAGAGACGCCGTCGTCGTCGAGGCCGAGGACTTGGATTGTGAAGGTGTGCGCGTTGCCGTCGCAGAGGAGCGGGAGCCACGGCGTGATGTCGATCTCGTGCTCCCTGATGTCGAAGGCTTCGATGCCCACGATGGGGCGGTGCAGTTGGGGGACCACGCCGCCGGTGTAGATCACCGGAAACGGCCAGGAGACGCCGGCAAGCCGCCCATCGATGAGAACCTGGACCTCCCGGAACGGCGAGTACCCCGGGTACGTCCCGTAGTCGGCCTCGAAGGTGTTGATGGCGCTCTGCGGAACGTTGCTCCACCAGAACTCCTCGTCGCCTTGACCTTTTACGTCCACGGTGAACACGGCACGATTCACGTTCTGGGGAATGCTAACGATGTTAGTCGCGTTTTGCTCCGGGTACGTAAACTGACTCGGCTCCCCTGTAGATCCCGTGCGTTCGGAAATAGGGATGATCAAGTCGGCGGGCCCACGCTTTTCCACAGAAATCGCCGGACCCTTAAAGAATGTTGCAGTGAGCGTCGTGTTGAGGATCCCCGTGTAAGTGTCATCTACTATGCTCTCCAGGTCGAAGATCAATGTTTGGGGCGCCTTCCACAGAGACACGAAGGGCGTCATGTCCTTGAGCCAGACCCAGCGGATGCCGGACGCGGTAGGTTCGGCCGTTGATGTCCTCCATACCTCCGTGTCGCCAAAATACATGACGCCCGTCCGATCATATTGTCGCCCCTTCACTAGCACGGTGAAGTTGATTACCACACGATCAAAATCATAATCAGGAGGTGTATAATTGCCTTGGCAAAGTCAGAATTAAAATAGCCCATGTTAAGGAAATGAAATATAGCTGCGTGTGAGCATACCAATAAAAGGAGCGCCGTAGCTATTGGCGAAGGAGTGCTCCATCAATACCACCACGAGTCCGTCCTCGCCTACATTCGGGGCCGGGCTTGCTTTGTGAACCCCATCGCGGAACGCGGGCCCTTGAGGCATCAACACAGGACCGGCGACCTGGAAGCATTCCAACGGTGCGCCCGTGGCAGCAGATATAGCGCTACTGGTTGGCGTGGGATCTGTTTGTCTAGCAATGAGGTTGTTAAATCTACCAAAAGGACCGCGAGGTATTACTTTGACACGTTTATCGACTACCTTTTGCGGTGGATATTTCACGTCCGGGTGTGTCCACGACAATCCTATCAGCAAAGTCATCAACAGGACCCATTTCGCAACCAGGGCGCAAGCACCGCCACTCATCGGGTTCGAGCACAACATTTCATTCGTTCCTCAATTCGTTTCGGGTTGAAGATGCTGCTGACAAGACAAGGCAAGGGAAGTCAAGTCATGCATTCGAGAATACTAGAATTATCGTATCGATCCGGTTTAAGCACGACATTTTTGCTGGCATATTTGCTGGCGGTGCGACCCTTGCATGGATATATGCATTCCGGAATCGCGGACTGATAACGATGCATTCTCCCGCGCAACATAAATAGGTAAATATCAGCCGAGAACAGAAGGTGATAACGCCAAGCCTGTTCAGGGATATCCAAACTATCCCACTCTCCCTCCTCTCTTTTTCTCTCTTTTTCTCTCCACCTCTAGATAACCCCCCTATTCATCAGTAATCAGGTCGGGACTTGAATGAACTACAATGCCCGATTTAGCAAATACATAAGGGAGAGGACAGCAAAATACTACCAGGTAACTGCCCAGGGTTAGGGGTATATCCGCCATGACGCAAAATCAACTCGCTTCTCTCTTCTCAACCCAAACAAATACGAGCAACAATGTTCTACCTTCATCCCGACCGAATTATTTTGCGCCAATCAACAACTTATTAGTTTAGGTCACCATTCCATGTCACCGCCTCCTTACAAGCAAGCTTTGTCGCACTGCAGACACGCACGCGTAAATTCAAAGTATCAGCTGTTCATAATCATAGTCCGTGTTCCCTATCATTCGTCAAGTATGTTAGATTTCTACGGATATAAAAGGCCTTGTCAGCGCACCACAAAGAAGGCGTCCATCCGCATCCTTTTCATCACACCAAATAACCCCCTCTCAAGAAAGGAAGAAAGAAAACAATCAATTTCACCTCTTTCAAAGGAAAAAAAAACATTTGTACTACCTAAAATGCCTGCCCGTTTCCCAGACAGAACTGTTGCCACAGCCGAAGCGAAGCTGTCCTCTAACGCACCGCCCAGTTGTCAAATACTTGTCCAAAAGGCGGGCGGGCGAGCTGTGTGGTCTCTTGGCTCTAAATATGTCTTAAAGGACCGGTTCTACTATCCATGTAGCGAGATCGAGGCCCGCAACACGGAGTATGCTGCACAAATAATCCGTAATCCATTTGCGAAGATGATCGCATCTTGGACGGAAGGAGACCGGTACCTCACGATCCAAGAACGCCTTGACGGCGAGCCATTAGAAGATGTGCATTCGAAATTGACTCAAGGAGATCTGGCGCGCATTGGACAACAGGTAGGTTTGTACGTCTTAAAGCTGAGAACCGAAAACTTCACTGAAATGCGGATGTTAGATGGACGACCAGTCATCGATCGCCGCTTATTCAAACCTGCCCCGGGAGTAAGCTATGCAGTCTGTACAACCGAGAAAGATGTCGCCATGAACTTGTCTCTCGCGATTGCGGGACGTATTGATCACTCTCTTCTCCAAGGTTTCATGGCCAAGATGCCACCTGCCATGCCATTCAAGTTCAGCCACTCTGATCTGCACGAGGGCAACATCATGGTCAAAGATGGCAACTTCGTCGGTCTTATCGACTGGGAGCTCGCTGGCATCTACCCCTCGTGGTGGGAGTTTGTCAATAGCTGTGAGCTTTTGAGTGATCATCTCCCGGCCGAACTCCAAGACCAGAATGCATTGGCCTGGTTTCGTATTTACCATGCACTCCGAGAGCTGCCTAGTGACGATAGGCTTACAGCCACAGTAAATGAGTACCTTTCAAGGTAAGCAACATCTTCCAAGAGTTTGATTAGTTGCATGTTTCTTCTACTAGGTGAAAGGCTTTGCCAGCTCAATAAGGGCCAGGCTTAAGCCACTACATAGATAAAGGTGAGTGAAATCACATTCTTAGTGTAAATTAATAAAGTTGATACAAACGTTCCATGTATTACACATAGGTAATACCAATCATTCTTCTAGTAGGTCAAACCACTCTGGAATCTCCTTAATGAGACTCCACATGTACTTTTCTAGTCGAGTCGCACATTTCGAGTATACCGTTGTTCCATCATTATACTTCCGACAATTAGTAAAAATTAATTTGAGATCGTCGACAAGTTCTTTCGGGGTATGATATTGATCATTCTGTAACCTTTCGTCCATGGTGGAAAGGTCCATTGGTGATGCAATGACATTGTAATAGTCAGGGACTTCATCTCTGTTAACCGGGTTTAGGAACGGCCACGCTTGTTTGTGGTTTTGAATTTGGTATAGAAAACGACGAAGTTCGTTGAAACGGGGACCGTGGCGCGGTTCTCGTGCTAATTCGTCCATTTCGGGAGACCAGCTAGTTGCCTGAATAGCAGGAATTGAGAGTGGATCAATTGGAGTAAGAGTACCGTTGGCCCATTGCGCAGGTGGTTGATGGATAATGTGACTTTTGCTCACGGCACGAATTTTGGCCAACACGGTTTCCTTCTCTTTAAGGAGCATGCGACCAGCTTCAAGATAACGGATCCGGGGAAGCATGGAACATTGCATGATGGTCCCTCCTTCGTAATCTTTTATATATCCCATCCAGAGCTTCTTATCAAGGGTGATCTCTTTAGTGAAGCCTTGCTTCTGGAAATATCCGGTAGCATAATTATCAGCGTAAGTGAGAAAATGCATTACGGGGGAAGTAGCTTTCACGTAATCCTTCAAATGGGCCATAAGATGTGCTCCGTATCCCTTCACTTGTTGGTCGGACGAGACTGCGCAAAACACGATTTCGGCAAACTTGTGAGGTCGGAATTCTCGGAAAGTTATTCCACCAATAACCTCTAAAGGCATTTTCACGATGGCGATGGATGTATGGGTGAGATCATAGACCAGGCGTGCAATATAATCTTTGGGCATTTTCGGGAGTTGCTTTTGAAAGAGGCATTTGAGCCCTGTAAGAATAATCCAACTCTCTCTGGTGCCATCGTTGTTGACAACTCGGAACTCAATGTCCCCGTTTCTTTCCTCTATAACTGCAGGCTTTGAACCAGTTAGTTGGAATATTTCCTACCTAACGTTAAAAGGTACTAGCACACCTTGTCTGGGAAAGGAACTCTCCAAGTTGTATCTGGAGGTTTAACATCCAGCCCCAGTTCTGTAGACTCATTGTGAGATTTCTTAATTCTTTTGGTGTCTCTTTTGGTGTTAGGGGGGCGGTTTGGTTCCTCTGAAGGCTTGCGCTTCACGACGAGATTTTGCTCACGGTTGGCTGTCATGATTGCGATCCTTCTTTGTCTCCGAGCGTTGAGAAGACACCCACACTACTACCCCTCAGAAGATGAGGATGGGATAGGTGGGGTCCTTTATGATTGGATGATTGAATGATTGAATGAATATAACAGTGTGTTTGGAGATGCTTCGTTGTTTGGTTGGTTGGTTTGATTGATGACTTGCTAAGTAAATATTGAAGCTGTTGTTACTGGGTGAACAAATCACAGTACAAGTTCGAAGCTTCTTAATGGTTCTTATGATCACGGGCACTGTGTTTTAGCTGTCCGAAATTGAAAAGAGAACGTTAATACTAGTTATGTAGGTTAGCTTGGTCGATTAGCTCTGATTAGCTCCTCTATATTTAAGGTTTATGTACGCGACTTTGATTGGGTATAAACGCCCTGATGTGATTCGGCGTAGCGTACTTAGGTAGCTGAGGTCACCTGACCTTAGGAGCAGTGCTGGCTTGCGATTAGTTAGTAGGCAGGGCTGACAGGGAGGTTGTATGTAGTTATGGAGAGGGGCTTCTGGATGAGACAGCGGCAGCATTCCCCGAAAGCAACCTTGAAAAAATGAGGGAGAAGCAACAGACAATGTAAGCTAACTTATCCTATGACATTTTTGGTTTAGATCAGTTAAATCTCGATGGGAAAACGGTGGAGGGATTGTATGTACATTCAACTTGCTGTCGCAGTCTCGTAAACTTAGAGAGAAACCAAGCCTAGATGGATCTTGCATGACAAAAGAGACCAATCGTAAGAAATGACCCGTAAGTCATACGACAACAAGTGGAATGGCTGTGGCTTCCTAGCAATCAGGTAAGTAATTTAAGTTCAATCAAAACTTTGAATGTATCGGCTGACTAGGGCATGATTTCCATTTTCCTGATATTCGCTGCCGTAAGTATGACCGAATAAGAAAACGTTTGAGGCTTGGGCGGATTACATACTCCTAAGTTATGAACGGATGATGCCGTAGGACTTAGGTCGAGTTAGTGTGGTCAATCATCAATTAACATTAGATAAATAAATGGATAACTAAATAACTACAGTGCTAGCTCAAAAGTATTCTACGATCATAGTACGATGAGTCTGGGGCAGATAGACCGCTCCAGGAACAGTGCCTAAGCCTGTGTGCAGTCTGTGCGACTAGCCGTTTTTAGTAGCAATAGTGGATAATGACAGCGGCATAAACCCACACGCAGTCCGGGGAAGCGGGGTTAGTGTACTGGGGAAGACCCCTGGAACCCACTTGGCTCTAGACATCGCACGTGAGAAGATGACTAGTACTATCACTTCATTCCTTAAGGACAAAGGAAAGAACGAATCAATCATCTATTAAATGAGTAATGTTAAATGATTCAAAAATACATGGGGAAATGCAATTACTGGGTGAGTGACATCAAAGGCAGGTGCCCAAGTACATGTATGTACATACATACATATCCATGCCCAGTGCTTATTAGGTAAGTTGATGGCGTGTTGTATACTTGCTTTCTGTTGTAACAGTGGAATAATACCCCAACCCTTACTTCGTATGATACATACAACTTTCTAGTTGGGTACACCACTACCTATGTACCCATTCATCAGCACATATCCTGCAGAAGCATACAACGAGTCAGCTCTCATAAAAATGAGGACCTATTCACATGGGTATCCATAAGTACACTAAATCCAGCAGAGGCTGCCTGTATAATGGCATGTCAACCAGCTATGCTAACGAAGCACACCCAACCTAATCCTGGATTACACCCCGGATGATTGGTGTTTAGCTGATCGACGCCGTACCATGGTCTTTTGTTATTGGTTACCCCGCTTCCTCTCTTACCATTTCCCCAGAAATACATTCAGTTCAGGTGGATAGTGTAACTGGGGCGAGTCCAACGAAGGCAGTATCAACCCATCCATCCTTTGTCCTCCCTCCCCCTTTAAATGCCAATGCTTCCCTCTCAAGTTGAAAATAGAATTCCTCTCCAAGATGTGACACTTCAACATCTCTCCTCCTCTACACCTTTCAGCAAGAGCTTCATCATAACAATTACCATCAACTTGAAACAAAGCACTACAAGAGAACTATATCAATCTTAAAGTAATACTCGACTTGCACTACACACGCCGGACCTGAAAACATCTATTCCATCCCTTAAATCATTTCTATCCATCACAAACCATCTCAATACCCATCCAAAATGCCCGTCCGTATCCCCAGAGCTAAGACGAGCGAACTTGCCACCTTTGGCTTCGCTGGTGTCGCCGGCTTCGCTCCATTCTACATGATGCTCCCCGGTGCCGAAGAACGCCTAGCGTCGCAAACCGCTCGATGGGCCCCCCGCTGGGAACGAAACATCTCCTACTTCGCCCCTCCCGCCCAGAGAATTGCCCAACGTGTAGAACCCCGGGTCGAGAAAACCGTCAAGAAAATCGACAACAGGCTACCCCTGGAGAAGATGGCCAAGAATGTCGACCGACGGATCAAGTCTGGGATAGATAAGATGAGCAAAGAATGAATGACGAATGGCTACTGGTGGGAGTATGGTAGTGCGAAATGATCAGACTGACGTGTGCAAAACTTACTATTATCATATACCTATGCACACTTTCTTACTGGAATCATCCAAGACTTGGGGTTATGGTTACTTACAAGTCCCACTTCGTCATATCGAAGTACTAGGGCTACGAGTGCCTAACGCTCTAAACTAGGGCATTCATGACTCGTCCACTACATAGTAAATAAATAAAGCTGAACAATATCTACTATCTTTGCCCCTGTGTCACTTGCTCGCAGCTATATTGTGTCATGATAATTATAGTTCCTTTTCTGAACCATTGGCTTGTTTAGTATGTACACCTGGTCGGCTCTCATATATTTCTCTTCGTACGTAGCCCCTTTAACCATATCTCCTATATTCCCCATTCCTAAAATACTATTCCCCCATCAAACTTTACCCCTCCCTAAACATTTGCGTCTATTGTAATAATTTTGATGCATGCTTACGAAACAGATCTGGCTTGTTACTAGTGGTGAGATTCATTTCCGAGATCGACTTACATGTCCACGTTTCTTACTCCTTTGTCTTACTTCCCCGCAGTTTTCGCCGTTATACTTACTTAGGGGATGGCCGCATCTAGAGTTCACTCTGGCATTAGGTAGAGGAAGGTTTCGACCAAAAATGATCAAAGGTTTTAAGGTCAATGCTTTCAGACATCTAACTAACCTAGATCGTTGTATGCACCTACCTAGCAGTTGGTGGAATCTAGGTAGATAGCGCCGAGTCTCCAACTCGAACGATATTAGATGGTATGGTCCGATGTCTACGCCCCCTCTCTCCGCTACACAGAACAACGCTGATATTTATGAGCCCGCTTGTGACACGGCAATTATCCCGTGCTGAATCTCCGCACTGCTTGCCCTTCTTACATGAGACACACATCTGCTAACTCGACAAAGGGATGATGTAATTACCTCAAACATAAACACAATATACACCTTCCCATAAATAATCTTATAAACTTGCCACCACAACCTTCTAACAATATTATCTCAATTGTACGTATACATTTCAAGAAATACCCTCGCCAGTTCAGCAATCTCGAAAAAAATACTCTTACCCAAGATGCAAATCAAAAGGGGTATCAAAGAGATACGATATCCAAAAAAGAAACATCAAAAAGAAAGAAGTGACCACCCTGGGGGTTGAACCCAGAATCTCCTGATTACTTGCTGAGTAATGATACTTAGTCGTAGTCAGACGCCTTACCATTGGGCCAAGCGGCCTTCTTAGAATGTGAAAGTTGGACGAACTAAGTTGGTTTATAGAGGGACGCTACTGCAACCAATTGAGTTGGAGGTAATCAATTGTGGGTCCTAGATAGATACTAATTGTACGGTGTATCGTCTCGGCGACGGGCGACTGTAACTCAACCTACCTATTATATTTAGTATTATTCAGATTGAATATCATGATTCTTTAAGAATAGCTCAACGGGATAAAAATATATGGCAATCTTCAAAAGCTTATCTATGAAGATACATAGGTGGGTAGTACGAATAGATCTGGGTTGAAAGATGTTACTGACGATTCCGCAGCTTCACGCAAATCCAAGATGTAAGATATATGGCTGGTCCTGATTTGGGGTAGATCGACGTTTGATCCTGCGCGGCTATACACTGATACCGATACTGAGCTGAACTTGGATATGCTGATTGATCACATATCGTGAGAATAGCTGCGGCGAAACATTATTAGGATTAGGTGTAAACATCAACACAACATACAGTAGGTAATTACGTGGGGATAAGCACCTAAACCTGGTAATCTATCTCTCGGGATAGTCGTGCCCCGGAGCTAACAGTGTTGGGATAGCGAATGGTTTGATCCGTGACTGGGGGAGGCTGCCAGGGGTTGGTTGATCTAGGCTGGCCGACCCCTTTTTCTGTATCAAGCCTCCGGATCTAACCTGAACCATCTTCAACCAACTCCACCGTCTGAAATTATCTTCGACGCACCACCGAATATGGCCATATTCTTCAAATTAACACAAGACCAATGCCAAGAGTCGCAACAAAAGAAACAACCCCCCCTAGTGACCTTGGGACGATGAACTTTTTGAATCCTCCCATAATCGCAAAAAGGGTAGAGATCATTGAAGTTGTGATGGATTCGGATGGATTTACGCCACTACATGTTTTGATGTTCGGGATGTTTCAAGATGTACATCGCACACTCGCTAACGGTAGCGTTCCTAGAAATGACATTAGGACTTGATAGAATCGGGCTCGGACGCGTAGGTCGTAGTGTATAGTAAGTAGCCGCGTACGCCCGTGCAATCTGTAATTATAATATAACGACGTTTGTTTCCCTTGGCGACTCGACTATACTACTTTTTCCCAATGGCCGGTCCAACATGACCATTTTCTCTTCTTCTTTCAACAATCTAGTATTGTTTTTGAGTCTTTTTGGATAGCCGGCCTATCTAGGCCGTTTTTCCCGCGACAATGCACTGGTGGCCTTTGATCGCTCTTATTCTAGGGGCGTCGGCTGCGCCAGCGCCCCAGAAGATGCCGATACCTTCGGTGGATCCGACAGCATGTGCGAAGATTTCTCGAGCGGTAAGATCAAACCCAAAGGGTGCGTAATATATATAGATATAGATATCTACGATGTTCTCAATTCGTAGAGTATTAAAAGTTGGGATATGAATGCTGACATAGGTCACTTCCTCTAGCTGCGCCAACTTTTCCAGGGTCCGTGGCGTTCGATTGTCTTAAGTCGGTACCGAATCGGCCTCAGCCAGCCCAGCAGCTCATCCAAAGTCTCAAGGCCTTCATGCAATGGCAGAGCACCCTCGCCTGGCTCAAGAACCCCCCGCCGTCTTATAAGCTTCCCCCGGTCGATATCGAGGCGAGCCTAGACAAGATCTCGGCCACCGCCGCAGCCGGGGGTTACGCGAGCGAATATGACTTCCAGCTTGCGATACTTGAGATGACTGCCGCCGCGCATGACGGTCACTTTTCCTACGTCGGGGACGTCTTCAAAGTTTTTAATTTCGAGAATAAATTAGCTGCGGATATCGTATCAGTGTCAGTAGACGGAGTTACCACCCCGAAACTCTACCGTTTATGTAAGTTCGGCCCGAATCTCGTACCCCAAGCCGGCGAGACCTGTCCGGCAGGCGCTTTACTCATATATATGCTCCTGCTTACACAACCATGTCCTAGCTTCTTTACAACCTAATTCAAGAACGCCGCCGATAGCCATCACCAAGATCAACGGCCAAAACGCCACTACTTTCTTAACAGAGCTAGCCTTACAATACAGTTTTTTCCAAGATCCGGATGCGCAATGGAATTCTCTCTTCCCGATCTACGCCGACTCGGAAAGAGTCAGTCCTTTGGCCTCCTTAGTTGCACTACTGTCCCCGAGCGTGACATTTACGTATGCGAATGGGAAGACCGACACGCAGCAAACACAGGCCGTCCTAAGCACCGGCATAGACTTCACCTCCATATCCACCGGGGACGATTTCTACGATGCGTTCTGCAACCCGGACACAGCCCCCACCACCAACCCGGCAGAAGTGACGCTCACCACGCCGGCACAACCAAAGCGCCCTCTGGTGACCCGTACACCCGAAACTAATATGTACCCGCCTCCGGTAGTCCAGAACAGCCAGGAGGGCACGACCATGGGGTTTTTCCTTAACGGCGACGGGTACGAAGACGTAGCCGTCCTATCCATCTCAGCCTTCACCGAGGACGACGACCCGTACTACCTGCGGCACTTCCAACACACCGTCTCGGCGTTCCTGAACGAGAGCCGGCGAACAGGAAAACAGCGGCTGGTCATCGACCTGAGCGCCAACGGCGGCGGCGAGATCCTCGCCGGCTTCGAGCTGTTCGCGCAGCTCTTCCCGGGCATCGACGCCTTCAACGCGAACAACCTGCGGCTCTCGTCCAGCCTCGCGCGCATCTCGCGCATCCTCAGCACCGTGCCCGCGCAAGAGCAGCAGCAGGCCATCAACTCGTCACCCCTGGTGCAGAACCTGTCGCCGCTCGACCTCGCCAAGCCGCAGGGCACGCGGTTCGGCGGCGTCGAGGACATCCTCGCGCCCGTCGCGCTGCAGGGCGACCGCTTCACGGCGTACATGCGGCAGCCCGAGGCGCTGAACTTCACGCTCACGGGGACCGGCGACCGCGCGAGCCCGCCGCCGGCCCCCTTCGCGCCCGAGAACATCGTGCTGCTCACCGACGGCACCTGCGGGTCCACGTGCACCATCTTCACGTACCTCATGATCTTCCAGGTGGGCGCGAAGACGGTGGCCGTGGGCGGGCGGCCGAGCCCGGGGCCGATGCAGTCGGTCGGCGGTGTCGAGGGGTCGCAGGTGCTGCAGCTGTCCGAGATCGCGAGCGTGGCGGGCGCCGCGATCGGCGCCGACCCGGCGCAGAGCACGGGGGCGGCGGGCGACGAGCTCGCGGTCCTGGCCGAGGGCTACGCCGTCCAGCGCTCCCTGTCGCCCACCAGCAGCCCCGGCAGCGTCAACTTCAAGAACGCGTTCGCCCCCTCCGACGCCCGCACCCCGCTGCAGTTCCTCTACGAGCCGGCCAGCTGCCGCTTCTTCTACACGCCGGGCATGGTCATGTGGCCGGAGCTCGTGTGGCAGTACGCTGTCAACGCTACGTGGTCTGACCCCGAGAGCCTGTGTGTGAGCGGGAGTAGGGTTGAAGACGGGTCGGCCAAGAAGGCGCTGGATCCGGCGTTTCGGGGTAGTGGTGGGAGTGGCGGGATGACGACGAGTCATTCGGTCAGCAAAGACGAAGCCAATAATAATAACCATTCTGCTTCCGCTGCTGCTGCTGTCGCCCAGATGCTTCCCAGTCGGTACGCATTGCTAATAGCGGCTACTGCGGCCGCTTTGGTTACGATGGTGTGGTTTTGAATAGATTCTATACGGCTAGGTGTTTCGGTTTGGAGATAACGATATATTGAATTTTTAATCTTGGGATTGGGATGGTACATACGGGCGGGACGACTATAAAGGTTCAACGTGTATCTAGACGACGAATGTCAGGGGTTTGGTGGTGAGATGTCTAATGCTACATATTCTGCATACCATGGTATATACCTATTTATTATAATTAATCTAGTTAATTACGAAGATCCTCTAAAACTCGGTAGTTGTAAAAAGATATGGCCGCTTACTATTGGCGTTTTGTACGCACGACGAGCTTCTGAAGGATGACATCTTCGAGGATGAACGCAAAGTGAAGACACAGAGCCCAGCACGATTCCAACGAAGGTCTAGATTCCCTAGCTACCTTTGTAGTTAGTTAAGATTCTTTGTCTTCTCTTCTTTGGTTAAGGGGGGCGTACGATTTGTTGACGATAATGTAAGTATGTACAATGAAGTGCCCATAATACCCAGATAAATATAATTGTTGGTATTGCATGTAATCTAACATAGTCGCATAGACGTTGACGATGTCGCGGTGCGCAACTGGAGACACGTAGAGCATGAGTCTTCATGAAAATACGACTCATCACAAGCCTTCAGACATGATCTGCCTACCTAGATACCAGCCCGGTATCAAGCTGTCAGAGATATGTATGCACATCCACGTATGCCATCTACCTACATAGTATATGTCATATACTATGCGGTAGCCCGAAACATTTCTTTGTGTAGGTATACTTAGGTAGGTAGTTACCCCTCCCCCCTATCAGGCATTCACAAACATTGTCTTTCCAACTTCAGGTCAGAATATCTCATATTAGGCCATACAACTACCTATCAACTCACAACCCTTCACACACAAACTCAAACAAGCCAATGTATATGTAGGTAGGTATATATCTAGGTTATATTTCAGGCTTAAATCTACGACTTCGCCTCCCCTCGTCTTGCCTACCTCCCTATATTTACGAGCCGCAAGCCCTCAAACTCATCTTTTTACGTACCTACTTAGGTAGTAACCTAGGCATACCACCACAGCCACCAACGACTTACTTAACTCAATAAACATTGAACGGTTAATGACTTTAAAAAAAACGTAATAACCATCCTTCATTTGCGTAGTACCTATGTATGGCGGAGTTGCTTAAACCGCCGTGCCCTACTCTCTTCCTCTTCCTCTCCCGCCTTCCTGAACGCCAGAGGCTAAAGTGGGTACATACAGTACTACATACATACAAACAAGCAAGCAAGCAGAAACAAGCAAGCAAAAGCAAGGGAATATCTCAAGTACTCTCGAAGGCCGGTCCCAGGCTATGATGAGGGTAAACACGTAACAGCACAAAGGAAAAAAACAAGCGGGGGGTTGGCGGGGGGAAAAAAGCCCGCCAGAGGAAAAAAACAGAAGCACACACTAGGGATGTCTTATGAGTGAACCTGCAGCATACAACTTATATACCGTCGCCTTCCGGAACCTCTGCCGATTCTTCCGTCTCGACAGTTTCCTCTGCGGCAGCTCCCTCTCCGACAGGTTCTTCGGGTATCAGACCGTTCATTCGTTCCCAAACTTCTCGTCGTATTCGGTCGTCCTTGGCCTTCCTTGCCCTCTCTACCTCCTCAAACCCGCCACTCTTCTTGAGCTTCCCTTCGCCAACAAAAGTGGTCAACTCCTTCGTGAGGGGGTTCTCTCGCCGACTCTCCAGCTCTTTCTGCCGTAGCTTCTCTGCGCGTTCTATAGCTTCTAGTCGATCTTCGTGGTTCGGTTGTAGCGCCCTGACCTCGCCTAAAACACCCTCTTTAGATGCGGTGGGATCAACACTATTTCCGAGACTGTTTAAGCCTTTCGAGAACTGCCTTGCCGTGGGCACGGTCTCCTTCATCTGTTCCTTGGTAGCCTGCTCCACTAGCGCAAACGTCTCCGAGGCCTTTTCAATGTCGTCCTGAAGATCCACCATGAGATCTTCCATAAGTTTAAGCTCGTCGCGACCCTGGCAAACTTCTTCCAACTCCTTCTCCCAAATCTTGGTCCAGACTGGCTTCTCGCGCTTCATGTACTCTTGCACCTTCTTCAGCTCTTGGGATAATATTTGGATATCCTTAGATACGCCCTCGAGTTGACGTGGCAAAGGTCTTACGCCGCGATTAACCACGTCCTTGCGCAAGTCTTCAACAAGGTCTTGAAGATCATCGACTTTGGTGACAAGGCGGTCCGAATCTGTGTTGAGCTGTTTTCGGCCTCTCGTTACGTATGAGTAGCCAGAGTCGCCTTCTACATCATGCACCGAGGCCTTCGCCACTGCCACCCTCACGTTGGATGCCTTGCCTCGCAATGAAGACATGGAGTTCTGAATCTCCGTCTGGAAATTTGAGTATGTCTGCCGCAACACAGCAAGATCACGGCGCAGAGTATGTAGATCCCTGAGCTGGTTGGGGTTGAGCTTAGCATCCGGACCAACTCCACCAGACCTAGCAGCGTCCATGATTGCTGGCGGCGCCGCTGCCATACGAGCCATCTCTTTGGCCGATTCCAGTTGCCTTTCCGACACTCGCTGTAAGGCTGACCCTTGATCATTGATGTTCTGTCGCACTTCGTCCACCGCCTTCTTGAGAGCCCCCATGCCCTCATCGAAGTGCTTCTTGACCTCATCAAGGGGCTCGACGTTTAGTGCGAGAACTGTGCGGTCTTTGATGTCAGAGAGGTCCTCAAGCTCATGACGTACTCCGGAAATAGGGTCTTGAATATAGATTTCCGGAAGATCGCTACCATTCAGTGCGGTGTTCCAGGAAAACTTTTCAATGAAAGCCAGCTGTAAACGTCCGATTGTCAACCCAGTATACCCCTCGGGAAGAACAAATTTCTTCACTTTCGACTTATATTGCAGGAACAAGGTAAGCTCCTTATCTAATGGGGGCGATTGGTTTTGTTCTGGTTGCTTCTGTTGTTTTTCCGGGGGAGTTTGAGGTCGCGACCTAGGCTCTACCGTAATGTCCACTTTTGGCTTCATCTTGTCGGGCGAGCCCGGGGCGCTTGTGATTGGAAAAGCATCACCCAAGGGTCCTGACAGGGTAGCCCTAGGTCTGTACTTTTCATCCGGTGACTGAGCTGGCGGACTACCCGATTGTGGGGGTGGTAAATCAGTCCGGAGGCCTTCCTCAGCAACCTTGCTAGGAACCCTGACTGGAGAAGATGGCTCGTACCCATTGTTTGATTTACTGGATGTATTGCGACTATGTCGTAGGGACTCTCGTATTTGGACTGCTCGCATTGATTCTCTCACTTCTCCGCGGCCTCGGTTTGGTATGGGCGTATTCTGTGTGGGCAACATGGGTACACCATTGGTTGGTGCGCCCAAGTGTTTGGAAATCTGGTAGGCCGAGTATCTCCGCGACGCTCTTCTTTCTAGATCACCACCTCTTTGCAAAGCAGCGAAAGCACTTTGCTGTGACTTCGGCGGGGGTGGCGGGGGAGGAGGAAAAGAATCAATGTCAAAGCTGCCCATCGTCGAAGGGTTGCTGGGTATTGTGGCTTCATCGCCAGGGTATGGTGCAAGTATGGGAATGTTCTGCATGGTATTGCTCGACATGGAAGATTGCTCAGAGTTAAAGGAAGCACCTGACTGGTCTCGGGGTAAAAGCCGCCGGTTAGGCGATGATTGACTGGCTCCTGAGGAAATTTCGCTCTGCTGTGGTTGTGGCATTCTTTCGTTCTGTGGTGGTGTGGTGTATCCGTTCTCAAGTCCTTCATTCAAAAGGGATGTAAGGCCAGTATTACTGCTTCCAGTGGTACTGCTGCTCATAGTACGGTTAGCGATTCCACTAGATTCGGGTGAACTGCCGCCGTCCTTATCGCGAGTCTGCTTCTGTCGAAGTTTCTGCTGTTTCCGTTTCAGACCGTGTAGAAGGTGTATGATGATATCTCGTATGCGCGGTAAATACTTCTCGAGACTTTCTGTGTTCGCTTCCTGACTTAAAGTGGCCTCTAAAATATGCCTGAGGTTCTCTGGCACGTTTCCGAGGTCTGATGTGTCTACGTTGATGGCAGTAAATGCGCGACAGGCCATATTAAACTCATAACCCAATCTAACATAGACGTCGGACACTTGTGTGTCGGTAGCCTGGCCACGCGACCATTGTGTCAAGGTTTCGAGTAGTTGTTTTGTCGCAACCAGAAGGTGTGTGACACTCTTCTCTATTTGCGAAAGTGGCATGGATGCTCCGTTAGATTGCTACAAGAAAATGTCTTGGTTAGTATATCATGTTGGTGGGAACAGACGTGGAGGGAGGAGAGAGTGGAGAGAAGAGAGAAGAGAGAGAAAGTGCAAGAAAAGAATAATGAAATTGTGTGGAGGGGAAATAAGACTAGAAAGATTCAAGTCGATTTTTCAACATGATAACCCTCGAATTCGAGCCCTTCGTTTTGGACTCACATTGCGCCTTGAACTTCCGGCTGATCTACTCGAAGCTGTGGACGAGCGTGGCTGCATACCCGCTGGTGACATGGATCGGGTAGGAAGACCAGAGGGAGGACCACTGTCAGGTCCAGGAGACCGACGTTGTAACGATCGTTGAGCGGGATTTGGTGGTTGCATCATGACGTTATTCCTTGAACGTCTGTCTATTTGTTGATTGACAGCAGTATATAATTCTTCCTCTTTTTTCCCCCTCCTCTTTCTACCACCTTGGTCTAATCCTAAACTCGGTTCCTACGTCAATGTCTTAGCGAAGGATCGCGGGATGGTATCATTCGTAATGGAAGGTATTCGAAGGGTTCCAAGTAATGCAAAGTATAAAGCGACAGCAAAGTATTTGAGCAGAAGGTATGGCGACAAAAAATTGACCAATATAGAAGGGTCTTGATGAAAGGACGTTGAATGAGAATGAATCGAAAGTGGTACTATGTATTGATTGAGGATGACGGAGCAGAAGCGACGGGGCATTTTGCCCGCGTGAGGCGCGACGTCGAAAAGGACGACAGAGCCCGACCTGAGCTAGTCTTAATCTGGACAAGCGCACGCAGGGGCAAGGGTTAAACATGGGTGATGTTCCGAAGGCCGGTCTAAACTTGAACGTCTATCCGTTTCTCGTTGGTCATAGCGGCCCCGTTTGCAAATCTCCAGGGCTTTTCAGGGCTTTTCCGGGGTTTTCAGGGCTACTAATGCCACTAATAAATAGAGCACCTAGCCACTAAATTTATATGTACAGTACTATGCCGTACCACCTATTATGGAGTGCATAGAACCTTGAAGTTTGATGGTACGCACGAACCTCTAGTCTTTTTTTGTCTTTATCCCCAGGGTTATTGAATGAATGAACTTAATTAGAAACAACTTACCTTGATCATTTAAACTTAATTCCTTTATACTACTGCAAGTTGCAACTCTAACAGTTAGCATTAACTAGTAACTAGCAATTGGCAATTGGCGATACGAATATTAAAACGTTTCTTATGACCGTTGACCTTGTCGAACTCAATGTTTTTGTGGTGTAACAATTCTTGCAGGCTTCCAAAACTGAATGAAATGAAGTATCAAAAAATGCGGGCTCATGCATCTCTTAAAATACCATCTTGAACAAGGGCTGTTAATGACTCACATTAACTTGAACACGATCAACATTACAAGTTTCGTAACCTATCCACTGAGTATAAGCAAGCACTTTACTCTGCTATTGATTGTTATAATCACCACCAATCGTACGCATTCTCTCTTATTAGAAGGGCCACACCTATCTAACCTACTATTCTAGGCGACATAATCCCCAATTCTATCTACACCTTTCCAATATTAGTACTGCATATCACCAGATGTCCCCTTACATACTAACAAAGAGGCGTTCGAAAACATGAAAGTTGTTTCCTAACAAGGCAAAAGGCAAAGACAAGAATACACACTCGGACGATGGGCGAAATCCTTCTGCCAAAGAAGCTCATTACATCTACGTTGTGCTCTCCAGATCCTGATGGGCCGGTAATACGCATACATACCTTAGTAAGTAGAATAGGTATGTTAAGCGATAAGCCTCATCGAATCGGCACGGGTTGACACGTCAGCCCTAACGAAGATATGGTCCCATGTACCAGGATTTATACTGATGCCTTGGATCGTAACATGTGACATGTAAGATGATGATTGAGTCAATTGACGTGTTGTTGTAGGTAGGTAAATATATATATCAACAGCATCAGCCAAGAAACAAAACTCGGACGAATACATGGAAATCAGTTCTTCCGCCATCTCACTTACATATTATAAGAAAGAATGCCTTCGCCAAAAATTGCCATCATAGGAGCTGGGCCAGCCGGTTGCATGTTAGGCCGGATATTGTCCTTATCCAATATCCCCTTTATCATCTACGAAAGCGACGTGAGTCCGAATTATCGTTCCCAGGGGGGCTCGTTAGATCTGCACCATGGGACAGGTTTGGCGGCCATGAAGGACGCTCAATTATGGGATGAGTTCATGAAATACGCCCGCTTTGATGGCGACTACCTCATGATGGCGGACAAGGAGCTCAAGCCCTTCATCCAGCTAGGGCCCAGCAGCAAGCTAAGCGAGCGGCCCGAAATCGACCGGGCACAGCTCCGACAGCTCCTCACAGAATCTCTCCCGGACGGCTGTATTAAATGGGGGCACCGCCTACAGCGTGTTGAGGATGGGAATGTCTTGGTATTTGAGCACGGCACGGAGTCGGGTTACGACCTCGTCATTGGGTGCGAAGGAGCTTGGAGCAAAGTACAGAGCTACATCGAGCCGGCAGTGAAACCACATTACACAGGCCTTGGAGGTCACCAATTACGGATCCCGGACGCTGCCCACAACGCACCGAACGTCTACAAAACCGTGAACCGGGGAAGTGTGTTCGCTAGTTCGAATGGACAGCGGATGATGATACAACAACTGGGAGATGGAAGCCTTAGCGCCGCATGGCTCACACGTCGTCCAGAAGACTGGGCGCAGACATGCGGATATGACCCACATAACTTCGAGGAGGTAAAAAAAGCTATCCTAGAGGAGATGCATGATTGGGGTCCAGATGCCCGTGAAGCTATCGAGAGGACGCAGGAATGCACAGGTGATCCGAGAAAACTCTACATGCTACCTGTAGGTTGGCAATGGGAGCATCGCCGCGGTGTTACTATTATCGGCGACGCAGCACACTTGATGACTCCTTTCGGTGGCGAAGGGGTGAACGTCGCCCTTGATGACGCCCGAAAGCTCGCTGCTGCAATCACTAAAGTAGTACAGTCAGGGGGCGGACTAGACGAACTCGACAAGGAAGTGCAAATATTCGAGAAGGCAATGTTCCCCCGTATGGAAATATATAACCGGCAGGCAGATGAAATGATGAAGCTTTGGTTCTTCAGCGAGGGTAACATGAGGGATGTCATACCCAAGGTAATGTTCGGTCACGCCAAAGTCCGGTTGCCGACGGTGATGCATCCTGTAGCTTGGGGTCTGGTGAATTTATACTGGTTTCTCAAGACCCGATTTTATGGGTAGGTAAGCCCCGCGCATTTGTGATGATATGGCATTCGGTGTAATGTTATTGTTAGAGGCATGGGGAAGGTATATCAAGAATGGGACTCCCTCTCGTACGGTGAGAATTTCACTCATATGACTGTATTCTATATTGGGTTATTTCACAGGTAGCATATCATAATTATCGTGTCGCAACAAGCACAGACGCCCCTTGCATACTAGCCAAGGAGAACAGGCTATCAAGTGTTACTCATTGCGCTAAATTCTCTCTGTTTCCCCGTTTCAGGATTGTAGATTTTTGGCGATGCTCGCCGTTGTAGGCGAGACATTATCTGCCACGGGCCCTCGCCCGATTGATTTGAATCCTGTGCGACTTCGATCGGACGGGAAATCCCACAGCGTGGAGGTGCCGCGCAAGGAGAGAGAGAGAGAGAGAGTGGGGGGCTACATACCTAAGTTAGGTTACATGGTAGATATGTAGGTAGCTGCTGTTTGCCCGGCTGCAGATCTCCTTTATCACTTGGAGATATATAATCGCAAACGGAGTTCGCAGGTGAAGAACGGCATGTACATAGATAGGTACCTACCTACAGACTGCAGTACATATGTATGTACCTACGTAGTGCATGTAGGCATGTAGTATGTATGTGTGTATAGATCGATACCCAATATGAGCCTCGAGGGTTTCAGCACATACGGAATATAATCGTTTGCTCGGCAGTTGCTGACTGTTCCTGTGTTGTATAACCTCGCAACCCAATCTTAGGGCTGCTAGGCATGAAGCAGGGCGCAGTATCTGCATGCCTTCTTTTTTATATACTTACTTCACGTTTAGCCCTAATATAGCGGTCCTACGGTTGCAATGTGTTGTGTATCTGTCAGAGTAGCAACGGCATCTGAGCCTCGTGGACATCTGGATGTTGCTGAGTTTCCATGTTCTAGATATGTAGGTATCTCAGATGTCTGTACAATTGTACAGACATACATGTAATGATGACGAATTGTTTCATCTTCGTGGGGCATAGTTGGGTATTAATCTGGTAGCAAACGAAGCCTTAAAAGAGGATCTGACGATGATACAACGAAATATTCGGACTGGTTGAATGATGAAAGGTTACCTATAGGCTACCTACATAGGTACTTTGTTAAGTATCGCGGGGCTAAAGAGATTAGAATAGATGCCGAGGAGGGTTCAGTCCGGTTCGGGCTGTCCAGAATTTGGGGTCATCTAGCGTCGTCGATCTTACTGGGGGTCCAGGTTTACTCAACTTTATCTTAACTTTACATTCATACTATGTATGTGTGTCGTAGAAAAGCCACAACCGGCCCGAACGGAGCCAACTTTACACAAAAAACAACAACAATATACTGTACATGTAGGCACCTACATACATATGTACATACCCTAAGTATCCAGAACGGGAACGCCTTTCAGAATGTTTCATGGATACTACGGTATTGCTACATAATGTATAATACTCACTGACACGCTTCCGCTTTTGACATATCCAAAGTTAGACCTGACTAAAGAGCAAATATCCATACCTAGGTAGGTATCTTCTGAGCTGGTCCATAAGGCCATCATTCAGCCACGATCAACTCGGTGAACATTAAAGGTCGATGACTACCCTACCCAGGCACATACCTAGATATGATATCAGCCGCTTTGATTCATCTGACATATGCCACGAGTGTTGGTGACTTTTAGCGAAGCCACCTACACGCTCATCGCTCTAAAAGCCTAATTAGGGTTAAGTCTCTACTATCGAAGTACATGTGTAGGTAGGTGGTTTTTCCAGATACATAAGTAGCCATGACTAAGTTGGGAAGATTGAAGTATTACAAAGCGAGCTGGCATACGCAGAGTAACCCTTTCGTTATAAGGCTGCAGGTGTATTCGCAAACGAGCTTGGTGGAACAAATACATAAGCAGGAGTAGGTATGTATACATTGATACTAACGCTCACCAACTCAAGCTGTTCAATGTTGGGCATCCACATACTCATCGACTCCTCGACCTAACTCAGGAGACATGTAACCTACATATATGTAGGCATGTCTGCGTGTTATAGACATACAAAAGCTTATGATCAATTTCGGAGATGAAAGTGATGCCCGCTTCTAAACTCCGAAAGTCCAGGGGGGAAAACCGCAAGAATTGTGAAATTTGATATGGAGGCACTATCTAACCTAGATACATATGTAGTGACCGACCACCTAACCTAGTGCTATGATGCAAGTAATGAAGCCTAGCGGCCAGGACTATGGCTTTAGGTTGATGATCTTCAATCGGATGTAAGGCTGAATCGGTATCTCAAGTGTCATATATGTACATATGTAAACCTTGATGTCCAATACGCCTCAATTATGTTCAAGTTGGTCCAATTTCTATGTTAATTACTTAGGTAATAGTACATAACTACATACAAATGACCTAGCCACGGTAGATATTGTCCTACTTTAGTCATAATTTGCGTATGATGCTACTTTATTGTGTTGTTCTATATCCGTGCATGCGCAGTTGTATATATATGTATAATGTTGGCTCGTATTACTTACCCTAGGTAGGTATGTTTGTGAAGATGATGTTTTAAATCTGGATATTTTAAGAAGAAGTTGAAAAAGTTGACCTTGGAAGCTCAGCTTAAACAATATGCTCAGCCACAATGAGGGAAACAAAACCGGCCACAGTCCAAATAATTCAAGGTTTCTCTCCACAACTTGATACTTTTCCCCTCCAAATAACTTATACCGTGGACCCTACCTAAACTAAACTGTACTACTAGTAGTATAGCGATTTCCCACTGGCAAATCTTAACTATTGGAATTTTGGTTAACAACTTACATAGATATTAGACAGCAAGTGCTTAGGTACATAAGTACTGGCCCTGCCAATCCTGTCAATCCTGTCAAGTTGCACCTGCTAAATTTTGTTAGTACATCACTACATATTACCTCCAGTTCGTTCCCCAGTTTCTTATCGTTATAGCATTCGATGGCGCGAACATTAATGATTGAAGCCTGCGGCGTACAGTAGACACAGTGCAGTTTGAACAACATTGAACATTGAACGCCCTAACCTTACGGCAACCTTACACAGTACCTAGTACTTAGGTACCTACTTTATGGTCGCACTAGTCAGACCACTTCGATTGTTTTAAAGCTACATCCTGCCTAGTAGGCCTAGTAGGCATAATAGTCACTGGCCTATCCCGCTTCCCGCTCGCAGCGAGTTTGCCGCACAGACCATCTTTGACTATCTTGAACATCTTTACCCATCAAAAAGCAAGAGCTCCCAGTTTCGTGAGTCTCCCACTTCCACAAAATCGACCCTTGGCCCACACCTGACCGAAAACTACAAGGTCACCCTACCACCAAACCAACATTAAACAGAACCAGTTACCTTTTTATATTTTTTATATTTTTTATACCTACATCTACCTGCCCGCCTACCTGACCTTACATATTACATATACAGTGCAGATATTGTCGTTCTCTACATATATGTATGGACTTAACCTGTTAACCTTCTGTTAACCTCAAACCTGCCCCAGGTGGTTCACCAAGGCCAATCCCTTCCTTATAGTTCTTTTAGTACAGATTGTATTGTACGTACCTACCTACCTGTACCTACCTTATTCCAGAGTACCCAGTACCCACCGGCACACAACGCTATGTAACTCGTCGACCCTCGACCTTTAAACCACACCACAACCTCCACTTTCCTGTCAACTTATTCTCCAAACTGACTAAAACACCACTGCTCTCCAGATTAGAGCAAGAACCAACGTCCTCTGCGACGAGGTTGATTTAACAGCACCAAGCTGGGGGTAGTGTTGCCCAAGGGAGAAAGTCGTTGGCCAATAAGCCCGAGGTGAGACATTGAGACCCTTTCTTTGCAGTACCTAGCACCATCCAGCACTACCTAGCATCACCCAGCACCAGTCAGCACGAAACCCAGCAGCAGCCCAGCAGCAGCCCAGCATCCTCCATTACCTCCATACCTATCCAAGGTACCTAGTAGGTATCTATTATCTGAGCTGTTTAGGTACCTAACATGGGCATTCGTGGCCAGCTGCTGGCCCGCACTGCCCTGCCCTCTTTTTTTTTTCTTTAATTGTCGAGGTCGTGTGTGTGTGTGAGGAAGAGAGAGGCCCAGAAGAGAAGAGAACACAGAACAAGACAAGATTGAATTGATTGATTTGTGAGAGAGAGCGAACGAGCCAGCGACTTGACCACTTTTTTTTTTCCGGGCTACTTCCTGCTTCCTATCTCTCTGCGGTTGGTCTTGTCAACAAAGCACCATTTTTTTTTTCCTCTTCTGCGAAACTCTAGATTGTTTCTCTCTTTGTTTTATTCGCCATCATTCCCTCGTGGCAGCAAGCTGCTAATAATTCTTCTGCATTTCAATCATCCCCCCCCTTTTTTGCGCTCTTTCTATTAATCCTCTTGTTTTTTAATGCGCTGACGTCCAGCCTTCCCATTCACAGTCAAACTGCTACCCAGCAGAAGGCCTGGACATCGGCCACAAGTAGTACCATCACTACTACGACCAAATCACCCCCATCCCACCTACTACAGCGACAAACCTGAATTCAATTCACCCAAACTTGTCCGAGAGAGACAAGCATTCTTATTCTATTTTCTCTTCAAGAAGTGAGTTGACCCCAACCTTATGATGCTGAGCTACTTGTCATACTTCGGGCTCAGATTCGCGTCACCTCCACCTCCTTCCCCCAGATCCGCGCTAGCTGTTCCCGAACCGCAACCTTTCCATTCAAAAATCACCCATTACTCCCTCCCCTCCAAATCCGCCAATTGCATCGCACACTCAAAATCCGAGAAAATCTACCAGTCTCGGTTTTTACTTAAGCTGACACACCTTTTATGTAGGGTCAAAAGGTTAGGGTTACCTTCACCGACATTGCCGAAATCGAAGGAATCCTCTCGTAGTTGGTCGATTCAACCTGTCACCTGAGAATGGTACAGCAGAAGAAGGGTTCGGGCGAGTCGAACGGCATTAACAAAAGAGAATATACTACCATGTCTTTCCAGAAGAAGGATGTCCCGGATGCTAGAGTCACGGGGACTAATATTGGTAAAGGGGACATCAAGCAGAACGGTAAGTCTTACCGCCAGAACAGATTTATTCTTGCGCGGGACTAATGTGGTACGGTACAGGTTCAGCAGCCAGTTCCCAGAATAACTTCCGAATTGATGGCGCTATTTCTTCCTCTCGTCCGGGCCGAGAGCGAGTCTTGCAGCCGTGGGTTGGGCCCAGCAGCTCGGACGGTCTGGATATGAGCTTGGAGAAATCAAGCGGTGGAAGCGGTGCTTGGGATCAGTTTGCTGTAAACGAACGTCAGTTTGGCATCAAGAGCACATACGACGAGAACATTTACACTACAGCGATTGATAAAAGCCACCCGCAATACAAAGAGCGAATGGCTGCCGCAGAGAGGAAGGCAAGAGAGATTGAACGAAGTGTAGCAACCACAGCTCACGTTGCCGAGGAGAGAGTCATGGACTACAGTGGCAATGATGCCGGTGGGGATGAAGAGGACAAGTAAGCCTTTATACACCTTGTGACACGTTTCAATGAATGCCCGGCTAACTCGGAAATAGATACAGCGGTGTCAAGCGACAGGACTTCCCGCCCCTGCCCAATAGTCGAGAGAACAAGTATACGCCCCCAGCAAGACGGGCACCAGCTGGCGCGTCGACTGTGAAGGGCGCACCCGTTGATCCAGCCATCATATCTTCGCAATTGAAGTCACGGGGAAACCAGCCTGCTGTCCCAAAGCAGGATGACAACAAGTCTCGGCCTATCCCCAAAAGCGATGTTCCAGCTGCCACCCCTGCAGTGAAGTCCCCGGAGCCCAAGCCTGATCCTAAGATTGAGTTGCAGCAGAAGGCGGCAGAAGGCAAGATAGCCAACCAAAGTTCAGTCCCATTGAGACCGTCCGCTGCCACTAGCCGTACCATATCGCCCCAAGCGAAAGATGGACAAGGTGTTGCGCCTAGTGCGACCTCTACTGTCGAGCGAGACGTGCTCAAGGAATTCAAGACATTTGCGAACCAGCAGCGTCTCAACGCAGAGAAGGCCCGAAGCACCAAAGCTAAAGCTGACAAGGAAGTCAAATTGACTGAATTGAAAAAGTTTGCTGATAGCTTTAAGCTGCCTACTCCTGTGCCTATGGATTTGATTTCGATCATCGCCAAGGATCCCGCGAAGCAACGAGAGATCCAGGAGAAGGCAAAACGGGACGCCGCGGAAGTTGCTAAGAGAAAGGCGGAAGAAGTTGCAGCTAAGGAGAAGAAGGGTGCCTCAGCTAAGGAATCGCAGCCTGCCACCACAACAGCCCAGGCGGCCCCTGATAACAGAGCCGGTCGTGCAGCTGCTAACCCTTCCGGTGCTGCCCCCGCAGCAGCGCCTTCTCGTCACCAGAACAACCGTCAGAACTTCGCTCCTGCAGCTTACCCATACCAAGGCAATCGTTCGGGGCCCCAGCACGTACAACAAGGCGGTCGTCAAGGCGGCTTAGGCGGCCGTATTCGGGCTTTAGAAGCACAGAAAGTTCCTAGCCAGGATGTTCGATTGCCCCCAACCGGCCCTGCCAACGCTTCTGACCCTTCGTTTGTTCGTCGTATGGGACACATGGGTGGAAAGTTGAATCCCAACAGCCACGAGTTCCGACCTAGCGCATTTGCGCAGACATTCAGCCCGAATGGTCATCCTAGCGCGGGTTCTAGCCCCCGTTCAGCGATTAACAATGCAACAGATCTACAGTCTGGCGCCACTAGCACTAGCTCGCTGCTTGTCGTTGTGACCAAGAAGAGAAACGCTGTTGATCCGAAGAAATGTGATATACTATCTTTTGTTAAGACGATTCAACCCCCCGAGAACAAGAATTGGAATGAAAATGACGGCCTTCGACCGTCTTATGATACCCCGCCCACCTGGCGCTCGGCCACGGATGACGAGAAGCCGGATTCAACCATGCGCTTGTCGTTTGATGAATACTTCGAACGACAGCCATTCAACACACAACCTACTCCCAATCCTCCTCATCTGCTTCCCCAGATAGCGCATCAGCATCAGCTACCTCTGCACATGCAGCACGGCGCACACCCCGGCGCCCCACGACATTCGCCACACATACCACCTGTCCAGATGCACAGTGGTCAACATGGGCCCGTTCCTCATGCGCCATTTAATGGCGGAGATGATCATAGAATGATGCACTCGAACTCATCACAGTCTTACTCATCCCCTAGAATGGGCCAGGTACCGATGGTGTACCCCCCTAACATGAACTCGGCAGGCCAAATGCCTTACAATCAGCACATGATGCCCTCCTTCATGGGACCTGGAGCGCCCCCCATGAACCAGTTCAACCGCAGCTTTTCCAACACCCCCCAATATGTTCCACAGCAGCCAGGTGGAATGGGTGCGCCTATGATGGTGCAGCCCCAGTTCATGACACCACAGCCGATGGTCGGTCCTCCTCAGATGCAACCGTATCCCGGCGGTCACATCCAATTTATGCCTCCCGGTGGCACTCCACCACAACCAATGCCTGGCACCAATGGATACCCAAGTCCTGGTAGGCCAGCCGCGCCTATGATGGTCCATCAAGGATCACAACAGGGACAGCCGATGTACGGGATGAGTCCTGGCGTGCAATACCAGCAGCCAGCAACCTTTGTCCCACAACAGCAAGGGCAGAGTAAGTGGTACAGACAAGACTCTACCCCGAAGAAGACAACTAACAAGCGAGTCAAAGTGAATAACATGCGAGGGTATAACAACCCTGGTCCGCAGCAGTACGGCACGAGCCCGCAGCAGATGCATCAGTACGGGCCTCCTCATCGCAACGGAAGCAGCAATTTCAAGAATTACCAAGGCCACAACCAGCAGCACCAAGGTCCCCAAGGTGGCCACGCGATCCCATCGGGACCTCAGGGTCGATCGTCCGACAGCCCCGATGAAGCGAAGTGAACAGATTCTTCAAACCTGCTCGCAAAGAACTTAACCCGCGCCGCGCTCCAGCGCATATCCACTTTCTTCATTCAACATAGCATCGATATCAGCCACCACCTTTGCTCGTCGATTATAAAGGCGCCTTTGCATGAACATTTAGCATTATCGACATTGCGACATCAGCCTGGTCTTGGTCCTTTGAAAACCCCTGCAATGAAGAGGCCTAGAGTAGTAGCAATATTTTGTTCCGAGGACTTGTCGCCCGAAAGTCTAAACGCATATCCTGCTGGATCTTGAACAAATATACACATAACAACCATCTTCTGTGACGTGGCCCTTAGTTACCTTGGCCTCGTAGGATATGTCTTTCGGGCGTGCACCCAAGCAACGACTGGCTTGGGAAGACATTGACCAGGATGAGGAGGTGTTGGGATTCAGCCGGCGATGGAGATCGAAGTGGAGTAGCATCATGTACTTGAGCTTCTACGAGTTGATGAAGAGAGAAGTGTCAAGCAGCTTTTATCCGGATGTGGCACCGACCGTTCGAAAGGGCTGTCTCTACATTAGCATCATGGCTCAACGTATCCTTATAATTTTTTGAGGGCCAGCTTCCTCCGAGGGCAAGGACGAGGGCTTTTGGCTCTTGGTCGAAGCAGCAGTCGCGTAGCCGAAGTTATTATTGATATGTCCTCACATATGTGAATGAGACAGCCATATCCTAGTATCATTCTCAAGGACACCAAAGGAAATGTAGTAGTTTACTGATGTGTATTGGCGACGAACCAGGTCATGTGAAGGATTTTGCCTTTTGCAGCCTGGTACGTCGATCAAGGTAGAGAGAAGCCAAGTTAGCCACCAAAATCAATATTGATAATCCATTTTTGGTAGAAGTTTTTTTTTTCCAAGGTAGATTGGAAATTCGTCACAAGAGCAGCTTTGGCGTAATTCCCAAAGCACCGATGTAGAAAATTAACAATACAAATACGTCAATGAACGTGAATCGATGGCAGGTACCTTGCCTCATCTTACTGCTATGGCTGGCCCTCTTCTATTATACCTATGTTGTATTCAGCTTGGGCTACGTATCTAGGTATCTTAGAGAGGCATCCATGGATGTGGTGCTTTATTTAGAGTAGTCAAAAAGGAGTGCCTGGCCTAGAAGGAAGATGTAAAAGGTAGAGAGGGTTCTATGTGTATGTAACCGCCTGGGTATGAAGCCACCCTAGCAGGTAAAGAAGAGTGAGCTCGACGGCGTAAACAGAAGAAGTGTCTGCCATTCGTGTCTCTGATTTATTTCGAATAGATGACCCAGCAATCAGGGAATGACGAATTAACTACCTAGGTAACCTACTGCTGTGTGCGAATTATGTTCTGGTTCTACGAGGAAATGAAACAAGCTCAGCTACCTCCCCCTTTCTCTCTCCATCCATACCTATGTGTGTAATCCCCCTCCCCTTTCCCCCTATTCTTCTTGCCATTCCCATTCTGGCAAAACCGAAGAACGATGAAACGCGCAAGGCAGAAAAGTACGTCAGTCAGGCTGACGACGAGCAAAAAGAAACAAACAGACATAACTATCATGTGCATTGTGTGCAGGTTAAGTAGGTAGGTAGGTATATAATATGTAGTTATAGGTAAGCAACTATATGTGTGACAATGACTTTCACCTTACGATGCAATTATGTACCTGTGTTAGACTTACCGACCTGCCTCAAACAGACATTCGCGCCGTGGACGCCGCAAACCGAGGACGAAGATGGCGAATTGTTCGCTTGGCTGTCCAGCTACCCTGCCCTAGGTAGCTTATGTAGCTGACTGGCTCCCTACTTACTTTTAGGGTAGTTAAAGGTTGGGGGTTTACTATGTATATGAGGAAGGGGGGGGGGGGGGGGGTTGATAGGTGGATAGGGAGGGAGGGAGCGGAATGGGGATGACGGCTTCATGCGAAACTAGGAACTTATTTACTAGTTCTTTTTTTTTTTCTTTTAGGGTCATTCTAATTTTTTAGTGGTCGATTGGCGGAATGCCTTTCGGTTTGTTTCAAGTGTTTCGATCTCCCGGCCAATAGGCGGTTGTGGTTGGGCTTCTCTCCCTTAGTTCCAGATCTTACACATGTGCAGGGGGGAAGGGGGAAGGAGGAGGGGGGGGGGGGGGGGGAGGCAAAGAAGAATAAAGAGAGACTTGGTTTAGAACGTTTCATGATCAGAACTACGTAAGCAGGTCTTGGAGAAGAAACACCGAGAGAGGCAACCTCTTTTTTTTTTGTTCCATTTCTTCTTCTTTGGCCAGGTTTTCTTTTTTGGATTTTGGATTTTGGATTTTGGATTTTGGGAAAAAACGTCTGGGTCTGGGGAAGTGATGCCATTTGATAGGCTACCCTTAGTGCAAGGTACTACATCGTACTACACGTAGTACATGTCATGGAAAAAAATCCCATTGCAGGGATTTCAGGGGGAACATAGTATAGAGAGGGGAGGGGAGGGGGTTGGTTAGGTAATTATTTTTATATTCTTATTCTTATTCTTATTTTTTCTTACGTCGTAGTTAATTTTTTTTTTACCCTTCCTTCGTGTTCTTTTTTAATTTTTGTGTAGTATTGAAAATGATGCGATCTGCTGTAGATCTACAGTCGGCTCCTGGGCCCTGTTGGCCAATGGAGAGGGGGCCTTTGTGTCCCCTTTTACGGCGTACATCGTACTTCAAAGTTTCTCGACTGTCAATTTTGGCCCGTGCTCGTGCCCACGTTTGCTCAGCCAAACCGAACGATAGAAGGAAAAAGAAAACGCGAACGAAAAATCTGACCGCTGGGATTATCTGGGGATTCGAGAGAAAAAAAAGAGGAGCGGCCTTATTATTTACGGAGAAGAGGTCCTTTTTTGCTCACCTACAGTATTACAGGCAACAGCTAGTTATGTAGTATGAGTACAATCTAAAGTTACTTCGTTTGTTCAATACCTAGGGTCCTAGCTAGCCATTTGACAAGGGGAAAATTGAGGGCCCGGATATCACTAATGAATGATGGCAAAGGTGGGCGCCCTTCTATGATATTCAATGGATGGTGTCGTGCTAGTAATTATATCATTTTGATTGCCATTTCTAGCAAACGCAATCGAGGATTTATCTTGATTTTAAACACTTACTTAAGTTACTTGGATGGTCACTGGATGTATGTATATGTAGGTATGTACATGTATATCACGAACTCCGCGTTTCCGATCTACCTTATGTAGGTACATTCACCAATGGTCTATCAAAATGTCGGCGATTTACCGCCAAATGCCTAGTCTGCACTAATCGTAGCTGCATGCTAAGTGCAAGTAAACCCGTCATTGGCCGCAAAAATAGGTGTGCTAGTTTATTTGAGCCCGGTACGGAAGAAAAGGAAATAATAAAAAAGGGGGGACTTTTTGGAGAGAAAGAGAGAGAGAGAGAGAGGGTTTCAGGGATGCAAAGTGCATTGCATGAATGTTGAAAGTTGAAAAGCCACACGCTAGCAGGGCGCAGAACTTCGTGAATATGTGTGCCCAGCCCGAGCCGTGGGGCCATTAAAGCCTTCAACTTCAAAAGGTTTAAGTGCTGACGACTGTGGCTAAGAGGGTTTGGTGGGGCAACTCACCTAACGTGTAGTTAAGTGGCAAGTGCTTCCGTGTGTCCCTTCTTCTAGTTATGTACAATCAGCAATCAGGTGAATTGAAGACAGGTCAGGCAGGTGTGAAGTTAAAATGGTGTGAGATGTAGTTATGTAGGTACTAGGTATGAGATGGTGGCAGGTACGCCAGAGAGGAAAGTGCGAAGCACTGTGGTCATGTATTTAAGAACATTTCAGTAGCAAGGTCTGATCCTTAGATCTTATCCTTTTAATATACAGGTCCACCCACATTTATCTGGTACCCCCCACCGGAAGAGCTGTGGTGATAGCCTCATTTTTGGTTTTTGGTTTTTTTTGATAATTGGGACCTTTATTGTTTTCAAAGTTGTTTTGATCCTTTTATTGATTGAAACGTTATTGTTGATTGAAAGCTCTGTTCTGAAAGTCAACGTTTATTCAAAAAGTCGTTTGTTCCAAAAGCCGTTTATTCAAAAGTCGTTTAATCAAAAAGTCCACAGTCAGTTTATTCAAATCAAAAAGTCCAAAAACCGTTTATTCAATTCAAAAAGCCCACAGTTTACTAGCCATTATGGCTCATTTTGTTACCTCCCATATGGGATGCACTACACCTTATTTATCCGATTAACCCCTTACTCTAAAAGACCACACTTCTGGCACCTTGTCGCTGTTCCAATACAGCGTCACCTATCTCTGATACTCATTGAATGGCTGTGTGGTTCGGGAACGTCTATATCAGAGCTTGTTGGCGCTGTTGAAACGAAGCCTGGAGGTGCCTGGGACAGGCACTATTGTCCCCCCCCAGTAGATGGTGGCAGGTACGCCAGAGAGGAAAGTGCGAAGCACTGTGGTCATGTATTTAAGAACATTTCAGTAGCAAGGTCTGATCCTTAGATCTTATCCTTTTAATATACAGGTCCACCCACATTTATCTGTATGGTACATTGGTACTACATATGTACTGTAACTACCTGGCATCTAGCAGGTGGCAGCTGCCCAATGAGCAGCCTGAGGCCACTAGATAGAAATCCCCTGAAACCCGCTTTTTCAAAGACGGTCGAATGTCGCTTCTACTACAGCCAATGACTGGCTCTTCCCGTTTGGTTGTTTCACCAATTCAGGTACCGGATAGGCCTGATTGGCTTGGATTAATTCCCCACTTCCCACCACCCACCTCAGATTTTGCCGCCGCGCGCCGCATCCAGCAACGACGGCGCATGCATTCTATTCAATTCACCAAGCTTAAACATGTTCAAACATTCTAGCCTAGACAAATATCATAATCATCCTGGGGAATTCTGTCAATCAACCCCTCCTCCCCTCCCCCTCCCCTCTTCAGCTGGACGTCTTTCTTTCCCTTGTGTGCTTTTTTTTTCATGTCACATCGCGCATTACACCAGGGATTTATGCTTAACCCATGGCATCTTAATCCGAAGAACCTTGTGTGATATTATGAATTAGTGAACGGATGGACGGATGGATGAATGGTTCTAACGATCAGAAGAGCTGAAGAAAGGTCGTTTTGCATTGTTTGAAGTGATGATCTTATCCTTTTCCTCACATTATGTATCCCTCCCCTAGCTTTACATTGCCTACTATGCGGACTCCCAAGATGCCTAATGGCCATCCGTTAGACGGCCTCCTACCTTATCTCTTTCAAGAATGCTGTGTGGATCTGCCTCGTGAAGATCGGTGCATAACCACTCTATCTTAGTGGTTTGCTCCACTCCTGTCCACTACAGTGACTACACTCCTGTCACTCCACCGTTCGTCTCTTTGGAGGCAAGGATCAAGGTCTTGCTATGATGTTTCTATTCTACCCTACCGGTCCCTACGTCGTGGGTACGAAAGGTACGAAAGGTACTGCGTGTATCGGTAAGTAACTTCAAATGATTCTCGGGATGGGCTGGTTGGTACGCAAATACGGTACCCTTTGCAGACCTTTGCAGGTAAGGTGGATGTGTGTGGATAAGGCGGGGCGCATCCATGTACCGAATTCACGATCCAGGGGCTCTCCGAACTAAGACACGATGTTAGGATATTCAGCCCGAATACACTAGACGGTGCCAGCCATGATGAGGAGCGCGAGCGCGCAACTTTGGGCTTGCTTGGCTGTCAAGTCTTTCATGTGACGTTGAGGTTGCAACTTGCCGCCCATCCATTCGGTCCATTCGACCCATTCAAATGTTCGATCCATTGATGATTGTGGCTAGGTATCAATTATTTGCACCATTTGCACCATTTGCACCATTTGATTTCAATATAAAGTTCTTCCTTGGGTCCCCAGTCACTCTTTTTTAATTCCTCTCTTATTTTCTCACCCATCACCATCTGTTTTTTTTATACAGTGTTGCCAGAGATATTCTTCTCTAGTCTTCCTACACCCTCCTTACTATCCTTTTTTCATTCTTGCTGGTCATTTGATCAAGGAAATCCCCGGTGATTTCCTCTTTTTTATTTTTACTTAACCATTGTGCACTTGTGCATCACCTCATTGTTCACCACGGTCATTTGGTACCTCGGTAACTCACAAATCCTAGGATATCATTGTTATTGCGACTCTTGCAGCTCATTCTCAAAACAAAGTCCAAGTCTGAGGCAACTCTGACCTTTGTTCGCTACTCTCCTTTCGCGAACAAGATCGCTTTGACATCAATTTGATTAGACCACGAGGTTCAATCCCGGCAACCTGTCCCATCATTTATCACTAAAAAACAGATTCATCCCCCCCAAACTAGATCTCGACCTCGACCTCGATCGATATCTAACACTTGCCAAACCGGCACACCAAAACCACCACACTCCTTTTCCAAATTATTCACGAGAAACCTTCGAAAACTCGATACAACATTTCGCGACAATCCGTCAAGATGCAGTTGCGATCCATTCTCGTTGCCGCTCTGGCTGCTGGTACAGCCACTGCGCATATGAATATGAAATCCCCTCCCCCCTTGGCGTACAAGGGTAACCCAAACGCCAAGGAACCCAACATTGATTACTCTATCACTTCTCCCATTACTGAGGCTCAGTACCCTTGCAAAGGTAACCTCAAGCTTCTCGGTACCCCCGAGGGTGCTTCAGTTGCGACCTATGCTCCCGGTGGTCAGTACACCATGAGCGTCGAAGGTGGCGCCGCCCACAATGGAGGCAGTTGCCAGCTCTCACTGTCGTACGACAAGGGCGCCACGTTTACCGTCATCAAGTCCTTCATCGGTAGTTGCCCAACCAGCGCCGGTGGTGACTTCAACTTCGCCATTCCCTCTGACGCTCCCGAAGGCGACGATGTCGTCTTTGCCTGGACCTGGGTCAACCACACTGGCAACCGAGAATTCTACATGTCATGCGCCGTCGTCACCATCAAGGCCGGTGCCCAGAAACGTGATGTTCCGGCCTTCAACCCTAAGCGAGACACCGCTTTCTCCAGCCGCCCTCAGGTCTTCGTCGCGAACTTGGGTGGTGAGTACTGCACCAAGGAAGGTGTCGATACTATGTTCCCCGAGCCAGGCCCTGATGTCGAAAACACCTCCACAAGTCCTGGCGCTGCAATCCTTTGTGCCACCGGCGCGGATGCTCCCGAGGGGGGTTCCGGCTCTGGATCTGGCTCAGGATCTGGATCTGGATCAAGCTCTTCTGTTGCCAGTTACCAGGCCACATCTTCCGCACCCGCCCAGCAGCCTACCTCTTCAGCCGCTGTTCAAATTTCAATGTATGTGGATCCTGATATCTTGACTGTTATTCCGATCGGCTCACTAACTCCTACCAGTAGCGGTGGTGTTTTCTTGACTGTTCCTAACGGAGCTTCTACGCCCGCTGCTACGCCAACGACCCTATCCACGGCAACCAAGGCTACTCAAACAGCAGTCGAAAGCGCCGCTACCTCGTCTGCAGTTGCCAGTGCCCCGTCATCGGCTGCCGCCGGTGGCAGCGCTGGCACAGCTACTACGAGCGCCAAGGTTCCCGCGAGCACTGGTGGTACCGCCAGCACTCAAGCAGGAGCCTGCACCAATGAAGGTGATTGGTCTTGCGCAGCTGATGGCTCATCATTCCAGCGATGTGCATCTGGAGCATGGAGTGCCGCTATCCCCATGGCAGCTGGCACTAAGTGCACACCTGGTGTTAGCAGCAACCTCAGCATGCGACGACGCAGGGACCGCGTTCGCCGATCCGGCACTGGCTTTGGTGGTTGGGGCTACTAGACAAGCCACTGGTAGGACAATCCGGACAATAGAAGGATACTCCGGACACGCATGCATATAAGGCCTTCATTCTGAGACCAGGGAGACAGGAATTCCTCGGTCGTCTTTCTACTTGTACATATTCAATTTTTCAACTGCGCTTTTTTTACGGACTCGTTTTCCCATCCATGGATGGCTTCTTTTCTTCCTTTTTTTTCTTTTTACTCTGTAGTCTCCTGTACACTAGGTCCTTGACACAAACGGTGGGCGGTGTTTTACGGCTACAAATGACTTAACGAACTGAACAGAATAAGGCTAGGTTAGGCAACTCAAAGTCTTGAAGAACAATAGGACACAAACAAGCAAGCAAGCAAAAAGGTGGGGAAACGGATACAACTTATGGCAATACCCTCGCATGGAGTTAGACAGAGAAACAGAGACAGAGACAGAGATCAATGCAAGATCATCGTGAACATTATATTTACACTTATGTTGGTGATAGTGCGTAATTATTTGGTGTTGTTGAACGAGCCATCTCGTGACAAAATCCGCCTCGTTATTAATAAGCTCGCCAACTTGGGTTGGGTGCTGATAACTATTCCCTTCCTTACTCTCCCCTCCCCTCCCCTTTTTCCTAATTATGTAAGCATCTAGTTACCTAGGTATGTACTGTAGATAGGGGCTTGCCTTACGTATATTGATTTGATGCCCCTGCATATTATCAGTAGCCAATCTTTGCAGACTTTATAAGACACTGCCTATCTACATACATAGGTACTGTATGTATGTACTATGCTACAATATACATAGGTAGGTAGGTAAAAATTTAAAACACATGATCTTGATAATGCGGTATTACATATATACATACATACATACATACATACATACATACCTAGGTTAGACCCTGAAAGCGAGGATACCTACATCCTACCTACCTAGGTTAGGTAGGTATTTATTTCCCGCGCCACGTCAGGGGGTCTTTTTTTTTCTTTGGGCGTCTTCAAATTGTAGATGGCCGTCTACCTACCTACCTACTTACCTACCTACTTACTTGTGGTACATACCAAAACCTGGTAAAAAGGAGAAGAGGAAGAAGAAGAAGAAGAAGAAGTTATGACATGCCAAAGATGTTTTGAGCCATGTATGTAGGTATGCAATGAAGCTTGAAACAGAACTTCGTGGGGGCCGTTTGCCTTACCTGCCTAGGTGCCTATGATAATGGTATCACGCCGGCCTGCTCATGTGTAGGTAGGTAGGTACATATTCCAAAACGTTTGCGAAGTTGGGTGCGCCTTGCCTACTGGCAACCTCAGCTATATGTAGGCCTTCGAACTGGAAACGCCTACCCTTGGATTACTACACCCCCAAACGCCACACAGCCGGTGTCGATGATACATCATCACTCTGGAACAGCCTAGGTTAAGGACCTTTATATATGTGTAAGCTGCTGAATAAGTAGGTATCTACGATTCGATTCAGCTCATTGTCCATGGATGGATCGACAGGCTTTGTTCAAGGTTGCCTCCGTTTCTCGTAGTTGAACGCCATCATGCTCCTAGGGCTGGAGATGTTCCAGGTAGATTGCCCTGCGGCTTACCTGTGCTCGTGCTCGTGTGTGTAGGTAGGTAAGGAGGCAGGAATATTACGTCTGTATCAGCCAAAAGCTTACCTACCGAAAGGGGGAGGGCGTGGTACCTACCTACATATTTCATGTCAAAATCTAAATTCGAAGTGTTAGCCCCTTACCTACCTACCTACCTACTTACACAACCGGACCCTTCGATCTAGCCCAAACTCCAAACTATGCCATCCTCACCATGACAACAACAACCGGCACCAGCATAACCAGCACCGAACCTCCTTTCCCCCTAACAACAACCTTCACACCACCACCAGGATGCTCAAGCCTATACCTCGCCGCCGACTGCGCAGTCGCAACCTCGTGCTTCGCGCAAGCCTTCCCGGACAACCTATGCGCACGAGATGATGCTCATGTAAGTACCGGGATCCTGGGGTGCTACCCGGCGACGGCGACGGCGACATTGGGGGACTCCTGGATCACGACACCGCAGCGCACGTACTCCCCGGGCTACGTATGTCCCGTAGGGATGACCACGGCGGCGAGCGTTATGTCACCTGCGGGGTGGTGGTGTTGTCCTAGGTGCGTACATCTATGTCGATTGCTTTCAATCTAAGCAAATAAAATAACTAACCTTAACCCATTAACAAAAACAGCGGCTTAACCTGGGCTGCCAACCCACCCTGGTGCTCGACGGTGCTGACGGGCGGGACTTTCATCTCGACTGGATACAGCTGCAACACGACGGACAGCACGTTTGCGTTCGGCAGCGGCAGCGTTAGCGACAAAGAAGTAGATAATGTGACGGGGGTACTACTCGCAACCACCGAAATCGTAATATCCGTGTGGAGTAACTTGGCGCTCGTGACGCGGTCGATACCGGCGCGGGACATCGTGTTGACGGCGCGGGCTGAGGGGATATTTCTCATGGGGGGAAGTGGTGGCAGTAGTGATAGTAGTGATGGTGGTAGTAGTAGTATGTCCACGTCTACAAGTACGAGTACGAGTACGGAAACAGGAGGCGGGGGCGGGAGCGGGGGCGGGGACGGAGCGGAAAATGAGGTGGTGGTGGTTGGAGCGTCGTTGGGAGCGGTGCTAGGGGCGGTACATATTGCCGGACTTTGTGCCTTTTGGTTTTGGTTCAGGAAGAAACGGGATTTGAAGAAACAGCAGCAGCAGCAGCAGCAGAAGGGTGTATTAACGGCGGTGAGAGGGGGGAGGGGGAATGAGCGGTACGAGAAGACGGAGCTCGATACCTCGCTGCAGGCTGTACGGTCGGAGCTCGAGGGAACGTTGGGGGAGAGTGAAGGTGCGGGGATCTATGTCGAGAAGGCGGAGTTGAAAGGGACAGATGAGGATAGTGGTAAGGGTAAAGGTAAAGGTAAGCGTGTGCTTGTTAAGAGAAAGGCGGAATTAGAAGGGGAATGAGGTGTTGCGGAGTTAGAGGCGAGTCCAAGGTGAGAGGGCAAAGAAGAAGACGAGAAGGGCTACGCCGAAGCCATGGTTTCCGGGGGAGTAAATGGATTTCATAATGTATACTACGGGGAGGGGGGTTTGTATTGTATTGTATACCTAGTACCTACTACTAGTAGTAGTAAGTAGTTGCCTTCTTAAAGTGAATCAAGTTAGTGTTGCATATGATGAGTGAGGGTATCATGGAAATATTAATTGCAAGTTGTAAGTTGTAAGTTGTAACTAATACAAGGGTTGATAATGATGTTTGCTATAACTAAATGCAACACTAAACCTAATAAGATATAACTAGGTTAGTTAAATCAACATGGATGCCATTCCGAGATTTACCCTGAATTGAACAAGGACCACAACCCCTGTCGGCCAAGCTCGAGATTTAGGATTCAGGAGAGAATTGAAGGGTTTCAATCTCCAACTCCATCTCTACCAAATCATCCACCATCACCACCTCATTTTCCCATCCATTGTTTTTTAGAACTTGAGATACTTGTAGTCATTCCTTACGCTGCAAACTCATCACTCACTCATTCAGTAACCGATTGATTCTATATTGCCTATAGGATCTAGCCACTCCTTTTCGTCCACCAGACAAACAAACAAACAATTACCTACCTAAGGTACACTCGGTCGCGTTATCTATTCTCCCCGTCACACCAGCGCGCGTTGCCATCTTCGAGCTTTTGTGTCTCATTTGCATTCTGAGCTTGATTGCCCTCCGATCTATCTAATCTAAAATACCAATTCCGTTATCACCATGCGTTCCTTCATCGCCATCTTCGCCGCCGTCATGGCCTTCCTCCAGGTCGCCGTCGCCATTCCCCCGGCCTGCCTCTTGAATGCTCTTGGGTACGTTAGACCCCTAGCTACACCAAGCTAGAAGCCATTTCCTCCCTTCCTTTTCAATATTATACACAGCAGAACACGGCAATGCTAATGCGACACTTACATAACCGCAGTCTCCAGGGCAACCCAACCGACTTGAAAGCCCTCTGCGGTGACCTTCTCACCCCTATGCAGGGCAACCTGACCGAATCCTGCGACTCAGCCGCTCTACCCGAGGCCTACGAGGTCTACTCCTCCAAGTGCTTGGCCGAAGGTGTCACCATCGCTGGCCTCCCCACCTCCACCGCGTCCGGCTCCTCCAGCACCGGTACCGCTTCTGCCACTGGCCCGAACTCTGCCTCTGCCACCGCGACTGACGGCGCTACTGCTACCGGAAGCGGCTCCAGCAGCACGTAAGTACCTCTTGTCCTAGCTACATAACTAGGTGTCTACTCGGTTGTACTCAAGCTTGCTAACACGGCTATGCCCATTACAGTGAAACTCCTGCTAGCGCTGGTATGGCTGTGGAACCTCAGTCCTTCCTCTTCACCGCCGCCGTGCTCCTAGCTTCAGGCTTGATCAGCGTCATGATTTTGTAAAATAATTTCTGGAAAGAAATTTGACGTCGTCTTGGGAGGTTGGTAGGTTGGTAGGTTAGTTGCGGTCAATGTGGTTGAGTGAGGGGGAGACGATGATTGATTGATGTGTTGAATGGTTTCTGTGTTGGTTATACCCCCCGATCCCAAGGACTCGAAAGTGAATAGTCAAGAGTCGCATGATAGGTGGTAGTGGTAGTAGTAGTAGCAGTTCCTTACGAGGACCAAATGCCATCTGTTCGGGCCTTGTTTTTGAAAATATACCTGGGGTATCTCAGATCCGTATTTTTGTACAATTGCAAATAGAGCGTTTTATATCCTTATCCCTATCCTCATACATCATCAAGCACTTGCTCGTCCAGAATCTTGGTCCCCAGAAGCTGCAGCAGCCCCTCCTCCGTAAGCAGCCGCTTCTTGTTCTCCTCCCACTTCAGCCACGCCACCCCCTGCAGCAGGCTATCCGTCAGGTCGTCTATCTTCCGGGACCCGGCATCGCGCACCACCGCCGTCTCATCATCGGCTGCTGCCTTGGACCGGCGCACGCGCGACAGCTTCCCGCGGAACTGCTCGACCGCGCTCTGCGTGTCGGGGTTCGCGGGCACCACGATCTCATTCTCGCTTGCGCGCCCCTGGCGCAGCCATCCCGTCAGCACGCCGATCTTGTGCTTCTTGCTGTTTATTCGCGTCTTGCCCGCTGGTGCTGCTGCGTCTGCGTCTGCGTCTACGTCGACTTCCACCTCGATCTCCTGCCCGTCCTCGTCGACTACGACCGCTACATCCTTGCGGCTCTTCTTCCCCTTCGCCTCCTTCTTCGCCACCGCAGCAACGACCGGCACAGCAGGCGCCGGCCAGAACCGCGTGACGCGCTCCGGCGCGACGGAGATGATCTCGCCGTCCCAGTAGTGCAGCTCGCGCAGGGTGCGCAGCGACGCGTGCAGCATCGCCTCGAGCGTGTTCACGCGCAGCGTCCACTCTTGCACCGAGGAGCCGCCCGCGCTGCGCCAGCGCTGCCGCTCGATCAGCACGTGTGTGGGTTTCAGGGGGAGCACATCCCGGCGGGTTAGTCGGTCCGCGGCTATGGCGAGGGAGGCGGGGCTGTAGGGTTCGGGGTCTGGGGTTAGTACCGCTGGGGCAGTGTCGGTGTTGTTTGGGTCAGGGTTGGGGTCGGAGATGGCGGCAATGTCGGCGGGGAGGAGGAGGGGCCGCCGCTGCCAGGCGTGCAGGCGGACGCGGGGCGGGGCGCGGATATTTGCAGCTGTGAGGGGAAGGGTGGTGGTGGTTGGGATTTTTGTGGTCACGGGTGTGAGGAGGCTGAAGCCGAGGTTGCGGATCCCGAGGTCGATGCTTAGGATCAAGGGCGGTTTTTTGTTGTCATTGCTTTGCTTTGCTGACTTCTGCGGCTTAACGGTAGCAGTGGTAGTAGCAGCGGCAGCTACAAGCCGTTCGACAAGCTCGGATTTCTTCCCGGTCACCCTGAGCCCGCACAGGAAGGCTATATGGGAAAGATGCTTGTTCTTGAATTTTGGCAGGATGGTCGCCAGCTGAGAGGTTGTTGTCATGGTCGCGTGCGTGGTGGCTGCATCGAGTCTTGGTTTGATATTCTATCCATCGGTTTTTGAAATCGTGACTTGTTTTTTTTCACTGTTGTAGTAGCACTAGGTAGGGAAAGAGCCCCGGTATAGTGGTATATCTTGTTAGTATGATGTATTTGTATCAATTGATTTAATTGAGTTATCCATTTCTGCGAGGCCGTTGAGGAATTTGTTATACCCAAGTTTACATGACAAGAGGAGGGTTTGTAATTACTAAGAAGCAGATCTACTACATAGGAATATTTGTTTCTTATTGCGTGCTGGGTGGAAAAGGGGTGGCTATGGAGTAGATAGAGTAGAGTTATAATATGCATATAGTTAGCTAAACCTAAGTAACTTTAAACTTATTTGTACTACTACATATATACTTCGTATTAGATATTGTTTGGTTTTACTATCTCCGACCTCTTGGGAGTAACTAGATGAAAGTTATGGCTGTCCAAAGTGCATAGAAAACCACCTTGTTGTATCACATAGGTGCTATGCTACTCCTCGCTGCCGGTACTGTCGTCACACCCACCATCAAAGTCAGCGACCGTTAAGAAGTTGAACCTGGTAACTATCTAGGGTAAGAACTAATTATAGAGTAGCCTAGACTCTAGAGTAACTTACCTAGGTCCTAGGGTAGGGTAGATAGGTACAATACAGTAGTATTTGTCATAGACCCCTGAATCTATAACCCCGGCAAGAACCGGGCAATCGGTGCTTACTGCTTATTGATCCAACGGTCCTTGCCTAGTAGCTTCGGTTCTGCCTGCCTTAACCTTAGTAATTCTCTATCCTGTCGGTGCTAGTTTGGAACATTGAAGTCCCTTGATTCCCTATCTGGATAGCAATTGCCTATAGGAATATACTTCCAAGTACACATGATACACTCAGAAAAGATTGGAAATCAATTTCTCTTTCCCCTTACATATCCTACTAACCTACATAGTACCTACCCTATCTATGCGCATTAATTCCGCAAAGTTGATCATATAACACGTCATTCCTTTCCCATACCCCACCATCCTTTTTGTCTCTCTCTCTTTCTTTTTTTGCTCGTTGGAATAGATACAACAAGTCAATGCAAGCGTTGGGGTTATTTGGTCGGATATCGGCTACCACTACTACTACAAAAAGCTTGACATCCTTGACTCGTTCTTCTAATTCTTCGAGGATAGCTACCTACCGTATAGCCTCTCTCTCTAGACACTTCTCCTCTACCCCGCGCATCATGGCTCCCATATCCAAAGAAATAGATCTGCTTGTCATCGGCGGTGGCAGCGGTGGTCTAGGATGTGCTCGTATGGCTAGTTCTAGGTTCGGCGCCAAGGCTATGGTTGTTGAGGCTTTGCGACTTGGTGGTACTTGTGTCAATGTTGGGTATGTGGTGATACGATTCTTTGTCAAACTACGCTGTAGAAAAAACCGAAGAAAAACAAACTAATATAATGCAAACCGTAGCTGCGTACCAAAGAAAGTCACCTTCAACGCTGCCGCCCTCGCTGAAGCTATTCATGATTCCAAGGCTTACGGCTTCTCCGTACAAGAAACTAAGCCCTTCGACTTCACCACCTTCAAGAACAAGCGAGATGCCTACATAAAACGACTAAACGGCATCTACGAGCGCAATTTAGCCAACGACAAGGTAGAATACGTTCATGGCTGGGCCAAGCTCTTGAGCAGGAATGAGGTCGAGATTACCCTGGACGACGGCTCGAAGGCGACGGTACGCGCCAACAAGATCTTGATCGCTGTCGGCGGCGAGCCTACCAAACCCCCTGCCAACATCCCCGGCGCCGAATATGGCATCAACAGCGACGGATTCTTCGATATTGACACCCTCCCTAAAAAGGTCGCCCTCGTTGGTGCCGGCTACATCGCCGTCGAGTTTGCCGGCATGTTCAACGCCCTCGGTACCGAGACCCACCTTTTCATCCGGCACAAGACCTTCCTACGCACCTTCGACCCCATGATCCAGGATGGCGTGACTGCGGAGTACGAGCGTCTCGGCGTCCATGTGCACAAAGAGTCGACACAAAGCCGCGTCGAGAAAGACCCATCCACCGGAAAGCTGACGATTCACTACCAGGATAGCAACAGCAACGGCGAGGCCCAGCTCTCCGACGTTGACCACCTCATCTGGGCCATCGGCCGCACTCCCATGACTAAGAACATTGGGCTCGAGGAGGCTGGTGTCAAGCTCGACGACAAGGGCTACATCGTCACGGATGAGTTCCAAAACTCCTCCGTGGACAACATTTACGCCATCGGCGACGTCTCCGGCCGCGTCGAGCTAACTCCCGTCGCCATCGCTGCCGGCCGCCGATTATCCGAGCGACTATATGGTGGTTCGCAGTTCCAAACGACGCGCATCGACTACACCAACGTACCATCCGTCGTATTCTCGCACCCGGAGGTGGGCAGCATCGGGCTCACGGAGCCGGAAGCAGAGGCTCAGTATGGTCGCGAGAACCTCAAGGTATACAAGACAAGCTTCACGGCCATGTATTATGCCATGATGGAGCCGGAGGACAAGGCACCCACGAAGTACAAGGTCATATGCGCTGGCCCCGAGGAGAAGGTTGTCGGCCTCCACATCATGGGCCTCGGCTCCGGCGAGATGCTCCAGGGCTTCGGCGTCGCCATCAAGATGGGTGCCACCAAGAAGGACCTCGACTCTTGTATCGCCATTCACCCCACGAGCGCTGAGGAGCTGGTTACACTAAAATAGGGGATTTATATTTGCTTACCTCGATACCAATGTAGATAGGTGGATTATAGAGAAAGACAATATAAAAGAAAAGAAAAGGCCATAAATAAAGAGCCAATACCATATCATATGCAATGTTATATCAAAAATGAATTTCAACTTTCGTTGGTTGGAAAGATATCGTGTCTATTTAGAATCTCGTGAAGTTAGGAAAGGGGGTCGGTTTATTCCTCACCTTTATCCCCCTCCCCCCCACCCCCCTATCTGTCCTAGATCTAAGTAGGTAGGTAAATATGTTCAATGTCAAAACGTTCCATCATGAGAGCCCTGGAAAGCTTTAATACCTAGGTAATTATCAACTATCAATTATTGATTATCATTAAAAAGAAGCAACGAAAGCAAAAAGGAAAAAAAAAAGAAAAAGAAAAAAGAAGCATACAACAAACGATCTAGTTAATTCCAGTCTGATACTCATGCTCATGCTCATGCTCATACCTTCAACATCTCTCATCTGGTCCACCTGGGCAATTTTCATAAAACCATCACTCACTCACTCACTCACTCGACAGAAAGGCCATACATGCCAATTTAAGTAGGCAGGTACGTACATGCAACACAACCAACTACAAAAAAATCAAGTTTTGTATTTCTCTCTCTGGCTTGCTTTGGTATACAGACATTATGATAGGGACACATTGACTTTGGCATTATTTCTTATCTTCTTTATCTTTCTTTTTCTTTTTTCCTTTTCCTTTTTCTTTTTCTTTTTCTTTTCTGGTACCTAGGTAAGTAAGTATCCCGACGTCAGAAGATCAGATTCCCCCTTCCGCCCAAGAGCTCAAAAAAAGAAAAAGATAAGAAACACAACCTTGGGGTAAAGAAGTTCTCCCCCCTAACGCCAAACTGTATGGTGTCAATGTCCGTGTTCGCCTGTCCCCTTTCCTCTGCCCGTTTTTTGGTTGTCCAGGATATGATGAGATGCCATTTATACAACAACAAATTAGGCCGAAAAGGGGAAAAAAGGGACCAGAGATATTTGAGTGATAAACCAGCTCACAATATCATCATTTCTCTTCCAACTCATCGAGATTTTCGAACGTTTCGTGTCAAATATAGACACAACATTCGTATTCATATGACCTAGAAGTGCTAAGCACCCAAGGTAGATCAAGCGTGTGCTTCAATTTTTCAAACTTGGCGGAAGCATGGCGTATATATCTCACGGGAGTTTTCAAGCCCGCCTCGACTAGAATGAGGGCTTACTACCTCCGTTCAGACGATAAGAATTCATGGAGCCAGTGCTCCCATTGGGGCTCAGCATGCTCGACATGCCCTGGCGATCGTCTTGTACCGAACTCGTGGAAGAGAACGAAGAGTTGAGAGATGTAGTGGCGCTATTCATAGTCCCAGTACGGGACATGGATAGCCCTCCCATGGATATCAACGCGTCGGCCCGTTCAAAAACATTCCCACTGAACGCACTGGCGAAGGATGCATTTTGTGGCGTCGACGGTACCGTTGCTTGGACAGCTGGTCCAAGAGCGGCACTTTGTGGTGTCATCGGCATCTGTATTGGAGTATTCCCCGAGCTAGACGTGTAATGGTTAGGAGAGTAGTGGTTGGGTCCGTCTGTGATATTACCAGCATGCCGAAGAAGATACACCCACGGGGAAGTCATGATAAGCTGGTTCGTCTCCTTGATGCCTATTTGGATGGGTCGTAACCTAGTCCGAATATCAAGCGGAAAAGATATCTGATCCATAGACGACTTAAGCCTACTCCCAAACTCGGCCCAGGAATCGATGAAGCCTTTGCAAAGAGTCCAGAAAAGGGGATCCGTCCTGACATTAGGGTCCTTCAATTTGACCAGGGATAGCCTTTCCTTTAAACGCTCCGTATCAGCGATAGCGATCGAACATTTAGCGACTAGACCTTTCCAGCAGCGTACTATACGATCTGGGGCTCGTTGATGTTCCGCACCGCGTCTGTACATAACAAACTGCTGGTTGATGTTTGGAAGGATCCGCATAACCAAATCCGATGACTTTTGCAACGATAGATATATTCTCTCAAATAAACGTTCGTCTGCAGTAAAGTCGGTAGGATACCTCAAGTCTGGATTGGACGAGGCGAACGATTCCCCTGACCGAGGTGTTGCGGATGTGATTTGGGCCATACGCCCCGTGCCATTGATATACGGAACGGACATGTCTGTCGTCACCCGGAGGCTGCTAGGATGATGGACGAATGCTCCAGGGCGTGGTCGGCTACCTGGACGTGAACCCGGACCCGGACTTCGGCCTGGACGAGGACCTGCACCTGGACCCGGGCTTCGACCTCGGCCAGGGCGCTCTATAGTAGGTGTTGCTGAGCTTTCTCGCGAATGAGCTCGAATGGTGTCTCCAATTGCTGGATTGTATCTTCGGCTCCGGCTGCGCGCCGGCTCGTAGGTGCCCCCGGATATCTCGTTGGCAGTAATGCGAAGCTCCATTATGCTGTGATATAGTAGCATCATCATGGTACGGATGTAACGAGGATCCCCGTTATCCACGATCGTATTCATGTTGTTCATTAGCAGTGAGCAAATATGACTATAAGCGTTAATTAAAGTCAGGACGGCTCTCTGCACATTTTCGTTCTCACGCAGTGTGTATGGCCCATTTTCTGTAGCGTATTCGTGTTTTGTAATCTCCTGTTCAAGCTCCTCGATGTGGAAATTAGTGTTGTAAAACACAATCTCGAGACTAGATCGCTTAGATGTGCCGTCGTTGGTTAATCTCGTGAAGAGTTGTATCATCGGATGGATTTGGAATATTGCATATAGGATGCCCTTAGCAGATTCGATGATGGGGTCGAAAACTTTCGACTCTCGCCTCTGCTCTGGCAAGACGGAGAGCCGCCGGACGTAGTTTGGTCGTTGAAGCAGCGGCTCGGCTGGGCTGTTCGGGCTAACCGCCGAGGTAGCATTCGGATTTGGATTACCTGTCATCGATGAGCCGTGGCTTAATCCCCGGTAGTGGCTAAACCTGTTGTTCGCCTGACCTTCGTCTAGGGTCCCGAGCTCTGAAGGTTTTCTAGATACGATACCCATACGCCTGTTTCGCTCAGATGGACGCTCCGCCCTTGACGCCTGTAACAGAGTTTCACTATTAGAGCGTAACCTCTCGTTAGGGTTGCCGATGGTGAGAGGCATAACGCCAGGCTTGCGCATAGCCGTGGCTGAGTTCTGCTGTGAGAGCCCCCGAGCATGTGACCTGGATGGTATAGGCGGCGGTCGGAGTACGGCCGGGGATCGTAGATCCGACACATCGCTACCATTTACTCGGACTGGGAATCGACCGCTAACATTCCTTCTGACTGGCATACGAGGCGTTTCAGTTCCATCGCTTAGTTCATCTCCGCCATTTTCACCCTCTTTCTCTCTCCCGTTCAGACTCTGGGCCTTTAGCTTCAGATATTTCTTGATATGTGCCGTAGCAGTGAGTTCAGTTATTTCACTCTTCTCCAAGAAGCCCTCGTTAGGGGGGCTACTGGCTTGAACCTGCAACACTTCCTTTGGCGGGAAGGTTATGTTATTACCGTCCAGTCTCAGCATTTGCAACGAGATCATGTCAGCCAAGCAGAGAGGAAGCTCCTGTATTCGATTCTTCTGCAATGCAAGCACCTTAAGGGAGGTCAATTTCGCAATCTCTGGAGGGAGGACGCGGATCTTGTTTCTTCCCATGTCTAAAATTTCGAGTGACTTGATATCGCATAACTACAATACTGGTGAGATAAGATACTTCATGCTTATGAAAAGGGAGTAATTACCGATGGTGGGAATTCTCTGATCTGGTTGGCCCTTAGGTTGAGATAGCGTAGGTGTGTGCACTCTGAGAATCTAGAGGGTAAAGATGATAGTTTGTTGTGCGATAGTGCCAACCTACGCAACATAATCGTTAGTATTAGAACCAGGGCTTGATTGAATGAAGAAAGGAAGGAAAACTAACCGCTCCAGCTCATTCTTTATTATGTCTACCACTTCCTCTGGCAAAGCTTGAATATTCTTTCGACTGAGATCAATGGTGACGCCAGGCTTGAGATCAGTGCTAACACCACTGGCTTCGGCTGCTTGTGTCTCATTCTCTTGTAGAGCACTATCCATCGCTTCTCTGGCAAGAGCGATGACTTGGCTAGTAGACAAGGGAGCAGATGCAGAGAGCATCGAACCGGGTGTGCTATTAGCCATATTGTTGAATTGCTCGGGTATCGGTGGAGGCGGTGGCATCGTGTTGTTGGTAGGTACTCGTCTCATGCCTGGAGGTAGGTTTGGAGGATAATTTCTCGAGTTCGACGATTGAGGTGATAAAATGGTTGTGGCCATACTGCTGCCTAAGGCAACGTCCATGGCAACCAAACAAAAACCTCGACTTTTGCCACTAGTAGACGCGTTGTTTTCCTTGATGCGTATGAACCGAGGTAATTTGATAGTTGCTATCGGGGTTTTAGAATCGTAAAAAGCACAGTAATTCTAAATGTTCCAAGGCTTCTTAACGAATAACGCCCAAGTAAATGGATCAAGGAATACAGGTCGGCGAGCCGTGAAGGTAAACCGAGACCATGGTAATAGCGAAGACGACGATTCAAATAGAAAAAGACGAATTGAACAAGATGCAAGACGCAAGACGTAATATTCGGAGGCGTAGACTTGGAGATTCTGGAACGAATCTACGGAGACATTAGGATCAGATGTGACAAGAGTAACAAGAGTGACAAGAGTGACAAGAGATAGAATAGCGAGAGAAGTGTTTCAACAAGTGAATGTTTTGGCATCAATTCGTAAAAAGATTTCAAAGTTGAAACAAGCCTAGTGGAAAGGGTGAAGCACTGATGTCGTCGAACTGAAGAGAAATTCGAATGGAACCCCTTGTTTCTTGGACTGGAGCTTCTTTCATTCAGGTGGTATATCAAGGGGGCCAGACGACCTGGCCAGGCGAGATGTGCGGCGCAATCTTTTGGGAGGACGCACAAGGGATCAAAAGCCTTGGGCACCAGTTGGAGGGTTAGAGGGAAGGGGTCTTTGTCGCTAGCGTCACTAAGAGACCGCCTAGAAGAAGGGGTTTCCACAGAGACACGGTGGGTGTACAACCTAATCCGATAGTGATTAGACCTATAAAAACATTGAAGCCTATAAAAAGGGAGTGTGACAGAGAAAAGGGGAAAAGTTGGGGTGAGCGAAGCATAAAAAAGTGGGCCAGCGCTTGGATTACCCCTGTCTTCACTTGCAATTGACTTGCGGTTCACTCGCGGTAGAGGCCCGGGAGGTCCTTGCCAGCCGCCGTTATCCCCCTCTCCTTATTGTACTAACTTGTGTACTTTAATACCTTATGTGCAATATTACATTATTACTGTGTAGGTACTAATAGGTAGTTATGTAGTTATGTGCACTGTATTTTCACTGCATCTTACCCATCGTAACTTAGAAACATAAAATCGGTGTTTTCTTTCACATTTCTCTATAGTCTTCTACATCTCGAAAAGGGGGTTTTTTTAATATACACAATTAGGATTGGTGAGACTCGAAAGGATTCGATTCGTTGTACAAATCTATACTTTTATAGTACTCTACAGTTGTGGCGCCAGCAACTTAGTGGAAAAAAAAAGAAAAAAAGAGAGAGAACGGACGCTAGGGTGTAAGGTTACGGTGTGTCACTAAATCTTGCATGCACAGACCAGGTATTGCTCAAAGATCCAATTAGTTTCCCGCCAGAGATGCAAGGCACGTTCCATGATCCCACGCGACAGTGGAGATCAGCGTGATTAGGCAATTAAGCATAAGGTTATGAAAGTCGCGACACAGAAGTGCGAAAGAACGTTGTGAGTCTTCTAGGTCAAGGAAGATAACATACCTACATAGACAGGCCTAACCTAGACAAGTAGTAGCTATAATAGTAGCTACAAACAATTGAGTTTACTACCGCCGAGCTAAGTCTGACCGTACCTGTTTGATATCTGCAAGGTACTTACATCAGCCAACCTGGTGCCTGGGTCCTGGGACCTTCTTCAGATCTACTGAAGACGAAACTTTGGACAACATCCAGCAACAAATCCAGATTGATGCTCACTAAAGATACCCAAATTATACGCAATAGCAAACCTTCATCCAGTCACGGAAGTATCAACATCTACCCAGTACAGTATCTATTTGGTGCTTCGGCTGGAGAATGCCTAGGATGTAAGCAAGGTCTCTCTCACCTTGTGTTGAATATCAAGAACACACTATTTCGAGCTCGTTGACTCTCTAAGGTCTATGAATCCCTCCAATTCCTGTGTCATTATAAGAGCTAGGTAGGCAAATACTCAAGCTACTTTATAGTGATCACTTAAACGAGGCTCAAAATGCCTGCTCTTGTCAGATCTAACTCATTCATCTTTCCCGATCTCGACTTCACTCTACGTCGGCAATTCAACAAGAGCAGCTTTCGTCCTTTTCAACGAGATATCATACAAGCTGCATTAGACGGCAACGATGTGTTCGTCCAAGCGGCAACTTCCTTTGGGAAAAGCTTGTGCTTCCAACTTCCAGCAGTAGTGGACCAGGGCAGTACGTTCTCAACCCTTGGCCCGCCGTGTGCCCCTTTCTTTTCATATTTGTCACTATGTCACTTATACTCACACTAAAGCATAGTTACTATCGTTGTCTCGCCATTGTTGAGCCTTATGATGAATCAGGTGGAAGCTCTTCGGGCTGCCGATATCAACGCCAGCTCGCTAAACAGCAATACACCTTTGCCGGAAAAAGACCGCATTATGAATGATCTCAAGACAGGCCACCCACGTACTCGCTTGCTCTACGTAACTCCAGAGCTGTGTGCCCAAGATCGTTTTCGGGACAGGTTAAAGGTGGTCCACGAACAACGAGAGCTTGCTCGTATCGCTATTGACGAGGCGCATTGCATTTCGGAATGGGGGCACGACTTCCGGAAAGACTTTAAAAGGCTAGCCTGGTTTCGAGAATCATTCCCAGACGTGCCCATCATGTGTCTGACAGCAACAGCCAACAGTCAGGTACGGAATGACGTACTCGCCACCCTTGGGCTAGATTCCAACCCGGAGAAACTGAAATCATTCACAATGACAGCTAATAGGCCAAACATTCACTTCGAAATCCGCTTCACCCGGGATGAAGATGATCAACGCTTAGATGATTTTCTCCAGTGGATTCGGGGTGTTTATCGACGCCGAGCTGAGGATGCACGAAAGAGTGAACTCGCTGCCGTGGGTGAACGTGCTGACAATGTCCCTGGTATCATCTACACCATATCACGGCAAGAGTGTGAGAGCCTAGCCTCACAGCTAAGACAAGAAGGGATTGGGGCCCAGCCGTTCCATGCCAAACTATCCAAGGAGGCAAAGGAGCAGACTCTCGCGAAGTGGATTGCTAACGAGCCTGGCTACGACATTATCGTCGCCACGACAGCGTTCGGTATGGGTATCGATAAAAACAATGTGCGATTTGTGGTGCATTGGCGGTTACCCAAGTCCTTTGAGGGATACTACCAGGAAGCAGGACGGGCAGGGCGTGATGGCAATGCAGCATATTGCTTCTTATATTACAGTCGTGAAGACAGGGACCGAGTCAGCAGCCTGCTCATGCGAGATCGCTCTGCTTCGAAGTCCAACTTTGAAGCACGAGCAAAGAGTCTTCGAGCATTGGCTGAATATTGCGAAAGTACAAATGCTTGTCGCCACAAGATGATTTGCAACTACTTTGGGGAGAACACGACGCCGACGTGCGATTATGCATGCGACTGGCATAAGGATAGTGCCGATCTCCAAAGGCGTATCCTCAGAGGCCTGGCAAGTGAGGAATGGGTTAGCACGCAGAGAGAAGGAGGATTGTACGATGTAGATTGGGATGAGTGAGTGAGTTGAGTGATTTATGAGAGATGGTGGTGTCTAGTTCGATTTATACCTTTACGGTAACATCGTCCTTAATATCTTTCTGACGAAAGTAAACCGACATTGGAAGACATTTGGCACATCATGCAAGTCATTTTCGAATCCCTCCAATCGGCTTGGTCAAAACCAGGTAATAATAGGCAATACCAGGTAGCAGAGACCCCGCATAGGTACATGTATGTACTGTATATTATCATACGTACCTACTACCTACATACACATGAACGGCAATCTGCAGGATTGAAGCTCGTTTCTCGTTCGTCAATAAAGTTCCTAATCCCAATTTCTCTTCATCCGAATACCGAATATCAAACATTCCATTTTCTCCATTCGGCCTTTTTATTTTTAAACTCATATCTATCCACTTACACACTTACACACTTACACACTTACAAACTTTCCGAAAGGCACAAAGCCAGAATGTCGGGTCCAATGGCATCTTCGAGTGCAACGATACGCCCTGCACCGCTGCTCAACCCCTCGTCCCCATCCCCATCCGCACCCACAACCACAACTACATCCACAACCATATCTACATCTACAACCGCGCTCGTGCTGGTGCCCACGCCTATACCCTCCTCCACTTCGGGTACCCTGCCCCCAGTAGTCTCAGCTCCTCCAAATAGAACGGGAACGGCTAGTTCGTCTCACGCTACAAGCTCATCACTCCTCTCACCATCATTTCAATCTAATTCCTCGCGCCAAACTCACCACCACCACCACCCACCCCCCTCTCCTTCCGCTTCCGCATCGCGGAGCACCACGTCGCCTCCCACCACCACAGCCACAGCCAGCACATCATCCGCTACCAGCCAGCAGCCCCGCGCAGCCACCGCCATGGACCTGCACCCCGCCCTCCTACCCTCCCACACTACCACCACCCCCCCAGCACCCGCGCCCGCGCAGCACGTAGCCGAAGCGCGCGCCGCCCTCGTGGCCTCGATGTCGAACATGATTGACTCGGAGCTGCAATCCCGCGCCTCTCTACTCCACGCGAACGCCGGCGCGCTCAGCAAGCAAGAGCGGGACGTCGTCAAGGGCACCGAGGCGCTGCGCAAGGAAAACGACAAGCTCGAGAAGCTGGCCCGCGACACCGAGCGCAAGATCAAGGAGATCGGCAACGTGCAGAACTGGGCCGAGGTGCTCGAGCGCGATTTCTTGGTGCTGGAGGAGACGATGAGGTTGGTGAGGGGAGATGGGAGTGGGAGTGATGGGAGTAGCTGTAGTGAGTGTGGGAGTGGCAGTAGTAGTAGGAGGAGTAGCTGGTCGGGGAGCTATAGTGCGGATGGGGGGAGTAGGGCGGGTGGGGTTAATGGGGATGCGCAGAAGAAAACGAATAATGAGGATGGTGATGCAAACGGGAGCGCTGCTGTTGCTGCGAGCAGTGACCGAATCCGCATCAACGTCACCGGAGACGAAAAAACACTCGCAGACCGCATCAGCGAGGCCATGAACACAGACCTCCGCGAGCCCCTCGAGTCTTTATCGCTAGCAAACCCGCCGCCTTCTTCATCCACCCGCAGCACGCTCGCGAGTTCCGCCAAGGGCAAGGAGCGGGCCACCCTGAATGACGACGACGAGGCGATACATTTAGGAGATGAGAGTGCTTCGTCGCCCCGTGAGCTCTCTCTGTCTCCATCCTTCGATACAACTAATACTTCTTCTTCTTCCCAGCCCCAACACCTCGGGGGAGAGCACGGATATAGGTGACAAGGCAGGCATTGAACCGAACCGAGCTGAGCCATCCGGCAATATTGGCCGGATGGCAAGTAGGTGGCGCTAAGTTGCGTTTTTTGCCTGCTCTTCTCCTTTACTTTCTCGGCGGTAGGTATACTAGGCACCCGATGAGCGAGCTAGGTTATTGACTACCAGATACTACATATTTATATAATGTACAGTATACTTTTATAGGGAATAGGGAATATGGGATTACGGGCTACGGATTACGATGGTTTGGGTACGGTGTAACGGGTTCCCGGCGGCTGAGATATGTTAAAACGAATATGGATCTGGATATTTATTCGAAGAATGACCTACTTTCTGTACTTGCATACGTACCTACTGTACTTATGTTGTATTTTACCGGTCTGGGATTTCTACCTACTCAGTACCTAGTATTATGAGGCTTATCTTATGAGAATACACTTACGAAATACTTATTCATTTTTCATTAAGGCAATTTACGCGGAAACAAGAGTAACCTCGAACCTCAGCAAGTTCGTGCTAGTATTCATACCACGTAGTTTTTGATAACATAATTCATTACGAGTTCTATTTCTAGATCACTTTAATACGCCCCTTTTGCCGATTCCGCGTCTAATGAGATACGTGTATAAATCATTCCCATGACTGCACGCCTTTAGCTCTAGAACGTATGACTATCCCCAAAATCCTATTCATTACGCTATTACATATTTCATACACTTGTATGTGAGAACAGGTTCCATGTTGAGCAAGCCTTGGGGAGTTGGTGCTTGTCCCCCCTCTCTATAGTAAGCCTGGAAGCATAACGAATCGCTTTTTCTGGTATTGGCTACCGAATTGCTTGCGGTAAGCAATTTCCTTGCCCCAGCCCCAGGAGTACATGTAGGAGCAGCCGATGCTGATGAAGAGGACAAGGGAAGGGCTGCGAGTGACGATGATGACGCCGATCCAGGCGATGACCTCGAACATGTAGTTGGGGCAGGTTACGAGGTTAAATCCAAGACCTTTGGGGATTTTGCGAGCTGTCTCGCCAGGCTTGCGCAAATGTGCTAGGTACCAGTGGACGTTGAAGTTGGCAAGCTCGCCAAAGATGAAGAGCGCGAGGCCAACATAACTTAAGGGGGTCAGCGTATCCGGGGCCAGGGCAGCGGGTGAGAAGGGTGCGTAGATCTCGAGGGCGCCGAGGAAGCCTGCAAAGGCCCAGTAGAAGAAGGAGTTCCGGAAGACGTGCTGGAAGGGCATAGTGTTGGCGCTGAACTTGTGTAGGAATATGCACTCGAGCTCGCGTTTAACAAAGTGCGCCATGACCATGGCGAAGGTGATTTTTTGTATATAAGAAAGCTCGCCGCTATTACTGGCGACGGTATCTTGGACCCAGGGAGGCAGGTGATTCTTGATCAAAGGGTATACGGGCGGGTAGATGTAATCACGTAGACCGCAGAAGAGAGGGTGAAATATTAGGGGACCAATGTACTCGATCACGTAGACAACTCGCCAGCCGATCTGGAGGCCTGTTTGGACAAATTGTTAGTTTTCGAATGGTTTTAGCAAGGGATAGTGAGTAATCATACCCAGGTCCTTGACGAGCAATTCACCGCGTTTTACCATCTCAGTCTGGTCTCGGACTAGAGATTTTCTGTCTTTATAGGTCTTCTTAGAGACTGGGTCAAAGATACCAATTCGGTTGTGGTCGGAGACCTTGCTGGCCCTCGCAACAGCGATCTTAGCATCTTCGATGGTGGCATCGTGGGGGAGCTCAATGGCGGGGGGTAGTCCTTTCAGACCCTTCCGGGACCGATTGACGACTTTAAAGGTCAAGCCAGGCATTTTACCAGTTTCAATTGGAATGTGTTAGGGGTCAAAAAAAGAAGGGACGTCAGACTCAAGAGACTTGTGAGAAGGACTACTAGGTAGGTATGTAGGTAGGTAGGTAGGTAGGTGGTAATATGGTGGATAAGCAGATAGAGGAATTAACGTTGAACGGGAAAGCTGTTAGGTACCCTAGCTATTTAGACTTTTTTTTTGTGGGAAATTTGTTGAGCTGAACCATGCCATGTGTTTACTTATGTACGTAGTTACGTAGCACTTTTTACTTTTTTTGAGCTTCAATGTGATAAGATTACTGAAATGCCTAGGTTATATAGAGTAGGAGCTACCATGTAAATACATCCATTTACATATATGTAGGTATACATAAATGTATATGTACCTCTAGAGCATGTGGTATTCAGCTTCCTCCAGATGTCTCTATTGCCTTCATAGTACACGTCGTTGTTGCCAAGTAAATGGGGATTGTAACTTGTTGCATGTACTTGCCTAGGTAAATAAGAAAAGACCAACGTTGAAGCTAGTGGAAACGGCGTCCAATGTTGCATGTGAATTACTTTTTTGGGATAATGGCGTCACTTTAAGTTATGCAATCAAGTAAGGTATTAATCCTTGTCCAATATCTATCAAAGAGGTATATGAAGTTATTCACTCATTGCCCCTCGGTCATGCGACGTTAAACCCGGACAGTCAATTAACATAAACTCCAACCAACCAACTACTCCTACATACCATCACATCACTACTACCACCGCTACCACTAATGATTTCCTAACCTTGCCCGTCGCCCTTGATCTTCAATCCTCAATCTTCAATCCTATCTATCCAATCCACCTTTCCGATGGGGAACCTTATGAGGCCGTACGACATATACATGATGCCACCGCCCAATACTCCGGAGGAAGGGCTAATCATTGGAACTACCTTAGCTCTAGCCGGCGCCATACCTCCGAGTGGACATTCTCCTCCTTCAAACTTCGATCTTCGAGCTCTTGAATACGAGGGAAATGTCGACGAGAATCTTATATGTCCTATATGTCGATGCCCTTTTGTCTCTCCCATAATTACCGCCTGCGAACACGTCTTCTGCACAAAGTGTATCATCCAGGCTCATGCTCTCAACCCTGTCTGCCCCGTTGACCGATCACCTCTGAAGCTAGTGCAGGAAACGCGGAGAGCCCCTAGAATTATCCACAATCAAGTTGATAATCTGACCGTCAAATGCCCAAATAGCTCACGTGGATGTAATCTAATCGTCACCCGTTCCTTAGTCGAAAATCACGTCGAGCGATATTGTGACAAGGCCCTTGTACCATGCCCCAACACTTATTGCGATAAACAAGTGATGCGAAAGGATATTGTCAAGGGATGCCTTCACTACAATGTCAAGTGTAAATATTGCGACCAAGTAAAGCAGATGGCCGACATGGACGAACACCAAGATACCGAATGCCCAAACCGGAAGGCCGAATGCAATCAGTGCAAGGGAGAGTATGTGCGGCATAAGCTGGAGGAACACTCGAATGAATGCCCTGAGTCTTGGACATCTTGCAAGTTCACACCTCTGGGTTGTCTTGCGCTTGTCAGGCGCAAGAAGCTAGAACAACACGTGCAAACATGCCCGTACCGGATTGTTGGTCCTGTGGGAGAGCAACTGGCCGAACTTCAAGCTGAGATTAAGGCCCTCCAAGAGAAGGACCAACTCAAAGATCGACGAATCAAATTTCTCGAGAATCGTGGGTTCCCATTGCCTATGCAAAATCCCCCGGAGCCCATCTCAGACATCGCCATGTCCGAAGCCATTCCCGCTCATGAAGACAATGCGCCTTATGAATCCCGAGATCAGTACTTCTTATCCCTATTCGAAACTATGGAATCCAAGGTAGAGCGTTTATCTACGGCACTGAATGAAGTCGAGGGACGACATTCCATGATGCTCTTCAACGAGAGTTCGCAAATCAAAGACCAGCTCACGGAATTGCGAAGCACTATGGGTGTACTTGGCATGCATGTGAGATGGCTCATGAACTTCCGATTACAGGAGCGAGGGAGAGTCGGAACCGTCTCGCCGAGCATGTCCGGTCCCTTTTCTGGCAGTTCAAATTCTCACGAAAATGATGGTGACTCGTATTCACCTCGACGCCTGAGCGACATTCTACGAGAGAGTAACCCACGACTATGATGATCAACAATGCTTCGTAACTACCTAATATCGGCACGCTGTGTCCTAGTATGGTAGTCAAGGTCCTAGCCAATACCTAGTCTGGGTAGAATAGAGTCGATTTGCCCACGATAGTCTTTTTGAGGATGTTCTCTGTCCGCAGAGAAGAAAACATACAGGAGACTTCCTGACAGTTTTTTGTGGTTTGCTAACTTTCAACCCAAAATCTCTTCATTATACCGATGCACAGCCCGTAATATACGAACCAGATGCTAGAAGACTGTATTAAGGGTTTGCTATGGTTTATGGAGTTCCGTACATATTTCGTTGTGGTGGATTATCAAGGATTATCCGAGAAAATAGGTAAACTTCTCGACACGACGATTATGAAGACGGTCGAGGTGGCAAAATATGAAGAAACGGAAAGCTTCGGTATAGCCAAATCGACGATATGAGCGAGGAAGGAATTGGTATCATTGACGACGCTAATGAAGAAAGAGAAAAGGAATATACGCCCTTGCCAAAGAAGCTTGCAAAGCTGATCGAAGATGATGGTGGTATTCAAGCAGATACCAGGACGATGGCATTGCCCCACTATGCTGGTACGGGATTATGGAAGGCATTCTAAGTGAGTTATACTGTCGTTGCTTTGTGGCCCTAGAACAAGTTCGAAAGACCTGGCCTAGTAATGTGAAACGTGTCAACGAGGCCCAAAAGAAAGTGAGTGAGTGGTGGTATACTAGATATACATTAATGACCCCATGTACCTAGTGATTGAAAACCTCCACCAAACCCCCTTTATGTTCTTTGTTTAACCGTGTGATTTGCGTAATTGTGACTTGCCGTACTTGATCAACGCATGAAGAGTTGATGGCACTGACCCTGATGCTTTTGTAGAACATTGAATATACTACGTAGTCGTGGAGTTCTTTCAATGTCTACTAGCTACCTAACCTTAGGTATCTAGGTCGGTAGCAGACAGACAGACAGGTAGGTAAGCACCTAAGACATGTTTCCAAAATTGCGCGCATGAGCTACCTAATGCTTGAATATCCAACGTCATTATTATGATGATATCTCTTAACTCTAGGTAGGTAGATGAGTACCTCCTTCAGAACGCAATATATCTAACCTAGGTACCTAATTCAAGGGGACCGCGATACCCGCGGAGCACCTACACAGGAGACAGACATGTACTGTATATCCCGCTCACCCCATCTTCCCGTACATATCTGTATACTGCTATATACACGACTAAGGCATCTCGGTATAACTCGAGAACTGCTTGCCATCTTCCTGCCGGGTCAAAATATACGTCTCCCAATGCGCCACTACCTGCCCGCCCGGCCACATAGTAGTAGTAGTAGTATTTTCCGGCTGCCGAACCGCCGCGCCTACGAAACCCGGGTCCTCCGGATCGAACAAGGGCCGGAGCTGAGCGCCGAATTTTGCCTGCAGCTGCGCGCGGTGCTGCGCGTCCACGGGCGCGCCGAGCGCGAGGATCCAGTCGATGACCTGCGCTAGCACGTCGCTCTGCGCGGCTGGGAACCAGAGGGCGACGAGCGTGCGCAAGGTGATATCGTAGCCGTGGTCGCGGGTCACGGCGAGAGTCTGCGGGGTGGCTTTGACGAGCCACCGGGTGCCTCTGGATTTCCGGAGGCGCGTGGTCTGCAGTTTCCTCCCTGCGACGGGATGCTCGGACTTGAACCAGACCCGCATCCAGGGGGGCTTGTCCTCGTCGATGAGGCGCGTGAATGTGGTCGGGTGCGTGACGATGGTGAAGCGCGGGTTCGCGCCGTGGTAGAGCATGAAGGCGAGGATGGCTAGGGGGCGGGTCGGGGTGTAGTGCGCGCACCAGTTCTTCAGCATGGTGTGGAACGCGGGTTCCCTATCAGCAACGAAGGAGCAATCGGGAGAGGCGCCGAGGTCGAAGAGAGCTTGGCAGGTTTTCAGGGCGCGGTTCCACTCTGTCGGGCGTTCTAGCTTAGGGAACCCTAGGACGGACACACATGCAGCAGCGAGAAAGTCTCCTGACTCGAGGTGGGTGTCTGGACTGATCCTTTGGAAGTATTCGTAGAACCCGAATTCCGCGCAGGCTAGCGGGATCATGGCTGCGGCAGGCAGGCGGACTGCCTTCTCCGTTATGGAACTTAGCATACGCCATTTACAAGGCATCTGTATGTTCAGCTTGATGACTGTGTTATAGATGTCATTGAGGAAGTCGCAAAACCGTGGCGTAGTCCCCGGCTGACCAAGATGGATTTGCTGCAGAATTCTCAACCCGACATTCTGTCGTAACGAGGGACTGGGTGAATGAAAGATTACTGATTCGCCAGCTCTTGTCCGGTATTGACCCCAGTTCGTGCCATTAGGGGTGTGTAGTGACTGCTTCTTAAGGGGTCGATTAAAATAGGATCTCGGTAAACGGACGCGCTCTAATAGGGCCAGGTATGTTTGGCAGTAGGCATCGAAGGGGTCAAATCCAGCAAGTTTGAGTTTCGCCTTCTGCTGGAATTCGGGACTGTCCAAGAACTCCGCAATCGATCGATGTGTGAGGCGGACTATACTCCCAATCCTATGCTGATATTGGGCCGGGAAGCGGCGCCGGCGCGATTCACATGGCCACAAGTGTCTGCGAACTTCACTTACGCCGTAATGCTGAAGAAAGTCGGGCGGGCAAAAGAGTTCGTGGAAGTCGGATAGGCTGTTACCTGGTCGGAGTTCAAGAAGCCCCTTACACACGCCATACACACGCTTCTCGGCCTTATCTAGCCTTCTTGCATTCTCAGCTGGTGTGAAAAGTACGACAGCAGAGTTCCGGGCAAAGTCCTTATCTTCAACGTATTCCTCCAGGAACGAGTATTGCATCAAAGAGACTCGGCTATCGTAGGGATAACAGAATTGGGCAAACAATAGCATACTGTATGCCAGTTTCTGATTATTGGGAGAAATCGAGTCCAAGAGCTGCTGAAGCACTGAGATAATGTCAGTGCCTGTTACAAGTGCCTGCTAGGAGTGGACACGTAGGCCACAATGGATTATACTTCGTTACTTACTAGGTTCAATTTCAGTCGGGAGAGAATCAATGATTCTCATCGAGTCTATTAGTTGATCGCCGTTGATGAGTCCATTTTCGATATGCCGAAGCACGAAAGTGACCCATAAGAAAACACCGTCAGATTTGTTACAGATCTCTTCTAGCAAATGCTCATGTACTTCACTGTTTTCGCTGTCATTGAAATGCATTCGACTAAGTTTGTCCTTGGCATATTGTCGAATATCTAAGCGTGTGAGATCTTGTAGCCGAAGTTGGGGACACGTCTTGAACGTTTCTTGAAATACCGGCCCCTCTCGGCTAGATATACAGAGCTTGACGTTTTGTGATTTGTTGGTCCACACAAATAGTTGCCGTATCAGATCTGCATGGTCACCATCGAACTCGTCGAGACCTTCAATAAAAAACGCAAGCTTGTGTTCCGGAGAAGCTTGACTCGTTGCAATCACCTTTTCAAATGCCAAAGAGCACTCCTCATTTTCAACGTGAACTCGGTCGTGCTGCATTGACGCTTCCCACTGCGTTGGGAACGCGAGAGGGATCAAGCTGGGTGATTCTGAGAGAAGGCAGTGTAATAGACCTCGAATAAGACCTTTGATAGTGCTCTGAAGAGGAGAACCTAACTTCCGGAAGAAGAACATTCCTAAAACGAGATCCGTTTCTCCCGCCCAAACTTCAAGGTGTTTTCTAGTCCGTGATTTGCGACACAAATATTTCATTAGTGTCGATTTACCAGATCCTGGCTTGCCTCCAATATAGAATATACCGGTGCCCTTTTCTAGCCAATCAATCAAGCTATCACGAGCTTCCATCATAATCTGTCTTGACGACTCGGATGATTCTTCCATATCTGACTGAGTGTGTGCCCCAGCAAGATTTCGTAAAAGAGTCTGTGAGGGTTTCGGTCTCTCGATCGATTCATCCAACACCTCGCTGTCTGATACGATAGAAGGTTGGGAGTCTGAGTCTGAGTAATGGTAGCCACCCTCAGACCATTGGAAGCTCGAGTTGTCCGATTTGGGGCCGGCACCTCCGCTATCGATATCTCCATGTTGACTATTTGTATTTGACTTCCCACTCTCACTTGGATCTTCCCATTCTAATTCATACTCACTAATCTTATCCCTATCGGGGCTTTCGTCGGTTTCCGTCTCAGAGCTGTAGGTCGAGGATATTTCGGTTTCATGAACGTCTTCGTTATTGAATATCCAATCAAAGGTCTTTTCGTGGGCCTCCTGGATAACTTCAATCCTCTTGTTCATAAGACCAAACAGCAATCCATCTAGAATCCGGGCTTGGCGAATTTTCGTGATGGCATCATCGGTCAACTGGAGCAGCGACTGGATCTGGGCAAGTGCTTCAGGGTCAAGACAAGAGACATTGCTAGCTAGACGTAGATATTCTATGTTTTCGGACAGTGATCGCAACTCGGCACTAGTAGCTTGACCATGTGTGGCAAACTCGTTGAGCTTGACCAACAAATCGGTTCTACAATATCCTACCGATCAGAGATAGCTTGAATAGTTTTTAGAATCGCATCTCACCTGGTTAAGCATGTTAACTCCAAGTTGTTTAGCTGCTGTCTACAATGATCTAGCCTTAGCTCTAAATCATTCTTTTGGTCCTTTTTAAACCAGTCATTCAATGCAGCATTCGGATCTCTTGCCTTCAGCTTATTGAGTAAGCCCACGAGTTCACCCGATAGGCTCTCGCAAATAGCAGCAATTTCGAGGAGGGAATTATCTTGATCTGATAGTGACTTGTTTGCTTTCAAATTAGATGCCAGGCGCTGGACCTGTTGTGTACTAGAAGATAAGTCATCGTTATATGCGCGAGCTCCAGAATCAGATGCATGAATGCTCTCGACCTGAGAAACCAACTTGAAGCCAAAATCTAGGAAAGCAATGATGCCGCAAGCGAGTCCAATTGCCGCAAATGAGTCCATGTCGGCGCGTCTTCACCGCTCGACGCGATAGAAGACGGGTTTCTAGAAAGGCAGGAAAGCTGAAAAGGAGGAAAGCTGAAAAGGACCGCGGTCATACCAAAGCTAGACCTCCCTGGTCTGTTCTTATAGTGGTACAATAGCTGACGTGTTGATGCCCAGTACTTCAACTTGTATAACTGTGTGGGGTTGCTTATGGGAATTATTATGTCGGTGCCTACCTAATGCTGCATGCATGTGATTTCGCAGCTAGGTGAAGCCAATGGGGGGCAATATAACTTCTGCGGGGACTACCTGCACCGCTCTTCACTACCGCGATGCTTTTGTACCTAATGACGTATTTTCTAATACTAAACCAACTCGTCTATCTCTTGATCGACTTTAGGAGCGATGATATCCGGCTTCTTTTGCTAAGGCCGACTCGATACGATACTTTAGGTTGGGAAGCCATGGCTGTAGGCGTAGGCTTAATCATTGAGCTCCCCTTCTCTTGAACTTTAGGCGGCGGCCCCCGATCTGCAGGTTCTGCAGGAACATCCTCTGTAGGCGCAGGGGCTCTTGAGTTTCTATCAATTTCCCTCAAAGGAGAGGCAGCTTCACCTTCACTTTCGTTAGGCAATGGTGGGCTTATATCTTCGTTTTCTTCCTCTTGGTTTTGAGCCTGCTCCTTTCCTGTCTTCAGCTTCTTAGTACTTGTATCAGCCTGGTCTGGCTTTGATTGTTCACGTTGATTGTCCTTTGCGCGGCTTTCTAGCTCAGGGGCTGCTTCCTTTTCACCTTTCAAAGTCTCTGATTTTCGAGGGCGGCCTCTTTTCTTCTTAGGCTTCTCGGGGTCTTTGGCAGCCGCTGCCTGCTCATGAACGACGGTTTGGGCTTCGGCAACCTCCTCGTCCTGAACTATTGGTATATTCTCCGGCTGCTTTTTCTTGCGCCCGCGCTTCTTCGGCTGAGGAGTTATCTTGGCCTTCAAATCGTTAAGTCTTGGTGCACCGATATGGCTGGGTGACTCTGTTGCAGGGATTTCGGAAAGAAGATCAACGACTTCCGATGCTTCTTCGGAAGGTTGCCTAGGCGAGTTTTCTCTGATGGGGACTTCCTCTCCATGATCCAGGATCAATTCAATACCCTCGTCGCCATCCTGTTGACTTGGCGAATTACATATTTCTCTTCTAGGCTTCCGTTTCAAGCCACCTCGATAGTTCTCGAGGGTCTCAGGGTCACTTTGCACAAGTTCATCTTCATCCTGCGTACTCTTTAACCTCTTCGTTCGCTTCTTGCTAGCCTGGCTCTTCATAACAACAGTTTCGGCCACTGTTTCGTCCTGGTCGTTACCTGCATGCGAATCCATAGGAGATGTTCCCACTGATTTTGGCCTAGTAAAAATATGGCTGGCTGCAATTATATCTGGAGAAGAGGTGATCTAACCCTTTGTTAGCTAAAGTTCGGAATCCTAAGCTGTATGAGTATACACACGTCTATAACATCGCCACCTTCCGGTTGTAAATCCAGAGCAGGGCCTGCCTCCCAAGGTAGTGGTGGCCCAGAAGAAGATGCATACCGGCTAGGCGTAGGATATGCGACCGTTGTCATACCACTCGACTTTTGATTAGCGGAAGGGCCAGCAAAACCGGCATAGCTATTTTGTGATACATGAACCTTTTCGTACTCAAGCTTTTGCATGGTAGTCATATTGCTCTGAGCAACGTAAAACTTCGTCGTGGTCGCCGCCTCTGGAAGCGTAGAATCATGGAGCGAGATTTTCCTCTTTTTCGCCATGGGCTGCCAGGATAGCTCATCCGTGTCATGTACACCAACATCCTCCAAGGCCTCCCCAGACGCGTCATTGTCTGCTGTAAATATATTGGCCGCGGCAGGGCTAAGGGCTAACCCCGGCTGGCTTTTTCGCTTGCCGTACGTCTTATCCCTCCTAGTCTTTGCGCTCTTAACACTCTTTGATGTAAAAGCATCTTCGGGACTACTGGGTATATCCCATTCCCCAGGTAAGCTTTTTCTTGGAGTCGTGATAACAGATGCATCATCGCTGAAAAGCGAGGGCTGGTTTCCTGGTTTTTTCAAGACTACGGGTGAGGTAACATCTGTAGCCGAGGAAGTATTGGTCTTCCTGCCTTTGCCTTTGGCAGGGAGTGAAACCTCGCCACTGCTTCCACTCGCTCTTTGAGTTTGACGTACAATATGCTCTATAAGATGAGACTGTTGGAGTGCCCTGCTCTGTTGCTCGTCATAGACATTAGCGAAGAATGACTGGTCCGTAGTATCAGATATTTGATTATGCGTGTCTGATGTCGCACGGCTTGAGCCTAAACGATGTGGGCTCAATGGTTCTATCTCTGGAGGGTCCAGGACATCTTCTCTGAGAGGGCTCAGTGGACCATCGTCGTCATCCTCAGCATCAGAGTCGGCAATCACCCGGTGTGATACCATGATCTACTTCGGTACTTAAAAGGGTTTCCAGTCAATCAACGCGTTTGACGCGTCCCGAAATAGCAATTGCTAAGCTATTTATATCGGTAAGAACGGTTGCTCGCGAGATAGATTTCAAAAACAACCTCGGAAGTGGGAAATGCAATATTAAAGGCTAAGATCAAGGTCTAGAAGTAAAAATTTTCTTTTTATTTAGAATTGATCTTTGATGACAATGATATTAAGAGCATTAATATGAAGATGCAATTGCTCGGCGACACAATTGCATAGTACGGAGTACATATGCGAACCCAAGAAATGTGGGGACATGGCACGTGCATAATACACATTCGTTTATGTGCATACATAAATGTAATACTTCTTAACCTAGTACATAAGTTACATATTGGAACCAGGTGGCGTTAGATTCTGACGGTTGACAAGAACCCAATGTATAATTTATGCGAACCAAAGGTAAGAGTCTTCGATTTTTTTTATACTAACATAACGAGTACCATAACTCGACTTTGGCTTCAACCGCTCAAGTTTATCATATATTTGGTAGTCTTCGCTTCTGACCTAGGTTGCCTATATATGTACAGGTAGGTTAGTATACCGTGTAGGTACCTAGGTAGATATCAATGCACATATTATGTATGTCGCTAGCCCCTTATTCGCCGTCTTTTACTAGCATCCCCTACAGCTTCATCCGCATCGTCCTCAACTACGTTCGCATCCGCCCCTGCCACGCTCATGCTACGACTGGCTGACGGTGGTACCCCCGTTGGTGGAGGCGCGTTCCGTTCCACCTCGTTACGCAGGTCGCTCAGAAGCTTCTCTACTTCACCAAACATGCTACGAGTGTCTTTCACAACCCCATTCTCATCCACTTCGTAGCCCCGATAGTCTTCCCCATCATCTTCCAAACTGGCCCGACGATTCAATCTTAGAAATGAGGGCCCAAATCCACGATAAGGATCTGGATTGTACATGATAGCATTTGCAAACATGTGGACTAACTCTCTCTCTAACTGCGCAATGTTGATGATACCGCGCGGTGGGACGAGGTCCACTGATATCGGAATCCATACATTTGTTGCGCTCGGTTCGATATCAGCCATAGTTGCCACCGCTGCAGCTGCCGCTTTAGACCCAGCCGTGATCGCCTTCTGGATGCCCTTGAGGTCTTGGGGCCGGAGTACAATTTCAAAATAGCCTGGTGCTGTCTTCGGTTTGACCGGATGTGCAAACATATTGGCATGACGGTGGCTGATGATTTGGTCCAAAGCAGATTGACTGATCTTGTTGAACGAACGTGTCCATAAGACATGCGTGGCCGGCGATGGTGGAGCCCGGTTCGGAGGACTGTCTTGGCGCTTCCGTTTGTTGGACTGTTGAACCACCCCAGGTTGAGTCTGGTTTAGTACACTTTCATCGACCACTGACGCATCGCCAATGTCTTCCAATGCCTTGGGAGTTGCCTCTTCATTCTTAATCTTACTTCCCAAGAGATCCCCTTCTGTTGAGGCCTCCTCTAATGGAGCCGAAGGAGTTATCTTGGGCGGAACTCTAGGCGGTCGACCTCTGGGTCGGCTTACTACTCCATCAGGCTTCTGTATGACCTTCCGCATATCTTTCTTGCCAGTATGGTCAGGAGAGGTCTTTGGGAATGGGGCTGGCTGCGAAGGTGGGCTTATAGGCTCGAAACCTGGGCTTGGGAGGTCAAAATATCCAGAAACATCTTCCACGCGCGGCGTTGCGGGTGTTGGCGTCGAGGTCCACTTAGTACCATGACCTCTAATTATATGAGGAGAGCTGCCTACTGGCGTTCGTACTTGGGATGCTGATCGTGGGCGTGGGGATCGTGGTATTGGTCCTGGGGTTTGCAAGACAGGCATCTGCGGACGATGGGGATGTTCAATAGTGTTGGCTATTTGAGTTGGCAGATCATACGATGAACTAAACGATCCTGTGGGTTGTTGCGGCGGGTTGTGTGGCGGTGCTGGTGTAGCTTGGATAGGAGACGGGGGAGGATGAGAAGGCCTAGTTTGTGCTGGTGCTTGCACGGATGCTGGCGACCATTGGGCGGGAGGTACAGGTGGCTTGGAAGAGGTAACAGCTGGATGCGTTGCTGATAATATGGCAGGTGGTTGTACGGGAGTCTGGGCTGGTACGTGCTGAGCTTGATGCGGTGCGAAGGAGCTAGGTGTAGCGGTATGACCTGGTGAGCTTGCAGGAGGCATAGAAGCCGGAAGCCGTTGCGTCGCTTGTTGTCCTGCACTATCCGGCGTCGCATTTACGGGCAAAGACTGTAGGGAAGGTGGTATTTGTCCTGCGTTCTGTGGTGGTAAGAGCACTGAAGGCGATACCGGTGCAGGACCTTGCACCGGTGTCCGAGGTTGTTGAGCATACTGTCCGGGAGTTTGCCTGCCACTGGGATAGTTCGGAGGAAACTGAGGGTGAGAGATCGGCGTTTGAGAGGGATATGTCGGAAGTCTACTAGGCCCCGTATTGTATGGAGGTCGAGGAGACGGGACCGGAGTTTGGTGCGGTGGCGGATGTTGTTGTTGCGGTGGCGCTGGCGGCAGGTGTTGAGAAGCCTGTAGAGGTTGCTGGTGAGACTGCTGATGAGGATATTGATGCGGGTGTGGATATGGCATTTGATAAGGAGGTTGATACGGAGGCTCCCACTTCAAAGCTGGGGCGGGAACAGGAGAAGGAGTGTGGGGTTGATTGGAGTGTATCGGAGCAGGGCTTCTGCCTTGAGGCACACTCTCGGGCCGCTGCAACCCATCCGTCACGGGTGGCTGTGATGTAGCAGAACTCGGGCGTGTAGTGTATCCCTGAGCGGTCTGAGGATGTTGTAGAACTGGAGCTGCACTACTTGCTGGGCGGCTTGGCTCTTGTCTAGTATCAGGGGTGACACGACGTACTTCATTCGGAGGCTGGAGATCTGGCTGCTGCGGCGGAGGAGGATGAGGAGGATGGAGCGGAACTGATTGGACAGGTTTCCTCTCCTGCGGCGGCTGGGAAGTCTGCGGCGACACAACCCTTCTCCCAGGGTCATGTATCTTGGGCGGAACTGGGGCCGGTATCGGGACTGGTGTTGATACAGGAGCCGGTGTCTGTACTGGCGTAGGTGTTATTTGACCTTCGGGTCCCCCGGGTACTGAGTTAGTGATAACAGGCAGCCCGTTCTTGTTTGAATCCGGATGTTGTTCCACGCCTAGTTTATTATCCCATTCGCCTCGTTCAATTTCGGTCAGCTCCCGTTGGAGCTCTTCAAAGCGTCTTTCATCTTCCCTGATTTCTTTGACGAGACTATCCCGGAACCGCGCGTAGAGCTTCTCCACTAAGGTGGGCAGCTTATCCTTCTGCTCCAACGCATCTTGAAAGGTAGGCAAAGGGGGGCTCTGAAGCTTTCTTTTCCTAGAATTCGGCGATAAGGTGGCGCTGTTCTTATCCGCGGCAGCAGCTTCGGCTTCTCGTCTCTTCTCCTCTTTTCGTTCCTCCCGCAACAATTGTAGGGCAAAGCTCTGAAGAGAATCGGGGCTTAGTCGATCGGCATCGTAGTTGTCTTGCTCGTATATCAACGGGGTATTCCTGAGAGTTTCGGAGATGCGGCTAAAGGTGCCGATGACCAGACCGTTCTGGAAATTTCTGTTGAGCTCTTGGAATAAAGCAAATGCTTCGAGAGAGGTATATGCTGTCGGATTATGATTCATGCCCCAGAATCCACCTCGGCCTTGGTCGAGGGGACCGTCACGTCGCTGCAGAAGATGAATCGGCGCCACGATCTGAAGTCACGGTCAGCAAGCCTAAAGGAGCTAGAGGAGGGCTTCTTGGGCCATTCGGAGGGGGAAAACACGATTCTGACGCGTACTAAATATGTTTTGGAGGGTCGCAGAAGTCCGTCAAGACTACTCCGACCACTTTATTGGTGGAAGGGCGACGATTTAGGCCGGTTTTAGATGAGGCTATTCGCGATGAATAATTTTCACGGTTTGGTTGTCGTTAAGGAAGAATCACGTGATTAAAGTAAGTATTCGGTAATTGGCAGGTTGGACAGGCCACAGTGGTGTATAATTCGATGTGATAGGATCGGCGAATGTTGCCAGATTGATGATTTGAGTGGGTTGTAATGCGGAATGCGGAATGCGGAATCCGGGGACTTGCAACTTTGGAAGTTCAAGGTTCAAAAAACGATTTTGTTAGTTACTATGTAATTGTAATTATGTAATCACTTTAGAGAAACTTCTGTAGGACCACTCTACAGTGTACAACTAGGTTGCCTAGGTAATCTAACTTTAAATCGTCTAGTTAGGTTAGTATCTTTTTTACTTCTTTATCGATGCATCCAGAGTCTTATCTCTACACAACCATAATAAGTACATAATATACTATACATACATAATACTCGTACATGTATAATATCCGGTTTTCACATGTGGATTCGAATTGGTCTTGTGTTCAAGAATTCGATCTTCTAAGAGCCTCTTCTGGGACTACATACTACTAGGTAGTTTCCTACATGTACGTAGTTACATGATAAGGATGTTAAATCGATCTGATAAACTGGCAGATAGTTATGTACACTGAAATCGTGAACTGATGGCCACGTGTAGCCTTAAGGCATGCTCACCGGACGACAACCTGGTACCTAAGGTATCTAACTGTCATAAGTAGGTACGTAGGTATGTAGTTAATCCTTCTAGTCAAGCAAACTGTTCATCACTAAAGATAACCATCTCAATATAGTTTAAGATATCACATGAGAATACGGCACGCGATCTAGATAGCGCACGTGCCTAGTTCATATACCAGAGCCTCTAATCTGAAATTAGCGATGGCTTTAGTCTTGACTGCCAATTTGCTTCGTACTCAATATCTACTAGGTTAGCTACTTTCGTAGTTGATGTCATAGGGGTTGAGATCACACGTACGAAGGTAATGACAAGCCTCGCAGGTCATGTTACCTTTCAGCTTCCAGAAAATGGATCGGCCTGAAGAGATGTGTACATAGTATCATCGTAGAAACTGCCTCTTTTCTCTTACAGATGAAGACACCTGCCTGGGTACCCGGGTATTAGGTATTGTCTTGATTAGACCTAGTATCGACTGGGAGCGAAATCCTACGTAGCCCTTGGAGGCTCGAGCAGCTAAATAGCCCTAGCAGAACATTGAAATGCCAAATCGAGCTTTGGGCAAATGGGCAACCTACTAGGTTATGTAGTTGCCTAGCCTAGCTGCCTAGGTATCATACAGTAGTTGAAATTGTTGAATGATTAGGTCCTTTTAGTGACACTTCCTCGTGAGTACCTACTCCGTAGTAGCGCATTATTATACAGAAGTTGAGTCCACTTGAGCAATACTAGTATCTATGCTGGTACATATGTAAGTATTATTCAAGCTCCTGCGGGAATAAGGGGGTGCGTTATGTACGAACCACTAATTAGGTCTGTACCTACCTAGTACGGAGTGCATAACAGCAAGGGAGATTAAAATGCTTTACCTTGGGTCCCGGGAAGGACCTAAGAGGTTAGGTAGGTAATACGGGAACATCTTGATAGGGGCGCAGATTCATGCGCGAGCCATTCACAGACCTCCTAAGCCAACACATGCATGCCTGTAGCTTCATGCAAGTGACATACGAAGCGTGTAACTATATCTTACCTACATAGCTATGTAGTATGTTAGTTATCGTGCATACATATACTACACATATGTCGAAGTAAATGTAGGATAGTTTTCGTGGATGTAAAGTTTTGCATGATGGAGAGATGGCAGAATATGATGGTACCTGATGATGGTACCTACTGACGGTAGGTTTGGTCAGTTGATTTAGATCATCATTGTCGAATCCGAGGGCATGGTGGGACATTGCTTGTCTAGTGATGAGATCGTCTTGAGATCATCCTAAAAAGAAGCTAGATGCCAAGACAAATATTATTGTCTACTGAAAGCATGTAATAACATGGAATAGGTTAAGGTATATTTGCCGCATCCTCCCGATTTCAGCTTTGACCTTTTTTGACCGTAGTAAGTATTACTTGCTATGAGCTTTGAAGCAAAAGTCCACAACGACTACTACGACTATTACGACTAAAGTATCCAGGTTTAACTAAAGCTACCTGGGCAAAATAGTCATAATAATCATCTGCCTCTATTTTGTATTTTAGTCCTTCTCTATAAAAAGTCTCGTGTACAGATCTATACAACAGCTGCTTGTATTGTACAATACACATCCATCCATCCATCCATCCTACATATGTATACACATAACTATACACATATGTACGTCAAGTGGTAACTAATAATAATTTATGCAAAGCTACTAGGAACACTTATTTCATTGGTACAAATGTAAGTTTAAGTTGTATTAAATGATCAGGTACAAGCAACAAGGCAGGCTCCTTCCACCTAGCAACCACCCCCCCCTTTTTAATTATTCGGTCCCTTTTAAAATCCAAATCCATTTAAAGTTGATTTAAACGGCCATTCCGTTCAACGTCCCGACTTTCCTGCGACCCGCCTTTCATTCTCTCCCCCACCGCCAACTCCAAACTTGAATCAATAATAATAACACTAGTTCTAGCACTTCTAGCACTTCTAGCACTTCCAGGCTTTTAGTACCCTTCTCTTCCGCCAACTTCAAGCTAAGCTTGCTTAAGACGACTTTTCTGCGATTCCTGCGACATCTTGTCTGCGACTTCTACGGCTTCTACGACTCTTTGCGACTTTCTACTTCTGCAACCTTTTTTTTCCACTTCATCCCCTTCCCTTCTCTTCTTATAACCTCCTATGTTTACCGATAAGCCCGATTATTATTCCAAAATGAACCCTTCTGATGAGGAACTCGACCGCGACTGGAAGCCCAATGGCCGCCGTCCGCAATCGTGAGTTCTCCTCTTCCCCATTCTAAATATGACCCATAACAAAGGGATAAGAATGGCATACCAAAAATATAAATATATTTGATATACTACTAAGTAGTACACAATAAAAAAAAACAAAGAACTAACAAGACATTGTTTCTTACAGAACAATTGCCCGCTCTTTCAGCCAAGAGCTGATGGATATCTTCCGAATTGAAAACAGCATTACCGACTTGGATGAGCAGGTGGATAGGCGGTATGTCCCGCACAAGACGCTCCCCCTCCCCTTTTGCCAAAGCCACCAAAATACTATACCCAGTTTTTCCAACCATACCCAACTTGGAAAACGGGCGCTAATACACAGTCTTCCCGCCTGTCAGAAAGCAACAAGTCACGACTGGTCAGACCGAACTAGAGGCTCTCGAGGCTAGGATCAAGGAAATGGAACAGCGATTGAAGAAGCAAAACCCCCCAGGGCAAGCAGGCAGCTTGAGTCCCCGAGCTCAACGACAAGCTGTTAATGATGCTTTTGGCAAAGCACATGCCGAAACTGAAGCCGCAGCGCAACAGCAGAGATCCCGGCCAGGAACTGCCAAACAAGTTCAGCATGCACCTGCACATGGAGGAGCTATGCCTCCGACTCCAACGGCCAGCGAAGGTGAATACGTACTAGTTAATCATAGCTCCTCTCGTGACGGCGGCGCCGATCCTCGGATGTTTACTGACCGTGTCTACGTTTCTCAAGATGGCGACCGCGACCACTAAGTGGACAAATCAACTATAATTGTTTCAGCTACCCTTTTGCCCCGTCGCCCGCGCCCCTTATCCGTTACGAATGATTCGTTGTTTTGGCTTTTATCCGACTACCCCCCCTACCTCTTCTTTCTAGGTAATCGAACGACTAATGGAGAGCACTCATGCGTCATCAACGACAATAGCCGGCCTCACAAACCGACCTTGGACAAGACCTCGGCAATGACTCGGCTGGAGTACTTGGATACGGCCACGAAACGGAGCTACTTTCTATTGGGGTTTCCGGGATGCGACCGCGAACGATACTCGACCGATCCGACTTCTCGCTAAAATAAAGGGGGCTAACACGAATCACATTTTTTTAGTCGTTGACGAACCAAATTCTAGTTTCAAAATATACCCTCGTTTGGAGAAAGACGCATCGACACCATTTTCCCCCTCGTCCGTCTGGCGTTGAAGGCGTCTCATCTTCTCTTTCGTCAGTTCGTTTTCATCTTTGGACCATTTTAGTAGCACCCATAAACGAGAGGGGAAGGGGAGAAGCAGCTTTTAGAAACGAAGCAGCAAGAGTTAGGGGGGTCCAGTCGTCCATGAACAAGACGTCGCAGCAGTCGCTCATAGCATTTTTTGGCTTTGCATGGCATAAGGTCTGACGTTATCTTTTTTGTGAGTGAAGGGAAGCCTCTGTCTTAAAGAAAGGGCGACAGTGGGGAAAATGCAGAAGGGGTCCTCTGGATGCATTGCGCACCACCATCACCAGCTACTAGGTAACTGGCCTGCCCAAAATGAGTATCATTGTACATATCTGCCCTTTTTATATCATTTGGGGAGCGCCGTCGAGGCATCCTGGATAATTCTAATACCCACTGCATTCAAGTCATGTGTGCGTGTGTGTGTCAGCCGTGATACTTGGATAATTGTCGGCTTCATATGTGTGCGTACCTACGAGTGGGCACGGAGATAAATGCTTATGCGGTCTAGCTCTGAAGGCCACTGTCATCATATGGGCCGGCAGTCCTTTTACTATTATTACATCGTCAACACCTACTGTAGGTAGTGGCTCATTGCGCGAACCTTTGCATACATCTTGCTCTATATCTAGTGGGTATCTAGCGCCACAAACCCACCATCTCATCTCACCTCATCTCATCTTCATAATCTACCTACAGTAAGTAATACCGTTTTCATGTGGTGATTCCAGAGATGAAGTTGAGAAATACAGTACATACAGCACCCTACCTAATACCTATGCACCCCAACCACACCACATCCACCTCTTCCATGTGGGCAGATCCGTACAACACATTCTCGGGGCCGTCACTATCTTCATACCTGCTTCCTCATGCATATATAGGTGCCTATATATGTACAATGCGCTGCAGACATGCGCACAGAAACCCAGACGCTAATTAGTCTCAAGCTCTCGGGGCCGAAGATTAAGTTCGGCGGGTATGTATATACCCCATACATACATAGGACGGAACGATGCTATAGATAAGAATAAGAAATCAAGATTTTAACATTAAAAGGCAATGAAAAAGTTTAAAAAGGTAAAAAAAGAAAGGGGGTTGCCTACGCTAGTACGAAGATCAAGAATATAAAGATCGAGACCGCAACTAGGATTCCAAAGCCCCTTGGATACGAAGTCAATACGAAAGCTTTACAGAGTCTAACACGGCAGGCAGGCTACGTTGGTCACACTGCACGAGGCAAAAGGCAAGATGAAAGCATCAATTTATCGAACCAATCTCTCTCTATCATTATTAAGTAGGTACTAGTATGGTATGTCACTCGTCTATCTCAACAAAGAGAGGTCCAAGATTCATACATACCTAGCACGTATGCACAAACATGAAGAATTGCGTCTAGGGACCCAAGACTTGCCCATTATGACAGCAAAGATGTCAGGCGTAAACACCCATCCACATCGTTTGACATCCAAGGAGGCAAATGAATCATCTCTAACCCCCAATCCTCCTCCTCCTTCTCCCAGCTCAACTACGGCCTTCATCTCCAGCCTTCTTCTCTCGTTTATTATTGTTGGTGTTCAAGAGCTTGGGGGCCATACCAAACTTTCTGTTGGCAATGTCGAAAACAGCAAAGCCACTCTTGAGGAAGATATCACCAAAAATACCCTGCATCTCACTAAAGGAGCCAAGAGACTGTATGCCAGCATAGCACAACTCATTCGATGTGTGGGCATATACAAAGTACGCACCGGGTATCGATCCAGTAACCGTGTTTCCTGCAGCGTCGCCGAGCTCGTAGATGAAGTCGGGCGGAGTTGAGTTGCAAGGTATCACCCACCCATAGTCCCTGTACGAATAATTGGCTCCAGGGACGCTGTCAAAGTACGTGCTGACCGCCTCGTCTGGCGCGAAGAATAAGGTAGAACCCGTGTCGATGATGACTTCACGTGCCTCGTTGAACTCATACTTAATTTCTGACCCCCCGATAGAGAAGCCCTTGTGTGAAACAGTCCAGAAGCCGTCTGTGGTATCGACGTCAACATACTCAACCTGGTCGCCATGTAGGCTGTCGTCAATGTAGCCAAAGTTGAAGGTACCATCACTGCTGTTGTGGCGTAGGTCGACTGTGAACACGGGCTGGCTTAACGTTTGGGGAAGGAAATCCAGAAGACCCTTCTGAGGAGGGACCGTCTGGATGATGGAAGGCCAAGCAAGACCCACGAGGCCAGACATATACGCAGAATCGGTGAACATGCTCGAGACCTCAGTGGCAGACTCAATTGTCATGTTAGCAATTGAGAGGTTGCCAAAGGAGATTGTGTCCCGGTAACAAATGCCTTCAGAGGTGGAAAAGTCGCCATAAATGATAGACCACGAGCAGTTCTGGACCAAATGGGCAGTGGAGGACTTGGAGGGGTCCCAAAGAGTCTGTCCGGCTACCCCTTTCTTGTCCGTGTCGGTCGAGAATAACCACCTACGTCAAATGTTAGTCATTGGCGCGCCGATGTATACAATAATGCACGATAGGATTTTCAGGGAGATCGTACGTGTCAGAGGAACCGGTATCAAGATCTAGAAACAGTTCCTGAGGGGGTTCACCGATGCTGACCGGGGTGATCCAGAGGAGATCGCCATCACGCGAAGACGCAGGAGCAGAGCCTCCTACAACAATGGTTAGTTATCGGTGTCCAGATTTTTTGAAAGTCATGTGCCTTCTTCCACTCACCAATCTCAGCATCCACGGCCTTGCGGTGAGTAGCCTTGTGGGCATCGACAACTTCCTGCAGACCATCGGGAATTTTGAGCTTGTATTTCTTCAGGGTTCTAAGGTAATCAGTCGGGCCATGACGCGGGAGGTCAGCATTGTGGGCGACGGGCAGTGAGACCGTCTTACCGGCCTTCGCACCAAAGGCTGGAGATGAGGTGACAACGGTGAAAAGAGAGACACAAAAGGCTAGTGCCACGAAAAAACGGGTGAAGGATGCCATGTTGATGGATCCTCTGATAATGTAACGTTCAAACGATCGTGACAGGATCAAACTAACGAGAGACTCGGAAGAAAAGGTGAACTTCGGAGGTGGAAAAAGGAGGCAGAAGGGAAGAGGTGAAGAAGGAAGGAGCTTTTATTGAAAAAAAAAAGAGTGGATGATATTATAAACGAGTGTGCGAGTGCGTGTGTCGTCAATGGTAGCGAGAAGGTACACGCAGTAATTTCTCAAGAGATTAAGTACCTGCCTACACGTGTAAGTTAAGTTAGATGTATATGTACTTGTTTTGGCATGTCACAAACCAAACATAACAAACGACATCAGACCAAAACTGAACCTGAGGGGACGTGTACTGACCGGTACTGACCGGTACTGACTACTTACAGGTACCTAAGGTTAGTAAGATATAAGGCAGTAGTAGCTGAGGCAGTTGCTCGTCACTAACCTTAAACTTCAAACGGAAGGAATATTGGTTGGATTTGTTGGTGATCTTGCCAAGACGGGTATGCGCAGCTTCCTTTGGGACGGAAGGGACGACAGAGGACCTTACAGGCTTACACGATGATTTTGCGTAACCGTCACTGCCTTCAATACACCAAATAAATAATAAATGTACGTGCCTGGAACCTATATGGAACTTGCATGGATAATGCCGAAGCTGAGTTGAGATGTTCAATGTTGACAAACATCAATGATTACATTGAACATGACAAACTCCATGTCACTCAACATACCTCAGGAATCAATAATATGTACGGTACCATGTATCATCTATAGTATCATATGCAGGTACATACTCACTACCTATGTATATACCTACATTTGATGTTATACACGTACAGTGATATCGATGGAAATGGAAATATAAATATCGTCCAACCATTTCATTACATACTTTAGTACACCTGATAGTATTGAAGTAACATCGAATTCAAGGTTGACCCTGCTCTACGTCCTCCATTTCATATAAAAGAAGATGGATACATACATCACATATGTATGTATGTAGACATGTACGTCTCGATTCCATAAAACACTCACCCTACATACATGTATACTTACATACTTATATCGTCCTCAGGGGCTCATACATGTATGTAGCGTATGTACCGAGCCAACCCGCAAATCAATGTGTCTTTCTAAAACGGTTGCCAGGGGAAAGAACCTGTACTACATATATATGTAGGCACTGATATGTAAATATGGATGTAAATGGCAAACAGTCTGCTACAGGGTCTGACGTTACAGAGAACAAACTAAGATGAAGTCATGTACGAGCCCCTTGCGCCGGCAGTCTACCCGTGAAGAGCACAAACAGGAACGCTTGTGCCGTAGAACGTGTTACACACATGTAGGTGTGGATTGGCTATATGTCTCTAAGTTGATACCTACCTACTACATGTACAGTAAGTATGTAAAGGCACATATTGGAGATACATATTCTATACATAGGTATGTAAGTGGATGAGCATCTACATGTAGGTACCTATACTACAAGTATAGGTGATGTACTTGCTCAAACCAGCTCTCTCACCTCACCTGATAACTAGGGCTGTAATTAGGATTGTTGCTCTTAGTTGCTCTTAGAAAGCTGTCTTTTATCATTCGTCAAGGTCTATCTGCACCCTAAGTATATGTTTATAGTTCATCGTGCTTTTTCCCTGACTCCTCCTTTTTCAGTTGCTCCTCGGACATGCGCTTGATCATCTCCTCCAGTTCCTCCGCCGTCGGGCCCTTGCCGTCCTTTCCGAGCTTGATGAAGTTCTCCCGATCCTTTGCATCTATTGTGGGCTCTGACCCGTCACTATCCGTCTTGGTAGATCCCTTCTTGGTCTTAGTCTTCGTCTTACTCGATTTCTTCGAGCTACTCTTCTTCTTGCCCTTCTCCTGGCTCTTGATAGACTTCATAAGCAGATCCATCCCTGCCTTTTCAAGCTTCTTCGTCTTCTCCTCAAGATCCTTGGCAAGCAATACGGGGTCTGCTGTCTCAGGAAGTTTCTCCTGTTGAGCGATCTTCTCCTCTAGCCAAATGACGATAGAACTTGAAAGGCCCGTGATATCTTTCAGGTCATCAAGAGTATACATAGGCGGCACTAGAGCGGGATCTTCGGTGGCAGTAGTAGTAGTAGTTGAAGTGGTGGTTACGTCATCTTCAAGACCTTCAAAGTCAGCATCCTGTGAAGGAGCGGATGTGACAGTCGAGCTTGATTCGCTAGTGGAAGAAATGCTGGCGCTGAGGGAGGACATCTGTGCATCTCCTTCGGCAATCTTCTCTTTGATATTGTCGATAAAAACGTTTGTCTGATCCAGTGCAGATTTCAAGCTCTTGATCAGGTCAGGTCGCTTACGTGCCTCCTCCATTCGCTTCTCAATGGGCGAGACAAGACCTTTGAGGCTCTTGAGTTTAGACTTAAGTTCTTCACGGGATGCATCAGCGCCCTCGTCGTTGAGCCAGTCACTAACATCGCTAGCTTTGCTCTCCAACTTGCTGCGCTCTTCCGGGGAAGAGGCGGCTGTGAAGGATTCGGTTTCTAACAAATCCCTAACTCGGTAAGTGAAGGCTTCAAGCTGGTTCAAAGCCTCCTCTCTCAAACGCCTGGATTTATCAGACGCTTCAAATGCCTGGAGGCGTTCCTTGGCCTTGGCGAGTTCTGATTTGGTTAGAGCAGGGATGCCCGCCTTCTCTACGGTGTAGTCTATCGGGATTACAACAAGCTGCTTCTTTTTTGGGGCAGAGTTGCTCTCCGGGGATTCGGCAGGCACTGAAGACGCAGTTGTGGTTGTTGAAGAACTGCTGGAATCCACAGAAGTCGTGGCCGTTTCAGTAGATTGAGTGGTTGAAGCACTCTCAGAACTCTCAGAAGCCTCTGTGTCGGCATTCTCGCCATCTTTCAAGGGCTGTTGGTCCTTGTTCTTCCCAAATCCGAAGAGATTCTTGACACCATCCATGACCGAGCCTTCCTTTTCTTGTACTTCAGCCTCACATGCGATAGATGCGCTATCAACTTCCACTTCACTGCCTTCAGTGCTAAGCCGTAGCTTGACCTTGAATTGAATATCGGAGTGAGAGCAGCCCTTCTCAGCTAGAGATGCTACAGAAGCCGTCAAATTCTTTGTCGTCAGGGTTTTGGTCTCCTTGTCAACCAAGGCACCTTCAGTGGAGAACACCTGCTGATAGAAATGGACAGAGAAATCTTCTTGGTTTGTAAAGGTAACTTCCTTGGGAGCGGCGCTGAGAAGAGACCTCTCAGTCCAGAGTCGCTGTTGCTGAGGCTTGTCATTGGGGTTCGTCCACTTCATCCCTGCCGAGTAGAAGGAGGCATCAGATGCTCTGATCTCCTTGACTCGGAAGCTGGGGCTAAGCTCTGCTGCTCGAAAAGCGGCGCCGAAAACAGCTGCCTCGTCTGAGTTGACATTACTGCGAAGCTTGTCACTTCCTGCAATCTTTTCGAGCTGCTTCTGGACAAAAGGTGTTCGAGAGGCGCCACCATGAAGAATGATGGAGTCGAGTTGTTTAATATCAAGCTCGGCTACCTCTAGTGCCCGTAGAATGATGGCACCAACTCTTTCAGCATGCACTTCGGCCATCTTCTCGAAGTCTGCCCGATTAATCTTGTATCTAAAGTCAATATCGTCGTAAAGACCTTCAAAACTGGCACCACTCTCAGCATTAGCGCTGAGAATGTGTCTCAGCCTTTCGGCCTCCTTGAAAAGCTTAGCCATAGCGCGCCCATGTCCCTGAACACCTTCTGCCGCCACCGAGGCCTTCTTCGCAGCGGACGTCTCAACAAACTTGGAGATCATGTCGTCCACAATCAAGTAGTTGAGAGCATCACCACCCAGAGTCCTGTCCCAACCACTTCCCACAACCTGCACTTCCTGAACCGTTTTGTTAAATTTGCCGACATCCTTAACAGATCGACCCTGAAACTTCATGATGGTTGCCTTGGCGGAGCCAGCACCCATGTCGAATACCATGTGATACTCTGGTTTGCCTCCTCCGTTGACGGTAGGGAACGTTCGGCTCGTAGCGTAGTTCAGCCCAACGGCAAGACCGTCGCTAATCAAGGACAACACTCTGAGACCAACAAGCTCTGCAGCTAACTGCACAGCGCGCTTCTCTTCAATAGTGTAGTATGGCGGGACGGTAATGACGACAGATCGGACGTTGCTGTCGGAGCCAGCCAACGCCTCCGCATTGCGCTGAACACTCTGGAGCTCCATTGCCAATAACTCTTCCACCATCCATGCTTCCTCATTGGGCGTAGCCTTGCTTTTGAACGCAGCAGTACCGCGAGTCTTGTGCGCCTCTAATTGTAAAGCGGGGTGTCTTGCAGCATATTCCTTCACAATCGAGTCGTCTGCGGGAAGGCCAAGAAGGACTTTGAGGTTCGGGTATACATCGCCGGGGAATCTAGCGGAAAGGGCTACGGCGTCGGAGCCATATGTCCTCTCAGGGTATGAACCGCTCTTTGGTGCATTTTGTGAAGGTGTAAATGCGACTGCGGCAGCCTCTTTTCTTCGCGAGTCCTTGGTTAGGACGATCTCGAGAGGTATGCCGGGTTTAACGAGAGTGGCCTTGATATATTCGGTGCCGAGATCAATACCAAGAACAGCGGATATGGCGAGAACGTTTGTAGAGAATAAGAAGACTACACATAATAGTATAGATCGAGGGGAGAATATTTGTGGCATGGTGGGCAAGGTTAGGAGGGGTGACTGGGGCGAGAAGCTCGCCAGTGAAAGTTGTTGAGACCAGCTGCTAAAGTGTTTAGTATTTTAATACCGAGTGCGTTGCTCGTGATAGTTTTATTTTAATACCTCCAGCTACTAGATGATTAGTAGTTCTAGGTAGGTATTCAACTTCAAGTTATGTAGGAGAGATTAAAAGTTGACTTTTGTTTGTTTTGTAAGGCTCCTGTCCCTTATCTTTAATGTTGTCTTATAAACTTGAAATATTTCTTCTATTTTAATAGAATCAATCTGGCCTCTACTAAGAAAGTGAATACCTACAACTACTAGGTAGTAGCTGTGTTCCTGAGGTTTTACCACGATGGACAGGGATCCCCACTGGACCCAGGCCGCTTTTAATCTGAAGCGACACACCCCCCATTTGCATCAGGCTGCCATCAGCACCTTGGAAGGGATGTCGAGCTTGAGTAAAAGCAGCAAGTGCGCTAAGCCCAGCTGGTCCTCAACGTTATGAACTTCACCGCAGAGGACAGCTTGTTGGAATTGCAACCCTTGCAAAGTGGCTGACTTTTTATGCAGAAGACACTGATAGTGATCTGATTGGATCGATAACCAAATGTGGATCTATAATGATTCGAAATTGGAAATTCAATTGAATCCCATTTGCACCTTCCAAGCCTTCCAAGAGATCCTTTGCACGCATTGAGTTGTGGCTAGGTAATCATTACTTAACTGCATCTCCCCCCTTAGCCCAAGTTGCCCCGCGTTTAAGCAACGAACTTCAACGAAGCGCTAATCGGCCTACCTAGTACCGAGTACATACTTAGGTAGCAAATACTATTCAATATCCAAGACCAGGAACCTGGTTGAGGACTACCCGTCTGCCCCGTGTATACACACACCCGGGGCATAGAATGTTACCCTAAACCCTATGTACTGTTCTATTAACACATACTGCCCACAATGCCCAAAGTCGATAACGAGATCAATGGGCGTCTAGCCCTGATAACAGGCGCTTCTGGAGGGTATGCCAACTTGATACCTATGCCTTTTATCTAATCTTGTCTGCTGCAAGCGTTGACGTATCCTAGACTCGGATCTGCTTGCGCTCGAGACTTGTGGAATAACGGTGCCTCCCTAGCTCTGACTTGCTTTCAGAACAGAAAACCGTTAGATGATCTAGCCGAGGAGCTACGAAAATCAGATGGTGGTAGTGAAGGTCGCAAGATTAGTATCCATCGCGTGGATACTGCCTCGGCCGAGGATATCGAGCGGCTCTTCCACGAACTCAAGGAGCAGCATGGGCAAGATGGTCCAGATATTCTAGTCTCAAACGCGGGATATGGGAAGAGACAACCCGGCATTCTGGATGTGAGTCTGGAAGAGTTCGATTACACCCTCAACGTGAACTTGCGAGCTTCGTTCATCCTTACAAAACTGAGCATTCCGCACATGGAAGCCCAAGAGTGGGGACGAATTATATTCATCTCTTCTATCGCCGCGCAAGGGGGGGGCATCAACGCTTGTCACTATGCAGCCTCGAAAGCTGGTCTAACGGGTATGATGAAGAATCTGGCCATGAAGCACGCCAAGGTAGGGATTACTGTCAACGACGTAGCCCCGGCCATGATTGGCGAGACCGGGATGATACCGGACGCGAAATTCGTCGAGGGTACGCCGGGCGACGTGAAGAATATTCCGGTTGGTCGATTAGGGATGCCGCAAGAATGCGCAAACGTCGTTACCATGATGTGTAAGACAGGCTATTTAACCGGGCAGAGCATTCTACTGAGCGGTGGTCTGAAATAGGTAGTTATACTTGGGTTCAGCTTGTGTGTTTGCGCCTTTCAAATCTGACATGCATTCGGCATACTTGCTCAGTCCAGCCAATTGAAGAAAAACACGATTAATTAATTGGCTTACCGTGGTATAAGCTGTGTGAGGCTTTTCTTTTATGCATAGGTATGCTGTTACTTTGTGTAGGTTAGTAATTGCATTATATCGTCAGATATGTTTCCAGGTTAGTTGGAGAAGTATCAATTGATAAACCCGTTACTAGTATCTTGAATCTGATTTAGCACTGATGCGTGGTGATCTACGCGGCCTGCCGGCCAGTTACGGACAAGGCTCAAGCATACAGCCGGCACGGGGTGGCGAATTCAGACGCCGGGACGGAGACCTTGGCGCTCCGTGGCGACTTACATATATGATAATGAAATGTTCATTTAGCGGGCGCAACCACCTTGTCAGCCTGTGTAACATGCCTTCTATGTATCACGTTTGCATATGTACCTATATTTGCCTTCCATGCTTCTTTCTGTACATAAATTTATAAAAGTAAAAATAAAGATGACTCAACTTCAAAACCTTGGCGAACATCTCATCTTAAGCTTTTATAACCTGCTCACTCATTCGACATCAACTTCCCAAACCCCTCATAACTCCGCGTATTTTATCCACGGATCTTCAGATTTACATCCAAGCCCCTCTTCGTTTCGAAGGAATCATAGTCTATGCATCTGTCCGTGGCGATAGGGAAACGACATCACATTGCATCAATGTGTTGTAGATAACTTCACAACTCCATGAAGTCATCTGAAATCAAACAGAAAGATTGGCATGAAGATTGTCTGTATCTGCGAGCTATTGTTTTAAATAATTACTGTTACTATTTACATTCGAGATCAGAAAAGGGAAAGGTCTCTCCAACAGCCATTGAAAACATAGACAAGGAGAGCCAAAAATCAAAAAATTCGCAAAATGGGAACACCCTTCATCTCACACCTGGAGCCCACGCGGCTAGACGGGTATGACCGAACGCTACCGCACGACCAGCAGCCGGTGGGGGCGCAGATTCCCAAGGTGTTCTGCGATGCGATGGAGGTGCGCGAGGCCGTCTTCGTGCGCGAGCAGGGTGTGCCTCTCGCCAACGAGCTCGACGCCGATGACCCCCGCTCCTGCCACTGGGTCACCTACGCCAGCGTCAACCGCGTCACCGCCCACGAGCAGCGTGACCCTTCCACCGGCAAACTCCTCCACCCACGCCGCTCTGAGACTAGCTCCATACCCATCGGCACCCTTCGCATTGTCCCCTTCCCCCACCCACCGCACCCCGTACCCGGCGGTAGGTACGTAGACAATGTACTACTACCACAGGAGGAAGAAGCCGACGGCGACGACAAAGAAGCAGAGGCCACGCGGTCAAAAGACCAGACCGGGGACGCCGCCGCCGCTACCAACAGACCCCGAGCCAGGACCCTAACCTCCGTAGAAGAAGAGCGGCAAGCCTCCGCCCTACCCTTCGGCACAGACAGACCCACAACATTTCACGACGGAAAAGAGCCGTACGTGAAGATGGGGCGCATGGCCGTGATCCCCGAGTTCCGGGGCCACCACATCGCGGGCCAGCTCTGGCGCGCCGCCCGCAAGTGGCTCGAGGACAACCCGGCCTTCTTTAACCCGAGCGTCGCCGAGCTCGGCATGGACCAGCTCAAGGCCGGCGCCCCCAGCGACATCCCCAAGTGGAACGGTCTCATCTGCTGCCACGCCCAGGAGCAGGTCGCCTCCCTGTATGAGCGTTGGGGCTTTCGCGTTGACGAGGGCATGGGCAGGTGGTTTGAGGAAGGGATCCCTCACGTCGGCATGTTCCAGCGGCTGAATATCAAGAACGTTACTCCGAAAGTATGATGTATATCACATCACATCACAGAAGAGCAGATGGGAGGTTTTAAAAAAGGGGAAGATTAAACTAGGTATCTAGAGCTGCTTACTCCGTTATTAGCGTTGCTATTCATCCCATGACACGTACGCAAAGATTTACAACGATATCAATTCGAGCATGACCAATTTTTTTATTAGTTTTCATCTCATGAGTTTCAATGTGAAGTATCTAGTCAGTGCCCTAGGTATTTAGAGAGTAGCAATATCACACTACGCAATCACAATCCTACTAGGGACAAAAGACCAGTGGTGAGATTAATTGTTGTTTCAGTTCATGATGCGCCCGCAACGGGCAGAGCCTTTTATTGAGGAAGCCCTATGTGACTAGTATGCCATAAGACCACATCCCGCCTGAGCCAGAAACGCACAAATGCAGTGTAAAATGCCCAGATCGTCCACGCCGAAGAAAACCCAGAAAGAGCAAACCGTTTATCGGTTGCTCTTGGCGACACGCTCCAACTCGTCCTTCTTCTTGATAGCGTACGAGTTGCTGCTTCCCTTGGCAGCGTTGATCAACTCCTCAGCCAGGCACTCGGCAATCGACTTGACGTTGCGGAAAGAGGCCTCTCGGGCACCGATGGTGAGAAGGGCAATGGCCTGGTTCACTCGTCGGAGAGGAGACACATCGACGGCCTGTCGTCGGACGGTACCGGCGGAACCGATACGGGTGCTGTCTTCTCGGGGACCGCAGTTGACGATGGCATCAACAGCAATCTGGATAGGGTTCTGGTCGGTCATCAGGTGGATCTGTTTTTACTTTGATTAGAATATTATTCCCCCCTATACACTTTGCGAAGGGCGCCTTACGATCTCGAAGGAGTGGGCAACAATTCGGACAGCCATAAGCTTCTTTCCGTTGTTGCGGCCGTGCATCATAAGTGAGTTGGTCAATCGCTCGATGATGGGGCAGTTGGCCTTGCGGAATCGCTTAGCGGCATATCGTCCAGCGGAGTGAGGAATGTAGACGGGGGATCGGATCTGGATGTAATCGCTGTAGAAAGAAGTCTTGGTTAGTATGTCGCATTAAACATATTAATTGATCGCGTATATCGGTGTTGCAACACAGTAGAGGTTGTTGTAGTATAATATCGTATCGTATCGCCTAAGTTGAAAATATGGACAAGAGATATCGATAGACGTGAAAATTGATTGGGTAACTGGGTAACTAGGTCGACTTACGTCAATGAGATATCGCGGATCTCGACATCCTCGTAGCTCCCTGCGCAAATTGTTAATTATGTTGCTTTCTTGTTGTGTCGCTCGGCAGTTCAGTCGAGGAATGAAGGGTATCGGTGACAGAACATACATCGGTTGAACAGCTTAATGCTGCCAATCTCGGAGGTAACATCCTTGGGAAGGACCTGGTAGGAGGAGGACTCGACCTCGACCTCGCCGTTGTCAGACATGTTGATTTAAATCTGGCGATTTGGCGATCTGGCGTACTGGCAATAAGACTGGGTGTTGTGGAAGGTCGAAGGTAGAGATAGATTGGTGGTGGGGAGGATCGCGAATTCAATTTCCACTGTTGAAGTTCAAAGTCTGAGAAATTTTGGTCGGGTACATCCGATTGTTTGAATATTCCGTGGGTAAGAATTGGTGCGCTAGTCTAGGGCTTCGATTGTTTTAGTACAAGTACGGAAGTACAAGTACTAGGTAGTTAGTTAAGTGACAAGCAGCTGGTTGACGGTTGATAACAATGATAAGGCTTGTTGGTCCCTGGAACTTCGTCTATTTAAAATATGGGGCCACACGTGATCAGTTAAATACTATCACAACTTACAAGAAACATCAATAATCCCGGTGTTATTCAACTTCAATGTTATACGGTACATGAACCTGTAAACCTCATATCACATACCCAAATCAACAAAATGCCCTCCCCTCTCCAGGCTCATCCACCCCAAGAGCTATCTTCCCAATAGCCTTCCCAGCATCAAGTCTTCTATGCACCTCCCTAATCCCCTCCGCCGTAAGCCTAACTCTCTGCATAAGGTGGCACTTTATAGTACCTTGATCCATCAGTTGAGCCATCTCCTCGTACCACTCGTGGTGCTTCTCCTCTTTATCATTAAGGTAGTTGTGGTACACTCCAGTCCCCAGCCAGCACCACGCGAACGTTAGCGACTTGCTCATCATCTGCGTCCCGTACATGTCGAACTTGGCCTGTACAATGCTACAGATCTTGCCAAACGGTACCAGCACGTCCGCAACAGGCCCGAGGTACTGCTCCGTTCGCGACGTGATGAACGCATACTTCAGCGGCGTGTCCGCCGGGAGGTCGAGGTCCTGGATCTGCTTGACAATGTCTTGGCGATGATTGATCACGTGTGTCGCGCCCATCTTCCTGGAGAACTCGACCGTCTCTGGCCTCGAGGCTGTCGTAATGACGATGGGCAGTTTTAGCACGTTCCGAGCGATTTGGGACGTGATCGACCCCATTCCCCCACCACCGTTGATGATTAAGACTGCTGCCTTTTCCCCTTGTTTTATTTCTAGCCGGTCAACTAGAGATTCGTAAGCTGTGGCGTAAGTAAGTGGCATTGACGCCGCCTGAACGAAGTCTAGCGACTGAGGTTTATGGCCAGCATGGCGCTCGTCCACGAGCACCTCTTCGGCATAAGTCCCTTGCTTGGCGGGGTTTGCAAGGTAAAAGACATCATCACCAGCCTTGAAATGGTTCACTTCCGGCCCCGTCTCCAGGACAACCCCAGCACCATCGTAGCCGATGATATGGAAGTTGGGCGATTCTTGAGTCAGTGACTTAACTCGTTCGTAGTACTCAGGGGGGTCGTCATAGATGCCACCGCGGACCTTCAAGTCGATAGGGTTGACTGAGATGGCTTTCACCTGAACCAACATTTGCCTGTCGGTTGGCTTTGGTGGTTTAGGAACTTCCTTCGCTCGCAAGTTCTCGATGGGGCCATACTCGGTAACTCCTACGGCTTGCATAGTAGAGGGGGCCATTTCTGTCAAGGAATAATTTTGGTGATATATGTTTATCCTTCGAAAGATGGGTGCGCTTCAGTATTGTGACAACAATTATATTCTTGGCTTACAATCGGAGAACTACAGCCCCCTAAATTATGGATTACCCTCCTCATATATAGGAGGTTTCGATATCCCTTTGACATTACGCGCTTATTAAGTCACCATGAGGGGTACTCCAAAGCAGCACGCCTATCAAGCTTTTACCGAAATGCGAAGTGCGAAAACCGACACAGAATCTACCGCGTTGCTTACTGATGGACATAGCGATCGCGATGATGTTACCCCTATCCTCTATTCACAGAGACTGCCTCTTAAATATAAACAGGAGCTTACTGGTGTGTAGAATGAGATAAGGTACGATGACGGATTAGGGGCCGGCTAATATAGGCTCGGGACCGACATGAAGTTGGCGTGACGTCAATCATGGCGCCTCGACGAGTAGGTAGTTCCGGAACGTTGCCGGGAACGTATAACATACCCTTCCGGTCGTCCGTGAGTACCGATATGAACAATCGAGCACGAGACACAGATGTTTTAATACCTGGTGTACGAAGTATTGTAACCTCATAACATGTATTACCAACCTCCTCATGCCCCGAGTGGCGATGTCTTCCATTAGTAAGTCCAGTACTTGACATAGTAGTGCCATCAAACATCTCCCCTGCTACAGTACATACCTACTCAGCTTCTTCCTATCGCAGATTAGCGAATTCATCTCGGCGGACGCCAACATGATGTTAAGACGCAGCATACGCACCCCCTATGCTTTCACGAGAGTGTCTTCAAGCTAAGAGGCTCCAGTAGCTCATATGGTCTGTGAACGACTCCAAGCACCCCCCCTCCTTTCACCCCCTTATTCCTATCGTCACTTTGTCGAAGCTTGGTTGATTCCTGGACGGCTAGCTGTTTGGTGCTAGATAGTCGAGGCTTATAATAGATAGCCATGGAATACTTATGGGTATGGAGAGCTACCCATGGAGGGATGAAGCATCCCTGGCTTCGGCCATCACGATGCCATCCACCGCGATTCGCCGTTATTAAACAAGACTCAAGGGCTTTGCCAGTGGCTAGGCCACCTAAGTATTTTTACAGGATGATATATACCTACATAGGTATATGTAATGGATGGAATCAATTACAAATACAGTGTCCCAGACAATCTCAAGAGGAGCCATCTGATAACATTGCAACTAAGCCTACCTGCTTAGTATATGTGCTGACAAGCCTCAAACGATTCGGAATGCGGAACATCCCCTTGAATACACATGCGCAGGTGATCGGCGTAAGAGACGGCCAAACAAGGAATCGTGCTTACACCGTTGGTGGCATTCAGTAGATGGATCCCTTGGCAAAGGCTGGTTTGGCCAATGTACAATACGACCAGTTCTTGTGACGTGGACTTTATCCCTAGGTACATGCAGTATTGAATCCTTCGTCGGTAGTTACATCCTTTAACCACAACACTGGACAAGCTATCTGGCTTAATCCTTAAGGTCCCTTCACTTATAACCTACCCTCATATTTAACTAAACATCTATTGCACACAACATCTAGTGCGAAGAGGTTCATACCCATTCTTCACCTAGGAAACACATATATACCTACCTACCTACCTACCTATCATACCAACATGGAGCGCCTCCCCGTAGAGCTCACCCAGCAAATACTCACACACCTGGACCTCGCATCCCTCAAGAACGCCGTCCTCTCCAGCCGCACCTTCCTCGACGCCTTCCAGGGCGCCGACGTCATGATCACCAGCGAGATCCTCATCCGCGAGGTCAACCCCGGCGTGCTGATCGAGGCTGTGCTCGTCGACAAGTCCTGGCAGCCGGGCGAGCCTAGAAGGCTGTCGCAGTGGAGTGTCCTCGACGCCTTGCCGCAGGAACGGTGCCATAAGGTGGTCAGTTACTTGGTCGAGGGGGTGGTGAATGGGACGCTGTATTAAGCTGGCATGGCTGTGCTGTGCTGTGCTGTGCTGTGCTGTGCTGTGCTGTGAGGAACGACATCGGGTTGAGCGAGAGCGCTTTATTGCTTTCAAACTGTACTGTAATGTCGCAACCTAGTTAGGTGGTGTGCGCATTCGAAAGGCCGGGGAAGAGCGTAACGTGTTTCTTTGGCCATTACGCCGCATATGCGATTGTATATGCATCTACGATTATAGCGTCAGTGCCATTACCACCTACCTACCTACCTACCTACTTACCCAATTGCACACCGACTTTGCGAATTGGACAGTCTTAGCGACTAACCGATTTGCTAGCGTTCGTATAGGTACCGTATAGACCACGACGTTACTTGGGGTTATCTGGGGACCCATAGAGATCGCCGCTACGGACAATACATCCTATCTCTTGGATTAGGGCTAATGTATCGCCTGTTTCAAGGTTCAGAATACCAGAAATGGGGGAGGAAACTTGGGAATATAGAGAATATTGATGATATACGTAGGTCTATATATACGTACGATGGGGAAAACCGTAATACAGTATGATATAATATGACTGATAATTGGTCTCAACCAACCAATCAATCAACCCACTCTTCTTTTCACCCCTTTCAATACGTAGGTAGATAGGTAGATAAATACTTAGGTAAGTAGGTCTGTTGAATAAATTTGAATTTCGTTTCTTTCGCTCCTCAAACGCCGTGTACACTTTCTTCTCTTGAACATTAAGAACCCAAGGTAAACGACAAAAAATCCGCAATAATAGTAGGGGAATTTTACACAAATAGGTACCGGGAGGTAGCCTTTTCTTTCCCCCCTTTCAAAGAGAAAAGAGGGGTTCGTACACATGACTTCTACCACCCAGCCAGCGGATTGGCTTAGTGATGTCTGGCTCTAACCAGTTTCCTAGACTTCCCACAGCTGCTACTGTTGTTGTTACTGTTGTTATCCTAGGACTACAACCAAAGAAAAACTCCCAAGTCCTACTTTTCTCCTTAAGGAATGGGTAGTCAGGGCTCATTCGGTTGGAATTAGGCTTGCTTCATCTGAACTTGGCGTAGATGACGAAGAAGATGAGGATGACCAGCACGGCGACGATAGCGATGGTGATTACCCGATTCGTAGCCATCCTAGAAAAGCCCTAGGTTAGTATTTTGTACGGTGCATCGAAGAGGGGAGGGGAGGGGAGGGAAGCCAGTACCTACGAGCCATGCCCCTAAGCGTCTTGACGCTACGGTCGACGTAGCCTTCGCTCTCGTAGAGGACCTGTCCGGTGTGGGTGATGCGCTCGCGCTGCTGGTGAAGGTCGGCGAGGGTGCTGGCACCGATGGCCTCGGTCTCGTTGGCGAGGGCCTGGGAGGAGCGCAGGCGCTGGGTGCTGCGGTCGAGGCGGTCGGTGCCGCTAAGCAACTGCTGCCGCTGCTCGAGCTGTAGGTCGGACGGCGTCCCACCGGACGGGCTATCGGTGTAGCGCCCGCCGAATAAGGCCGCGCGGTCTGAGGCGAGAGACCGTAGCTTCCGCTTGTACCCGTCTACGTCCGTCTCGAAGTTCCGGAAGCGCTGGTTGATCTTGGGTCGCGATGAGGAGGGGATGTTTTGCTTTTCCAGTCGCATCTGTCCTAACTACATTTAGGGAAGGGTCCCATCGAGTTAGTTAAGAGCGATTGCCTGGTTATCACATGGGAGAAGAGATATAGCTTAGGGAATGGATGGGGAATGTACCAGCTCATCTGCTTCCTCCAAGGCCCGCTCGGCGGCGCTGATAGCGGCCTTGCGCGGCTCCCCGTTCAGCTCGGGGATTTGGTCGAGCTTCTGTGTCAAGTCGGCCTGGACTAGCTTAAATTCAGCCTCATAGCTGCTGAACAGCTCCGAGCCGGCGTCAGTGTCGAGTGGGTTGGCCATGATTGAATGGCGTTGAATAAGGATTGGTCTGATTCCTTTTATCTCCTTAGCTCGTCTTCGAGGCTCCTATATCGTTGAAACGGTAGGATTTTTATCGTTAAAACTGGGCGAGAAGTTTTGGAATTGTCGGCAAAAGAATGGTTATTTTTTATCGTTGTAGAGATAGTCGTCGATAATCTTGGATGATTTATGGATGGTTTATGGATGGTTCGTGATATGGAAGTCGCAGGAAAGATCATGTGTGGTTGCGTAAGGTTGCGTAAGGTAACCCAGGAACAGCAGGTCGTTCCCAGACACGGGTAATTCTGGCAGTCACAAGATCCACCAATGCGATTCAGACCACTGTAAGATTCAAGTGGGTCTATAGTTATACCCACCTAACTACTTCAAGGTTAGTCCAGTTACCACTGCAGTCTTGTCTGACTCTAGCCACACCACATAACTAACTATTCAGCCACACTACAGCTAATATAGTGGTCCGTGCTCTACATCGTCGCGAAAAAAAAGTATTTCAATCATTTTCATCGATCCATTTTCTAATTTTTCTTCTTCTTCTTTTCTCCATAAAGTTGATCCCCCGGAAGCAGATAATTAAGGCTCTGCGTCTTATTTCATAACGGACGCCGAGTTGTATTAGCCGGGCAGACTAAAACATGGAGCTTTAAAGAATTGTGTATTAGACGACGGTTTTCGAACCGCTGTCTCTGTATATTCGATCCCGTTGAGCCTCGACATTTCATCTGACATCTCATCTTTTTGTGAGACATCAAATTTACCCCATTTCCAGGTTAAGCCTTTGCATATTATGTTGGTGCTGTAGCCCTATGGATATGACCCGTCAGAAAAGAAGATGTGTTTTGACGAAACCGGATTGTATGATACATGTACTGTATGTACATTTGCCAAAGTCTTGAACACTTGAAATTTGAATTCACATGCTTCTCATAGACTCATAACTACTACTAGTAGTAGTTCGTTGTCATGTTATCGAACACATGTGCATGATACAACATTTTGCACACCGATCAATCACAAATGTGCACTAAAATAAACCTCCACTAGAAACTTCACATCTTTTTTTTTCTCTATTTTTTTCAGGCATCATTTTCAACGTGGTCAAAGGCTTGAAAGCACCTGATTATTAGCATTTGCGGCTGTAATGGCTGTAATCTAACGTGTTACAGTTGTCTCGTTTAATAGTGTGGTGGATCCACGTCAGACATTGCCCGTAAGGGCCGTAACGGTTTCAAGGCACAAGGAAGGCATGGGGGCTGGCAACTTTGTGGCAAGCCTGGCAAGCTTGGGCTTAGTTCAAGGAGCTTCTTCTAATATTTGGGGGGGAGCCGAGGGTAAACAGGTTACCTACACAGTCTACACTCTTTTTTACCTTCGTCTGAATAGTTACCCGCTCAACTCATCTTCAACCACGTCCAATGATTTACACGGTTTAAACGTCTAGAATATATAAGAACGGGGCATCACGACATTTTCGCATTTTTACAACATTTGCATGTGATAAAGAGATGTAAGTACGAAATAATCCTAGTCATCCTAGTCAATTACCTGGATCCAAACGCGTGTATGAGCCAGATGGCAGCTGTTCCGGGCCCCACGTCTCTATATCTTTACATGCCCAAAGCCTCTGTAGATGGACAGAGCGTTATCATTCCATCCACTGTCCATCCACTCTCTTGCAGCCACAGCCTCTTCCGATCCGATCTGGTGGAAATGTCGAGGTTGGACAAACGCCATAGGACGTTTACGGCGCCAATCTACATAAGTCCTTCATAGCACCTACGTAACACCTGCATGTTATTTCCATGCTATCCTGCACTGCATGCCCTACATACATACATATCTACATATCTACATAGTAGCTTGCCCTTGTCTTTTAGAGCACTTCACTTCCCATTTGAAAAAAAAAACTTGATGTATTATTCTGAGACATCTTCCTTCTGCTTTATTGTCCTTGTTTGATTTATGAAAGTCTGTGCTTCGACTGCCACAGCATCCCCTACCTTCCGAGCCTTCCTAGTCTTCCCAGTCTTCACTCGTCTATCGTAAAGCAATCGATGACATCGACCACTAACTGGGTCCCCAGGAAGAAGGTAGCCATCATTGGTAGTGGTTCAGCTGGAATCGGTGCTCTCTGGGCTCTGAACCGCACTCACCATGATGTATACCTCTACGAGGCGGCTGACCGCTTGGGTGGCCATACTAATACGGTAGTATGGAAGAAAGGCAAATTCACCACCTTGGTAGATACGGGGTTTATCGTCCTCAACGAGGCAACATATCGTACGTCAGCTACCAGCCTGCAAGCGTTGCGCCCCTACTAACTTAGCCTCAGCCAATTTCATAAACTTCCTGAAAAGGGTTAAGGTGAAAACGGTGCCTACAGAGATGACCTTTGGCGTGTCACGGGACCGTGGAAGGTTCGAATGGGCAGGGGCAAGCCTGGATTCCCTATTCTGCCAAAGGAGAAACATCTTCTCCTTGAAGATGTGGAGGCTGGTCTTCGATATCATCCGCTTCAACCAATTTGCCCTCGATTTATTGAAGGAGGAGGAGGACGTGGATGATTCCTATCATGCCTCTGGAAACGACGAAGCCTCCGCCAGGCCGATGGAAACGATTGGACAGTATCTGGACAGACAAGGATACTCGGAAGCATTTCGCAATGACTATCTGATACCCATGACGGCGGCTGTATGGAGTACGAGTCCTGACAAGTGCACTTTGGAGTTCCCGGCCACGACACTTGTTCGATTTATGTGAGTCCAGATATTAGACCTACCCATAGTCATATCGCTAATCGTTGTTTAGGTGGAATCATCACCTCTTGAGTACTATTGCCACGCGACCAGCCTGGCTTACTTTAGAAGGGGGCGCGAAATCATACATCGACGCAGTGGTTAGGGGGTTCCCCCCTAATCACTTATTCCTGAAAACCGCGGTCAAATACATCACCAACGATGAAGATGGTCAGGTCAGGCTCCATCTGGAGAATGGAAAAACAGATGTGTATGACCACGTCGTATTGGCGACGCACGGAGATCAAGCGTATCAAATCATTAAACCCTCGGCCACTGCAGAGGAAAGTGCCATCATGTCCCAGTTCAAGACGTCGGAGAATACATGCGTTCTCCATTCAGACCTGTCGCATATGCCGAGGAGGCAAAATGCATGGTCGGCTTGGAACTACCTCACAGTATCATCGCCCTGGACGCGCAGAGACATCGACCAGATCTCGTTGACATACAACATGAACATTTTGCAACACATTCCTCGGGAGGCGTTTGGAGACGTACTGGTGACACTAAACCCGATCCAAGAACCGAGGCCGGAGACTGTCCAAGGCCGATATTCGTACTCACACCCGCTATACAATCCCACGGCAGTCCGAGCGCAGCAAGCCCTGCCAAGAATACAGAACACGAGAGGGATAAGTTACGCGGGAGCGTGGACCAAGTATGGGTTTCACGAAGATGGATTCAGCAGCGGTCTACACGTAGCGCAGGCTCACCTTGGGGCCAAGCTGCCGTTCGAGTTCGTAGACTCGACGTATAGTCGAGGAAGACGACCGAGCCTAGGGATCGTGGACCTCTTGGTAAGGCTTATCATCTTGGCGATTCAAATATTTGTAATAGACGTGCTGGAGAGGGTGTTTTGTAAAATAAATAGGAAGGCATCGGTACAGGCAAACGGGAATGGGAGGGATAGGAGGTTGAGCATCAAGCAAATGTAAACTGGAAACGGTTTTTTGTCTTTTGAACATATAAGAAACATGACAAATTAATAGTACATGGTATATATTAGACACACATATGTATATGGATTGCCTCAAAATGCATGTAGCATTGATGGATACTACCTCGGTACCTTATAACTATGTACTTTAATATGTGACTCCCCTAAGACGTTAAGCCATAGGCATTCAACAGAAGGTGGAATACCTACATGTAGCAGCGTAGGGCAGCTAGTCTACTAGGTATGTAGGGATAGGTACAATACATACCCTACCTAGGTACCTATAAATAGCACTAAATAACCAAACCCCACCTAAAAACTGCAGGGACAGTAACCTTCCTTAGCTTGCCTAGCTCTTTAGCTTTGCATCACATCACACTCACACATTCACACTCACACATTCACACTCACACATTCACACTCACATCCATTGAGAACCCCACGATGGTAGCATGGTACGATACAGTCTGGTATACTACATGCATATAGTAAACCCCCAACAGAGCTTTTAACCTCTACCCGGCAATATGAATAATCTTTACCAATCCTCATGGAAGTCATTGCAAGCAGGTGTATCGTCATGGGCCTGCGCATCATGTCGCCGAGCCCTAACTCGAGCGCGGCCCTCGCCACCACTGCGTAAGTCCATGTCCAGCAGCACTGCGAAGAAGCAGTCGCAAAGCACCACCACCACCACTGCCTCCCACGCTGCCTCGATGGACCGTGTGCGAGAGTTTTACAAGCTGAAGAACCGAACAACCATGTATATTTTTACCTATTTATTACCTATTTATAATCCCCCTAATCATGCTCGAGAGGACTCAATCGTTATCACAGGTACTACACGCTCAGCGTCATCCTCGGCACTGTCGCATTCTCTTATGGCTCCGTGCCCATGTATAAGATGGTACGCCGTGCTTCATGTTTTACGTCTATACACTTGCCTGCGTCGGGGTTATCTACATAAATGCCTATATATAATACCCACGGAACGGGTCTAACCATTGCTACAAACCAACAGATCTGCCAAACGACAGGCTGGGGCGGCCAGCCCATACGTGCACCGGGCCACGGCCCCTCCTCGAGCGACGCCGACTTCGACCCGGCGTCGCGCCTCGTTCCCGTGACGGACGCGCGGCGCATCCGCGTGACGTTCAACGCCTCGGTGTCGGACGTGCTGCCGTGGAAGTTCGTGCCGCAGCAGCGCGAGGTGCGCGTGCTTCCCGGTGAGACGGCGCTTGCGTTCTACACGGCGACGAACCGCAGCGACAGCGACATCATCGGCGTCGCCACCTACAGCGTCACCCCCGCCCAGGTCGCCCCCTACTTCAGCAAGATCCAGTGCTTCTGCTTCGAGGAGCAGCGCCTCAACGCCGGCGAGACCGTCGACATGCCCGTCTTCTTCTACCTCGACCCCGACATGCTGAATGACCTCAACATGCGCGGGATCAATGAGGTCACGTTGAGTTATACGTTTTTTAGTATGTTCATTTTTAATCCCCCTCTTTTCTCTCTTCGTCAACTTTGAAGCATATGTATGATCTTGAGTTGGGGAAAGTGAAATAAATAAATGGCTGACTGGATTTTTGCAGAGGCCAAGTATGATAATAACGGGAACTTCAAGTCGTTCCCGGCACCTTGAAATTCATCTAGCATAGCATTGGAGTCAAAGTAGGTTAGAGGTGTTACCATGGCTCCTTTATGTTTGGTCCTATAAAAGGGGTTTGCTTGATCGGGAAACATCTTGGATTATTCTTCCATCGGCCTCTAAAACTTGACATCGCATCGCATTGTAGTAGGAATTGCACATGTAAAGGCGTTTCTTTCTTCATACGCGGAGGAAGTGGTTTTGGTCATATGCAAAGTCACTTTTACTTTTGTCTTGGACGGAACATGTAAAACGTAGCATTTCAAGGTCGCTCTCCCTTTCGAGGTCGAGTTGGTAGCAAAATACATACGAGGAAGCCTAATAGACTTCAACTTTATAAAATAGCTCTAGAATATGTACCTAGGCGTTGCTATGGTTGGCTCATTTGGAGACCTTTGAGATGAAGCGAAGATGGAAGTTGGTTCTCATAGTTGACGATAGCTTCATCTTAGTTCTTATATAGCTCATAGCTCCGAGTTCTTAATTTTTAGTCAGTTTTTGGCTGACTAACTACCCTAGGTTAGGTACTTGTACAGTAACTACGAAGTAACAAGCCACACAAACACGCCACATGTCATTCTTCTACGTTGTAATGTAGCACCACACCACCTACGTCACCTTTCTACATGTCATCTTGCGACGAGACCATGCACATGCATTTATAACTTCACGTACGTACCTACCTAAGCTCAAATCTTTAAATAGCCAACCACATCGCTCTAATCAAACTAAAGCATCTAACTTGCCCAACTATTTTTTACATAGACTCACATCATTCAAATATGTCCGGCAAAACCTAACGAATACTAGCTATCAGCCTCTCTCTCTCTCCTTACCTACCTGCTACCACCCACCCTCATCCCCAACCAACCCCCCTAAAGATGCAAAACCTCCCCAAAACAGCAACAACCCGCCTCCGCCACACCTTCACCTACTCCTCCTCCAACGACGACAACGACCCCTTCTCCTCCAGCCCCGAAGCCCTCGACGAAGAAGAGCAAGAAACCCTGATCCGCCAGCTCGCGCAGCAAAACGACGCGCGAAACGCGCAGTTCCGCCTGCTGCTCCTCTGTCTGCCCCTGGTCTCCGCCGTGCCGTATGTGGTCGCGCTGGCGTCGCCCATCTTTGGTGCTGCCGATCGCCAACAAGGGGTAGGAGGAGGAGGAGGTGGTGGTGGTGGTGGTGGTGGGGTCAATAGTAATAATAATAATAATGGCACAGCGCGAATGCTAGCCCTCCTAAGCCTCACGAGCCTCGCGTCCACCGCCTGGACTCTATGGGCGCTTCCGCCCGCCGTCACCGGGCTGCGCCGTCTGGACGCGTGGGTAGCTGGCAAGGATAGCAATGCCGCCGGTGGTGGTGGTGGGGTGACGGCTTCGCGCCGCAAAGACCGCACGTCCACGTTCCCGTGGGTCGAAGACCATCGGTCGCCGTTGGAGAAGTATCTGCCGTACCTGAACGTGGGTCTTTGCGGTGTGCTCATCCTAGCCGGCTTCCTGTCTAGGTCGGCTGTGTCGCAGGGCCACTGGGGTCATGTCGGCCTGAGCAACTTACCTGCTATTGTCTACGGTGTGGTGATACTTTCCAAGACGATGATGGGCAGCGTGGACCCGGAGAGGGAATTAAGTGCTCTGCGGTACGAATACAAGGGCGCTTGATCGGGGGGTTGCTTGTATCTTATCCTCTTATCACTTCAGCGAAATAGAGAACCATAGTTCTCGAGCAGATACATAATTTGAAATAAATTCATCATATTTTACTTGCAAGTTTCATTTTTCATTCGGCGGTTGCTCACACCCTTATTTTATCTCTAGCAAAAGCGCACCTTCAACGCCCATCCGTGTAGAAACGGGATGCCTATAACTAATAAATGACCTTGATCACAAACGCTTACTCTACACGTCTATAGATCCGTTGAATTTTAAGACTCCGTTGCCCTTCAAAACTCCATCGACACCCTTAGGGATCGGGAAGGCATCCGTGTGTGAGAACGGCTCCGCAACCTCCTCAGTTGATTTATCGACAACCAGCGCTAGTCCGTGCGACTTGATCGCATCTACGAGAGCTGGGACCATGTTCTAAAAGGAAGAGGGAGAAAATCATGTCAGCGGTGCCACATGGGCCATGTCCGATACATCGTTTCTCTCCAACGCCGGGAACTTACCAGTAATCGAGAGCAGCAAACTAGCCCCATAAAGTTGTTGCTCTGCGCTATCCTCACAGTCTCCTTGACTGAGAATGTTCTTCGTCCACTGCTTTGAATCACGCTAGGCGATAACATGGTTTCTTCTCGGCCGAGGTCGTTACAGAGGAAGACGGGGAAGTTAGGTTGCTTCCAGTTCAGGGACGTGCAAAGCGTCGGGTTATACGAGCTAAAAACCACCGATCTAATAGTGTCTGGAGCTGCAATCCTTCGTGCTCGTTGCTCCCTCGCATGGTCGAATACTATGGTTAGTATGGAATCTACGAAGCTGTTGACTTTCACAGTTGGGCCAAGCCCGAGTCTCATCTCTTCCTTTTCTGATGGGTAGATAATCTGGAGGTTGACATGCATCGAGCTTGGAAGGAGAGAGAGGGCTTGGTCCAAAGCCACGCCTGCTGTGTTTAGAACACGATGTATTTCGGCAATATTGCCGAGGCCTTGCGATGGTATGTAGGGGAGTTGGGATCGGCTCGGGTTTGATGCAGTAATGGTTGAAAATTGCTCATGAGATAGCCGCGAGACTGCTACATCAATTCCACCACATTCTATCTTCCATTGCGGCCAGACCACGGGAATCCCATCACTAGTGTGTTGGACAAATAGCTGAACAAAGTCGCCGGATAGGCTAGAGCCTGTGACAAACATGTTTGGATTTTGATCAAGTTGGCTTGTGGCCTTCCAATATGTCTCAAAGTCTGTAATCTCTAGCGGAGCGCCCTGGAAAGGCTTGATTACTTGGGTGTTGAAGGTAATTTGGCCAATCGCCCGGAGTCGAGGGTCAAATAAGGGGAGGCAACATCTCCCCGTGCTACCCCAGGAAGCTCGAAGCGTGTTTGGAAGAGCAACTGTCTTCGCAATAATCTTCGCGCCATATGTTGGGAAAACATCAAAATCGAGAGTAAATGTGTCAAGATTATCGACCTGGAAAGACACAAGTCGGGTATCTTCTTGGAAAGGTAGCATGATATTCTTGGGAATAAGATCCGATAGCTTGGAAGAAATGGTGAGTCGTGCAGCAGGATATTTGCTGTCGTGGAAGAAAACCAACGGGTGTTCCCCTTCTTCCTGAAAGCTAATTTGGATAACCGCCTTGGTGTCAAGGAAGTTATGCCCGTATCGTCGTAATGGTATGATTGGTGGTGGAAGTTCAAGAACGGGAATGGCATCAACGTCAAGCGACATAGGCATGGGAGCCCCTCCACTCCCTATGGGGGCCAAAAGGGGGCCGCTCGTTTGCATTGGTTGGGGACTTTCCACATTTACCTTCTGGTACAGCGTAAGTTTTTGCATGCATTCCAGATGTCCTTCCCAAGCTGCATAATACATGGCAGATAAGTCTTTCTCGTCCACAATATTAGGGTCAGCCCCTACTTCCAAGAGCTGCTCCAAGCAAGGAACATTTCCCTCGCTTGCCGCGTGTACTAAAGGAGTCCAGCCATAGAGCTTGTCGATCTGGTCCAAATCCGCACCATATTCCTGCAGCAAGCGAAGTAACCGAGGCGTCTGGCCTGACCGCGCTACGAGGTGCTGCGGATATAGCCCTTCAGCGTCAGGAAGTATCTGAGCCCCATGCTGCAAAAGTAACTTGACAATATCGAGCGATCCATGCTCGCAAGCTAGATTGAGTGGTATGTGGTCTGTTTCGGACACGGGGTCTAAACGCGTTGACGTTGCAAGAAGCCGTTGTACGCATGTAAGATGGCCATGAATGATAGCATGGATCAGCGGAGTGAAGTTATCATGGTCGATGAGGTCAATCGTTGTCGGATCAGCTGCATAAGCTTTAGCAACCCAAAAACATTTCAGCGGAGGTTGAAGTTAGACCTACCTTGAAGAAGAAGCTCAAGCATATCTAGTCGCCCATGCATGCTCGCATAGTGAAGAGGCACCCGTCCATAAACATCCGTTCTACTAACTTCAACTCCCCTTGAGAGGCCAACATTCAACACGAAAGAGTTTCCGTATATGGTGGCCTGGTGGAGGCAGTTTCGCTCATTTATATCATCCTCGGACCGAATATCGACAAGCCCGGTCTCCAATAAAACCTCGAGGGAAGCTTGTGGTGCCTCATGTATCGCGGCGAGAAAAGTGCGGGTTACCCTTTCCATCAAAGAGATATCCATGCCTGACGGCGAATGAGAGCCAGCTCGCATTCTAGCTAAGAGGTCTCGCAGAGAATCCAGATTACCAGTGATTGCTGTGTCGAGTACCAGACTGTCTACGTCGCCTTCGTCTGTTCCGAGCAAATGCTGACTACTCACCATATGATCGGATCGAGCTTCGAACGGCACATGATCACCATCCGCCCAGGCCCCGAGCTCCTGCAGACTAGTCGTCGCTTGGTCTGAGAGCTCGCTAATAACTGGAGCATTGAAAAACGGTTGCACTTCTACAGCGCGAGAGAGATACAACTCCTTAGTTTTGGATTTAGAGGTCTTGTCCCATTTCTTGAGAATTTTGGAGAAGGCAGTCCCATTAATTTCAACGAACTGCTGGAGCTTATTCAGATCATTGGCAAATTGCTGGAACCCTTCTTCCAAAGTTGTAAATTTAGCCGACCGTCTAGAGACACCCTGGCGAGATTTCAATACTCTCTTCTTGTCCAGCAATGTCTTCAGCCGGACTTTAAGCTGTACGGTGTTAGTATCAGCTATCAACATGTGGGTTTATGTACGAGTCGATATACTCACTTCAGCTTCTTTCTGCAGGTAGAATGCGTTGACCTTCTCTAGCTCACGTTCCTATTTTGTGTGAGTAATGGTCCCAGCGGCAGTAGTCTGTTCAAGAGAGATAGATCGGTCTTACCAGTTGAAAAAAGAACTTTGCTTTGTTTGCCTGTAGGGCAACTTGGGTATCTACCGGCGTGGGAGTAAAGTGAGGGTCATTCTGGGCGCTCAAAGTCGGGGTAGCAGAGAGCTTTTTGATAAGCTATTGGCTGGTGTTAGTGATATAATCCTACTCTACGAGCAACGTACATCTCATCTTGACATTGCACGAATGAAATTTGTATGTGTCCTCTTCGGTACACATGAACTTGGCTTATGCAATGTCCCCTGACGGAAAATGCTCGTAGTTGATTAAAGAGAAATAAACAGAAGCGCTTTTAACACACCTTTTTCAGAGCTTTATAATTTACGAAGCTGGCAGCATATTCTGGTACTTCAAGCTGACGCTTCTGGATTTGCTTGCCGAACTTCCTAAAGTAACATCAGTAACCGCTTTCTGATGAAGAGAGTGACAACCCAAGCAAGGGCAAGGCAATTGATGGGAGGTGACACATTGAACTCACATGATTCGGCAGAGGCACCCGCAACCAGCCTGTGAGGGCTGTCTACTTTAGCAGAAGTCTCAGGATAGGTAGGTAGGAGAAGATTGTCTCAATAGATATCTTGAATGACCTAGATGGCTGTTTTCCGTGTAACTAAATGCAGGGAAGCGGTTATACGGAAGAGGGTTCAAACGGCGGTTGTGCAGACTGGCGATACGGCGGGGTTGATGTAAGGATAATATACTAGACATCTAAAATGTATCTCACGAGTCATATACTTGTCTGCTCGGAGAATATTGAGTAATCAGAGAAGACAGGCAGATGAAGAAAATCGACGGCCAATGACACGTAGCAGCTGGTGGGTTTAGATCCAGGCGTGTGGCAACGCTAGGGGAGAGGCGGATTCTTAAAAGGGTGTTGAAGTCTTGAAAGTATAGTTCCCACGTCTTAGACACCAGTAGGGATAGGTTAGGTATAGCACAGAGGATATTTAGGCCAGCATAGGGAGAGAGAAGGGGTCGAGGCCGATAAATGTAGCAGGCGCACGATATCTTCTAGACAAGGTCTGAGTTCTCACGACGACGAAGAACCAACAAGTGGCGACTAGGGAGGGTCACATTCACGACGATCTGACCAGTCGTGTAAGGGCGCCTCGGGTACTGGAGTGAGAGGAAGCTAAGCTTCGGGCAGCTGGAGTCGTTTGGTTTGGTAAGACGATGTGCAGAGGAAGAAAAACCCCCTAGAGAACTAGATGTTCTATCCAATGAGTGCTTCCTGGAAAGAGGAGTGGGGGTCAGATGGAGTATTGTTGTCTGCACGAGGAGGCTAGTGATCCCGAAGAAGGATTGAAAGACTGTATTTCCTGGCAGGTAACAAAACGGGTGAGCATCTGATAGGTTATCTGATAGGCGCAGTTGAAAGACGAATGCGACGCGGCAGAAGAAGGACGAGGGAGTGCCCCAGAATTTAATATGATGATGTCGAATTCGATGGAGGGGCAAGTGGGCAGAGGGGTTCGATGGGTTTGATGGGTTCAATGGCAAAGCAATGAAAGCATCAATGTATGTGTACCTTACAGATTAAAAATGGAGAGCTTCAACGTCGTCAAGCTTGTAATACGTACATATGTATATACCAGGTAGGTATAGATTAGTTAGCTCTAGACTTCGAATATAGAGGGGCAGACTCGGACAGAGAAGCTAAGTGGTGACGATTTGTTAGCTCTATGAACACACATGAGGAATGTGGATCGAAGCGCGTTCTAAGCAAGGCATTCAATAATAACCCCGAGTTCATGTCAAGGTGCCGTATTTCGTACGTAATTCATTAATAACCTGCCGATAATGATATGAGTTGATACTGTAGGCCATAGTCAAGACTGTCAATGTTTTAAACGGTTTTGTTGATAATTAACAGCCAAACTTTAACACTCATCTTCCTTTTTTTCTATTTTTCACTCTTTCTTTTTTTGAAAGTGCTACGTGCTACCAAAATAACGTAACGTAGACAAGTTAAAACAAACCAAGACCCTTCCCAGCTAAGTGTGTTCTTTATTAATACGCTAGTAGTGGGGCACTGTCTATTGTAAGCATCAATTGATGTTACACCCTTAATAACTCTATACCAAAATAAGTACAAGTACCTACCTACCAAGGGCGAACTAGCCGTTATCTATTTGATGTATACGATGGTTCAAGTACAAGTACAATACAATGCCTTTAACGCTGTTGCAGCTGAACCCCACAAGTAAGCGATCGATCCACTTCGCATCGTAGGTACACTACTAGGTACCTAGGTAGGTAGCTAAATTTGCCTACACCACATTATTCTCTCTACCTACTTAGGCACTCCTCATAATTCTATCCAATGAGAATTCCAATTAAGACCCCGTGGTCCTCGACATCTCATGCACGAGGCTGAGTGAGGAGAACGATCCTACTGCTAGTTGTGACCTCTAGCGGAACTTGAAGTCTTCGGCAAGTCCCGGAGCCCTATGGTGGCCCTCCGCCATCACCTCCGGTATCATCTCCGACCGTCTTATTTTTATTTCCATCTTCAAATATTACATTTATCTCCATAATACCGCCGGCTTCTTTTCATATTCATTATTAATTACTATACATAAGGCTGTATACCTAGCGTAGCACTTAAAAAGTGCTATGATGAATGTAGGCTCCTAGAGTTGTTCCGCTCGATGTTGTAGAATTTTATATTATTTATCTTACGTAAGTTGTCCCCTCCCCCCTATTTACCCCTAGCTATCCAGATCAAGACTATGGTCTTTGAATCAGAATAGCACGGCAGCCAGAAGAAGAAATATTCCATTGGCCATGGCACTAATTCAGAAGATATACTTCGTATAGGCGAGCAACTACATATAAGCCATGGACTAGTGTTAAGACTTACCATGTATCTAAGTAGGGAATCATCCCCCCACCCCCCCTCCCCCGTTCACCATCCCAGAAGACTATATACCTTAAGATATATACTCTCATCCACACAAATCAAGCTCTCCAAATATATCATTCTTCGTATGCCTACATATCTACCTACTAAGAATATAGTTATAAGCCAGGCCTCTTCCTACCCTTTCAACTCTTACATCCTGTCTCAGCCTATCATCGAACCGGCGTCAAGTGTACGTAAAGCGGGATCCTACATCACCCCTCTAAAGTTAGCAGCGACTTCATGAGAAATTTCGCAGCGTCAAAGGCCGGCAGAGGCTACACTGGCCCCTATTTGACCGAAGAAGAACATTGATAATGAGTGTAAAAGTACTGACCTATCCCAAAGCGCATACGACTTCTGCCTCTCGATCCACCTCTGGCTTTCGTCGGCAAGTTTCATGTCGAAATCGTAGACGATACGGGCCATGATCATTCGCATTTCGGCATAGGCCAGACTCCACGACACAATACTTGTTAGTCTAACCAACTCAAAGTGTCTTTATAGATCAAAAATAGGTAGGTACGTAGGTATATGGTGGTCTTACTTGCGCCCGATACAATTCCTAGGCCCAACACTAAAGGCCTGCAGGGCCTCAAGATTGTTCCCTGCCTTGGCAGCCTCTTCGGGAGTGGCTAGAAAGCGCTGGGGATCGAACGCCCATGGATCCTTCCAGTTTTCCTTGCTATGGTTCATCGACCAATGCTGGATCTCGACGAATGTCTAGATACGTAGATACTCATCAGCCCCTCCCCTCTTCGAGCTATCAGTAATGTGGAGGGTCGGGGTCAAACACTTACGCCGCCAGGTATGAATTGGCCCGCAATTTGCTCTCCTCCAGGAGGCACGTTTCGAACCAGACTCGACGTAACCGGGGGATACATTCGTAGCGATTCGTTGAGAACTGCAAGCATGTACGGTAGCTTTCCGACTGAGCTGATATTGATCTCATCAGCGCTGCTGAACGACGAGCGGACTTCTTCGCTGAGCTTTGCGAGGATATCGGGATGTGTTAGCAGGAGGTAGGTAGCGCCAGACAAGGTGGTCGCTGTGGTCTCAGATCCGGCCAAGACGAGGATAAATGCATTGGAGGATAGTTTCTGGAACGATATATTCTATATTACATCCCAGAGGTGTTACCAAGTCAGTTAACCCCCCTCGGTCATACAAGGGGCAGATAGGGGTGTATTTTCTTTTACATACCCACTCCTCACGGCGTTTTACGATACCCTCGAAAAGATCGTCACGATCCTTTTCCATGGCTAGTCGTGTCCTTACCATTTCGTCGGTATACTTTCGTACTCTGTTCACCGCCACGTTCCCGGACTTGACAATAGTCTGGACCAGTGTGTCCAGGCCGGCATATCTCATGGCCACCAGTATAGCGCCGAACCGTACACTACTGAAGATGAACTCAATCCAGGGGTGGTAGTCGATGTTTTCGAGGCACTTAAACGACTGCCCAAACACCAGATCCCCCACGATGTCGAAGGTAGTCCAATTAAACCAAGCCTCGAGGTTCAGTTTCTTCTTTCCCTCGCCACATTCTTCGTGTAGTCTCTACACGTTATACGACTGTTAGTAGTCAAGTAGCTAGGCAAAGGGGCCACTAAGTAAGTGGCGATGAGAAAAAATATTAATTCTTTTTATTGGCAGGGCAGGCCAGCACATAGGTTGTCAGATGTAGATCACGAGTGCAAGGAGGCCTTCCAACTAAACTACTAACCTTGAGCAAAAGATCGATGTACTTCACAATCATAGCCTCTTGCTGGCGCATGGCACTGTCCGAAAACCCATGCGAGAGCGCGCGGCGGAATTTCGAGTGCTCCTCCCGGTCCGCATTTAGGATCGAGGTGGGCACATCGCGCAGCGTGCGGTTAAAGACCTCAGTCTTGGACATCTCCGTCGCGCTGCCAATCTCGGCCCCGACACGGTGGCCGTAGATATCCCTCCACGCCCTGATGTCGGTGAATGAGAGATGGTTGGGTCCAATGCGGACGACGGGGCCATATTTATCGTGGAGTTTTTGCGTGTTGAACGCCTGGGAGCCCGTGGCGTGGCGGATTGCCCACGGGATCTTGGAAGCTCCGTAGAGCTTGGGCCCTGGGAAATTGCGCAGAGGGTGGAAGAAAAGGTTGTAGATGATGGTCACTACTCGATGTCCGATGAACTGCGCCGCGGGGTCTGTCATTAGCTGTCATTGCTGGAAAACCTTTCGTTCAAATATCAGGATCGTACCAAGAAGGCTATGAGTAGACCATATTTCGAAATGGTGGACATCTTGATGTCCGTTAACTCGACTAATTTCATTTTTACATCGGTAAGAAGAGAAAACAAATGTATCAAACTGGTCAAGGGAATAAACGGGGGTGGGCAATGTATATATGTCTACCTAGGTATTATTTACAGAATGTAGGTGTAGATATCTAGGTACAGATCGACACTTTTTCCATAAGCGAGAGGGTCCATCCGGTATGTACATGATATATGTTTCTTTAAACTACTATTATAATGCGGGGTTCTATGACGAGATTTGCTTCCAGAGATCCTTGAAGGATACCTAGGTAGATAGTTGAATAGAAGTTGCGTATAGTTACTAGCTAGCTAGCGAGGCGGCTACGTTACAGGAAGACATGGACGGGATTAAAAGCGTTGGAGCACATATAACTAGGTTAGTTACCTATTCATTCCTACCGGATCTTAGTGACCCGGTAGCATTAAGCATTATGCAATGCATTGCGCGTAGTATTGCTATGTAGGTGCTACCTACCTCTACCTTGCACACGCAAATAGCCCTGTGGTTAGTTGAAAGGTGCAATGTCCCAGAAGCCAATTGAATCATCGCTAATCGTAAAGCTCGTATTGAAGCCAGCTATCCTAGCCAGCCATATACGTCTATCTACCTAGGTAGGTAACCTCAGGTGCTCATGACTACCCAGGTGTGTGTATATATTACTGTATTCGAATCTGCGATGGCTGTTTCTAGCTCTTACACCACGTCGGGAATAGAAACTGGATTTGGGAAACACACCGGCTTTTTTCGGTTGCAAGTGAAGAATAGAAGATCGTTGACATCAGATTCAGAATGATGCAAATCAGTCGCGCTACTTAATGGAACCATAAACTCTCTGTAGTACACTCTCTGTAGTACTAGATGCATGTGATTCTCTTCGCATGACCCCCTTACTCCTTAAACCCTTCTTAGCCCCTTTAGTCCTCAATACTATGTACTACTTAAGTACCGCCAGTCTTCTTTCCGGAGCTGACTAAGCTTTCAGCCATTGCATCTGCTGTGGCTTGCTTGAGCCTCTCGCTGTCCTCCATCTTGATCGCTCCACCGCTCCTCGCATCCTTCTCATCCTCACTATCTCCTAGGCTGAACGGGTCATTATCTGTGATCGGACTCGGCTCGACGGTTGACAGAGGTTGCCATTTGCTCTGCTTGCCCGGGGGAGGAGTTGCACTGCTATCTTTCGGTGGAAGTTTTGGTGAAGCATCGTACTGGTCGATGTCTTCTACGCCCTCCTTGAAAGCAACCTTACGGCCTTCAGGCTTAGGGGATGTAGAAGCTGGGGGAGGCCGGTAGAAGTTGGGATTGCTTGTTGAGCGATCTTGAGAGGGCCCTATTCTATGGTTAGCTCGAGAACTTTCGCATCGTGTAAAGAAAATCGAAGCTGTTACTAACTTCCTTCTGGGTGAAGCCGCATCCTGGCAAAGTCATCGCCGAGAACTTGTGGGTCGGCATCATAGCGGTCGTAGTCCACGCTCCGTGAGCCTTCTCCACTGCGCCTACCCAAACCGCCTTGACGTTGGTGCTTTGAAGGTTGCGACTCATCCTCGTTCTCATCATACTCTCCATCGATTTTCTTCTTCAAGCTGGTGAACCAAGAATTGACTTTAACCTGAGTCTCGAGGAAGCCTTTACGTAGGTTTTCCTTAATGACGGGAAGGTCATCATCGATGAAACTGTGGTCTCGATCGTACATCTCGTTGGGTTTGAGGCCTGTTTCTGGATGCCGAGACTGGCCGCCAGGACCCCGGGTTGTCGTTCTCGCCTCGTAAGCGCCAACACTATCGTAGTGTTGGGCAAGCTGTCGAGCGTAGAGTTCGTCGGCCTCCATTTGCGACATGGGGCTTTGGGGCCCAGCTGGTCGCGGAGGTGGAGGTGGAGGAGCGGCATCGCGCGAGGGCTCATTCTGGACGGCATCTGGATCACTCATGCCTTTTTATGGTTAGTAAAATAGTTGGTTGATATTATTGGGCTACCTATTATACAAACCTAGAAGAGCATTGAAAGCCGGATCAATCTGGCCACCGCTCGCAATCAAGACAGCCTTGATAACTGTGGCTTCGATGTCTGGGAATGCCTCCTTGAGAATCAACTCATTCTTCTGTTGCTCAGTAATGGGCCGAGGGGGTTTGGGTGGTGCAGCTTCTTGCGAGGGTGCAGTAGGGTTGGTAGTTGTTGAGGCGGTCGTGGTGTGATGAGCGCTCTCTTCGCCAAGGAGGCCGGTGTCTTGAATATCATCGTCGTCCATCTCAAATGGGTGCACGGTAGTGGGAGATTCTGGTCCTGAAGAAGTCAGGTTGTTCTTGTTCTAATAATGATAAAGCGCAAGGTTAGCGATCGTGTGTAAGAATGAAGTTGGTACCTAGATTCAAGATTGGGTGAAGCTTACCGTATCAGTCGGAGCCGACATCTTGACTGGATAGAATTAAGAAAAAGCGGGAAATGAAAATGGATATCAAATAAGGAGAATAAGGAGAACAAACAATAGTTTAAAATGAATCAATAATGCAGGCACGATGTAAATAGTTATTTAGTGTCTGCCAATGTTTTGGGTTTATCAAGAGTTTAAAACATTGAAGAGCAAAAAGAGCATTGAAGTACTTGAAATGTATCATGAATATCGTTGATAGTACTATTAGTACCCTAACCTAGGTACTAGGCATTGTACATTATGTGATACAGCTACCCAGCATAGCGCATGCGCCTGAATCTTCCCACCTCGGCCTTGAGGGGCAATGATAATTGCGACGCTGATGACGTTCCCCGCCACAATGTACTAGTACTCAGTGCTACTAGTAGTAGTAGTAGTATCACTGATGTAGATAAAAGGAACATTGAAGGCATGCGCCACGAACCTCACGTATGCAAGTACCTTTTCTATATATTTATAATTTAGGTATGTACATATCAATGATATCATACCATGTAGGTTAGAGGTATGTATGTAGGCAGCCACTACTAAAAAGGACATCTCCTGTAATAAAAGTTTAATGTTATTTAGAAATTGCTATGTTACCTAACTCTAACTAGTTATATGTATCCTTACTAATTTGAGTATCCTGATGTTGATGCTATTTACTCCATTCATGCCATATACCACTCATCCCAATCATCTTAACAATAACCCCACCATACAATATATACAAGAAAATGTAAGAATTAATATCGAAGAAACAAGAAGAGGCTAAACTACCTAACTTAGGTAGCTAGGTAGTCTTAAGACTCCTCTCTTTTAGTGACATTCGCCGTGAAGGTCGTCACAAGCACAACACCCTTCTTCTGCTCCGGATAGTATGGCGCCAACTCTTCTGTGACGTTTGTAGCAGAGTCATCTCGCTGCAAGATCAGGCCTGCCTTCTCCGCACCAATCGTTAGAGCTCTGGCTTTTAGTTGGCCCACCGGGTTCAACTCGACATCCCTAATCACAAATCTACCAGCTCCACCGTTGGCATTCCCACAGTGAATCACAGCTGTCAAGTTAACATAAAGACTCTTCTTAATCTTAGTAACTCCTGCATCGCCCTCCGTTGCATGAATTTTCCACGGTCCGAATGTCTTATAATTGGCATTGTTGAGTCCGATTGGATAGCTGTCCGAGGATTGGTAGTTCTCGTTGCTATTCCAAGTAGCAGGTGTTCCAGTCAACCACCGTACCGTGCAATCGGCATTGCTAACCACTTGGCTGTCTCCAACTTTGTTGACATAGCCCATAGCGAATGTGAGTTCATACTTGATCCCTGGGCACATCTTGACCTCTGCTTGCACCATGGCCGCCTCACAGCCCTGGCTTGGCAGGCTTGTCATCTCCACCAAAACTGCCGGGTCGCTTTTCCCATTGGCAAGGTAGTTGGTGGCAGAAAACTTGATGTTGTCTCCCAAGGTACAACTGGGGTAGGCAGCCATCGTCCAGTTGACGAAGCTAGGATACCAGTTGGAGAAGTCATTGTTGGTGACGCTTTGCTCTGGTGTGCACTGACCCGGCTGAGGGGCATAGCATCGGCCATCAAGGCAGTAGGATGGATTGCACACATTGCCGCATTGGCCACAATTCTTGGGGTTGTTCCGCAGATCGAGACACGTGGTACCACATTGGTCCTGGGGACATCCGCAGTTTCCTTTGCGGCTGTAAGAAGAGTCAAGTCAGTAGGTAATCCATTGAACGAAACAGACTGGGAGATTTATATACCATTTTGAATTCGGGCCGCACTGCCTTCCACAGTTGCCACAGTTGGAATCATCAGCGCCGTGGATATCAGCACAGTAGAAGTTACCGTTGCTGAAGACACAGGTGTCGGGAGGGCTGGAACAGAAACAACGGCACATGGCACCCTGGGCCTTATAGAATAGATCGCGACCCTTCTTGGTCGCGGCAACACCGGTGAAATAGCTTGCCTGCGCAGCACATGCCACAGCAGGAATTACCTCCCACCAGCTTTCAAAGGCATCTAGGCATGACAGAATCATCATGGTACCAAAAATGCCATTGCAACTTTGCCACCCAAAGTCCTCGCACTGGTCGTAGCAGAGACTTTGAACTGCACAGGATCCGTCAAAGTCGAACGGGCTGATCGACCAGTACTCGCTGAGGCTTTCACAGAAATTACCTTCACCCAACTGGTACCCTTGCTTCGTCTTGGCTATTAAGCTGGGAGGTGAAGCGGGACACTTCGGGGCAGGACCGTCGGAATATGATCGCTTTACCAGCCTCTCCGCGAGCTCCTGATTGCGCCTGCGGTGCTTAAGGGCGCTTTGTACCTCAGGAATGGTCTTGGGGAGGGCCTTCATGTTGTTGGCGGGCATCGATGCTCTGGTTAAACTGCTTGATGCGCCATTGGTACTCCAGGTATAATTCGAGCCACCTTGAGAGATGCTGATACGACCATAACAGTCGACATTGAATATGGACGTAACGCGATTGTTCTTGTAGCTGGTTCCTGTTGACGCTTTCACGAGAACGATCTTTCCGGTATTGGTCATGGCAACGAACTGGGGTGTTGACCCAGCATATACCAAATCATACACACCTGAAACGCCAGATGGTTGTTGGAGATAGAAGACAGGTAAAGCTAAAGTCTCTGGGTTAAGAATAGGGTCGTTGGCAGCGGGTGCCTGGGTAGGCTGTAGCAAAGGGCCAATCGAATCAGACGCTCTGCTGACCATTGGGATATAATTTTCATTGAGAACGCTCTGCGGAAAATTAGCTCTTGGGTACCTCTTAAGGGCTACTGCATGTGTCAACGTACGAACGGTGCCTGCGCGCCCGGCTGTACCATGCATGGTGCAGTCGGTATGGCTGTTGGTTGGGTGATACCAGTCGTGATAGGCGCTGACCCCATTGCATCAACAGTGGGTAGGGGGAACTCATCGAATGTATACGTCGATATGTATTCGTCATCATCATCTGGAGGCACCTGCGATCCAGTTGGAACATATGGTGGGCTGTCCGTTGTCAGCAAGGTCGGGTCCGGATTCGATGTGAATGTTACTGCTGCTTCGGTGCTGAGCGTGGGAACGGTAACAGTCGGCGTGTATTTCCCCAAAGAAGGACCCTACATGAGCAAAGACTTGTCAACCAAGCTCATCAAGAGATTGCTTGGAAGTCAGCATAATGATTTATGTACTTACAGCATCCGCAACAGTCCGCGGACAGTTAACATCCCAATAGATGTTCAGATTCCTTGAGTCTGGGGCGAAGTCCTTAACCAGGGGCTTCTTGTACAGACGACACTTGCCTCCTGTTGCAATTTCAATTGAGTAGCTTTGGCAACCTGACGTCTTCTTGCATAGCGCAAAGCATGCCTTGAAGCTGTTGTCGGCAAGTTTGCTAGAAGTTGAGAATGGTGGGGTGAAAGGGGACCGGAAGCCGTTGACTTGACACATGTTGGTGCTAGTTGCGCATGCCCTGTCGTAGAAGGTGTTGTTACCGGGCCCGGGGCGTGTCATGATGGTGTTACTATGGCACAGTCAGCCCCGTCACATCTTTTCTTGATCAAGGAATACCTACACGGGCAAGGGGTAGAGACGACAGTAGCCATTCTCTACTGCATAGCTCCTACACTGACCCTGTGATGCGCACAAGGCACCACATTGGGCAGGAACTGCGAAGCTTGCTTGCTGTGTGGTGAAATAAGGTCGAAGGATGCGATTGCCTTTGATCCCGCAGCGTGCTGCTGCCCTCGTGTCCAGAGCATCGTCGCCGGAGACTAAACAGAGCAACGCTGTCAGCGCGAAGAAGATGTTGAAGTTCATGCTGAGAAGAAGAGACGAATGCTTGCCACAGGAATTCTCCTTCCTTGCCTGTGCAATACCACCGGACGTCTGGAGAGGACCATGATGCCTTTTGAATACATCGACCTCCTGCCGAGGTATGGCTCTAGTCTACCTGGCATAGGAAGCGTTTCTCATGAGTGAGATAGCTTCGATGGACTCTGTGGCCAGACGCAGGTCTTCTAGACTCTCTCCAGACTCTCTCCAGACTCTGTTCAGCTTCTGTGGCCGCGAACCAGACACATCTAAAATCCCCATTGGGAATATATCCACCTAGCTGAGTGCAAGCGTCACGCGGAGAACTAATAGTATACTATAGTGTCTTGCTATGAAAAAGGGCATAGCAAGCTGGCCGCCTACGTAGCGAGTCAAGTATGTAGCGAGTCAAGAGGCAACGCTTAAGCCTCTTGTGTATAGCATTTGTCGACACTTTCAGGAATTGGAATTGGGAATGTCTTCCCAAGGACGTTGACGATCATATTGACCCGATAAAAATGATCGAAGACGTAGGGTATTCCAACTAAATCGTCGCTTAATCGACGATGATCTACTCACATAGGTAGCTAGGCATGGATCCGGTTTACTAGTAACGGATACGCCACTTCCATCTCGAAATGAACTATCATGGGATATCTTTAAATTGAAAGCATCAAACATTCCCACACGGCATATCACATATTTCCCTCAACGGTGACGCCTAGAACGATATAGATCTATTCCTCGGCATCGGCATCGTGATTAAACTGTTTTCGCTTAGTAGACCGGACTTCTTACCACAGACGTGTTTTCTTGTTATCGGCAGACTTCCCAAGTTCCAATCGCTGGCCCTAAAAGGTGGGACTCTACTATGTTCAAGCTGTAGATACATAATCTGCAGGGCAATGTTTCTTGCCACGTTAATTTTCGATTACTTATTTTTTTTTGTATGAATGCCGGATTACTCAACAGTTGCTGACTGGAATTTCATATATGAAGAAGATTCGTGTCTAGGTAGATAGATAGACGTTTTAACATGTTCAAGGAGGGCTTGAAGAAACGCGACATCTTCAGAGAGGATTCCGGTCCGCAAGAGCTGGGAGATTTCAGAATTCGATTGATGAAAGAGAAAAAAGATGATTCCGAACCGAGGACCTTCGATGCAGTCAGTGATGGATGGGCTGATCTAGAATCTAGAACATCGTAGTCCTCTGGTACATAAGCCCAAGCACTCCGCAACTCCACAAAGGGAGACGGAAAAAACAGCCCTCTCCACTCCACCAAGTATCTGCTGGGTCTCAGCAAGGCGGCTGTTGCTGAGCTGAGCTGAAAGACGCTCAGGTCGTGGTGATACTTGGGTACCTGTGCATGCACAATACAATACAATACAATACAATACTATGGGCCTGCGGCGCCTAATTACATAGTACTAACTACCTAACCTAGGCATGTACGTGCGGTGGCCAGCCAAGCTTATCTGGTTACATAAATCTGAAAGACGCACATCAAGCCTCGGCAAGGGAACAGACTACTGCATGAAATTTGCGCGATGCTATGTTTCTAGTGTGACCTAATCTTGGGATGAGATCTGGTGGAGCTGTCTATAGATGGTGATGATGTGAGTTGCAATAACGAACATCACAAAGAAATGGTCTTAGAAGAGTTTTCTGGATTAGTTTAGTTCAAGAGTGATTGGGAGTGGGTATGTGGGAATGTCGATCGCGAATGGTGGCGGAAGCATCCATAGAGCCAGCCAGCCGCTAGAGATTTATCCTAATCATAATAGCTACCTACCTAGGTAGGCATTGAGAATCAAAGCTTGCTCTATTGATTTGAATAATTAACTAGCTGGATCTTTTCGAACTGCTCTCTAATTTGGGTTAGCTACTAACCTAGGAGTTGGTAGCTGGTAGGATGGAGAGCCCCCTTTACTATTACAGGCCGACAACTTTGACGAACCTGTAAACGGGCACAAGTCACGTGGGCTGGACATAGAATATTAATTAAGCATAAGTCCGCCATAGTTATATTGCGTAAAGTACCGTTGATGCTGTTGTTGTGGCATTTTGGATTGTCTGTGGGTGTATGACAGGGAGAAATTCGAGGGCCTGGAGGAAGACCAGGACATTGTTATCACTGGTTCATGATGGCATTCTCAACCGCCGTACAGCACCAACACCGTATTGCCCCATGGCAGCTGGAAGGGCCCTGATAAGGTACAAATTCGTGTTTCCGCTCAGGTCCTTTTCCTTTTTCTTTTCCTTTTCCTTTATCGGGATCAATATTTCTTCATGAATATGTTGGCTGGTTGGTTGGTTGGCATTTAGTAATTAATTGAAGGCAAGAATGTCTTGCCTATTAAATAATGCATAAAAAGCACGTGCTTCATTGTGGATAGCCACGGTGGTAGCAGCTCCATAACATTAACTCTTATGTAATCGTTGAATATTCTACTAGGTTAAATGCATACTACTAGTAGTAGTAGACCATTCTTTGCCTTATGTAATTTCAAGCACAGGTACTACTAGTAGTACTGTATACTACGCCGTATAACAGGGAATCTTACAAAAGACGTAACAAAACAACATGATAAACGGATCGATTCACATCGCATAATATTATAGGAAATAAGAAATTTGGTCGGTACCTACCTAGGTATCTGCTATGGCGGATTTCGACCTTGCTTCCACTTTCATCCCTGCTCTTCATAAGCCCTCCGCTTTACTGCCCATCGCCAAACACCACGATAGCTTGCTTTATATCATCGAGAGAAACCCTGTCACAATCGTCATTGGCCAGACCGGTTCCGGCAAGACCACTCAGATACCGCAATTCCTCGAGCATTCAGGATGGTGCTCCGATGGAAAGCTCATTGGCGTTACCCAAGTATGATATCGCTACCTACCTATGTACTACCTACCGATATAGTCATATAAGCTGACAAGTAACTAGCCTAGGCGTGTGGCGGCTACCACTGTGGCTGTTAGAGTAGCCGAGGAGTATGGTTGTGAACTAGGAAAAGAAGTTGGATACTCTATTAGATTCGAGGACGTAACCTCAGCTGCAACTCGGATCAAATTCTTGACCGATGGGCTACTCATCAGGGAGGCCTTGGTCGATCCACTACTATCTCGCTATTCTGTGATCATGGTGGACGAAGCCCATGAGAGATCTATAAGCACAGATATTCTTCTTGGCCTTTTGAAAAAGATACGAAAACGGAGGCCAGAACTACGGATAATCATAAGCAGCGCCACTCTTCAGGCCGAAGATTTCCTTAATTTCTTCTCCGAGCAGCCTACCAATCAAGATGGTTCGGAAGACGAAGAAAACAGAGTCGGCTCAATCATCAGCCTCGAAGGAAGAATGTATCCCGTAGACATTCTCTATCTAGAGTCACCGGCGGAGGACTATGTCGAAAAAGCAATATCCACTGTTTTTGACATCCACACAAAGGAGTCGGATGGTGATATCCTTGTCTTCTTGACAGGTCGTGAAGAGATTGATACTGCTGTCCAAGCTGTTGCAGATCGATCAGCTCAACTTGGTCCCACATCTCAGTCGATCCTAGCCTTGCCACTGTATGCAGGCTTATCAACAGAGCAACAAATGTTCGTGTTTGATAGCCCGCCTGAAAACACTAGGAAAGTCATTTTCTCTACTAATATAGCGGAAGCATCCGTCACCATCGATGGCATTGTTTATGTCATCGATTCAGGCTTCGTGAAGCTGAGAGCTTTTGACCCTAAAACCGGCATCGAGTCACTAACTGCAACTCCTCTCTCGAAAGCCTCAGCATCACAACGGGCAGGGAGAGCTGGCCGTACGAAACCGGGAAAATGTTTTCGGCTTTATACTGAGAAAGCGTACCAGAACTTACCCGACGCGAACATCCCGGAAATCCAAAGATCTAATCTTGCGCCATTCATATTACAACTCAAGGCACTCGGGATCGACAATGTCGTACGCTTCGATTATCTGACGCCTCCACCCGCAGAACTAATGATGAAAGCAACGGAGCTACTCTTCTCTCTAGGTGCTTTAGATGAGTATGCCAAACTCACAAAGCCCCTGGGTATGAGGATGGCAGAGCTTGCGGTTGAGCCAATGATGGCAAAGACTCTGCTGACGGCCCCCACGTTTGGCTGCCTAAGTGAAATACTAACTATAGCAGCGATGGCAAGCCTTGGCGGTTCGATATGGATTCAGAGGGACGGAGAGAAAAAGCAGATGGAGTCGGTACGACGAAAATTTGCAGCTGAAGAAGGTGATCACTTGACGCTATTGAATGTCTACCAAGCATTCGTAACCAAGGGCAAGAAAGAGTCTAAATTTTGCCATGAAAACCACCTGAATTTTAAAGCTATGACCCGTGCGGTGAGTATCAGAGCCCAACTGAAACGGTACCTAGAACGGTTTGGGATAGCTGTAGACGAGAGCCTCAAACCGTCGGCAGTTAACAGGGGAGAGCAAATTCGAAGATGCCTTACAACTGGATATTTTGCACATGCCGCAAGAATGCAACCGGACGGAAGCTTCCGTAACGTTGAGGGTGGAACGACGCTCTATGCACATCCTAGTTCTCTGATGTTTAATCGCAAGGCTGATTGGGTCATATTCCACGAGGTGATGGAAACTGGCAGCAAGATTTTCATTCGCGATATCAGCAAAATCGAGAAAGGGTGGCTCTTAGAATATGCGTCAGGATATTATCAGCTTAAGTCGTGAGAAACGTCAATTTATCGGCCTTGTTTCGGCGACAAGGCCCCATCTGATGGCTGGCGATGGGGTCAGTTCTTCTAGAACCATTTATCTACGCAGTAACTAATAGTTATTACCCCCTATTCATCTCTATATAATACCTACAATTACTAGGTACCTTGTCAAGGGAAATTTGTTAAAGAGATGCAACCATGAAACAACATCGATGCTAGACCTTTGAGGCTGAGACGTGAGTATTGGGTTAGCCAATGGAACCAATGGGAAGGGCTTGTCTAGGAGAGAAACAAACTTGGCTCTACGGTTAGCCCTTAGCGCACCCTGTACGAAATACTTCTAATGCTACGTAAAGCTTGGAATCAAGCATGTAATACCAAGACTGCTAGTTAGATCCGTCCCGATTACTGTGTCTCCCCCTAGGTCAGGGGCGTATGGATGCCGTACGGTGTAGTGCGTACGTGTGTACTAACTATGTAGGATCGGGGACTGCAGAATCAGTGCAGATGTTGTCGTACGTATACTTGAACCTATTTATAAAGTTTACAACAAAGTACAGCATGGCTTCCTTGACTTACGAATCCTGCTACGTTTCTTCTTTTTCTTTTTTTGGTAGAGAGTAGTTATGTCCATATAACAACTGGGTATGGGTATGCTTGATCAACGGTAAGATGAAATATTAATTATTAAACCATAATCTGTGGAAGGACAGGAAAGGAGAAAATTATTATTATGGAAATAACGAAAATAATGTCGGGTGTAAAGGCTTGAATTTGTTGCCTGCGATAATGGTATGTATGTAAGTGAACGGTCTGACAGCAGTGAAGAAGTGAAGAGTGAACAGGTTGAAGCAAGCATCGTAGCCAAGATTAATACCTAGAACAGAAAAAGGGGGCTAGATCAACTAAACTACTTTGGGACTGGATCTACCAGCTTATGCTACCCATGCAACCCATGATCCTTATCAGCGTCTTCATAATCACCTATGATTGGATCACCTATGATTGGATAAATACCATTGTTCCTGCATTAGTGGATCCTCCCTAAGTCGATGTGAGGGACGTAACCTAGGGTAAACAGTTACACAGCTAACTAACTTGTAATGAATACTGGGCCTTGATTTAGTACTGTGATATGGATACTAGGTACCATGTAGGGTAAATAGGTACCTAGGTACTACGCCGTAGGTACCCAGGTAGGTACCTAGTGGAGAAGACAGTGCCTTCAATTAGGGTTGCGTAAAATGCGCACTTTAAAATAAAATGCGCGTATTATTCAAAACCCCTGTAAAATGCGTATTATACCGTATTATTCAAAAGTGGGTCACGTGACCACCCTAACCTAATACACTTAATATATACCTACATACAATAAAGCTTTACACTCTGAAATAATATGGAAGATTTACAAGATTTGAAGCTAAATTATATGGCCATTTTTGCCATTTTCCCTATGCAATGGGGCGCCGATTTGATCATGCTCTTCGAACACATTATGATCAAAGTCCAACGCAATCTTCAAAGCTTAGTTCAGCCGGATCACATAAACGACATATCGAGATTTACGCGCCTTAGATACCTGTAAAATTAGGTAATATCACCAAATTTTGGTGCAAAATTTACTCCACTTATGTACCGATCCACTTTTCCATTTCGGACCCACTGCATTTTATAATAAAATGCAATATTATATTTGAATAATACGCGAATAATACGTTTGAATAATACATTCCGCAACCCTACCTTCAATGATCAATTTGGTTGGAATTCTTCCCTATTCTGAGCTAGTGTATCGTAGCCTCCACAACCCCTTCATTCATTTCCGCTATATTAATTTCATTCGCTCATTGGCTTAACCCTGGTCCATTGAGAAATGGTACCTTGTCGTTTGTACTCTCGGTCCATCATCTTTTGTCCCTTTCGATGGTTTCTCAATTGACTCTTTCTTTCTTTCACACCCTCAATCTACCGTCTCATTACAGGAGTTCGACGACAATCGGTCAACTGACCTAACTGCCTGCCAGCGGGCGTGCCATTCATTAAATCCATCCAGCTAACCTCAAGTCACTCTTTTGTGCACCAACCACAAGTCACTCATTTTGGGCCTGCTGTTAATCAAGTGTTGGTATCGAAACATCGGTTCGTTAAATAATACTGCTCGGTCCTAGCATCGAAATTGAGGAACCATTGCCCTACAACACCCATTTCACGACCTCGACGAGTCACTATCTAACGGCGTGGCATGAACAAAGTTCGGATTCGGGGTTGATCGAGTACGGCCTAGCAATCTAATTATATTTCTTTTTGAGAAACGATATAGGCTTTACGAGAAGGATTTCAGACCACGAGGTGGAAACGATGACGGGGCGCTATTTACATGTTCGTGGCCACGGACATGGCCATCACCCTCTCCATTCGAGGGATCTTCCCTCAGATGCTGAAGGACATAACCCGCTGGAGGCCAGTGGAGTGATAGGTGACCATGGCACAGGGGATGCGAATGCTATAGGACGAATTACGGCGAGAGAGAATAATCTTGATGAGAAGCCAGTTGGCAGCACGATGACCATTCCCATCATTCTAGGTATTTGGTAAGTAATTGATTTATAAATTGGTTTAATTTCACAATGACTGACACAATGTAGCATTCCTCTAGGCCTTGCGCTTCTAGTTTTGGTGTACCTACACCATCGAACTACCGTTAGACAAAGGAAAGAAGATGAGACAGACAAGTACAAGTCTATGGACTTCGGTCTTGACGGCCCTGTACCTGGAAAGGGAAATAAGAGACGGAGCGCTATGTTCGGAAAGGAGAAGGACCCGGGCCACAAAGTCCAGCTTTCCATGGACTTGAACCTTTCCAGCCCCTATCTACTCCCGCCAAATATGCAAAACTCACGGGAGTCCCTGAACTCCTTGGCGAAGAGCCTACACCAAAATGAGGACCCGTACCGGCCTGTCACCCAGTATGCTGGTAGTGATGTTGCCTCGATGCGCTCTATTCCAAAGGGAGCTAACCGAAACTCTTCGGGACGTTCCAGCCTTGGTCGTGACTCCACACAGAATCGACCTTCCATCGCTATCAGCGAATACCCGCCCCGCCAGAAGTCTCTCCCAACGTCTCCTCTCTCGCCGTTACCTCCTGCAGCGCTGCCCCCGCAGCTTCGTGAGCCAGTTGGAGCACTGCCTCCTCTACCAGTGAAGAATGAATTCCGATTTGTTGACGATTCCACGGCTATGCCCCAAGTCCCTGAAATTCAGGAACCAGTACCCGCGGCGCTGATTTCCCCTTCCAGCTCTCGACCCATCTCAAATGAATCAGCCAGATCGAACGGTGGGCGCGGAGATTCTATGACCCAAGGTTTAGGTATTATGGACACCCGTGCTTCCCAGAGCTCTGTGGGTTCGTCGCCCAGGAACACGGGCCTACGTTCCGCCAATACACCACCGCCGAGAAATGAATCACTTCCAGCTGGCCCAGACTTTGCGATCGAATTCAATAACTACGCAGCGAATATCCAGCTCAACGGTCCAGACCATGAGGCAGCTGGTAATGCTGGTCAACAAGAGCATCCACTATCAGCTGGGTTAGGTGTACCTGCGCAAGATAACAGGAGGTTATCCGTCGGTTTACGTCCTCTACCACCTGACGATTTTCTCGAGTCAGAAGATCCCGAGTTTAGAGCCAACAGAATTCGTTCTTTCTACAAAGAATACTTTGAGGAGACGAAGACAGACTCGGGGAAGCCCCCGCCTCTTCCTCAAAACGCAGCTTACCACAACGACGACAGCAACTACCTCGGTGACACTGCCTTTTTTGACCCTGACACGAATGCATTTGTTATGCCCTACGCGCAACCTGTTACTCGCCGTGCAATGACCCCGCCTCCACGCAACAGACGACCAATGCCTGGCCCCGGTCCCCATGGACCTAATGGACATGGTCCTCACGGAAGCATGGGCATGCCAGGTGGACCGCGTGGAAGATCTAGGGCAGGATCAACATCAAGCCACAGATGGGCACCGATGAGCCCGCGTCCGGATTCTTCTGCCTCCAACCCGCGTATGCCAAATGGAAAACCACGAAAACCGATGCCCCCTCCTGCTCCTCTCAGCACACTGCCTACGCCCTCTAAGCTGAGAGATGACTCGTTTGCTATCCTGGGAGCTATCGACTTCGCCCCCCCTCCTACTTTCAAGGATGTAGCAGCTGGTCGGTCACAGAGCCCCGTTGGCGAGCGTAAACCATACGTCTTAAACACTCCCATCCACTCACCGTTAGTGAGTGCCTTTGACGACACTCCAGCGTTGCCCAGCCCGTAAGTAAATCCCCTATTATTATGATATGGCCAATCTATCTAACATGAACCGACAGACATCTTCTACGTAAATCAGGAACGTTTACTGCCCTTGACTTCGCCCCCCCGCGTAGGTTCAAGGACCCCGACACGATGAGTGACGCGGGCAGTGTGGTTAGCAACCATAGCGGGATATCATCATCTAACCTCAGCGCTATCCGTGGAGGTGCTGGAAGAGTCAGTCGCTTGCCTGGTGATACCGTCTTCACCCAGGCTTCTATGGGCGATACGCTCAAGCCGTCGTGGGCGATGAGAGACTAAAGCAAGGCTGTCAGCCTAGAGTTGGACACATAGGAACTTCGAATGTGGCAAGGCCATCCGTCTTGTATATCTGAGCAATATATACCGTTAATGCCCTCTTTTTTTCTTCGATTCCGGAGTAGGTAGTCTGGAAACCAATCATGACCGGCGAAGCATTTGGCCTTGCATGGCGGCTTTTATATAGAAGGATCGGTGCAGTATCTACCGTCAGGTAACTAGTGTTTTTTGCTTTAGGTTTTGTCAATATATCCATTGGTTTGCCTTGGCATTGGTGACAACTGTTATAGTTAAACTCACTGTCTTGGTTTTCTCGGTGCCTGTAGCGTGGCATTGTCGCACATCCAACTCCCGTGTCCTTTGTATAGCAGCAACTTTCTAGCCTTACATAAGTGGGAGAGGAGGTTTTGTAAGAGCGTTGTTAATATTTCCTGTACGTATGTGTATGTACCTACCATGGCATGCGCTGATATTCATGTTTTATTAGTAGTCTTTGTAATTGTTTAATCTTATAGATATATTTCATTCTCCTAACTATGTATGTGCTACTTATGTAGCTAGCTAGCTGCTATGTATGTAAGTACGGCATAGTACAGTATGAACGCCAATTGAGACACCGAGTCTTCAGCTGGTGAGTAGCAAGGTACAGCAGGACGCTCTCTCTCCCCGCATACAACGGTAGATCCGGGGGTTCGACTGTTTAGTTAGACGGCAAACATGGGTTTCCAACGCAGTAGTTATATGTACTACTATAGGTATGGTAGCCTAGGTTGGTACAAGGTTTTTGTACGCGATTAGGGTTCTGTCTCGTCCGCTGCTCGGCCCGGGTCGGATCGAAGGCCTTTTTGGGAAGTCTCACATCAAGGAACGGGCAAGATCAGGCCAATCAGAGTTGTTGCTTGTTGAAATTGAAGTTTGGATATGACGTTTGGTCGGGAACTATGAGTTTAATGTTACTTCAAGTCTTCAATGTTTGCGTGTTGTCCTAGGTTAGGTATGTACGTAAGGGACATAAGACTATAAGTATCGTCTGATGAGTTGTACATATGCCATGCAGGTATGTAAGGGTTTTTTGTATGTAACATGTAGAGGTGCCTGTTCATATGTATATCACGTCAGACGAGGTGTCAAGCTCTTATATTATATTTACATATGGACGAACCTCCAAGGCTGTGTTTGTGGCAATGATCTATTTAAGCAATAGATAGGGAAGTACCTAGGTATTCTTTACGAGCCGTCAAGTGAGAATACCGGACATTTATACGACGTACTGTACATAACTACCGGTTATTTGATTAAAAACAGGTTACTCAAAAGCAAGTATATACATATGTATATAGAGAGTAAGAAGCAGGCCAATGATGAGAACTAGCTTATACGATTGGCTATCTGCAAGTTAAAAATCGTGCTTAGTAGGTAGTGTATGTAGGTACGTATGTACTACTTTCTGACATGCCGGATTACTAGCATCGATGTTGAGTACTTAACCTAGGCAATCTCTACCTAGTTTGAGGTTTATATGGAAAAGACTTATCATAGGGCCGGCTTGGGTGAAGTTCGTTGGACTAAGGGATACGGGGCAATTGAACTTGAGCAAGTCGTGAGGTTTGCGCAAGTGCTATTATGTAGCTAGCTGGAGCAAATGATGGGGCCGTTACCTATTGCTAGACCAAACAACTGCCGCCAGGTGAAGTATTGTACCTAAACTTAGCAGGTAACGTTTGATCGGGTGTGAATAGGTACTGACATCACGTCAGAGAATCGATGTGTACCTTGCCTCAGCAACTCAAACAGGCAGATCTTGCTCTTCAGAATCCACCGAAAATTCGTATCGGAGACGTAGCTTGTGGCCGGCGCCTATGTACCTCATACCTACCTTACCTAGTCAGGGGGTTAGAGGCAGAACGATCAGAAGTCATTTCGTCATAAATAATATTAGGCCATGTTCTATATTTTATATAGGCAAATCGTAACATTCGTTTAATGTTGAAGAATGAACTGCACATGCTAGGTACATATATATGTAGTTGATAAGTAATAGGTAGTAGGTACTGATACCTATGCATCGCAGTGTATTCCTTCCGTATTAATACCTGCCTAATTGTTCAGTAACTTCAGTTCTCTCGGCTCAATAGTTGTCAAGCCACAACCGTAAGGGGCACCGGAGACAAATGCAGGAGGAACAACGCTAGGTAAGTTAAGGCATCTCATGTCCTTAGCTGCTTTTCAAGTTGTGTGTGATACGACGGGAAGTATCTTAAATCACTAAAAATCATCATAGCGCCCGGGGTGTACCTGGTGTACATATGTAGTTAAACTCAATTCGACGAGTCTGTCCGGGTTGCCCGCCCGTATTGTTTGTTATGAATATGTACCTACCTACTCTACCTACTGCTAGTAGTACGAATTAACATATTGACTTACATACATGCATGTACATGAGATTGAAAATTCCAACTTTTTGTGTTTTTTGTTCTGTTTTTTTTTTGTTCAACCCATCTATCTATCACCAGCTCTTTCACCTTTTCCTTCCATTTTGTATTTTCCCCTCCTTGTGTTTTGTTTCTAACCGACAAGTTCAAATTGCCAACTCTTATGACTGACTGACCGACTTATAATATTTATTCCTTTTTTGCTCTCTTCTTATCATTGTCAGAAACACTTACTATTACCATACTTCCGACTCCGAGACTTGTCTCAACTACTTGGTACTAGGCTAAACCTCCTTGGACCCGCGGCTTTGCAGCATTCCTGCCCTATCATTTTCATTCTGTCGGCATAAGCTGAGAGAAGAGAAAAAAGGCACAAGCGGGAAATGAAAAAACCAGAGACTCAGCCACGCCTTATCTAGGAGAATCCCTGTACCTGTACTTCGTATGCATTAGCCTATTCGCTCATTCAATCATTCAATCGCTAGAATTCCTTCTGGCCCTTGTCAAGGCTTGTCTAACCAGTTGGGTACACCCAACCAGACTTGTACTGACCTAGTACTGACAGTACTGTACTTCATTTTTTCCCATTGTTCTCGTCCATCCTCCTGGCGTCTTCCCTTTCGCGTCTCAAGTCAGCACAATTCGAAACAGTAGCCAAGCAAGTTCAATTGTCGACGCCCTTTCGATACTTGCTACTCTCTCATCCAGTCTTCTTTAATCTGTCGATTGGTTTACTTGACTAGCAGGTTTTGATTATTATAGGTACGTTTCTGAATGAATGAATGAAAGAAAGGCTGGATGAATGAATGAATGACGATGATGATCTTATTCCGTGGAGCCCGCACAATCGATGGCATTTAATGCACATTGACAAGTTGTGTTGTGGCGAACTTGCGACACATTCCATGATACCCTCATTGGACCACTCAGCTCCAGTGCCCCATCCAGCCGGATAGCGCTCCGCTTTGTTTGGACCAAACTTACTTACATTCCCTTCAACTGATCTCTCACGCTTTCATCGCTACCAAGTCTTCGCCATTCGTTATACTAACATGGCGCCTTACAGGGACATATTGGGATTCAACGTCGCGAGACAATTCACCATGTCTACCAACGCGACGAGTACGGATTCCGTACTGGAGACCACTTCAAATCCGGCCACTGAGCCTACGTCGGTGTCTACACCTACAAGTGTTTCGTCTGACACCTCTACTACCCTACCCGCAACCACTCCTACCACCACTTCCGATCCCCCAACGACTACATCCACCACATCGGAAGCTTCCACTACCACTAGTGTACCTACTACTCCCACCACCACTAGCACCACCAGTGAAGCACAACCCTCGACACCTACCTCGACTTCTACAAGCACCACTGCCCCAGCTACAACACCTACTTCAACCACCATAACAACACCATTACCAACCTCTAGTGTTGTGATCACCACAACACAGGTTAGCACGGGAGTTGATGGAAGCACTCAGTTTGTTACGGTCACCTCGACCCAGATGGCAACCAACACAGCCCAGTCAACCACTGCAGCTACCTCTACGGATTCGAATGGTGCTATCATAACGTCAAAGCCTACCCAGACAGGTACCATATCGGAACCCGCTAAAATCGCTGTAGCTGTTGTCGTTCCCATAGCCGCCGTGACACTTCTGGTTATTGGCGGTCTTTTCTGGTGGAGGAAACGCAAGGCACGCAAGGATGCCGAGGAGGAGAGGAGGAAAGAGGTTGAAGATTATAGCTATAATCCGAACAACGACCCTACTCTGCCAGACATGGGAGCTGCTGGCGGCGCTGCAGGAACGTACGAGATGAAGGAAGACGGATCTACGGGTTATCGTGGATGGGGTTCAACTACTCTCGGTGGTTCAACAGGAAGGAAAGCTTCGACTACAATGTCTGGCGGTGCAGCAGGTGTGGCTTACTCGGATGCAACCTCACCTACTAGAGGAAACTTTTCTGACACTAGATCAGGAGATGGGTTAATCAATGAGGGTTCCCAACCACCCGAGGGCGAGATTCTGGGAGCCATGGGTCCAGCCGCCACCGACAACCGCGGCAATGAAACCGTTCACCGCGGGCCGTCGAATGCCTCATCGTCATATAGTGCTGCAGGCCGATCTGATGGCTCTGGTGACGCTGGATCCTACGGCGCACCCGCTTACCTCGACCAATATGGTGGTAATAATCCGTATGCTGACGGCGCATATGACCAACAACGCCCAGGTGAGGCTGGGGGGCAGCCTGTCATCCGAGATAACCCAGCCCGCCGCAATACTCGTATCGAGAACCCATCGCACTATCCTCAGCAAACCGCCGGTATCTCGCAGAACTTTTAGTCTCACCGACCCTGGGTTCATTTCCCTGTTTCCGTTCAGATGATACCCGAACTTGGACGCGACGTAACTTCGGCCACGCAACGTTTTTCATGTATTTTTTTTCTTGGTGCTACGCGTCCTCTTGGATTTCAAAAATGGCGCCCGGCGGTTCTTGCATTATAGTTTTACTATCGTTCATAAGCGTAATCTTTCAACAAACAAATTTAGTCGAAACATCTTAGATCTCTCCCTTTTTTTTTCCTATTTGGGAGATATTAATTCGCCCAATCACCACAAACAGTCGAGGGATCACGCCAACTGATGTGTATATATGGTGCGTCAGAAGCGGTGTCTAGCGTTTGGGATTTTCAATTCACCTTCGCGTTTTAACCTTTATGGCCTAATATCCAATTGCATTGAGTGGAATATGACGGCATTGCTGGAAATCTTTCCTAAAAAGTCATCGTATTCCACGCAAGGAGGAGGAGCACTGGTACTGGTGATCTAGTCCGAGGATTCAAAGAAGCACTATGATCAAAAAGAGGGATTGATAAGAGGTAGTCATGGATGGATGGATGGCTGACTGGTAGGCTTGGAAGCGCGCGGCTACCTACTATTGGGGGCTCAGTGGATGTAGGACGGGATACACAAAGACTTGAACAGTCCAAAACATCTCGGAGGAGCGAAATAAAATTCCGGAGCACATAGTGTTCTAGGTTGATAATAATAAAAAGGATGGCCGCGAAAAGCGGTTGTCTGTGATAAATGGAAACATCTGTCCACGTTTCAACATGTTGATTTTTTACATTCTGCATTTTAGGTAACTATGGCTTAGGGATGGCTTCAAGTTTGGAGGTTTCAGTCAGGTTTATTAATACTATAAGGTACATATGTACCCTCAACAGCTTGAAAGGGGGATTTTGCTCTCCACGCTCTCCACGTAACTAACTATATCCACGTACGTAGTGTAGTGTAGTGTAGTTCGTACAATATCCACAGACTGTACGAAGTATATCCACACCATACTACTAATCGTCTACTATGGTAATATCCACAATGCTGTGAAGATCTACAGATAAGTTTACCTGGTATGTATTTAGTAGGGAACGGATATTAATATGATATGATTAAACCGGTATCTCCACATCCTTGCTGCAATCTTAACCTTGGCAATATTTGATTTCAATTTACCTACTTTTTAAGATTTATGATAACCATGATTTTCTGCCATGCTTTGAGCATTTAAGTTAAGGTTATTTATTTATCTGTGACTTGGGGGAACGAGGGACGGTATTTCTACGGTACATACACTGTACCTAGCATGATGTATCATATTGATGTACTACTAGCATGTACCCGATGTACATAGTTGGCTCCACGTGGCAACAGCTGGCAGATGCTTTTTCAATCTGTACTACTAATAAGGTACCAAATTATTTGACATCTGGAACTTCCAAGTTCCCAAGTTCCGTTTTGCTACATGTACGCCCGATACCTAATCTCCTCCTATACCACATGTACGTCTAATTTTCACCGCACACCAACAGCAGCATGTCATCAAGGTACGTTATGGATCTCTTCCCATTCAGACTATTTCCTTGGCTTGGGAAGAAGTCATATACATATACGACAGTTAGTTAGTTCTATAGCTTACTGGCGGGCACCACCGGCGAGCCGATGATGCGAATTTCTTGGGACGACTGGGGACTCTCATTTACGAATCGCGGTCGCCGCGCGGCTAATAGGGAATACGAAAGGAAAGGAGGAGACAAGCTTACTTGGGAGGAGGTTAGGGTTGAAAGGACACGAAATACCAGAATCTTTTCTTGCGACTTTTGCTTTGGAATCATGCTATCTATCAGAAGGGCTTCTTGCTGACGACAAGGGTTTTTCTTTATTTCGCGATTACAGGTTTAGCCACTCGACGCTCCACCAGCGGGATTCGCGCAGCGCCCTGTTCGAGGGATACAATGGCAGCGGCAGAAACAGCGCTGATCCGGCGAGACGGCCGAGCCCGGCACCGGGTGGTTATGGCTATGGATACTCGGGGGGCAGCAGCAACGGCTCGGGGCTAGGCGGTACCCATCTAGGTGTGGATAACAGAGCGAGCTACAGACCGGCAACACCGAATTCGAGGTACGAACTTATCCGTCACATCCCGCTCCCCTCCCCCCGGGGAAATACGGAGGAATAGGGAATGCTAATGGCAATGGGTGTGATTATTGTAGGGGCCAGTACAGCGACGCGGTGCTCAACGAGCTAGAAAGCCAGAATGACCAGCACGTCGAGGGCATCCTAGGCAAAGTCAAGGTTCTGAAAGATGTGAGTTTTATACTACTGCTGATGCTGCGCGTAAGTTCCGAAGGGGAAAGGGGGGTTTGCCAAGGATTTCCTTTTTCTCTTTGGAAGAAGAAGAAGCAAAAACATCATCAGACTTGTCTAGACCTCTCTTTACTCCTTTTAAGCAATTTAGCTTAGAACATAAACGACGATGCTAATGTGTTATGCGCACCATCCAAGATGACGACGGCGATCGGCGAAGAGATCAGGGAGTCGTCGGCGCTGGCGGAGAAGATGAACGACACCTTCGACTCGACCCGGTTACGGCTGCGCGGCACCATGAACCGTATGCTCCTCATGGCCGAGCGCACCGGCGTCGGCTGGAAGGTCTGGCTCATTTTCTTCGCTGCCGTCATTTTCGTATTCCTCTACGTCTGGCTCTTCTGATCTACTTCCCTCCTCCTCCTACCTCCTCACACACGTCTCTCACTTCCTATGTGAGGGACGATGGATAAAATACCCCCCAACGACCGGCCTACCTACCTACCTAGATACATTACTACAGCAACCGATTAATATACAACCAACACAGCGAAAAAAAAGCATTCTGAATACATGAGCACCTACGGAGAAGCTTGCAGAGAGAGAGAGAGAGAGAGAGAACAGCGAGTAAGCCACACGATGGAATATCAAAAAGAAGAAGGGGGGCGTTTACGGCGTGATGGTTGGTTGGTTGGTTGCATGCGAATGGTATTATTCCCACCTGCCTACCTACATATGTAGCAAAACCAGAACCAGACAAACGAACCCCCGTTTCCGAATCCTCAGGTAGGAGCCCAGCTAGCTAAGGTGCCTGCCTGCCTGCCTTACCTACCTACATCCTAGGTATTAGGCAAAGTGAAAGGGGAAGAAAGAAAGAAAACTACCTACTTCGCGAGGATTAGGACGAGGGGTCACGCGTATGTAACATAACATACATGCATTATAGTACAGTACAGAGTATATACCTAGTACCTACTTACCTACATAGTACTAGGTAGTCATCTACGGACGGATCACCACGAACTTGGCACTTTGATTCAAGGTTGTTACCAGTTACCAAGACAAGAAAGATTAGGAACTTGGTTTTGGTTTTTTTTTATTTATATTATTATCATAATCAACATGTAGTGTCATCATAATCCATGTCTTCGTTTTCATTGCCATTGCCATTGCCATTGCCATTGCCATTGTCCCGTATTTTGTTAAAAAACAAGTAACTCAGCGACACCGGCCGGCGAGCTATGTATGTATGTATGATAATCGATCGGGTTTTCTTTGTCCATGGATTAGGACTAGGATTGGGGGGCGAGATGATTATGTAGTGTAGGTATGGTGAAGAGAGGGATAGATAGCAAAAGGGGGTATCTCAAGGTCAAGCAAAGCAAGGTACCTATGTACGAATAGTGATGCAAGCGACGCAAGTAAATGAATGAGGAAGGGAGGGGTTTCTTCAGCTCCAAATCTGTATCTTTAACCTAACGGCCACGACGCGCATGGCCGTGGCTGTGGTGGCGGTTCTGTCGATGGAGTTCTGGGCTGCTCTCGAGCATGCTGCTTTCGTCGTGGGACAGGATGTCGCTGATGGCAAGGCTGTTGCGCGTCGCGTCGCTTCGCGCGAGGCTGCTTCGGTATCGGTGTTGCGGGTGTAGCTGCGGCTGTGACGGTTGTGATGGCCGGGCCGCGAAGCTCAACTCGCCTTGGTCCGCCTCGCTGCTGGTCACATCATCTTCCGAGTCCGTATGTTCATAGCCATCGTCCTCGGCTTCCGGGATGTCGTCGTCAAGGTCAGCATCCATGTCCAGGCCACCGTCTCCATCATCTCCGTGGCCGACCACGTCATCTTCCTGGATCATCTGGGCCTGGTGTTCTTCGTCTACTTCGTCATCGGCGCCGTAGTAGCTGGGGCCGTCTGGACCGCGGGCCAGTGATTCGCGGAACGCATCATCCGCAGCTCTCATCCGCTGTGCCATGAGCTCCCGCTGTGTACGCTCCGCTCTTTGTTCTGGGCCATCGTCTTCTTCCTCATCCTCGTCCTCGTCTTCGTCAGAATCTTCATCCTCCTCTTCATCATCCTCGTCGGAGCCCATGCCGAAGTCAGCAGCGTCCGCCTCAGGGATATCCTCGTCTAGATCTCTCGCCCCGTCCAGCTGCACATCATCCATTACACCATCTTCGTCGCCGCCCTCCGGCGCATTGAGCCCGCCATCTACGCCGCCAGCCCCCGCGGCCTCTGCCTCGGCAAGCTCCTGGGCAAGCTGCTCGCGGCGCATGGCCTCCTGGTGCTCTTCGACCTCGCGGCGTTCCTCGCGCAGCTGGTGTAAGGTCTTGGAGACACCGGGGGGCTTCAGCCACGTGCTGCCGAAGTTGACCACGTTCTGGCGGCGGCGTTCCATGTTCAGCTCGTCGGCGCGCAGGCGCGCGAGCTGGGTCCGTTCCAAGAGGTGGGCGCCCCGCCGATGGTGATAGCCATTAGCCCCATTAGGCGAGACGCCGCCAGGTCCATCTTGCGGCTGTTGGTGTTGCTGTTGATGTTGCTGAGATGTGGGGTATCCGTCGGGGGCGTAGGGCGGGGCCGAGGCGAGCGGGTTACGCGAGGAAGTGTACCATAGTGAATGAGACTGTTTCCATTTTATGATCAGCTTTGCGTGGGGGTTAGAGGTAGAGGTAGGAGGAAAGGGGCACATACGTCGCGGGGTGATAGGTCTGGAAGGAGAGACAACATGGTGATAGCTTGACTCGGGAACAGATTGTCCCGAGCTAATTGCAATTGATGGCTAATAGGGATGGCGGGTTGGAGGACATCATTCGCAATGGAAGAGTTGGAGAAAGTAACTCAAGTTCCAGGGACCAGGGATTAGTTGTCTAGTGGTTATAGTGACCTCAGTTGTGGAGATCTGGGGATGTATTGTACATAGTCAAGACTGTCAAGGGAGGGTGAAGGTGTTTTCAATGTTGGGGTTTCAATGTTTCAATTGTTTGTTTTTGAGCCTCCAAACATTTAACTAATGACAATCGATTATGACTAAGCATTTCTATACCTACATAGGGGGGTCACTGAGGACCCACAACCTCGTGGCCCGTGGGTAAGGCAGTTGATAGTTATTGCAATGCACTTACCTGAGTCCTGACAGGTCCTGACTACTTTTTGTCACTTACTGAAATATGCGTCCAGGTGTTGATGGTTGAAAACATACCTAGGTAGGTATGTATCAGTCTATCAATCTATGACAGGCGTTGGCAGCAAGTCAAGTGCTTCTTGCATCCTGCGCTACCACTTTGTTCATCAATACTCTTCTCGTCAACTAATATATGTGCTGTCCCTCCGAATTCTCTTCATAAGCCATGAGCGAGTTGGGCTGTCAATAACTTATTCTCCTCTTTTATTCTCGTTTTCGTTTCTCCCATGCCGTTGCGCGACAGCCCCAGCCAACAAGTATGTAACCTTAGCTAGATGCTATGTAGGTACTATGTAACGAGTTATGAGTCCAGTCAGGTTGCCCATAGGTACGCTTACAGAGAAAAAAAAAAAAAAAAAAAAAAGGCAAACTATGTTTTCATCAAGTAATGAAAATACCCTGATATCCTACTAAGGCAGGAAATCGTACGGTATGATGTTCGGAGGGTTTAGCGGTGGAAAGAACCGCGGCAGGTAAAAAAGGAAAAGGCACAAGTCGTTAACCCCCATATAACTAACTGCTTGTATATTTCGGCTGTGCCTCGTAATAGTGTTTATAGACTAAGGGAGTTTTCGGGAAATATCGGAATAAAGAAGTGGCAAGGTGGAAACATTTTGTGCTTTCAACGGCGATGAAGGCGTCCGGTTTTTAAAATGTCGTACAGAGTCTACAGACATATGTAACTACTAGGTATGTAGTGCACGTGCTACTAGGGTTCCCAGAGCCCGCCCGTCAGCCCTCACTAATTAAGTCCGCCCCGCTCTCCTCCGCGGACAGCAGGGAATAGAATAGGTACCTACCAGGTCCTACCTAGGTAGGTAGCAGGGTTCTCAAGGCTTAATTCACCATGGCCGATCTCGGTTGATCCTGCCACTTTTCCCCGTCGAGTGTATATATCCACGGATGTAATAAGTATGTACATAGTAGGTAATAGATGGTATTCATCTATGAGTATATGAGTATAGTCTGTACTATGAATATATGGTGTATGGTGTATGGCACAACAACTCCTACGCTCATCTTACAAAGCCAACCTTGATACCGCGTGGCCTTCCGTCCTCTAAACGAGAGAATGGGGTTTTTTGTTCATATAAGTAGTATACATACATAGTATGTAAGTATGTACTAGGTAGTCAACACTACTATTATATCTACTACTACTACATATTAGGAATACATATATAATGACCACATTAGTACTAGCTGAGATCTAGATGGCCTGCTAGTTAGGGGTCTCCGGCCTGCTTAGCACTAGCGGCTCGCAGGAGAGCTATACTACCTATGTATGTATGAAAATACTACATAAACCCAGGGTAAGGTATGTACTAGTGCATAGATAACATTCATCTTATAAACAAGTGCTTTGATTGGCGGGTTGCTTATTTGCTGTTGTCGATTCTTTTACTGCTAATATTCGAACCTAGAACTCTCCCAACCGAGGAAAAATACTACCTAGTAGCCGTGGTATGGAAGATCACGCGGCCAGAACCTCTAACACCGGGCTATTAATGTATGATCCCAGTCACATCTTGGGTTACTTATACATATGTATGTTACTCTACCGCGTATTATAGTACATATGTATGTAGTTCCATGTCTGTGTGCTTGAAGTTGAATGCAGGTTCGCCGTGCATAATAACACCGAGTAAGATTAAAGACTGTCCCCAGACTAACAAACAAAGCATTTCACAACTTCTTACTGGCTGACTATCTTAAATGGGTCGTATGTAGTATACCTGAACACCCAGTAGTCACCTGGGGCCTGGGCGACCTTTTGTAATAGCATGTAGTTATTTCTAGAACTTTCAATTGACCAGCTAACATGGGAATGATTATAAGAATTGATGGTAATAAATACCTAGTTATTTGACACTTGTCAGCTCAGGCATGTTTAGTATCTAAGTATGTAGTCTGCGGGATATAATGGTAGTTATTACCATTTCAGACGACAAAGGTAGGTAGGTAGGTACATATGTACATACCCCCTACGTGAGACAACCAAAAACCAGAGCATCTTGGTTGAACCCCCCCGTGTCCCCTCATTCTTTGGTTCTCCAAACGTATTTGCCCGTTCGAGAGTTTTAGACCCCACGCTGCCACGCAGCAAGCCCCAAATGGAGGCTCTCCCTAAGCGGGTTCGTTCACATCGGACCCTACCACCTTGCCTACCTAGGTACCTACTATGTAGGTAGGCTTGCTACCCTGGCACATTGATGCTGCATACGACTACATGCATACCTACATACCTACATACATACACCACATGCCTACATACGTACAGTATCGTAGTGTTCCGCAGCAGCGGGTGACGCGACATCGGACCATGGAGCTCCTTATGATTCATAGGGATGCCCCTTGCGTTAATTGGGCACATCCTACCATCTAACTATACACGGACTTTCTCGATATGTAACTCCTCATTCGACATTCTGGAGTGAGCCCTAACCTACTCCTCTCCCGCCAATCCGTCTGCACGGGAAGGGACTCCTCTTAGCTTTCCTGGACAGATACCCCTACCACCCGGGTTATGCATGTCTGTGTGGGGTGCGCAGGGTGTTCTGGAATTAGACTAATAACTATACTACTATAGCTAGAGCAATGTTCATATTATGATATTGTAGACGTTCCAGGTGGCAGGGGTACATTTTCGGTTCTTTCAATTATGTATTACTCAAAGCCCGTCATTTGCGGCTACGTAGCTAATAGCCATGATGGCCTCCGATGAACGGCAAGAACTTTTATTCCCTTTATTTGCAAGAGTCAATCAGATGTGACCAGGTTCGCATACTAAGCGAGTTAATTCACACCAGACGCACGCAAACAAACTCGCACACCAGAAATGTAGAGAAGCATTATTGGGACCAAGATGATGGCATGTTGCATTTTTTAGTATACCTAGTTGTACATAGCAGAGTAGTCTCTGCAAAATAGCTAACAGTCTAACCTACCTACCATACATGTTATGTAGGTAGTGTAGGTAGTTCTTGGTTACCCCCAACTTCTCCTCTGGTACAATACGTACTATATCATGAATTCCTACCCAATTGCTTGGACGGTTGGACCGTCACCTCTTGCATCCCATAGCGTAAATCTACGTGGTCATCTTTTGATCGTCCCCATTCATTCGCCTCTTACGTCGTCTTCTTTGATCACACATTAATAAAAACACCGCCTATTGGACAAGTTTATATAAATCTCTTGTCTCTAAATATCCCATGATTTGCGCGATATTTTATTTTTCTCAACACTCTCATTTGCCTACCTATCAACATTGAAGTACATACATCATTGAAGTACAACATTGAATGTATACGACCTGAGATGTACTATGTATGTATTCTAATCAAGATTTAGGTCGCGGCCGAGTTCCCAAAATATTAAATATTGAATATTATGCATACATATGCAATGGGTTGCTCATTTTGGCACCTACTACCTGCCGTGTATATAACTAGTTGCATGTGGTAACTAATTGCCTACTACATAGAATCATTACCTAGTAGCCTAGCTACGTACATAAATCTAGGTAGCGCATATGGATACCGTTATATACCTGGTAGCTAGTAATATACATCAACTATGTACTAGTTACTAGGGTGTGCATGCATAGGCAGTACATAGTACAGAGCAGCTAAAAGTCAGACTAAAAGGCTAAGGTTTACCAGCAACTGCCATAGACCTTGCCAGGTTTGATGACTTATAACCAATCAGAATTGTGCGTTTGTTAATCTTCAATAGCTCTACGTACCAAATGCACCAAGGCGTACCAAGGGCAGAGGCAATTTGAACTCCGGTAACGTCACCGATTTAACTAGCCGTGCAGTTTAAACCAATAGACGCAAACAGTATGCCGGGGTTTGAAAGACTTGTCGTCCGTCCTTCGGCCATCTCCTTCCCCCTCCCCCACTTAGAGTATACGCTTCTTATTATTTCGGGCTGGGGCTAAGATGCCAAGATGGAGGTGGAGGAGGCCGATCTTCTCTTCCACGCCCGGCTCCTACACCAATATTCAAATTTGTTACTATTCTATATGAATAAATACCATTTTTTCCTTCTTTTCTACTCTAACGGTTCTAACGGTCTAACCTAACCTAACCTTGTGAGAATTATTGTAGACGCCTTGGTCTGTAGTCTGTAACCTGTAACCCGCCTTAGCTCATCTCATTCTATTCGTTACATCCATAAAAGCCTGCTAGCTGCCACACCTTTCCTTCAACTTCTCTCTTCCCTTCCCTTTTTCTTTCTCTTGCCAGACCATCTAGCGAGATACCCAAGTCATTGTCGAAATCCTTCGAAATTCCATTCGCACACTCTCCTTTCGAGAATTCTAAAGCATAGAAACAAATCAACAGATCGGCGTGACTTGTATCACTTGAACATGTGAGTAATAGCAACTTTTTTGATTTCTATAGTTTTCCCTCCTCTATCTACCATTGGCATTATTATCCCAGCCTGCCCCGGCGCCAGCGACGAAACAACAACAATCTCAACCAGGAAAGCCGAAAAACTGGACCCATGGACCTAAACCAAAACTTCTGGAGTGAAAATGGAAAACGAATCGCGCTCATGATTTCGATTGTCGATGAACACCCCATCAATTCGACTTTCAACGATAAAGGAATATGAGGTACAAAAAAATTAAGAAACACAAAAAAAAAACACAAAAAAACCTCCCCAAAAAAAGCACGCACTTGGGTGCTCTCAATACAAGCATTGAACTGCAGACGGTCTTGATCTCTATAAGAGTACTGTACGAATGATTGAGATATCGGGGGTCAAAAACACTTATGCACGATCACCAACCTATCAGACGCAATGGTACATAGCCGCATAGCTGCATTTGGAAGCACTATAATTGGCTGTCGTCATATCACTCCCCACGCCATGCCCTGTGCGAGGGTTCATGATTCGACAAGAGCATTTTCAGATTGAGCCTACATTTACATGGGTGTGTCGTGGCGCTTGGGGGGTCTTTTTTGTTCAAGCTCTATGACGCCAATAGCGCACCAAAGATCATTCCCAAATCCTCTATGAACGCTTCCTCAATTCGCCGCGATGAAAAAAAGCAGAAGCTCATCATTCCCATGTCGTCTCTAGCCTGGGTGCCTTACCTGTTAAGTACCTACAAGTGGACAAGATGATTCAAACTTATCGCTGGAAAGTCACATGGAATTTGCAATCCGTTGGTTCCCCGCAGAATTGGTTTGGGGTCTTTATCAAACTTGATCCTAGAGCTTGATAAAGTTTCGTCGGCTGCAAGCACCGCATGAAAACTCCACTCTTTGCGACACCAAAAGATAAAGAGAGGGAAAGAGAGAAGGGTTAGAGTTTAAAAATGGATGAATAGCGTCGTTTCCAAGGCATCTTGCTACTTCTTACAATCACCCTTACAATCACCCCGCATTGTATCTCACAAGCCAATGCCCCTCACCCTGGACACCCTGGACACCCTGGACTACCCTGGACTACCCTGGACACATCCAGTCTCGAACATATCGAACCCTTTTCCACTAAATTACCACTGCCATTGGATCAACCTTATCTCACTTTGCGTTATATTTCACCTTTGTCTTTGTCTGACCCGACCTGTACTTTTAAACAGTTTCAAATTCAATTGCAAGGGAGCTGACATTAATCTCAAACTAGCTAAGCCTAACGTTGAAGCAGCGTGAGCTGCTTTCATCCTCTGTGTATACACGGGAGCCGCATCCTGCGAGACATCGTAGCACCTCTCACCCCCAAAACTCGTACACACATCTGGCCGCACCGTTATTTGCCTGACATGGGCTTACCTGCCGGCTACAACGATAAACAAACCCGTTTCAATTCAGAGGCCGAGGCCTACCATCCTTATGAATATCAGACTGAGAATAACGACTCCTGGGCTGGCGCCCTGCCGGTGAAGCAGTATGTGCTGAGTAGAAAGCCAAAGTCGCCATAGAAACTTGTAGCTAACCAAATTTCTGTAGAGGATTGTATGATCCTAGCTTCGAGAAAGATGCGTGTGGTGTCGGCTTCGCCTGGTATGAATATACCAAATCCATATCTTCACGTAAATCCCACTAATTCTCTGCATAGCCATATCAAGGGCAAGGCAAGTCATAAAATAGTCAGCGATGGTAAGTTCCCAATAATCTATAGCATATTCGTGGATGGCTAGAATAATAGACTAATCATACACAGCCCGGAATCTTCTTTGCAACATGACCCACCGCGGTGCGGTTGGCTCTGATGCTCGAGATGGTGATGGTGCTGGTGTGATGACTTCGATCCCTCACAATTTTTTTGTCAAGAACTTTGAGAGGGAGGAGAACATTGGATTACCACCCCTGGGACAGTATGCTGTGGGAAATCTTTTCTTCAAGCCGAATGATGAGGAAACGTTGCAGGAGTCGAAGAGGCAGTTGGAAGATATTGCTGAATCGTTAGGACTACGAGTTTTGGGATGGCGAGCACCTCCTGTAGACTCTTCTCTCCTTGGACCTGCTGCATCCTCGCGCGAGCCCTTCATTTTACAGCCGTTTGTTGTTCTTGCATCCGCGTATGGCTCTGGAAATGCTCCTGAAATGACGGACCCAGAGAAGTTCGACGAACGACATTTTGAACGACAGTTATATGTCCTTCGAAAGCGTGCCACTCACTCCATCGGTCTTCATAATTGGTTTTACCTCTGCTCCCTGTCAAACAAGAATATTGTTTACAAAGGACAACTTGCCCCTGTCCAAGTTTATCAGTATTATCATGATCTGGTAAATGCCGACTACCAGGCGCACTTTGCTCTTGTACACTCTCGTTTCTCCACCAACACTTTCCCTTCATGGGATCGTGCTCAGCCGCTGCGGTGGGCAGCCCATAACGGTATGTGTAGTTCTAGATTCCCATGGCCCAAAATATCTAACATTCTTCAGGTGAGATCAACACTCTTCGCGGAAACAAGAACTGGATGCGCGCCCGAGAGGGAGTTATGCAATCTGACATTTTCGGTGACGAGCTTGAACATCTGTACCCCATCGTTGAGACTGGTGGCTCAGACTCGGCGGCCTTTGATAACGTACTGGAGCTGCTCACGATCAATGGCGTGCTTTCATTACCTGAAGCTGTCATGCTGATGGTTCCCGAAGCCTGGCAAGGTAACACTGCCATGGATCCTAAGAAGGCAGCATTCTATGAATGGGCGGCTTGCCAAATGGAACCGTGGGATGGTCCTGCTCTCTTCACGTTCGCTGACGGTCGATTTTGTGGTGCCAACTTGGACCGAAACGGTCTCCGTCCTTGCCGATACTACGTCCTGGATGATGACCGCATCATCTGCGCTTCGGAAGTTGGTACCATTCATGTTGATCCTGAGCGAGTTATCCAAAAGGGCCGCCTACAACCAGGTCGCATGCTTTTGGTTGATACTCAAGCTGGGCGTATAATTGATGATGCGGAGTTGAAGGCAGCTGTGTCAAATCGCAACGACTTCCGCAGCTGGATTGACAACGAGCTTATCAGCCTACCTAAAGTTCTTAGCCAAATATCGGAAAACAAGGCCATAGATATTGCAGCGAAGCCAGATGCCACAAAGCTTCAGGAAGACCCTCTCTTGCTGGCATTCGGATATACTTATGAGCAGGTTAGCCTGCTTCTTGCACCCATGGCTTCAGACGAGAAGGAGGCATTGGGCTCTATGGGCAACGATGCACCGCTAGCCTGTCTCTCACAAGCACCCCGTCTCCTTTATGAGTACTTCCGACAGCTTTTCGCCCAAGTTACTAACCCTCCCATCGACCCTATTCGAGAGTCTATTGTCATGTCGCTCGAGTGTTACGTTGGCCCACAAGGCAACTTGCTCGAGATGGATGCTTCTCAGTGCGGTCGGCTGCTACTTCCAAGCCCGATTCTGTCTATCCCGGAATTCAACGCACTGACTAATATGTCCAAGCTACACCCCGAATGGACGGTGAAGACTATTGATCTCACTTTCCCCAAATCAGAAGGCACTGCTGGGTACATAAAGCACCTCGATTATATATGCAATGAGACCACAGCTGCCATCGAGGCCAGGGATAGGATCATCGTGCTTTCCGACCGAAAGACGTCCGCTGATCGTGTGGCTGTCTCGTCGCTTCTAGCTTCGGGTATGGTCCATCATCACCTTGTCACCAACAAATGGCGATCAATGGCTGCTATTGTGCTCGAAACCGCCGAGGCCCGTGAAGTCCACCATATGTGTGTATTACTCGGTTACGGTGCTGATGCTATCAACCCTTATCTCGCCATGGAATGTATCTTGAAGCTTAACCGTGAGGGCTTGATTCGAAAGAACCTCCCTGATGATACTCTCATCGCCAACTATAAGCACTCCTGCGACGGTGGAATTTTGAAGGTCATGAGTAAGATGGGAATTTCTACCTTGGCCAGTTACAAGGGTGCCCAGATCTTCGAGGCTCTCGGTGTGGACGATTCAGTTGTTGAGCGATGTTTCAGGGGCACAGCCTCGCGAATCAAGGGTCTCACCTTTGATCTTATTGCGGAGGATGCATTCCGTTTCCACGAGCGTGGCTACCCCTCTCGTTACACAGTTGGAATTCCTGGCCTGCCAGAGTCCGGCGAGTACCACTGGCGTGATGGTGGTGAAGCTCATATCAATGACCCGACTTCCATTGCGAACATCCAAGATGCTGTTCGGACCAAGAATGATAAATCATATGAAGCCTACTCACGCTCGGAGTACGAGCAAATCAAGTCCTGTACGCTTCGTGGCCTGCTTGACTTCAAATTTGAGGAGTACAACCCCATCCCGATCGAACAAGTAGAGCCATGGACAGCAATTGTGACAAGATTCTGCACGGGTGCCATGTCTTATGGTTCAATCTCTATGGAATCGCACTCTACCCTAGCTGTTGCTATGAATAGGCTCGGTGGCAAGTCGAACACTGGTGAAGGTGGCGAGGACCCTGAGCGATCTCAACTCATGCCCAATGGTGATACCATGAGGTCTGCGATCAAGCAAATTGCCTCGGGAAGATTTGGTGTCACTTCAGCATACCTTGCCGATTCTGACGAGCTTCAGATCAAGATGGCACAGGGTGCTAAGCCCGGTGAGGGTGGTGAGCTTCCAGGTTACAAGGTCTCCAAATCAATTGCTCGAACCCGACACTCGACCCCTGGTGTTGGTCTTATCTCACCACCCCCTCACCATGACATTTACTCTATCGAAGATCTGAAGCAACTTATTTACGATCTCAAGTGCTCAAGCCCCCGTTCTCGCGTGTCCGTCAAACTTGTCTCCGAGACGGGTGTTGGTATCGTTGCTTCGGGTGTCGCAAAGGCTAAGGCTGATCATATCCTCATTTCTGGACAGTAAGTTTGCTTATATCAATTATCTACTACATATCTTATGACTAACGGCTACTCTTTTAGCGATGGTGGCACTGGTGCTAGTAGATGGACCGGAATCAAGTACGCAGGTCTCCCATGGGAACTTGGTCTTGCCGAGACCCACCAGACACTGGTCTTGAATGATCTACGTGGCCGCGTTGTCGTCCAGACTGATGGTCAACTTCGAACTGGACGCGATGTTGCTATCGCTTGTCTGCTTGGTGCTGAAGAGTGGGGTTTTGCCACAACGCCGCTGATTGCGATGGGATGTATCATGATGAGGAAGTGCCGTACGTACCCCTGATGCCCCTTCAAACTCAACAAAACACTGACCTTCTGCTTAGACTTGAATACATGTCCCGTGGGAATAGCAACGCAAGACCCTGAACTTCGCAAGAAGTTCAACGGTACTCCTGAGCACGTTATCAACTTCTTCTACTATGTTGCTAACGAGCTCAGAGCTATCATGGCTCAACTCGGGTTCCGAACAATCAACGAAATGGTTGGCCATGTAGAGTGTCTTAGGGTTCGAGACGATTTACGATCTAGCAAGACCGCTAACATCGACCTTTCGCTTATTCTCACTCCCGCACATATGCTCCGACCCGGCGTCGCTACTTTCAATGTTCGAAAGCAAGACCATCGTCTCTATGTCCGCTTAGATAACAAGCTTATATCGGAGGCTGAGTTGACCCTCGACAAGGGGCTTCCTTCTCGCATTGAGTGTGACATTGTGAACACCGATCGGGCCATGGGAACTTCCCTATCTTACCAAATCTCTAAGCGATATGGAGAAGCTGGCCTTCCGATGGACACCGTCCATGTAAACATCAAGGGCTCAGCTGGCCAGTCTTTTGGTGCCTTCCTGGCTCCTGGTATCACTCTAGAGCTAGAGGGTGACTCTAACGATTATGTCGGCAAGGGCCTGTCTGGTGGCCGGCTCATCATCTATCCGCCACGATCGGCTGTTTTCAAGGCAGAGGAGAACATTTTGATTGGCAATGTCTGCTTGTACGGAGCTACTAGTGGTACATGCTTCTTCAGGGGTGTCGCTGCAGAGCGTTTTGCTGTCCGAAACTCGGGCGCAACTGCTGTTGTTGAGGGTATTGGTGACCACGGTTGCGAGTACATGACCGGTGGGCGAATAGTCATCCTCGGAAGCACTGGCCGCAACTTCGCAGCCGGTATGTCTGGCGGCATTGCCTATGTCCTTGATATACATGGCGATTTCCTTTCCAAGCTTAACATGGAGATGGTTGAAGCTTCTGAGGTTGAAGAGCCTACCGAGATTGCTTTCCTTCGAGGTCTCATCGAAGATCACCACCACTACACCGGATCTGAACTCGCTGCTCGAATCCTTGTAGACTTTAACCGTGCTCTACCACGATTCGTCAAAGTCCTACCGGTGGATTACAAACGTGTCCTTGAGGAGGAGGCCATCAAGGCTGCTGAGGCCAAGCGCGCCGAGTACAATCTTCCTATTGTGTCTGGTGTTCAAGCTAAGAAAGAGGAGAAGTCGGCCAAGCTCCAGGATATTGAAGAGACTATTGGCGACAATGCGGCCGATAAGAAGCGCGCCCTTGTACTTGACAAGACTAGGGGTTTCATGAAGTACCAGAGACGCTCCGAGAAGTATCGTGCTGTGAAGACCAGAACCAAGGATTGGGCTGAGCTTTCCCAACGTCTGAGCGAGGACGAACTCAAGTACCAGTCAGCTCGGTGCATGGACTGTGGTGTTCCTTTTTGCCAATCTGATACTGGATGTCCAATTTCTAACATCATTCCGAAGTGGAATGAGTTGGTGTTTTCCAACCAGTGGCAAGAGGCTCTCAACCGCTTGCTCATGACTAATAACTTCCCGGAATTTACTGGTCGTGTGTGCCCTGCACCCTGTGAAGGAGCTTGCGTTCTCGGTATCAATGAAGATCCTGTTGGCATAAAGTCTATCGAGTGCGCCATCATCGACCGTGGCTTCGAGATGGGTTGGATGATACCGCGACCGCCTGAGGTTCGAACGGGTAAGACAATCGCTATCATTGGTTCTGGACCTGCTGGTCTCGCCTGTGCCGATCAATTGAACAAAGCTGGGCATAGCGTCACTGTCTACGAACGCTCTGACCGAGCTGGTGGACTGCTTATGTACGGAATTCCGAATATGAAGCTCGACAAGCGCGTGGTCAAGCGCAGAACCGACTTCATGGCTGCCGAGGGTATACAATTCAAGACTGGTGTCACTGTTGGTGAGGACATCACTTTACTGGGTCTCAAGGAGACGAATGACGCTGTCGTGATTGCTACTGGCGCTACAGTTGCTCGAGATCTCCCGATCAAGGGCCGCAACCTCGAGGGTATTCATTTTGCCATGGAATTCCTACACAAGAACACCAAGTCTCTCCTCGATTCTGAGCTAGCTGACGGCGCTTACCTCTCTGCCAAGGACAAACACGTCATAGTCATTGGTGGTGGTGACACTGGTAACGATTGCATCGGTACCTCTGTTCGCCATGGCGCCAAATCAGTCATCAACTTCGAACTTCTTCCCCAGCCTCCACCTCAGCGTGGCCGTGACAACCCCTGGCCCCAGTGGCCACGCATTTACCGTGTCGACTACGGTCATTCAGAGGTGGCTCAACACATGGGCAAGGACCCTCGTGAATACTGCATCATGTCTGAGGAGTTCGTCGACGATGGTAGTGGACGTGTCAAAGGAATCAACACTATCCGCGTTGAGTGGACCAAGTCTGCTACCGGGGGTTGGGACATGAAGAAACTCGAGGATACCAAGCAATTCTTCCCCGCCGACCTCGTCCTCCTATCTATGGGCTTCCTTGGCCCCGAGGCCCGTGTACTTGGGGATGAGATTGAAAAGGATGCCCGCAAGAACGTGAAGACTCCTGGTGGTTCCTATGCTACTAATGTCCCGGGCATTTTCGCAGCTGGTGACTGCCGCCGTGGACAGTCCCTGATTGTTTGGTAAGTCTACTCGCCTCCCTTAGTAAAATGACTATAACTAACCACACAATACAGGGGTATCAACGAAGGACGACAGTCCGCTCGCGAGGTTGACTTGTATCTCCAGAACTACACCAACTTGCCTGTAACGGGTGGCATTATCAAGCAGACGGCCGAAGAGATTCTCGGCGCTATTTCTGCGTAAGAGGGTACCTCGACAAGGAAATTCAAGGGGGACGGACTGGAATGCCTGTACGGCCATGTCAAAACCTAGATTTTCGACAAGCTCAGTGCTTTACAATATAGGGGGAAAAGGGGCACAATCTGATTTGATTTCTACGATACCATGAAGACGGGTGAGAATGCACGCGGTTCGGAAAAGAAAAATACCTTTTTCATTGTCTTTATATTTATGTCGGTTGTTGAAGCTTGGGAGTTAGATGATTTCAAAAATTTTGTACGAGCTGTATATACGTAACTAGTTATGTGTATGTATGAATTTGAAAAATGCACAAAATGTAACTATTGTATGTAATCTTCACATGACTGACTATGCACAATACATGTATCTACTAGGTAGCTAGTAACTAACTACCTAGGTAACTAACTAGGTTAGGTTACTAGGTTAGGTATTCACTTCAAGTTTTTTTCTTCACTTTTTTCTAGGTCAGCTCACTGTAACTACTCCTAGCTGCACATTGCACAAGCACGTGGGCTCATTGGTATTGTACAATACAATTAACTATGGATTGTATGCAATTACTCCAGGGCTATCTATCATACTACAGCAGGAACTACACAGAGAGGAGCTAGGTAATCCGGCCACCCCCTGGCCAGACTAGTCCGTGCCCCGCTGGTATCAAAATCTGTGACGAAAGAATTGCAGATCGTTTTTGGTACTGTGCAACAATCCGAAACAGAAAAAGTTACTAAATCTCTCTTCGGTTGTAGTTAGTTATTTGTTTCTTTTCTTTACAAACCATTTAACCTCCTTGAATATACCTATCCTTTACCGCGTTCTCACGATTCTTGGATTGGAGCTTTGAATTGGTATTGGAATAATATATCATATTTAGTTTTTATCAATTGGCTGACAATTGGAAACACCTCTCCCCTTTTACCTGCGCGTATTATTCTCTAAAAAGGGAAAACAAAAAAGAGGAAGAAAAAAGGAAACAAGAAAAGATGCGCTTCGGCAAGACTCTCCGCGAGTCCACCTACGCACCATGGAAGGACCAGTACATAGACTACTCGAAGCTGAAGGTGATGCTGCGGGAGGACCGCAAGGAAGACGAGGATGTGCCGTGGACGGAGGAGGACGAGAACAAGTTCTGCGACGAGGTGTTCAACGTGCAGCTGGAGAAGGTGGCCCAGTTCCAGGAGAAGACGGTGAGCGGCCTGAAGGAGCGCGCCGAGGCCGCCTTCGAGACGCTCAAGGAGATGGCGCCCTCCTCCGATGACAAGCCCAAGAGCGACATCACGACCTCCCGTCTGAAGGAGCTCAAGGCCGAGCTCGACTCCATCACCAACGAGGTCAAGGAGCTGAAGAAGTACAGCAGCGCCAATTACACGGGCTTCCTCAAGATTGCTAAGAAGCACGATCGCAAGCGTGGTGACCGCTACAAGGTCCGCCCCATGATGCGCGTGAGCCTGTCGGAGCGCGGCTTCAACTCGGAGCAAGTTTATTCACCGCTGCTCACGAAGCTGTCTCTTATGTACTATGCCATCAACCAGAACCTGGACGAGAGTGAACAGCAGCAGCCAATGGATCTAGGGTTGGATAACCAGCAAGAAGTGCACAATGGAGAACGATACACCGCTCATAAATGTAAGTTATGCAAACCATTTCAGTGTTATGCAAGCTAACAGAGGCTTTCTATAGTTTGGATACACGCCGACAACCTCCTCGAAGTTAAGACCGCTATCTTACGGCATTTGCCTTCTCTCGTCTACACACAGCAGGCTGGGCAAGAGCCCGGCGGCAACGAAGACCCCAAAATCACATCGCTTTACTTCGACAACTCGAAGTTCGAGCTATACGGACGGAAAGTAGACCGTCACGTCGACGCCTCATCCTTGCGCTTGCGTTGGTACGGTCACTTGGATTCGAAGCCGGATATCGTTCTTGAGCAGAAGATAGTACACGAGAATGGCCTCAGCGAGGAGAAGAAATTTCATATCAAGGACAAATATATCAAGCAATTCATCGACGGAGAATACAATATGGAGAAGACGGTGCAAAAGATGGAAAGGCAGGGCCAGACAGCCGAGGCGATTGAGTCCTTCAAGACGACAGTAGGAGATCTCCAGGGTTTTATTACCGAGCGCAAGTTGGGGCCCGTCATTCGGGCAAACTACACCCGCACGGCGTTCCAAAAGCCCTCGGATGATCGTGTGCGAATCTCGATTGACACTGATATCGCCTTCATCCGCGAGGACACATTAGACCGTGATCGACCATGCCGTGACCCCCAAGAGTGGCACCGGCGGGATATCGACAGCGGCAATATGTCTTATCCATTTAAGAACATCAACCAGAGCGAGGTGTCAAGGTTCCCGTTCGCACTTCTCGAGATCAAGCTGAAGGAGGAAGGTGGACGCAAGCGGCCAGGATGGATAGAAGACTTAATGGTCTCGCATCTTGTTCACTCAGCTCCAAGGTTCTCAAAATTTGTGCATGGTGTCGCGTCTCTCTTCGAGGACTACGTCAACCAGCTACCGCTGTGGCTCAGTGATCTCGAAACCGATATCCGGAAAGACCCGCAGATGGCACATGATGCAGAGGAGCAGCGGAAAGCCCAACAGGCGGAAGACGCGATGGTTGTAGGCAGCTTCTTAGGTGGCGGCGCAGCTGCTAAAATGGGCTCCTATAAACCAGCGACGAGCTCACCAGTAGGAAAATCTTATTTGTCGGAGCGAGCTGCTAGAGACGCCATGGCTTCGTTGCCCCCAACCGCAGTAACCCACCGTGATGAAGACGGCGAACCAGGCGAGGAGGATGGCTCTTCCCGACAGAGGGGTTACGGAACCCTCTCTTCTGTTTTCCCTGGCTTTTCGTTATCGAAATACTCTCGTGCAAAGCGCCAGCGGGCACAACTTCCAGAAGGTGTAACCAAGCCTGAAGTCTGGCTGAAAAACGCGGGCCCGTTGCAGGTTGAGCCTAAAGTGTGGCTCGCCAACGAGCGAACATTCCTCAAATGGCAACACATCTGCATTCTCTTAGGCAGCCTGGCCATCAGTTTATACACAGCAGCGGGAGAGAACTTTGTAGCCGAGTGCATGGGCATCGCCTATATATTGATAGCGGTTATGGCCGGCGGATGGGGATACATGATGCTCCACAAACGCCGGGATATGATCGTGGAGCGTAGTGGGAAGGATTTCGATAACATGATTGGGCCGTTGGCTATTAGTGCTGCTTTGATGCTGGCCTTGATATTGAACTTTGTGTTTTCGGTAAGATCAACTAACCCTCCTTTTGCCATTCTTCTTTATTTGGGCGAATGCTAATGACTTTTACCTACCATAGTTCCGGGCCGCGTTTGCAAGGCTGGAGGGCAACGAATTGTTCAACGAAACTGAAGCCATGTTCGGTGGCGAACTGATCTAAGATATGATAGGGACAGCCAACAGAGTGAAAATGTGCAAGAAATCTGTTTGCTCCCTATTGCGTGTATAGTTTGTTATGTACTTTATGTACTGCTTAAATATTGTATGATTGTAGTGTATGTACTGAGAATTTGAATCAAAACGAGTCTATGTAAAATAGTAACAAGAACTTGAAGTTTCATGCGAATTGGTTATGAATAGTTACATACTAATACGTAGTTACTATGTAAATGGATCATGGTACTATCTAATTATGTAAGTGAGTCAACTTAAATATATCTGACTCCATACATACTACCCTACCTAGGTATGCATACGTACCGACAAACAGGGTCGTCGTTTCCTGAATGGCTCAAAAGTTGCTTGAGGGTTTGGTCTAATGCAATGTCTTTGTTTTAGCATGATACAATGCCTGGGCCTAGGTAGGTAGGGTAGGTATTGTATTGTACATTGAAGCTAGTATGTATATATCTTAAACTTTCCTTCTACATAGTACATACCTACATATTACTATGTACTAACCTTACATGTATGTATGTTCAGCTGCTAGGTTAGTGGATTGTGCATATACACCAAACACACATGTGTACACCTGTAATATGCAGCTTCCTGTTTCGCGCATTCCTGTAGTTATCCAGTACATGCCTGGGACCTACTACTATGTAAGGCAGGCACTGCAGGTACCGACTAGAAAACAGATACATAGTTTTCTCAAGGCAACGGCAACGGCAGCAGTATTCCGACTTTTTTTTATTTCATTTTCTCACATATCAATTTCACGTATCCATTTCATCACTTATTATCACATGAGACAGACATATGTGCAGGCAAAAGTTTCTAGTAACATTATTTCAGTTCCAAACAACATTGAGGTACATACACAACTCCATTTTATTCCAAGTACCAACATTGAAGATACATATACCTGACCTTTGACTACCTGCTAATGATTTGTACATACATATTAGTAGGTGCATGGAGTACTAGGTTCCCTTCGAAGTCAATTGTCTTGTTTGTTGCTTCGTCATTTTTTAGATTTCTCGGGTGCCCAGCCACGAGACTGACGCGTATCTACTGCGTCCTTTAAACCTCCAGTTAGAAAAGGTTTACATATGTGCATCGAGATCCCTTGTGCGCATCCTGACACTTGATTGCTTTTAAGCTCAGCCAAGCCTTACTGGCCTTACTGCAACAAAACCCAACAAAAAGCCATGGCCGAACCAAAGAAGAAAGGACTATGGGGCGGTCTGATCCGCAAGCTCAGTAATGCCCAAGGAAGCGGCAAGCTGGTATGTATTAAGTTGGGTTTTAAGCCGTAACTTGCCGCTTATCGTGAACATCGAGGCCTTACTTACGAAATCACGTAGGAGAAGGAACCGCCGATGAGACGCCCTAGTGATGCAGATGCGCTTACAAGGCGACGAAGGTCTGAGAAGTCAGATGCTACTAGTTCTCGCAGACGACCTCGTCACCCAGATCCACATGATTCCAAGGGCAAGGACAAGGAGCAGCTGAACGGCCACATATACGAGTCGGCACCTTTGTCTGAATGGCCGCCCCCCGGTCTTTCGGATGATGATGATCTCACACTTGGAGATGCGATGAAACTTATCTCAAGAGGTGTACCGGCACACCAAGGCCATAAACGTCCTATTCCTCATGCACCAGATAACTACTTTGGCTTATACACCACGACAGCAGGTAATCACGGTGATGGCAACGATGCTGCGAACCAGCATGATGCGATGATCCAACTTACCACCCTTCGTTTACAAGGCTCTGGCCCGCCCAACTATCCCTGGGAGACTCTTGAGCAGCCAAGCCTCGCTTTTGGATATGGGGCTCGGCCTGGTACCATTACCTTGAACCACTGGGCTAGTCTTTCTAGTGCCTTTCCGCCTCTTATTGGCCTTCGTGATCCTGGTGTGCTGCCCAGAGAAGTTGATCTAGTTCAGATATTTGAACGATTGCAGGATCTAGAACAAGGCCTGGAAGACGATAGTGAGGAACTATTGTATCGTCTATATAAGCGATTTCTCCGAGACCCAGACAAGATCTTTAGCCCACATAAGACCATGGAGAGACAAATCACCGACTTGGTCATGTGCCTATCAGGTCAAGATTGGATTGACTTTTCAAATCCCAAACACCAGGTCGTCACGAAGTTCATCTACGATACAACCCCTGCAAACCAGCAACAGTATCATAAGTTCTTCTACCAACTGCTCTTGAGCCTTGAGTTGGAACTACGAATCAATTCGAGACTTCACACAGACTGGGCCAAGGAGAGACTCATGGCACAGATCCCACCTAAGATTCAGTGGAATATGGCCCTTGCTAAGAGATGGAGGGATTTCGTGCGCGTTGAGAGCTATGGCGAGAATGCCGATCAAGTGAAACTACGATATAAGCTGAAAAAGAGACAAGTCAAGATGTTAAAGAGATTCGCACAAATGATGAAATGGCCAAACCTTTCCGAGACTTTGGAGGAGTTGAAGGAGAGGGATGCAGAAGGGGCCCTAATGCCTGTCAGTTCACATGCCATGGCATTCTTTAGCGGCCTTGTTCTCCCAGGGGTAAGCATCTACCATCCAATTCCATCCAGTGACTATGGCATGTATGGCATTGTAAGACTTACTGATTATCATGTAGCCAACGTTTCCTTTCCTCATCATGAACTCGTTGATCGATATCGATCCCGATAAAGCAACAGATAACCTTGCATTACTCACGCACCTTAATCCCCACTGCGGCTTTCAATATCGGAACAGCTATACGTACTGGACGTCGACTTGTATCGTCGGTAAAGTGCTTGCGCCGACTTGCCTCGAGGTGGCTGGATGGGTAGGACCAGCTAGACCAACAGTCGATCTTGGACGCTCCCAGATCGCCCGAATCCGCTCGAAAAAGCCGCGACAGCAAATATTAAAACCAGAGGACATCACTACCATGAGAGAAAGGTCTGACCCCTTAGGCCCGCCCTCCACAACCTATCCTGTGATAGATTACGACTTGAACATGCCAGACACGGATGACATCGTCGATACGGTGCGAATCGAACAGGTCAATCTCAAGGGGCTTGCTGAGAAGCAAGACTCTGGCCCCAAATGGTTTGATGCTTCGATACAATTTGCCATTGATGGTGTGTCCTGGCCACTTAATCTTACATTCGATGTGTCTTTTATAAATGCATGGCCATGCTCCGATGGACCGCATATTCTGTTTTTCGACTATGTCTATACCTCCCGCAAGGTTGACGAGGTAGTAAATATTCTGGATTGGGGCAGGCCTAGTAGTAGGGAGAAGAACCCGCCTTCAGTACCAGTCGGAAGTAGCAAACAGCAGGCACCCATCGACGAAGAGGGAGTGATGGTAATCGAGGCGTTTGGGAACAAAGATAATGAAGTCTTGGCACGAGCATGGTGCTCCCACTGGGGCCTTAGTGCGATCGTGGCCGATATTGGCCAGACCTGGTGAGTTCTCAAGTTTCCATTGCACGATGATGGTAGAGGAGCAGAGGCTAATGCAACACAGCATGGCGTGCGCCATCCGCGAAGCTTACGCGGCAGCCTTGACGGTGGTAATACTTGTTGAGGATCAGCCAGAGGATGCAGAATAACGATGTGACGACCAAGAGTTTCACGAATAATGCTTGCAGGATTACTGAGATGAATTATGAGACGGGAGGAGAGGAGGGGTGCATGCACGCACTAATTTCACAGCTGCAATGACACAGTCAGTGACTTCCACGATGGTTACATGACTGTCTAGGCGATTTGGGCGTCAGGCAAATGATTTGGGTTAGCAGAAAGCTGAGTTTATAGCAAGGAAAAGGGAGTTGCTCGCGTTAATATATACCCAGTCAATGTGTTTTCTTTTCTTTTCTTTGCTGCTTTGCTGCTTTGCTGTTCATCGGATTTATTCAGATTCATTCAGTCTCATTGCTACCTACTAGATATCTACCTACCTAACCTAGGTATCCATGGATGGGTATTTATTTGAAGAAGAGAATAATGTTTTCCCTGCTTTTCATTTTCCTAAGTGCGGCTTTTAAGTAAATCATGCTGGGAATGATCGGCATTCTGAGGGAGGGAGTTGGACGGTTGGACGAACCAACAATCAACGTTCTGGCTGTACCTCCAAGCGAGGGCAAAGTATTGGTAGTGGCGGCTTGCCACACTAGAGATCATCGTGACTATCGGTCACTATCCTCCTAAGACCGGACTTAGTGTACTGCAAACTCCCGGGGGCCAAGCTAGCTGTGGGTGTATATCTCATCATCCTGTCCAGGGATCTCAAGCAACGGTGTTGTACAGCTGTAATGTGGAATTCGCATATGCTTTATTTTAATGTAGGGGTTGGCTCCGATGCCGTCTCCAATAGTCTAGAATCGTCGGAATTATATGTGTACCTAGGTATGTTATATGTATGTGCTATGCAAAAATTTTCTCGTGTATGGTCTTCCTCTGCTCACCGAATGAAAAATGTGGAGTGACTGGTAACCCAACAAAAAAAAAAGTCACGATGTCTTATCAAGTATCAAAGTTTGGAGGTGAGAAACATGATTGTATGTACTATGTAGATGTAGGTACAATACCTAGTATTGTACAATACCGACTAAGCCCAACCCGCGCGGAGGGAAACAGCTCGTCAAATGTACTAGTCAGGTAAGGATTGGCGGGGTTATAGCTGGCTCTGACGCTGTATCTCTCCACCTTACCCCACCATGTGACGGCACCATCAATGTAATATGTACAACAGTACAACCAACTTGTATAATCTAGTACTGCGGTGTACCCTATAGAAGGGTAGGATTATGCAACTGTTCTCTCAAGGCCTAGGCTATCCCAGACAAAATACCAGATAGTCCAGGTAGACCAGGCCATCCTATACCTTCTTTGGAGGGGGGTGTAGGGGTTGTAAGGGTTGATTAGCAAGGTAGCAAGGGGAGCTTCTGGACCTTGGGAGACTAGCACGACTTACGAGAAACTGAAGATTCCTACCTATACCTACATACATATGTAATACATACCTATATTTTATATTTTTCATCTTTTTTTTTTCCTCTTGTGTTGCCTTCGTATTGCCTTTTCCGTACAGAGAGACATAGAGACAGATCTCGACCTCTGCGTGAATTATTCGTTTTTCTTATCCGAACGTATATTCCCCAAGCTGACATTGCATTCATCCTACATAGGACCGGTATATTGACGTATCGGGGAGTCCAAGGTTGTCAGGTTGTCAAGGTTGGAAGATTTTTGTGCACGAGACTAAGGACTCACAAGGTAGCACACACGATTGGGGCGGATTGAAGTTTCCTGTTTGATTCATAACTCTATTCACTCGTTTGCCGATTTTGGTGGCTTACATTGAGGCCATTCATTCCCCCACGATGGAGTTAGTAACAGTCCCTGATCGTCTGTGTCACTGAAAGTTAAAGGCATTGAACCTGCTACATACTGCATACATATGCTAACAAAGACTCTCTCTCTGTATTTAGTACCCGGAATGTAATTCATTTTGAAGACAACGTACGTCTACTACACCTGCCACTCCCGTCACATATGTCACATCTATCTTCCAACAGACACAGCAGACACAGCAGACACAGCAATATAACCTAACTACACCATATTTGAACCACCTGAGCCAACTGAATCAATCATTGACCCAAACTTGCACTCCCCAACATATCTCTACCTCTCTCTCTCTCTCTGTGTCATTCCCTGTCACGCTCTGTCACGCTCTAGCAGTCTTTCTCTAGCAAACTGTCTCTAGCAAACAAGCATCTTTGTACCTAGCTTATAGCAACTTCCTATTCAGCCTTCCTGTGTTATGAAAAACTTCAACAACTACTTGACAATTAACTCACAAATCAATCATGCAGGATCATTACATCGGCATTGACGTGGGCACCGGGTCTGCCCGTGCCTGTCTCATAGACTCTTCCGGAGATATCAAGGCCCTTGCCTCGGAAGCAATCAAGCTATGGCAGCCCCAGCAAGGTTACTATGTGCGTCATTTCATAAGCTCCATTCCCGCCTTTGTCTTGTCCAATTAGACCATGGCAGCATCCATCTTACACAAATTATTTATAGGAGCAATCCACTACGGATATCTGGCATTGTATCTGCCATTGCGTACAGCGCGTTGTCCACCAATCCGGTGTCGATGTGGGCCACATCAAAGGTCTAGGCTTCGACGCTACCTGTTCCCTCGCCGTCTTCAACCAAGACGATGACCTTCCTGTCACTGTTACCGGCCCAGAGTTCGAGAACGACGGGAATGACCGCAATGTCATCCTATGGCTCGACCACCGTCCCGTCCAAGAGACAGAGAAGATCAATGCCACAGGTCACAACCTTCTACGCTATGTGGGCGGCAAGATGAGCATCGAGATGGAAATCCCCAAGGTGCTCTGGCTGAAGAACAACATGCCTAAGGAGAGATTCGATCGCTGCAAGTTTTACGACTTGACTGATGCCCTGACACATCTAGCTACGGGTAACGAGAACCGAAGCTTTTGTAGCACTGTTTGTAAGCAGGGCTATGTCCCCATTGGCGTAGATGGAAGCGAAAAGGGTTGGCAGGAAGATTTCTTTGAGGAGATTGGCCTCGGAGACCTCGCCAAAAACAACTTTAAGCGTATGGGAGGCGTGCATGGAATTGTAAGCCCTCATCTTCCTCGCGCATGCTACCTATGGGTCACATGTGCTTTCTGGTAGAAGCAGAATGGCTGGCTAATCCGTGTTTTAGAATGGCAAATACTTCAGTGCAGGCGAACTTGTTGGCTACTTGTCCGACCATGCTAGTAAACAATTAGGATTGCATGCAGGTATCGCAGTGGGCAGTGGAGTCATTGATGCCTACGCAGGCTGGGTTGGTACCGTGGGAGCAAAGGTCGACACTGAATATGGTCATGCCGACGAAAGCGCTCCCGCGAACGACCTTGCCCAGGCCTCTACCCGACTTGCAGCGGTAGCTGGCACCTCCACCTGCCATCTTGCCATGTCGGATAAGCCTGTATTTGTAAATGGTGTATGGGGCCCCTACCGTGACGTACTCCTGCCTAATTATTGGTTAGCAGAGGGTGGTCAATCGGCTACGGGTGAGCTCCTGAGACACGTCTTGGAGACCCATCCAGCACACAAAGAAGTGATACCCTTAGCAGAAGCTATGCATATGAACATCTACGACTACATGAATGGTCATCTCAGGGAGTTAGCTGAGAGCACCAAAGCTCCCACCGTCTCATACTTGGGTCGACATTTCTTCTTTTACGGCGACTTATGGGGAAATCGATCTCCTATTGCAGACCCTAACATGAAGGGCTCGGTGATCGGGCTCAGCAGTGATTCTAGCGTGGACGGCCTCGCACTCTACTATTACGCCACAATGGAGTTTATTGCCTTACAAACCCGGCAAATCATTGAGTCGATGAACACAGCGGGCCACAACATCCAGACCATCTTCATGTCTGGCAGCCAGTGCCAGAATGACATGCTAATGGACCTTATCGCAACGGTCTGTGACATGCCAGTGCTAATCCCCCGCTACGTCCATGCTGCGGTAGTGCACGGAGCAGCGATGCTAGGGGCAAAGGCAGCCAGCGAAGAGGAGGGCAAGAAAGAGAATCTTTGGGCTATCATGGATCGCATGAGCAAACCTGGTCGACTCGTTAAGCCCGGGTCAGACAGTAACGAAAAGAGACTCTTTGACGCCAAGTACGAGGTTTTCCTAGAGCAATGCCGAACCCAGAGAGAGTATCGCGAGAAGGTCAACGCGGCTACCAGTTCTTGGGTTGTACAGACAAATGGAATATAAGGGGGAAAAGGGGAACTTGAAGCTGATAGCTGGCATGGGCGGATAGGCGTGAATAAGCGTTGGGAAAAGGTACGTAGAGTAGAACCAAACATTGATGGTCATGGTTATGGTATACCTATTGTATAGACTGCACTTTCTGCAAGCAATATAAATTCGAACATTATTATCTTTGATGCAATGGGTAAAGAATGAGACGTTGGGACAAAGTGATATAAAGAATGGTAAATTATGTAAATCAATGGTTCAGTGCTACGTATGTACGCCATCACCTGGAATTTAAGGGCTTAGAGGCTGTTTGGGAGCATAAGTTTTGCTTATACTTATGGTCCGTGACACTTTAGTACATAAGTATGCTGAAGTGCGTTTTGATTGTGGGGGTTTTCTCCACTAAAACCACGACCAATCAACGCATTTCTCGATGTCGATAAGTATTGAGATGTTTGTGTGTGTTATACTTACATATAAATTTAGAGCAACACTAAATCCGCAGTAGGAGTACATGCATTTCGTCCGCAGTACTACCTGGTCTCACACACAAATTGGGTGCGCGCACAAGTACCTCTGCCACACCCAATTCAACACCTTTTCAACCCCACTCCAATCCATCCAAACAATTTTCTAAAAATCCCCAAAAACAACTATCTTTATTGCCTTGACGAGACGGATTGATTGATATATGTTTCAGATCTCCAATAATTGTATTGACTGAGATATTAATTGATCTTTGATTGATCTCTTCGGGTCCTACTGTATGATGTCCTCAATCAGGGTGGTAAGGGAGGTGGTCCATGCGCGGTACCGGTCGCAACTTCAACCTTGAATAACTCTTTCAATAGAGCAGCTGCGATCGTGCAACTGGAATCAATCTGCTTCTTGAATTGAGCTCTTCAAATTGATACTTTCAACTGAAGATTTGAAGATGGTATGGATGGGTCGCAATTGATTGACAGCTTGGTGTGTACTGGAGCCGCCGGAGCTGCGCTACTAGCGCTATACTGCGGACAAAAAGCTAAGTACTCCTACTGCGGATTTAGTGTTGCTCTAAATTTAAGCCGGACTGTAGCTATTGTCCAGGCGCTAACAGGAGGTACGATGGGTCAAACCTAAATTTGCTGTACGGCCATGTACCTGTTGATATTCCACAGATGTTACCTTTTCTAAGCTTTGCAATTGAATAACTTCTTCAATACTATCTCAAATCAATTGATCAGGGCCCTATTTGAATCGCATCAATTGACTGATCAAGAATATCAGTTTGCAGCGTTTCAATTGACCCGGTGCGGGTGGTAAGCTTAGGGCGCCCACGTGACCCCCCTTGGAGCAGCCAGGCCTTGAAAAGGCTTGAATTTAAGACAAAGGGTGGCTTTAGAGCCTTCTTAAGGGCTTGAGACCCTAGGATATAGGCCTTTCAGGGCTATTCGCATATTTAAGGCCCCTGTAGCCCCCTGTAAGTTTAGTTCATCAGCTCTGTAAGTAAGAACATAAGTAGAAATAAGCATCCAAATAGCTGCTCATGAAAAGTCCATAAGCATAAGCTATTTCAAGAAAGATGATTGGATAAAAAAAAAAGTATTATGGTTCGATCCACAAGCAGAATTATAGTGGGTTTCAGAATAATTATACCTTACAAACACTTTACTTATCCTTTTGCTGAAAACCCACTAATTCCCCATAAGTCTTTTTTTACTTATGCTCCCAAACAGCCTCTTAGGGAGTGACTTAAACTGGAAGACTAGTAACTATGTACCTAGGTACTCCTTACATAGCTAAGACAGTAAGACTCCTAAGAGCGATTGCTGGCCCGTGCATGAGCTACCCCATACCTGCATAACTAGTACATAGTAGCACGTAGTACGGTAGTAACTAACTAGCTCTTGTTGGCCTTGTTGATTGTTTTTTTTAAAAAACCAGCCTTGCCTTGAAATTTCCAACACCTCCAAATACAACACATAACATCACCATCCCATCATACCCACACTCATTTGGGTCTCTTCTTTCGCTGCCAATCGCAGCACTCTCTTACCGAATTTTCAACCGCGACGCCGCCAGTCCTTCAATTTCTCAACATGTCGCTGTTTGGAGAACCGACGGGAGCGGCAGGGCAGGCTGCCAGAAATCGTCTCTTCGGCGTTGAGCCAAGTCCTGGCCAGACGTCGATGTTCGGAGAGCCGACGGGAGCGGCAGGACAGGCTGCCAGGAATCGCCTCTTCGGCGTTGAACCAAGCACATCTACTGGCCAGCCAGCCCAGTCGACACCCTCCTTCTTTGGACAACCCGCACAACCACCCGCACAGCAAACTCAAACTAGCGCTTTCGGCTCCGCGGCTAACACTACGCAACAACAGCAACAACAGCAGTCACCCTTCTCGAACCTCACCGGTGCTGCAACCACGAATCAGCAACAACAGTCTAGTGGCCTTGGTGGTGGCCTCGGTGGTGGTCTCGGCGGTGGACTTGGTGGTGGTCTTGGTGGTGGACTTGGTGGTGGTCTTGGTAGTGGACTTGGTGGTGGTCTTTTCAACACTTCCGCTGCTGGCACAGCATCTACGAATACCCAGCAGCAACAGCAGCAACAGCAGCAACCACCTCGAACAGGAGGCATATTTGGTGGCGGGTTATCTACGGCTACTTCACAACCGCAAGGAGGAGGCATATTTGGTGGTGGACTATCTACGACTACTCAACAACCACAGGGGGGAGGCATATTTGGTACATCTACGGCCCAGCCTCAGCCAGCCGCAGGAGGTCTTGGAAGCTTTGGACTTACTGGAAACAACGCATTTCTAGGAACTTCGTCTTTACTTGGAGCTGGCGAAGCTAATGCGAGTGCCCTGCCACAAGGAAACACGACGGGTTATTTCGACAGCTTACTCTCCAAGGGAAAGAAACAAGGAAATGAGCAGTCTCCCCTCGAAGATCTTCCAAGTCTCCAGCTTGGCCTAGGTGACCTTCGCCAGCGCCTTCGAAAACTTGGCCCCCGAGCAGACCCTGCAGCGCACGATAAGGCACGATTTATCCTCGCCGCATCTGGTGTCGAGCCAGCGGCAGCGGTGAGGGACCTAAACGACTTCGATGTTCGAGTTGGAGGCCGCGTCGAACGCCCTACGGCTGCCCCTTCCGCTACCGACGTCGATGTCGATTCCTATCTTGAGAATCTCCAGAAGAAGACTACATTGAGTATGATTGCTGATGGCTTGGAAAGATCGGCGAGGGACTTCGACAACTTCCTAGAAGACAACATCACGATGGAGTGGGAGGCACAGAGGAAGCGCATTTACGAGCATTTTGGCATTAAGACTAGTCATGACGGACCCCAGGATGGACCCCATGGCACACCCAGAGAGTCCCATGCGGGCTTCGGCCGATCACGACGAACGACGAAAACTGCACGGTCTACCACACCAGGTATCAAGGCGAGCGCTTTTGGACGATCAAACCTCCAGAAATCCGTCATTGGCACTCCCAGCAAGATTGGCTCCCATCAACCTGAATTTACCGACGTTCAGGATACAACAGGGACTCCAGCTGCTCTGAACGGAACTGCATCGATGGACGATCGGTTCCTTCGAGAGAAGCAAGGCAGACTTGCGGAAAGAATACGACAGCTTAACCATGCCCGAATCGAAAAGCAGCCCTACCCAATTCTACACGAGCTCGCTGAGGTGGCGAGTACCTCTGGTGACCAACATGCTCCGCAGCTCGTTGATGCTTATCATGCTGCTATGGCCATCGTGGGAGAGAACCCGGAAGCAGAGAGCTTTGCGAGCGATGCCACAGCACGAGAGCGCCAATTCAAAGATAAATACTTGGACGCAAATGAGAAATCTCTTGGGTCGGTGGAAATGCGAAAGCGAATTCTTCATGGTGCGAATACCTTCCTTGAGCGGAAGTTCTTTCAGCAAGTCGAAGGAGTCATTGCTAAGCACCCCCGAGAGGCCAACCTGGGTGGCCGCCCCGATGTTATCAGCAAGATCAAGGCTTATGTTCGGCTAAGGAGCGCTAGGAAGGACCTTGTGCCGGACAACATCGAGCTTCAGCAAGTGGAAGGGGAATTTGTTTGGGCTATTGTGTTCTACCTTCTTCGTTCCGGAAAGATTGCCGAGGCTGCCGACTATGTTAAGACCCAGTCGACCACTTTCCGAAGCATTGATCGTACCTTCGCATCATACCTCCTAGAGTATGTTAGCAGCCCCGACAGACGCCTGAGACGTCAGCTACAGGAGCGTTGTAACAATGAGTACAACCAACGAGCTCGCAATGCGCCCGAGAACTCCATTGATCCTTACCGCATGGCCTGCTACAAGATTGTAGGACGCTGCGACGTGAACAACCGTAGTCTTGATGGACTAAATACGGAGATTGAGGACTGGATATGGCTTCAATTCAACCTCGCTCGTGAAATCGACAAGGCAACCGAAGTGGCTGCTGAATCGTACGGATTGCAAGATCTGCGAACTAGTATCAGAGAGATCGGCCTCAAGCACTTTCCGAAATCTCCAAGCGATGACGATAACGGCGCATTTGGCATGTACTTCTTCCTACAGATCCTCTCAGGCATGTTCGAGCAGGCCGTCGCATATCTCTATGCGTTTTCATATGTCGATGCTATTCACTTTGCCATTGCGCTTGAGTACTACGGTCTTTTACGTTCTTCAGACCCCTGGACCACGGCAGATTCTCTCCTTTCGCACGATACTCGCTCCAGACCACAGCTGAGCTTTGGCCGAATGCTTGGATACTACACACGCGATTTCCGTGCTGCCGATGTTGCCTCTGCTGTGGACTATCTCACGCTCATCTGTCTCAATGCCGACCTGGGCGGCGAGGCCGGGCGACAGCAAGCAGAGCTATGCCACGTGGCTTTACGAGAGCTCGTCTTAGAGACTAGGGAATTTAGTAAGCTCATTGGTGATATTCGACCAGATGGGCGCCGTATCACTGGTCTCATTGAAGAACGCGCCTCGCTTATTGGCCTTCGGGAGGAAGATGATTTCGTTAAAACAGTTACCTTACAAGCAGCCCGATTCGCCGATGATAACGGCCGAACGACAGATGCTGTATTATTATACCATTTGGCGGGAGATTACGATAGTGTGGTGACGATTGTGAGCCGTGCTCTCAGTGAGGCCATCTCACTAGAGATTGGGGAGGACCCCATGCGTTTGATGCCAGTTAAGCCCAGATCGGACGGTAAGAGCCCCGAGGCGCAGCCTGGCAGCAGCTTGAGTTTGGCATCGGTTGACGACCCCGTTCAACTTGCCATGACGATGATGACGATGTACGAAAAGGACGCCATGTTCTACACCAAGATCGAAAACCAAAACCGCGTCGCATGCCACATTCTCCTACAGATGAGCGATATCAAGGGCACCGTCGAGGCTGGCCAATGGCCAGAGACTCTAGACGTAAGTGCCTTTTTCTTTTTTATTTGTCTATTTGCCTTTTGCCTTCAAATACCCAACTGTATCTTTATGGTTTTATGGTGAATGCTACTAACAAATTACGTAGAAAATCCGTGCATTGGAGATTTTACCGCTGGATGCTAATGGCGATCCGGCTCGAATCCGGCAGTACGCAGCTAAATTCTCTGGACTATCTCAGACGGTTGCTATCAATGTACCAAACCTGCTGATGTGGACGATTACATGCTGCATTCGACAGAGGGAGAGACTTGCGACGGGACAGTTCAGTGGAAACGAGGGCACGCGGAAGATGATGTGTAAGAACTTGAAGCAGATAAGCATGGACTTGACTACATATACTAGCCAGCTGAGATATCGGTTCCCACCGCATCTGCATGAGGCATTGGCCAGGGCATCTTCTGACTAGGAACAAGAAGATTGTTCATGTAACGAGTAGTATAGTGTCCTGCGGTGGCTAGGGAGGGGAATCAAAGGGGGAGTAAACTTGTTATTAGTAAGGAGAAGGGTACGAAATAGAAAGAGGGGAAAGAAATGAATAAATAAGTAAGGAGAGAGAAAGGATGCTTTTGTGTTTTTCTCTTTTTCCCCCAACGATAACGATAAAAGATTAAGGGAGATGCCGCAAGGTTGAAAGTGAAGCTTCAAGATGTGTGAAGCTACTAGGTTAGGGTAATGGTGGTAACTATGTATTGTACATGTAGTAATGGGTGAATTGAGTAGTTATCAATTAAGTTTTATGTGACCCACTTGGTATGTTCGTAGTGGAGCCTCGTGGGGTTAGCTATGGGGTCAGTTACGGGGTCAGTTACGGGGTCAGTTACGGGGTCAGTTACGGGGTCAGTTACGGGGTCAGTTACGGGGTCAGTGGTAATAAAATAAAGCAAGTTTTGATTAGACCAGGTTGGCTTGACGCGTCTTGTCTTTGTTCAATGTTAAACCAATACTACTAACTAACTAGTAGTAAATCATGATAGTACACCATTTACGCCAACTACGTACTATGTACTCGTACTACGGCAACACTACGGCAACACTGGCTCCCTTTAATCTTTCTTCTGCTATTAATTATTGTCACATCAAATGCTCCCAACCGCAAATTCGCCTTTCTCCTACTCCACTCCCCTCTCCACTTCTGCTTCTGCCGCCATCTCTGCAGCCAATCAGTCTACCTCGTCCACTGCCACCACCACCACCACCACTACTGCCACTGCTACTACTGCTGCCACTAATACTGTCACTGCCGCTACCAACACCAATACCGATACCGATACCTCTATCTCTACCTCTGGTCCCACCCACAACCACGGGAACCCTTCCGAGAGTACGGAGACGGCCTCCGAACCTAGGCTTACTCTAACCCGAAGTCTCCACATACGCGGCCCCTCCCACGATGGCCAGTCTTCCGACTCCGGCAACGCATCCTCTCTACCGGCCCGTGATCATGCCTCTGCCGGCGGCCTCGAGGACCAGCGAACCAAGAAACGCCGTATCGGCCCTAGCACGAGGGGTGTAGCAAACCTAACACCTGAGCAATTAGCTAAGAAGAGAGCCAATGGTATATATCTCTCTTTAAATCTGTAGTTCTACGCTCTCCGCGCTACGCTTTCAGTGAAACTTCCTGGCCCTGACCTCCTATCTCGTATACACCCTAAGTCTTGTAAACGTTGCCGTATCGGCTTACTCTCCGTATCCTTTCCCTTGCTTGGTACTTTGCCAATACCATATAGCCCTAGCTATCTATAATCATACATAAAATGTAACTAATCATCATAGATCGGGAGGCACAACGAGCCATCCGCGAGCGTACGAGGAACCAGATCGAAACGCTTGAGGCGCGGATCCGCGAATTGACCTCCCAACAGCCGTATCAGGAGCTTCAGGCCGTCATACGGGCTAAGGAGGCTGTCGAGGCTGAGAATGCCGAAATCAAGAGCCGGCTAGCTTCTATTATGTCCTTGATACAGCCCATATTGAATAATCCGCCAGGTGAGTTCGAGTTCATTGGTTGGGTCGGAAAGCATCTGTACCTTGAGATACTACTGGAAACTTGTCTTTCAGCCATTCGTGCAATAGTAAAGGATAGCGAAAGCTAACAGATGTCGTCTCAGCCGAAGCGGCCTCCGTATCACCAATCCTCCATTTCACACCAACTCAGACCTCGCACCGTTCACCCTCCGTTCCTGCTAGCTACAATGCTTCCACACCCATAAGTGCTGCGTCTCCCGCCTCGGTAGCGGACTCGTCGTGGCAGACCCCAGGACATACGCAGCCAAGTCCGAATTTTTCTCAGGTTAAGTTGTTGAACCAGCAACGACAGGGCCTATCTCACAGCCTAGACCTCGGCACCGGTGAGCAGTTAAAGCTTGATTTCCTGCTTGATTCCACGCAGCGCGTGAATAAAATGCAGACAGGCCCCAATGGGGCTCAAGACACTCCCGAATATCATCATCTCCCTATGAAACATGATTGGAATGCCGCTTCGTTCACACCACCGCAATACAGTGCAGTTGTGATGGGTGGAACGCAGCAACACCAGCAACAACGCATCGAATATGCACCACAGATCACGGCAGAAGACCTAGACGCATCCCGGGTTAGCATGAGAGCTCCAATCAAGAACTCTCCCCCTACTTGCCCGCTTGATAGCCTCCTAATCGAATTTCTTAACGAAAGACGTCAGCGAGCGGCTGAAGGTGTCCCCGCACGGGATGTAGTGGGACCGAGATATCCCTCTGTCTCATCGCTCCTCAACCCAGCACGCAGCGTACTTTCCCATCCGCTCTCCAAAGTCTTCACAGATATCCTGGCCGCCTTCCCGGGTATAAGCACTCTCCCGGAGCGAGTAGCCGTGCTGTATTTCATGTTTCTCCTTATGCGTTGGCAAATCAGTCCCACACAAGAAAACTATGACCTGCTACCGACCTTTGCTCGCCCCACGCCCGCACAGCAACAAATCACCCACCCAGCGTGGGTCGATCACATTCCGTTCCCGCGTATGCGAGAGAAACTGATCAAGGAGTACAAGCCGGTCGACTACCTGTTCGACGATTTCTTCATCCCCTTCACGACTACTATCTCGCTCAACTGGCCATACGAGGAAACGGACGCGCTGCTTCAGAGCCCAGACGGGGGCGAGCTGCTCGTCAACCCCGTCTTCGAGCGTCATATGCGGAGGCCCGAGAACTGGACGTTGGGCGACGCCTTTGACAAGGCCTTCCCCTGGCTCAGGGGCACGTACAATCTGAAGAGGTCTGGCCCCGGTATGAGAGATAACGCGGATGGGCATTTTAATGGCGGGTAGCTGGGTATCTACGCGAGGATTAGATGTGTTCGTCTTTACTGATATCTCTATTAAGAGATCTCATGCCGACCTGTTACGTCAATGATGTGACGTCTTAGACCGGGCTAAAAGGGGGAAAGGGGCTGGGCTCGAATCCTCATGCCAGTTTGGAAGGGCACAAGTTTCCTCCGTAAGGCAGGAAATTTAACAAGGGCTTTTTGCTGAGCAAGAGGTGATAAAAACGTGGGCTGGCTATGGTTACTGAGTATATACATGTATAGGTATATGTATATATGCTACATAATCACCCAGGCTAGTGTATTATTATATTATATAACGACGTGACACGGGGAGGAGGTTAAGATGTAATGAGGATATGGATTAAGCTGGGTAACTGAGTAAGCACCTACCTACCTAGGTAGGGACTATGCACCGACTATATATAGGTAATATATAGATACGGAAGAAAAGGATTTATAGGTTGTTTATGTCGAAATCATTCATGTTGATTCTGGTGCTGAAGTACTTCATAAGGGCCATGAGTCCGGTAAAGATGGGGGGGGGGTCTAGATATCAGGTTGATGAATGTCCCAGGAGATGAAAAGCTTGGAATAATTAATGTAGGTTAGGTAGGTATAATACATGCATGTACGTTATTAGCGAAAACGATGTTATTATACGCGCCCCCTTTATGCTAGCCATCCATCCATCCATGCAAGAGAGTCAGCCAAACCAGCCAATCAATTAATCAGCCATGAATAGTTGCAAATGCCAATTTCAATGCCGATGCCGAACCCGACGCCCCTATCTCCCATGCAAATTCATTGCCTTATTTTGAATCCCTTCGTTTGGCCGGATGATCCGGCGCATTATGTGTGTACATAGGTATTAGGTACGTACTTATGTAAGTAGGTACCTACCTAGGTTAGGAATCTCTTTTTGATCGTATGCCATCATTACCATTATAGAGGGGAAAGCACTCCTTTCCCTCCCTTCTCGCCCAAATTCATGCTATGCTATGCCGTTCCATGCCCTGTCGTTTGCCATATACAAGCACCTCCCCGGGAAGTAAAGGGGCGTGGGGGATGGGGAATAGCAGTGGTCCTTAATGTTGACAAGGAAATGCAATTAATACAGATAGGAAACAGAGGAATGGGAATATTAAAAGGCCCCCGGGCATTCAAGCAGTGCTTTCTGTTGATGTTGTTGTTGTTCTTGTTATATGTACCTGGAAGAACCCCTTCACGCCGAACGAGACAATCAATCCTCGTCGTCTTACTTGCTGGCATCGACTGAATACACCTTGATCTGATTGTCCTCGCCCATGAACAATCGAGGCATGTTGTCTCCGGGAAGGGCCTGCATCTGTATGCAGTGAATGGGCCCATATCCCGAGTGAATCGCATCGATCACGGGAGAAGGGAGCCGACGGCCGTCCCGGACGGAGTAGAGCGCAACCTTGCCGTCGTCATGCGCTGCCGCCACGACCCCGGTGTCCTTGTCAAAGTCGAAGCCGAGGGTGAAGTGAGCCATGTTCTTGTAGCCCGGTATATTCAGGAGGGGCAAGGCCTTGTGGTAGGGGTTGTCATCCGAGGCTGGGCTGTATCGACAGTATCGTAGATCGAATATCGAAAGCATGTTGTTGAGACCAGCCACTAGTACCTGGTAGTCGCTCACGGACTTGATGTGGGCAATGGAGTTTGGCAGCGTCATGCTATCCCAGGACATAGGGGCCTCACGCAAGTCGCCTTTGTGAAACTGGCCGGGACGGCCGCCCATGAAGAAAGTGCTGTGATGGTTGACCTGGTAGTCGATGGCGAAAATGTCGCGGAAACGAGTAGTGTAGCTTGAAGAATTTCGGCCGGAAATAGGGGTTATGTACCGTAAGCCCATCGGTTCCGTGAGGCTCACTAGGCCACGGTCCGTACCTATCAAAGCTACAGTGTCATTGTTCTCGGTGGAAGGGCAGATAAAGTAGCCAGCAAAGTATTCCATGTCCCGAGAGTGTCTCTGAACAGGAGGTTGATCGGGGCCCAGCTGTATGCCTGCGAGGCTTACACTGCGCTCGAAGTGTGCCTCCCCTATATTTGTTGTCATGTTAGCATCATCACTCACACATACCTACCCAGGGTAGTGAAAAAGGAAAGAAAACGCTCCACTTACGAAACCACAATCCTGGATCATACATCACATATGGCAGTGATGAAAGGTCATCACAGACGATGAGAACGCCATGCAATTTTTTGCTATACTTGATGCAAGAAACAGAAGATTGTGATCGGGACCTTGTTCTCGACGTGGGATCCCATGAAACTCTGTAATTGTAGCTTTAGTTAGCGTAGTGTACTTGGGAAGCCTTTCTATCTTGATGTGTAAGATAAAGGAGTTTGCTCTACCTCTGGGTGTTGGGGTTAGTGACGAAGTGTGTGGTCTTCAGATTATCTCCGTCAAGACCTGCAAACATTCGCGTACGGTTAGTTCCTATTTTCCATTTGTAGCGAGGTATTCTACTGAATCGACTCACTTGTCACGGCGACTGAGCAGTTGGTAGATAGAGCCAGGTGTCGGAGGTTCGACGACGTGCTTGAAAAGCCCGAAGGCACGTGGCCCATCTCAACAATATCACGAGCAAAGCTGACAGCCGCAAAGTCACGAATATCCTCGCCAGTTTCACGCTTCAGAAAGCGACTTGCTCGTAGATCCCTCATGATAGGAGGAGGCGCAATGCGCTTCGCGTCCAATTCGAGACGACGAGACTTTGTGACAGCCTCACGGTCCTTGAACTTGCGCTTCTTCACATTGTCCGAAGACCAGGCCGCATTGGTCGGTGCGGTCTTACTGTTCTCAACCTTGAAATAGCGACGCTTATAGGGATCTACCATAAAGGTTACTGTTAATAATTGCATATAACATTTATGATTCGAGCTTACCATAATAAAATCCCGGAATCTCTGGCGGCGCCATCTTGAAAGCATTGGATGGGGGTGGCACTGACTGGTGAGGAAGAAATTGGAAATTGGAATTAGTTAAAGACTAGTTAAAGACGGGAGATGTGTAGAAGGTAAAAAAAAGAACGTTGAATGGCAACTGAATGGGTATTCTAAGGCGGTGATAAACGACGACTAGACATATCGACTTTTAAGATATAGTAGGTATCTACATACCTCACTATGTAACTACCCGTAATATGGCCTTGTCGAAAAAGTCGACTTGAATGCCTTGAATGCCTTGAATGCTGCAGGGATATATGCACTACACCCATCCAAACAATACCTACGCACATCCACGTGACTGACCAATGAGGCCACAAATGTGAAAATTACATATGTATGCGCCTACATATACGTAAAGACCTACACATACCTATGTAATTACATGTCTACACTCTAGACTCTACCTAGGTAGGCAGGTATAGGATATAAACAAACATCAGCAAACATTCACACAAAACACAAGGCCCAAATATTTATATATCTTTTTTCATTCTTATTAAGCCTAAGAGACGTGGGTATGATGAAACCGAGGCCTATACGCCGTGGTATTTCAGTTTACAAGAAGGAAAGAAAGTGAACAACCAAGCCTACTTGGATTATATCTATAGACCGTAGGACAGTATGTACCACCAATTAAAACTCCCCCCCAGGCCACCACCACCTACGTGACGACATTCACTTCATAAGGGGTTGATTTATTGGGACTTTTCGTGCTGGGTAGAGACACGTTGAAGAGAGACGACTATGAATTACGTTAGCCAAGATCCTATGCACGAACACCACCAGAGTGTTAAGGGGGGTATTGGAGGGTTTCATTAACTTACCGAAATCTTCGAGCGATCTCTGCTTTTGGCTGCCCTTGGGGGACTTGCCGTGCATGAGGTTGTCGAATCCAACGCTGTCCTGGAGGATGTAGTAAACACCTCCCATGATGCAGAAGACACCGAAGGAGAAGATCCAGATACGGACAACAGCAACAATGTGAGTGTATCCATGGTCGAACCAACCCCAGATGGTGAAGCAAGTGGCAAGAATATCAACGAGAAGAATGGCACCAGTTAGTTGCCACGAGGGAATAGACGACCAGAAGGGACCATTGGCACGGGTGATGAAGATCAGCCAGTTCTCAGTAAGAGAAATCTCAAGGAAGAGAACCTCGTCCATGTTACCGTTGTTCTGGACAATACCACCATTTTCGCCCTGAGCATACATGGTAGTGACAGTAATCCAGGTACCGACAGCAAGGACGACACCGAGCAAGACGGACATACCCCAAAGCTTGGGAAGGTTCCACTTAACAGGGCTCATAGAGTAAGGTGCATTGTCATAGGCGATGGCCAGAGTGGCGACATCGGCAAAGATGGCAATGAAGACGACCAACTCGATGTTAAGGGATCGGTTCAGAATGGCAATCCACAGGCCAAGATAAATCTCCAAGTGGAGAGAAAGGGCGATACGATAGACAACGTAGGCGTACATGCGGTGGAAAATTTGACGGGAAGTCTTAAGAGCATCGATGATAGCACCGAGACCAGGAGCCAAGAAAACAATGTCGGCAGCGGAACGGGCAGCATCGGAAGCACCCTCGACAGCAATACCGGTATCAGCCTTCTTCAAAGAGGGAGCGTCGTTCACACCGTCACCAGTCATGGCAACGAGGTAGCCACGCTGCTGTAGAATCTCGACGACGTTGTACTTGTGTTGAGGGAAAACCTCAGCGAAACCATCAGCAGCCTCAACGAAATCGTAGACCTCAGAACCGGGCATATCACCACCACCGCCAAGACCAAGGCGCTCAGCATTGTAGACGTTTGTACCAAGACCAAGTTGACGAGAAGTTTCACGAGCAATACCAACGGCATCACCAGTAAGCATCTTGATGGATAGACCTAGGCGCTTGGCTTCGTTGATAGTACGGGCAGTATCGTGGCGAGGGGGGTCAGAGCAAGGCATAATACCGAGGATCTCCCAGGCACCTTCACCACGCTTGCGAGCAACACCAAGAGAACGGAAACCACGGGTAGCGAACTCGGCAACCTTGTTCTTGTAGGCCTGGTCAACCTCCTCAGGAATGGGGTGGTCTTCCTCGACAGTCTTGAGAACGAATAGAGGGGCACCCTTGACACAGGTAATACGCTCGCCTTGAGGGGACTCGACAATCGCAGTAACCTTCTTTGAGACAGGGTCGAAGGGGAAGAATTCTTTGACAATGTACTTGGATAGAACACCCTTGGCACGAGGATAGTACTTGAGAGACTTCAGGAAAGCCTTGTCGATGGCATCCATACCCTTCTTCTTGCGGCTGGCAGCAAGGCAGGCAGTGAGCATAAGATCTTCAGGATCCACACCGGCGACAGTGTAGGGCTCAGAGAGAGACAACTTGTTCTTGGTCAAAGTACCGGTCTTGTCGGAGCAGAGAATTTCAACACCGGCAAGAGACTCGATGGCGGAAAGCTTCTGTACAATAGCCTTCTTCTTGGCAAGATAAGCAGCACCGACAGCCATGGTGGTGGTGACGACAGCAGGAAGACCGACGGGAACACCAACGATGGTGATGGCAAGAGTAAACCGGAGAATATCGACAATGGGGTTGGATCGGTAGAAAGATGAAACCCAGACGATCAAGAGAGTGAAAACGACCAGAATGAGTAGCACAGTTCCAATACCGTTGAGGACTTCAGTGAAGTGACCACTGCCAGCGGAAGCCTGGTTGACAAGAGCGGCAGCGCGTCCAACGAAAGTGTTGTCACCGGTGGCGGTAACAACCATGAAGGCCTCACCACGCTTGACAGCCGAAGAAGCGAAACATTGATCGGCCTTGTGCTTGTCAACGGCGAGTGATTCACCGGTGATGGCAGACTGATCGACTTGTAGGAAAGCATCTTCGGTGACGATTCGGCCATCGGCAGGAATGATAGTACCCTTGGAACGAAAAGTTAGCAAAAACTGTTGGCTGCTGAGCGAGAAATTGTACTTACCTCTTCAACTTGGAGGATATCACCGGGGACGACTTGAGGAGCTTCAACTTCCTTGAGGGTACCGTCTCGAAGAACAACAGCCTTAAGGGCAAGGGTCTTCTTCAGTTCGTCGACAATTGAGCCAGCCTGGTATTCTTGAATGAAACCGACACAGGCGTTGAGAAGCAGCAGGGCGCAGATGACACCGAAGTCGACCCAATCTTCCAAACCGGCTGCAAGGACAGCAGCAGCCTCCATAACGAATTGAATCGGTCCGACAAAGAAACCCTACAGGAAATGTTAACAAAGACTACTCCATCAATAGAATATTGGCTTTCAAGACTCACGAGAAACTTGAGGATAAGGTTTTCCTTCTCCTCCTTCATCTGGTTGAGACCATATTTTCGGCGACGGTTGGTGACCTCCGCTGTGAATAGTGTTAGCAACAAGCAATCATGAAACGATCGATTCGCCGATGAGGTGGGGGTTTAACTTACACTCCGTAAGACCGACACGAGTATCAGTCTGGAGCATCTCCTCTGGTACAACACGACCAGCACCGGCAGGCGAAGCCTCCTCCTCTTCGTCATCATCAGCGTTTCCATCCTGAGATTCGAGGTCCTCGATCAAGGCGTCGATATCCTCATCTTCATCCTCATCCTCGCCCTTGACAGTCTTGGTTGGGGCGGGATCTTCAACACGGTGGGCTTCTTTCTCGTCAAATTTCCCCGACTCTATATTGGTGTGTAGTGCCGGCGCGGCGGCATTGTTGGACTCAGCCATTGCGGCGAGTTTCTAGAGATGACAGCCGAGTAATACTCAGTGTCAAAATAGAAGGTAAAGAGTTGTTGAGAGGACGAAGTCCAGGGAATTATTATTATTTACTCCAGGTTAGGCGAGTAAGAGAGATCGGCGACAAAAGTAGGATCCGGGATGGTGAAATGCTGATTAGGGTGTTATGTAGGTGACGATGTTTTTCTTTTTTTATTTGGTGAGGTATGATGTCGTGAGTGTAAAATGGACGACGGTCAAACTGATCACACAGAGGGGAAGAGGGGAGATTTTTGGCGGAAGGCACCACGGACGACCTTGGGTGGAATTGACGAGAGAGCCGAACCAAGTCTTCAACGTGATGAGGAAGAGAAGAGGAAAGCGCGTTCAGTGTGGGCGACCAATTTCTTTATAAGACTTGGGAGACACAGCAACGAGAGAAAGAGCTAATCCGAATGTGGGGCCCAAGTTGACCAAGCTTCAAGTGGCTCACAGAGCAGAAGTATCGGTACGGAGCAGCACAGTGTGAATCACTATTCCGTCTGTTCCCATTGTCTCCAGTTTTTAGCAACCAATAGGTCCCCATTGGCCAAGCCAGGGCGAGCTATAACTACTATGTACAATTGATACCGTAGCTTGTACCATAGTACTATATCTTATAGCTTCTCCGACTGTACATAGTACATAGCATCTACGGTACATACAATGGTAAACTTAGTATTATGGGCGTGAACATCTAATTTTCATTGTAGCGCGTGAATTCATGTTACTCAAGCGCGAATTTCGCAAAGCAACCTGCCTCACCAAGTTACAATTATCACCGTGTAAGTTTTTTTTCTAGGGGTCCAGACTCCAGCTATCATCTTAGTGATACGTCCGTATTGGATGTACATAGTTAGTAGATAACTTTGTAGGTGACTTTGGTCGCGAATTCTAACACTATTATTCATCCCAAGGTTTGTTTACGTCTAATGTACATACTTCTCTACCTACAATGGTCCTACATGTATGTAGTAATATGTGTATTATGTAGGTTACGTAGCTAGAAATGACTTTGGTTTACCTTAAGACTTCAATGTTCTCTCGGGAAATTGCTTTCTATGCACATCAGTACCCAGGTGTTAAAGGTACGGCCCATCGCACGCAATCTTTAGTAGCTAGTCTTGTACTGTACGTAGCATAGGTATACCGAATTAGGCGAAGAGTACCCAATCTATGTACAGGAAATAGTGTACAGGATACAGAAGTATGTGCACTAGTCACAGTGTGACTTGGTCCCTGCAGACTCCACCTCTCGGTACCTGAACAGCTCGACTCCACATCCCATCTCTAAAGGCAAGAGTATCTTTGCACCCCATGAACTTCCTGATATTGCGGGAATTACTCAATTGCGCCCATGTTTTTCCCATGATGACAGAAGCGCACCGACTTTTACCACCATTATTCGCAGTCAAAGCTTGAAAAAAAATAGTGTCGAAGCTGAAGAGGTAATTAATCTTTCCAATTGATTAAATTTGAAATGTTGTTTATTGATGCTTATGCGATGATTGGCATTGGAAACATGTTATGATCTCATTGTTTCTAATGTTTTTTTTTCTTTAAATTTTTTTTTCCTCATCCTTCCTAAATTTTGCGCTTGCCCCAAATCAAGATTCCTTGAGCTCTCTGCATTCGGGAAGCACGGTCGCTCTTTTCTGGGGCCAATGGGCTTATGCGAGGGCTGCTAATCGTTGACTAGGAAAGCCCATGTAAAGTCAGGTAGTACTTGTTACTTGTACTACCTAGGGTAGGTATTAGTACGTTTTTTCTTCACAGTGTCAGCTCGTACTTAATCCCCAGTTAGTGTTCCTTGTTACTGTGCTACACTACCTAGCAGATACGCTACTTAAGCATGCTATGCTACGCTACCCACATTTCACATCCATCCACATTCATACATCCCATTAATCATATCCACATCCACCATCTGCAAACTGCAAAGCAGATAGATAGATGCCAGACACGGTACATATGTACATACATGATGGATAAGCCAGCCAGTCTCCGGATTATGAGCCATTTTCCATTTAGTGAGGCTGCTTTCGAAAGCAGAAAGCCGCTAGAACCCACCATTGTGTTGCCGATCCTGCTAAGAAACACCATGAGCAGCATCTTAGCATGTTCGTCTACCTACATATTATCTACTAATAATATGTAAGAGCTCTACTACAAGTCTACAACTGGTCCATCGGTTGGTCCATCGGTTTCATTAGAGTCTACATACCACCTGGGCTGGGCACACACCATGCCATGCAGCTGCTAACCACATAGTAATACCTACCTAGATACGTTAGCAGGTTAGTTATCCTAGGTTAGGTCCTCAAGTTGCTAAGTTACTAGGTTAGTTGGTACCATAGTAGTGGTTGCAACTTCTGGTTGGTGCCGGTTGGTAACAATACAACACCTCCAGGGCTATTTACAGCATCCCCAGCATCCCCCAAGGGCAACTATTGCGAGATCCATCAAAATGCCCAGCCCTTTGCCCAGGCCGTCCCTATTAACCGACAATCGTCATTGTCTGACGTGGAGTACAATACGTATTGTCTACCAGTGGCCTACCAAATGCGGATTTTGTTGCTAAAGCTCAGGGCTCATGGGCTCAGAGGTGCCTGAGCCGCGGGCTAGGGGAACTTGAACCGTCGAAAGCACCCAGCGTAGGAGGTACCATGTAACTTACCATCCACATCCACATCCACCGCTATGTGATGGTACCAATTCCGCCAATTCCTACGACACCAGACAGGGCTTCTGGCGTGTGTGGCTTACTTTTCCCTACGTCATGGGTCCATGGGATCAATCCCGCATTTTCCATCCTACAGCAGACCAGTGGCCCAGCTGGGAGGTCACAGACCACATGGATGGTACCATATCGTAGTTTGCGTTGGAAGATTTTTTTTTTCTTGTCCTCGCGGCTGTCTCTTCACCGACATGCTCCGGCAAAACGACCTCGGTGAAAAATAAAGGCGCTGGTTCTACTACGGTATCGCCTACCGCAATTCCTCGGGTGGACATTCGCTCGGTATGGCCGCGACTCCACAAAGCTTGCTGCTGCTTGAAATCTCGTGGCCACCGTCAATCAATTGCATACATCATTATACATACATAGTCATACATACATACATACATACATCTAGAAGTTTTAAGCAGTTAGATAGCATGTATGCGGCCGATGCCCGATATCCGCTATTATTACTTGCCCCTTCATATATACACGGAGTGCGTTAGTCTCAGGGTGAAGATGGGCCAGCCTTAAATAAGCTTGAACAGCGAACTTATCCCCACAGATTGCTATTCCAAATGAAGCCGGAACAGCGCGATCTCCTCTAAAAATCATTCGAAAGGCCCCTTTTCGGTCATCGGCATCCTCGCTATCTCGAATGCGACGGTTTGCCTCATCTTAGCTCAAACCACTTGAGACTCTTTATGGCTGTCTGGCCTCCGTCATGACTCGCCGCCAGTAAAGCCGAACATAAGTCCAAGTGCATTGTCATAGCTACATATCTCATTCACCGTAGGGGCAAGTAAGTGGTCGCATGGGCAAAGTCATAGGGAATCTTTAACAAAGACTTAATCAAGCATGTTACTTGAACATCCGGATCTGGAGCCAGCCCTGGCTACCAGGTCAGGTAAAATAGGTACGTATCATCAATTAGTTCAAGTTAGTAGAACTGGATTCACCAATCATAATTACGATAAAGAGTTTATCTCAAGAATCGGGATTCGCGCAGCTAGTATAGGTATGTACGTGATTGTGCCAAGGGATGCGTCTGGGAAACGATAGGAGGATTGACCTCGCCGTTCGCGGGCGTCTAGGTATTAACTACGGTATTACGGTATTACTAAGTAGCTGGGCAGCTGGGCATCTGGGCAGGCTCAGAAGAGCCGGAAAGCGTGGGAGGCGTGGGAGGTATGCGAGGGCAAAGGCATGGATAACATGGATGCGCAGGCATGGAGAAAGTCTTGTTCTTTGAAAGTGTGTGTGTACAGTGGAAATTCCAAGGAATTACACTGGGAGGATCCGAGGATCGAAGCCGCTCGTGTCGCTAGAGGAATATCCCATTTCGCGGTCCCCATTCGAGCTTCTGTTAGTGGTCAAAAGGCTCTAATTCGGACATTATGTGGTTCCTTTGCTCAGGGCGTAATTTTATGATTTGTTTACAAGACTTATTATTCCGAACCCAGGCACCCAGCACAAGGCCAAGTTGGTAGTAGCTTCAACATGTTAGGGGGATCCGTAACGGGCCTTACGGGCAGACCCTTTCCTAACAAGTGCTTGACCCCCGACATTTGACCATCAATGCTCGCGTCTCCGAGGGCCGAAAGTGTGAGCGAGAGTGGGAAAAAAAACCGCGCTTCTGCTGCTTTTAACATTGCTTCCCCACGGGCCACTCACGGGGCCCCCATGCTGCGAAACGGCTCTCTGCGACTCTGCATTCTGCGTTCTGCTCTAGTACGTTTCCCTACAGCCGAGCTACTACCCGGAAGCGCACATGTGCCTCGTCTCTTGCTTCCCCGGGGCCTGCGAATCAGATCCTATAGCCCCCTTGGTGATATACCAGTACCCACGATGCTTCGTCGTGGTAACATGGTAACAGACGCCCCAGCCGCCGTGCGTGTTTAAGGCAAGGATCCGATGCAAGCAAGTAACGATGAAACCCAGCTACGAAAAGCTTGGTTCCTCTCTAATGGCACTTGAAACAATCCATCTACATAGGAATATCATAGTAAACATGGCAAATTTGGTGTTTGTTTATTACTACAGTACGTGTATCAAAATTGTCAAAATTACATAGTAACATACACAATGTTATTTAAATTTAGTAGCAATGAAAGTAGTTACATACCTGTATACATTGTATGTGCTCAAGCCTCCTCATAGATCCTTTTCTTTGTTTCTTTCTCTTTCTGGCCACGGACTAGTATAAAAGTTTTCCGTTCGAATAGTTTCGAATAGTTCAACGTTTACTTACTACCAGTGCACGTGTATGTTGTAGATACATATAGCCTTAGAGATAGCGTTGAGCAGGTATAACGCCCTAGAAAACAAAATAGATCAACTAAATTCAACGCCAGAAGACGAATTTGTTCCAACTTGATTGCCCCAGACTAAGAGACTCTAGGCTTTAGCCGTAGATGGCAACATAAGGTTCCACGTTCCTGACTATGTCATCTAGAAGCCTTTCTAGGCGCCGTCCTGGTGGTAGCTTTATCTTAAGCTCGGGTCTCTTGTCATCCAGACTTCACACTCTCCAGACTCTACTACCTAGCATCGAATCGTAAGTGGCCATTTTTCCCGTTTAGCATCATCCATAGCACGCCTTTAAAGTCATGGTAACGGCCACGAAAGCTTGTCACACGGGTTTTTTGTTACATGGCTCCCAACCAAGTGCTTAGAAAGGGTATGACAGATCTAAAATTGTTCGATCTCTCCGCCGCCAAGGCCGACTTGATTCTCCCTGGCGCGCGCACTTACCTACTCACAATTTTTGAAGATGTATGGGACGTACCAGGCCTGGCCTCCTCTTAGCACCATCCGCGGAACCAAACTTCATGCGATCGTGGGAAACATCTGACATATGAGTTACTCTCCCCAGTAGCGTCTGTGTGAGCCCGAGTAAGTATCCGGCTCCAGATGTCTTTAGGGACAATCAATCCCAAAGTAACTCTCAAAGTAACTGTACTTTGTCCACGGTGCTTGCCAGACGGACAAACTAATTCAAGTTTTTTTTTTTAGGGTCTTGAATGTTCCTGATCTGACAATATCGCCTTGGCACGTATAGTGTAGTTTGCGCGTCCCGCCAAGGAGCCGCAAAGATGCCAATAGCGTATAGGAAGGCCCTAATGAACATTTATCATCTTGGTATTTCCCTTTTTCGGTGATCAGGATTGCGGTATTCTAGACACGATAGACATAGACATTGACAAAAAAGAATGAAGACGTAAACCAGACAGTATAGGGTCTTGGCTCCCACTGCCGGTCCTCACTTCGTTCCTAATCCTAATCCTCGTCAATTCCCATTCCCCAAATCCCTCGCGCCGCAATTGCTGTTATTATTGTCATCGACTCATCGCTACCGCTAACTTGGATCTAAACACTTTGTCGCGGTGGGATGAATGCCTATGTAAGCCAAGACCAGTAGAACGACCAGGCGAATGACGATCCATCTAACTTCTCCATGGGGTGGGCGCCGGTCCCCTTTTTTAATCCACGAAACATCCTTGGCAGGCTTGCTACATCGTAATCTCTCTTCCTCAATCAATAAAGTAACGGTCAAAGGTATTGGTAAAAGAACGCGTTACCGCTTATACATACGCTTCATAAGGAGTAGTAGCCGCGCAAACTGCAGTGCCAAGAGGAAGATGACGATGTGCGCTTTGCGATTACTAGACACCGATGGATGGGAAAGAAGGTGGGAAATCCAAAATTCATAGATGCCACGTACATACAATTACGCTGTAGAATCTACCTTACCTTAGTCAGAATGCCGCAATAGAGTGATAAAAATAGTTAAACCGTGCTAACCCAACAACCAGCCTCATCAGGCGCGCGTTGGGGAAGGCTGGTATGGTATTATTCCATGGGCTGGGCAAGTCGGACGATCTCGCCTTCTCTACCTCTCAGCTTCTTTGCTTGGTACAGCGAACCCTACCTAGAACGTTCAGAAAAAAGCTCGAGCATTCGTAACATAGTACTAACTATGCATTGAACCTACATATGTACCCAAGGCTACCGTACCGTACCGTACCATACCCAAGGTTAAGGGGGTTGAAAAATTACATAGTAGACCAAGACTTCAAAGAGACCGAACACACACACACAAAAGCCTCCAAGCCGGGGTTACGTAAAGCCAGGGGCGGTCCATCCGATTCGCAGCGAATGATTGATGTAGGACACAAGTACGGCCCGTCTCGGGCTCGGCAGGGTGACGATCGGCTTGCTTCCCCGGGAAGCCCCGTATTCAGCAGCCCGTACAATTGGGCATTCCTGTCCCCTCTTCCCCCTTTCCTAACCCCCGTGTTCTATTTTCCTTTAGGGGGGGGGGGGTCCCCTAATACATAACCTAGGTTAAGCCTGCGGCTCTTTAAGAAGCCCCTTACCGAACTTGACCGACTTTGTCGACCGCTTAGCCACAACGTGTATGTATGTATGTATGTATGCACGTCGCATACTTTACCTGGGCATCGTCGTCAGCAGAGGAGAGTTTTGGTCGCCCGTTCGTCAATAAAGTGGTTCTAGCTCTGGTAGCGACAGTTAGCATGGCGATATATGCGCTGACTATAGATGATTGGCAGCACTTGACCAGCAAAGCCTCCTTCTTACGTAGGCCACCGATTGATAGGATTGTATGAGATATTTTATGAGATATTTTTATAGCTATTCTAAGGTTTATTTTTGATTCTTTTGGGAGCTGCCAAGCCTATCTGAATATCACCGTCGTCGTCAACCTACGCCTGACATACGTATAATGCGACGCAATGTACCCGACAGGAACTTGTTGCAATGCAGTTCATCAACTTTCTTTCTTTCTGGATGCCCAAAGCAACACAGCAAAAATGGCTCAGGCCAATGTTACCCCCACGGAATACCTCCAGGGCTCTTTTTTTGCCACCCGCCACATAGCCCTATAAAGGCGCACCTAGGTAACAGGTAGTAGTTGAAATGGGAGTTGCCAGCCCGAAGGATCGAAGAACCCCGGTATATTGATCAACCGACATATGTAAGTACATACATCGGCGCGTATGACGATGCACGTAATTGAGGGTTGTTGATTGGAGTGATTTGCCGTACAGCAAGCAATGTGCCTCAGTCTAACATGAAGAAATCACAAAGCTAATAATTACCTCATCATCGGATGCCGATGAGCTAGCTACCTTCTGCATGCTTCCATACAGCAAGTATGTAGATATGTATGTATGTATGTACATATGTAGACACAGTACATACCTATGTATCTCAACGATCTAGATAGATAAATACGTGAGCTCGCGATCTCTATCTCTCTTGTCTCTCTCCCTCTCTCTCTCCCTCTCCCTCGTCTTCACTAGCGGAAACGGTGGCTCTCTTGGCTGCCTAGTAAGTGCGCAGCCAAGCAATGGATACCTGCAACTCCGGGAGTCTTTATTTTAAAATCAAAACTACCTACGCGGTTGATTGGTCCTTTATATGTATTTGTTTTATTTGCCTCTTGGCCTTAGCTGCAATGCCTAGACATTATGGAGTATCGTCGACTTCGCGCGAGGTTCATGATAAAGTGCTCGTCATGTAATACGCAGAAAGCAATCAAAGAGACATCGGTCCTAATCTAGGTGCCCAGGTGTACAAGAAATTGCAGTTTCCAAGCTGTGGATGCACAACATTGAATCTCCTCCATACTTACCTAGTTGATGCCTCGGTATTAGGATCTATCTCTAACAAATGCCTTTAAAAGTAGACGTTCCTTTTTGATTGGTATTTATGTTGTATATCAAAACACGCTACTCACTATTGCAAACGTGCAAAGTGATGGTGTTTTAGCTATCGCTGGAAAACTCACTTTCACGAAGTACATATGAGTGTGCTCAGCCAAGCAATGACAAGACTTATACACCCCTATATATTGACACCATTCGTCACCGTTAGAAAAGCCTCGTCACTAAGAACAGCTAACAAGTGGAACATTGCCGCTTCAAATATATTAAAGAAAGAAAAAGGTCCCGCGCTACAGTCCTTGGTATTCTCTCCCTCGTCTCTGAGGATGTCGGGACTCGGGAGGCATATAGAGATAGACAAATGTAATAGCCTGTTGTAACCTGTTGGTGTTATCCACTTGCGTCTACAGCGTCGCTGCCCGTGCCCCTATCCTATCTAGGTACCAAGACATAGCCAACCCAAACCATCTGGCATTGTCACGGACCATACCAAGCAGACATCTAAACCCATCTAACCAAGCCCGCGTATTTTCACTATGGATAAAACATGATCTCGATATATGGCAAGCCTTGCCGAGACGTAACTAAGTTAGACACTACTAGGTATGTAGATACAGCATGGTAGATACAGCATGTACTAGGCACAAATGAAACTCACCGGCGAGGTCCAAGGGGTGAGAACACATTAGCATCTGCCTACCTACCTACCTAATAGACATATATGTATCATGATGCCAAAGTCCAAGCTACAAGAGTGTAGTTATGTAGATCCTTAGGCAGTCAACTTGGAATGATCAATAAACGTCCATTCGACTACTTCATATACAGCCACCTATCATATCAACTACACATTGACATACGCGCGTTCACATATACCTTGATATGTTCATCACCATCTTTACATATCATGATGACCAAAATCACATGTGGCATCTGCATCAAAGATAGGGATCAAATGTATTCATGGTTCACGTGCGATACCAAGAAATCATAGGCCTCAAACAGACAACATTTTGTATTGCAACCGGGCATCTATGCCAGTAGGTAGAATAGGAATTCGACAACAAAAGCCAGATGCCCCAGATACATGCCAAAGTTGAACCTCTATATGTAGCGGCACCAAAGAAGAAAAATCCGCGTCACCGTTGATCCCTCATGTTCTAGAAACACACCCGAGCAACCACCCGAGTAACCACCCGTCCGTTTTAACGCCGTCTAATGCTTAGCAGTGACCTTATCACCAGTCAGCTTTTCCACGTAAGACTTGGCCCTATTTGGTGTACCCTCGTTAGCAATCCGTTTGTTTACGTAGAGAAGTTTTGTTTTATGAAAATCAGAAAGGGGGGGAAGGGAAGGACTCACATATCACCCATAGCCACCATGCAAACCGTCTGCCAAACGCCCAATCCAATACGTGGCATCACACCACGATAAAGACCCTTCAAACCATTAGAATCGTAAATGTACTTGAAAGTATTGCCGACCGTCATCTTCTTAGGTCGATTCGGATCCTCTTTCTTGCTCTGCATTTCGACACGGATGACTTCAATGGGCTGGTTCCAGGCGGACAGGCCGCCACCCAAGGCAGAAGCCGTGATCTTCTCGAGAGCGCCGAGCTTCTCGCCATCCTCTTTGTGCGTGAGCTTGCGAATGCCCTGCTCGGCCAAGCGAGATAGACCGAAACGCGAACCCCAGTTGGTCATCTGACGGATAGCAACAGCATTTACTCCCTTGTTGATGCCCCGGATTCCCTCCCTGCGATAAATATCGGCGAAGGTCGCAAAGGTGCTGGGAGGCTTGACGCCCGAGGCGGCGATCTTGTGTTGTGTGATCTCAACCGTCTTCATGCAGGTGCAGAAACCCATGGTAGCATAGGCCTGGGCAACACCACCCGTCACACCACCAATGATTCCACCACCAAAATCCGAGGCGCCGGCCACTCGAGCATAGTATTCGGCTTCAGAGGCAACGAAGAGCAACACGGCGCCCTTGGTCGAGGCTTCGATCCAGGCCCAGGGAATGAGACCCTGGTAGACTACGGTACAGAAACTTGGGGTCAGTGAACAGTGCGTTGGAACAATGAGGATATTTGCTGATACTTACACCCAAAGACACCACCGCGGTTCCAGATGGAGCGCAGGGCCGAGGCAAAAGAATCACCTCGGTTGGCGGCAAGATGGGTCTTGCAAACCTCCAGAGGTTGACCGAGAGTGGTAACCTCGAACAGGTTGAGGCCAGCACCGAGCAGCAAGTTGGAGAACTTGATGGGCTTCTTCTCCGGCACACCGCCCGGCAAAGGAGGAGTAGCCCCGGAGGTCGCAACGGTGGCGGTGGACATATCAAGCGAGGATCGTGGATGGAAGGGGGCCTGACCAAGGCAAACGGGTGCTTCTTCGCAGGAAAGGGGGTAAAGGAGTAGGACGTTGGAGAAACCTGAGGCTCAAATACGAGGTGAGTGATTAAAGTTGTTCAAGTTGTCGTGGAGTTGTGAAAAATGGGAACCAAGACGTTGGAAACTAAGACTGAGAAGTCGAGGGTCGAGGGTCGGGGGTCGGGGATCGGGGGCTTTTGGCAGCAGTAGGCCTGTGATTGGTGTCGGTGTATCGAGGACCGTACCGTAAGCTTATTATTGGTTCCAGGTTTGGTGCTAGACACTGCTAGGTAGCTGGATAAGGACGTAGTCAGCGGTCAAGCTCAACTGGGCAAATCACTAGAGCCTCGGGAAACATGTGCTGAGATAATATTCAGGGGATTGGGCTCAACCTAACCCGAATCCCAAGAATGTTTTCCCGGATCATTACGGATATGAAACGAACCTAGGTTTGCACTTGATTTTTTTTCTTTTTTTTTTCTTACCTTGGTTGTAGCAATAATTAACGAATTTGTGTCTCTCAAAAATATTTGTACGGAGTTTAAAATGGCGAGGGGTCAATGTTTTCTCTCTTTATCAAGCCACAAGGAACTAAAAAGAAAAGGGAAAAAACCGAAAACCCAGAAAAAAAAAAACGTGCCTGTTGCTACTTACTAGTTACCTAGGATCTTAGATCCCTTGATTTGTTGGAGCTTACCTTTCTCAACAATTGCCAAGCTTTTTGCTATTAAGATACTCCGCCCACCGCTCAATAAATATAGCACCTGCAACTTCCCCATCATGTTTGCTAGTATTAATTAGTAGGATCACAGATGCTTACACATGTAAGTGCCTCAACAAGCGGCCCGGACTTTCCCCAATGATTATTCCTTTTAGGCAAATAACGAACAACGAATAACGTACCTAGGGTACCTACAGTTACACATGCACATGCTGCGCATGCACGTGTCTGAACATGTATGTACACATAGTAATCAGTACATATGTAACTATACGACTTCAAAATACTATCACCTGAGGTGATAAACCTCACAAACATCCCAAGCATGAACAAGGTCAATGAATATCAATGAATAACCTCAGTTGAGATGCGATTTCTTTAGGTAATACAAACAACGAGCTAGCAAGAGAACCCCCCCTATTATCGCAAACGGAAACCCCATTGCAAATAGATAGTGAATGATCAATTGCAGCTACCTATACAAATATGAATCATGACGTGCGTGTTATTGTACAAGTGCAGCATTTGGTATCATAAGGAGCATCTCTATTTCAACTCCCCGTTTGATACACCGCTGCCCTCATTATACCCTTCTATTTCCGTTCGTGAAACATGCTCTTTTCAGACCAAGGAAAACCCCACTGCCAACTCGTCTCTGTTCTCTGTTCTTTGTCCTTATAGCTTCTTGCAGATCTCAATCCACTTGGCAGTCGAGAAACTCTTGGGCCTCTCAATTGGCGCACCAACGGCACGGTCAATGATGAGTTGCGGGAGGACACCAATAGCACGCGATACACCGAAGAGAACCGTGTAGTAGTTGGCCTCAGTTAATCCGTAGTACTGGAGGAGCACACCCGAGTGAGCATCAACGTTGGGGTACGGGTTCTTGGTCTTGCCGTGCTCAGTCAGAACCTTAGGCGCAATCTTGTACACTTGGCTGACTAGCTGGAACATGGGGTCGTTGGGCATCTTCTCGAGAGCGAACGTGCGCTGGGCCATGTATCGGGGATCGGTCTTGCGGAGAACGGCGTGGCCGTAGCCAGGGACAACTCTGCCAGAGTTCAAAGTAGACCATAGGTACTCGGTAATCTTGTCGTCGCTGAGGTCATCGCCGACAGTCTTCTTCATCTCAGTAAGCCAGTTCAGGACCTCCTGGTTAGCAAGACCGTGCAGAGGGCCGGCAAGACCATTAAGACCAGCAGCAAGTGACAGGAAGGGAGAGCTTAGAGCGCTGCCAACAAGGTGCGTGGTGTGCGCACTCACGTTGCCACCCTCGTGGTCAGTGTGGATGGTCAGGTACAAACGCAGAAGTTCAATGAAGTCCTTGTTCTCGCCAAAGCCAAGCTGGTTAGCAAAGTTGAAACTGTAGTCCTTGTCTTTCTGGACTGCTGCAACCTTGCCACCCTTGAAGACATTCTGGTAGATGCGGGCAGCGATCGTAGGCAGCTTGGCAATCAAGTCCATAGAGTCCTCGAAGGTGTATCCCCAGTACTCCTTCTTGTTAATGCCCTTAGCGTAAGCCTTGGCGAAAGACGAGGTGTGCTCGAGAGCAGTAACGGCTAGAGAGAATTGCGCCATCGGGTGAAGGTCGGTGGGGCAGCGGTCGATCAGTTCCTCGACGAACTTGGGGATATCAGACCGAGCAGCCCACTCGGCAGATAGGTCTCGGACCTGCTGCTCGGTGGGAACTTCGCCAGTCAAGAGAAGCCAAAAGAGACCTTCCGGCAAAGGCTCCTTGCCGCCGGGGGCTTTGGGGAGAACATCCTGGCACTCGGGGATAGTCTTTCCACGGAAGCGGATACCTTCCTCGGAGTCAAGGACTGAACCTTCCCACACCAAGGATTTTATTCCACGCGCACCACCGTATACCTGGTCGAGGGTGACCTTATCGATGACCTTGGAGCCATGCTCTCTGTGGACATATCGTTAGCTACGGAACTGCGGGAACAATTATATGGAGTGACTTACTTTCTCAAGGCCTTGATTTCCTCAATCTTCTCGGGAAGTAACTCGGCAAACCGCTCTTTCAGAGTCTAGACCAATTGGTAAGCTTGTGATGAGACGGATAGGTACTGGAGGGTTGCCGACCTGGCTCTTGGAAGAGGAGTAGCATCGCACGGCATTGAAAGCTGTGGTACGGGCCGTAAAACTAGGAGCCCTTAGCGTAGCCCGGAAGGCAGAAGAACTAAGACGAAGGGTGGAAGCCATTGCAGACGACGCAGTGGAGGAGTCTGAATTGTGATGGTAACGGTGGTGGTAAGAAGATGGTTAAGGAAGAGAAAAATGTGTTAGGAATGTTTAAGAGGGCCAAAAAGAAAAGTGGTGAAATACCTCAGAAGCGGAAAATTACAACTAAGTGCCTTGTACCTTGGTAAAATTGACGGGCAACGGACTAGGGGCAGCTTCGGTTGGATGGGGAAACCGAAGAAAAAAAAGATTAGCGGGTCGCGGCAACTACATCCTACATCGTATGTACCTACTGCCTAGTACCTACGACTTATTAACTACCTACTACTACATACTTACTACCTTCCAACCTGCTGAGAGGAATCCTTTGAAGCCCTCACCAAAAAAAAAGGAAAAAGAAAAAGATAAAAAAACATATAACAGCCCAGCCAACAAAAGAGAAGACCAGGCCTTCTTACGGATATTTATGTACATATGTAAGTACATACATATTTTAGTGCCCGCTTAACCGTTGAATCTTAAAGGGCATCGGGACATCTGGACCTGAACACGACATGCATTGGATTAACGTAAATCCCTATGTACATACCTAGGTACATACTATGTACGATTCAAAGTTGCATACATGCCCGCAGCCTACATAGGTAGCTCGATCGCTGTGAAGCTGACGTCAATAGAACTGCTTCGCAGCTCAGAAAAGATATCAAATACACATAAATTCCCGTGACAATAAGCGTTACAATCCCGTTTCTGTGCTACTACTCTCAAGCACTTATGTCAAGTTATGTGTATACCTACCTACCCAAGGTACAGATTTTACCTAAGAATCTGGACTACTGATTTAATATCTTGTATACTAGGTATTCTCATCTACGCACATACATACTTGCAACTGCATACATATTAGACACAATACATGTATTTGAAACCGACAAGTGACCATCCGATGAAAATCCCCTCCTAGATCGGCTGCTATACATACCTAGTATGTACGTATAGATAAAAAGTACTAGGTACATATCTATGTAGGTAGGTATGTATATATGTAGGTAGGTAAGTTCATAAATATTTCGTTTGTCACGTACATCATATATGTAGGTAGATATCTTTCGACATCGAGGGATCAAACAATCTTAAGGGTTTCATTTCATCTTATCATTGTTAGAAATGCTTTCGTTTATGTAGAAGACTTTGATTTGAGTTGTATATTGGTAATACACGTATAAAGTGCAGACAATAGTGATCAATTTTCAAATTGCTATCGGAAGTGGCCTGAGTGGACTAACTAGGGTGATAAATAAACTGTACTGTGGCTTAGTGGGCATTTCCAGCTTCAATCAATTTCAGTAGTAGCGACATTAGTCACTGGTAGTATTCAAGGTTATCCTCCGTAAGCGTACCTGGGTACTAAAATTGTGTTACCTTTGCGCTAGTTACCCAATTACCCCCACCTTTGCAACACGCAACTTGAAAATTTCTTGCTAGCCAACAGGTTAAAGCCTCCAGAATCGCGCCGACTTTTCCCTCTTTTCCATCCACCACACCACGTTCCCCTTCCTCCCCATCCTCCCCTTCTAACCCTTCCATCCTGTCCACGGTGAACTCATCCACCTTTTACATCAAACTCACCATCAATTCCGCATTGCGTAAATTTCATCCGCATCTTCACCCAGTTCGTCGAGCTATTAGCTATTAACCTGCACCCGACAATTTGCAAATTTGTATTTTTTTATTACAAATTAGCAATCCAGTCGACGCGCTGCAGATTTTCTTGAACTCGACCTGTAGCTACGCTACGCCACAGTAGAAGTGCAAATCTTTTTTTTTTCTTTTCTTGGTGCCATCCAACATTGCATCAAACAAAAACAGGAACAAGAATCACTCATCGTCCATAAGTTCTTTCAACCTATTCTACATTTGGGAAAGGACTATTTGGAAAAACACATCGCATCGACTTTGCCTAGGTTTGACTGTTCACGACTGTAACTCATTAGGTCGCGACAAAAATACAGACAAGTAATCGCCCGAGAAAGAACCAACAAGACAAGACACAAGATACTAGGGTGACTATCGCGACTCCATCGTATACCATCCCACAAGTGCTGCGGGCTTGTTCTCGCTGTACATTGTGCTTCTGCCGTCCCCTGCAAGTCTCCCACGTACCAAGAGGACATTAGAGCAATCATGACATCGCCCGTAGCTGAGCTTGAGGCAGGCTTGAATGCTATGCTTAGTCTGAAACCACCTGGAGTCACCGGATCACGTATTCAATCCTTGACCAGCCTTTGCGTCGAGAATATTCAGGTAAGACCATGCTCTTGGTTGTGTACTGCGATTGGTCAGGCGCATAAATGCTAACTACCGTGTCTCTCTGCTGCAGTCCGAATCCGTACTCATCCAGAAAATTTATACACACTTCAAGAAAGCCCCCGCAACTCATAAGTTAGGAGTGCTCTACGTAGTAGATTCCGTAACTCGCCGTTGGGTTGACCAGGCTAAACACCATGGCCAATCTATCAATAGCTCTGCAAAGGATGGAACCTACGCTGCCGGTGTGCATAGAGTAACGGAACTGCTTCCTGTGCTTATGAATGACATCCTTCAGAGTGCTCCCGGAGAACAAAAGGTACGCTTTATCATATCATCGTCGAACATTCATCGTAGTCTAGGCAATAGCATCGGCCACCGACCACAGTGCCCCTTGGAATAAGCTATATCCAGATGTCTACGCACCTAGTCATGTTTTCTGGGTACTAGTTGTCTTTCTACTACTACTACTGCTGCTGCTGCCACTACTGCTGCTGCTGCTGTGGGAAACTTGCATCCAATAACCTCTAACTTAAGACATTTTTTTGCAAACTTGACATAAAAAAAGAAGCACTTACCTAACCTTGCCACTTTAGGAGAAAATTAAGAAGCTCATTGACATTTGGGAGAAGGGTCAAACCTTCCCTCAGCCTCTGATTGATTCATTCAAGCAGAAAATTACGGCGGTCTCAGCCAAAAGTAGGTCCCCCAATCTTGAGTCTTGGCGGTGATTCCATTGCTTTGTTACTTCGAGGTCACAAATCTGACCCTTGTTTGTTCGTGTAGATGAGACCACGACTCCGGTCGGTAGTCCTCCTCCTGGCCCGGGCCTTCCAGGTTTACCAGAGAATAAGCCACCTGTTACCGAGGCCCCAAACGCCATCATGGAAGCCCTGGCCAACATTGTGCGACAGAATGGCACGGCGGCGTCTGTCCACAACGGCGTTTCAGCCCCAACTCCCACTTACAGCATGCCTCCGGCGCAGGCGGGCATTACTCCGCAGCCCACTCTTCCCCTGGGTCAGAACCACACCCCTGTCCCTTATGCAACGCCCCAGCAGCCCGTAAGTCTGCCAGGAATGCCGTACCCATATGCTCAGCCGGGCCAAGTCCAGACGTCAACTCCTGTGCCTTCGGTGACTCCTAGTAATCAAGTCCCCGGTTTTCCCGGTGTAGCTCTAGGTGCCCCTGCGGCTCCTGCTCCTGCTCCTGGCATGGACCCCAACGTCCAGCAGCAGGTTATGTTGATCAAGCTTCTTGCGGATCAAGGCGTACCATTTGATAAGATACCTGCCATCATAGCTAGCATGCAGAGCAATAGTGTTGTGGCTTCGAATGCAGCTACTCCGGCAGCGGCTCCCCCAGTAGGTCAGCCACCGTATGCTACTGGATCGTGGGGCCAAGTTGGCTTCCGACCGGACGAGCCACGTGACCATGACTTCCAGCAAGTGAGATCGCCGAATAGATATCGCAATCACTCGCGATCGCGATCACCCCCACGCCATTGGGATGCGCGTGATTCTCCTCGCGGTCGTTCTGATCGTGAATTCGGCTCGTTTGGACGTAATTCGCCTGGTTTGGGACGTATGGACGATCGTGATCGTCGCCCAAGGGGCGCTGATTACCGACAACGTAGCCCTAGCCGCCGGGGTCGTAGTGCTACCCCTCAGCATAGCTTCCCCCCGGGTGCCAAATGGGCCGAGTATGACAGAACCATTCCCACGGGCCACATCAAAGGTAAATTGTTCTCGTATGCGTTATAGAGAAACTTTACTGACGTGATTTGTAGTTTTGAGCCGAACTTTGTTCGTAGGAGGTGTCACGTAAGCAATACTCATGGGCTAAAACTCTTCGACGTGTGCTAACGATAGACATAGATGCCCTGAGAGCGAGCTGCGTAGCGTTTTTAACCGTCATGGCCAGGTACAAACCTGTATTGTCAACAAGGACAAACGTCACGCATTTGTGAAGATGGTTACTCGCAGAGACGCTGTTACTGCCAAGGAGGCAATGGAGAACAGCACGTTTAGAGTAGGTTTCTACCTAGAAGGCAAGCGGCTTTTTATGCTAACTTATGAACAGACTCGCTGGGGAGTCGGGTTCGGTCCCCGTGACTGTAGCGATTATCAGACCGGCATCAGCGTTATTCCCATCAGCAAGCTGACCGAGGCGGACCGAAAGTGGATGCTGACCGCTGAGTATGGTGGTAGCGGTGGTCGTCCCATCGAGACAGGTCTGGTCGTAGAAGAGCCCGATATCGAAATTGGTGCTGGAGTCTCGTCCAAAGCCATCAGCCGACGTATGCAGACGGATAAAGGCGGAAGACATGGACCAAAGTCGAGTCGAGGCCCCGGTAGTGACGACGACGGTGACCTCACTAGATGGCGACGAAATCGTGACACTCGACGAGAAGATCCACAGCAGGAGGACAGAAATGGAGTTAACGGACCGACCATTCCACCTTTTCCTTTTGGAATCACTGCCGGTCCTAATGGAATGCCCGTCTTCCCTCCCGGATTTGCATTCCCCCCACCGGCGTCCGATCAGTAGGACCGAAGACGATTTGAGACGGACGTGGGTCCAGCAAGACACTAGTCTGGCTGAATCGAAGGGGTTTGTTGGCATAGCTGGCCAATTTTGAGAAAGAGAGAATCCCAGACTCTCTTGGCATGAACCCCTGTCGGATGGGGTCTTTAGTACTACAAGAACTACGAGAACCTTACGAAATCACGCAGCATGAATTGGCGTTGGGGGCAGGCATTCAATATCCATGGTTAGGACCAGGATTCGGCATTTACAAGTGCGATATCTCATCACACTTTTACGTGACGAACTCTGGTCACTTTTCAAAGTATATGGTCGGTGGATTTTGGGATTAGTAGCCGGTGTTGTCTTGTAATTTCCTCGTGGAATTTGACATGGTCGGCCTGCTTACCTCGTCGCCGAGCAAAGGCAGTCTTGATATACTCAGACTCCGTAATGTATAGTAATCCAAGCAGAGAAAGGCGTTTAAGGGCAAGAAAAAAAACCACATAGCAGGACGGGGCGGCTCATTTGACGACTACTTGTTCCTACTCCTAAGTGATGAAGGAGTAGTAGATAGGATCCAACGCAGTTGCAATATACTGTTATTGCAGCATGGATTGTGACAGGCACGCGAGAGTGATTTGTGATATGTATCCGATAGGACAGTTCTATATGTGACTGATATTGTGAATAAATAGCTACCTACATGTAAAAGGTGCCGAGGTAGGTGGGATGTAGGGAGGTAGTACGAGCATTTACCGCGGACAGTACTTTGCACTGTTGTGTGGTAAGAGACGGGTACAGATACGTTTCTGCATCATGCAAGCCTTAACTACTCCCTCCTTCCATGTTATATGGAGGTAGTTATTGTACCACAGAAGAAAAGAAAAGCTCTCCCTTAGCCGGGGCCACGACCCAGATCTATGAACCACTTGCATGTATGTAAGCTATCATGGATTGTTTTTTTATATATATTTTTTGTATAGGTAGGTATGCATGCAAATGCAGTACTACTATGAATTGGTTGGTTGGTATTACAAGTACGCTGCCGCTTACCCAGGAGTAAAAAAAGAAACAAAAAAAAATAAGAACTATATTATTCTTTGGCGTTCTCTCTCTCGGGGGATGATTGTATGCTGGCTGTAATATGTATACATATGTAGATGAATGATGGATGGATGTATACAGTGTACACCTATCTATCTATGTAGGGACCGAGGTTAGTAGTTAGTAGTTACATGTTCGCCGGGTAGCCTTTAACTACCTATGATATGATAATGATACATAATAAAGTGAGGCATATTTCTAAAATCTATATTTTTCCAGTTCGACGCCGGCACCCCGGTTCCAAGGTATCGCAGTTGGTGGTTTTGGGGGGGGGGTTCAAATGCAGCAAATGGGGAACACAAAAAAGGGATAAGGGGGATGGGTAGGTGGGCAGAGAGCAAGCAAGCAAACAAACGGTTACGGGATACCTAAGAGCGGAATTCGGCTTGTGTTATGTAACTATCTATGTAGAGATACCCTGATGTGTATGCAGGCATTACAGGACCCTTACTACACGTACATTCATATATACATAGGTTAGTTAATTACTGGAACCTACCTATACTTTGTATGTAGTTATCTCGTGATAGTTATGTTGTTTCTTTTTGCTTCGCTTCCTGTCTCTGAACTCGGCTACCTACCTACTCGGCTACGAGACATGCTTACTCACTTCATGTATATTCCCCGAATAAATCAACTTTCTTACATCTTACATCCTTTTCTTTTTCTTTTTCTTTTTCTATTCATCAAAACTCGCCTGCCTCGGCATCCTACATACATAGGTAGGCAGTTATCCATCCTATCGGGGATATCTGATATTATTCCTCGGGGAGTTCGGAGGAAGGACGGGGAGGAGGGGAAGGAAGGGTTCTAGAACCTCGCCCCTTTAAGCCTTTTTAGCAGGACAGAGCACATACACACATCAGGTACTTGCTTGCTTACTTACTTACTCCCGTCCCCGTTTTGCCTGCATGTGGCTGGCCTCGGGTAAGGTATTTGAGGATCTGTCGGGTACTTAACTACATGATGTAGCTCACCTTGTAGTACTAGCACTTGATGTCTCCAGTATGACAGTAGTTACCTACCTGGGTACGCAAGTACATAACTCCGTAAGAATACACCATGAGATCGCATCACAATACCAATACAAACGATAAGTATATACAATTTGTGTTATATTAGATGCCTCTTCATGTTGAATTAATAGCCATAACAACTTCGACGATTCGATTCGATTCGCGTCCACTAGTTACTCGGTCTCATAGTCTAGGTCTAGTGGGGACACATCAAGCTCAGCTCCTTCAGATAAGAGCTGGGAGCGAATACGTGCATCAAGGCTGTCGATGCCCAAATCCAATTGCCTATTCAGCTTATGAAGCTGCCGTTTAGACTTTGGCCACTTGTTTATATCCATATCCCTTTGTTTGCGAATCCGGGCTCCCCGTAAGGACTCTTGGTTGTTCCACTGTAGAAATTCGTATCCAGAAATGAGATCATATTCTACGTCCCGACCAATATGGGCTTCTGCTCGATAAAGTGCCGTTTCAGCATACGCCGGACCTTGGAGAGCGCCAATAGTAGGATTCGGGTGGAGGATTAGTTGTTGTTTATTTAAGTATTGCTTAGCCCTCTTCTGCCCGATTCCGTATCCTCGGGACTCGAGGTCAGACTCTTCAGGCCATTCTGGATTATTCCCTCCGTGGCTCGGGGGAGGGTGAGGTGGAGATATGTCCTTATGTAAAGTTATGGGACGAGGTCGTCGAATTGCTCGCTGCTTTCCATCAAGTTGGAGATTTAAAAATCCAGAGGAAGCGGCATTTGAACTATCCTCATCGTCACCATCTAGGTCTAGGAGATAGACTCGTCCACTGCCATCTCCAATTAGTAGTTTCGTGAAGTCGGGAGAAAAGGCCCCAGCTGTGATGGGTGCAGCAACTTCGATGAGGTCTCTCACTAGAACCCCATTCCCGTGTCGTATATTCCATATCTTGACTACCCCATCAGACGAGCCGGTATATAGACGGTCCGTTGTGGTAGCCCAAGCAATGAATTTGACTCCGACGTCTTCGTGCTCTCGATCGCCAATGAATTCTTCGACCGGTTCTTAAACTTTTATTAGAAATGTCAGGAAATAATAGGAGGCACGAATTCTCACCACCATGATCTAGGACGCACATGGGATCATCAGTCCACGCCGAGTCCCAGACGTATGCCTTGCCATCGGTGCAACCAGCAACGACGTACGAGTACAAAGTGCTATTGGGTCTGCATTCTCCTATTAGTACTTGAGGATAGGCGACTCGTTGGTAGATGGATTCCATCCCTACCTGATCAGAAGCTCGTTGATATCAATAGCCGGACAATCTAATTTCTTGACCACAGTGTACTGGCCGGTCAATTCGTTGAGCTCAAACAACCGAATTTGCGTCCGAACATGTTCTTCAATCTTCTCCGAAGTCTGGGACGCTGATGTTGCCGCGGCGAAGCTTGGCCGGGAGGGATGCCACGCCACCTCGAACACATTTGCAGTTGCCGCACTATTTACTTTGACCTCCGTCTTCGTGGTGGTATCCCAGAGGCAAAGCTCACCCGTGTCGGACTTATCTTCGGGTATATCGTTGTCGTCGCCGCTTAGACTCCGAGGAGAGTAACCGATTAGGAGAAGATGCTTCATACTCGGCAGTATGCCCCAACGGATTGCGGAAGGAAAGTAAGCCCACTTATCAGAGGGGATGTAGTCTTCACCGTGAACTCTTTTACACGAATACTCATCATATGTATATGACCCGGCCACGTTGTCTCTTCGCTCCACCTGATAGACCCGCACAGCTCTTGTAGGGACATCAGCAGCTGTGGCTACCCTGCTACAGTCTTCCTGTTTGTTCGCCAGGACGAAATTGACACGCCCTTCGTGGTGCCATGTTTCCTTTACCAGCCGAGAACTTCCATCCCAGACCTTGACCGTGTTGTCGTAGCTCGCCGTGAAAGCAAACCCCATGGCAGGATCGTAGTCTGACGAAACTACTGACGTGAAAAGCCAAGGGTCTTGACTCTCCCTCATCGACGCCAAGGCATTGTCGCCGTGTGCAACTACAGGACGGGGAATTCGGTGTTCAGGGGATGCTAGGAGATTTTTGGTCACCGTCGAGCCGAACAAGAGATTTCCAGGCTTGTTGTATTGCTGGTTATGGGAATCTGAATGGGTAGTTGTGCCGCAGACGAAGTCTGTGGAATTTCCCATCCAGCTAAACGTCATCAAATCTCCCGCACAATTCGTCCATTCGATCCTCGGTTCCATATAATCTTCCCGGCTACATTTGAACGCCTCATGAAAGTTTAGGTATCGTCTAGTAGCTCCGAGGCGGTTACCGGCAATCTCCCTGGCTAATAGCAGATTCGGAATATTGTCTGTCCTAGCGAAATCACTACGAGCACCAGCATTGTCTCGTTTGATATATAGCAATTTGCGTCCTAGGCCGACCTGGTCCTGTTCTGCATCATCCAGGAAATTCTGGACATCCTCCAGAGAGCGCTTCACTAAAGATGAAGGCGGATTTTTGAAGCGGGCATATTTCTGGCCATGGGCTTCAACAAAGCGGTCTCTCAGTCCACCATATTTCTTCAATAGATAACGCAAATCATGGAGATCTGATATATCAGGTTTGGTTGCCGATTTTCCACGCAAGCACCTCATGATATATCGAATATACCTGATTTCTTCGTCGCTGAAGTCGACATGGTATACACTTGGTTCACGTAGGTCATCGGGCTGAAGGTGGAAAGGACGCCCACGGTTTACTCCGGCTGCAATCTGTTGGCGTGTTCTTGCTGGTAGATATGGCCGTAGAGGTAAGCCGAACCACGAGTTCCTTACCTGAATAGGCGACCCCTCTTTCTTAAACTCGTAAGGCTTACCTGACTGCCACTGTGTTGCTTTTAATCTTGTTCGAACCTGTTGTGGTGTGGCGAGGGTCTTGTTCTTCGGCTTTGGCTTTGGAGGAGGTGTCTGGACGTGCCATGACTCTACTTGCTCGGATTTACCTACATCTTCGTATACATAATCGCCTTCCTTATCATTAATGTTGTTGCCGGCATCACGATCTTCCTTTGCAGGCAGCGAGGTAGGCAGCCTGTCAGGTAGTGTATCACTAGGTGGGATTTCAATGGAAGGTAAGATCGAGGCGACTGGTTGTAGGCTAGGCTTAGGAGCTGGCGTCGATATCGGCTCCAAAGAAGCTTGGCTGAGGCGAAATTCCTGTAGACGAGGTGAGTAACAAGCTAGCCGGGTAGGGAGTATGCTTAGACCAACATTTCCCTTTGTAAATTGGCCTACGAGTTCGTGAATGCGTGTTATAACCAAAGCTTCGGTATCAGGCGGAAGACGACCATTATTATCATGAAATCTCTGCTCAAAGTCACTATCCGCAATGCTCCAGATGACCTTCGCACCGAGTTTCTCTACATCGTAAACCTTCCTGTCTAGATGCTTGACAGCACGCTCGAGGTGTGGGAACACTTGAAATTGGAGGCATTTCGTCAAAGTCTTGGTGTTTACCGCGGGGGAGGCCACTTTGTGACTTGCCCCATCCTGTAGCTTCCGGCGCTTGGGAGGGCGATCGTGTACGGACAAATGCTGAGTGTAAGATGAAGATGATTGTAATGGTCGGTTAGATGGAGTAGGTTGTTTGGAAGGAGTGCATGTGTGCTTGTCTTTATGTTTCGATCTCACGGCACTAGGCGTGACATTGGCGTTGGCGTTGGCGTTGGCGTTGGCCAAACGTGAGTTCGACTTCGTTTGTGACTGTGGTCGAGACTGTTCGTCGTTGACGGGGGTGGAAGGAGTCTGCCCCATTGAGGGTAGCGGTCGGCGAAATCCATCCAAAACTACAAATCCCCCTTTCTCTTCTTCCTTTCTTTTCTCCTCTTCATCTATGTCGTCGTCACCAGTTAAATCGATTAATTCGCGTTTTTTCAAAGAGGCCTTAGACGCGTTAATAGCCATAGTGCGATTTAAGTAAGTGATCCATAATCAATACTTAAGATTTAAGAACGTATAATAAAGTAAACAAATAAGCTAAATCTTAATTAAGTAAGCTTTTTTATTTAATTTATTTTTTATAAGTTTTTATTTATAAAATTTTAAACGAGGGGGGGTTTTTTTTTAAAAAAAAAAGAATTAATTATGAAATTTCTTTTCATAAATTCTATAAATCAAAATAATGAGTAATTCCTTCATTTCACTTAACTATTCTTTATATAAATCTAAATTATACATTCAAAAGTAAGAAATACATTAACTCGTTCATGATACGAATTTCGGGGTAAGAGTTACAGCTTCGACTTCACGTTTTCGGTCTCGGCATTGATCTCCGCATATAAGCGGTGGATATCATCCTTAAACTTCCTCGCTGTTTGCGGTCGTTTTAGTTTTAGTCTGCGTCGACTCGAGTTAGCAAAAATGTCTCACGCAAGCTTAATAATTTAATGTGACGCTATCACGGATAAAGTAAACAAGGGGAAAAGGAAGAAAAACACTTACGTTGGAGTTAAAAGCTCATTCTCGATGGTAAACGGTTCAAAGTCGAGGATACAGTTACGCACTCTCTCATAGCCGTTGAACTTGTGCTTCTTGGCGATACCATCGAGATGCTTCAGGAACGCTTTTACGACCCGAGGATCTCGGGCCGCCACCTTGATCGCTTCGATATCCTCCGGAGCCACCGTCTTCTTCAACACTTTGCTAGCAAACGGTCCGAATGTAGCCGGGTCCACTCCAAAGACGCCAACCAAGGTTGACTCGGTAGGTTCGCCGTGGACGAAAGCTGTTGCAATCAGGTTCGAGCTGCCCATGAACACATTCTCGAGCCGTTCGGGAGAAATATACTCTCCTTGAGACAACTTGAGCACGTTCTTCTTGCGATCAATGATCCTAATTCGGCCTAGTTCGTCAATCTCGACGATATCACCCGTGTGAAACCATCCGTCCGACTCTAGAGCTTTTTGGGTCTCTTCCTCGTTCTTCAGGTACCCCTGGAAGATAAATGGACCTCGCAATAACAACTCTCCTCGCGGCCTGGGCGTGTCTGTCACAAGATACTCAAGTTCGGGTTGGGATTCTAAGCAGATTTCCACGCCAGGCATGGGACCACCGATATTTCCTGTCGAGTAGTCACCGTCAACCTGGAATGACCCCGCAGAATATGACTCGGTAAGACCATAGCCCTGAGAGAAGAAATTCCCCAGAGCCGCTCGAAGGAATTCGTGAACGTGAGGGTCCAATTGCGCACTCCCACTCACCATCGCGCGGCACCGGTCCAACCCCATGGCGGCCCGAACCTTGGGAGTCCATATACGGTCGTAGAGGAAGTGCTTGTTGGTAGCTTTTCCAGGCGGCAATCTCATGCTTGCCTTCTTGGTCTCTATAACCTTTCGTGAAAGAGCACCCTTTACGCCTTCAGCGTTGACAGTCTGGGCTCGAATACCTAGATTGAATCGATTGAACAAACGGGGGACCGAAATAAAGCCCGTGGGCCTAAGTAATTTCAAGTCGTCCACCAATTCCAATATGTTGCCATGGAAATATCCTACTGCGCCGCCTGAAACCACGGTGCATTGATCAATCATACGCCCATATATGTGGGCAAGGGGTAGGTAAGATATCGTGATGTCCTTGTCGGTATAGGAACCACTGGAACGAGCGCTTGCGAGTGCCGCAACACAGTTTGCGTGCGTAAGCACCACTCCCTTGGGATCACCAGTGGTGCCGGACGTGTAGTTCACGGTAAGGATATCCTCAGGGCGGGGAGGTCTCGTGGGATGGACTGCTTTAGCCCCAAGCGCCTCGACATCCTCTACTGACCAAATCTGCACGCCATGCTGGGCAGCAATGCCGTTCAACAGAGCCAATTTAGAGTACCCTTGCTGTTCCCCAGCATCTAGAGGATCCATACAGATGATAAGCTTTAGGGCAGGTATCCGGGCCGCAATACTTAAAAGGGTGGGGACGTGAGGTAGTGAGGTTACTATGCAAGAAAGTTCGGCATGTCGGATGATGTACTCGGACGCGTCGGGACCTAAGGATTCGTAGAGGGAGACGGAAAATAGCGACTGCGAACTGAATCCGATATCTTCAAGTAGCAAGATTAGTACACGTAGGGGGTTAGGAGTAAACGACAGGTCTAAAAAAACACTGCATAATAGAGAAATTGAGTGGGAGTTTCTTACCTGCGAGTTGCCACTCGGCTCTGTTCTGGCTCCAGATACCAACTCCATGGTTGCCAGGCGGAACTCCAATACGGCGATGAAGCTCGTATATACCAGATCCAAAATTCTTACCCCGGAGCGCAACCTCGGCATAGGTCTGCCAAACGTAGTGGTCTTCCCAGGCTTTGGTTAAGGGGTTCCAGGGTCGCGTCCCCAGGCATTTGTTATTGGGATATCTCTTGACGGCATCTTGGAAGAGATCGTGAAAGGTGCGTAACTCGGGCGCGTAAGTTGCTAATAGAGGCTTGTCTTGAAATCGCCAATGCCTATAAATGGGGGATCGGCCTTCCCGTTCGGTGCCAGGAAGAGGCAGAGCGTAAGGCGCGCCGGGGGGAGGTGGCGTCGATAGAAGTTTGATCTGTGCAGCGGTTTGGGGATCGGGCCCGGCCATCGTTTGTTACGTATTAGAGAGAAGGTTCCTAGGTAGTTCTAATTGTTGGTTGTTGGTTGTTGGTTATTGGTGGTCGTGGTTGGTTGTTTGATTAACAGTACTGGACTAGTATTTATATATGAAAACTGTGAGTGCTGATTATACTAGGTAACAGAACTGAGGTAGTATTGCAGCAGTAAAACAGCAAACTCAACCAACAATGTAAGCAATGCAGCTGCAAGAGTAGGTAGGTAGGTATATAGATATGTATTTAGCTAATGCCTACATATGAGGGTATGAGGAAGAAGCGACATGAGGGCAACTGCATGTGGGCAATCTTTAACTACTAATAGTAGTATACAGTGGTAGCACAGGCGGCGCAAGACTGCCTAACCTAATCCACTTTGATCCTACTAGGTTAGCTGTCTTAGCTCTTCAGTAGATGCCGAGGTGAAGTAAGAAAACGGGTTAGTGTACTCATTCCTACCTACCAGGTACTATTACATACCTACATATGTATCATAAATCCTTATCAAAGTCTTATGTCAATTAGTATGAACTTCATCGGGTTATTAATACTTGCATCCTCATTAACAATGAATGTAAAAAGTTGTTTGCCATTGTGAACGTTTTTACAAGTACATAAGGCTGTCAAAGGGGGATGAACTTCAAAGCTTTGCACATGTGCTTTTCTGCATTCTATTTTCTGCATTCTGCAGCGCTCCCAGCTTATGCACGAAATTAATAACATGGCAACCTTATCTGAACCAGGAGCCGAGGCAAGGGGAAACATCTGGTAATGGCCGGGTGATGCGACATCTAATTGGTTGCGATTTAAAGCCTCGGAAGAAGCGGATTGGTCAGAACTACCGCAAAGCCACGAATGGCTGTGCTCATGACGTTTTCGTGCATTCTGGCAATCCTACATAATCTAAGCCCTTCCGATGCCTACAGTACATAACTACCTATTACTAGGTACTAGTAGTAGTACCTTTGAACTCTGAAGATTCAAGTTTAGCATATGATTCAGGCACTTGCCGCATTCTGTGCCACTGGACGGCATATTTCATACCCTCCGAATGGCCGATAAAGCGAGCATCGCCTTGAGTAACTAGTATCTTAACACTAGCCCTACAGGCCCCTACTACAGTCAGTACAGTGTACCTACTAGCCCTACATAAGTTTCTTTAGCACGTTTGATCCGATCGCGCGTCTGAGCGCAAAGACACACTACTACATAATACTAATAGTACCCGCGTCGTCGATGATACAATATCATACAAAAGGTCCAATGTTAGAAACAGCAGCTTGAGTTTCCTTAAGTACAGCAACATTTTTTTCACATTTGAGACGACTTGGCTCCGGTAGCCAAGACCATATTAGGTTCTCGGAATTGGTATTTTGATACATTGTACAAACATTCCCGGAATCTATTCTGTTTCTTTGTGTATGTATTGTACAATAGTTATTTTTGGCTCCAAATCTCGGGAGAGATCTTATGTAGTTATGTTTCAGTCTCTCTTTCTCGTCTCTCGCGCGCGCGCATTCTCGTCGCTATTTATGTTTGCTCATTGTTATTTTTGTACCTACATACATAAGCGTTTAGCTGCATAGCACCGTAGGTATTGTGTAGGCGCCCGCTCGGCGCATTGCATATTACCACGTGTAAGCCCCTCCCATTTCAACTGTCTTGCCGCCAGGAGTGTCCAATATTAGTTGCCTTACTTTGTAGATAACTAAGTATTTACTCATAATTCATTCACGATGAACTTCACGATGAACTTCAAGCACCGGTGTATTCAAACCCCATGTCCCAGACTTTTACATGCATCTAAACCTTGAAAAGAAGAAGAAGAAGGAAAAAAAAAAAAAAAAAAAGGAGTCAGTGGGCTCAGATCTTCAAAACAGATTCACGATCGATCCTCAACCAGAAACTCTCTTTAAAAAAAAAGAAAAGCTTTTAAACTAACTAACTACCTAGTACCTACATACCTTAGCATACCTACATACCCTAACAACGCATAGCGCCTAGTCTCTTGCATTAACCCAACCCTTGAAAGTTCATCCTCCCCAGTCGAGCCGCACCGGCAGATGATTGGGTTAAACAGGGGGAATAAGTAGCCCATCTCAAAAAGGTTCCGCGTCCTGTTTGGGAAGCATTGAAGTGTGTGTGACCCCCTGATCGTTGCTCGTTTCAGATGATGGTCTCAAGGCAAGTGAATCACCGCACAGATTGGATAATCAAGAAGGGGAAGACTGTAAAGTCTGTAATGGTACAGGGCAGCATGGGAAACGATCATCGTAGCTAAGAAAGAGAACCCCAGGTTGCATTAATGTACGTGATCTAGTTACTTGTTGTTCTACTTCTTGTTCTACTTGTTGTTCTACTTTTCCCATTTCTCCTTTCCATCTTGATCTCTCTTTTCTTCCTCCTCCTTTCTTGCCAATCTATAACCCTACCTAGTACTTACATATTAATTATCCTGTGACCCTGTTTGTGTATGTGTGTGTGTGCCTGGTGCCCTCCTCTCTTCCGTTCTTTGCTCAAGGATATATCATCGATCCTTCTCTTGCCAACACGGTCACTCTCTGATTCTACCTAATCGAAATAAAAACGTCCTCCTTCATCCATTACTTTCCCTCTCTAGCGCAACTTGTTGCTGCAGCTCCTGTTTTTCATGACGACTACTACGCATCGTGACGCTCGTTTTCCCAACCGCCTACCTCGGAACCCCGTCGCCAACATGGCCTCCTCAAGTCTCATCATCCTCGGACTCCGAGCTGCTCAGCTCTTCTTCGCCTTCATCATCATGGCCCTTACAGCCTACGGTATGTCTTACCCTCGTCCGCAGAGAATGAAGTGACACATGAAAGTTGAGATCGAAGCTAATGACCGGATTGGATACAGTTGCCCACTGGTACAATGTGGACACGTTGACTTCGTCGCCATCCCAGATCAACTGGCTGTTGGCTGTGTCGGTAATCAACATTATATCTGTCATCTACCTGGAAATGACGCCTCGATTTGCCCCCAAATGTGAGTGGCCAGAAATTGCATGTTAACAACCATCCGTGCAAAAAACTTACATTCTCATAGTGTCTCACCCGATCGTTGCCATGGCTCTCGAAGTGTTGAACGCACTCTTCTACTTCGCAGGATTCATCGCCCTCGCCGTCTTCATGAGCCGGCTGCTCTTCTGCCGCGGCAGCGTGTGCGGAGCTGCTCAGGCGAGCGTGGCCTTCGGTGCCTTCGAATTCGCTCTCTGGACCGCCTCCGCCGTCTTTATGGGAAAGGACGTGTGCAAGCAGGGGCTTCTAAAGTTCCAGTTCCGCCGCCCTGGCGCCAAGGACTCTACAGAAGCGCCTGCGATGAAGGAGGCTTCCCAGGCCGCGTAAGCGACGGCGGCTATACCGATATACCCCTGTCGCCATACCGTCCATCTCTCGATTATTATCAGGCAGCGCCGAAGGGGACCGGACGTTGGGATCGCGTCTACTTGCATCTAGGTAAAGGCTAGGGTTTCGTGGTGTATGTTTCTTGATCATCTGTTGATGAGCTAGTCAAATCGCAATGACTGGAAAAAAAACGAGGGGTGTTTATGGGAAAGGGGGTCTATTCATGAATGAGATGGACCAGGGTTCGGGCTTCGTCTAGATGACCAGCCAGCCAGACAACCCAACACGTTCATGTACGCACGGGAAGGGCCCGGGGAGTTTGAGGGAGCTTTTTTGAAACCATAATCACTGAAGGGGACTGAGTTCTGCAAGGAATTTGTTACGATGACGGGAACGAGATGAATCCAATATACCACCAGTTTTTGCTTTCGTTTTTGCGTATCAAGTAACAGTCACCTAATTCGGTTTTAGCTGCAAAGTTCCAAAGTTATGTGCTCAAGTGCTCAGTACTTATGCCTTTGAATGTTCCTGCTATACCTAGGGTAGTATGTGCCATTGTGCCTACATACTTAGTAGCTACGCATTTGAAGATTCTCTGAATGGTCCCGGCTACTAGGTAGTAGGTACCGACGTTGTATGAAGCAACATGCGTCCTACCCCGATATCCCACCTTTCCCACCTTTCCCACCTTGCTACTGTATTAGATCTGGCGCAATTTAGCTGCGGGATGGTGTCTTGCAGTTACCCCGCCATAAGCTTCGCTTGTCCTATGATTTACACCTCACAAGGTGTGCCCCGCGGTCCGTTGGAGATATTTTAGCTCTAATTATACCATACCTACTACTGTAAGGCGTTTCTTTACCTAGAAATAGCCTTTGGCTTAAAGGAGAGTTAACTTGCCTAGGGTAACATACAGTAGCTTACTGAGAATGGTGTAAGGACTTCACTGCCGAACAGGACAAGACGGGCATGACAATTTTCCAAGACAGGTAATAGATAAGACTGAACTGAACGATTTTCCTAGAAAGTCGTCAGTTTTTCCATTTCGATAGCTCAGAACCGAGAGCTCGCTAGCAAGGCTAGATAGATGCAAACTATTATTCCCTCGTCCCTGTCATTGGATGTGAAAAAGGCACATCTAACCTGGATATGGGAGGATAGTCGATGGCGTGCTTTCTCCACAATTCCCCCCAAACGTGACGGTTCACACTCTCTCAAGAGGTACATGCCAATGCCTTTGTCGGAAAGGCGTTTTGTGACGAGCAAGTATATATAAGTTAGGGGTAAAGTCGAGTAACACTTCTCTTCTGTAGCAACCCTTGCGGCCTATAACCTCGAATCTCTGCCGGCTTTGGCTCGCGTACTCTGTGATATCTGGCCCTACATATCCCCCCCTCCACCCCTCATTTATATTATCGCAGCTTTACGTGCTCATATACCTGTGAAAAGAGTTATCATAATAAACCGTGGTTATAATGGCAGAAGAAATAGCCAAACACTTTGAGACTCTTCAGCTCCATGCGGGGTATGCCATATACTCCACGCTGTGTAAACTCTGAGGCTTTACGGCAGCTAACCATATCGAAGCCATGAACCCGACTCGGCAACGAATGCTCGCGCAGTCCCAATCTACGCTACAACTGTTTGTTCCCCCAGTGAACCTCAAGCTGATATTTGTGCTGAACGATGTTACTGATTTGGTTGATTATTAGAGCTTCACTTTCAATGACTCGGCGCATGGTGCTAGGCTGTTTAGCCTCAAGGAGTTTGGAAACATTTACAGCCGTATTATGAACGTTAGTAATCACTTCCTACTCCCCGACTGGCCTATTACTGATTTAACTGGATAGCCAACTGTGGATGTTTTCGAGAAGCGAATTGCTGCCCTGGAGGGAGGCGTGGCTGCGATCGCAGCTTCGTCTGGTCAGTCAGCTCAGTTTATGACATTCGCTGCTCTTGCGCAAGCCGGTGACAACATCGTCTCAACTACCAATCTTTACGGTGGCACATACAACCAGCTCAAAGTTTTCCTACCTCGGCTTGGGATAAACACCAAATTCGTTACTGGTGACGATCCCAAGGAAATCGCCGCAGCTATCGACGATAAGACCAAGGCTGTATACATTGAGAGTATCGGGAACCCTCGCTACAATGTACCAGATTTCGAAGCCATTGCCAAGGTTGCGCACGAGAAGGGCGTCCCCCTTGTGGTGAGTGGCATGAATCTTTAAGTTACCCCTAAATGTAGAGAGTTTGCTGATTTAAATAGGTGGACAATACTTTTGGAGCAGGAGGCTACTTCATCAGGCCCATCGATCACGGTGCGGACATAGTCGTCCACTCGGCGACCAAATGGATTGGTGGCCACGGGACGACAATCGGCGGTGTCATCGTTGATAGTGGCAAATTCGACTGGGGTAAGAACGGAGCTCGATTCCCTCAGATGGTTGAGCCGTCAGATGGGTACCATGGACTTAAATTCTGGGAAACTTTTGGGCCTATTACCTTTGCTATTCGTGCAAGAGTCGAGATTCTGCGTGATCTTGGATCCTGCTTGAATCCTTTTGCTGCGCAACAGCTCATCATCGGCATCGAGACGCTGAGCCTGAGAGCTGAAAGACACGCACAGAATGCACTTGCACTCGCCAAGTACCTCGAGTCTAGCCCCTATGTAAGCTGGGTGTCGTACCTCGGATTGCCAAATCACGCGAGCCACGAAATAGCCAAGAAGTATATGAAGAGAGGGTTTGGCGGTGTTCTCAACTTCGGAGTCAAAGGCGGCGGTACTGCTGGTAGCCAGATCGTGGACTCATTCAAACTGATCTCCAATCTGGTCAACGTAGGCGACTCGAAGACGTTGGCTGTGCACCCCTGGACGACAACGCACGAGCAACTATCGGACGAGGAGAAGATCAAGTCTGGCACAACCGAAGATCTCATCCGTATCTCTGTTGGCACAGAACACATCGACGACATTATTGCTGACTTTGAGCAAGCATTTAAGAAGGCTGCTGCAGCGACTACGAAGGGAGAGGAGGGCGCCCCTGAGAGTGTAGCCAAGACAGAAGAAGCACCGACAGTGGCTTAGGAGCCCGTTAATGGGTGTTGAAGCACTGGAGGAGGATTATACCCATACACCAAAGATACTAAGATAATTGAAAGCAATTTATTTTCTTGAAATTGCAGAGTGAATGTACTATAGTAACTTGAATGTGTCGAAGTTTTTTTTATGAATAGGAAGTTTATTATGTAGTTGCCTTGGTACTACATGTGTTCAAGTACCTAGTACTGTGACTACTAGGTACTGTCTTGACTTTTGAGCTTTACGTACATAACTAATGTGGATATGACCTAGTTAGTGCCCCTAATGTTCCACTTTTATTTTACCTATCGAATTTCTGTACTGGAAGTGACCAACGACATCATAATAGCGTACACATGTACATACTGTAAATAGGTATAGTAGCTTCGGAATTTCAGCACCCTTCTTCCTTCAACTCCCAACCCGAGCAACAAACCAAAAACCACATCACTCGGAAGAAAAGCCAAAAGGGATCAGGCCAACGAAAAAAAAAGAAAAGAAAAGAAAAGAAACCAGCAATGCGTCTCCCGCCCCTCAGCAGCCTCCTCCTAGGCGCCGCCTCCCTCCTCCTCCTCCCCCCCTCCGCCACCGCCGTTACCCACCACCCCGAACCTCAAACCACCGTATCCCTCTGGATCCCCTCCTCCGCCATCCTCCCAAACCCACGCACGCTCTCGGCCACCACGCACGCGACGCTCACAGCTCTGCGCTCCTTCCACGACGCCCCGCTGTCGACCTCGGGGGCCTTCGTCTTCCGCAACGTGACGCCCGGCTCCTACCTCGCCGACGTGCACTGCGGCTCCCACGCCTTCGCCCCCCTGCGCATCGACGTCGTTGCAGCTGACGAGGCGTTGCTGGTGAGAGCGTGGGAGACGTACCGCGGCAACGACTGGGAGAACAAGGGCCCCGAGGTGCCGCGCACCGCCGGCGGAGCCGCCGGGTTTGCCATGCGTGCGCTCGCGCCCAAGGAGTATTATGTTGAGAGAGGGTCTTGTGAGTAGTTTTCCTGCGGATACATATATATTTATATCCTTCCCTATCTCCCTCCCTACCTATCTACCTATCTACCTATCTAGGTATAAAATACCTAGGGTTGTGCCGGGTAGGCGGAGAAGAACAAACATGCTAACACACACAAAGTCTCGATCCTCGGCATCCTCAAGAACCCCATGATCCTCATGGGTCTCGTGAGCATGGTTCTCTTCATCGGCATGCCGAAGCTTGTCGAGAACAGTACGTTCCCTCCCTCCCTCCTCTCCCTTTATCATCTTCCCCAAACTAACATCTCCTTCCTTCTCCAGTGGACCCCGAGATGCGCGCCGAGTTCGAAGAGCAGCAGCGCAAGAACCCCATGAACAGCATCATGGGCGGCGGCGGCGGCAGCGGCCAGGGATCCGGCGCCAACCCCATGGGCAACTTCGACATGGCTGCGTACCTTGCCGGCCAGGGGACCGGGAAGAAGGAAGAAGCCCCCGATAATGCCGGCAGTGTGGCGAAGAAAGGTGGGCGGAGGAAGGGGGAGTAAGGAATGAATTGGCTGTATCGGATTAGGAGAGGAAAGTAAGGCTGGCTTTACTGGCTTTATGGAACGTGGGATGGATGATCCGGGTATACTTTGCTTGTCTAGGTGTCTGCCTATATGCGGCCTACGTGGGCATTTAGGTACCTGGATACCGTCCCTAATTTACCTAGATACCTACCCAGGTATATACGAGAATAGGATAGAATGAGCAAAGAAGACATGTGTAATGTACGTGTCTACACCAATTGAACGCGAATTCAAGACTACCTAGGTACCTACCTCCCAAACATCAGTGTATCACGTCCAAGTCACATACCAGGAACACGTAGCCACTGACACCTACATGCAGTTAAGAATATTCACCTAGATAGACACACATCATTACTCATTTGCAAACGCATTCATGCTTAGTTGCTCGTTTTCATTAATTCATAATCAATACACGTATGCTTCTGAACCCATGCCTAGTCTGTCTTTCGTAGTAGCCATCGTCCACTACCTTAATTACAAGCGCAAAGAAAAGAAAAAGACTCCCGGTGTCCTTGGTTTAAAAATCACCGCCACCAAAGTCGTCACCACCGCCCATATCGCCGTCCTGGTATCCATCTTGGTAGGCATCTTGCTGTCCGTCGTTGACGGCGTCCGCAATCAGCGCACCACCAAGCAGACCGGCACCCAGACCCAAGGCAGCACCTCCGGCCGCGCCCATCCCCCCGCCGGTTTTTCTACCACCTTGCATGGGTTGTTGGCCGCCGTAGTAACCACCCTGAGGCGCTCCGCCATATCCACCGCCATATCCGCCACCACCACCATAGCCCCCGTATTGGCCAGGAGGGGGGCCATATCCGCCGTACTGACCTGGGGGCGGAGGACTCTGGTAGTATCCCTGCTGGGGTTGTGGGCTTCCATAGCCGCCATACGACTGTTGGCCAGGGTATCCACCACCACCACCGTATCCACCACTACCATGCTTGTTCTTATTACCGAAGAACTTGCCAAGTAAGCCCTTAGCCTTGTCTGTCGAGGAGCTGCCTGATCGAGGAGGGAGCTGATCTGGATAGGGCGAATAGCCCTGTGGCGGGGCGGGACTGTTGCCATAAGACTGAGCAGCACCTCCACCGGGCGTGCGTGCGCGAGCGTTCTCTTCTTCTTGGAGCTGTCTTGCTAACCGCGCATCCGCGTCCTCGTCATGCAGGTGGGAGCTGGATCCACCAGGCTTCGTGGACTCATTGATGAAGGGGTTGTTCTTGCTATCGGTAGGTGAGGGGCCAGAGCCAGAGCTATAGCCTGGTGGGGGGCCAGGCGGGGCACCATCATCGCGAAGACTGGGGTCGACAGCAGGCTCGGTGGGCTTATCCCATTGCGACTTCTTGGTGAAGGTGTTGACATAGAACCTGAGTTAAAGATTTAGTAACAATGCTAAGACTGGTATTGCAACGGGTATTACAAAAGAGTATTGACAGATTGGTAGCGGGAAGGAATGCGAGGAATAAAAGTATCTCTGCAAGACAAGGAAGACAAGGAAGACAAGGAAGGATGCAGCTGTCGTGCCAGCCGAGACTCACCACTCATGGTACTGATCATTCCAGCGGGCGACCCATCCCCCCGGGACCTTGGGAGGCGGCGGGCCTGTGGGCGGTGCGAATTCCGACATGCGAAAGTTGTTAATTCGACGATGAAGTAATAATAATGATGCGATTAATATGTAAGTAATAAATAGACTGATCGACCTGTCAGATCGAGTGGGGAGATCAAGAGGGGTTTTCTGATCTGTGCAGTCTTGGGGGTGGATTTTGTTATATGTACGAAGCGGTTGAAGGGAATTGGAGGATTCAAGGTTGTAATGATCAATGTTCAGTGTTAGGATGAACTAAGTTCTTGTAGGTGAAGAGAAAGAAATGGATGTGATGTTCAATGCTTAATACATATAACTATTCATGCAGGGACCTTTATTTTAGTATCTACATGTACTGTGTAGGGAATACATACATATACTTCAAGTTGTGCCGAAGAAACCGATTAAACTGGTCCTTCTTGATTCTGTCACGGACAATGTACGTGGTAGGTACAATCCATTGGTGGTGTCAGCGTGTCAGGTACTAGAAGGTGCTATGTACAGCAGGTAACTCAACTGAAATACTACCTACTATGTACATCCATGCACCGCCCCGTTTAGCTACTCGCGTACAGTACATACGTACTGGGTAAGGGCAGTTTCGGCATCTCCAACACCGGTGTACCTTCAAGTTAACTAGTTACTACATATGTAGTTATTCATAAGTACCTGCAAGTACTTGCTCACGTTTAGTCATAGTCGTGTAACTTGCCTGTGACATTTGCCCCCATTTGCCCCCATTTGCCCCTCTAAGTTACTAACCCCCTCGAGCCCCTCCATGCTGGAGACCTCCCTGGTAACCAATCAGCAGGTATCACCAGCGTGGCTGAGTCCTCTCCTGTCTTGAAAAACAACGCTCATAACTTGAAGTGCCACTGACATCTACATACATCTACATACCAGTTCGGCTTACGAGTCCCCATGTCCTGAGCCACCAAGAATAACAAGAATAATAATAACTTAAGTTTCGACTCGACACTCATTACGCGTTTAACACGCCGTAGACATACATATATATCATATCTCTACTTCGTACCATCGCATGCCCGCCTAATGCTCAATAATGTAGTAAACAAATACCAAGTGACTCATCCGTCTCATATCCAACTACTACATGTAGGTAATAGGCTGACACCTACCTAAGCCTTGTTATGTATCCCTAGTAGCGGATGCCGAACCGGCTTCTTCTTAGCCAATCCCAGATCCAAACCATCCGCAGAAGAAGAAGCGCCGTCATGAGCATCACTTTGAACACTCACAGAACCACCAACGCTGACACCAACCACAGAACGCCCCTTAATAGCAGGCGTCAATCTTAGGGATGGTAGTGGCGGCGTGACCGATCTCCGCGCTACCCTGCGCATCGCTCTGGCAGCCTCCCGATCCTTAACAGCCCCTTGGGTCTCCGTCTTTCCCACGGTGTTGTCGTCGTCGGTACCGGCGGTCTGGCTGCTGCTATGTTTGTGTTGTTTGCTTCGGTGTTTGCCGCTGCCGTCCCGCTTCACCATCTCTACCATCTGCCAGTCCCGCTCCAGAGCCGGCACGTTCGACACGTACATCCACTCGTCTTCCACCGGCTTCTCTGTGACGAAGTCGCGCCGTAGGCTGAGCGTGCCTGGGCGAGAAGATGTTGGCATCGTTTCTGGCACGGTATCTACCTTGGTTAGTTGGTTACGAGCAAGTAGAACTGGGAACTCGTGTACTTGCCAGGATCAACACCATGTTCCTCAACGCATTCCCAACCATCCATATCCTTTTTAGGAGCTTTGAAGATGAATTAGTATATGGTGTCCGTGGCGAGGAAGGGGAAAAAAGAAAAGGTAATCGAACTTACCCTCGGATTGTGAATCGACACAAAGCAACAAGTCGTCGTCCTGGTCAGTGCCCTTCGTACCGTGAGTCCGTATGCTCTCGGCACACTCATTTTTTTGTGATCGCATGACGATGACCTCGGGATGGTTGGACTATGGTGGTGATGATAATGATAATGATAATGATAATGATAATGATAATGATAATGGCAATGGTAATAGTAATAGTAATAGCAACAGTGATGGTAACAACTACCAGAGTAAGAATAACAAGTGTGAGCTCATGGCACTTTACTCAATATAACCAATTCTAGTAAAACTCAAATGTGTGTCTACAACTGTGTGCCTCCCTACAGGGTTTCGCCCAAGTTAACAAAGTAAACCAAGCACGGAGCCATAATAGACGCGACTAGAAATATTGTCACCACAAAGTTCGGTGTGGTCTGCTATGGTTAAAGAGTTTCAATAGCTCTATTCTAACATGTCCAATCTCGAGACTCCCGATCCACCATCTTTGACGGCCTGGACACCAACGCCGAGGCTGAAAAGTGCAATGCATACCTAGGTAGTCATAAACTATTATGAAATAATATCAAACCATGTCCCTCTCATCGTATCGCCTCTCCTCGAATAGCCTCGCCGCCTCGATACAATACGTAGCGCGTTCGCTACCCAGCCTTCTTTCGCTGGCGTAGCATATAAGAACGCCATCGAGTATTCCCGATAGAATACCCTCCATTGCCCCCAACACACCCCAGCCTATCATACTGGCCACCATGCCCACAACATACGCGTAAGCGCTCCCCTTGACACCAATTCCATCCGGGAGTTGGACCTGCAGCTGCCGTGCAGTCATTACCCACGCCGCGAACCCAAGTGCCGTTGACATGACGAACCGTGCCGCGTGAAGGAGCATCTTGGCCATGCGATACGGCATGAGAGATGCCGTTGACTGTCCGCGCCGAGAGAATGCGCTCGGCGTAAGGGTCGTAGTAGGCCCCGTGGCGAGGAACTGGATTCTACTCAGTTGCGAGGCCGACTCCATCAGGGGTAGTGAATGGATCGATGCATAGGTCAATGCTAGAGGATTGGTTAAGACGGACACCGGGCGAGGAGCTAATCGCCATCCTATGAACTCGAAGATACTCGCGATGCGACGGGGTAAGATCAAGATAGGGATTCTAACCGCCAGGGATAAAAGGGTGGAAGCACAAATAGTGCCAAACACCGTAGTGGTAGAATGACCTAGGGCTCCTTTGACGATCGCATTCGACGAGGCGGAAGACTGATTGTTGCGGAAAAAGTACCAGTTTGAAACAGTGCCGCCGGTGGTAGCGCGTACGACGCCGCTCATGACGGAAAGGGTCCATATGTACATGATAAAGAAGAAGACCGCAAGCCACCAGGTCGCAGTACCGATGACAAATGTCGAAAGGGATTTGGAAAAGTAGCCACCGAGGAAGATTCTGGTGAACATTGACAACCAAACCCATGTCCACCCAACGACGAAAGCTAGCGAACCGAACCCAAGCAATACCAATGCTGGGTTGGCTGCGAGAATACGGCTGGAGAAGTCGAGTATGTCTATCGCCCGCTGTATCTCGTGACGTCCCTTGTATAGTAGCCACACCCAAATGATCGAACAGATTCCTGGAATTATGGCAGCATACCGCATAACTACATCCTGGGCTCGGGATCCATGATCCGGCCCTTGGAAGCTGGAGATCATCGGGTACAACGAAAACGAGAAGAGGACGATGGGAACGCCTAGTAAGATAAGTAGAGCTAAAGGTTGGACAAAGGACCTCAGCGCTGCCATCCAAATTAGGGCGACGACGACGGAAACTAGAGTATCCACGGCAAGGAGGTAGAAGGAAGAATGAAGAGTCGTGTAGATAGTGTCACCGATCTTCCTGCTGGGCACAGAGGTGTGCAGCCATACGAGCACAAAGGTGGCAAAGAGAGATGCAATAGCTATTAGGTAAATCCAAGCGAAGAACTGATCGTGCACGAAGATCTCGCCATACATCCGAGTAGGTGTTGGCGCAGGGATATCGCCTTGATCTTCTTCCGTCTCATCCTCCTCAGCTATAGCCTGTCGCATTAACCGTTGATCGTGCTCCAGATTTGTGCCCCTTTTGCCAGCCGTTCCCTTTGGACCGCCTGAGGCAGGCTTGAACTGCTGGAAGGCAGGGGGTGCTGAATCTATAGGGGGCTCCTGGAGAAGATCGTCTGGCACTTCATTATCTAGTACCGTTGAGTTCAAGCCGATATCAACCATTTTCCCGCTCTCATCACTATCCGAGTTCTGTCGTAAGCTCTGGTGGGTACTTGGCCCGTCAGGCTCCTTGACTGTATCACGCTTGGAATGCCTATCTTTGAAGCTAGATTCACCGTTCCAACTGCTCTTGATACCACCTGCGCCTGTGGGGCGTATGTGAGAGTACGCGTTTCCAAACGACTCGCTCTCGTTGTGCTCGGACGAAGCACCAAGTCCGTCATTCTCAGAAGCCGAGCTCTCCTCTAACCGGCTTGAGACAAAAACCCGGCGAGATCGTTGCAAGGCACGAAGATCTGCAGCTTCCCTAGCGTCATCATCATCTTCGTCTTCTCGAAACTCGTTAAGGGCGCTGTGAAAGAGGGGGGCATCCGAAGTAGTATTAATACGTGAGAATCCTCCAAACCGGGAGCCTGAGGGCTGATAAGGATTTCCAAGCCGGCCTTGGTACGAAGATCGTGCGGGATGCCTAGAGTACCGTCCGGGGGTGCCTTGCGGCTGTCGACTTGAGGCATCGTTGTTGTCCGGCGACCCGAAGTTGGACAGGCGGGACTGCGACTGGGCTAGGAACCTCGAGGCATCTGGTAATGGAACATTAGACCTAGATTCTTGGTTACCGAGCAGAAGGATAACTTACATTCTGAAAACATATTCAGTCAGCGCAGGAGGAGGTAGACTCCAGCGGAAGGGCTAAGGGGTAGATGATAAGGCGGAGTTAGGCAGGATTTGGGGGAAAGGCAACACAATTAGCGGTGACGATGACACAGTGATGCAAACAATACGATGCCTGATGATAACAATAAAACTAGGAACCATCTGGAGGCATTTCCTGCCAATAAAAGAAGTAAGTAGAGATACGTAATCTACTGTACGTATTAATCTTGGGTGTTGTGGTGTGAATAATGTTGGTAATATTGGGTTAACAAAGAAGTAGAAGAGTAAGGCCAAAATAAAAGAAAAGGATGAAAAAATAACGAGTTGAGGTTTGGTACAATCGACAGCAGCTGCGGCGTCGTAAAGGTGATGTAGATGAATGAATGAATGAGAATGGGATTGGATTGGATGAATGAGGGTGACTGATACTTCGATTGCTCACATGCAGCCCTGAAGGTTGTCTGTCTAACGTCCTCCATCCACCAGCACCCACAGCACCCACAGCACCCACAGCACCCACAGCAGGTGCCAGGCATAGCTTTACAGCACCTTTAGGCTACATAATGTACCTATAACATTGAAATGTATTGTATTCTAATTGTATTGTACTACTACAGTAAACCTTGGCCATAACGATTCGGTAGACAACGATATTTTTGTATAACGATATAATTTTGGGAACATTGCAATTTTGTATGGGAAATAACGATATTTTAACCTTAGCGATATATCGTTAATTTTTTGACCGCCACCACCAAGATCGTTATGGACCATATGTAAAAAACCGTTTATTTGATAAATTTTTGGTGGAATAAGTGGAATTTTGCGTTTGGTAGCCAATTGGACTGTCCTTTTTTCAGGTAAATCTAATCACCGCCACGATATCTAATCGCCGAAAAATTGGCTTACTGCATAATATCTATTGTACAATATTTTTCATAAAATAGTAAGTACCTTTTCCAATAAAATGGCAGTAAAGGTACAACGGCATTACACGGACCATGACAGTGGGTCCATCTCTACATAACGATACCTCTCTATAACGAATTAAGAGTGGTGTTTTTTCCATATCGTTATGGCCAAGGTTTACTGTAGTAACTAGTACCTAGCAATATTAAAATACAACGGTACAATACCTCCTGCCTACCAATACCCCCAAGAACTGCTTATCCGGACTTAAGGCCCGCTAGAAACGCTAAAAATGCGTTACGGAAGCGGTCAAAGTGGGAATGATCATACATAAGTACCTAGATTTTAGTGGATATGAAGCCTAAACAAGCACCGCTATCTTGACTAATGGGCCCTGCGCCTGCAGCGATCCAAAGCAACATACTGGCATACCCTAGGTAAGCTATCCAACCACCTTCCATTTGACTCAAAGCGGTTTATCAACGATAAAAAGTATGAGCTTGTAATGTGCCTACCCGCATTACGTACCTATAGGTGGTACCTAGTATAGGTACATACATAATGTATACATAAATTAAAAGTCCATAATAACTTCAATGTTCCAGACATCAAATGATTTGTTTAATATTAAGAACTTATTATTGAATGGATGAAATAAATATAGACCTTGTGCCGTTATAGAAAGATGATGATAAGGAAATGCCCAAGGAACTAGTTTAGTGATACCATGTATTGTCCCGTTGGTTTGATGCTAACGGATGTATGACTGACCTCTTATACCATGCAAATATAAAAGTCACGAGCCTTTCATAGGAGACCAGGTGTCAGATGCAGTGAGGTCATGCACCCTTCATCAGGCGCTATCGGCGCTGCCAGCTGCTCGAAGTACCGAAGCCCGCCTCACTCCAAGTTGCATATTTCTACATAGCATGAAGGCCTGATCCATGAATGTATTAAACTTGAATGCAGCACTGAGTACCTGACTTATCGATAACTATGTAGACCAATTTATGAACCTAGGTCAACGGTACCTACCTGTAATTACATAGGTACGTAGTACATACCTAGCCTAGTACCTAGTATGTACTAGTAGTGCACTACATCACGCCAAGTTAAGTTTAAACAAGTCAAAGCCAGCGACATCATCGTTATAAGTAATCCGATATAAATCCTAATTTTCTTACCAGTTGACCCGAAAACACATACAGACATCCCATACCTACTTACCCTATCTTAGCCGTACGTAGCATTCACTCTTTGTCCCCCCCAGTCTATGTAACTACCGTCACCCCTCAAAGAAAGGAAAACAAGTAACAAAGACCAAACCACCGTGCCTGGCTTTGCTTCTTCCTCCTTCTCCCCATATATTCGCCGCCACCTGCGTATCTGTACTGTACAAAGTCTTGCGCTATCAGTTAAAGCCGACGATTTGGATCTGGACACACCCTAGCTCTGCTGGCTAGGCTTATTACCTATCGCAGTTAAAGGACACACTACATATCAACTTGCAACAAAGGCATTCTATTTCTAGCGCTTTACGATTCCATACCTCGTGGTCCATCTTCTCTATACCTACATTGTCGCCTACCTCTCTTCTCCAAGCACCTACCTTCTCCAAGATCCAATAATTTCTAATGTCTTCACCGCCCTGGGACTATATCGCCAAGCTAGTATGCATCGGGGACTCGGGATGCGGTAAATCCTCTCTCACCATCCGGCTCTGCGAGGGGCGCTTCAGCCCCCAGCACGACGTAACGATCGGGGTTGAGTTCGGGTCGAGGATTGTGCCCGTCGGCCCCCCGTACTCCAAATCACCTACCCCTCCCACCGAGGGCGGCCTACCTGAGCCGCCCCGTGTCGACAAGACGCCGCAAAAACACATGAAGCTTTCCCTTTGGGATACGGCGGGTCAAGAAACGGTGCGTACCCCCCCTCTGACCCATCTTTTCAATAATGGGATACTTGCCGAGGTAGCCCTCGAGGCAGACTTGTGTGCCCTGGCCCCATTCAAGAACTCAGGATCCTTGAGGAAGGGTTGTCTTGAATGAGTTTTAAGCATTTTTTATAGACCTGAAACGATGCAGATAAACCAACTTGACATGTTACTAACATCTCCTCTCGTAGTACAAATCAGTAACACGCTCCTATTTCCGTGGCGCATCCGGCGCCTTGCTCGTTTTCGACATAACTCGCAAAGCGACCTTCGACCACGTTACTGACTGGCTGAATGACTTGCGCGCGATCGCCGACCCAGACATCGTCGTCATCCTCGTCGGCAACAAACTCGACCAAGCCCAAACGTCCGAGAACAAGCGCGAGGTGACCCAACAGGAGGCCGAAGAATGGACCCGCCGCAACGGCGTTCTGCAGTACGTCGAGACCTCGGCTAAGTCGGGCGAGAATGTCGAGGAGGCATTCATGCGCGTCGCCGAGCGCATCTTCGAGAACATCAACGCGGGCAAATACGACCTCAATGACCGCCGCTCCGGCGTCAAGGGTCCCGGTCCTCGCGGCGGCAATGGGGCTAGGCTTTCCGTATCTGAAAAGCCGGTGGGGCAGACCGGCGGTTGCTGTTGAGACGCTTGAATGAATAGCATGAAGCCAACGAACAAACAAACATATATTTACAACATATTACTACTTAGGTAAGAATGAAGCGAAGGCAAAGCTGGGTGGGACTGGACTGGACTGGACTGGACTGGACTGGGTTTATTTAGCTGGGCTGGGCCGGCTTGGTTTTGGTTTGGGTTGTGTTACGTCGAATAAACCCCGGAACTGCATGTGAGTCGGAATCGAACTCATTTACCAGATTTCCAACCGGATTTTTCAAACGGTCAGTCAGATTAGATTCATAAACGACGATGCCCAACAAACCACAACAACCAACCAACCAACCAACATCATCTTTCGAGGTCATAGAACCTACGAAAAAAGAGCCAGGTTTTATCATGAAGTTGGCTCTCTAGATGCTGATGCATGCCCCGAAACCCTGAAGTCTTACATAGATAGGGTCCCGGGTACGGGGTACTTTACTTGCTACTCATGTGGGTTCGACGTTTGGGTCTGGGTCTGGGTCTGGGTCTGGGTCTGGATTTTTGGTGGTGTCTATTTGTACATAGAAACTTTGCGCACTGGAAGGCATCGCATAACGCATTCGATGATACCCTACGTAATAATGTCTAACTTTCCACGACTCCTCCAAAAGGCAAGCAATCAAGCAAGCAGTGGGAAACGGAAATCTCCCCCTTCCCCCTTCCCCCAACCCTAACTCGTTGTTGGGCGGATGTTGGAATATCACATTACTTCTGCCACTTACATACCTTCCTGCCTATGTGCTTGCATGATAGATACATACATACCTAGGTAGGCACTCTTCACTACCAACATCGACACAACTTCTCACACATTCATACATTATCAGAAGGAAAAGGAGAAGAAAAAAAAGATTTGCGGTGTATGTTTATTAGAAAGCGGTACAACTGATGAGTATCTTTTCTTTTGCTAAGTTTCCCAATAATGCCTCATTCACGTTAACCACAGTGAACTCCACTCTCAATTCCCTTTTTTCATGCAAGTTTTGCCCTCGTATCGTTACATCAAACAATGGAGAAGATAAAGAGGAGATGGAGATGGAAATTTGCGGTGGATAGACCGCCTTAACCAGTTGTTGGACTAGATAGTCCTTGCTTTATATGAATTGGCTCTTTCGGGTCCAACAGCTAAGCTTACTTAGCTCTGACCTCGTACTTTTGGGCCCTCGCCCCCTTATTATGGCTCGAGTCTGGCACTCTAGTTAGAAATACGCCAGTTGTCGAACCACTTCATGTAGCTATATTGCTCGTTGCTACCTGTCATGCCCCAGCAGATGGGCAAAAAGAAGATGTAGAGTCCAATGATAGTGGTGTACAAGAAGCCGTAGATGCTGTATTGGACTGCCTTCTTTTGATCCTTCAGCACCCAGTCGGCCAAGAAACCGAGGGTTAGGATTGCGAAGTACAAGGCGGGATAGTAATGATGAACATAGGTCACTCGGGCCATGATGGCGAAGGGAAGGTAGTGTAGGAACCAGCCCAGGATTGGATAAAGCCCAGAGTAGTGGATTTGATCAATGTCTTCCTGTGATAAGTCGTAGAATCCTCGTCGCCATCGGAGAATATACCAAACAGTGATAAGACCGACGGCGCCTAGGGAAGCGGTCGAAGCCCAATAGACGAAGGGGTTGCCGAGGAGGAAGTATTTGACAATCTTGTCATCCCAACCGCACATTCGCAGACCAACATTTAGAATAGGCCACTGCCACCACTGGGAAGCGAGGTCATCTTGCTTATCAGGGTCAGGGACCAGAGCATTGTTAGATGTCATCATGGCCACATTCAGATGAATGAAATCGTGGAAGAATGGCGACTTATACTTGCCAGGGTCTCCGGGGGGGACTGTGCGCTGGTTAGCAACTATATAAATAAAGCTCATTCGCAAAACTTACGCTGGTCGTTGACGTGAGACTCGATGTTCCAGTGGGTGAAGGTATCACGGGGGTTGTTGCTCTTGTCGCAAGTCACCTCGATTTGCTTGAATCCCCATTGTGGAAGGTTGACGTTGGCTGCCCGTAAATAACAGCCCATCACCGGGTTTCTCAGCCTGAAAGCAGTTGTCAAAGTCCGTACCCTAGACCTATCACGAGAGGCCACATCCCTAACAACCTCGATTTTCCAGTGGTCCTTATCGTCGCCAACGGTAAGATTGCCGTAACAAGAAACTTCCTTGTGGGACTTAGTAACGGGGGCTGCGATATCGTGACTGTGCAGATTTCGACCCGTCTGCGAATGAATTAGGCGAATAACATCACCATCTCCAACGAATCGAGGCTCTTCTTCAGGGACAAAGTCAGGTTCAGCACGGTTGGGGTAGAACCACCATTCGTTGTTGGAATCCTTATGGTGGTAGCAAGTAACTTGCTGCTGAGTCGAACCCTCGGGGTAGGCTTGTGAGAAGTTAGACGTGGGGATTTTAGCTAATATGGAATGTTGTATACTTACATTGAACGTGGCTGTGAAGCAGACCGCCACCGTAGCCCATGTTCTTGAGGGTAACCTTGGAGCCAAAAGCGACCTCCAGAGGAGAGTTTCGTCCGATTTCACTACCTTCCAAGTTCGCTTGGAATAGAGAACTCATTTGCGCATCTCCGGGGCCACTCTTGATCAAGATTGCAAAATGAAGCGCAAAAGCGAACATATAGACCAAGAATGGTATGACAATTAGACCGACGACTCGAGCGCCGACATGACCAGCAAGCACCGGGATCGGCATCTTGAGGTTGCCAAACTTGTGCCAGAGGTCTTCGATTGTGTATATACCGACGAGAGCGGTGACGAAAAGTCCAACAAGCTTGATACTGCAAACAAATCCCAAGCTTAGACCGGTCATGAACAGCCAAAAGAACCACTCAGGTTCGAAGCTCGACTTTTGCTGGCGGTGAAACTTAGACCAGCAAAAGACAGTTGCAACTGTACCAAACAAGAGCATGGAATCCAGCAGGATAAATCGGCTGATTGTCGTGTACGAATTTTCACACAAAACCATGAGTGTTACTAGCCAGACAGCAGGACGCTTCAAGTTAAGCTCCCTCGCAGTGTAGTACGCCAATGGCACACATAGTATACCCCAAAAGGCATTGAAAGCTCGCATGAAGGTGTAGTCTAATTCCTCGGGATAGGTCTCGCCAGACTTGAACTCGAATGATCCATTGTAACCGGCCATGACCCCGGAGAGGCCAACAAGGATTTTACCAAGAGGTGGGTGCCTATTGTACGTGTTAAAACCAATATTCCAACCAAGCTGTCAAGGTATAGTATTGACTAACACATCGAAGAATAGTTCACGTTTTATGTAGTGCGATCCGAATTTTCCGAAGCTATCGAACAGATGTGCAGGTTAGCATCAAGGCAGAGGAGATTTGGGAGGATTCGACGAACTGAGCTTCCTATGCGGTGATTAGCAGGCATGATGAGAAAACACAAGGGCTATTAAACTTACATCCCATGTAACAATTGGACTGAGGCCAATTTTCCATAGACGTGTGAAGGCAGCGAATGCTGTAAAAATTAGGGGTGCAATGATAAATTCCCATTGGTCAAGTATATCGAGCACCGAAGCTTCCTACACAAATTCGAGTTAGCTAAGAGTCTACCGAGGAAGCTCTTTACCAAGCATCGATTTACAATGGCATGCAATGATATGTAAGGGTGTATCTGTACCTTCTTCTTTCCATGAAACTTCTCGTCAAGCTCCGGCCTTTGCGCCAGAGCTCCTGGAATGGTATATCCAGGTACATTACGTCGCCGAGCAGCGTCACCAGTTGGATCAGCGCCGGACGCCGCTGCGGCCTTCTTGTCGGCCATAATAATGGGTTAACTCTCTGCCTTGTTCTCCAAGGCAAGAGTCAGAATATGAGAAAATGGTAGAAAGAATGTCACAGGTTGGATAAAGGAGGCCTGGAGGAAAGAGAAGAAGAAAAAAGATGCTACTAGGTAAGGTGAAAAGGAAGGTCCTGAAGAAGAATAGATTAGACTAGTCAAAGACGACAGAAGTAGTGCATCTCTCCCACGAAGTAAAGAATAGAAGGGTAATCTTGACTACGAGAATATAATGGGAACCCAATACTGGAAGAAAGGCTAAGGAGAGAAGAAGTTGAAGAAGAAGATTGAAGGAAAGGAGGTTTGCGTGGCGTGTACGATTAGAACGTTGATGGTACAAAATACTAGGTACAATACAATACCTAGTACAGTCAGTACCTGCTACTACCTGGTCTGCCCGTCCTGCAGCTACTGCTACAAATGTCAAGACTCAAATGTAGTGTGTACCTCCTGTAATGTATATCTGTACCTAAATATGTATGTATGTAGCAGCACTTTCCCACCAAATGCTCGCACCTTTTTTTTTTCTTGTTCCTTTTTTTATTAATTTTTTTTTATTTCTTGCTTCCGCTGGATTGGATTCCTACTGAAAATTGAGGGACGGGCTACCATAGGATGCACTAGCCATCGGCCCCTGGCCCCTGGCCCCCCTGCGCCAACTAGCTAGCTTTATTTAGCACATTAGCACCTTTCAAAAGGTGCCCTTTTTTTTTTTTAAGGGACACTTTGTTCATTCGATTTATTTGACACGCGCGTACAGGTACAATAATATCATGGATGTATCTCGTACTTACGACCAAGCCTCAACCTTGCAGCACCTTGCAGCACCTTGGAAGCTTCAATCTATTCCCACTCTGTTCCCACTTTGTCGGGTATCATGGCATCCACATCTTTGCCGAGTTCTGGCCAGATGAGGTCACGCAAGTACCAAGTAGGTATATTTACGCACCACAGAATCAATTTCGAATCATTTGAAACAACCGTTACCACCCATTGACATGTATCATTCAATGTATCATTCAACGTTAATATACATATATACACTATATATTGCAATCTGGAAATACATATCTATGCATCTCAAACAATCTCACATGGACGCTACATACGACTTTATAGCACCTACATGCACTAAACTAGCCTGCCTAGTACTATTGGTGTAGCCCTGGAGGTATCTAACTTTAGGTAAACGGCAGTAAAACAACACGTTTCCATCACCCGCCTACTGACTGTTATATAACTACCTACCCTAGGTACATATATATATATATATATTGTCCAACCACGGTCACCAACACTTCAAATACACATACACATACACACACACACACACACACACACACACACACAGGAATTGTATCTTATTACATGCGTACATACATACATACCTAGAAAGCTGTCAACTACACAGCTACGTAGATTTCCGCCAACTAAGTTGGCATTAATCTAGACACCTCGAATATTATCTCTAATGACCCTTATCTCGATTCCTTGACAAATTGGCTAATGCCGTACACCCGTGAACTTCATCCAAGGGCTCGCTCGGTCTTACACACGAAAGTAAAAAGGCCTCCCCCCTTTCACCTTATTATATGAAACTCGTCTCTCCGTTTCTCTTTCCGTCTTGTCTCATCGTCGTGACGGTGATGATGATGTCGATAATGATGTCCATGTCCATGTTGATGGTCCTCGCTTGACTCGCGGAATGACCCTATGCAAAATAGGCAAAACAGTTTACAATAATGCTGGAATGCGGCCGCCGTGGCCGTCAGAATTCCTGTCGCGCCGTCTATATGAACCAGGGTCTAGTAGTCCTCCGCAACAATTTCAATGCCACTTGCTCCGTGAACTCAAATCAATCATCTCGCTGGTCTAATGGTGCGTACCTGGCTCCACCGGCTGGACTACTGCTGGACCCCCGGTTTTGGCCAACCATTCTGGTGAGCCACTCGCCCACTCGTCCCCGTGAACTCTGGCTTTCAGACCGTATTTGCGGCTTTCCATCTACGATACTAAGGATAGGGGGTTCGACATCCATAGAAGGGACGTTCTCAGAACCAAGGGGTCGTCCTCGGAGATCGAGCGACGGCACCGGCGATCCTGCTCTGATTAGCGAGCCCGTTTCTGACCTTATGCCAGGAGTGCCCATTGCAGTGCTTGCATCTCCGAAAAGCGAGTCCATATCTTCCAACCTCACACCGCATGTTTCGGGGTATATGAAGTAAACTGAAACCAAGTTAGCAAGTTTAGTAGAAGGGTGGGAGGTTAGGACTGAGACTTACCAACAACAAAACTAACAACACAGAAGAACGCATGCAGCAGATATAGTCGCCATTGAATCCACTCCTGAAGAATAGGAGTCATTTCTCCTACAAGCCAGTTGAAAGCCCAGTTGGAAGCGGTTGAGAGACTTGCTCCTTTAGATCGAATGCTTAGTGGCAGGATCTCAGGTGGGTAAAGCCAAGGGATTGGGCCCCATGAGTAACCGAACGCAGCGTTATAAACCATGACAAAGATGACCACCAATATTGGTGTAGAGTGGATATCTAGGTAGATGAAATAGGATACGCAGGACAAAGAGATTGCCATTGCGATGGCGCCTGTTAGGAGGATAAATCGACGACCCCAACGATCGACTAGATACCAAGGTGGGATAGTTGAGAGCAGATATGTTATGCCATTGATACCGGTCATTTTAACAGCGTCGTGGCCAATCCAACCGGCTGATTCGAAAACATAAGGAGCATAGTATGAAATGACGTTGATTCCGTTGAGCTGTGCTAGCGCTTGTGCAGACATGGCGATGAATACTCGGGTCTTGTAGCGTCGGAACATTTCAGAATAAGATCTTTCGCCTTCCATACGCTGGAGTAGGACGTCCATCTTGATCTCGCGATACTCTTCTCTTGCTTTCGGGTTATGAATATCGCCACCGCCGTATAGGTTCGCAATAACGACAATGCCCTCTTCATCGTGATCGTTGTCCAACAACCATCTGTCCACATGTTAGCAAATTTGACCCGTAGGATTCCATTATCATCACTTACCTTGGGGATTCAACAATGACCAAACTACCCAACCCTAACAAAGCTCCCATCACACATTGCATTAGAAGGGGAACTCGCCATGACAAATCATTTTCGATAAACCCGCAAAAGTAATCGACCCAGACGGATGTCGTGTAACCGATAATATTACCTGAAAATTCGATACAGGCTAGTTTACCTCGGTTGTGTGGAGGGGAGATCTCGGACTGGTAGACGGGAACAATGGTGGATAAGGATCCAACACCTAGACCTGCGATGATCCTGCCCAGCATCATCATAGGCATATTGGCAGCAAATGACTGCAAGGCTCCGCCGATGAAGAAGATAATTGAACCATACAAAATCGTTCTTCGTCGGCCTATGATGTCTCCGACTTTTCCGACGATTAACGACGAGATGAGAGCACCGATCTCGAGAATGGCAACCATCGTACCGATTTCGGCTTTCGACGGGTGATTGAAATAACCCCGGAATTCCGGACCCCTGAAGTATGGTTAGGTATATGACCATGAGGCGAGTAGGCAAGGACGCCATCGTTGAACTCTTACGTGATGATACCCGACATGACTCCTTGGTCATAGCCGAACAGGAATACACCTAATGAGACGAAGATGCTCGTGAAATAACTGTAAGATACACAATTAGTACATCATTGTACATGATTGATATCTCGTTGCCTTATTGCCTTGTTGCCTTGGCGTGGTGGTGGTGGTGTAATACGTACAGGAGGGCCTTGCCCGTGAAGCCGTGGACCCCAGCGCCCGGCATGATGGAGGCTATGATGCGTTCTGCTCTTGAGATACGGCGTGGGGAGACGTTAGGGACCTCGATTGCTTCTTTATCGATGACCCCAGAGAAAGATCTAGAGGAACGATGATGACTATGCTCGGAGACGGATCTCCTAAACTGAACGCGTTTGTGTTTTGGATGACGCTTAAGAACTCCGGAGAATAGGTCCTCGTTCACCGACGTATCAGCGATGGTCTTCCGTAAGGGATCCTCCTCATCCGCCAGCTGCTCGGCTAGATCACCCGTGTCAGTCCAGGAATCGGAGTCGGCAGAGTCGGAGGAGTGTCTCGTATGGGATGGCTGGTCCCGGTGGCCGGCCAACAATGACGTCGATTGGGCGCCGTGGTCGGATCGATGAGTAAGGGTGCGGAGAGGGATGTTTGAGGGAAGACGGTTTGATTTTGGTGAAGGAATTTTGGAGGTATTGGGGCTGGCAAGCAGCAGCACCCTCCTGCGAAGATAAAGGTATAGATTGGAATTGAGTTGGGGACTGAGGAAAGGGTGGAGTGAGTATATAGGACAGGGCCCCAAGATTCAGTGTCATCCGGGCCTGACCAGTGACGAAATGCTCAGTGCTGTTGACAAGTTTTTTTTCGACCGGAACGTACACACCCAGGTGGATCACCAAAGCACAAGACACATGCACAATCGAAGCTCGTTCCAAAACCGGTAAGGTAAGGTATCACGCACTGTAGGTACAATACGGTCAAGCCAGTCAAACGAGTCAGTAGAAGATAATGTTGTATGTAGGCATGTACCTTAAGGTATGTAGCTAAATAAGTTATGTAGGTTAGTTAATCTGGGTTAGTCAAATCAACGTCGACCATGTAGGTATGTAGCCTAACTACTGAATTGAACCGAGAATCGGACGTGAGATGGATGGATGTAAAGGAATAAGCAGAGCAATCAATATCGATCTTTTTTTCTTCTTTTTTTTTTTTTTTTTGCTTAAGAAAAAAGATGATTGACGATTGTCTTTGAAGTGGATGTAAGGGTATTGGGTATTAAGTGAGACCTTTTGGCTACCTACCATTGATATGTATGTATGTATGTATGTATGTACTAACAGGTATGGTAGATCTAGGTACGTATGTAGGTACCAGCGTACGGCAAAGATGTATGTAGTCAAGAGTTAGGACTCAGGAGGAATGTTGGTAAACTGTTCAAATGTTGTATGCTATTGAAGTTGACGGGTTGAAAATAACATTGAAGCTAAAGGGAGAAAGTTGAAAATAATTAATAAATTCGAAATCATGTAAAAACTGTATGTAGGTATGTATGTATGTATGTAATGTACCTAGTAGACAGGTAGACAAGTATTAGACAGGTTGACTTACAGATCAAGGCTCCCAAATGGCCTACAAGGACACAGGACACGGAAAATATTGATGTGAATCCTACCTGCTGCACTCCCCTATTCTCAAAAACTTCAGGGAACCAAAGGGAGAGATAGCTGCCGCTGATCATTCTTACGTACTACTAGTACATAGTACTGCCCAGCTGCCATATCATACATGCGGTCTTGGTAGTTCTTGGATGTACTCCGTGTCTTTGGAAACTGTGCAGCAGCCTTTCTCTTCTGCGGTAATCGCGACCATAGCCTTGGGGGTTTCAGGGTTGTAGCATTTCCAGTTGTGGGGTAAAGACACCCCCACAGGGATTGTCTTGCACTAGCTGTAGTACTACACACCTCCAGGGCTATTAGGTAGGTACACCTAGGGACACTAGACAAGTGCTAGGTACTAGACCGTATTATGTTATAACTGATACGATGCAGGTACTTTACCGTATCTATTGCATTGGAATAACTGTGCTTGTGTTCAATTACATCAATGATGTATTATGTACCTCTAGATTGGTAAGTCAAGTCTTATCAATTTAATTAACTATTCGAAATACCATCGACCTCCCTCCCATCTAAAACTTTGAAGTTCATCAACCTTTACATAACTACATACTACAACATAGTAGTACTACTATATGATTAGGTCGGTACACACATGTAGACAACTTTGCCAACTAAGTTCTAGTGTTATATACTACATGAATACCTACCTATGGTTGGATCCCACGTGCAACCACGACGTTGAACAAGCTTCTTCTTTCTTTTAAGTTGTGCCCTTGTACTCACCCCTCTCCCTTTCTTTCTCCCTCCCTGCCTCCTTGCCTCCATCTTCAATGTTCCCTCCCTCCTACCCAAGTCCCAATCCCAACATCGCTTCACGACGTAACCCACAGTCAAGCAATCACATGATGTCCTTAAAGTGCCGATAGCTGTTCAAACTCTATGGGATACGTCGTTAGGGGGGATATCCTTTCTATTTACAAAACTAGCCAATGCAGATCAGTCACCTTTTCGGAATTCGCATACGATTAACTACTACAGCACATGTCAGATCCTTCTCTAGGCTCTAGCTTACTGGATTCCACGAATAAACTAAAGCGAACTCAAGAACACTACTCGGCAGCTGTTCGGGTCAGGTGCTGGCCTATCTACTTCTTCATATGTCCGAATATGGAGGCTCAGTATGCAACCGGATCCACGATGGCATCATATTGAATATGGGTATCATGGATATCATACGAATTGAGCCCAAGGCGGTCAACCAAAATGTCACTTGAGGATGCAACACCCCAGAAAACACCCCTCATTTTCAAAGAACCCTTTCCCATTTCTACTAGTGTATCAGTTTGTTTTTCTGGGAAGTTGGGGGGCTTGATCATAAGAACCATCCCCAAGGCTGCATACAGCTCGATTGACTATCCCCCCCTCATTTATTACCCCTCGCGCCCACATACACGTGCTGCCGAATTTATACCTTAAAAGCCATGCGAATGGCTGTCGAAGCCGCTCACCATTCAACTTGTCTATTGATTGTTGTACAGGCATATCATCCTACCTACCTACCTACCTATCAGCCGACGTCTACTCAATATGATCATGATAACGGACTCTTTTCCTTCAAGCTACCCTAAGTTTCGTCGTCATTGTGGCTAACACTAGGCTATATATCGCCTAGGGAATTTTATGCTCAATTTGTTGGCAATCTTGAATTACTATAATAGATACTGACAAAGTAGGGGTGGTCAACCAGATTCGTATAGAATGCCTACTTAACTAATCCTCGGGTCGCCTCGCATAGCATATAACCTATAAGAGAATTCGAGAAGTTCGTACGGAATATCTAGAATATTTTGGAGCATACAATACAATTATACAATTTGCCTTCGCCACTGGGACCTCGGGCTTAGAGAGCCTAAGAGAGGTGGCACAGGCGGCATAAAATCCCATTTCAGGAAAAGAAGTGCGTAAGAACGACTAGATATGATCCTCCAAAAGGTCAACCTTGACCATTGATTGGTAATAATTTGGTATGTATGTAGAAGGGGGAAGTATGAGTGTCAAATCATATACGAATAGGCTGACCCTTTTTGCATTAGATCCATTAGATCTTCGGTTAGTATCAGATGTGGCTGAAACGCTAAACTACCTCATAGTCTCATACTATGATGTTGGTTAGTGACTGAGAGACGCCGTATTGGTCGCGCCCTGAATCTCAAACTTGGACGTTGCCCAGACGAAGTTGAAATGTTAGTGTGATGATAGCCCTAACCTACCTAGCTATCCACCCCCACCACCAACCTAGGTTAAGAGCTTAGTAGGTTTCACTCCTACTATCACAAGAGACAACGACTGGCTGAGTTCCTTGATTATGAAGAGCCCTAAGCAAGGGCCCAAAGTGTATTAGCCATCGGTAGGTTACAGGTAACACGTGCTGTACGATGCATCTTTACGACTTTTCGTTTTAGAGTGTAACAGATCACGGAATATTCAAAAACGCTCACTTTTCGTGCAAGGCCATAAATACCTACATACATATGGCTAGTGCTACCAGACCGTGCGCTCGATCTCAGGTGTGGGACCTATCGTCAACTCTGTACCTACACTACAAAGTATGTATGTGCCCTCCCTGCCTCCCTCCAGGAAAACGGACCGTAAGCGGATATTCATCCAAGATTACAGAAAGAAAGAACAAGGGTCATTGGCGGGTAGCGGCAAGATAGGCGGCAAAGAAATATGTAACGCCGCAAAAAGATGTCTCATTGGAAGCAGCTTGCATTAAATGTAAAGTACTGGGACAAGATCAGCACAAGGTCGTCCCGGTCAAAATACGTATGACATAACATAGCATGAATAGCATGGACGTATTACACCTTCACACATGCTATAACAAGTGCCAGGATGCTATCAGCCATCAACCATCGTCGAGGCTCGAGGCTCGAGGTTCGAGATACGAGATAGCCCCCATCACCGATATGGAGATTGAAGAAACCGAAAGGCTCGTCGGACAAGTGGTGATGTTTATAATAGGCTACAGTTTACAACCTACAGCTCATCACGCATGATGATTGTCCAATCCAAATGACTTACATATGGATATCTCACCATATGGTAGCTCCTCCTACACGTAACTTCTATTCTAGGCCATTCCTAGTAAGATGTACGACCATATTTTATGCAAGACATCGCGGATCTTACAATCCGGTTCGTTGAGCACCTATGTAGTACTTTACCTTTTTTGTTCGTCTTTCTCTTAATTGATACAGATGGAATCCATACGACAAGGCGACGGATTGACTCCATGCCCATGCCCATGCCTAATACATATTATATATAATAGATCCAGAATCAGATGATAAGAAAAGGTTGGCTTTGACTTGTTCTCCAGAAGTATTTGTACCAGACCTAAGATATATATATATGTGTGTACTAGGTACGCTATTACAACAACAAAGTTCAAGTTCTATCCCAACTAGAATTTTTGTATTTTTGGGATTATTCTTTTTATTTTATTTTTAAAAATGGAATTGCAAAGTTAGAAAAAGTTAGAATTGGCTGTTGAACTTGGCGCCGGTCGGTTGCAACTGTATTAAAAAGAGAATCATAATTTTTGGACTTTCCCTTTTCCGCCCCCTGCAAAACTGCAAAACCCAGACAACCCAGACAACAAGATTTTCAACCCCTGCTCACCATGCCAAATCGCGCTGTTCCTGCCTCTTCGCTCAGGAACAAGTTCGAACTCGACTGACAAAATTGGCTTGGGATAATTTAAAGGGGCCCACTGTTCCCAACCTAACCAACCACTACTACTGCCTGCCTTCCTCTGTCTTTCCCTCGCCTACCAAGATTACTTCCCTAGATTACCTTAGCTAGGGTAGATTTCCTACCGTAGCTTCGTCTACTACTGTACCTATCGTTGTAGTGTTGCATTATCAAGTAGGAAGGCGCAAGGGGATTCCCCAAGTTTGGCTTAGCAACACCAATCACCCTTACAACTTAGAACCTAGCAAGCTATCGCCCTGGCCTTGCCTTCGTTTCTAATTTCCTCTTTTCCCGTCTCATCACTCTAATATTATTCTAATCACCCTAAACTAATCACTAATCCATCCCTCCCTCCCTCTCTCCCGGACGATTCAGAGAAAACACCACACTTTTTTTTCTTGGAACCGAAACGACAAGCACGACAAGCACGATTACGCTCGAGTTGCGATACGATATTTGGCGAGGAAGGGAGTTCGAGGGGGAATAAAATCAAAAAAAAACTACATCATAGAAACCGAAATCACAACCGTCTTACACCTTTGCATTCAAGCTCGAATCGAGTGCCTCGAGCCTTTTAATCGAACGCGAGTCAGCACTGTTTCAACCCAACCGACAATAGGAATGAAAAGTTAACATCAACTCGGCTGTTGTCATACCTCGTAGCTTCTCTTATGAGTTTTGATTGAAGTTACAAACTGAATTCGCCAACAACACATCAAGAAGCTTGTGAATGGTTGCGCGTCCACAGATAAACCGGTTTCAATTACCAAGCTAGTCAAAGAAAGAAAACTTTGCCAGCGCAAATTGTGGCTTTCGACAACTCATCTGCATTCTCTCTTACAACCAAACATCTCTGCGCGATCACCTCGCGCTGTACCGTGAAATGGGTTCGACAAATTTTGGTAATTTCGACGTATGTGTTCATCGCAAACCTGCCATGATAAGGGTGTTTCAACCATAACTAATGATCATTGCTAACTATCTCGTGATTTATAGGCGTTTTGTCGCGATTCAACGCTACCGGTCTGCAATGTACGTTGGTCTAGTGGCATAATTATGTGAACTTGTATCTGTCAATAGCTTATGATCACTAACGATCTGCGTTAGGTTCTTTCAGATACTCATGATCAAAGAGGGGGCTGGGGTGGTTGCAACCTCCAAGGTATCCCACTGTCTGGCGACCGTTATTTGGGAAATCTAGGTTCGTCCTGATGAACAACTGCGTTGATCACTACTAATAGATCGCAGGGTCCATACTGCTCTGCGGTATTGCCATTGTTACATCAGTGCTATTGTTGTTGCGCTCAGAAAGGAAGAAAGCTGCAGTTGGCCGGAGGTCCGTATCGCATCTTTTGGAGTAACGTTTCTTTACTAACATTGCTATAGGGAAATGCAATTGTTCCTCATCGGCTTTATTATTATTGAAATATGCGAAATATTTACCGTGGGGGAGTTTCCTTTAAATGCAACAGTTCGAATTGTATGCGACACCCAAAGAAAATCCGATGGTATCCCATGTTTGAACAGCTAACTAATATGCGTACCTAGGCCTTCACGGGAATTCATATCGGAATGATCATTACAACTACGTGGATCCTACTCCTCAACGCTGTTGTGGGATACCAGATCCTCGACGATGGAACTCCGCTATCCCTAGGACTCATGGCCATCTCTGGAGCTATTTTGTTCGTCGGTACCGGTTACATCACCCTGGACACAGGCTACCATTGGACCACGAAATTCATTCCAGATCCCAATGACCATTACCGAAACATCGCACTCTACGTTCTTTACCAGCTTGCGCCGCTCGTTTTTCTCGTTGCCTTCTATGTTTTAGAAACCATACTAGTGCTAAGGGTTCTTGGTGAGGTGCGACCTATGCTCTATCTCACGGGCGCTGGTGTTCTATTCGCAATTGGGCAGGTTTTCAACTACGTCATCAGCCCATATATCTGCAATGGAACTGCTGGCAAAATCGATGGAGCGTTGTTTGAGACGTTATTCACACTGCTTGCAGTTGTGATGATATGGGTATTCTGGTCAAGCATCACGGAAGATGATTGGCCAATTGCCAGCCAGCCCACGGGCTATCCTTAATTCTCGACCTTCATTTGAATATTCCCGGAGTTGGCGTTCAGGTTCGACAATATACCCGTTCATGTTCTTTTCTTTTCATTCCTTGGCTGTGTCCTATCGATTAAAAAAACCACGTCGTCTCGAAGGGAACGGCGACAAAAATATCACGACAATTTAATCCACATAAGAGTAGTAGTAGTTTATTATAAGGGTTTGGGGGACGGGGACGGTGAGACAACGAGAAGTGGCATGCTTGCATGCGCTATACGAAGCTACGCAAACATGTCTGGGTGGGCGGAGGAGTGGGAGGGGGGAGCAGGAGGTAGGAGTGGCAGTGATAGTGGTAGTGGTAGTGGTAGTGGGAGTAATGGTGGTTTATATTCATACATATGGTGGCAGACTTGCCATTAGCCAGTTGGTGGAAAGTTTTGGAGCCTGGTTGAAAGTATACCCCAGATATGCGCGACTAATGTATATGACGTCGTATGATAGCTGAGTTGAATACCTCTTATGTAGGTAGTTCAAACGACAAGACGAGTCACGTTCAAGAATTGAGGATATCTCTTGATATTGTTCGGTATCAATTATCAGTGATAGGAGGCTGAGTTGGTACTAGATACCTATCTATTGTAAGAATAGTAACAACCTTGAACTTTACGTGCTCCCTGTGCAGATGAATGTAGTTAACCTACTAGGTTACATATGTAAGTATGAACTATCCTTGTAACTTTACAGTTAATAGGTACTACATAGTACTATATACCCTGTGTGTTAACGGTATATCCACTGGTTCTCATTGGCCAAACATTGAAGCTCGGGGTTTTAGGTACAAGGCTGTGCAGTCTTACTGTCTTAGTAGTCTCAATGTCTCATTAACTAACTTGAAATGCAGGTAGCCAGCCTTGCCTTGTTCTTTTTTTTATTTTCTTTTATGAAAAAAAAAGAAACTTACAAGCCAAAAATCCAAAACTTGCTGTCTTGATCTCGCAAGTTCTCTACCACATTACAATACATTGTTCTATAATTACCTTATCATTCATTTGTGAGGGTTATGACGTCTTTTGAGTCTTTCACCGCTGACAATGCCTTGAGGTGTTGTCAAGATTCCCCAGTCGCACGCCGACGTTAAGTTATAAACGTACCACCACCTTGGACCACTACCTTGGAGCTGTCTCTCTTTCACATAGTAGCTTCTTAATTTCTCTGTTTCTCTATTTCTCTGTCACCCTTCAACGCCATCTTTCACTTTTACCACTTTTGCCAACAAAGGAAAACATTCGTCCATCTCGGGTTCACACTTTTTCATAAATCCCGAAATCACGAGCGTGTATCTCAGCCCAACCACGATCACGACCACGACCACGACCATGGCCGACTCGGACGGCGAATACCATGGCTCAGATGACGAGTTTGGCGAGCACCAAACCACATCCGGCACGCAATCAAAGACAAAAGCTGGGGCCCGAAATGACAAAAGCAAGAAGGGGAATCGAAAGGTCGCTAGAGCCGCCTGGGAAGATATCCAGAGATCTTGGGACGCAGTTGTTGAGGATGCTGATGGTACACTTGCTGGGGCTATCGAAGGTCGCGCAGAGGCAGAGAAGCGAGCACGACTACTAAAGGACACGACACCATTACAGCGCGGTATAATACGACACCTCGTTCTGGTTTTGGACATGTCCTTTGCGATGCAGGAGAAAGACATGCTACCAAGCCGATATGAACTGAGCATGGCCTACTCCACCCAGTTTGTCAGAGAATACTTTGAGCAGAATCCTATCTCGCAACTTGCCATCATAGGTATGCGGGATGGTGTCGCAGTCAGGATAAGCGATATGAGTGGGAACCCGGCCGACCATCTCGAGAAGCTACAGAATTGGGTCAAGCAGGAACCGCAAGGAAGCCCCAGTTTGCAGAATTCACTAGAAATGTGCCGTGGAGCTCTATTGTAGGTTTCTATAACATTGATGGGTTAAAGCCCAGAGGCTAAATGGATTCGCTAACCGTGTGGGAGTATAGCCACACACCATCGCATGGTACTCGAGAAGTCGTTATAGTCTACGGTGCCCTGATGTCCAGCGACCCGGGCGACATCCATCAAACTATACGCTCTCTAGTCTCTGACCATATACGCGTTTCCGTTGTCGGCCTCTCTGCTCAAGTGGCCATCTGCGACGAGCTCTGCTCTAAGACCAACGGTGGCGACACCTCAAGCTACAGGATCGCGCTACACGAGGAGAACTTTAGGGAACTACTACTGGCTATCACAACACCCCCAGTCACTCGAACCCAGGAGCAGAATAATGCGAGTCTCCTCATGATGGGGTTCCCCTCCCGCAAGCTTGCTGCCGGCGATAGTATGCATTACTGTGCTTGCCACAACCGACCCACGCGCGAGGGCTACGACTGCACCCGATGTGGCTCTCGAGTCTGCCGTCTCCCTGCCGAGTGCCCTGGCTGCGGACTCACGCTCATTCTCTCGACGCATCTTGCGCGCTCATACCATCACCTGTTTCCCCTACGTAACTGGGTCGAGGTCCCATGGTCCGAAGCCAAGAAGTCAAAGGCGTGTCACTCCTGCCTCGCATCCTTTCCTGAGACATCCAACCCTCGAAAGGCTAATAAGGGAAAGGGCAAGGAGAACGCGAGTAGTGGGACAAAGCTCCCTCCATCGTTGAGAGGACTAAGCGAGTCCGGACGGTATGCCTGCGAGGTCTGCGGTCACCACTTTTGTATCGATTGCGATCTGTTCGCGCACGAGGTGTTGCATAACTGCCCCGGGTGCCAAAGCGATACTAGAGGTATGCAGAATGGGAATGGGAATGGGAATGGGGAGCAGAAGGGGGGTGCGAATGGGGGCGGATCGCAAGAGAATGGCGCCATGGATATTGACTCATGAAAAGGGCAAACTTTGGAGCTATACAATGGTCTTGGTTTGGGGGAACTAGGTGGCCTACCATGAACTGCATACCTAATGCCTGCCTAATACCTACCGATTAATTAATTGAAGCAAAATCAATATTACCTAAAGAGCCATTCGTGAATGGAAGAGTTGTCAGGGTAGCTACTGCCACTACCACTTGGCATGTACTAGTTATAACTTATAGGTAGGTGCCTGGCCCTGTAGCGAATATTCTTAACCTAGGTTACAAGGGTGTGCCGGTGGAACCATGTGCTATATCTATTATCGATCAGGCTAGGCCTAACTATTCTCCTCCTTTCATGTGTCCTCTCTCTGTCTGTCTCTCTCTCTGGCTGTCAACGTGACAACCACAGAATCAAACCAAGCAATCAATCTTCGCCGCGCTTTGCTGTGTGCTTTGCGTCGTGGGCTCGTTAAGGGGTAGTTAAATGGTAAGTTAATAAATCAAAATAATCTCTCAAACACCCCAAAACCAAGGGGTATTCAGTAGGTACCTATCATATACATTCCATGCTATGCTCTTCCATCGCCATCGCCATCGCCACCTTCTTCCTTCTCTCCTCCGCTTCCTTCCTTCTCTTCCCCACCAAAATTCATAAAATCGATTTACAAGTTCCCGCGCTCAGCCTGCTCGCGCTCGATGGCCTCGAACAGGCTCTTGAAGTTGCCGGCGCCGAAGCCGTCGAAGCCGTGGCGCTGGATGATCTCGACGAAGACGGTGGGGCGGTCCATGAGGGGCTTGGTGAAGAGCTGGAGGAGGTAGCCGCGGTCGTCGTAGTCGACGAGGATGTGCAGCCGCTGCAGCGTCGCGAAGTCCTCCTGGAGCTCCCAGGTGCGGCGGGGCTTCTTGCTGCCGTCCTCGCTGATGTTGTTTTGGAGGCGCTCGCGAAGCGTCTCGTAGTAGGTGTCGGGGACCGAGATGAACTCGACGCCGCGGGCGCGCATGGCGGAGACGGCGGCGATGATGTCGTGGGTGAGCAGGGCGACGTGCTGTACTCCGGGTCCGGAGTTGAAGATGACGAACTCCTCGATCTGCGACTTCTTCTTGCCGAGGGCGGGCTCGTTGATGGGCATCTTGACGGTGTCGGTGGCGTTGCTCATCACGATGCTGCTGAGCGCGCTGAACTCGGTGCAGATCTGCTTGTCGTCGACGGACCAGAACCGGTGGAAGGCCAAGCACCGCTCGTAGAACTCGCAGGCTGCTACCATCTCTCCCCACGACTGGTTACCCACACAGTGGTCGATGCTCACTAGCTCTACGGATGGGAGAGAGACGCTTGAGGGGGGTGGTGAGCGCGGCTGGAAACCGGGCATGAAGGGGCCGGTGTACCCGTGCCGCGAGATCAGGGTGTGTGTGGTGTCTCCATACGTGCGGATCACGGCCGTTTGGACGTCGCCGTGTTTCTTGTCGTGGAGGACTTGCGGGGGCTGTACAGAAGAGGCGCCCTGTGAGACGGCGCGGTTGTACACGCCCTCGACGCTGTCGACCTCGAAGGCGACGTCCTTGACGGCGTCGCCGTGCCTCTCGAGGTGATCGTGCATCTCCTTGAGCAGCACGAGCTCGGCGTCCGATATGGGCTCATCCTTGGGCAGGTGGGCGAAGGAGCGGATGGGCGAGGTGAAGACGAAGCGGACGGCGCCGTTGGCCACGACGTACGACGTGAAGAAGCGGCTGCCCGTCTCCAGGCCGCGATACGCTATCGTCGTGAAGCCGAGCAGCGTGTTGTAATACGAGGCGGCCTGCTTCGCGTTGCCCACCCACCAGGTGACATGGTCGTAGCCCTGGAGCTCGGACACGCCAGCTTGGATGGCGAACTCGTCGTGGTGTGTGGACAGGGCCGAGGAATAGCTCGATGAGTCTTCTGTGATTGCCGAAGGGGCCATGTTGGGGGTTTTTATGTGTGACTTATTTGATGGTATGTAACTAGATGGACTAGGTGGGTAGGTAGGTTATGTACTATCTAGATACTAGATGTCATGGAGAGATGGCTATGATATGGATATGGATATGGATATGGATATGGGTATGGGGAGGTAATGGTGATGATGACTTGATCCGAGACTCACACACACAAAGGACTTCAGGGCGAGTGATTAGTACATGTTAAGTGTACAATAAACAAAAGTTGAAGAAAGTATATCACTTTTAACTTCCGATGTGCAACTTACACATCTACCTATGTAAGCACCTTACTCACTTACATATCTTATAGAGTTCAGGCGGGTTAAAGGAGGAATTGGTCGGGATCGGATCGAATTCCGCACTCACAAGCCGTACACAAGTGTTCACCTTCGGCCCCTTCGGTCATAATATACCATTATACATACCTACCTACCTATATACGTAAGGCTCATTAAGATCTGCTTCTGGTTCCGACGTCCAAGGCAAGGAGCTGCTCCCCAGAGTATCGGGGATAATAGGGATAAGGATCGCAATCTTTCTTCACACACTCACTCGCCTTGATACCTACTGGGAGCAGGCAGTGTGATTGATTCGGTAAGCCGAAAATGGCTGTATCTACATTACTTCGTACACTTGGCCATTAGGCTATTGGTCCTGATAGCTCATGCAGTGAGCTGACGATGAACTATATAATACTACTGTGCACATGTAAAAATAACATGGAAGGTTTATTGGCATTGATAGATAGCATTGTTGGCGTTGATAGTCACCATCATTGGCAAGTAATGGCATTAACTTATTGGTATGTAATACTATGTATGTATTTGGTAAGCCAGGGGAGCCAAGATGAACGATGCTATTTACGTCAGACCTGCCGAGGCTAGCCGAGTCCCGCTGGTTTCCAATGGCCCGAGCTGCATCTGCCCGATGCCAATCACGACAAGTACCAGGTAGATCGTATTGCTGATTATCCAATAGGGGCAGGTGGCTTTAGACGGTTAGAACGGGAAGCGACATTGTCCCTTATCATTGACCATGTCACTGAATGTCACTGACCATGGATGTATGTAGCTGCGGGTGAATGAAGAACCACATTCGCGGAAAGTGGCACTCACCTTCGGCACTGGGATAGGGGCCGAGATGGACAAATAACCTTTATGCTTCATGATGACATTTGCCCGGACCTGACTCGATCATTATTTAGCTATCTTACGTAGCTAGCCATCTATTACCAGAATCCAGAAACTCCCTCCACTATTATTACCTTGCTGTCTTTACTCCATTACCGTCTCACATTCCACTTTCATACAACATTTCCAACCTCCGTAATACTCGGGACTCTGATAATCCGTACCTCATTCTGTTCCGATAATTCATCCACATCACACTTCATTATGGAGCCGAGTTCCCTCACCCGTCGCGACTTCAATGTCCTCGAAAAGATCAAAGACCCTGAGTCGAACCCGTTGACGGCTGTCATCGTAGACCCGACTTTGCCCAAAGATCCGAACATGACGGACACGTCTGTGTATGATCGCGTCTCTCAAAAGGAACGGGATATTGTTCAGACTATGCAAAGTTTAGAACTGCAACTTGCCGGCCTAAGACCCAAGTCAACTCCCGAGCCAATTAACGAATATCACCAATGCGTATCGACACTTGGAGAGCTCATATCTGAATACCCAAAGTATGCCAGTGCACGAAACAATAGAGCGCAAGCTCTTAGGAGACTATATGGCGATACCATGCTCCTGCGTGGCAGCGCCAATTCGAATGCGCTGCTGTCTGATATAGATGACCTTGAAAAGTCTGAGGCGGCAGCCCTAGCCCTTTCTGACCTCGGCAAAGCTATCGAATTGTTGACCCCAAAGACCGTCTTCGCTTCCATCTCGCCGCAAGCTGGAAAAACTCTCTCGCTTGCCCACACTCAACGAGCTGCAATATATCATACAACCGCCAAGTCTCTTCAAGCTGGCCAAGTAGCAAATATTGCCGTGGAAAGAAAGGAAGCAGGATGGGCAACTCTTAACTTTGAGGAGGCTGCCTCGAGAGATTTTGCTTTAGGAGGAAGGTATGGAAATGAGATCGCAAAGGGATTGGCCGTGAGCACGAATCCAACTGCCAAGCTTTGCGGTCAGATGGTGAGGGAAGCCATGAAAAAGGAATATGGCCCAGCATATGCCGCATGATGATTCAGATAACTAGGTACCTAGCTAGATAGTATCATGGCATAGAGTACCTATGTATTTCGTATTGAACTCGGGACTGAGTAATAAGCTCAATAGATTTGAGCCACTCGCTCGTCAGGTGTCGTTAGGTAAAGCATCGAAGTTGACTAGGCAACGTTAAGTAGCCTTGCTAAATAGATTTCCAAGTCGTCTAAATGAATATCTAGGTTAGAGTGGTGTATTCCGATATACTAGGTATTGTAATACGAATGATTTAAATTATGTTGCATACCTTGTACCAGCGCTTAGAGTCTGTGTCGGTGTTCTACCTTTCTCCTTGCCTTCACGATTGATTCTTGTCGCAGCTGCTCCGAGTCCGATCACCACAGCGAAAATGGGGTCTGCGACTCGGGAAATGATGTAGGTTGGAGGAGCCATTTTTTGAGCGCGGGACAGAGGTACTGACTGTGTAATACCTTGGTAGATCAAAGGGTGTTATCTGGCAAATAGCTATAATCTGTCGAATGGATATAATTCCAAGATCGAAGGTCGAAGGTCGAAGGTTGGAGTTTTGAGTTGCGCTTCAAAGTCCCTGGGCAATGTTAATTACGTACTATCCCCAACCAATCGCGGGGTTTACCCGGCTTGATATGGCTTGATAAGAATAAAAGCTTGGACCATATTCGAGAACAGTTGAAGCCCCACTTCGTCTTTGCATTCTACACATTTTACACCAATCAGCACCAAAACCCTTTCTTTTCGCTTAATTTTCTTGGGCACATCTTTTTTTTCCATTTTCTTAGCAACCTGCAATCGCGAACCTCTTCACGGCCGACCCGATTCTCAATACTACGACAATTTACTAATCCAATTCACAACCCCGACTTCCTTTCACTCTCTAAACGACGACAGTGAAGCCGACAAGATGAAGTTCCTCAAGGTTGGCCGAGTAGCCATCATTACTCGTGGCCGATATGCCGGCAAGAAGGTACGTTTAAATTGGTGATGATGAAGGTGAAAATGAAGATGAAGATGAAGATGAAGATGAGGAAGACAATTGAAGGACAGCCGAACATTCCACTACACTACCCACCCATTCGATGCCCTCCCGAGTCCGAGTCAATTATCTGGCAAACAATCTCACAGTCATACGAAATTCCATATCATCCTTGTTTCTATATAATATTTCTATATAATACATACATCGCCGGAGAGGAATTGGGAACATCTTTTCTAATCCAACTATCCCACAGGTCGTCATCATCCAGCCCGTAGACAGTGGCAACAAGCTCCACCCCTACGGCCATGCTCTCGTCGCCGGTATTGAGCGCTACCCATCCAAGATCACCCGACGCATGTCCAAGACGCGACAGGAGAAGCGATCCAAGATCAAGCCTTTCGTCAAGGCCATCAACTACAACCATCTCATGCCTACTCGTTACACACTCGAACTCGAGGGCCTGAAGGGTGTCATTTCTACCGACACCTTCAAGGAGGTCAGCCAGCGGGAGGATGCTAAGAAGAACGTCAAGAAGGTCCTAGAGGAGCGCTACACAAGCGGGAAGAACCGATGGTTCTTCACACCTCTGAGTACGTTTTTTAATTTCAATTTTCTTCACCTTTTCCCCCCCTCTTCTCTTCTCCCCTTCGCTTTACTCGTACGAGAAGAGACAGCAAATCCAAAGTGAAAACCTGCTAATTGCCATTTCTATCATCAACAGAATTCTAAATCCTCTCGTCTGCATAAACTTACGTCGTTCGGTCTAAGGGGGGTTCGGTCTGGGATGTAAATCGCATCATCAAATGGCATTAGGAGCCTTTAGGGTCTTTGCTCTGAATTCAGAATCATGAAAAAAATGAATACACTTGACGAATGAACTCGTCCGCTTTTCCGTCTGTCAACTCGTATGATGATGATATCCATGATGATATCCATGACGATATCTATGATGTATCTGCCTTAATTCCCGATGATAGTAATACACCATCGCCAACATGGTATAATACGCAACGACGAGACCAAGAAGATCCCCTACATAGAATCAAGGAATCTAAACAAACCCAATTATTCAGAGTATCGTAGCGAGAAGCAGTTCTTATAATGCCGATGTACCAACTCCCTACCTCCTCACCACCCTTCCCAGCTGGTGGATGTACCTGTCAAAACAGCATTATGCCTGCCTACCTAGTACTATACTCAACATACGAAGGTAGGACCTGGTAGGTAGGCGTGTATGTCACTTTCAGTCGACTACAAACTTGCTACCTACATACCTACATACGTACCTATATAGTTATGGATAGCCTAAACTCGATCATGGCAAGCTCACGATGCTACCTAATATCCAAATGACGGGCTGATGTACATGTGTAGGTAGATAGATAGGTAGGCAATAGACTACATTTACGCAGCCACGCAGTACCAACTTAGACAACCACAATCACAGACAATGACAAGAGGATCAAGTAGCATTAATTATGATTTCGGTTTTTTTTTGGTTCTCATTCAGGTCTAATTCCCAGGACCTTCTAAGTTACATGAAGAACTTGCCTTATCGTGATGCGAAGCAGATGCAACCCGACCCTTGCAATTGACGCCTGTCTGCTTTCTCTATAGCCCTACTATAAGCCACGTTGGTTATCCCTCGTAAAGTGTCCTCGACACAAAGAAAAAACTCTCCAATTACCACCCGTTACCCCCCTTCACGGAGATGATCTGGAAAATGTGCAAGTATGTACTCGAAAAATTAGGGAAACGCATACTGGATCATCACGTAGCATTTACCCATCAAGTTAGGATTTCGTAGTCGAACCTAACCGTTATCCCCGTCCACCCCGAAGATTAAAAAAGCATATGGTGAAATAGAGACTCTTTCATCACATCTTCGTTTATGAGGATACGCCAAACTTCTCAGCAGCACCAGCAAGGTATTGCGAGGGGTTGTAGTCTCCAGTGTATGGGGAAGCCAAACCTCCAAAGAGGATGAAGACGAACAAGAGTGCCGCGACGATGACAACGATCTTGCGAGCGGCAGGGCGGGCTGCACCAAATTCGGCCCAGTGTCGTCCGGCTTCACCAGCATATCCCCTGAGAGCATCGAATCCGAGCTTGTAGTAGACCATGCCACCCAAAGCAATGGTGTAACCAAAGGCCTGAAGACCGGAGACGGGAGTACCCCAGATGAGCATAGATGCAACAACAAGCATAACATCCTTGAGGACACCGCAGAGGGTCATGATGACAGCCGAAGTCTTGCCAATCTATTGGAGGATTAGTGTCTATAACAGCTGTACAATGATAGAGCAAACTTACCAAGAAGACGACAGACACATTAAGCAGGAATGCGCAAAGTCCGTTCAAGAAGAATGTGAAGAGACCAACGTGGTAAACCTCAGCAATGGAGACCTTGGGAATTTCCCAAGCAAGCGCAACAACACCGTTCATGACAGCGCAGATAGGGGCAAAGTAGTAAAGCGAGACAAGGGGGTCCATCTTGTACTCAGCAGAGCTGAGCAGGGCTTGGACCAAGTTTAGACGAATAGCCTCGAACATAAGACCTCCCAACTGGTAGAGGAATCCAATCCAGACGAATTTGATCTCGCCAAAAGAGGCAATCATGACACCGACAACAATGGCTGATACATTCATAAGCTGTCGAAGGTTGGGAGGGGCAAGACCCATAGCCCAGCTGGAAAGCAGTACAGCAACGGGAGTGGTAGCCTGTTACATTCCGTTAGCAATTGTCTGCATTGACAATTATACAATCATCGCTTATAATTATGCATACCTTGATCATCTGGATAAATGCGACACTGAGGTAGAGGTAGGTCAAGTTTCCGCAGATCAAACTGAGACTGAAGAAGACACCGATGGGAACGATGGCTCGGAGATAGACACGACCAGTCATCTTAACCGACTTGCGACCGTCGAGAAGGGTAGTGTAACGCGCCATTAATTGCGTAGCGATGGTCGCGAAAGACAGATGGTAAGTGGTCAGAATGACGGGATAACCTAAGACAGCGTTAGATGCTGTTCAGAGTAGAATAATTAATCGACAGCAGGCTTCTTACGGAACTCGAGGGTGTCCAGGATCCATTTGTTGAAGAGAATGACGGATGACGATAGAGAGATCCATACTCTGTAGATATTTGGTGTCAGCTAGCTATATTCCTGCAGCTTGTTGTTCGCATCGACTTAGAGAATAACGTACGCGACATAGACAGCCGGGTGAATGGCGGCCTTAGGAGGTTGAATTTTATCAGCCTCCTGAGTAGTAGTGGGCAGGATAGGACCCTTTGACTCCGGTCGGGGAATCTCGCCCGAGGTACGACTCTTCTCGTCGGCCATTGTTGATTGCAATTGTTGTTGTGAAAAGGGTGTGTTGTAAGAAGCAAAAAAGTCGCGAGTTGCGATGTAATTGAGAAAAGGGGTCAAGTAAAAGAAGTGAAGATGGTTGTGATATGATTTAGTTATGAATGAGCGACGAGGCCAAGCCTGCTGAGACCAATTAAAAAGGTAGGTTTTGGGATTTGGGGTGTGGCGTTTACCAGGGTTGATTGATGGCCGTGACGGTAAAGATAATGGGAATAGTCGAAAATGAACCTTTGTGTTCTCTCTTCCGTGACCTGTTTGAGAGGTGGTTGTTGTGCGGAGGAGAGAAAATTCGTCGACAACTGGAAGAACAGATGTGACGATTTGCGGTTGTTAGCGCGGAGGGAGAAGAAGGTAAGGTAAGGAAAGGTAGGTTAAGAAAACGGTAGACAAGAAAAAAAAAACGAAGATGAAAAGAGATCGGTACGGCTAATAAATTTTCATTTGAAAGCTGCATTCGCATTCGACAGGCATAACCTGGGTGTAAAGATAGTATCTACATGTAGTTATATACTGTATGTACTAGGTACCTACATGAGTAAAAGCACTGTACATCCTAGGTATGTACTATGTATTAGTAGTATGTAGTGAACTGTGACTGTACTCTTCATCCCGCACAATTTTAGCCCCAGAACCCGCCCCAATTGAATTAAAGCTTTCAAACACGGTCGCATCATTCATATCCCAGGTGTCCTTTAAATGTTCGTCAGTGCGTGCCATGCGGTACAAACCTCCCTGTATTGGTACAAGTCTCATCTACATATTATGTATGTAGTGTAGTACAATAGTTAGTACCCACCACCTCTATGTAGTACATAGTATAATACTACATACTAGTACATACAGGATGTAATGTAATCTGGCCCACCCCCACTAAAGCTCATTCCCTGGAATTCCTGCACTCAGGGGGCCCCGATGTTGATAAAGAAGGGGAGAAGGGGGGGCACCTAGCACCTGGGGGGCAACTAATTGCGTAGGCAGCCCGCTGGAGTGCTCTATACTTAGGTAATTGGTGGAAATGGGTACATGGTAAAACCTGAAATCACAAAGCCTCTGATGTCGTTTCGAGAGCCTCTCATTTCATCGCTAACATTGAACCATCCCTCTACTGCATAGTACTGTGTAAAACTTGCAACCTGCCTATCATTTTGTATATCATTGTTAATCTTTGCCCAATCTAAAATAATCTTGAACAAGGCCGAATGATTTTTGTTATTTGTTCGCTATTGTCACTTTATATTGCGAAAAGCTAATTTGAGGCGTGGTTTCAAGATAACACATAAACGTCGTTGATTGGGTTCAATTACAACATTTAATGTTCAATTGATGTTGTACATTATACAACAAGTAAATCTACATGTACATATGTATTGATCAATCATATCAATCATATCAATTATCTCGAGTGCTGATGTATGTATGGATGTGAACCACATTTAAACATTACCCACAGCTACATCCATAGTGGATATACCAGATATACTAGGTACACTAGGTACACTAGGTACACTAGGTACACTAGCCTCTAGGTACGGAGTACTAGGTAGGCATACCAGGGGACCCCCCTAACATTACAGCGTTTAATGTTCAACATATGTTCTGAACTTCTGATTCAAAATAACAAGCAGCATTCTTTTATCGAATCTGCAACCAAAGTTACCAAAGTTACCAAACCCTTAAACTTACATAGGAGAATGATCCGAGAATCTGCTAACCTACATAAATCCCAGATACTAGGTTAGGGACTTTATAAAATACCTAGTAAGATATACTGACTTCGTTGAATGTGTTATATACTACTAGGTAGGTACATACCCATGGGTGTAATATTATATGTACTGTATTGTACATTAACAGATCTATCTCCTTTTAGGACCTTTAGGCCCGATGCTCCCGCAAATGCATACCTCAAGTGTTACTATTTAAAACCACCTAATAATTGTCAAAGTTGGGTTATTTACATATTTACATACCTACCTAGGTCCTAGGTACCTAGATATACATATTTATCTTATGCTTGCGTTATGATCGTGGAGTGGATAGACAAGATAGCTAGATGTAGCTATCGAAAGCGCCACGGGAATTATTCTGCCACGAGGTTCCATCTTGCTGCCCGTCATCGCTAGAACATTGGAATGACCAGACCAGACACTATCTATTATCCCGTACCGGGGCTACTTGGCGAACGAGCCCCCGTCAAGTTCATTGTGCTGTGACGTAGTGAGGTATGTATGTTGGTATGGTATTGTACAATTATTACTAGTAATTTACTACAATATATATGGTACTAGGTACGCCTGGTATGGAGTCCACCAGATCTCCTAATAATACTCTCGTCCCCATTTTCAGCCCTGTCTTGGCAATTACGAGGCATCGCCGTCTATCTACTATGCCGTAAAGTTTCGCGGGTCGGCGGGTCGGCGGAATAGCAAAAGAGATACCGGCCTGACCGGTAGGTCATCTACTAGTCAGCAAGTAAAGCGAGTTAGACGATTAGACGATTAGACGGTGAACTATCATCGTATTCCAGACATACGAAGTAGATAGTTAGTCCCAACCATCTTGCTCTTCCATGTTGGTCCTTGGTCGTGTTGAAGGTTTGCTCGTGTGCAACGTCATCAAACCTCCCGGCGCTCTCTAGAAATACGAGGGATGAGGCACAATACAGTATAAACTTTTGCCGCCACGTATCACGCGTTGCGGCTTCGATCTTCTTTCGGTATTAGATGTTCCACCACTGCAAGCCATGCCCTTTCGGCTTCCCGAATTGTCGACAATCTGTTCATAATGGGATTTTAATGGGATTTTTTATCGCTTTTACGGCGTATGTTTGAGCAACGTCGTGCGTTCCAAGTGGACGGTGACCTACCAGAATTACATACCATACATGCTGCATATGTACAATCAAATGGTATGTAACTATTGTGCAGATAGATTAGTACATACGGTAGATGTATGTATGTAGGTACCAGCGCCCCAGGAATGTGCCCCCACCAATTAACAGCTTCCACTCACCTAAGGGTCTCCCCAAATGGCGTCAGCTGCATGTCAGCGTCTTAGCATCTTACCAGATTCACTGTGAGGTTTATCGTCTCTTACCTAAGGTATGACATACTCTAGTCACTAAAATATCGAACAAGCTACAGTACATACATATGTATTTACGATACATTCTTAGTAAGGCTTCTTGTCGTGTTGGAACTTTCAAAAACAGTTTCAATAGAGGCAATCATATCCGAACGGCGGGATCATAATCTCCTATGGCTCATCTACCTAGTAGCTAATTCGATTCTACAATGTATCTACGATTTGCAATTTTATCTCAGTCGACCACTTCTGCCACTCGATTTTTTTTTCTGCTGCTGCTATTATCAAAGCGTAAAAGATTGTTGGTCCTTGAGGATTACGTAGCGTATGTCCACAAAGAAATGCTCATCGCAATACTGTGACGGATCTGTACCAGAGTAATATTTATAGTAGCCCCCCTAATGAGGCTGAGCCGTCGGCAAGATAACGCTAAGTAAGATCTATACTCTGTATGGTAGTACCTTGGAATCCAAGTTTTTCCCTTGTCCTTGCCTTGCCCCTATTCCTATTCTCCTAGCCTAGCCTGCTAGGTACTAGTAGCGCCTTATTGACTCAAGGTACTGCGCTATAGTACGTATGGTATAGGTGACATTAGGCGTATGTATGTACCTATACCAGAGGCGGCTGAGAGCTAACGTCCAGTTGCGGCACGCACACTTTTAGGGAAGACCTTCCTAAACTTGGTGCCAGCGGAAGTGAAAACTCGGTATTTCCACTTGGAGACTTTTTCTTTTAAGCCGCTAGGTTGTCCCGTGGGCCAAAAACATCAACTTGAGACGGCGGCTCTAGTGTGTTTGCAAATCTTTACCGTCGATCTTGCGGACCTAACCGGCCCTGGCGCTCCGACTGCTCTGTAGAAGCCAAGTTTGAGAGGAGGGGACGCCGTTTCACCGACCTAGCTTAGTCGTAGTCTCATCATGTCATGAGCGGAAAACAAGATCGACACAAGCCAATGTACAAGTACGTGCCCGCGGTGAAAATAGCCATCGACCTGGGTATGCAGGCGGGACAGGACCTTATCGAAATTAAACGATCTTCAAGGCCGAAATGGGTTGACGAATGCAACATTTTAATCGGAGAGCGATAGGAGCGGGCTGTACTATTTCATTACTCTAGTGGGTGGGCAAATACTAGGTAGAGTCTAGGTAGGTAGTTTCAACACCAAATCAGCTGCCGGGATTCTAGATCTGGCTTGGGGTTGTTTAAGGAGACAGAAGAAAGATACTGTAGTCTGTAGTGTGTACATAGTCGCCAACGTTCCCACCGCCTCGACTCGTGCAAGCCGTGCATATGGATTTGCTTCCGTACGGCTAGGGTCAAGACGGACGGAAACGGGAGGTCAACGGGTAAAAGCAACTTTGCTTGCCACCTTTGACGAGAATTGAGGCCAGCTTACAATCTCAATGCTAGGCTACAGTAGGTTCGTACATGATGTATTGTACCAGCATGGAACCAGCCCAGCCTATAAGTAGGTACCTACATAGATGTAGTTTATGTATCATCAGCCTTGCTTCCCATGCGACCCACGATACCAATAGAGATGCCACCATTGGCCAACTAATGTTTAAACCGACGACGTGCTCGATGCTACCTAACTAGAAAATTCGGTAGGTATGATACAGTATCGGTACACAAAAAAAGGTATTGTACCGGACGGCGGAGACAAGCATCAGATGTCGTGCTCGACGGTTTCGAAGCTTGAGGTTGACGCGTACAAGGGATAGGAGGGATAGGGTATGAGCTTCATCTTATTATGAAATTGCAGAGGCAGGGATTTCCTCTAGGTGGTTCAATCAACATCAATCATCCTTCAGCCCAAGTTCCCAACATTGAAAATGTTATGCTCTGGATTACCATCACACATTGAATTTGCTCCTATCAGAAATCGAACAACTTTCACATGCGGACACGTAATGTCGGCAAAGTATTCGCACAGTACTGTACATGTATGTAGTAGGTATATTCGATTGAGCGACTCCCTACCTAAAGATCGTCATACTCATAAGCACTCACTTCCCCTTTTTAAGTAGGTAGGAAGAAGTGGTGGAGGGTTTACCCCCCTGGCGTGACAATTCCTATTAATGATTTCCCCAAGGAGTGGAAGGCAAAATAGCGGTAACAACACAGATTTACATACATATGTACATATATATATATATGTGTAGCATGAGCAGGTTACTTACCTTCTTGGGTAGGTGTAGACAAGCTGGGCAAAGATGTATCTATTATGCGTGCTACCAAGTACAGAGCATGGCTAGTATGGCCACCTGGACGAATCAAGGTAAAGGAGGCTGGCTCTCAGCACAAAGCCTGAGGTTTGGACGCATATAATAATTCCAATTTGCCCATCAATTGCCTCTGGTCCCTGCAGGCGGCCTAGAAGAATCCCGTTTTTCAATGCTAACCTGTGTACTATAGTAGTACTTGTATAAGTTATTACCAGTCTAGTAAGTTGTAGTACATACCTAGTAATTAGTAGTTATGTGTAGTACATATGTAGGTAGCACTAGAGGGAGGTTAGTATGTATGTATGTATGTATGTACTATGTAAAGACTCACTTGATATTAATTAGAGAACAGACTGATCTGGAATTACAGAACTTTATCTCAGATACCAAGATCCCAAATTAGCAACACCGTTTTACAACATTGGAAGTTAGATACATGTACAATACATAGCAACGTCTCTTGATTGCAAAGTGTTTCATGCATACAATTGGATGTAGTAACTACACACAGTCGAGGATTGATGATGGGTAGCAAGTTGATTGAGCTGGATGTGATACATATAACATTGTGATATCAATTGTAATATTATAATATTATAATATACATATGTATGTACTGGGAAGGATTGTTCATGCTGTAAATTGTTTCGAGGACTACAAGGTACTAGCCTTTATAGCATCTTGAATATGCAGGTGCATTGTACCATCTTGACCAAATTAGGTAGTAGGTTCCATCCAATTGGACGGAAGAATCATTGCCAAGTTGCATGACGGAGGAGATACAGGGGTAATATAAGTGGGGTTGTCGCACGCACATACACGCTGCACATCTGCTAACATCTGCACGTCTGCACAACTGCACGACCGTACCATTTTAGCGTAGCACTTACTAGCACTTACAAGTTACTAGCACTAATTAACACCGTCCACAATTTTAGTCCTGTACCCCTCCAAAATAATTATACAAAACACTAAACACTTGCTCTCCCACATGTGCAGTACTCGCCTCTCTTTTTTTTGAGAAACCCTCTTGTCTGCCAACAGACTTCTTCTTCGCGCATATACCATTAGAATTAGACAGACTTTTATCCTGCAGCCTTCGTTGACTTGGATAGTCTATCATCCGTTCTTTTTCTCACGTCAACGCTTTGTTTCTGTCTTTTCAAAAACAAACAACAACTCTCGGCAACTTTCCCCGCCTTAACCCAAAAACTTATCCTAAAAGGATTTCCAGAGACAAGATGTGTGCGGACATGTAAGTTTATTTAGTCCTTCATATTTCATATCTTTATTCTTTTTAGAGGGGAGAAAACCACTTTAAACAGATCGCTGTGTTTCTTGGAAAGCCTAATTCGGTTCGCTAATCTACGATATCCCATAGCAACGTCGACGTCCTCGTCATCGGTGCTGGCCCGACGGGTCTTGGTGCTGCGAAGCGCCTACAGCAATTGGTACGCTTCACCGCCATTCAACCAAATTTGGTATCGTGGACTGACTTTTACTGATAGAACGGTCCCTCTTGGTTGATCATTGACTCCAACGAGAAGGCAGGTGGTCTTGCCTCGACCGACGTCACACCTGAGGGTTTCGTAAGTCTTTGCTCGTCTCTTTGTCTGCTCGTCGACTCGAGAAGTAAAACTAACCATTGACTCTCCTTCTTGGTAGCTCTACGATGTTGGCGGTCACGTCATCTTCTCCCACTACAAGTACTTCGACGACTGCATCAATGAAGCACTTCCCAAGGACGATGACTGGTACACCCACCAGCGTGTCTCCTATGTCCGTTACAAGGGCGTTTGGGTTCCTTACCCCTTCCAGAACAACATCGCTGTCTTGCCCAAGGAGGACCAAGTCGTTGCTCTTTCGGGTTTGATCGATGCTGCCTTGGAGGCTCGTGTCGCTTCCACAAAGCCCAAGGACTTCGACGAGTGGATCCTACGCACAAACGGTGCTGGTGTTGCTGACCAGTTCATGCGACCCTACAACTACAAAGTCTGGGCTGTCCCCACTACCAAGGTATATAGGCCCCTCATATTACGTACACATGGATTAAATCCTAACCCAGCTTTTAGATGCAATGCCAATGGCTCGGAGAGCGTGTGGCTGCCCCTGATGTCAAGAAGAGTGCCGAGAACATTATTTTGAACAAGGTTGCTGGCAACTGGGGTCCCAATGCGACATTCCGCTTCCCTGCCCGCGACGGCACTGGTGGCATCTGGATTGCTGTTGCGAACACACTTCCTGACGAGAAGAAGCGATTCGGCAAGAAGGGAGAAGTGACCAAGGTCGACGCCACCAAGAAGGTTGTCAGCCTCTCCGATGGCACCACCATTGGCTATGAGAAGCTCATTTCCACCATGAATGTTGACCAACTGGTCGAGTCTATGGGCAACCAAGAGCTCGTTACCCTAAGCAAGGGCCTATTCTACTCTTCCACCCATGTCATTGGTGTTGGTCTGCGAGGTGCACGACCTGAACGTATTGGTGACAAGTGCTGGGTAAGTCAAACAAATCATTGCACTGTGAATCGAGTAAATGGAAATAAAGCTAATTCTGTTATAGCTGTACTTCCCCGAAGACAACTGCCCCTTTTACCGTGCCACCATTTTCTCCAACTACTCGCCCTTCAACCAGCCTCAGGCTGATGCCAAGCTCCCCACAATCTCCATTGCAGACGGCAGCAAGCCGGCCAGCACGGAGGCCAAGGAGGGACCCTACTGGTCCATCATGCTCGAGGTGTCACAATCGTCTCTGAAGCCCGTTGACGAGGCCAACTTGCTCAAGGACTGTATCCAAGGTCTTGTCAACACTGAGATGATCAAGCCCGATGATGAGATTGTCTCTACCTACCACCGCAAGTTTGACCACGGTTACCCCACACCTACCCTTGAGCGCGAGGGAGTTCTGAAGCAGCTTCTCCCCAAGCTTCAGGACTTGGACATCTACTCCCGTGGCCGTTTCGGCAGCTGGAGATACGAGGTTGGCAACCAGGACCACTCATTTATGCTTGGTGTTGAGGCCGCAGACCACATTGTCAACGGCGCAATCGAGCTCACACTCAACTACCCTGACTTTGTCAACGGCCGCCAGAACTCTGAGCGTCGTCTTGATCAGGGCCCCTTGGCAGCCAAGAAGACTGGTCTGCCCTCGCATCCTCGAAAGTAATTTCCTGGCTAGCTAAGTCGCTGAGGTGCGAAGGTGTCTTTGAATGTCTTCGTACAGTGTACCATTTGATTGGCTTTGTGACCCATTGGTCATGATAAGACCTGGAAGGGTTTTCTGTCGATTGAGAGTTATACGCTATATAATTCTTCACGTTTGATGAGTGCAATGGTGATGGAATGTTTAGCTGGCTCCGACTTGGTTCTTACAACGAGATAGCATGAAAGGCCGATATCTCTGCGCTACTAGAGGGCATTAATGAATAGAAACATAGAATTATGAACTAGATGATATTCCCATCATGCATGATTTAAATAGTGTAGAAGCCAACCAATCAGTGGGTAAGGGAGAGGCTACGTAGATGGTTGAAAAGGGGAAGTCGAGTAGTATGATAACCCTAGGAGCCCTAGTGGTTCTCCAAGTCCTATCTGCCTGTCTGTATGGCTGGTGCAAGTCTTGTCTACTATGAAATATGTAGATCAATGGGTAAATTTTATGTAACTGTTTCCCAAAGGAGTGAATTGAAGCCAAGTGCGTAAGTAGGGAAAAGATTGATGGCATGTATTGGGTAATTAATCTTGTGATAACATTGAATGCATCACTATATGTACTATTCATTATGTAGGTATGTGTGTATGTAGTAGAGTGACATCTGTCAACGGTGCATGTCAACTGGTAAAAGAAAAAACAAATAAAAAAAACACTTATCGTTATCACCGTTGTTACCGTTGTCAGATCGATGGCTATGTACAATTTGCTGTCAAGGATTAGCCAAGTTTTACTAGCTTAAATGCTAAAGTTTATGTATTGGTATTGTGGCTGCCCCTGGGCTTGTAATGTACTAAAAGTATGTAGTCACTGGTGTTAAAAACGGCGGGTACAGGTTCTCCCGTTTTTAAACGAATGACATAGTTACCTAACCTAATCTAGGGGGCTTCCCACGGTTTTTAGCAAAAGAGGGGTGCAATCCCGTAATGATATTAACGTTGAAGTTACTGGTATTAAATTATTACTTACAACCTTGGAACCCTACCTACGTATGTACCTACCTACCCAAGGTATGCAACTTGGTATTTTTACTTTTAGACAAGCTCTTCTTGTACGACGCACTCTGGCCATTCAATAATATCTTAAATTCATATATTCATTACTAGCTAGTTTTCTCGGAGCTTCCTGGATCAATTAAATGTACGATAGAGCAAACTGATCGCCTAATACTAGCGGTCCCAAATCAATCCTTAACGACAAGCACCAAATTCTGAGAAGGATCCTTACATAGTAAAAAGAAAAAAAAAGGAAAAAAAAAAAGGGAAAAGAAAACCCCCCCAAAGTGGATGAAGGACCCTGACACTAGTGGCACCTGATCAACCTGGACGGATTGAACAAAAAAGCTCCGGGCGGAGATCACCAGCCAAGAGAGATTTCGAACCGTGAACCAGAACGAGCCATGTGTGTCGCGACGGTATCATTTCCGTTATACTCTACCAACTGAACGACATCGTGGTTGGCCCTACCTATGTATGTCGGGATATCAACATGGACGGGTCCGTGGTCATGCCGGAGGACCAACTTGATCCCCCAGCCCGGATCTTCGAACGGCTCCGACAGCTAGGCGGCTTTACTTGGGATGAGTCTCGAAGGCCTTTTCACTCAAGCTATGACAACTGGTATCCTATATCCCGAATGCGATGAGCTCGCATGCGTAGTAGTAGCAGATGTCTAACGTGGAACGTATTTTCGTCTAGGCACATTTATGGCACAAGATTCGTATCGCCGTATTCAACTACGACCACGACAACACCCTTGCAAAACCTCTCCAGCCCGCCAGCAACTATTAAACTCGCTCCGAACCGCGCATCACCCGGAGATCTTCACTTGGGCTTCACCTCCCAGAGTGAAGGGAGCAGCGAGCGCTCTTCCGCTTCTCCGCCCGCCTTCTCCAATCTAGCCACCGATCTATCCAACGTCGAAGAGAAGCAAATCATCGCACGGATATCTTACCATGTCCTTCGCGAAGAACGGGCATTCCACATAGCCAAGAACCTTATCGCCACCGCCGATCCAGAGGGTATGCACAATGCGAAGCCCATCGACCTCATCCGCTTGAGCCCGCAACCAGGTGATCGTGCGCCCATCATCATAGCCATCTACGAGCACCCAGGGGAAAACTATCTCTTCAGGGCTCTAGATCTCGGGCCTGCCTTCTACTACGCCAGAAAAATCGACGATCGATTCGAAGCCTACCGCAAGGATGACTTCCTTTTGGAACCTCCCATCAGTCTAATGTATTTCCTAGACTTTGCCATCGGTGCAACCCAATGCTTGGAGATATTACACCATGGCCACGGTATGGTCCATGGAGAAATCAGAGCTGACGCATTTCACTTCAACATCGAAACAAATAAGGTCAAGCTAATATCTTTTGGTTCTGGGGTAAGGTCGTTCGAACATGGGCTCACTAGCACTGGGTGGTCGACACTCTCCAAGGAGCTCGGGGCAAAAAACAAATTAGTTTATATCAGCCCCGAGCAGACCGGCCGCATGCCTGCAGAGCCTGATACGCGGACTGACATTTATTCTCTAGGTGTATTGTTCTGGATGCTCCTAACTCAGCAGCCCGTATTCACGGGAGCAACGCCATTGGATATCGTCCAGTGTGTGCTTAGCCGTCGTATCCCCTTAGTATCCAACATTCGGACAGATGTTCCTGATGTTCTTGGCCGGATTATACAAAAATGCACATCCAAGACTATTTCCGAGAGGTATCACTCGGCTAGTGGCCTGCGTCATGATCTCCAGATGGTCCAGAAATTCTTAGGAAACGGTGATTGGGCGGCCTTAAAGGAGTGGCACATCGCATCCAAGGATATCTCGTCCTTTTTCATGTTGCCCACAGCTATGGTTGGGCGCCAGAAAGAACGTGCCGAGATCGTCAAAGTTATTGAGAAGGTGGTAAGAGGCCATACTATCCCCAGTATCGGGGCCGCCAACCGTTTCTCGGACGGCTCTGGCTTATCGAGCGAGCTTATAGACGGTGCCGATGTTTCTAGCGAAGGCGCGAGTTCCGTTGAAGGGGGAACTCGGCGAAGTGGGCGAAGTGGCTCGTTCACCCAAACCAACCTGTCGGATTCGAAACCGCCGAGAAGCGCCGTCCAATCTTCAGTCAACGGGACAGATTCCCAAACAATCTCCGGCGACACGGTATCTTCGACCCAGTCGACCTCTAGATTATCTAGACAATGGGACAGGCATCAATCAGTATCTTTCGAGCCCAGAACTGTTCTAGATACCGTGGGAGAGCGCCAGACTTCTTCTCGACATAGCGGCACGGAGACTTCTACTAGCCTTTCCAGACAACTCGGCTCGGCGAAGTTTCGGAGGCGGGGCCAGTGTGAAGTTGTTACAGTAGAGGGCGCAGGAGGCTTGGGGAAGAGCTTTCTTGTTCAGCAGGTGTTGGTCGATGCCAGGCGGAGAGGATATTGTGCAACGGCCAAATTTGACCCAGCCAGAAGAACCGCATTTGGACCGCTCCTGAAGCTCTTGTCATCCCTATTCAAGCAAGTTTGGGGTGAGAGTAACACGGAAACATTTCTCCATCGAGCCCTCAAAGACTATGTCCGCCCTATCTGGCCAGTGCTTCACAATTTACTTGGACTTCCCGAGTTTCTCCTCAGCTCGCAAGAACCGAACACGTATCTATCCCCTTCGGCGCAGAGCTCGGTCCATAGCAAACTCAACAGGATCCCCGCGAGTAGGCGCAGTTCATCGCCTGTAAGCTCATCAGGAAAGCCACGTCCTCAGAGTCCGCGCGTGCCATCCCAGAGTTCGCAAGAATTCTTACGAAGTAGTGCATCTGCGAAAACTATTCGTTTGATGAATACGTTCCTAGATCTGCTCAGAATATTCACAACCCACCACTTCGTCTGCTTGTGCCTTGATGATCTCCAATTTGCTGACGACGAGTCCATGGATTTGATCACGCAAGTCATCTCAGCTAGGCTGAAAATGGTCCTAATAATAACCTATCGGCCTGATGAGCTATCACCTGAGAAGGTCCAAAAGATTCTCATGCCAACAGAAACTGAAGGTGAATTGCCACCTCCTTTCGTATCCGTTCGAAAAAAAATCAAACTAATTTTTATAGCAGAACATCCCAAGTCCAGTGGCCCTAGGATTACAAGGATCGTCTTATTACCCCTAACTGAGTACGAGATCCTCCAGTATGTAGCGTCGACGTTATGTCGACCCCAGGAGGATGTTGTTTCTTTAGCCCTCGTAATCCAATCGAAAACAGCTGGCAATCCTTTCTATATGAGAGAGATGCTGAATGCCTGTTACCGCAAGAGATGTATATGGTACGATTATAAGGAAAACAGATGGCTATTCGACCTAGACTGGCTCTTTGAGCAATTCAAAGGCGAGGATAACTATGACATCTTAAACAACGATTTCATCACGCGCAGATTGAGCGAGCTTCCACCAGCCTCGCGGGCTATCATGGCATGGGCTGCTCTTTTGGGCGATGCCTTCTCATTTGATCTAATATATCAACTATTAAGTGCCGATATTGACCTCGTCGATGATGGGTGTTATGGTCCGAACGAGACCCTATATCGCACAAAGTTTACAAAGGCAGAGGCCGTAGCAGGACTCCAGGCGGCGATCAATGCTTGCATCATCGTCCAGGGCGAGACCGACGATAGGTTCCGGTTTGCCCACGATAGATACGTTCAAGCAGCAGCATCGTTGAAAGAATGCAATACTCCCCCGATGCATTTTGCTATCGCGCAAACGCTGTTGAACTACCATGGATCCGAAGTCCGGGCTAAGGATAATACTGCCTTACACATCACAGAAGCGGTCGAAATTATCAAGGCCCGTGTCCATGTACGCCAACCCTACCGGAAGCATCTAATGGAGTGTGCGGCGACTGCTGTTGTAAACGGCGCAAGACCGACTGCCGCCAAATACTACCATAGTGCCATAAACCTTTTACAGCCCGAACCTTGGACGGATGGCATAGAAGACGTCGACTATGACGAAACCCTTAAGCTCCATTTGCGCGCAGCAGAATGCTATATCTACATGGGCAACAATACTGCAGCCCATAGTCTGGCAAATACTGTTCTCGGCAGTGCCAGAAACGCCGAAGATAAAGCCCCTGCCTGGCTTCTTTTAGCCAGGGCTCAAGCTCAGAATGGGAACGCAGAGTCTTCGTTTGCCATCCTCAGGGAGAGTCTCCGTCAGTTGAAGGTTGATGTCGATGAGCACCCGACCTTTGAGAAATGTGACGCGGCCTTCATGGAAATAGCTACCAAGATCAGATCGATGGATCGAGCCGAGATTCTGACTCCTCTTGGCGTCGCTGATGCCCGTCAAGTAATCGTTGCAGCCATCCTTACAGATGCCATCAGTGCCGCCTGGTGGAGTGATAATCTGGACTTCTATAACCTCGCCCTCACGCATATCAACCTCCATCTAAACCTAGGCTACTTCCCTCAATCCGGCCTAGCTTTCCTTCATGTCGCTGTAATTGCCTTATCTCGCTTCAATATGGTCGAATTCGCTGCAGAACTCGGCAGTCAGTGCTTAGAGATTCTAGAGCGGTCCCGAGATCCTGTGTCTTCGGCTCGTGGCTACATGGTATACGCTACATTCGTAAGTCACATTCGGGTTCCTATCAGTGTTGCTGTAAATCATTCAGAGCAATCGGTTGAGTGCGCTTCTACCGCCGGTGACCGTATATCCGTTATTCTGAGCTTTGGGCTCTCGGCCCAGATGAGATTCTTCGCGAGCGAAAATGTAGCCTTGCTAGAGTCCATATGCCAATTCTGTTGTGAGGAAGTACCGGGATGGCATCAAGACACAAGGGGCGGTACCTTCTTAATAGCGGTAAGGCAGATATGTCGCGCACTCCAAGGGAAGACAGATACCACGACCGCGGATGGCGTGATGACCGATTCGCAACACAACTCGGGTTCTTACAAGACATGGCTGGGCTTCCAAACTCGAAATGGTGGCCGTTCCATTTTGATATACGAAATGATGGAAATGATTGCCTTATACCTGTACGGTCATTATGAACAAGCATTCGAAATGGGGAGAAGATGTCTCGATAAGTTGGATCTTGTTTGGTCTCACCGCAACACACGATCTGTTCTCGTCTTCCACGGTCTTGCTCTCGCAGGTCTCTTACAACGCAAACTTACCGATCCGCGAACAGCCAACACCGACTTAAACAACGAAACACATGACACCATTATACAGCTCGAGGGCTTGAACAAGAAGATTAAAGACTGGCAAATCGTGTCAGACTCGAACTATCTAGCTTGGTCGAAGTGGTTGGACGCTCAGATCGCAGAGCTCCGTGAAGATCATGGATCTGCTATGCGACATTACGAAACGGCACTGGACCACGCCTCAGAATACAGTCTTATATTCGAAGAGGCCCTAGGGAACTTCTTGATGGCGGGGTTCTTCGTCAGACAATCAGCCAGAAGATCTGCAACTGCGGTCTTGAGAGAGTCGGTCGCGCTTTGGCGACAACTAGGAGCAAGCGGAATCGTACAGCGCATCGAGGAAGATCACGCCTTCCTTCTCCATAGCCCCGCCCGCCATTCAAGGACAGCAGAAGTCGCGGTTCAGACTGACTTCGCTGGAGATTCCGCTTCTGTCACCTATGCTGCGGACGGTGAAGATGGGCCGCAGTCGGTGCAACCCGTGAACGAAGAAGAGAGAGAAACCCGAATGGCTGCATGGCGCGGTTCAACGCAGCCAGAAGCTGGTGCTGGCTTACCCGCGCTTGACATGATCGATCTCCACGCCATACTTCTCTCGTCCCAAGTCATATCTTCCGTCTTACAGGTTGATGTCCTTCTTAAGACAATGTGCGACGTTATCCTTCAGACATGTGGCGGGTCCGCAACACAGGCAGCCATCATTGTTCAGGACGAAGACGACATCGATGACAATTGGTGTATTGCAGCCAGTGGTGACTCCGAAAGAGGCGCGTCAGCTCATATTCATGGACAGTCGTTGATCGGTTCATCGCTTGTAGCTGAGAACGTTGTTCTATATTGCGCTCGGTTCCGCGAAGTGGTTTTTATTCCCGATCTAATTAGTGACGAAAGGTTTGGCAACGTTAGCGAGTCTTGGTTGCAGGGGAATCCGCTGAGCAAAGCCGTCATTGCGATACCTATTTGTCATGGAGCCAAGCCACTCCTCGGTGTCCTTTACCTAGAGGGCGAGCCAGGCTCTTTCACTGACAGGAATGTAACCGTGTTGCAATTATTAGTAAACCAGATCGGCATCAGTTACTCTAATGCCCTTGCAATGAAGGCCATCGAGAAGGTATCCTCGGAGAATGAGGCTATGGTCCGCATTCAGAGACAGGCAGTTGCAAAGGCTCGAGAGGCCGAGGCCAAGGCGAAGCATGCTGAAGCCGAAGCCAAGCGGAACGTTAAGATCGCCGAAGAAGCTGCCAAGGCCAAGAGCATCTTCCTCGCCAATGTGTCGCATGAATTGCGAACCCCGTTGAATGGTGTGATAGGCAACTCTGAACTCCTAAGGGACAGCAAACTCAGCAAAGAGCAGCTCGAGATGGCAGATTCTATTCGAGTATCAGCAGATCTCCTGCACACTGTCATCAACGATATCCTGGACTTTTCGAAGATGGAGGCTGACAAGATGAAACTATACATCACTGCCTTCAATCCTGAAGAAATGATGCGCGAGGTCGTTAGAGCTGCTTCATATAGCAACCAGGAAAAGCGTTCCAAGAAGAACGTGAAGATCATTCAAGATATCAACCTACCATCAATGCTCATATACGGAGACCCCATACGCTTGCATCAGGTCCTTGGAAATTTGATTAGCAACAGTTTGAAATTCACCGACAACGGATCTATTACCATTGGTGTCAAGGTTGATTCTAACACGCCCGAGAAGGCAGGGCTGACTTTCTGGGTGAAGGACACTGGTATCGGGATCCCGCCCAAACAACTGGCTAAGCTGTTCAAGCCATTTAGCCAAGCCGATGCCAGCACGGCTCGCAAGTATGGTGGCAGTGGCCTTGGTCTTAGTATCTGCAAATCGCTCATCGAGAACATGATGAAGGGCGAGATTAAGCTGGAAAGTCAGGAGACCGTAGGCACGACAGCCTGGTTCAGCGTCACGTTTGACAAAGCAGCATCCGAAGTGTCGGCAGGAGAAGCTCAACCACTTCCTGCAGCACCAGCCGGTAAGAAACGTGATGCGCCTCTGCCATCTCCTCAGCAGCCTCCGTTGAGTCCAATAGTGGACCTCGCACGAGTACCTAAAGACCAAATCCGCATTTGTATCGCAGAAGACAATCTTATCAACCAGAAGATTGCTATCAAGTTTGTACACAAGCTTGGATATGAAAAGGTTGATACTTACGAGAATGGGCTCAAGGCTGTAGAAGGTTTACGGCAGAAAGCCAAGGAAGGGGACCCATATCATGTCGTTTTGATGGATGTTCAAATGCCTATTCTTGACGGCTATGAGGCTACTGAGCTTCTTCGAAAAGACCCTATCGAAGAGGTACGGAAAGTCGTGGTCATCGCTATGACCGCTTCTGCCATACAAGGTGATCGAGAAAGGTGCTTGGCGTCAGGCATGAATGATTACCTTGCTAAACCAGTCAAAGCAGACCTGCTTAAGAGAAAACTAGATGCCTACACCACAGGAAATGCCCACCCGTCGACCCCGCCGGCTAAGCACTCGCCAGATCCCATCCTCACACATCCTATACCCCCTAAAGCCGTTGCTAGTAGGCCTAGCACTCCTCCCTCTACTTTGCCCACAGCGGCCGAGCTGGACCTCAAAACCCACTCACCGCCTATCATCATGCCAATCAGGGGTGATCTGGACCTCTCGCAAGCTTCCAGTAGTGCATCTGGCGAAAAGACCCCCTCAGATCATGGCTCCATGAGTGAGCCTGCGAACTCGTCGTCCCCACCGCCACCAGCGAAGTCGCAACAAGAAGAGTCGACCGAAGGTCATAACCATGAAATTGGGGCTGCGGACACTAGCAGCAAGAGTGCCAAAGCAACTCAACCCGAAAATCCGTGATGAAGCTATTCACCTATATTAGAACGATATGAGCTACGAGTTTATGACAGAGTTAACGATGCCTGTTTAATACCAACACTCCGAAAAGTAGACGTCCGAAGGATACCGTTTCCCCCTTAGATTGATGATCCTACGAGACACAGGAGCCTCGGTAAAGCATTGAATGATATTTTGTCAGAACAAAAGAGGAGGGGGGGAGGGCTTTGTTTGTCTTGCCATATAAACACATGCTTCCGGTCATTATGGTTGTTTCGTCGTTGGAGCATGGCTAGTTCACAGAGTCGTGAACAATCACATGGGAGCGTGCATAGCTGAATTACCTAGAAGGCGTGGTGAAACCATCTACCAATACTTTTCTTTCTTTTCCACTTCCTACTTGGCGGCGGTCCTCTCACAGCATGGAGGTTGCCCCTTATCCAATGCCATTAAGTTGTCTTAGCCAAAGGCAAATAAGGGATCGGGCGATTTGGTGCCAGGGCTTCGGAGCATATACGCGGGCCATTTGTTTTCCATCATCATTCTGGATTCCCCGAGGGAAGTTTGGCATACGAGGCGGGTTTAATGCAATTTTATTGTTTTGTTTTCAAGTGTATTGTCTTTTTTTTTTGTTTTGATTTGAATCACGAGAAACTTTATGTCATCGAAAGGTTCACGATAAAGAATTATGGGAGATGAACTATATACGAACTATGCACATACATATGGAAAGTAAGCCCCTTTAACAACAACAACAACAACAACAACAACAACAACATATCATCTCAGCCCAGCAGCCCCTTCTGAGTGTGATCTTTTTTGTAAAGGAATCTTGCTCTTCAATGCTCTTCCTCGGCTTCCGTATCTGGTATCTACCTAACTAGAGTCTAGACATTAGACATACGCATATGCATAAGTACCTAGTAAACTAGCCTCGAAAGCCGATATAGATCTGATGGTAAGGACTGCGGAACTTCCGCTGCCTTTCTTTTCCTTCCAATTTTTTCTCTTGAACTCCATCCCGCTGCTGAGCTTGGATCGTTCTTTTCTTCTTCTTTTCCGGAGTCTCCGAACGCGCGGATACGCTTAGAAGTGAGAAGAAAGAGTACCTAGTAGTAAGTAGTAGTAGTTTTGGGGGTTATCTTCTCCGGTTCCTTGGGATCAAAGCTCAAGAACATGGATATTACCTGTAATACTCATTCGTATATGTAGGTAGAATCTCACTAGCCGACCTAAGTAGGTAGGTAGCTAAAAGGAACTTGCTCAAGTAACTATGGGGATCGAAAATTGTTTGTTCGACTTCTTCGTCTACCTACCTACCCGCTTGCGAACGCCGAGGTTTTGGGGAGATCTAGGTAACTAGTAGGAGGTAGGTAGGTGCCCTGAGCGTTATGAGCTGGGTAGGGGTAACTAACTATTTACTACTATCGGTTCTATATGGTGTGGCGTTACGCGTAGTATAGCATAGATGGGTCGATTAGATAGATTGCCGGTAGCGTGTAATGGTTTTTTTTTTTTCTTTTCTTGGATAGGGCCCGAGAGAAGAGATGGGGAGATGGGAGGGGCTCGTGTGGTGAGGAAGGAAAGCACAACTAGGTTAGTTGTGAGGTAGATTAATAAGTCGGTCCGAGATCTCGCTAGGGCTGGGCGGGATCTCTGGTATCGGTACTGGCCCCCTTTTTCTTTTCTTTTCTTCTAGGAGAGAGGAGAGGCTACTATTGTGTTTGGTTTTCACGTTGATGTTATGGTTGTTGTTTTTGTTTAATGGGTGGGTTGTATAAGAGTTTTTCCTTCTATCTTTTTCCCTAACTCTAGTTCTATCTCCACCTTGTCTAGCTAACTAGATATTTGTTGGTGTGAGGTAGTATTGTAGTAGTGGTTCAGTTTTCTTGGTTAGGCCAATGTTGTATCGGACATGTGGGGTATTTGGGTGCCGGCAGCTTGGAACTTGATTCTAACGGAGCCGCGTTGTCTTATTTTACTAATTACTAGTAGGCTAGGCACTATATGTAGGTTGGGGCTATATACATACACCACCGGGACTCGGGAGGGAAGCTTACAGCCGCGGCTGCTGCTGCTGCTGCCAAGATCGCTCGCTGGTCAATAAACCGTTTAGGTTATGATGTTTACCCGTTCATATGGTAGGTGAGTTATAGATAGTACTGTATGTGTACAACAAACACTGCCTAGTTGGGTCATCCGGCTGTTTTTATCTCGTCGACTCTTATATATATTAAAACGACAAACCCCCTTCCCCACGTACTTCATTGGGAGGAGGCTTTTTTTGTTCTCCAGCCCTCCCCATCCCGGTCAGAGGCTCATCGGGCGACGAAAGAAGTAGGTGACACGGAGGCGGTTGGCCAAGGTTAGGGGGGGTATAATGTGGTTTTTTTTTTTGGGAGAGAGAAACCCCGTTTCGGAAGAAGAAGTTGGGCAAATTTTCTTCTTCTTCTTCAATTTAGTTTATCCTACTATAGGTGGTTTTACCTAGTCAAGCAAACCAACTACCTAGCTACTAGATAGTAGGAGGCGTAGGGTAGGGTACTAGGTAGGTACTTGCGTAGGTAGTCAGTTTTTTCCTTAAATTTTTGCTCTCGTGTAACCTGTCTGGATCTTACATGAGTGGCTTGCTTGTGTCAGAGGTTGAGTACAGGATCTGTCACGTATTACTTTGCTACCTAGTATAGTACAGTGTAGTGTTTGGATCTTGGCTTGCTAAATGCATACCTAGTAGGAGGCAGGTGTATGCAGTTCATGGTCCCGTAAGGCAAGGACAAGGGCTTAACGCAACTATCTATCGGCCGAGGGAGAAATAAAAGGGGGCGAGAGACTGGATTTTTCCTATGATGGGGTTGTTTTTCCCGCCCGAGGTTCTAAAATCTCCGGCGTCCCGCCTCGGTCTCGTCTTGAGTACGGCTTGGCGGGCTGTTCATCCAAGGCTACTACCACTAGTAGGTATGTCCCTACCTAGGTAGTTACTGGCGGTGGAACTAGGACCTGCGGCTCGAACGGAGCATGGCATGGCACGTGTCTCACTCGCTTCAGCCCCAAACTCATCTTCATCAAACATTTTGGCGCGTACGCAATATACTAACCTACCTCCCTACCTCCATACCTCCCTACCTAGCAGGTATACTCACGTGCAGAAAGATATTATGGAGCTTGTCTTCGTACATATGCATGTATGTGTTGGTGCGGGAATGATCTAGAATAGAAGATCTCCGGGATGGATGGATGGAGGAGGCTCTTGGCTAGGAAGGGCGGGAGGGAGGCGTAGATGCTTTTTTGTTACGTTTCAGCGTCGTTGGCCAAGGGCCCGTCGAATAAGGTAGGTGGAAAGAAGCAAGGCGCAACGCAACGGGACGAACATCCATTTTTGTTTGCTTTCTGTAGATGGCGTTCGGCCAGTGGCCGCTTTGGAGCGAAGGTGGCGTCCAGTTGCATGATGACGACCCGGCTTGGGGCTTCGTGGGGGCGGGTGGAAAAGAAGCCAAAGAATCTCATCGAAACGCCTTCTTCTTTTTCTTCTCCATCTCCTCCTCGCCCGTCTCAAGGGGAGTTAGGGAGGAAGTTCATCCTTCCGAAATTATAGGCACCTAAGGTAGGCAGAGAATGTTTTGGCCTGTCTTGAAAGGATGATGGCGGTAAAGTTTGATTTGTAAGTGGCCTGCCTATTCCCACGACCCTAAACATAGGTACGTCGTCTCAGTATCAACCGATTTTGTGTGCGTACGAAATAAGGTATGAATCACAAGGCTGTCGTGCGTGTCATGGGTCAAGGTTTCAAGCTCGTGATGGATCGGCGCGAGCCAAGAAGACGGAAAAGGTTGCCAGTTTGTGCGTGCATGCATGCCGGGTGTAGCACATGCTTTTCATGCAGCATATTTTGACACCCATCCTGAACTAGGAATAACCTAGGTTTAGTTCAAAATCTGGGCGTCGTAGCTACTGACTTAGTAGGTAAGTTGTCAAAGTTCGCTGTAGGCGCTAACCTACCCTCTCGGGAAATAACGTAGAGCCGCTGATGTCGTCCTATGTTAAACCCAGAGCGGGAGTAAGAAAGAGAGAGAGAGAAGGTTTGGGGTACTAGCAAGGTAGGCTGGCGGTTACAACGCATGAGGTTGACACTTCATAATGAAGGATCTGTTCAAGATAGTACATAGATAGCATACTAGGTTAGATGGGTAGGCATGTGAAGTAATCACCAGAAGCTCGCAACAGCTTAATACGAAGTAAGCTTTGCATATATCAATATGGTGACAATGGCGACGATGGGGTCATCTTCCCTCATGCTGGAGTGAGGCTTGCCAGAGATTATTCAAAGACAACAAAGAAGCTCATGGAAGTAAACTCTAGGGCTAGCCCGTAATCTTAACTCAAGCCGTGGCTTAAACCTGACATACTCGCTCGCGTGTTTGATGCCCGAACGAATGACTACACAGGCCGTCGTAATACTGTCTACGTATGTACTATGTAGGGAGAATCAAAAGCGTATGTAGTACTGGCCTACATTAGCATATACATACCTACCTAGTATGAGTCTGTATGACATCCCCTAAGTCGACCAGGGGGGTGGAGAAAGAAAAACTCAGTAAGTTTGTCACTTGAGATTTCGGGCCGCTGAAAAGAGAAAGTATTGACCACCTACTGTCAGTTGCATACATATATACGTACATACACAATAGGTATCGTCTCTTCTTTCGACCCTGGTTGACCATGTCGATTACCGTCTTGACTTCAAAGTCTTCTGCAGCACTGCCCATGCAACCTGCGCTTTTCGGCCGCCAGCCTACCATGTAGATAGATACATGTAGATACAGTACGTAGATGTAGATGTAAATATATGTATTATGTAGGTGTGTAAGTATGGGCGTACACATGTAATTATGTATGCGCGTGGTTCCCCGGAAGTCCGTTCAATTTCCACCACAACGGCCGGCCCAAGTTTGTTGTGAAATCTTCGAGGCCGCAAGTGGGTCTTGACTAAGATTCTGGGCCGGAGACGTTGTCGTAAAACGAAACAAACAATACCTACATACCTACCTACACAGTAGCTTTGTTGCCCGTTCTTTTCTAGTTCTTATCCCTACTATGCGCCGCAAGTGAGATAGATCAGGGATGGGCATACCTCTTTAGTATAGCTGCTGATTGTGTACCTAAACCTAGCCCATCTACCATAGTGCATACCTTACCTACATCCATGCCTGTGTATGTACTTCTATATGTATGTAGATAATGAAGTGTGGTAAGCCGAGTATTTTGGAACTAGTCTGCTCGGAAAGTCTCTAGGCATTGGCGGCTACGAATAAACTAACACTAGTCTACCCGCTGCTGTGCGTTCTCTCGACTCCACCAGTTCCAGCATGAAGATCCATTAGGTCGTAACGGCGAGTCGTAGACTCGTGGAGGCCTGACTTGCTATTCGTACGGCAATGATTACCGGCTCCAAGTGGATGATCCATCAACCCAGGTGTGTGACACCAAACACCTGGCCGATTCAGTTCGCGGCACGGCTTCATTAGTTAGTCACTTGGTTGGGAGGAGTTGGTTACCTGGCCTATGACTCTGACCTGAGAACCGTCCCGATGTAGTTGCATAGTACTTTGTATCTGCACGGGGATGTCTTCGCTCTTAGGTACCATGTAGAATACCATGTAGAACTACCTACATATGTATGCAGCGTTTCTGATATGCCCAGCAGATCTGGCGTATCGCGTGGGCATTTGACTACCTATTCGGTCTCTCTCCCCTCCCTAGGAACTGCCACGGGATCGATATGTTCGAGTGTAGGACTTTGTCCTCTCGAATGAGGAACTAGACCGAACAGCCCCTTATCTAGGAGTCCGGATATGTGTTCATGGAACGTTAGCTGAAGCGAGAATTTCGAATATGGTCCCTTAGCTCGAATTGCTCAATTGGTATACGGTGTAAGCTAGCGGGAGCTTATCCGTATAGAAGTCATTGCTCACGAAGATGATATCCATATCTAAGAAGAGCTAACACCTGAACTACAATAGGTTCGATAGGTACTAGGTAGGTTATTTTTTTTTCTCGCTCGGAAGTAGAAGTCTTGGTATAGCCTCATATTAGTTTTTTATTCCTTTTTTTTTCAGCTCCTCGGAACAAGCAGCAACCTAGAACGAGGCCGATCGGATGATACTATCTCATCCCATGCTATCCCATTTCATCTCACTCTCATAGTATTGTATTGACAGTAGGCAGGGATATGTTGCAGACTCGAAGATGAGACCGGTTCGTACCAATAAGGGGCGAGGAAAGCAAGAAGGTCCAGAGGTGAGGATTTGAAACGTGCCAATCCACTTGTAAGAAATAAAAATGAAAATAAATAACAAAAAAAAAAGAAAAAAAAAAGAGAACACATGAGAATGGAAATGAAAATGGGAATGAAAATAGAAAATAGATAGGCCCATCCATCCATACAATCGATCCATCCACAGTGTGCCCAGGTTGAAATTCTAACCAGTCGGATACGACCAATATGTTTGGCTTTGGTCAATGGGTCTTGGATCGGAAAGCCAAGGATCGTGTTATTGGGGCTGGACTAAAAAAGTCGCGGCCATTCCAAGTTAGTTCGTCTGCAGAGCTAGCGGCGACGCGGTCAAGGTATGATATATCAAGTATCATGTATCATGTGTATGAATCTGTTGCCTCTTTCGATGAATGGAGTCGTTTCAAAAGTCTCCGTATCGATCAGGTAACTCCAATCTCTCTTCAACCCAGATTAGGCGAAGTTTGCGAGAGTTGCGAGACTATATTGGTACGACGGTAATGTATAATACGACGTTGAAATAGCTTAAACTTCAATGTTACATACTACATTCAATGTTGAGATGCTGATTGTGTTTATAATGTTGGTTGAAATATGCCTCCCTCCCTCCTTTGAGTATGTAGTATTCAAAGTTGAACATTGTTACTACATAGTAGTTATCGTTGATATACTACTAATTAGTAGTAGTGCCGGTAACAAATAACTAACATTGAAGTTTGAACATTGAAGAGCCCTAGAGAGAATACTTTGAGGGGTCGAGTCAGGTACCTACATCAGGCTACATGTGCTAGTTAGTAGTAGGCTGGGGCTTAAATTCAGGGGTTAACCACCTCCCTACTATACTAGTGTAGAACTCTTAGAGTGCCCAGGGCCTACATAGTAGGCAATGTACCTGGTAACTATCATTGATTGATCTGCGGAGACTGGAAGCTTCAAATGCTGTAACCTAGTTACATGTATGTACATGTGTAGGTATCTACGGAATTCATGATGCATGTAGGTATGTAGTACATAGTACCTTGTACTTGCTACCATGTACCTGAAGAGAGGCTGAAGCCCCAATTGGCAATTGCAACTTGGATAAAAAGCCCCTGGAGGGGATCTCGGAACACGGGTGGCCTGGTTAGCACTCCCGGTCAAGATACACAACCCATCGCTGATTGGTCCTTTTCCGTCTCGTCTTCCCCATTTAGGAATTATAAGGCTTATGTACCTAGGTACTGTGTACGATAAAACGTGGAGTTCACCAGCACAAGGGGAATTGACTACCAACCTGGTATGTAGCATTATGCCTCTTATTGATTTTCTTTCTTTTCGAGTTGCAGCTGGCGTCTTCAGCCGCAAAAAGGTAATACATCCGTACTGCATACTAGTATGATACTACAAAACCTACGTACTTAGTTACCCAGGTACATAACGGAAGGTATTTCGATATATCGATGCAGATATATGCAGAGATACACGCAGATATATATATATGCAGATAATAGGTAAATTATCCCTAAGGATACCCAACAAATGCATTCGTGGATGCATATGCACTTGTCTATTGTCTTGAAAAGGCATGTATAAATATATCTAGATACATATCTAGTTACCTAGATAGCTAATGTCCTAGCTACCTAGGTTAGTAATGTCCTGTAGTTTGTGGTCACACAGCTATAAAGTGGCTGATGCTGTGTATGTAGGCATACGGCAAATATAATATGTATGTAGGTAGGTATTCAATCAATATCGAGCCTGTGCTTCGTATCCAATGCCGCCGCTGTATGACGGAATTCGCATTTGCCTGCGAAATAAATTCCCGGGTCTCACAGGTAGCAAAGCGATTGGTAATGCTTATGTGGTTCCATCATATATCACCAAAGATCGAAGCAGCGGCCCATACGAGCAGCAATATTTACGAGGTCGCCGCATACGTACTTGTATATACCTATGTAGTATAGTAGATTGGTTACACGCTGCACCACATCATTCGTACTCGTGCAGACAAATTGGCTTCAATGTACTATAGTTAGTATAAGATTATGTTAGATTATCGCATTTGCGGGAGAGAATTGGTCACTTTACGAATGGGCTTGGCTGCTAATAATGTGTTACCATCTCAGGTAATGTCGAATGACCGACGCTTCGTGAGGCTCACGATGATTGCGCTAGATGTCGTGTCCATCGCCAGCCACTACATACTAACCTACTTAGAATATGGATGTAGCTGAGATATCAACCCAATGGAGATGCTACATGTTGTGTACTACCAGGGTCCGTTCGGTTGTGGCGTTAAACCGGGAGTCGCTAATGTTCATTCAATGTTGAACATTGAATGTTGATATCATATGTGTCGCCGAGTACATTATGTACCATTTCCGTTTAGCATATGGGAGGCAAGGGTATTGCTTGTATGTAGGACAAGAAGAAAAAAAAAAGCCACCAAGTTTTCAATGACGACGATAAAACGTACGGTGTGTGTAGTTGATTGAGATTCAATATTTCTTTTTAGAGAATTACCTCAGGTCGTTCGTTACGGTGTAAAGTTCCAAGTTAACAGCTGTAAAGGGGATTTGAAGATATCCATAGTGTATGCAAATATGGAGTACGAAGTACTTTCCCTCTTTAATTCAATGTTCAATGTTGATGTTGTTCTGTTCTGCCCCTCCTTTTAACTCCGCAACCCCTCCTGTGGATTAGCCTCCACCACTCATATCTCTTGCAATTCTTGTTGCCTTTCCCCATTTTGACTTAATAGTCGACCTCGGCGGTCAGAATCCGAAACACTGCCCTAAGTAGTTAAGTACATGCCGACGGATGTTTCAGGAGGTTAAGAAGGGAGAAAGGGGGAAAAGGAGAAAAGGAGAAATATTTTGTTACTGTTATAGGTCAGTAAGTTACCTACCTTTCATTGCATTCGCAAGTCAGATCTAGATGAGGTAGTTTTTTATTATTCCACAGTCCAATTCGAGCCCGGCAGAAGTGACTTGAAATAGTGACAAGCAATTTATATTATACCAGCCCTGGAAATACATATACCTACACCTACATACACTATGATAGTAGTACCCTACTTGGTATGTGACGGGTCACGGAAGTTATTACTGCTACCCTAGATACCTTATTGCAGGCGTCCTTCAATTCCCCGAACCCCCAGTTTTCCGCCTTAGTTGAAACGTCTAAACATAAGAGATCTACTTGCCTAATCGAGCTTATTTTGAAACATTGGCTGACAAGGGCTGCGAGAAGGCGAAACCATGCAATGGCCGGGGTTTATAGCATGGGCTAATAACTCCAAACTCGGTATAGTACTACCTTTTTTTTTTGGTGCTGAATCGTAACATTGAAAACTACTGGGCAGTGGACACTGGAAAGCTTCCAGGTTCCAAGTTTATACACATACATCGTACATAGAGTAGTATTATGTAGATGTTGGCATGTATTTACTCACGTACAGTATCTGCCAAGTTCCCATATTGTTTTTAAATCCGTGATCAAGCTTTTCGGTCCCGAGACACGACGTTCCTACGATGCCAAATTAAAAAAAAAAAAAAAAAAGCTCTCTATCAGGACTGAATCCCAAGCCAGATCCCGAGGCAAGGGACGAACAAAATTGTAGCCGCAAGCCCAAAGTATACCGGTATGTAATGCGTACGAGCCTATGTATGAGCTTATGAGCCTATGGACCTATGAGGATGTAGGAGGTATTACTGTTGTTCGTATTTTACCTACATCCATATGTAGTAGTTACCCAACCAGCTGCCAACCTAGTGTACACCGGCCTGGGTATAACGCTGATCATCCAAAGAGGAAGTCAGCTGCCAAGATTCTAGGATTGTTTGTCTCCGTTGCGCGCGCGCGTTTTCGACTTGTTGCGAGATCGGGAATATTTACAGCTTACACTGTTCGAAGCTTACAAGCCGGGTTACAGGACAAAAGCCGCGCCCCTTGCTCTAAGAATAATGAGGGAAAAACCCCGCCATTTCGCATAACTGCCTAACTATGTACTTGCTTCTTCCTTGCCTGCCTATCTACATAGTAGTATGGTAGTACTCCTCAAGACTACTACTTTATGTAGATATATGTGGTACATGTAGGTGGCTCAGTAGGTACAGACCTATGTATATAGGGGTACGTCAGCTAACTACCTATAAGTACCTATGCCTGTACCTGGTAATCAGGTATGTAGTGTATGTAGGTAACCATGATACCTTCGTACGTAGCACTTAGAGCTTTATTACATAATATATGCGTAGAGCATTGCAACGGAATCGCAACATTTCTTACTACCTGCATGCGAGTATGTATTTATCCTCATAACCTAATAGCTAATGTACCTAAGGCAGGTTACATTGCACAAAAGTCCCAAACTGCGCACATAACCTTGATGCAGTGGAGTGGCATTCAATGTTGAATCTCGTTGCATACTCGCCCGCCTACCTTGCCTTTACACTATTTTCCGTCGAGTCATTCAATGTTCTCCTGGCGCGGAACTACATACTAATTATCATACATATCTATACATGTTATATGTATAATTATGCAAATAGTAGGTAGATGGAGTAACTCCTTACACGCATGTGTGCATGTACTAACATGAGTTGAACAAGAGTGGAATCCATTCGTACCTAACAACATTTGAAGCGCACAGTACAGAATACATACTTTTCATCTTATTAAGAACATCGAAGACCTTCAATGTTCTTCGTACAGCCACAACACGCACCCACCCACACAAACAACTTTATCCACTTCCACTTCCACTTCCTATGTACAATCAATGATACTGTCTACATACACTTACACCAACCCCTAGTAACCATGTAAGCTACAGATATCTGCTACTTGGGTACAACAAATAGTTACTTAGGTACATAAAGTACATGCAATTACTCCTTTCCATCTCTCCTCTGCATGACTCGAGAGGATCCATCTCGACTCCGGCTAGGCGAGCGACCACGTCCATGCCGGGTATGCTGCTCAGCCCACAATACCAAACTACACTACACTACGATGTTCAAACATTGAATTCTGTTAGATAACTAACTACCTAGGTATGTACATGCCTACCTACAATGCTAGGCGTGTACCAGGTAGAGGTAGGTATGCTTGTAGTCAGGTACTTATAGATGTCCCATGTAGGCCTCGAGCGAGAACCTCCACTTTTCAGCTTGCTAACGCTGCTGATGTCTACCTTAGTTCGGTATAAACGGTATAAGCGAGTGCTTTAAGTCGTAAGTACTTGCCCCTTTCAAACTTATCATACATATTTTAGTACCAACCGTCTTTGCCGATTCCCCCCTAACCTACCTACATACATACCTACATATGTACATGCCTACTGCCTACATGAACATGCCTTACGTACAGGCTTAGCACATACAATCTCTTACATATGTAATAACTGCTTACATACATACCCTATACGCATTCCTATATCCATATATGTAGGTAGTACATCCCTAACTTACCTGGCTACATATACATATACGTATTCGATAGGAGCCTCGTACATACGCACGTATGTATTGCCTATCCGTACGTCCTATCTGCCTACATACTGTAGGTAGATAGATACATTGATCCTAGATTTACTTACCTGCCTAGCAAGAGAAAAAAAAAGAACACTTACAAAGCACGAAGAGTAAAAAAAGAAAAGAGAAAAAAAAAACAACCAAAAACAAAGAAGATCGTCCGGGTTCTAGATCTCTTCGCGAGAATTTCTCCTTCTCCATCCTATCCCAAGTCTCGAACTCTTTTGACACGTCTGACAACAGAGGAGTGTCTATTTATTAGTTTTCGTCCCATCTGCCCACATATGCGCCGTGCGGTCTTCTCTGGAACTCCACTTCAATCCATCCACTCTCACCCTCTAGCTATTACCTAGTCAAGCAAGCATCATACTTAGGCAAGCTAAGTACTAGGTAACCGCTTTGCCAATACCTGCACGCCCCCCACACTCGTTGATTCGTTCGTCACTCTTGCATCCTCCTTGACATTCTTTTTCCGACGTCGAGGGATCGACCCTGCATGGCAAGTCTACCACCCCCGGCCCTTTCCTGTGCTTCCTTCGAGACTCGAGTTCGAAACGGGGTAGGTTAGTCTCTGCTATGTATTCACTAGTACTAGAAAAGGGGTCCTGCGGCGAAAAGAGACCGCACTAGCCCTATACACACGCCATCCCAAGGTCGGTCTAGAAACAGAAAACCCTACCCTTCCATGAAGGACAGGCCCCTTCAACCCTAGGAATAAATAAACGGGGAGCAGGGACAGGCCGAGTTGATCTGATCTGTATTCAATAACTTGATCAGCCTCGTCATTGCAGTGGCGTGAAAAGAAGGCTTCCCCTCCCTCCTCTACTCCTCCTCCCAGTCACGCCTCACCTCACCTCACTTCAGCCACTCTTCTACATCAACTTCAAGCTAACATTACATAGCCGGATCTTTGACACGCGAGCTTGTTTACTAAAAAACTTCTCACCTTGTCTACCTACCTACTTACTTACCTTACCCTACCTGATCATCTTATTATATTCCCTGAAACTGACGGCTTTGACTAACCATGTCCATACGACGCTCTCCTTGATAGTGAGTGCTTGCCTCTGATTCGAACAATTCTCACCACCGCTCGTGTGAATCGGACTACTGGACTAGACTACTCGGACCAGTTCCCTTAGCTTTTTTTCCATAGCCATTCCCTTGGTATCCGGTCTGGTACGATTCGTTCTTGTGTGAAAATCTCCCAGATACATACCTACATACCTACCTACCTACCTATTACATTCAGATAAGCCAGGCACCTCGTTTTTTTCTCCACACCTAGAACGACCTCTACTTTCCGCTTTGGGCATTGCCTAAATTGGCTTCAAGTGGTAGAATCTATCTATCAACTCTCACATTGCCGTCCCGTTCCAAGATCTCCCCTACTTAGTTTACTTGGTCCTTCCCGAGACTTGGAGCTACTTTGGGCACCGATCCTCCTAAACGTCTAGGATTCCCTCAACCGCATTTGTGTCGGCGCATGTCCAGTTGCAACGTCCAAAATACAACGCAACTACAACCACAACTTCACCCCCCTCGTTTAATCCTTTAGAACTGTTACCCATGTGTTTAGCACCGATCTTCAAATGAGGCTGGGCTTTAGGATCCAAAAGTTCCATAAGCCCCGATTGTATCCTATCCCTTGTCTACTAAGCTGGCCGCCCTCTCCAGCTTTCTTATGCAAAGGTTATTCATCACCTCTTATTAGTTTCCATATACACTATCACGTCTAGTTATTGCTTCCCTTCTACCACTCTCAGCATGCTTCTCCGTGTCACTGTCTAGTCCCTTTTCACGTCTGCTATCGAGATGATGCTCACAGCCAAGCAGCCAGTTCATCACGGGTATCGGCCTGTCCATGACCTTCCGACGCCGCCTCGATCCTCGCCCCCCTTGAGTGTCCAGGACTCTTTGCAGAAATCATTTCTTGCTCTTCCACAAAAGCAGAGCCCAACTACCAAGCCCATGTCAGCACCTCATCGTGGCCTGCCTCCCCCGGCAGCCATGACCTTACCTCAACCTCCATCTCAAGTTCCTGGTCCTCCTCATCCACCCCCTTCAGGGCCATCTTTACATTCACAGGGAGCACCAATTCCCTCTCCGCATAGTCAAGCACTCGGCGTATTACCACCACCACCTCAGCAACACCAAGGTTCCGAAGAGCCCTTGAGGAGTTGGCTGATAGCCAAGGCCGAAGAGGAGAGGAGAAAACAGGAAGAGGAGAGGACGCGGCAGGAGTCATTGCGCCTCGAACAAAGAAGGTTAGAATACGATATGCTACGAACTTCTCTGGACAGAGGCATCCCGCCACCTATGGTGCCCGTGGTTTTCGCTGGTATGAGCGGTGGAGCACTTCCACAAGCCATACTCGAATGGGCGCAACAGTACTTGGTCCCGCAGCAACAGGTACATTCAGGACAGATCTTGCCAGCACAGGGAGGGGTATCACCAGATAACCGCAGAGAATCTCAGCAATATGGAGGACAACCATACAGTGGAATCCCGTCCACACCAGGATCGGCAGCAGGACCGGGTGCCCAGGCAAGTTTTGTTTCTTATCAGGGGCCTAGTTCGCCTCCGAGACAAAGGGCGCATACATTGAGCATGGGTAGCGCTGTGGGAAGACCTCTGGGAGGTTCTGCTCTTCCTCGATTAAGTACAGGCGAAGGAGCCGCCGGGCCGGCCGGCCTTCCTCACCCAGCGCATGCATTAGCGCAACAGTCAGCTACCGCGCCGCAATCAGATACACAGTCGCCCTCGATATACTTTCACCATTGGCAACCACCGACCACTCAAGGAGGCTCTCATCAGCCAGGAACGCCTTCTGGTTTGTCCAAATCCAAACCGAGCAAGCACAATCTTGTTTAACTAATGTTGGCCTTCGGTAAATAGGGGAATCGCCCAAGAAACGAAAAGCCACAGGCCCACAGCAAGCAGCACCTCCACCGAGCCAAACGCGGTTTCGATCTCCGTCTTTCGGGCAGCACGTCGGGCCGTCGACCTTGTCGAATCCTCCACCAGGGCGCCGAAGAGGTCATTCCCGACAAAGGAGCGATATCTCGTCCTATCGACCGGCGGGGCGCGGCCGAATTGAAGGGTTTGGGCCACACCGAGGACTTTCGCCCAGCCTTGGCGTATCGAGGGAGGCCGGTGTGGGTGAATTAGCGCATCCTCGAAGTAGCGCTCACTCGGTTTCGTCGTTATTATCAGATCAGCCGTCGCCACGATACGTATCGGAAATGAGGTCACAGCAGGAGGCGGAAAGACGAAATTCGCCGACAACATCGGATGATAGATCGCGTGGTGGAGTAACTGGGGTAGGACCAGCCGCAGGTGCTCCTAGTTCCGGGCGAGAAAATGATTAAAATGGAGATGGATATATTTTATCATGTTGATGATATCGGCGCGTATTTCAGCCTTTTGAGTCCGGATCTTTTCCAACCATGGTCTTTGCCAAGTTCTCGAAATGAGGATCAATCTTACGACAAACAAAAAAAAACCACAAACAGGCATGATTATCCTGGACGTAAAAACGGGACATGATAATTTCATAAGCGAGAGGGGGGTTTTATGGATTTGATTATCCCCCCCAAATAGGCCGCTACGATGGTCTCGGCTGAACAAGAAAGCGGTTGCGCCATGCCAAAGTTCCGGACAGCCAGTATTAACAGCCGCATCATAAGATTCGATTTACGACGACCGTCTTCAAAAAATTCACTGTAACTAATAGCTCTCGTCTGTACTAAAAACACAAATCATCTATCTGCATACACCGGGGAAGTTGACGGTTTAAAAGCATTCTACAGGGCGGAGAAATGGGCTCGGGAAAGAGGAACAGGAGTTTCTGGGCACCGGACTTTTATTATCATTATCATCATCATTGTTATTTCTTCTATCATTTGGGAAATACGCATATGAGCCTTGTATATTACAATAGATACCTTGTGAAAAAGGGAGGATGAGGAAGGGCGTCTAAAGTCGGGGACCAGACCTGGAGCTAGTCACGCAGTGTATTATAACATATACAATATATACCTACCCTAGGTACCTCATATATATATATATATATAGCCGGGCTGAGCAAGATGAATATCGAAGTCGTGTGGTGAATTTGGTGTTATTGTGAGTATTTCGACAATTATGATACCTAGTAGCTCACATCCATTCCCGAACTCTACATACCCTAAGCCTCTCGTATTTCGATTTGTACCTTTATTATTACCTACCTAGGTAGTTATTATGATGGTGAATTAATGTCGCGACACAATTGGTTGGTCAGTACTTGGATCGTCATCGGAGATTTAATGGCTTCCAGTCTATAGCCCCCTTTTTAAGTAACACGGGAAAGGGTACATAACCTATATGTACCTAAGTGACCAGGTTAGTATTTCAATTAGCACGACAGTCCGCAGCCCGTCGGGAAGATAAAGAGGCTGCTTAATATAGGCTCTTCTACGTCGCACAGCAGATACGTGCTACGGAGACAAGAATAATACTTAAGGCTACTGGGGGGGGGGGGGGAAGAAAAAAGAGGCGAGCGAGTAAAGGGGTTCCGATGGTAATAGTACCTAGGTTAGGTAGGTATGATATCAAAAAAAGAAGAAAGGGCAATTTGTAAATACCCGCGCGCCAGACGGCTAAGTGAGCCAGGTTTAAAGATTTCCATCCAATTCATTGATTCGCGCCCACACACGCGCTCCAGCCGCTTAATCCTCGTCAATCGATCCAACAACGACCGAACATCCAACCGCGATCTTTTTTTTTCTCTCTTTTAGTTAGATAGGTATTCTTGTATCCAATATTATGAGCATACGTATGTGGAGAGAGAGGTACGATATCGAACAAAGTAAGTATTGCCTTTTTATGTGTGTGTGTGTGCGTGTGTGCTATGGGACGAGAACTACGGTCTAAGGACTGGACATGGGATGACGGAAAAACCGGCAGCTTGGAGAAAGACCAAGTGCAGGACCAAGTGAATGCCTACCTAGGTAGGTAGTAGAACAACTCGTGGGCCAAGGGCCACCTACCTAGGGTAACCTACCCGTAGGGCTGTCACTTCATGTTGACACGGCATTAACATTGAGTGTCCAATTCTATGATAGAGGCTTTTGGATCGAAAAACAAAAGCCCCAAGCGAGCACGACATTCGCAGTGCCGAGCTTAAAAAGCCTTCATGCATCTATCTTACCTACCTACCTACATACATCAACAGGACATCCATCCCCCAAAAAACGCATCCCCAACACGAGGGATCCTTGAGCTATGTAGGAGCTAGGATCAGCTAGTTCTTACTACCTACCTACCTACCTACCTGCAGCGCTACAGTACCTACATGCCATGCCATGCCGTAGGCATTCTCGACACGGTGGGTGGGGGTGATGCCCATATAGGGGGGAAGGGAAAGGGAAGGGGAGGAAAAGTCTTGGACTAAACGCGGACTCGCATTCCAAATCATACGAGTCTACCGTGGTCTGCCTTCCCTTTCTCCCTCTCTGTAGCCATCGCGATGTTTATTGTTTGTTTACCTGCCGGCGCCGCGCCCTCTCTCGGTATAAGCAGCATGCTGTGAGGTAGAAGCATACCTACGCGAAATGCATGATGACTTGCAGTAGCGCTCCCCCCCTTATAATTAATTCCATGACGAGGGAGACGAGAACGGGTACATAGCTCAGGCAGGAGGCGCCCGCTGTCGCAGATCCGGGCCTCTTTTGGGGCGCGAGATGCCTGAATCCTTCGAACTAAATCGAGTTTTAATTCCTTGTCTACCTTAGGTAGGTACCTGTATATTAATTATAGCGGCGGCCGTGGTAGTGGCTATAGAAACCTATAAATCATATTATCATTGGAATCATGTACTTATATACAATATATACGGTATATACCTACACATACGTACCTATCTATCTACATGCCTATGGCTGGGAATACCTAGGTATCTAGTAGGTATCGCAAAGAGGCGCCCGAAACCTCACTCTGCATCAGTCTAATTACCAGGTAAGCTTACTTACCTACCTACCTAGCTGCCGGGCCAAAAGCTTACGATGGGGAAGAAGGTGGTATTCCTGTATCCTTCGACGACGCGCAAGCTCTTTCTGCGGTAGTTAAGGAGGAAAGCCCCGATATGCCCTCCCTCCCTACCTCCCTCCATCTCATCCCATCCCTCGCTCCCAAAACCACAGCTTTCACCGAGGAAAAAAAAATACCGGTTTGCGTATTTATGTCTGCCTCTCTGGTGTTTCCGGTAGGGCCGGACATAACTTGCGCGTTCTGGGTAACAGTAAGGGAAGGGGGGCCAAGGCAGGGCAAGGCAAAGCAGGGCGTTTCGTTCCTTTCTTTTCCGCTGTTACTGTTACCCAACGTTCGAAAGCAAAAGGCGAACCGATGGTTGGCCTGGCTAGGTAAACTAGGCTGGCCGGTTGGTTGGTCGGCGGGTTTGGGTTGGCTACCTATGTAAGTTGGTTGGTTGGTCGATCGGTCGGTCGGTTGAGACGTCGCTGCGTCCTGAGTGGACGAGACGAACCGGGACGCGACGCGACCACAAAATGCGGCCCGGTCCCCTCTATTATCCCCTCCTTCAAGTTCTCCCTATCTTTTATTTTTTTCCCTGTTGTTTTTTTTGTTCTCCATGGCCTTTGCTTTGTCACTGCTTGCTGCTAGTAGCTACTGCGGCTTACTTTTCCTCCCCACACCTCCCCATCCCTATCCTTATCCCTATCCTCATCCCCATGTGTGTATTCCCCTTCCCCCCCCATTCACCAGAAAACCACGCAGTGTCCCAGATGCGAAGTGCTGCGCTGCGCTGCAACCTTGTGGCGGCATGGGACGCTGCGCTGACTGCATGCGTGCGTAGGTACCTATGTACCTAGTGTATGTTGTGTAGAGCGCAACAAGCAGCAGTCCATCCAAAACGACTCTAGCTTCGACAGGTAAGAAAACCAGTCGATGAAGAGGGTAACGCTACCTAGTGTGTAGGCGCGACGCCTCATAGGTGCAGAGGGAAGAGCCAAGCTTTCCTTTCTTTTCCCCTACCTACCTACCATTTGTTCCCTGCTTTTTTTTTCTTTCTTCTTCTTCTTCTTCTTCTCCGCACGCCGCTTAATAAGAATAATAATATCTCTGAAACACAAGAATACATGATTTCGAATGCGACGCTACTGTATGTAGATACCTGGTAGAGTTGCGTTGGGTAGGTTGTCTACTTTACTTGAGACAGGCACACACGCGACAGTAACAGCCTTTACCACTGGCCGGTACTAACCTACTTGGCTGCATGTGGTAGTGCCTTTACAAGCATACATACATACATGCCAAGGTACTACACTATATACTAGGCATCTAGGGAGGGAGGTATGAAAGGATGGAAGGATAGGTATACTTATTTGGCCAATTTCCGAGCAGCAGGCAGCATCGTCGTAGTTGCATATGAAGGTGCCTAGAAAATAATGTACCTGTGTAGGCCAGATGGTTAGTTACTAAGTTAGTTAGTAGGTAGGGACCTAGGTAAGGCAGAACAGAGCAAGGCAAAGCAAGGCAAAGCAAGGCAAAGAAGAGGGGAAATGGCAGACTTGGGTTCAAGGCCGGGCGGGCGACACAAGCAGGTGGTGAAGTGACTCATTTCGATCAACGGCGGTGCGTCAATACTGCGACAGTTCTTTCCGATGGCAGATCGGAACATTTTCAGCTAAGGGGGGCTGGTTGGCTCGTCCAGTTCTTGCGTGATACTATCACCGAGATCGTCGCCGAGAGAGAGAGAGAGAGAGAGAGAGCGAGGCTTACTTGCGTGGGCTATGGATGCATTAGGAAATTGCCTGCCTACAATATACGAGTCTTCGCCCCACGATGTGTTATCGTTGTTTATTGTTTATTATTTATTGTTTCAGGCGTTTGTTGTTGTTGTTGTTGTTGTGGTGGTGGTGGTGGTGGTGGTGGTGGTGGTGGTAATGGTGGCTACTCGTCGTCGTCCTCGGGCTTGTATGTAGGCAATTCTACAGCCAGCCGATGAAGGAGGATCCGACGCTGGTTCGTCGCAGCTCGGGACTGGACATTGCCGGCTCACTCAGCTGAGGGAACCTTCAATCCTTTTTGCCTGATCTGGCACCATACGCATTTCCCAATCGGGGGGAACCTCCTGGATGTCGATGTCGAGATTACATACCTTACCTGGTAGGAAGGCAAGAGACAGGGCAGCCACATGCGTACCTCCCCATCGCATGACGATCCAGCAACGCGAACCCGGTAATTTCGATCGAACCTGTCTGTTTTTTCGTCTGCTGTGCCGCGCCAGGGATCTTTTGAGGAATCGCGTGTGAGAAAAGTAGAAAGTAGACAGGTACAAAGGAGCGGGATCCTTCTTCACCATCCCCCCCTCTTTCTCTTCCAGGAACAGAAACACAGTTTCGGACAACGTCAGCCGAATCCTTCGTGAGCCTTATCATGAATAAAGAACCCAAATCCAATTTGAAAACAACAAGACGAAGGTTAATCGGTTTCACTGCTGCCTAGGTACTTAACTATGGAATCTTGGTCTGTTGTCTTAGTCCAATGATTCCATACATAGGTACAATTCCTTCCTTCCCTCCCCCCTCCCCTTTTCCATCTCGTCTTGCGACGAGCTCTTCGTCTCAACCTAGGGGATCCTCATGTATTCAGCTACTTACCTCACCTACCTACCTTAGCACCTACCTTAGTCTACGAAATGCGGTTGCAATTCCGAAAGATCAGCGGGTTCCATAGAAAAAATGCAGAGTGATATATGCCCGTTGGCACATTTATTGGGCCGCTAAGATGAGACCATGAGGCCTCGCGGCACTCATCCACATACCTATTTCGACAAGTGGGTATGTAGGTAGCTACAGTGAAATCCCCAAACCCTTGTTACCAATACGTAAACCAGAAGAAATTCCGCATGTTATTCTTTTTGCCTAGGTACCTAAGTATACAATTTTGTTTTCTTCATTCCTTTTTCGTAGGGTAGTCCTGAAGATTCTTCACATGAAGTGGAAATGCCATAGCCCCCCCTCAAAAGGGCCAACCGGATTTAGCGGGTGGGAGGGGAGAAAAAGAAAAGGGGGGGGACAAGATTCTCAGGGGGCAGTGTTACCTACCTAGTCCTGAATCACATGTTGCTCAGCCGGCACGCCCGCCTTCCATCTATACGTCGAGGCGACGTGCTCGTCCAGAGGACCGGACTGGCCCGGCTTCTGGTAGAAGTTCTCCCTGTAGGTGCCCCCAGGCACCGCGTAGTCGTCCCAGAACAGACCCCGGCGGCGCAGCTCGGGGAGAAGTAGCTCGATGATGTCCTTGAAGGACTGCGGGAAGAGCGCGTAGGCCTAGACACGGACTGTAAACATGTGTGTTCTCCTCTTTATGTCGAGGGGGGGTGTTATGTAGACAGGCAGACAAGCAGATAGGTAGAACTTACGAAATTGAACCCATCAACATCCGCCTCAGCAACCCAGGTCTCCAGCCCATCAGCAACCTGTGAAGCTGTGCCGACGAAGATGGGGCCGTTTCCGCCAATGGCCACATGCTCCGCGATCGTGTGCTTGGCCCACTTCGCAGTTCCCGGCGAGAACCTCGCGTAGCCCTCCACCGTTGATCTGGACTACGTCAGCAAATAGAATACATTTTCTTCCTACCTACCTACCTACCTACCTAGGTAGGTACCTCGAAAAGGGGGTAGGTAGGGGGATAGGGGCAGGCAGGCAGCACGCCCAGCCCAACGCTCAACTCACCTCACCGCATTACTCTCCACCTCCCTCAGCTCCTCCTCGTCGCCAAACTGCCCGAGATCAATGCCCGTCCAGCCGCCAAACAGCGCCAGCGCGCCCTCGTGCGACGCATACCGACGATACTCCTCCAGCTTCGCCCGGGCCTCCTCCTCGGTGCTCCCCAGGATCGGCGTGACCAGCGCGAGGACCTTGATGTTTGCCGGGTCGCGGCCGAACTCCTCCCTGGCGAGCGCGCGCACCTCCGCGATGCTGTTCCTGCAGACCTCGGGCGCGTGGGCCGAGACGAAGATGGCCTCCGCGTTCTGCGCCGCGAACCGCTTCCCCGCGCGCGACGTGCCCGCCTGCAGGAGGAGGGGCGTCCGCTGCGGGCTCGGCTGGCAGATGTGCGGGCCCGGGACGCTGAAGAACTTGCCCCGGTGCGCGATCTCCCGCACCAGCTCCGGCTGCGTGTAGATCCCCGCCGCGCGGTCGAGCTTCACGGCGTCGTCGCGCCAGGATGACTCGAGCAGCTTGTAGATCACCTTTACGTACTCTTCGGCTTGCGCGTACCGGTCGTCGTGCTTTGTTTTGGAAGGTCTTTAGAGTTGTGTTCAAGGGGGAGGGGGGCAAGCATAGGTATAGGTAGTTAGGCAGGTAGGTGGGTAGGTAGACTTACTTTGGGTTGCTCGGTGAAGCCCATGTTCTTCGCGGCCGAGTCCAGGTAGCTTGTCACAATCTACACCGACCGTTTAGCTCATGGTCTCAATTTGCGATCTCGCGAGCTTTTCTTAGCTCACATTCCATCCTATGCTATATCGTACGGTCAGCTGATGATGAACTACTTCAAAAATTAGGGGGCCTGGAGAAAACATACCGTCCTTTGCTAAGGTGATCAAGCGTCGATAGGCGCCTGGCAAAGTGGTAGGGCTGCTCGTAGGTGGTGGACGCCGTGACGCCGAAGCCAATGCTCTCCGTCACCGCCGCCATGGCCGATATGATCGCAAAGGGGTCGTTCACCGGCCACTGCGCCCCCGAGATCTTGGCGGGGTCCAGGGACTTGTTGTAAACATCGTACCCCCCTAGTCGTCGCAGTTAGTGATTGTGAAATGAGACTTCAGGAGTAGGTATATCCAACCAAGAACATCGGCAATGAAGATGCCGTGGAATTTGCCCTTCTCAAGCAGCTTTGCTAACTCGACCCAGTGAGAGATCTCATTGAACCGCCAGGACTCATCATCCGGGTGTCTCCATAGTCCGGGGGACTGATGCCCGCTGCCTGAGATGTGTATTAGTAAGTGAATTTCATTACTAGGTACCCAGATAGTGGTAACTTGTGTAGGTAATTAATTGACTTACACATCTCAACGAAGGCATTGAGCACGAGGCTCTTCTTTGGTTTCGTACTGCTACTCATTTTCTCTGCTATATCTGACTGGCTTACCTAGGTATGTAGTAGATACTATGTAACTTGTTCAAATTACTTAACCAACCCAGCTATCGGCGAGAACCGTAGTTCTATTTCAATAGCGACACATCTCTGGCAACATTGAAATCAAGAAATCGCTAGTTCAACATAGGCTCCGAATGCCGGCGACTATGTCCGACGAACTACTGTACTTGTCCTTGCATAGTTCCGGCAATTCATATTGGTTCTCTGGCAAATTCTGGCGATTCTGATAGACTATAATCACGCAACGCGAACAAGGCGATCACGCAATAGGGGCTTGCGCGGGGTTCTCCCCAATACAGGTAGCACGCGATATTCGATATACTACGTACTCCGGTGGAAGGAAATGATAACCACCCACCTGTATAGGTGAACAAGGCGGGGAAAACTGATAGATGGATGGGAGATGATAGGTAAATCCCTATTGCCAGCGATTTTACTCGTTGATGAACTTATGATTTTTTGAAGGCTAAGCCATTGGTTCGCACATCATTTTCTAGTCTTGCATGAAATGTTCACCGAGTACTGGGTAGCTAGTAGGTAGGCAATTATATATTATGTACGTACCTAGTGTTTATACCTATTGAATGAAGAATTGTTGATGTCACTGTCGATAAAAAAGTACTTCACTGACTACCAGGTGGATAGGCATTTTCACCCATAGGTACTAGAGAGATACACAACCCCAACCGAGGCTTGTCGAATTAGGAGTAGATAAAATTGTCCCCAAGGTACTCACTCACCTAACCTAACTACCTTTGCCATCGACAGATCCCCCCTCTTCATACGGTGGATCTTCCTGATATCGGTCATACTTATACCTAGAACCGATATGGTCATCCCTTAGCCCCTTCTGCCCTTTTCCATAGATCCTTTCTCGCGCCGTCAACCTCTCCCCTTCCTCCGGCGGGTCGGGGTATATCCCACGTCGTCGTAGCTCTGGGATCAAGAGCTCCACCACCTCCTCGAACGTTCCAGGCGTGGTGACATAGCCAATGTTAAACCCATCCAGGTCCCCCTCGCGAATCCAGCGCTCCATGTCGTCCGCCACCGTCTGCGGGCCCCCTATCGCCACGTGCCCGAGGCCACCAATGGCTGCCTTCTGAGCGACCACGCGGGGCGTCCACTTGGGTATGTCCTCGCTGGTGGTGGTAAACGCATCCAGTATGCTGCGGACCTTGTGAGCTTCTAAGGAGTCCGCGGCGCTGATCTCCTGGTCTAGGGGGATCTTAGATAAATCGATCCCAGTCCACCCACTGACCAGAACCAGGCCCCCGATCACTGAGGCGTATTTTTGCAGCTCCGCGTACTTCTCACGCGCCTCTTCATCTGTACGCCCGATGATAGGGGTGTACGTTGCGAAGAACTTCAGCGAACGCGGGTCTCTGCCCTGAGCAGCGGCCAGCTCCCGAATCTTGGCAATCTTCGGCCGGAGAAGAGTAGCTGAGTGAGAGGACACGAATATGGCCTCCGCATGTGTCGCTGCAAACTCGGAACCAGCCGATGAAGTTCCAGCCTGGAAAAGAAACGGGGTCCGCTGAGGCGACGGATCAACAATGTGTCGCGTGTTCAGCGTGAAGTATTTCCCCTTGTGGTTGATGTTGCGGATCTTGTCTGGGTCCGCGTAGCTGTCGTTCTCTGGGTCAGGGGCTACGGCGTCGTCCGCCCATGATCCCTCCCAGAGTCTAAATATTCTCTGAGTCTCACTGTGCACCTGGTAATGGTGGCTGGTTTCTGTGGCTTACTTGTATAAAACTTTCAGGTACTCGTCGGCCTGACGGTACCGCTCATCGTGCTCGATGGGAGTGTCGAGCCCGATGGCTTTGAAGGCGGCCTTTTTCCAGGAGGTGACAATATTCCAGCCAAACCGACCCCCGGTAAAGTGATCCAAAGTAGAAAAGCGCTTCGCTAGCAAAAAAGGAGGCTCGAAAGAAGTTGAAGCGGTGATGGCAAATGACAAGTTTTTCGTCACAGCTGCCATCGCCGCGATAGGCTATGATGCAATACCAATATTTAGTCACGTTAGATGTGGTTTTGGGTGTTACTCCAATGAACATACGATGGTCGGGTCAGTTATAGGCCATTGGGCCGCTCGCCGGATACAGTTGTCGAGGCTGCCCTCGTAAGTGTCGTAACCTCCGTATGTATCAGCGAGAAACAATGCGTTGAATCCTCCCCTATCTAGCAATTTTGCCAGCTCTATCCAGTAGTCAAGATTGCGCTTTGTGGCCGACTTATCCACGGGATTCTGGTGTACTATTAGTTCAGTGTCTTCATTAGGGGTCATAACGCTCACCTTCCACTGGCCCGGCGAGAGGTGGCCAACGGTGGACATGTCAAATGCATTCAATAAAATTGGTTTCTTTTCCTCCGAAGATGCCATTTTGAAAGAATTTCAGCGTGTATTGACTTTGTGTGAATTCCTATATGTTTTAGCTATTTAGGAGCCTGACATGCTCGAAAGAATAGCTGGGTGAATTCAACATCCATAGATGATCACCTCACATTATGTATAAGCCTGTCTTGCGATGATGCATGAACTTACACCTATGACGATAAGTATAATCCGACACTGTCTAAGTATCGCCCCCGAAACAGTAGGGAGCACATGGCGTTATCCACGGGGTGTTTGTTACCGGATGTCCTATTGCGGAGGTGCAAAGAGGCGGGGGCTATTGCGTGCTTCACGTCTAAGAAGACGTTGTAAGTAGGTAGGCGATACGGCATAATGGAACACGATAACGCGTTCTAAGATAACCTCATGCAAGTGGTTATAAGTCTTTAGATCTGGCCAACTCATGAAATCGAGAAGATGAGAAACTAAATCAATCGAATTTTTCTCTTTTTCTGCCAAACAACCTTGGAAGTCTCATTCATTCACTTTTCAACATGGCCACCGCGGACTTGGAGCAGATAGTTAGCGTGAATGGCTCAGAACCACCTTCATCGGTACAGGAGGGTTTAGAAAAAAAGACCAATGGCGTGAAAGTACCCATAGTCCAAGAAGTGAAAGAGACAGTTAATTCTTTACCTGTGGAACACAAGTTCCCCGACAACTATCCTTTGCCGAGCATCTCATTAGAACAGCGCTATATTGACGAACCAAGAGCATTACGGGTTGCAGTTGTCGGCGCAGGTCTCGCCGGTGTCCTGGCCGGAATACTTCTTCCTCCCAAAGTTCCAAATTTAAAATTGACCATATTCGAGAAAAATGCCGACGTGGTAAGTGATAGTGTCGATAGCAAAAACGAGTTACCCTATTGCTAACCGAATCCAGGGTGGTACATGGTTCGAGAACATCTACCCCGGTGTTAGATGCGACGTGCCAGCACACGTTTATCAAAGTAGCTTTGCTCCAAATACCAATTGGACTGAGCAGTTCGCACAGGGTGCCGAGATCAAGGCCTACTGGCAGGGACTGGCTCGGAAGTACAATGTGTACGACTATCTAAAGCTATCTCAGAAGGTAGAAGAACTGAGATGGGACGAAGCGAAATCGGTGTGGAATGTGAACGTACACAATCTTACTACGGGAGAAATCTCCAGTCAGGAGTTTGACTTTGTGCTGACAGCCATTGGCCGCTTCAATGCCTGGAGACTACCGGATTATCCTGGTATCAACGACTTCAAAGGTGTTCTTCGGCACGCCTCCAACTGGGATCCCAACTTTGATCCAAAAGGGAAACGCGTCGCGATCATTGGAAATGGAGCAAGTGGTCTTCAGTTGACAGCCAATTTACAAAAGCAGGTGAAACACCTGGACCACTATGCCCGGAATAAGACCTGGGTGGCAGCCTCTTTTGCGGGCGATGAGACTTCTATCGAGCCCATCCGTATATCCCCCGAACTCCAAGAGTCCTTCAAAGACCCCAACGAATACATCAAGTATCGGAAGGCATTAGAGTCCAAGTACTTCAGAGGGTTCTCTAGCTGGCTCAAGGGATCCGATTTGAACGAGAAATCTCGCCAAGAGTTTATCGATATTGCAAAGAAACGTTTGGCGAAGAAGCCTGAGCTGCTCGAAAATATCTTCCCCGACTTCTCGCCGCATTGTCGACGACTCACACCAGGACCAGGCTACTTTGAAGCCATTACAGAGGATAACGTTGATTATATCCAGACGCCGATAAAGCGCTTCACAGAAACTGGAATCGAGACCACCGACGGCAAACACCGCGAGGTTGACGCCATTTTCTGCGCCACTGGAGCAAATGTAGACATGGTCCCACCATTCAGCATCTGGGCTCATGGTAAGGACCTCGCGAAGCTCTGGGACAAGGGCGGCGAGTACGGATTCCCGTACAACTACCTAGGCGTCTCAACACCGGGCTTCCCAAACTTGGGATTCATTCACGGCCCGCACGGGTCAGGTCGTTCTGGGACGGTGCCTCACAGTGTGGAAGTTCAGGTGGCGTACATCGCGAACTTGCTTCGCAAGGTCAGTCGCGAGGGGATCAAGACAATCCAGCCATCCAAGAAAGCTACAGACGACTTTATACAATACTCGGACGCTTTCTTCGACACTACCGTCTTGTCCGAGAACTGCAGCTCCTGGTACAACAGCGGTAAACCGGGAAGTAGGATTCACGGTCTGTGGCCGGCCAGCGCGTCGGCGGTGAGCATCATTTATCGCAACCCGCGGTGGGAGGACTGGGAATACGAATACCTGTCGGAGACTGGAAATAGGTTCGCTTGGTACTTGGGAGTTGGATCAACTAAGAAGGAACAAGATCCCGATGCCGACGTGACAACATACCTTAAGCACCCGGAGAGTGTTGACTTGCGAGATGTGTACGAGAGTTGGTGGGATCAACTTTGAATAATTGTTGATTGTAAGAAGTTTTCAAGTTTTAGTCGAAATAGTTAAATGCAATTAGATTTAATAGGGTGTAGGTGCTGTTAAGCCTGTAAGCTGCTACCCAGCAAGGTAAAATACAGGGAACCATCCATGCCCATCTAGGTACTGTAGCCCCGGAGCTTGGGGCTTACATAGCACCTCCAGGGCTACCATTTAACAACTGTATTGTACAAAACTTTTATACCTAGTAGTTAACTAATTAGTTACTACTTAACTAATCAAAACTTCAACCCGGCATCTCAAACACACTCCTATACCTCGAATCCGGCGAGGGGAAAATACCATCACCCCCCGTCGGATTCGGACTCATATAACCACCAGTCATCGTACTTACCGTTCCGCGGTGCGACACAGGTCCCGACGCATCTAGCTCTGAACTCGGCCTCAGATGGTTGTGGTATCCCGGCGGTGTCCGCGCCTCGAGCTCCGCCTTGGGCAACACGTGCGGAAGCTGAACCGAGCTGCCCTCCAGCTCCGGCTTATCGCCTAAAATCCCCCCTGTCATCGTCATCGTCATCAGAAGAGGAGGAGGAGGAAGGGTGGGATCCAGCGCGTCAGGCTTATATTCAGATGTAGATTCGGGACCATCCCCCCCACTCCCACTCCCAACCCCATTTTCCTCCCCCTTCTTCTTCCGTCTGCGGCGGTACAGCAGGATGAAAGCCCCCGCACCCAGGAGCATCACGAGCAGAACCACGCCAACCGCAATGCCCGCCACCGCGCCTTTCGACAGAGCCGGCGCAGCAGCACTGTCAATGGCATCACCATCACCATCGCCAATCCCAGAAGAAGTCTGCTGCGCATCCGACGAACCACCACTCCCACCCCCCTCCGCCGTCGCCTCCGCCGTCGCCACCATCGTCAGCTGCAGCGGGAACACACGGTGATAGATCGTCGCCCCGTTCTCCTTCGCCTCGCTCGTCACGCCCGCCGGGTACGTGTAGTACTCGCCGCGCGTGAGGTCCGTGAACGGCGGGTCCCAGGTCATCCAGATGTTAGTCGCCTCGGTCATGACGCTCTGGCAGTGGCGTCCGGGCACGCCAATAGCCTCCGTGGCCGTGCACTCCCAGCCGCCGGGCGGACAGCACCAGGCCTGGGGGTAAGTCCCCTCAGCGCCGCCGTCGCCCGCGTTGATCTCGGCCGTGATGGTCGTCGTGCACGCCGTCGTCCAGCCGGACACGCACGCCGTGCCGGGGTACGCGCGCGTCGAGCCGCCGTCGCTCTCGGTCGGGACGCCCGGGATCCGCGGGTCCATCTCCGTGACGAGGTTGTCGAAGAGCGTGTAGTAGCCCGGCGGGAGGCACTCGGGCCGGTACCCGATCTGCCGCGGTTCCGACGCGTCGAGCTTGTTCAGCGCCTGGCACGGCATCCCCGACAGCTGGTGCCCACCCTGCGTGTAGAGCCAGTACGTCAGGAACGGGCAGTACACCGACAGCGCGCAGTCGGCGTCCGCCGGCGGCGTGAAGGGCGTGGTTTGCGGCGGCAGCGTGAGCGGGGCCGTCGTCGATGTTGTGTTTATTGGTGTGGTCAGGAAGCTGGCCCCATCGATCGTTGATGCTGATGTCGAGGAGGTGGACGCCTTGCTTGTTGTTGGTGATGTCACGAACGAGGCCAGCCCGCTTGCCGCGGTAGATGGCATGGTTGGATGTGCTTATCTCCTCAGGACATACATATACATATAAACGACAAACCTCTTAGAAGCCAAATTTCTTATTTACAGGATATATAGTAAGTAGGTAGGGGAGGTAGGCATGCGTAAGGGTAGGTATGTATGTATGGATGGATGGATGGGAGGCTTCGTGATATGTACTCAGGAACCGGGTACCGAGGGCCCATAGCGTAACAGCATTTACCCTTCTTCTTTATGTTTGATCTCCGTGTTCATGGCGCAGACATATGCAACCTCCCTCCAACAACCACAACCACACACACCACCGCCATTGTAGGCTCGCTCGGCTGCCCAATTTTATGATCTCCTGTACTAGGTGATAGCCAATGCCCCGTCGCTTCTAGCCGACACGATTGATCCTACCTGTCTATTTTTTAATAATATCAGGAGCCTTTTCTAATAAGATAGGTACAATACCTACCCAGGTAGGTATGTATGCAAGTATGTGTAACCTCGGGCTAACATGCATATGTATACTAAAAACACCACGAACTGCAGTTGGGGAGGGGATCCGTCATCTATCAAACTAAGCCCACCTAGTACCTATGAGACAGAGGAAGAAAAAAAAAGGGACGGGGTGAAAAAAAATATTGAAAAGAGCAGCCACATGTATTTAGCAAATTTTCAGCCTGTTTCATGGTAATAATACTCTGGCCCAACATTTGTGCACCAACAGCGGATTGGCAAAGGCAGGGTAGACAGGGGTAAGAAAGGTGAATACTGAACACTCAACTCGCATGAACCCATATTCAATCATACCTTAACCTGGTAGGTATTCAATCACAATGTGATAAAAAGCGAGTGATATTGTGTTACCATTCTCATGGGAATCCATATCAACTCAAAATGACAGGTTCTAATCACCATCCATAAGATATATACCTAGGTATATGATGATTAGTGACCCAATTCGGCGAAACAAAGAAATCGACAGTTCGCAAAGTTGGATAGGTAGGTAAGTACCTAATGAATGCTTGTAATTCAGTGAAGGGTATAATAAATGCTAACACCGTTCCGAATGCCCAAATAGACACCCCCCTTTTCTTCCCCCAATAACCTCCCAGGTATGTAGGTACTTTACCTGTCTACCTAACCTAACCTAAATAAAATAACCATTTTCTATAAAAATATTTATGCCAGCCCACCCCCCGAGGAACACCCCTTTTCCTTACCCTACCTAGTAGATAGCTACCCAAAGAGCGCCCGCACCGCACCATCACAAGCACACCAGCAAAACGACCCGCCCCACTAATTCTCCTTCTGCCTCCTCTCATGCTCCCAGATCCTCAGCGCCGACACCACCGCCATGATAGCCCACCTCTCGCCCAGCACCCCGGGCGTCCTCCCACTTCCCAAAAACTGAAACTTGAGCTTCTTGGTGATGCTGCCGACGGCCCAGCACCACGCCGCCACCACCTCCTTGCCATCACTCGACATATCGCCACCGCCCACAAAAGTAGCGGCGGACGATGATGATCCACCTCCTTGACCTGGACCCTCCAGCCCGCTCGGCGGCCCCGTCGCCAGCCGCACCAGCTTCCACCCGGACGTCTTTCCGCCGAGCTGGCTGACGGCGCCGCCGCGCGAGTGTCGCCACTCGAACGTCTCGCGGCGGTTGCCCGGCCCCGTCTCGATCGTGAACACGTACGTGGTGCTGCCGAAGCCCGAGGAGGCCGGCTCCAGCCTCTCCTCCGCCCCCGTGCGAGTCCCCGGACAGCCCGGCGGCGGCGGTAACGTGATGATCGCCGACGAGCTGAAGGACTCGCGCTGGAAGGCGGCGAGCACCGGGTGGTCCTCGGTGGGCCCGTTGTGCAGCACGAGGTCGGGCTGGCCGGAGAAGCCGCTGTGGAAGGAGAGGGCGTAGAGGGGGCGGTCCTGGTGCTCGCCTAGCACGTAGCGGCGGTCCATGAAGCTGGACACGTTGTACATGTTGAAAGAAGGTGGGAATTGGCGCGACACGTGCGTTGCTGGCGCTGATGTTCGACGAGAAGAAGAAGCCGGCATATGCGTATGCTGCTGGTGGCCCAGCGAAGCGGATCGGGTTTGTTGTTGTTGTGGTTGTGGCGGAGCATTTTGCTGTATGGCTTCCGTGTACGAGGGAGGAGGGTTGAGGTCTGCGTCTGATGGCTTGGAGTGGGATTTCATATTGGAATCTCTACTAGAGTAACGAGGTAGGTAGGCGGCTGATGTGTTGTCATATAGCTGCTAATTTGTAGGCTGAAAGGTGAATGGTGAGTTTAAAGAGTTCAACATTGAATGTGATACGTATGGTTAATCGAAACGAAGCAGCCGAAGTTAAAGGATTACTTTAAGTAGGACAGCTGCGGCGAGTCATACAAGCCTACATACAACCCTAAAGAACTGCCGCATAATTATTAACGTCGTATGATAACGATACTATCGATTGTTTGTTTGTGTTCTTGAGTAACGCGAACCACCAAGCACCTGCCTACTTAGAATACGTACATGTATGCAATAGTGCATACCTAGGTACATACATGTAACTACGGAGAAGTTGATGTGGGAGGGGTTCGAGGGGTGTTACTACCTAGAACCTTGTACAATACCGATATAGCTGAGGCATTTCATATCCACTTTTCTAGCTAAAGCATGTACTAATGTTGTACAACTTCAACTAATTCTTTGGAGAATACTTCCTTGAACTTCCTTCTCCCTTTGAACTTTGCCCCTTCGGAAGGCGGAGAGCACATTTACCTACTAACCAGCTAACCTAGCAGCCCTATGCACTGGCAGTTAGGTGCATAACATCGTTGACACTACTACTAGTGTACGCTATAATACCTAGTCTATAAGTCCATACGTCATAGTTCACGAAGGCAAACGCAGTTCAAGCCATCGCTATAGCTAGCTAGCTATCTAAGCACATGCACATGTTTGCTTTTGGTGGTGAAGCATCACACCGCGAATCTAAGATATTGAGAAAACTAGGGAAATCAAATTAGGTAGGTAGTTATGCTATCATGATAGTTTTGGGGTTAAGTATACATATTAAACAGGGCATTTTCCAGTAGGGTATAGTTAGGCATAAAGGGCCCATAGGGCTATGGAGTTGAAAGTCCATATCTTATTAAGTAGGTAAGTATCAACGAGTTGGTCATGGTTGTCAACCTCCGCAACCATCCTTCTCCATTTTGTGAATGCATCGAATGCATAGGGGTATAATGCGAAAACCATCCACCGATATCTCAGGCTCTACGCCTCGCTGCCCACTTTGGGCCAACACCACCGCTCATCGAAACACAAAGGGAACTCCAATGCTAAACTAGACCTTTGTCGCGGTCTGAACGATGCCGAGTAAAGCAAATAATGCGAAAGGCCAATGTCGTGGCCTAGGCCTATTAACCGGGCCAGCCATGCCAGTAGTAGAACAGCCCATCCCAACATGAATTCTAGAATGTGGCCTGCTTTTTTTCCCACACCCTAGAAATCGCAGTGGTCGACGGAAGGATTTTGTTGTGTATTAAGAGATGCTTGACTAAGCGGATCAAGGGCGCGGACTATTCCCCTAACTCTTCTGCTTACTCTGGTGCCGCCTGTATTCTAATTGCACCAGGTCCATGAATCCCTGTTCATCCTTAATAGGAACCCAGGATGTCAAGGACTTCATGGCGTTCTCGAAATCGGAATCTAGCAGCGAAGGTCGAAGAGTGTCAATAATGGCGAGACTGGTTGCGTGAAGAATTTCCAAGCCCTTAGACGATGGCTCTTCCGGAGCAGCCTTGCCTGGGACGGGTGTGGTGGCACGAGGGTTCGGCGAAGAACCGAGCAACATGAATGCATCCCATACGCGAAGTTGGACTGGAAAGGGTATCGATAAGTTGAAAAGAGTGAGATACCACTTCGTAGCGTAGGCGGTCGGATCGATGCAGAGCTCAGACTTGTAAGGGTTAGTTACAGTACATAGGTATGAATGTGAACGAAGCATGGATAAACTTACAAGCTTCGTAGCAACGTCTCTATTGCCCAACCAATCCTTTTCGAAGTCCTTCAAGGCACCAAGAAGCTCGACAAACTCGGATGAGTACAGCCGATTGAGACCGCGATGTTTCCAGAGCCGTACAAGCATTATGAAGCATCTTTCCTCGTCGAAATAGCTAAGAAATGTTGCTGCGAGGGGAGCCATGCCCTGGACATACCCTACCTCGGGGAAATAAAGAGATAAGGCATGAAGTACCCGGAAGAGGAGTCGCTGGCCACCACGGTATCTTCGTCGAAACATGATGTGTTGGTTGATGGTCCTGGGTACATCTAAGTCGATTTGTCCGTCATCGGGTGATGGGCATTCAAGCAGTCGATAAAACTCGACTGCGATTTGTTCGTCTGTAGCAAATGGTTCGTTGCTGGCGTGGGCGCTAGAGGTGAGGAAGGAATACCAGGCTGCTGCTCGCCAACAGTCGGGGATACCCTTCCACACCCGTTGGGCCAGCTTCGGATGCTTCAAGTCAAACTCGAACATCATGCCTTGTCCCTCCTCGCCAGGCCTTATGATCTTAGCCATCCTCCGCCATTTCTCTGCTCGCTGCATTTCTTTCATCTTCGCCTCGGCTATTTTCTTTCCAACTAATCCATCGTCATCGGTATGTGATAAGCCTGGAGGTGATGCAAGAACATCTCCAGCTTCATCGATCAGTCTTCTATCTCTATTGTGTGGCAATAAGTTTGTGGCCTGGCGCATAGTCGAGAGAGCGGAACGGCGCGATATGGTAGAAAACTCCGACGCCTGTGTGTGCAAAGAGTGGGCTGACCCCTTTCTACGGGGACTGTTCTTATTAATGCCCAACGAGTGTGATGTTGCTTCCCTACGAACGAGAACGTTTCGCTGCTTGCGAAGCGAAAAGTGAACGGATGTGGTTTCGTATGAGGTGCTCGGTCGAGGGTTTGGTGGCTCTTGAACAGAGATAAAACCATAACGATCGACATCTGCACCGTGGACTCCCTCCCAATCTTCAATTCCACCTGCTAACTCATATTCGTGTCGTGGATCTCTATCTGGTAGCGACGAAGTAGAAGCCGAGGTTTGAATAGGGCGTCCATCCGGGTCGTTTGACCTGTAAAAAGATGTGATTTGTCAGTATGATCAAAGATAATGGAATTGGATCGATAAGGAAACCGTACGCATCATTCTCATTCACTTCAGTTGGGTGCTCTGCTTCGGGCTGGACACGCTCATCGATTGATGAGCGCCTCGCGCCGTCCTCCCAGTGGAGACCTTCACCGGATTCATAGAGCGATCTCACCTTTTGAGATTCCTTCTCGGCATCAGCAGTTATAAGCCGGACGCTGGGCGGTAGGTGACGCGGCGAGGATGGCGAGGATGGCGGGCTACTTAGGGGTTCGGCATTATTATTGGCATTAACATTGTCGGTTGCCCCTGAAGTTGTGGCGGTTTTAGCGCTGATTGAGTTGGCAACGGCGTCGGTGTCGGCGCTCTGTTCTCGCGCAGGTACTAGAGCAAAGGCGCGTGGCGTTCTAGTTGATTCAGAAACGATATTCTTGTTGGCAACGCCAGTATCTTGTGCGGCCATGGCGGTGGCGACGTTTCTCGTAGATCTGCGCGAATGCTTACCACCAAAGATGAGGCTACCGCGCTTAGAGAAGGACAACTGGGTCATAAAATCATCTTCCAAAAGACTCTCGGTGGGGATAGTGGTTGATATAACTGGAGAGTCATGGGGGTCAGGTAATGGCGACAATCTACCGCTAGGGGATTTAGGCGCCAAGCTACTCTGTTCATTTAGTGGATAACTGGGGTAATCCGCGCACGAGCCACCATCACTTCCCATCTTCTTCCTTAAACGCTTCATCTTTGGTATTGACGTCTTGGACGAATTCGATCGTAAACTGAAGCTTCTGACAAACCTTTTAGAAAAATTCATAGGAGGTGTTGTGGGTGAATTTGGTGAAACTGTGTCGCCATCCGAAAGTGCTGGAGAAATTGAAGGTGCGCTAATTCTGCTGTTGGATTCACTGACTCGTCCCCCTTCACGCCCATATAGAGATGGTGATGCAGACCGGATTTTTAGTTGGAGGGGTTTAATACCGCCAAATCTATGATGGACGTTTTCGTACGTAAAAGGATCCTCGTCGTCTGTCTCACTATCTTCACGAATGGTCCACGAACTTGGTGTTGTCGGCGAATGAACAGAATCCCGTTTTCCAGACTCGCTAACTCTTCGTGGAGATGTAATGGTCCTTAATGCCGGATGCTGCTCAGTGGGAGGAGCAGGACGAGGAGGTGGCACTACAACAGGATTGCGGGTAGTGCTGCACGATATAGGGCGAGGCGGCGGGCGGCGCGAAGACCGAGGTGGTGGTATTGGGATTGGTGGCTCAGCCTGGACGGTTTGATCGTATCGCAAGCCGACCAATTTAGAGTCATCCCTAAAAGGAACGAGGCTTGACGATTTACTGCTCTTGTACCGGACACTTGCATTCCTAAGTGGCATTGGTGGCGGTACATATACCGCAGTTGGTGTAACTCCGAACATTATTTGGTATGTATCTGACCTGACTAGGTTCAATCAAATGTTTGTGAGTGAGGATTAGGTAAGTACTCAGGTACCTGATAAGGCAGGCGGCGTTCGAAATAGAAAGTGTGCGCAGCGTTGACAATGATTAATGCCACACCTCAGGTACTCAGTATGAGTATGTCGTGTCTAGTAACACCGAGAGTGAAAACGCTGTTAACAACCGTAATAGGGCTTGACAAGCTGCGGTTAGATTTTCCCCTTTCTTTCCTTTTCCGTTTCTTCCTCTTTTCCTAGACCGTTGAACAACGAAACAGGTTTACCATTCAATATCTTTCTCGGGATGTGGACTCCCAGCTGTTATGAGCCACAGAGTCACAACTTGGAATATTGATGGCTAGCCTTGTCGAAGGTCTTAAGCCTCCTCCACCACTTACACAACTGCGGCTGTGGGTAGTAATAAGTGTTAGCGTGATTTCATTTTAGGGAGTTATGAGTGTTCAAAGGAAAAAAAAAACGTGATGCTAACAAACAGGGCGTTGACAACTTTAGAACTTCAAATTGGAAAAATGTGAAAAGCATGGGTCATCACACAATAGCAACATGAAATTGAAATGATTGCAAACTCAAAGCATGGGCTCGGACAGATGAAAGTAGGAAATTATAAGTCAGTAGCGACTTACACAGATGCGGTCGTGGTTGTGGTCGTGGTTGCCGTGTATATAAACCTATATCTCTTACTAAGGAAGGCGTAGTCTGGGGTAGGGTAAGGTAAGGTAAACTTGGAAGTTTGTACTACTAGTAGGTAACTAGTACGATACGTATTTGGAATATCAATCTTCAATCTTCAATCTTCACTCTTCACTCTTCACTCTTCATTCTTCATTCCCACTCTTAATAATGCAAGCAGGCGCTGCTTGCTTTAATATGTTTGTCTTGGGAAACATCCCTATATATCTTTCGAGCCACGGTTCATCTGATCTAGCCAGCATGTATTAATGCAAGAGTGGATGTGTCGTGGCGGCAGCAATTCCATTGGGATCTTGTCCGATACCCTACCTAGTACTACTTACATACTCACATTCTACATGTAACTATGCATGTGTATGTATACTATGTATACTATGTATGCTATGTATGCTATGTATGCTATGTATAGCTATGTGTATATGTATGTACCTACTCAACTACATACAATTGATACCTACCTACATGCAGTGCATACTTACATGTACCAGGACGCGGAAGGCGTCAATAGAAGCGATGCACATCATCAACTTACAACCACCCATTACCGTTTCTCCCAATTGGTCAGGCAAGAGAGACACAGTTCCCACCCTTCCCAGCTGGTCCACTACAAGGCTCAGATTGGTTAAGGCGTAGTACAGTACACATACAACGCTCAATTCTGGCCCAGACCGATAATTGAATCTAAGGCTAGAGCGGTCACGCATAGCTTCCTCCCGTTTGCTACTTACATAGCAGCTAACTACATGTGTAGCTGGTTCTTGTAATACACATACTCGATGTGGAAATATGGCGGTCTGTATATCTACTACCCTGGTACATGTAGGCCGTCGGGTATGCATATACGTACATAGTACATATAACTATAGCTTGTCCACTTCATCCGTCTATTGATATTCCAGTTGACGAATCAAGCTTAAGTACTTGCTTGCCAGAAAAAAAAAGGGTTGACCCTTTATGTACTACTAGTAGTAAGTACTAACTACATATCTGTATCCAATGCTTTGGTATTACCCAAGAGACAACATTGAAAAATTCAAAGATGACAGATGTGAGAGAATCAAAGCCGATTTAGGATTTCCCTCCCACGCTTGTGATCCTACAACAAGACTAGCTAATGAACTATGTATGTATTTGAGTCCTATATATCTCTGTGTGTGTCTTCATTTGATATCAAAGTGTCCCTAGTGTCTTCGTCCTTGATCCTCACCCGCACCCCCGCAAGACTCTATATACGTAAATCATCCACTCCATGACGGTAAATAGGAGACCCCCATCCCGGTTGCTATGCCTCCCTCCGCCTGTCCGCAATGCGTAAGGTTTCCTGATCGATAAAACAGGTGGTTAAGCCCATCGCTCCGTTTATCCTATAAAGCGAGAGAGAGTGAGAGGGAGAGGGAGAGAGCCCCACGCCAATTGGAGGTGAAGAAACACTCACGGACCGGATGTTTGAAAATCGGTAAGTGGCTGGCCCCATCTAGTTATAATTGGCTCCTCTTAGGCGATGGGATAACCCAGGGATCGACCACGGGTTAGCCGAGTCGGGACTAACGGAGGGTAAACTGAAGAATGAATGGAAAAAAAGAAAAGGGTTGGCCAAGGAAAGAGCACAACCGATTTTCACGATAACTCCATAAGTCCATCCTACCTACATACATACATACACATACTTCCACCACTCCATCTACCTATTATGTAGCTATCCTCCTCCTCCTCCCCTCCGTCCCCATTCCGACGCATGATTCCGTAATATCAAAGACATCCAACGACTTCTCCAATACGACGACATAGTGAATGGCCACCACATCCTTCTTTTGCGGGGTTTTATACGTCACTCTCGTATGTGAGTCTTATGTCTTGTGTGTGAGTATCAACCAGAGGTAGGATGTTATGTATGTGTAAGTTCTAGACTGAAGAAGCTTCTTCCATAGGTATGTAAACGGCCACACCAAAATAATACCTAGGTACCTACCTACCTACCTACCTACCTAATAATGATAATCCCGCGGGACCTCGACTCCGACATCGACTACATACATACATACATACCTACCTACCTGTATACCCTAACTTTAGTAGCACTTGTGATCAAATTCCAATGTTGACGTGGCCATTTTAGCCAGCCTATCCGAAAAGATCTGAAGGACCCTAAATGGTGATAAAAATCCCGCGCGGGGTGAAAGTCTCTTCTCTACGTATATAGACCTAGGTCGGCTTACATACATACCACCTGACTACATAGCAATGTAGTATTGTTTATTAACTTTCACATTCAACATTCAACGCTGGAAATTCGGACGTGTAATACACTAAAATTAGAAATGAGCACTGCCTGTCTCTATTACCATATAGCAGTGCTAATAATTAGCTTCTAGAAAGCCTAGAGAGCACATCCCAATTAATAACTTGAACCTACCTAGGCAATAACACCTTCAGTGTTATATAAAATACCTAGGTAGGTAATAGTAGTAAGTACTAACCTAGGTAACTAACCCATGTCACAGCTTTACATACTTGGGCTGTTACTTGGTTCTCCAGTGGGACCCAAAAGGTCGGTGTTACTTACATATGTACGTGCCAAGCACGAACGCAACCCTGAACTTATGTATATCGAAAAGGAACATCGAAAAAAAGAAAAAGGAAGAACCACCGAAGAGAAGAAAAGCCAAAACCACCTAGGTAGGATTGGGCGGACGTGGCTAGGCAGTACCGAACAGGACAGTTGGCAATCACGGCGCCCTGCATTTGGCCTGACCGCATTGTAGAAAACAAATTCACATCGTAGTCCCTGAACAATTATTATTGGTAACTTGGTGTGAACAAGGCCCACTGGACAACCATCCATGGGTGCCATTTCTATCTACTGTGTAGGTAGGTAGTAGGGAGCAGGAACCTTGAAGGCAGGCAGGCTCTACATAGTTATCTTGAGGTTGAACACACATGTGCAGTTATTAGAAAGGCTAGGGAAACCTATTTTGTCTTCCTTTCTTCCCCCTGTCTGTGCATGGAGTATTCATCTTCACAATTGATATCCCGCCAATGGCCATTTCCATCGTGTCTAGCACTCTACGGCTAGATGCATTAGTGTAAGCTTTCTGGTCGTCTTACTGGCGTCATCTCACTCATCCCAATGCCTCACCCGAATGTTATGCACTCGAACATCCCTCGTTTGCCCCTGAACCATGTGCTCGTCCCTTGCAGCTTGCATATGGTTCATTACCGCATCGATAGTTTTCCTCGTTGGTGCCAACACGGCGGTATTCGGCCGGGTCAGCGTATTAGGTAGATAGGTAGTGATGAGTCAATTTCTCGTGCATGCTGTGTTGGCCCGAGCCATGGGTAGTCATCGATCTTCTCGGTCACCTATTTGATGACCCGTCGTGAGCATATGTCGGGCTATTATACTTCTTCATTTTCCCAATCCTTCTCGAAGAACATTGGTCGACTTGGGTTACCGCTTACTTCTAACTTATCAAGAAACTCTGGAGGGATGGTGGGGATGTATTTTCTCTCACGCTCACGATTGACTCCACCAAATCCAGCGCCGAAGGTTACAAGCATGTCGGTAACAGTTGGAAGAGTGAACGGTAACATCAAGGAGGGATCAAGATTAACACCATCTGGTACATCATCATCATCAAGGTCCGGATTTGGTGTACCTTGTATGGTACGTGGGGTCTCCGCGCTATGACCGTTAAACGTGCTCTTAATAGGGGTCGAAGGTGCGCTACCCCCCGACAGGGGAGAAATCGTCCTTCTACGATCTCTTCTTAATGCCGCTTCTTTCTGGATTGCATCGAGGTACTTCATAGCACTCTTGGGCAATCCCTTCTCACCCACTTCTGGTCGATAATTCTTAGCAGCATAAATCAGTTGTTGCGGACTTAACCGCTTGAGTTGTTGTAGTGTCCCAACTAAGGCCTCTAAATCATCTGGGTCCAAAGATGAGAAACACTGAAGCCATTGGAGAAGCTGGACGATGGGGGCCAAATGTCTGCGTGCCGCCTCTACTGTCGTTTCACCAGATGAACTCGTCTCGCCATGTTCGTAATGCTCCGGCTGGCGATTGTTGGATCTAGCCCAATCTTCCAAGGCTGAAACATTCATTCGAATCTGCATTGCCTTCGTCCTGGCCAGGTATTTCCTATTGTTCATGATCCGATTAAAAAGCTCGGCTCCTAGCCAATACAGCAGTTGTGATATGACCTGTGCTGTAATAACAGAGTGGATATCGTAGAGGTCGAGGACGAAGAGAGTGGATGACAGGAGGGACGTTACATTGCGAGGAGCAGGTTTGGCACGTTGCTTTGGTGAAGGAGGCCCGAATCGCTTCTCTGGTGGTTCTTCCTTCACTTCCTTCTTCCTCTTAAAAATCTTCCATTCGTGCTGGAAGGTGACATCGTTTAGTCCGGGAATGGTTTCGTGGTCAAGCATTGCAGAGTCTAGTGCTTTATCTAGTCGTCTCTCTGCATCCCTAACAATGAGAATAAAAATCTCGTTGATGAGCTCTGAAAGCTGTGCTTGGAACTCTGTCGTGGCCTCAACCAAGCCGGTGTCCTTCTTGAGATAGTGTAGTAAGAGAGTTGCGTTCGACATCCAGAAAGCTAGGATAGTCATGTCCCATTGATGAGCCTCAACAACCTCGTTGATTTTATCTTGAGCGGTCACAAGTAACTTTGCCAACAACTCTGGGCTAGAATGGTAGTGAGCATACCGCGCGCTAAGGAAGATCATGTTCGCTGGGACGGGCTTCTGAGACGGTGATCGTTGAGGCTGCATATGGGTAATAACAATGTCGAGGATCCTGTCCAAATCACTTTCTTGGAAGACAAACATTTGATCATGCAGACATCGAGTCCAATCAAATTCCTGTTGGTCCTCTTCAAAATCATCCGTAAGCTGTCGGCTAAAGTCAATATGGATATATCTTCTGTTCTCGCATAGGGGGGGCAACTTACATCAGGTTGGTCGTCTATTCCCATGTTTCCTATATCAACCTCGAGGTCTCGCGCACTGTTCATCATCATGCGCCGGCGTATTTCGTTCTCAGCCATCTCTTCCTCAAACTTATCTTGGGAGAATCCTGGATTATAAAAATCATCTGTGACTCCGGCATTTCCAATGCTGTAACCATTGTCATGCAAATAAAATGACATCTCACTATCAGGTGCGACGAAGTCAAAGGCGGTTCTTCCCGAGGAGGTCTTCGCTTCAGGGGATGCTCCGTTGTCTAACAGAATCTTTGCGATGCCCTTATGTCGGTTCGTCATTGCCCACATTAAGGGGCTCCAATGGTTGCGGTCTTGCTGGTCAACGTCCACGCCAGCATCTACAAGAGTTTGCACAACGGTTTCGTGTCCCTATGTGATGTATAATGTTAGCAAAACGGGTGCTGGAACGAATTTCAAGTTGCCTGACTAACAAAACAGCTTGCGTAGACCAAAGATGGTGTTCCATCTTCATCTGGCGCATTCATATCCACAAACGGTCTGGCTTGACCGCCAAGTATTTTCTTCACATTTTCCAGATCGCCGTTGCTAGCAGACATAACTAAAGCTTTCTGAAGCATTGTCCTTTTTTCATCGTCTGATAATTTGTCGTCTGTTGCGATGGCATCTACATCGCCAAAAGCCTGCCCTCCAAGATGTTGAGCTTGCGCTGCGAGCATCTGCATCAACCGCGTATCGCTGTCGGGCATACTACTGGCAATGTTTTCGTCATAGTTCGGGTCATCTAGGGTCAAATTGCTAAATTGGAGAGGTTTTGCGGTTATCGGTGAGGTTAAGAACTGTGATTGACCTGGGAGGTGAGGAGGGAGGTGAAGTTAGCATGGATGATACGATACGATATTGGGTCGAATGCGTGATATCAGGTCGAGATCTGACTCTACACGTCAGGAAAGTTTTGAAGACGTACCTTGCCATCCATCATACATCTCAGTCTCTGGTATTAGGTCAACTGACACGACTCTACGATCATCTAGAGACTTTGGAAGGTCGGCTGGGAGAGGACGGGGTTGAGTCCTTTGGGGCTGCTCCCCGCCGAATCCCCCACCATCAGAATCCCCAAGGTCCATGATCGAATGGGAGAAGGCATAGGAGTACTTCGAATTTCGGTGGACGGTCGAGAGTTTGTTCAAGGTTGTATCAAGAATGTTGAAGAATCATGCTTTCAAAAGAGTGTTACTTGTTGACCTTGTGGGTCGTTTGGGTCGTTTATCTTTATATTGCAATCCCGACTTTTGGATGGTCGTCATTAAAGTAACAGTGAACTAGTAGCGGGCAAGTTCAGGGTTACTTCAAGGTTATGAGGTAACAGGGTAGATTAGTCCCCTAACCTTAGGATAGTCAATATCAATAATGTACAATACAATACATATTAGGTAGGCGGCTGGTAAAGTTAGTAGGCTGTGTAGGTATGTAGTACATGTAGGAGAGGTTGAATGGTACTAGGTACTAAAATCCAGGTGCTTGGTCCGTGCGTTGTTTAGATCCTTTTAGACTTTCATCATAGTCAGGCACGGCGGTATACGCATCTTCTTACCAAACTACTACATATGTAGTTAACCTACAGTAGGTATGTACCTACACTTACTTGAACAACAACCAAGCATTTGCACATATCCAGCATAATGTTAACAACAATAGATCACGAATGTCCTCAGTGCTGTGTATACCCATTCACGCTACCCAAGTATGTAAGTAGACATCTATTCATCTTGCTATTAGGTTATCTAGGTACCTAGAATACATCCATGGATATTACCATATTTCCAGTTTAGCGTTCAAATAGATCTCTTGGCCAGCACGCGTAACCGCTTCACTCCCCCATCAGGAATGATGGTAAGCTTAACGTGGGTAAAAGACCTGTCCTGTATTGCAGATGGAAAGTCGTGTTCCTGATCAGGACCACACTTACTCGGCTCGAGAACTGCAATCCAACCTTCAACATCTGCCCCTGGCTCACCCTCCCCTTTCCATTCTATAGCATCGATTTTTGTTTTTTGAGGGAAGTTTCCCCTGAAAAATGCCGTATCCACTACAAACCGTTGAATCAGAGCTGGAGCACCTAGCCGAATAATTGCCCAGTCTACATGCCCCTTAGTTCGAGATCGTGCCGTTTCCCATCCGTCTCCCATATCCTTTCCCCTGCCAGGTAATATAAGGTTATCCTTGGTGCCAAAGTGTTGGTCACTGCAAGAGATTGCCACTCCGCCATTTTGAGCTGCAGCTAAATCGAAGATTGCATCCGTGTCTGCTGGGAAGACTGGCACCGCATGTCCAAACAGTCGAAATCTCGCAATGCCTCCATCGGGATACATGTTCAGCCTCACGTGGGTGTATTGCTTCGAAGTAGGGTCGTTCAACTTCCAGCCAAACCTTTGTGATGGACCACACTCTTGAATGCCTATAATAGTTTCCCATTTCCCCTTTCCTCCCTTCCAGGAGAGAACTTCGTCGTCATCTGAGGAAAAGCAGCCTTCAACGGAAATCGCAGGAGCATGATTTCCAGAAAAGAAAGCAGTGTCAACTTCGACTCCTTCCACGGTACCAGACGCAACGCCAAGTCGTATGGCAACCCAGTCAAACGGTTCCGGGTTATGTCTCCTTGTTTCCCAGCCGTCATACCAGGCACCTGTGTAGACCATCTTTCCAGGTTGCCTTATGGGGGGTGTAGGCGTCAACAGGTTGTCAGCATCAGCAAACCATTGATCCGAGAATCCTAGGACCTTGCCTCCTAATGCCCCAGATATCAAATCTGATCACAAGTGGGTTAGCTAAGGGAAGTTTTCATTTTCTGGGTGGCAAGATTGTAGCTGTTCTTAATCCCCCCTTTCAATCTTTCGTCACTCGGCCTCCTATACACATACCAATGCAGCTGGATCGAAAAGTTCCATCGATTTCACCTGAAGCAATCGGGGTAACGTTAACGGCGTCTAACTCGTACGGAATAGGGTCGGCCATGTTGTATGCTTGCTTTACGCTGTCTAGGACCTGTGTCTACGACAAACGTTCTTTCTTACAAAGAAATCTTAGATGTCTCTTAGATGTCAAAAAGGCAATACAGAAAACAAAATGTTTCACAAGCAAGACATTCCGATCTCGAACTATTAAAGGCTAATTCTTAGTGGGGTATGCTCCGGAATACGGACAAGTCTGACGCCAAATGTTAAATGCCAAATGGCATGTGGATTATATGTATATACCTAAGTATACCTGCCTATCTACAGTAGTAGATGTTCAATGTTTGACGGTTCAACCCGTGACTTTATTTTCTCTTGCATGAAGATCTGTAAATACTCCCCCACCATTCTTCTTCCTCTTCCATACAAAGACTTCTTGTGGTCTACTAATAATTACTTCAATGTTTGCAGATTTTGAGATTAATGTTGTCGCACAGCGCATATACTTGTTCGTTTATCTACAAGCCACACACTATATGTAGTGTATAGCATAGTTGTGACTATTATGTATTGAGAATTACAAGTGCATAACTTACCTACCTAGGTAGTAGGTACCCTACATGTATGTAGGGTACAGTACTGTCAGTACATACATGTAGTAGAACACACCTGTAGATAACAGTTAGGTGCCTCGGTTGTAGTACTAACCTTCCCGAACAAGGGCTCAATGTTTGCAGCAATTGTGCAACTCTCAGTGCTCCAACTCCCCCGCACCATGTAAGACAGAGCCACCCTAGTGACCCTACAACGTACCTACACTAACTAATTTTAGGCGACCCACGCTACAAGCATAGGGGTGGCTTAAGAATCGCAAGGCTCTGATAGGTCGAAGCTTGATACAAGCAGATATCGTCATCGATGGTGAGCTCGATCCCTTTCAAAGCTTACCACAGTACAGTACATGTACCGAAGCCAGCCTTTCTGTCTCATGACTGGTACAATGGATGTATTTTAATTATTTTAAAAAGATGTGAAACAAATCCTTCCATCTTCCATATCATCTACTAAGGACACACATAACTTACACCTTAAGTCGTGAATATCTACAATACCTATCTGCCTACATAATATCGGGTACACAAATCTTCCCCTCCCCCCCAAGCCAAGTACCGGGTAGTTCGAATTAGATCCTCTAAGGACGTTACCTTAATTTAAAAAAAAAATATCGCCCCGAATGGCATCCGCAACTGGAATACCCCAACATGCCCCGATTGATCCGGACAACGAAGGACAAGAGGATTTGGAACCTCTATTAGGCCGGCCCGGAGATGCTTCTCAAAGAGAAAATGCCCCCATAGCCAAAAACCTGATCATAGGTATGAACATTCTCCTTATTTTGTCCTAGACTTCCTTGTTTCTCAGTGTCTGTCTGGCCTTTGCTGCCCCGCCTCGGCTTTAACCATATACAATTCCCACTCCTCCTCAAATATAGCCATTACCTCCGTTCGCTGCTACTATACCATGCCAAAGCTCATACAATCATCAGGCACCGGCGTCATCGCCGAGGCTGCTGGCATCCTCCTCGTAGCTTCGGTCTGGGCCGCAGTCTTCCTCAACGGCCCTCTGATCCTCTTCTCCGTCCATCCCTTAGCGCAATCCGCGGGGCTGCTCGTTCTCATCCAGTCCATCCTCGTCCTACAGCCGACCCACACAGGGGCCCAGAAGCAAGTTGGCCAGAAAATCCACGCCGGTCTCAACTTCCTCGCCTTTGCCATCTTCGCCGTCGGCGTTATCAGCATCGAGGTCAACAAGTTCATCAACAACGGGGCTCACTTCCACTCCGTCCATGGCTACCTCGGTGTTATCGCCTCCTTCTGGCTCCTTGCCCAGTACATCGTCGGTTTCACCATGTTCGGCCTTCCCCAGCTGTACGGCGGCGAGGCCAACGCGAAGAAGATGTGGAAGTATCACCGCTCCAGCGGCTACGTCCTCCTCTTGTTCCTAGCTGCCACCGTGGTCAGCGCAACCCAGACAGACTACAACATAGGCGTCCTGAAGCTCAAGCTGTGGGCCATGATCGTCATCTCGGTGCTCCTCGTTATCGGCGTTTTCCCCCGGATCAAGAAGCATAAGCTTGGCTTGTGATATAGCGGAGTAGTACGCCTCAGAGGTACAACGAGTAGATCAGGCGGGTCAGGTCGGGTTGCGAGGAGTAATGCCGATTTCTTAACTCGCGTGCATTATACTGCTTGGCATGGCAAGATGGAATCGTTATACTTCCTTACTTTTTCCCAGTCTTTATCGCACCACTTACCTATGGCGTCAAAACTTGGGGAACAAGACAGCTCGGTATAAGGGCACCCTCATTAGACAGATTTGTTCTGATGGGGAAAAGGATGCATTTTTAAGGAAAGGGATCTGAAGAGAGCGGGCTATAAAATGTTGAGGTTGCTTTTGTGGTGGATATTCGAAAATAAGAGACAAAAAAATAAAGATTTAACTATTGGCTATGGTGAACCAAGGATAGGTATCCATACCATCGATTCGACTTTATTACCCACAAACCTGGAGCCAAAGTAATTTTTACCTACCCTGCATAAGGCTCTCAAATCTCGTACTTGGTAATTGGTATGATCTTGTGGATACTTGAGGTAGGTTGGTATAGGGGTAAATTAATCAATAGATGTCGTCAGCTACCTACCTACCTACCTACCTATCATGTCATGTGAGCCTCCATACGACGGTTATCTTGTTATTTTTTTTACCTAAACATGGGGTAAATTGCCAACCACATTTCCACCAATACGAGGTTGGTATATAATATCAAGATGGATATCCATACATCTATTAATGGATCTAGTTATTGATCTAGGTTAGGTTATGGATAACTATATGTATCGAAAGCTTTATTTATTTGGGTACTCTAGGTAGGTATTTACTACGTAGGTACATAGTAGTTAGTAGCACGAATGTTTGAAGAACGACGTAGATCTACAGTAACAGGTAGGTAGGTAGGTAGGTAGGCACCAGATACTACATCAATCAGGAGAGCACATAGAAAATCCATGGGAATCTTTTGCATTTCCAGCGCGTTGGTTAATGTAATATATGTACTACTAGCTACCTTACCTAGGTATCTAGGCAGGTAGATAGGTTACCAGCTATGTATGCTATAGATATTATATCGAAAGCCAAAGAACATTAGTTCAATTTGCAAGTTCCATGATTACCAAGTTTTGTGTTATACAATTTATGTGCCCACTAGCATACCTAGGTCGGTACTTCAAACATATCCTACCTAGGTATTACCATAGTTCACAAGTAGGTTCCTTGACGGGGCACCTGAAACTCTCCCTGAACGCCCTCGAGTTCGCCGTGGTTCCCAGGACCCGAGCGAATGCTGGGGAATGGGGGTCGCTGTAGATACGCTCGATAGCTGCCTGCTGGCGGATCTTTCCGCACCACCAATTACCATAAAAGACGAAGAAGAGCTGTTCCTGGGTAAAGAAGTCTAGTCCGGGCAGGTTTTCATCCGGAGTTGACTCGGTCCGCTGCTTCCAAGCGGCAAAGGCCGCAGAGACGCCGCCGGCATCGGCAATGTTCTCTCCAAGTGTGAGTCTACCATTGACATGTACGGGTTTTCCGTCGTTTCCATTGACCGTGAAGTTGCTGTATTGGTCCACGAAGCAGCTGGCGCGTTTGTCGAATTCTTCTACAGTGTGCTTAGTCCACCAATCTGTGAAGTTGCCGTGCTCGTCATAGTTTCTGCCAGAGTTGTCAAATGCGTGGGAAAGCTCATGACCAGCAACCGATGCAAATGCACCGTACGATACATAGCTAGGCAGGTCTAGTTGGAAAACAGGAAACTGCATTATACCAGCAGGGAAAACGATTTCATTCCCCACAGGATTGTAGTAAGCGTTGACTGTATCGGCTTGCATGCCCCATTCGCCATGGTCAACCGGTTTCCCGAGGGCAGACCAAGTCCTAGCGGTTTCTAGGGTGTTGCTCGATACGGCGTTGTTGAAGAAGGCGTCGGTAACGACCAACCCATTGTAATAGTTTCGTAACGCCTCCGGGTCCGTGATATTTGGGCTTGTTGTCGGGTACCCAATCTTCTGGTCAATGTTATGTACCTTATTGGCTGCTAATTTCTTAACAGAATCGTCCATCCAACTCAAGCCATTTAGCTTCGTGATGAACTGTTGCTTGATATCCATAATGATCTGGTCGCCGTACTTTTTGGCCTCATCGGAAAAGGCCTCTTCGATATAAAACCGACTGAGCATCCAACCGAGGGTACTATCGACATAGGCAACACAGGTCTTCCACCGTTCAGCCTTTGTGTCTGGGTCCTATTTATTGTTAATTTTCCTGCTACTCTGAGGTATGGAAGGTTAACACATACCCTTCCTGATAGAACATTGGAAAATTGATGAATTGGCTGGACCTCGGGACCCTCGACGTAGGATGAATACGCGTTAACCACATTCCAGAGTAAATAGCTTTGCACGGTCGACTTGGGGCTTTTAGAAATGATATCTGAGATATTTCCTAGAAACTCGGGAAATGCCAATAAAAGGCTGTCCAACTTATAGTCCTGAGGGACCAAACCATTGATTATAGACTCTAGCCCAATTGCTGGGCCGATTTTATTGAGCTCATTAGCCTTGACAATGTTATAGTATTTCTAGTTGTGTCAGATTAGCTCACAAAATGGGATCAAGAGTTAGCAATTTCGACTTACTGTAACATCTGCCTGCTCTTCAACGGGTGGTGTTATAGCTGCGATCTTCTTCTCGAACTCAATAACAGATCGTGCAAGCTCTTTGGCAGATACTTTTAAGGTAGGAAGGAAAGTGGCAAGAACCTGTTCTAGCATAGATTGATAAAGGGAGATGGTATCATTGTCCTGATATGATTCAACTGTTGGCAGAGTAAGTCCTGCCGGATATGCTTGCACAATCACGACGTCAGGGTTCTTGTCATCGGCACCAACTCCGATGCCCATGAATGAAGGAACGCCTAACCTCTCGAGGAGTAGGATGGTATCACTCAGGGCAGCATAATCTCCTTCCTGTAGTGTCTGGCCAAGCTGATTGACGGGAAAAGACGCTGCAATCTCGTTTACCAAGCTGACCAGGGGAGCTATCCCTTTCTTCTGAATGGCCGTCTCATTTATGCATGCTTTGTAAGCCTCCTGTATCATGAGGAAGTTTTCCTCGTCAGTGGAAGCAGCACGCATGAGGAGGTTTCTAGGCGAAAAGGCGGAGTGCTAAAGGATATGAGTTAGCAAAGCAGAAATATATTGGCAAGTGATGTCGAAAACTCCATTGCCTCTCCTCAGCCCCATGCGTTAACACCACGGGGTGGTGGGATGCTGAGGGTAAAAGGGCATTACGGGTTCAGCTCGAACTCGGTGAGTATATTTGATATTTGATGGCGTACCTCGGACTTGGTTGGGTAGGGAGACTCTAAGATATGTCTGAGAGTAGTTTGCCCATTTTCAGACATGATAGTCCCTGTTGAGTAAGAACTCTTATCCGCTGGGATGTCATAACGGTTATCGAAGCCCGCACAAACAAGGGTATCAAAGTTAGAACAGGGGTCGATTGTCTGATAATCCGGTGATAAATTGTCTGGCGATACCATAAGTACATATTTTCCTTGATAATGATTGGTAGATGTAACTTACAGAGTATCTCAGACGCTGCGTGGATACAGGCCGGTGTCAAACACACAGAGGAAGTCATATCGGGCTTCCGTCGAGCGCGGGACAGTACTATACTACACTTAGAAAGCCTTCACCAGTTATGAATATATGTAGGGCGTGAGGAGCTGAGGCTAATTAGGGGGTAGAAGACGAGGATGTGGCAGAAGCAGAAGGGAGAGCGGTCAGGGGTGTTAAACACAAGTCGAGTGGCAAGGAAACAACGGGTGAATGCAAAATACCCATTCTGTCCCTTTTTCCAGTCTGCCGAGCTACCTGGTAATTTACAAGCGTAACACCAATTTTGCCTAGTTATTGAACAACAGGAAGCCATAGCATAAGTGATCTTGAAGGAAGCACGGAGCGTAGCACAGAGTTCAATGTTTAGAATTGGTATAGTATAGGTAGCTCGACAGACCCAAGGTTGACCTCGACTGCCTGGCAGATCATGGATAGGAAGGGGACTGTTACTTACCTCCAGACAGAATTAAAATGACAATAAAAACGACTATGAGGAAAGCGCTGGCAATGAGTGATATCCAACGGCGGAGCCTCCAGATTCTAACCTGGTGGTTGAGATGGTCATCGTTTTCTCCATTTTCGTCGCGATCGTTATTTATTGTATCACGGAGCAGGGGTGTCCGCTCATCACCAGGCAGCTGGCTGTGGTCAGCCATCGCAATTGAAGAGCCAAGAGTCGTTGGTGCGCAGCATCAACAGTGAACAACGCTGATCTTCACACAGGCCAGCAGTGTGTTATAATCCTATACAGTTAGCTACGGGGTAATTACCAATACTCGTGGTAGATGTCAGTATGTAGTTAAGCTAGAAGGTGACGTCTATGTTGATGAGCTCAGCTGGTTTGTTAGTGTTTGTAGATGCAAGATGTATGTGGTTAGGATGGCTGAATGGTAGGATGGCATGGTGCTACTTTGTAGGCAGCTACAAACCCTAGTATGGAAGGAAAGGCAACAGGAACTCAACAGCAGCACTCCATACGCTAGACGTGAATGGAAGTGATCGACATGAAATTTCCGGGGTAGCTTCTTCATTTATCACGAATACTCGATGTTGATTGGTTTGTGAAACTGTCATATGTTTTCCCCTTGCAAAAATACTAATAATTAGCGTACGGGAGCTTGTGCTAGCCCACCTAGAAAGGGGTAGATATGGAGCTTGGAGAGATGCGATAGGTCAAAAGATCCAAACTCTAAGCCGTTGAACTTCACATGTCTTCTTCATAAACATATATTCTCAATTAATACATAGTAGTTACTATGTAGACATTAGAGATATTATTTAGGTACATAGGTATCTTTGAATTACCAGGCATACATATGTATTTATGGTACCTTATATTTACCCAGGTGGGTATCCATCTATAAGAAGCTCGGGCAGTTATTAAAATTGTACATAGTTACCAAGGTAGGTATGTAGGCACGTATTTATAGACATTGATTGCTAACGGATGTGAATTTACGCACGTGCATGAGCACACCGGTTTAGGCCTTTGCAGTTTAACTAACTACACTAGAAACATCTTCAGCTGTGTGCCCTTGCCGAGAGGAGAGACGAGACACATGAACCTCAACAAGAACCATATTTCCTCTTTCAAGTCTGGAGGATCGTCGCCGCTAAAGTCGTTGCGGATGCTCAGGTTTTGCTGATCCCTAGGGCAAAACCCCCGAATCCCTGGCGAAGAGCAAGGCCATGATCCCATCTGGAGGACTGTCGGTTGCCGCAAAGGTATACTCATTACCTATTTGCCTAGAATCATCCCTGGCTTAGTACTAATGCTAATAATTTCCATAGGGCTAATTATTGACATACTCCCGAAGAAATCGACCAATGACGATGATGCGGCTAGGAATTCCCTGAGCTGAGGCTGTATCGAGTACCTAGTAGTGCGTTCTGCATCAATCTACTCAACTTTACCTATGAGGATTTAGACTTCATCCCTTGGACGTGAAATCTGCTAGGAATGAAGATTTTACCTACTAATAGAAAGGTAGGCACCTATCATATTCGAAACCCTGCGAATGTACCACGTGGGGATAACACGTAGAATCATACCATCGATGCTTTTAGTACTTTTTAGTCTCATAACCTCGTAGCTTTCTTACTTTGGGTTATGCGTCTGAATGTAGAAGCTCACCATTTTGATCGAAGACATCGTCTCGAATCCTACCGTCTAGAGTTCTCTCGCTCAATTTTAGGTGGCGCGGGATGGAATATATATGTTGGCCCTCGTTGCCCATACGTTCAAAGATGAATACCTACCTAGAAGATCAGACTAGGATATATAGTACGAATAAAAGTGAGTATTGAGGAGGTAGATAAGGAATCAAGTGGCTGCGAAGTTATGGCTAAGTAAGGTGCATGCCATTGGGGGAACCGTTATCTTGGAAGTGGTCTTCAGCATAGGGGTCCAATAGTCCTTTGTAGATCTGGATTTGCATTACTTCCACATGAGTCGCGCCACGTTGTTTCCAAAATGTTAGAATTGGCATAGTCCAATAGCAATATAAGGCCTGGTGCATGTGCCATAATTATCCCTTGAATGGAAGCTCTCGTAGCCCGTCTCCTGGGGCGTGATTCCGCATCCACAGAATATGGGGGTGTTCAGCATCCGAGCCCACGATCTCCCCTAGGGGCTTCCCATCCACTGTCAACCGCCTGCCACCCCCACTCTGGAGCATCGATATCACGAATACCTAGCCTCAGCAACGCGTCCCAACCCCAGGCTGTATGGGTTCACCGTGCGCAGCATTGCAATCTCGTGTAAAAACCTCGCACTCACTCGACATCTGCGGCCATACGGTCGCATAGATACGACGTTCGTGCCACTATAGAACATACCTGCGGGGCATAACTGGACAGTGGCCCTATACACTGGCAAGTTGCGGCCTCATACGCTGTGCCTCGAGGGGAGTATTGCTGCTATCAGAGCTGACTCGAAGCTGAACAAACAACCGACAGGGAAGGTAACGTGATCGTCGGTCCAATCTTCCACAAAGTCAAGGCACCCCTGTTTGACTAGCATAGAGTCTCGGCAGCTATACGTTATATCACGGCCCGTCGTGGCGTATATCGCAGTTGGAGAGGGTCTGGGCGGGGGGCTGAAAGCCTACTGACACCAGACTTCACGGAGCGGCCAACCGGCTACCGTAGACTCGGCGATGAGTGGGCATGGTGCTATATTTCGAGCGCAAAACCACCGAGACTCGGCGGCGTAGTGAGAAGGTTAAAATGAGAGGATTTGCCTAAAGGTACGCTAGGACTATGTCCGAGGTCGGGCCTGTGAGCAAATTCCGTCGGGCTGCAATACGGGCATGGCGGCTCATGAGGAGTCTTGTCCGCCCATGTTGATAGGATGAAACGTCTATAACTGACGGTGGGGCAACAACGGTAGCGATCATAGACCAGTAGAAATAGTGACAATCACTTGCTTCTCGAGCTTAATTGCATGTCGTAGATGTCTCTGAAAAATGACGCTTGCATTGAAGACTGTCTTGGGCTCAGCCGCATCTGGACTGGTCAGGGGCAAGCCACCTGACGCCGATGGCTTCATGCCGTGCGACGTTGGAGGCGGACTTCCGTCTCCGCTCCCGCTGCATCTAGAAGTTGTTACCATCTCGGAAGGACGACTGTAAATCGGTGTAGTGGAGAACCAGTGAGGGCTCGGACTATTTTGAAGGATTGCTCTCCTTGCCTGTAATATGCTCGGGGCACACAATAATATCCAATCTTCGACAGCCCGGCTTGTATCAAGACAGTCAACCCCTTGACTGCGTTGAAACGACTTCTCCCAATTCTGGCTACCGACATACAACCCATCTGCTCCCTCGTCGATCAAAAAGTGACAAAAGAGATAGCCCCTACAGATTGATGGTCACGCGAGATGCACCTAGTGGTAGCCCTGGGCGTGTTTTCTAACCCCTTCTAGTGTTAGCCTTATGGAAAAGAGCCTTATTTAGTACACCGTAAGGTACGTGGTAGAATCGATAGAGGGGTCTCCCTTGGATGGGATACAACCCCGAATTTTCGTATACTATGGCGTAGTTTTCGCTGCGCTATTTCAGGCCTATAATGCTACTAGTTAGAAGTCCCTACATAGTAAGTTGCTAACCAACTAGCTACCTAGATAGGTATTCCCAGCAGCCCAGCAGCTCAGCTGCTCACCTATGGGCTTGAAGCGAGCAAACGGAAGGGTGACTCGGCCGGGACATTTTGATCACATACACACCACCTCATCATATCGTCATTAGGTACCTCTGCCTTGCGTTGCCTGCATTGCCTGCCTGTTTAAGATAAAACCATGGTGCAGGTAACTACCTGTACGCAATTACCTAATAACTTATCTGAAGTGATCTATCGTTTGTTTGTGCAGCAGATATTTGGATTAGCACAGGCTATGCCATTAATAGGCCAAACACAGGGGTAAATGCGCTATGTAGGATTATCAATATCTATCACGCTCGTGTTGGCTTGGCTACATATGTATTTACCTACCTGTCCACCTACCTGTCTACCTACATGCCAGCATGCCTACATACCTAATACCTACATACTAGGTAGGCTGTAGGTGGGCAGTGGTTAGGTGGTTAGGTGTTTGAGCAAGCCTCTGTTTCCTGTAACAAAGTGGGAAATATGTTATTTCAGGTATTGCATTTACCCAGTACTAGGTACGTAGGCATGTAGGTAGGCATGTAGGTATGCATGTAAGTATGCATTAGACTCGGAATAACATATGACCTATTGACTTGATTGGTCTTTACAATGTACAGTAAATGCATCGAGGTTGTGAATCGCAAACTGTAAAGGTCAACTGGTGAAAGTGTAGTTACGTGGTAAACAAAAAGATTGAAGAAGAGAGGGACCCTTAATTTATCGAGCATTCCAAAAACTACCACTATGGACAGCCCTCGTTTTAATTGGCTATTAGAAAGAACGCCTCGGTTCACAACATCATTGATAGGTCAAGGAGCCACCTGTGGTGTTACATGAACTGATACGTATTCCGTCATTGTGAAACATTTACTGTGAATGAGGTTACTTTCTGTACTGTATGTATTTGATGTATGTGTACCAGTTATGTGTACAAGTTATGTGTACAAGTTCAAAGTTGTAATATCTTTATATCGAGTAGACACAATCTGGCCACATGCACCTGATTTAAAAACGACAATACAACTTGAACAACATTGAACAACATTGAACATCAGAAGTTAAAAGCGTCAATACCTGGCAGCTCACCGAACACTCTGTCAGCCTGCCTATTCAGGATTTCAACATTTCCAGGGCTATTATAGAAGTTAGAACTAGATAGCTTAGTAGGTACCTACTACTACCTACATCATACGTAGTAACGTCCGCTAAGCTTCTTCTAAAGTGCTTGTGATATACGCTAGCTTTAAACCGGTCTCTCCGAACTTTTTCCTCGGCGGGCACTATTTTCTTCGGGACCAGTGAGTTGGAGGGGCCCTATCGTAACGACTATGGAGACAAAACCAACTACTAGCCCTAGTAGTCCAAAGAAAATACTAACCTGGTACATAGGTAGCTCAACTTTTTACGCTTCAGTTCAAAATTAAAACGGACATTCTTATCCGGGCTACAAACAGCTGGATAACGAACGCTCTACCAAATTTCCATGCAGGTGAGATGACGTACACAATGGAATGACGCAACTTGCCCAGGTGCTTTTTGTACTACTCTGGACGACCCTGCATTTACATACATAGTGCCTGTTAACCCTATTAACCCCTTGCCAGATAAAAGCTTCGTTTAACTTTTCACATACATACATCACATACATCCTTATATACCATCAATGTTAAACTTATTATCCTAGGTACCCTAGGTAGATATGTGGTAAAGTAAGTCCATTTAAGCGTATAAGGCTGGAATGAAACGGGGTTCAACGTTGAATGTTTATTATAACTACCATACTTTATCCTAGGTAAGTAACCAAAAGCCTGAAAAACTCAATGTTAGTTTTGAAAACTCCCAGGTTAATTGTTGCACATTCATTTCAGCTGCTTGCCTAGGTAGTGTTAGCACCTAGTAATATTCGAGAAGCACTTGAATTCTATCACTAGCGAAACTACCTAACCACAAGCACTGCTAGGAAGCTAATAGTTGCAATTACATATACCACCGTATTACCACGAAGCGGTCGGGGTTGGGGTTAGGAAGATCATGGAAAATTATCTACTAACTACTACTGTATGTATGTACCTACAAACTGCGACCATTACATACTCTTAACCCCCCACCCCCTATTCACGTAGGCGATTTTATACTTACATGTACACTACGTAGCACTCTACATGTATTATACTACGATGAATAGTACGTGCTTGACCGCTCTTGCCATTAACCAGGTCAATATTGTCGAATTTGATGACAGAATTCCACGATAATAAGCAGTACGTCAGATCATATGACTGGTACATATTCATTCTGCCTCACGATGGAGATACATCGATATTGGTATCCTCGAGCCACGGTATGCATGTGTACAACATTGAATACAATACGATACATGTACCTATTGCAGCTGCTAGGGTAAATGTATGTACTCTCTGCATGAGGTCTTCACGCTATAAATACCTACATCTAGCTACTAGGTTAGGTATGTAGTAGGGCAGGTAGTAGTAGGGTAGGCAATAGGGTCAGTTTCAATACCGCCACCTCCACCAGATGTTCCTTAAACATTCAATGACTTGGCAAACTCACGGGCCGACGAGAAGGAAGTCACATGAACAAATGGCTGATTACCTAGGTAGATTACGGCTCAGCTGAGTGATGGGAGTGGGTGTGGTTGTCAAGTGGTTAAATATAATTGTATTCTTCAAGTTGCTCGGGGCTGTGGGCTGTAAATGAAGTATTGAAGATCATGGCATTCAAGGCATTAAGACACATTAAGACATGCGAGAAGTTGGAAGAATTGGCCCGCTCAAGGTTCGGCTAGGCGGGGAAAACAGATTAACATTGCGCGGTAACCTGCTAAACGGTACATCTAACCTTGATTGGATCTAGGGGTGTCCAAGAGATGCAATAATCAACGTGGACAGACACCCACCTGCCATCCATATCCTTACCAGCCATGTCCCTTCCTGCTAGTCTACTAGCCTGCCTGCCTACCTGTTAATTTTTTTGTTAGCGTACCCGCTCTGCGGTTGTACCGCTGCGACTTTTTTTTATGCCCTCCCTTTTTTCATTCAATGTTCCTCCGCCTGATGTCTCCCCTCTCCGTTTTAGCCAGTGAATAGCGATAATCATGAAATATTGCTTCGCTACCAATAATTTATTCCTTATGAGAGATCGTACATACCTAAAACCCCCGAAAACAAACTTGTTTAATTCATCTTTTAAGGTCAACCAACGTCAGGGTTACTGAACTGATGCTCCTTGGCAGCTTTGGTAACTTGAACTTGACTTAAATACTACCTACGTCGTATAGTACAATACCTACCTAGGCACGGTACCTATTTATCTCAACCAAAATACATACAATACCATAGTACCTATTAGGTCCTATAAAAGTACCCTATATAGTACGGTACATAACCTACTCTCAGCTTATGTATGTACCTATCACCAGCGGATGTACCCGAGGATCGCGAATAATCCGTATCAGTAACAGACAGAAGCACTGTCTGACGTAGGTAGTGACCCAACCGACTTTGCTGACTAGCGATGAGCCTTGCAATCGACACAAGGCGATGCCACTTACCGGTTTTGAATTGTCCTAGCCGAAAAAGAAACCACATCCTTATTCCTTACTGCCACCCAACCATCATACGGCACTTCCAAACACCAGTTCTCGGTCGTATGCTTGTCTAATCTCCTCTAGCAACGAAGACCCTTTTGGATTTGACTAATGCGAATGCCGAGATCACGAGTTCGTAGTGAGATCCGTCCCCGATACTGCCGCATGGGGGCGCCCGTGAATGAGGAATGCCATCTCATCACTACACAAACCCGGACGAACCACGCGACATAATCAACAACAATACCACATTGCCATTCCCTCCTCCTCCCGGCCATGACACTAATCCCCTTCAGCCATTGACCACCGAGAAACAGTCTAGTTTCTTTGCGGACACCTTTGATTCCATGCGCAACTCGCCAGGTAGCACGGTAGGGCCGACAAATCCTGATGCACCTTGGCTGACCCTCGCTTCTTCAAGTGTAGACCACATTAATTTGCGAGGCGGTGGAGCAGACGCGGTCGATGTTGGGAAACTTCATTCTGTTGCCAGAGATGTGCCATTGGAAGAGGATGAACCACGGCCAACCCCAGGAGCTGGCTCGGGCGCAAGGAGTAAAGCCAGTGAGCTTAACATTACAGGCATTTCGCCCGACGTCATAGGAACCAAACCCTCACTTAGTGAGTATCGAGCCCGCCTCGCCAAAGAAATGGAACGCCGCGAACAAGCGGTTCGAAGTCCTCCGTCGCCTACGAGAAATGTGTCTGAGAAGAAGCGCATCTCGCCTATTAAGGAGGAGTCTAGCACCACACCCTCGCCCACACCTGACTCTGATATCCCGACTGCCTCGAGCGAGTCGGGCAAGACGGTCCGCGGCGGTATGACTCCAGGATTCCCGGCTCGAACACCCTCTTATCCCTTTCCACGCATGGGTACTCCTAATTTCACCTCAACTTATTTACAAAATGTTCTCGGCCAACAACCTCAAAGCGGAGCTGTTAGTGCGGCGGGTGCACAATTTGGTAGTTTTGTGCTGCATGATCAGCTAAGATCTGACCCATCGTCCCCGGCGTCGGCCATGACTTTCCTACCCACCGGAGTAATTGCCAAGCCACCGAATCTCGATTTCCCTACCCCTAATCTCTACGATTTAACTTTGATGCTTTCATCCGAGCCTGGCCTGGACGCGTGGTGGAGTAGTGTTGTTCAAATTATGACCACATATTTTAAAGCTGAAAGAGTAACCCTTTCCATGCCAGCTGACCCGACGGATGTTGAAAATGTACCTTGGGGCCAGAAAGCTACTTATAATTCATTAGAGGAAGATGAACTAAGCGTTGGATATATTGCTAGGGGGAGTAGCTGTGTCGCGAAAAGTGGCAGTGAGCAGCCAGAGACCCCGTTGACTTTTGAAGGGCCTCACAAGAGTGATAGGCCTCTGCGACCGATTATACAGAGCCGTCATTCTTTCACTGCATATGAAGATACAAAAGGTGTTCATCAGACAGATGCGGATCAAGTCGCAAAGCCTAGTAACCTGCGACCTGGACTAGTTCAGAGGAGCAAGAGTTACTACCCGGATGGCGACAGGCATGATCCGGCTTCACCTCATCCTTTATTAAATAGACAGACACTTGAGGAGCACGATGCTTTCGAAGAGCAACAACCCGTTCCAACATGGGAAGCAAAGCTTGAATCGAAGACAGAAACCAAGGGCCGTCTCCTTCCGGTATTGCAGGGTCTTGATTTCGAAGCGGACCCTCTCATCGACCACAACGGCATCGCTCGCGTCGTAGATCGAGGCAAAGTTATTGCTCTAACTCGATCGTACCCATATCTTGACCCAGCTTCTGAAGAAAACAAGCACCAATCTAAAAACTCCAAGCCCGTCGTGCCCGAAGAATCCAGGAAAATTCTGAGGAAACCCATGATGAAGTCCGAATCCCAGACAAAATTGTCTTCGTTATTAGCAAATGCAAGCGCGCCGCGGTCATTAAACCGAAACCTGAAATCATTTTCGACAGAGAAGAAGTTTTCCAGCCTATTCTCTGCCATGGATGAGGTTGTGCCCCGACCCCCGACCCCTAAATATGAAGAATATGAGCAAGCACCACCATCACCATGGTCTCAATCTCCAGCGCCCTCACCCGCCGTTCGAGCCGATCCTTCCGAGAACCCCTTCTTCACAGACGCCATGGTTGACGAGGAATCGTTTAATCCCGGCCCAAGCCCACAAGACTACACGTCCGCACAGCCTCCTGAAACTATTGGAGTTGATAATTCCTGGACTGTTCTTCACGTACCCCTTAATCATATTCTCCTCTCGAAGCCTCCGCAGAAGTTCAAACTAGATCCTTCTGCACTGGAACATAAGGCTTCTCAGCGTAATCAGATGGAGCCAGGTATAAGTTCTGCTATGTTACATGAGCGCTTATCTACCGATGAATTAGCCAAGAAGAGCAAACATTTGCCTATTGCAATACTGTCGATCCTCACCCCCATTATACCATATCCCTCTAATCTACGCCACTCTCTTGAACACTTGGCTCCTCATTTAGCAGCAACCTTCTCACTTAACCGACACTATTCCAACCTTGAGACAGAAGTCATGGGTATCCATCGAAAAAGACCACCTACTAGTGGTTTCGGTGCCCTTGGTCCCGATGGACGACCTATGGTAGATTCTGTCATGCTTTCACACCTTAACTCAGCACCGCCTGAAGACCTCTCTCAGCGCTCAGCCACTGGAAGTCTTACTAGCCCCAGCGAATATTCAGGCCCATCTCGGAGTATCAATGCATCACCTAGTGGGACACCACTCTGGGAGCCAACTTCTTTTGGACTGTTTGTGGAGAGAAGAGCCGCCGGCTCTAGCCCTAGCCAGCTGGGAGGTGACAGTTATTTCAGCTCCGTGCCTAGGGGTAGCAGTGGTCCCACAGATATATCGGCTCAAGGTACGTTAGCTCAACGAGCTTCAAGAGCCGGTATGCTGGATAGTGGCACTACTGGCAGACCGCCAAGAAGATCAGGGAGTCTCCTTCATCTCCAACAAGACTTAAGCCCAATAACAAAGGATGGAGAGAGCCCGGGTGCTCTCGACGAGGCAGGTACAAATCAGTTAGCGAAACCTCGTCCTGCGTCAAAAGACTCCTCCGACTTGAACAATGGAATGGAAACCAAGCAATCCCATCAGGACACGGATGATGGCCGGAAACGTTTGTCCGGCCAGAGCATACCCTCCGCTATTCATAGACATACCCTGTTACATTCATATGGTGGTGACTTCTCGTCATCCTTCCAATCTCTGCCGTCTAGCACCTCTCTTCTTACAAAGCCTACGTCGCAATCATCGGCGTTAGCACGGCCTGGGTCTGCATCTGCAGCGCAGGTTACTATGCTCCCGCCTTCAGACCGTCTGAAAGGACTCATGCTCGATCTATTGCCGGTACACGTTTTCGTGGCACTTCCGGTAAACGGAGAAATTGTGTGGGTTAATAGCAGATACCTGACATACAGGGGCCAGACTCTTTCGGACCTCGTTGCAGATCCTTGGGGCAGCATTCACCCTGAGGACCGCGATGATTATATGCGTGCTTGGACTCATTCACTTCGATCAGGTGATCAATTTGCCCACACCGTTCGCCTTCGTCGCTTCGATGGCGCATACCGGTGGCACCAGGCACGTGCTGTAGCCTCGAGGGATAGACGAGGAGTTATAGTACAATTCATTGGCTCCTACATGGATATTCACGACCAGAAAGTTGCGGAACTCATGGCGTTGCGTCAAGAAGAGATCGAGCTTTCGGAAGCGAAACACCGCCTCCTCGCAAATTTAATACCTCAGATAATATTTACCGCAACCGAAAATGATGGAATCACATTTGCGAATGAGCAATGGCTATCTTACACCGGTCAAAATGAGGAGGGTGCGTTAGGATTGGGATTCATAGATTTTGTTCATCCAGATGACTTGGCCAAATGTCGACTGCCGGTAGATCGCTCAACGGTTGTGTTTTCGAACACAGATGATAATGCCGATCAGTTTACCAAAAGTCCTACAACGATGGGCCACGAATCGTTTTCTGTCGAGACACCTGGAGGACGCCGCCCAACACCGCTGTCTCGTCACAACAGTTCTAGTTCGGCCCGCGATTTTGTTACGGCAGATCTAGGCGAGCTGGCTAGAAAGGGTATTCTTAAAGTTACCATAGACAGCAACGGTCGACTTTCCTATACGACTGAAGTGCGTCTCAGATCTAAGACCGGCGAATACCGATGGCATTTGATAAGGTGTGTGGAAATTGATGATGTTGGGTTCGGAAGCGGTGCAAGCTCCTACTTTGGCTCAGCCACCGACATCAACGATCATAAGCTGCTAGAGGAGAAACTCAAAGAAGCTATGGAGTCCAAGGGTCGATTTCTGAGCAACATGTCCCATGAGATTCGCACACCACTGATCGGAATATCCGGGATGGTGAGCTTCTTACAGGACACAACGCTCAACGAGGAGCAGAGAGACTACACAAACACTATCCAGACTAGTGCTAAGAGTCTCCTCATGATCATTAACGACATTCTGGATTTATCAAAGGTCGATGCCGGTATGATGAAACTAAATTTCGAATGGTTTCACACCCGGTCGCTCATCGAAGATGTAAACGAATTGGTCTCGACAATGGCAGTCGCTAAACGACTCGAACTTAACTACATTGTGGAAGAGAACGTTCCTTCTTGGGTCAAAGGTGATAAGGTACGAATTCGACAAGTGCTTCTAAACGTCATTGGCAACGCTATCAAATTTACAAGTGCGGGAGAGGTTTTCAGTCGTTGTAGAGTCTATTCAGATAATAAGGCTATATTAGGAGAGTATTCGATCCTGCTTGAATTTTCTATCATCGATACCGGGCGAGGTTTCTCGAAAGAGGAGGCTGAACTGATTTTCAAACCTTTCAGTCAAATTGATGGGAGCAGTACCCGACAACATGGCGGCAGTGGACTAGGTCTCGTAATTTCACGGCAGCTTGTCGAGCTTCACGGCGGTAAAATGGATGGCACCGCCGTACCAGGCAAGGGTTCAACATTCACCTTCACGGCCAAGTTTGGCTTACCAAGTCCTGAAGATCATCCCAACTTTGCCAGCACCCCACCTTTGACTGCATCCACACAGACTCCAGCAGATGAGAAGTCAATGCATGCTATCAAGCCACTTTTGCTTCACAGAACGATGGATCCTGCCCATACTATCAGCCCTATCTCGGATATAGGGGTTACTTCACCAGCCCCAGCGTCGTCCGCCAGTTCAGATCCCTCTGTTCGCTCTATCCGAACTCAAAATACAACACGGTCTTCGATCTCGTCGGTCAATGTTGGTCTTTCGCACTTCAGCGAAGCCGCCAAAGCTAGCGGGCAGGACATCTCCCAGATGAAGCTTGAGATGCCTTCTGGAAAGATATCCCCTCAATTAGTACCTACACCAGACGTGACCAAGTTTCCCGTAGACTTACCACAGTTTCGTCCACCGATGTATTCAATACTCGTCATCTGCCCCCAGAGGTATAGTAGAGAAGCCACCACAAAGCACATCGAGATGACATTGCCGAAAGACGTTCCACATCAGATCACTGCAATGGCAAGCGTGTCAGAAGCCGAAGAGGTGATTGGAGGTCATGAATCCGTTACATTCACTCATGTTGTCCTTAATCTCACCTCAGTTGAAGAGATCATAGGCGTCATCGACAAAGTAATTGCAAGTTCTGCTGGCAAGACATCAGTCCTAGTGTTGACGGATTCCGTTCAAAGACAAGCCGTTCTCAAACTAGCCTCCGATGCCGAGCACCAGCGGCTCCTCGCGGAGAAGCGGATGATATTTGTGTACAAGCCGGTGAAACCATCCCGCTTCGCATCCATTTTTGATCCAGGCAGGGAGCGCGATCTCAGTGTAGATTTGAACCGCTCCAGTGCCGCTCAGATGGTTGAGAATCAGAAACAAAACTACTTGGACGTAGAAAAGCGAATAGGCAACAAGGGGTACAGAGTTCTTCTCGTCGAGGATAATCCTGTCAACCAGAAAGTCTTGGTCAGGTATCTGAAAAAGGTCGGGATCGATGCAGAGATTGCGGCCGACGGTGTGGAATGTACCGACAAGGTCTTCGCGCAGGCCCCATACCACTACTCTCTGATATTGGTAAGTCTGACTTATGAAGCTTCGATTTGCATATGCAATCAGACAGATAGCTAACGTTCCCAGTGCGATCTCCATATGCCTCGCAAGGATGGCTACCAGGCTTGCCGAGAAATTCGGCAATGGGAGGAACAGGCTAACCTCCGTAAGTTGCCCATCATTGCTTTGTCGGCGAACGTCATGTCGGACGTTCAAGAGAAGTGCGCAGCGGCGGGATTCAGCGACTACGTCACGAAGCCAGTTGACTTCGTCGACCTAAGCACGGCAATGTCCAAGTTCTTCTGATCTGCCACCACGGGCGATCAGTCAACAACGATTTGCCAGTCACAAGACATGATCAATGCATCTGCATGGCGTTCCCGGGAAATAGAAGTTTAAAAAGGATTGCGTTGTATACCACGGATGCATCGTCCAGGGGTTGAGGCTCGAGAGATAAAAAGCATCTGTATTTATGTTGGATGAACGCATGTACCAGTAAGAATGGTAGGGCGAGACACAGGGTTCACACACCGGTGCTGGACCTGCGAGGCCCTACCCGGGGGAATTTTGTACAAACGCAGGCCGGTCAACACCTTCGATGGGCCAAATTCCTCCGGAAGTAGTAGCATCATGACTTCACGGCTTTAACCAATGGTATGTTCGATAGAGACACAGGCGGAGGGAAAGACGGTTTTTTGATTAATTAGAAAAAGGGTTCTAGGGAAACGGCTGGCGAGGTGGTTCTTTGCTAGTCGTAAATATTCCCCCTTGGTTGAGAGGCATTTCGCCCCCTACAGGAGTTTTAAGGATCTTTGCATGTTTTCCCCCGGTAAGCCTGGTGAAAGCGAAATATCACACTTGTTTTTTGGGTTGTGGGCACCTCTTTTTTTTTCAGTTCAATTCGATACCATTCATGATCCGCAGAAAATTATCGTTCGTTCGTTTGTTTTGAATTATTATTATGAAGTGATGATGATGCTACACTACGGAGTTATGAAAAAAAAAAAAACTATCAAGTTCCTTCCATGCCGATTTTTGTTCTTATGCCTTACATAGGTAAGTAAAACTCCTTGGTCCATGCAAATATAAATATCTTATCTTTAGACGTAACAGTGCCTCATCTCATCCATACATGATTAGGGAGGGGCCTTTGGCCTGGGGGGGGTATCTCTTATTAATTGCCATCCTTTTAGGTATTTAATCCTCCTCGATGACTATGCCCTGCACCTCCACTGGCGGCGCCTCTCCTTGTGTGGTGGAGGACACGTCGCCATCCGCGGTCTCTGTTGTTCCCTCGGTCTTGTTCTCGTCTCTCTTTGTATCGATCCTAGCTTTTACATTGTTATTACTGTGTGGTGCCGATGGAGCGGCGGCAGCGGCGGTGGCAGGTTTACTCGAAGTCCCGTTCTTTTCGCCATTATTATTACTACCACCACCGTTCTTCCCCTTGTTGGCCTTCCTAGCCTTAGCCTTCTCGCGCTTCTCGCGATTCCGGCGCGTCTTCTCCTCGTCGTGGCGCTCTTTCTCCTCGCGGGTGCGCTCGAACTCGAGGCGCGCGCGCTCCTGGGCAACTTCTTCGTCCATCCGCCGCAGGCGCTCGTACTCCCGGCGCCGGCTCGCTTTATACACGTGGAACTCGCCGGACCCCGCGCCGGCGCTTGAGCCCTGCACGTTGGTCACGATTTCGGGAGGGGGTGGGAGTTCTCTGCCTCCGCCGAGCTTCTTGCCATTGGAGGTGGTGGTGGCTACGGAGGGGATCCGGATCTCTTGGTCAGGCTTCGCGAATAGCTGGTCGACGGTGCGCGCTTGTGCGGACACGGGGGTCAGGGCGCGCTTCTTGGTCGGGCGCTTCGAGCGCGGGTCCGCGGACGTGGGGATGCTTTCGGGGCCTTCGCCGGACATGGTTGGGGTAGTAGGGGTCTTGGGAGGATTCGGTTGGTTTGGGGGGGTTTTTTTTTCGGTATCCGGCAACTACCTACTGGGTAGCTAACAAGATCGTCAAGAATTTGGCGCCGCCCCGCCTATCCCTTTCCGATTCCGTCGTGCAGGTGGCCTTGTTATTGAGGCTGAAAAAAAAAGATTTCGTGTTATCTACTTAGTATGGAATTTTTTGGTTCAGGAGTCGGGATCGTATGTTGGTGGCGTGATGCGAACGTTCCTTTTTTGCTTCTTCTTATGTTTATCGCTATGATAGGGAATGAAAAGGGGGTATAATTTTGGTTGGATGATTCGAGAAGCATGCGATAATGTTGGGGAATATTGGATTATTATGGAGAAGAGAGTTGCATTAGCCTGTTCGGTCGATGGCAAGTGAGTTGTTCTGGAAGTGTGGTGTTTTTTTTTTTTTACTTTTCTTCCTTCCACGAGGCTGTAAAAAGATTTATAAAAAGATTTATAATATTCAATGTTGGATGACGAAAGGTAAAGGATGAGGCTACCTATGGTCCTATGCCCAAAAAGAAAGAAAAAGTGGTCCCATTTCCTGGAGGGTAACGCCACACCTCGTACTGTGCATTCGGCAGATAAATGCATAGGCAAACCATACCGGTACCCCGCGGGTCGCCCTTGGCGGCTTGGCCCCTTGCAGCGTGTAAAGCCAAGCACAACCCAAGGCTGGAGCCGAAATCGGGCCCAAATGGGTCAAGATTGCTTTTTTTACATACGTCGTAGTATCCTTCTCCAGCAGGGCTATGAACCAATTAAGATACAGCATTCACAGACAACTGAGCGTTTTAGGCTTTTTTTAGTATTTTTACCCTTTATGCCCTTGACTTCCAGGGGGGGTAACCTAGATAAATTTGGCACAGGTAATGGTATTTTTGAAATTGGTTGGACGAGAGAGGATTTGAAACAACCTTGGAAACCAAACTTTTTACTACTAGTAGTAGTGTGACTGGCACTGACTGCATCACTCACTGACCCCCCCTTGCCCACTGTGTCCACTCTTACTTCACGATTTCAAATCCGGTAAAAATACCTTACTACCTACCACACAGTAAAAGTTACAACCCTACCACAACCTAACCTAACCAGCCTACTAGGTAGTGGCTATTTATACATAGCTATTGGCGTCGTCCGTACTACATGGCAAAGACATAGCAGCCAATTATTCAAACATCACCAACCTATTTAATATCGTACTGTCTCTCAGCCGGTTAGGCGCCAAAGAGGCAAAATTGACTGACAGACAACATCGAAATACGTGGACTACTTCATTCAGTGAATGATTTGGAATTACCCCTCTAGCATAGAGCAGCAGATCGAAATTCAATATCTTCTTTGATAGTCCCTTTCGATCGAGTGACCTTAAGCACCATAGCATTGTGTTTTTATATACAGTTACTTTAACCTTCCAAGCGAACCTCTTCCAAGACAGACACCCGAGTCTTAGTTTATACCACCCACACATCCAGCCAACCAACAAGGCGAAATCGATTTCTCGCCATTCGAAAGTTCACATCGACTAGGAATATCGTAGGAAAGCTCCTCCAAGAAAACAAGTCAAAATGGGTCGTCCAAGACTTATCATATTAATCAGACATGCCCAGTCTGAGGGCAATAGTATGTCGCCACCCCCGCTCGAGACTCAACTGCCAGAAACTCACAGACGACCACTATAGAAAACCGCGAGATCCATCAAACCATCCCTGATCATAGAGTCAAATTGACTCCCGAAGGATGGCAACAAGCCCGAGACGCAGGCCGCCGGCTGCGAAAGCTACTCCGCCCAGACGACACCCTCCAATTCTATACTTCGCCATATCGACGAACGAGAGAAACGACAGAAGGTATCCTGGAGACTCTGTCCTCGGATGATCCCGACCCCTCGCCTTTTAAACGATCCAATATGAAAGTATACGAGGAACCACGCTTAAGAGAACAAGACTTTGGAAACTTCCAGCCCTGCAGTGCTGAGATGGAACGCATGTGGCAAGAGCGTGCTGATTATGGCCACTTCTTCTACCGTATCCCCAACGGAGAGAGCGCTGCCGACGCCTACGATCGTGTCTCGGGCTTCAACGAGAGCTTATGGCGGCAGTTTGGGGAAGATGACTTCCCCAGTGTGTGTGTACTAGGTAGATAACCACATAACCCTCCCTTGCTATTCTTGAACGCCCTTGTCTCTAACATATCAACTTAGTAACTCACGGTCTCATGTCACGAGTCTTCCTCATGAAATGGTATCATTTCTCGGTCGAATACTTCGAGGACTTACGAAACGTGAACCACTGCGAATTCCTCATCATGAAGAAACAAAAGGATAGTGGCAAATATGACCTTGAGAATAACTTGCGGACATGGTCTGAACTCCGTCGAGAGCGGGCTGCCATCAAAGCTAAGGAGGATAAGGAGCTCGCAGAAACGGGGAAGGAGAGAGAACCTGCCAAAATAGAGAGGCAGAGCACTACACCTAGCCAACCACGAAAATGGGGCGGTTGTCCTCATGGCTGCAACCACGGCAAGAACTTTAAGATACGACGCGACTTGGCTGAGCTTAGGCAACACGATGAAAACTGCGCCAAGAACGGTACTACCCATCCTGTCCCTGAAGTTAATGGCAGTATAGCCACTCGTAGGGCGCCGGCGAAGAGATTCCTAGGACCCAACAATTCCGATGACGACTCGGACGATCCTCGGGGTAAGATCCCTCCCCAAATCGACATTACTAAAGCCCAAGATGAGGTTGTTTCTTCGCCGGACGGGACACCTTCTTTCATAACTATAGAGGACCGACTTCGTAACGCGCTTAAGACTCCTCAGAAGTCGTCATTTCTCCACCTTGGTCGCGACTTCGGTGGAACTTATTCAGGTCATGCTAGTGAGGAGGAATTCTCGGAGAACGATGCTCGACTACGCCTCGCTGCTAAGGCGGCGCGCGTTAAGAACGGCGAACGGAACGGGAATCTAGCGAATGTCCGAGAACCCTCGACAACACGCCATACACACGCGAACAGGCTCGGCGACGCACCTAGTAACTCTGATCAGGGGTCTGATGGTGGTGACGAAGCTGAAGATATCGACAAGGCTGAGCGAGAGGATAAGAGCCTTCGGGGGAGCGTATACTAAGCGAAAAAGAAAAACGAAATTGACATTACTGATGTGCTATTACGTGAATAGTAAGCGGTCCATTTGGCAGGCTGGAGATACCCTTTATGATTAGTGCGCATGAATAGAATGGATGTATATTATACAAGCGTACCTAGGTACCTAGGTGTTATAAAAGGACAGCTTTATTTTGGAAAAATGTCTTATGTGTCAACAATTGCAAACACCATGCTGTCGTTTCTGACTTGATGACTTCACCCTTACAGATAGATACATCATTATTATCACAGTAGAAGCATACAAAGTCCATTCTCTTCGTAAGTACATGTGAACTCTCCCTACTTACCTACTAACCTGGGTAGATTTGTCATGTCAGGAGGTAGTGGTCAATGATGTGTATTAGAACATATTCACATATCACGCTTGCTACCTCAGGTATTGCTTGAGATGTAATATTTCGCTTCATGGTAAGCTAGTAAGTACTGTAGATCAACTATCTACCTACCCAACTGTGATGTCGAACAGCAGGTGCGATATCAGCCTCGCGCATATCTAACCTGGGCAGCCGCTCATGGAGGCGGTCCCATTAACGTCGTCAACTGCTTGGGAAGATTCATGATCTCCGAGATGGGGTTGCCGCTGTCGTCGCGGAAGAGTCGCAATACCTAGGTACCTCACATAGGGCTGCGTACACTTGACGGCTTATGCCCAAGAGAGAACAGAGTACCTAGGTAGGTATAGCAAGAGCCTTTTTTCAGCGAGCGAGTTGACGTCTGAATCAATCTCGGTGTTTTGTCGCATTGGGACTAGGCGTGAGATATCAGGCGCCCGGCCTGCTTTTTTTTTTTTCACGTTCGATGGGGCCCGTCCGGGATGTGTGGATCTTGATCCTCGTCGCCGTCATCCTGGTCAAAGGGGACTGGAGGCGGTGGGGTGTCTTCGAGGATGCGTAGTTATGCTTACATTCATCGTGATCAGACTCGAGTGTCGATGAGTCGTCGACGACGTCTGGCATAGTGTCGTCGCCGTTCGGTATAGCGTCTTCGGCTGGCATAGCGTCGTCGACGTCTGGTATAGCGTGTTCGGCTGGATGTAATTCATCACCGCCGCCATTACCCAGAACATAGCCGCTGCGCGTCTTTCTGCGCTTCGATGCCAGAGGTACGGAGCGTTGATTGGGGATTCTAGCTCTTTTTTTTCAGGTGGCATCGTCCTTGAATGTGAGATTCCTTAAATAGTGGAGGCGGATGTGTATAGGAATTGAATAAGCGGGAGAGGAGATGAATAACGGTTTGTATGAGAAAAGATATATATATATATATATATATGAAAACAGCATGAAGTCAAACGCTGTAACCATTATGATGGTCTGTTTACCTTCGAGACGCGCACAATTGCTATCGAGGTAGATGTAGCTTTAAAGCCCCAAGGCACCAACACAACCCCCGACACATATCTCCGGTGTTGGAAGTGTGCATCGAATGAAGGCATACAGCCAGCTCCCCGTTGTGATAGTTCGTTTCGAGGAAATGCCCGTGAAGTGAAGTAGGTGTACGGGCACGGGTACGAACTACAGTAACCCGTCCCCCTTCTCCCCCCCCCCCCCCCCCCCAAAGAAAAATGCCCATTTTATGGTAGATGGAAAAGGGGGAGGGAGTCGGAGGAGGGAATGCAATCGGGGTGTATGCCCCTCCCCCCATTTGAGGGCATTCTTATCAATTATAGCTTGTGTCGGCGCTAGCATACCTAGGTAACGAACAGTACCCGTCGCTGCTCCAGCACCTAATCGGTGTGCTGCGTCCATGTTCGCGTATGTGATACGTGTGATGACAGAGGAGCCAGTTCTCGTCAACATCCTCTCCCTCTCCCCAGAGCAAACCCCTTCTTGAGATGCGGCATTTTTATTGGCAGATGCTTGTGCCGCAGGTATTGCCAGCTCGTGGTCCGTTGTGGTACCACACCACGCCCCCCCCCTCCTCTCTCATTATAAAGGGGGGAAGGGGGTGGCTCTCCAGGCGGACACCCCCAGTCCGCTTTGGTTTGGGCAGTTCTGTGCTCCTTGGCTAGGGCAAGGCGTGCGCAGAGGAAGGACTTCTTGGAGAGGCGCACCCAGCTCTCGCTGCAAGCCGCCCTTCCACTCTGGTCCGGTCTATGCCGGGCCTGTGCTTGTGGCCGACCGACTATCGCTAGCTGCTTCTTCCTGGCTGTCAAGTGCTTCTAGTTTTTTTTTTTTTTTTTAGGTTTTTTTTTCGTTACATCGCTTAGTAGGTCCGCCACGGCACGGCGAGCGCGGAAAAGTCAGGTCCTGGGGAGTCGCTCTTCCAGCGCTGGGTGATGGGGGGCTTTTTTCTCTTTTTTTTCTTTTCGCCCGCTGGTTGGCGGACGCATCAGGTGCGATCTTTCTGTTTGAGATGCAAGGGGAGTCCTCGGGCAGGCGTTTGAATCGGTGGACGCGGCCTGGCAGGGAAGAATCGGGAGGTACTTAAGCGCACCTTGATGAAGACAGGCCTTCAGAGCCTCTCTGGTCCGCATCGCGATAGTGCCGTGCTTACTGTGGGTTGTGCATACGAGGATATGAGAAGAATATGGTATCTAGTGTTTGTGTTTATATAAGTTGATGGGGAGTAAAGATGGTGAGAATATATTTCGTTTTTGTTGGTAGGTAACAGGACATATAGACCAAGGGCGGATAACATGGTGAAGATGTAAGAGTATAAATATGCTGGACTAATCAGTTGAAAGCCTACCAGATGTTGGGTGGCAAACGGGTTAGGAATAGGAGGTAAATAAGGAGAGAAATTAGTCAGGGGTGACAAAAGACTCACTTCGCGTGCTCAAACAGCAACTTAGTTGCCATAGCAATATCAGGGTTATTGCTACCACGCGCCTGGGTAGGGACCAAGTTCTCCAGACTAGCAGATGTTATGCTGAAGTGGACAACTGGTAAGGGGTATTTCGGCTTATATGGGGCTCCTCTCTTCCTGGTTTCAGTAGAGCAACCAAGGCGAGGACGAGGACGAAACGGACCTACTCTTTCGAACGGGTCTGTCTTCTGGCATTTAAGAGGACGCCCTGTATTTCTCTGTCGCTCTCCTTCTGGAGCTGCTGTCTTTTGGATGACCGTGTCTGGATTTGTCCCTCGCCTTCTTTCGCCGCCTCTTACTCGGCCTTTGCGCTTTCAGGCGAGGACAGGCATGGTTATAGGCGATGTGAATGTTGAATTAGGGATAGAGAGTTGGACTATTGTGGTGTCCGTAGATATATATTTCGTCTATAACTATATGGCTCGGTAGCTGTGTAAGATGCTAGGTTAGTACCTAGGTAGGTAATAAATATCCGCGAGAACCAAGATTGTGCACAGGATACCACACAAGCGGAAAGGGGACTGTACAACAAGCTCACCGAAAGTTTCCTTTCCATGCATAGGTATTCTAGGAATAGAGGATAGATATTCCCTTCATGAGCGATGCTTACCTAGGCAAGGGCACTTGCTAGCGGTCTGAGTGTATCGTGACTCATGCCATCGTTTGATTTTGGTCTTACAAAATGCTCATTTGTCTAATACTTAGAGTTGAGATACCCGTATTAGCAAATCAATCAAATCACCATCCGTGTGTTATGTTAATATGATTACCTACCGAGGTAAGTAGTGGTATTGTTTAGCAAGGCATGTGTCACTGAATCAATGAAGACTGCAATCCAGACTGTAGAACCTGTGGTGACTATAAGTCTAGGCTTTTTGATAATCTGCCTAAGTACCCTAGGTTAGCATATTACTTGGAAAGTCGTAGAACAACTCTTTTAAAACCCCTTAGGTACCTACCAACGCGTCATAGCTATTCTATTTGAGTAACCCCTGAGTAGTAGTGACGCTTATGTAGTGATAGAGGATGCACCATGCTAAAACAGCCATGCCACTGTCCAAGATTAGCTCGGATGACTACTACCTACGGTGGAAATATTCATGAAGCTTTGGTGAAGTTTGATGTCTTGTATTCGATACTACCTACTAGGTAGGCAAGTAAGGTACGCACCTAGGAATGGCAACAAACAAAAGAGGACACTGATCGGTTTAATTACAACTCATAGTTTTCTAGACTTTCATACAAGGCAGCATTTCCGTTTTTACAAAAAACAAGAAATCATAAAGAGGCATAAATGAGTCAGGATGTCAGCAAAGCAAGCCATCTCATCTATTTCATCTATGCTGAGAAACCTTTTAGACCAGACCGTTGGTAATAGGGGTATGTCCGTCCTCTCCATAGTTCGCACCTATGTGACTTGCTCAGTATCTTCATTATTTTTCTTTTCCCCCTTTATTCACCGCCGCCTGAGCCATATTGCTGTGCCTTCTTGGCACTGCAAATATCATCCACTCTTAACAAGAGACAAGCAGCCTATAATCAAATTAGCATCCATAGAGTCAAATACGATAGTTATAGAAGCTTACCTCGATAGCCGTCTTGATACTCTGCAGCTTGATGGCTTCTGGCTCCCAGATACCGTACTCCTGCATGTCCACGATGGCTCCAGTGTCACCGTTGATACCCCACGAACTCTTACCCTCTGCTTGCTTGGCACGAAGCTCGGTAAGGACTCTTACCGGACTGGCACCGGCATTCTGTACTAGTGTTCGGGGAATTACTTCCAAAGCATCAGCAACCGCCTTGTATGGCCATTGCTGCACACCCTCAATGTCTCTCGCCAGTTGGTTCAGTCGTACGGATACAGCCATTTCCGTGGCACCGCCACCTGGTGATAATCTGGGGCGGAACATGACATTCCGAGCGACTCCCATAGCGTCCTGAAGATTCCGCTCAATCTCGTTTAGGATATCCTTGGAGGGTCCTCGAAGGAGGATTGTGCAAGCCTTGGGGGTAGTGCACTTGGTAAGGAAAGTAAAGTATTCGTCACCAATCTTCTCGATCTCAAACAGCCCACACTGGGTTCCAATATCCGACTCCTGGAGATCGTCCACCCGGTTCACAATGGTAGCACCAGTAGCGCGTGCTATTCTGTTGTTGTCCGTCTTCCTGACTCTGCGGAGTGCCGTAATGTTGGCCTTCATGAAGTAATGTTGTGCGAGATCTGAGACGCCCTTCTCCGTAATGACCAGGTCGGGCTTGAAGGCTAGAATGGACTCGCACATAGCCTTGACTTGCTCCTCCTCGATTTGTAGAATACGTTCCCAGTCCTCTTCTTTGCTGATTTCAATATTCGTCTGGGACTCTCCCTTCTTGTACTCCAACGGGCAATCCAGAAGAAGAATTCTTGGGTTCTCGATCCTTCTTCGCATCTTGGGGTGCGTAATGTCCTTGTTGAGCATGACTCCGTCCAAGACCCTGCTATCTTCGATCTCGCCACCAGGAACCTTCTCTATACGCGCGTATCGCTTGATATCGACTTCTTGCTTGCCATTTCCTGCTTCCCATGTGACGGTGCGGACGGCGTTGAGAGCTAGACCGCACATTAGGTCGGTCCATCTGGAAACGAACTTGGTACCGATGGAAGAGGAGATTAGGCCAAACATGGCCTTGTCGTCGTTGACATCTATGGGTAAGGATATCTCGTCGATGATCTCTAGGGCATCCTTGAGTGCGCGCTTGAAGGCGGAGATGATAACAACGGGGTGTATGTTTCGCTCTAATTGAGGAAGGGCGTATGCTAGAATCTCACCGGCTAAAGCACTTGTTAGTTGTGAAGACAAGAAGACCCCATGGCCACATAATACTAGTGGTGCTGCTCACCCATAATAATGACGGTGGTTGTGCCGTCGCCAACTTCCTCATCTTGCGTTCTGCTAAGCTCGATCATACTCTTTGCAGCCGGATGTGACACCTCGATTTCTCGTAGAATAGCGTGACCGTCGTTCGTTAGAACAATACCACCCATAGGATCTAGCAGCATCTTCAGCATGGCTTTGGGACCAAGACATGATCGAATAATATCGGAAACACTAGGGATTGAATTTAGCGGGGGGGGAGAAGGTCGAAGAACGGGAGTCATACGTCTTTGCGGCGGCGATGTTGGAAAGCTGAGCCTTTCGTCCAGTTTGCCTATCACCACTTTGGGTGTCTGAGATTTAAATATGGTTAGTCTTGGGCACTGAGCTCACATGGGGGATGGGGGATGGGTGATGGATGATGTATAGTAAATAATGGATGGAGGGGCAACTCACTCATAACCACAACGGGAGCCTGCATCTTGACTGAATTTTGCTTGCAATAACTTGTATATTTAGGGTATTTTTGTTTGATATAGACTGATGTATTATCAGTAATCCCTTATGCGAAAATATTACAGGACAAGTCTTGGGTCGAAATGTCGAAATGTGAAGCTTCAAGGTTGTTTGGTGATCTCGAATAGTGTTTCCCGCCTGGAATTTTTTGGAGCTCCCCCGCGGATAATGGAAAAGTAATTTCACCGTCTACGTGTAGATAAGGTACCTAGGTACTTAGTCTAGGTACCTACATACTAGGTATGTATGTAGTATTTTTGGGGATTATTTTTGGAGATCCACACATATTTCAGTGCAACTGGTCTGTGCGCAACGCACTCTAATTCAACGTCAATAGGGGGGTATTGTACCTTACCCAGCTACACCACCCAGGTATACCATTACAGGTATACCTAGTACCATTACACCTACATCATCACTTCTTATCTAATCTCTGTGTATGGGCATCTCTCTTCTTCACATACTCAACCTTCCAAGTCAAAGCATCTGGATAAACAGAGAATAACGACCATCATCCTATTCTCATTTAGAAGTAGTTTGACGTTGATGATTATGACCATTGAAATCGACCAAGCTCGCCGAAAGATAGTCCGATGTCAGTAGTTAGATCTCCATACGTTCATGGATCTGAGACGACCATTACACCCTTCCGAGATGTAAGAAGCAATGAACCACTCCAGGCGTCATTCGGATGTCTACCGTCAGTAGAGGTGTTATTACACAGTAAGTTGTTTGTTTCCGTCTAGACGATTGTCTCCCCCCTCTGGTGTGAGAGGACTACATTTCATGAGTAAAAAGTCCGAGTCTCCTAGGCCGTCATCTCGTATGAGCAGGTCAACTGATATATCTATCATATTTCTACTACTGTACCAGTCGTCATATCTAGGCGTCATATGACCCTACAGCTTATACACTCGACACGTTCTACAGGGAAGCCAAAGACCCAAGGGATGTTTATCCCTCCTAAGACATACATATATCAGCCAGCTCCCCTTTTTGGCAAGAGAGGGCTAGACACCTGACGCAACTTTCAACTCATCCATTCCAAGTAACCACCCTCCCCCATCTCCCCTCCACAGAATTCCTCTACTGCCTCGTATCCATCACCTCTGATCCATGACCGCCTACCTGTTGGCCACAACTTCTTCCTCGTACATAGAGGACTAGACTACCTATAGCCACGATGTTAGAAGAAAAGCTTGGTAAGTAGTCATCGTAATATGCAGCCAGTAATCTCGTAGGGCATACTGTACATAAGCATAAAATCGCAGTTATATGCCGGAGGAGCATGCTTACTTGCAAGGGGGAACATTGAAGGGAGGGGGCGGAAGTAACATAAGTACGGGGTTTCCAAGATTTGTTCAACTACCGCGACTCTACCTATATCTCGAGACACCGCCAAGACAGGAAGAGCATCGCATCCGATGCTATCATCTAATGGTAAAGAAAAAAGCGAGTACGGTAAATACCTAGTCATTGGATCGCGAAAATAAAAAGGAGGTGGAGGGGGGAAGAGGAAGGAAGGAAGGAAGGAAAAAGAGAAACCTGCACGCCATCGGCAATCAAGCGGAAACAGTCTCGAGGCAAGGCATTGTTGTTGCCGAAGCCGATTTCACAACAGCTCCAAGCGAACCGAAGCCGACAAAACGTGCGATCTAGAGTGTTTGGAGATCTGCAAACTGCGAGCATGCAGATGGCATGCAGATGGGATGGTGGTGGTGGTGGTGGTATGCTTGCGAACGTCTCGTCTCGCATTGAAGCCAAGACTGGAGCACAGCAGGAAACAGGAGCTTACTTACATACTTACTCGCTCTACAGTTGCCGTAGAGGAGTTGAAGTAAGTAAGTAAGTAAGTACATGAAGCAAAGGTGTAAAGTGGTGGACCTCCAAGTGTGTAGGTAAGACCAGCGTCGTATCGCAGAAGGGCTGCGATCTCGGACGCAACCACTATGAGAGACAAGCAGGACGGCAAGATGCATACAGGCGCGGTCCCATGACATGAGTGCTTACGTCCTAACCGGACCACTATATGTGTGTCGTATGCGTAGGTATGTATGTAGGGTTGTGTGTATGTGTTTACGCGCGCGCGAGAGAGAATAGAAAGAGAGCGCGATGGCGACTGTACACACACGACTGCTTATCGTTTCATTTTCCCGGTATTTCTCGTCAGTGGAGGCAAGCAGGCAGGCAAGCATACCACCAGCTAGATCGGAGTAAGGGTGCATGCGTTTGGGCGATATGAACGATCTGAATCGCGATTCGGGTGCTTGCTTGCTTTGTCCTTTCTCGATACCTAGGAGAGACAAGCAATTTTTCTTGCCGAGCGTCACACACCAAATCCAATTACCCGTATAGAGAGTTCTAGGTACACAGTATTAGAGAGATAGAGAAATGAGGGAGGGGAGGGGGGGGGGAGCAAGAGCAAAAATTTGAGGCGTCATGCTGCCACACACAACCTTACGCGGAGGGTTACGTCTCTCGCTCTCTTTCTCTCTCTTATCGGTCGCACACCCAGCCACTTAACCTGACAACCATCGGGTTCAGATATGCCGGGCTTGAGTGTCACGCTGGGCTCCTATCGTAGGGGGCGAATAAAAATTTCAATCACCATCATCGTCACCATCGTCACCATCGTCATTCGAGATCGGATGCGCTGGAGGCAAAAAAGGGTTTGCATTTCGTTTCCCCAAAGTCCCGGCCCTCGCACGTTATTACCGTAGACATTCGCGCGTGACGTCTAGGTAGGTATGTATGTATGTATGTAGATACACAATTTCAATTCCCAGGGTAGTTATTATCTTCACACATCATATCAAAAGTTCGAAATGGCCTGATTTATTAAGATCCTTCTACAAATGACGAGCGATGATTGGAGGTGGTCTGGCAAGCTTGCCAGGTAATGGGATTCTGCCCTTGGACGGTACCGAGGCATCTACTGTGTCTTCCTCGGGCCCCTTACAGCTTGGGCCCTATGTAAATGCGGTAGCCCCTCGTAACCCAAGATAGGGGTGGCGAGTATGTATGTAGGTAGTAGTTCATCCTCGCGTATGATATGGATACCTAGATAGATAGATAGATAGATAGGCAGTGGCCCATATCTCAATTGCCCAGCTTTCCCTCTGTGAAAGAGGTTGGTTTATTCCCGAAGCCGTACCTAAGGTTGGGTGAAACCTCAGAAGAAGTTTTCCCCCCAGATAAACCCCCCTTTCGGTATCGCAGTCCCGTGCGTTCTCTCACCTAGAACTAGGAGAGGACCCGACTACGGACAATTTCGGCGGCTCGACACAGGTAACCCGTAGTTCCCGTCACACGTCGTTCTGCCTACATGTGTACTGCAGCGCTACCGCGACCCTTCTGCTGCTGAACCCTTTGCTCGGAGATGACTCCCATCCGGCGGATTGGGAGGAGTTGGTGCAAGCAAGGAATATATCTTCCTCCCGTGTGCTACTAGGTATAGCTAAAAACCCCCCGTGGGACAGGCGGATACCCTAACAAAGGCCTTCATGCCAGAGTCTCGACGCTGCTGGCCAGGGTTTGCATGCATTGTTTAAGCTGAGCTGAGAGCGGGACAGCGGTTCCCAAGCGGCTGGAAGCGACCAAGTATCATTAGCCCCAGCATCTACATGTCAGGAAGGATGGATGTATGGTGTTTACCTATGTACTGTAGGCAGCTAGGCCAGGGATCGAAAGCTGCTGCCCGCCCTTTCGGACCTCTCCCTTTCAGCTAAACCTAGTCACAGGAGGCAAGGGACACAGAACACAGACAACGGTAATGCGTAACATTAGCGTCTCAGAGAGTACATTTTGTACGATCCAAGTCCCGGTAAAAAAAAAAAAAAGCTCGTACATACATACCTATGTATGTACCTAAAAGGTCAGTGAAATGCCAACGACCCTATTTCCCTTCCCAAGCTTAGGTAAAGAAAAAAACCAAACCTGCAGCCGTAAGTGTGATGGGAAATGAGAACCGCTGCGTCGGTGCGGGGAGGCCAATGAGAGGAAGCGTGGAGAATTTCTCGCCCATTGCTGACGGCAAGCCACATCAAACTTGGGCCTATGCACTGTATGCCCCAAAGAGAAGAAGAAGAAGAAGAAGAAGACGAAGGGTGGTGTGTCGTTATAACCTTGAAAGCAAAGCGAAGCAGCGTGATCCTGCAGCAGGGCGTTGTAGTAGCCACGTTGAGAAACCATAACGTGAAGTTGACGTAGGAATTGGTATTGGCAGCAAGCCAGCCCCCCCCCCCCAATCAAAGTGGCGGCCTTTCAAGTCAGTCGTGACATATGTATTAGCTAAAAAGTCTCCAAAGGTTCAGGCGTACATAGGCGATCGCTAGTTTTTCTTCAAGTTCCAGAACGTGGGAAGCTCGTGGCTTGCCCTCGCAAAAAAAGGAAAAGCAAAAAAAAAAAAAAAAAAAAAAAATGATGATGATGATATAACAGAAACATGGCTCTGTCAAGGTTCTACGGCTACCTAATCTTGTGTCTCTCATCAGGAACTTGACTCTTGGGCTGACGTTCGAGATACCTACCTAGGTAGGTAGCTAGGTAGGCTGTAGATAGGGAGGAGATGCTGTCTCGCAGCCACGGACTGGTCCTGCACAAAGGCGAATCAGGGAAGCCGTCTAATGTGAGATGTAGTTTATGCACCTTACCTAGCTACCTAGCTACCCATGCGTAGTAGTAGGTAAAGCACATTCATTCTACGGACAATGCCGACTGCCATTACAGATTAATGAAAACTGAGCTCTAGACCCGACATGCACAGGTAGGCGATGGCGAGTCTGGCCCCGTCGTGTAACGGGATGTTTCGCCTCATCACAACTCTTATGCTTGGTTCTTGCTTTCGTGCCAACATACCCAAGTAGGTACCTACCTAGTATTCCTTTGCTGTTCCTAGATGTGATGCAGTCTCAGATGCGTCTTCTTGCACAACACGAGGGGCCATGCGGCAACGGAAAGAAGACAACAACAACAACAACCCAAGCGAAGAAGCCCGAGCGAAATTGTGTCACGGTAACGGCCGATCACGGGCGACGGAGCAGATATTGCGTTGCAGTAAGGCAGACAAGCTGGTACGATAGATATATTGCCATCTTCTGCGGCTGCATATACAAGAAAGAAAGGAGGACAGCACGACATCTCCTACCTGCCTGCCTGCCTACCTAATGCGCCATACAACAACATGCATTCCACTATATTCGATCCTGATTCCAAGGAGTCCAGTGCCTATATTGGGTAGTAGTGCTAGTGCTGTGTCACCTGTAAAAATTTCAACTATAGGTAAGAGTCAGCGTCTACCACTTAGATAGTAGGGACGTAGGTGTCGTTGCTAGGTAGGCTGGCAGGTCGGTTCCAGTTAGTTGACGGCTGTGGTTCGATGTTTTGACAGGGGCAACAAGGCATTTCGATGTGTAACATGACGTGTCGTCTTCTGTTCGACAGGCTCAAGGTAGTTTAGTTATTAATTATCCTAGGTATCATCCTAGGTAGGTTGTGTTGGTAGGCTAGGTAGGTACCTGCCTACGATTATCTTACATCCATACCTACATACATACCTAGAATTATGTGTAGGTATGTATGTTGTTCAAGTTCCATTGAATGACTCAAAGAAAAAGATCCATGAAACAAATGGCTCAGTCAGCACGGAGAGACGACTTCAAGCGGCTAGACATGCAGCGGCAGCAGCATCCATGGTAGGTAAGGTAATTATTGAGTCGACGCCCCCCGAGAGGGTTTTTTCGGTATGCACGGCAGAGTCCTTTCAATCCAACAGCTCTCTTGGAGCTACATACTACTTACACTAGCGAACAGTGAGCAATTCTAAAACGACCCTCGAGAAATCTGGAGTGTGTATGATCGCCATTGTAGATCGAGGACAACCAAGTTTCAACCAACGTCATGGGTTTAACCCATGTTATTCTCGTGTATGGAATCCATGTCAGATATTTGTATGTATGAGACTCGTTTAGTAGTACTTTGTAAGCTGTGTACCTATCCATGACTGAACTGGAATGCGGCTGACGACGAATTCTCCGGTATTTTATTTTATTACATGTATCTTTTGGTTCGTTACAAGGTTCACAATCCTCATTAACTGTGTAGGTATGTATGTAGTTATTCCTAAGTAGTTTAGTAGAACATGGGATAGGGGATGGCACAGCATGCCTACATACATAGTACCTGAGAGGGTGACTCTTGACAGCGGCTTACTGAACCAACTAGGTTAAAAGCCAACTAGGCTTAGGAACTTTTACTTAAGTGTTACGTACAGCACTGAGGTCTCTGTATCAACATTAGTTATGTAGGTATCACTGTATCAGCCAATGCTGTTACTACATGTCCACCTAGTGCAGGTAGTCATGCACAGCCGTCTATGAACTACATACATTGGTATGATAAGGCAATGCCAAGCATATAGAATGCGGGGTTTTAGCTGATACGACCCTGAGATATACAAGCTTGGTAAGTTCCACATTCCTTTTCAATGTTCCAATAGCTGTAAAACGGAAGCCGTACTTTTGTTGGTCGAGGTGGGAAGATAGGCTGCATAGAAGACAATGCCAATGTTCGGTTGTCCTATTACCAAACGAGCCATCGAGCCAGACCTATGGGTAGCCTCTGGGCGCACTTCCATGAGCAGCTATTATAGTAGTCGATATATTGATATATATACGGATATCAATCATATCATAGTACCCTAGGTAGTAATGCCCCAGACCAGGTGCAGAGGCAGCAGAGCGACAATGCGCAATGCGTCAACGGAGGTCCGGCAGATAGACCCTCCGAAAAGGACTTGACCTCCTTACCTATCAACTATGTATCAACCTTGGAAGATCAAATTGGGGTCGAATATGATATCGTAGGTACCTAAGCATGCATGCATCTCCATGTTGTTTCTATAGGTAGATAACGTACCTTACGGAGTACAGCAGAGCCATACAGCAGAGCCATACAGCAGAGCCATACAGCAGAGCCATACAGCAGAGCCTATATGTGAACATCCACATCCACATACATGGGACACTACATATCATCATTGATATTCGTAGAACCAACTGTATAAACCAATACATATGCATAAAACCGATAGCAGTTTCAATATACCTAGGTATTCCGACGCTCCCGATGCTCCCGATGCCCCTATTCAGGATATCGAACAGTATGACCCGTATTACATTTACTACTACATGAAATCGAATGCATCGAATGCAGCGAATGCAACTCCTGGTCGGACGAATGAAAATCTTTGTGTAACTTGGGGGCCACGACGTATGAAGACCGAAAGGGATATACTCGCAGGAGAAGTTGCTAAATTGGGATTGATCGTCGCTTAGGCACACTGAAGAGGTGTGTAGGTTAGGTATGTTGTATTTTTAGTGACAAGAATGTTAAAAGTTCATTACTACTAGTTAGTAGTATTACCATTGAGAAGAACATTGAAGATTTTGGAGTTTGGAAAAAAAAAAAAAAAAAAAAAAAAAAAAGGAGAAAGGACTAGAAAAAAAAGAGATACGGCTTCTACCGAATTGACCACGATTATCCCAACCTGGTTTGCGGCAGCGACGGTGGATAACAAAACGGATACTAAGGAACAGGGTACTTATATCTTCATGGGCTTTTTGTTGGTGTTGTATGTACCTAGGTAGTTATGAACATTGACCATAAGAGCCTTGAGATTTCAAGGGTCTTTACGCTAACTGTATTAGTGCTTAGTGTCCTTGGTTGGTGCAAATGTCCTGATGAATATCGAAATGTCATTGGGGGATTGCTCATAATCCGGGGTTGATGGCAAGGATCTAACTGGGGAAAGGCTGTTTTCTTTCGGGCAAAACCCCGATGCGAGGCACAAATATGTACTATGTACACTGTACTGGAAATTTGACGGGAATTAAATTCTCTTTCGCTTTCGTTTAAGGTAACATCAGAGCCTTAAGGCTAAGGCTCTTAGCACCCTCGAGCTACCCAGAACCGCCCAGAACTAGTTACCTAGGGACCTAGGGTAACGCCCATGTTTAGTGTCGAGCTAGCAGAACAATGTGCCGATTAATAATCCTCACTCTTACATTATGATAGCTAATTAATCTCTTTTTAGTTCTTAAAACACTCGCGTATTCTCCAGGACCCCAGCATCATACCCAGCATCATACCCAGCATCATACCCAGCATCATACCCAGCATCATACCCAGCATCATACCCAGCATACGCCCAGCATACACCTGGTTTGATAGACAGTCGAGATCTGTGGAACTAGAGTTAAGGCTTAGCCTTGCGATGAGTAGATGATATGATATCTGACAGTACGCCGTACGCCGTTGACACTTACATAGTACACATTTTAAACCCAGTCGCAAATCTATTTTGACCACCTCCTTACTTAACCTGGAAATATCCAATGCTAAGAATGAAATTATGATTGCTAATGTAGTTATCTGACCTAGCCTCTCTCCTTACAGTACTTTTACTAGTACTGAGTACCTACACCACCTAGGGTAGGTACATAGTCTTGAACTTCGTTTCCAGATCGCTAGCAAGTTTGGAATCTCCAGAAATCTATTGTCAAAAGGACCAAACAGGTGGGCCGTGTCCTTCAATGTTAAACTACTACTAGGTAATAGTAGGTATTAATGAACATCTGGGATTCTGGGTAGGTACATACATGCCTTATTACCCAGTCATACACATAGGTGGTCCATCGTCCAACAAACTCACAATTATCGTGCAATTATGGCGCAATATGCGTAATTAAGACAAGAAAAATACAGCATGATTACATCCAGATAATTTGACCACTCAATACGGCACATACATATGTACTGGCTCCTCCTTTTTGTCTTGGCGATGCACAACGACGTAGGTCGATGCTCATGTGACCAGAGTCTCCTGCCGGTAAGCGACATGAATCACACTTCACTTCTGGGGGACAGCAGTTCACGCCCACGGAGGGTCTCGTCTGAGGTGATACTACATACCAGCTTTAGCCTCTTCTTCCTCTTCTTCTGCTGCTTCCCCTGCAAGGAGGCCTGCAAGGCACCAATATTAGGCCCCAGAGCACTGGTATCATCATCATGGGATGGGTGGTGGGCTACACGTAGATAGTTAGGCAAGGTACCTTAATAATGGCCAACATTTATACCCGACGCCGACTCACGATATGACAAATCTACGTGTTCTGTCAAATAAAAGATCTTTGACGGATATACTTTTCAAGCATGGGTACTGCGACTATGCCGTTCCTGCATACGAGCCCTGCCATAATAGTCGGCACAAGAAAAGATTCTACAGCTGATTACCACATGGTTCAACTCCCTAGACAAGCACTCTATACCCCAAAGCGGACGAACACGGCTGACGATATCTCACATTTCTCAGCTTAATAAACGAGAAGCCCTGTGACCTAGATAAATGCACTGTAGTTTGAAGAAATTAGGCTGTTGGGGATAGTAAGCAACTACTACGTAGGTAGGTAAGATGTTCTGGCCCGGATTCGAATCCAACTCTTTTGGAGAACACCCTTCCACCCCTCCTCGTGATAATACCTAATCCTCACGATCCCGAACCTTCGTCCCAACCGAATGGGACGCACTGCTTATCGGGTAATATTCTGGGCAATAGAGAGACTCATTTCCAAGAATTCGGCTACCGCCGAACAAGAGAGGACGAGAAAGGTATAGACATAAGAAAAAAAAAACTTTCAAAAATTCGCCTTCGCAAAAAGGATCGCTAGGCCCGAAACTTACTGCTCTGATTCTAGCCTAGCTTGGCCCGTCTTGATTATCACTAATGATCGTAGCGTGTGTTTCCAATTCCAAGGTAGGTAGGTATGTACTACTATGTAGTGCATGTACAGTAGTTATGTTGTATTGCACCGCCAATCAAACTAGCCATCAGGCACCAAGATACCTCCATCTAAGGTTCTGCGCAGCCTGGATGAACACTAGGCCATATTGATTGTTATACGCTTCGGCTCCGTAGCCTTAAAGAAAGAGAGAGAAAAAAATGGTGAGTGAGCCGACAAGGTATGCATTAGCTGACAAGACAAACAGGGACGCACTTGAAGAGATATTGGCTTAGTTAGTGGACGATGAGAAAAGTAAAGCTCGACCCAATCCCTTGGGAATAATATCGCGCATCTGGACCAATCAGGATCATAGTTACGGGGGTTGTGTTCAGGTTCTTCTCTCGCTCCGTTCCAAATCTAGAATTCCTCTCATGGTGAGAGAAATTTTTAAAAAAAAATGGTGGCTGTCGCTCCCCTAAACCACATACATACATGCCCACATACCATACCATACCATACCTAAGCTAGCTGAATGACACATGCCCACGTTTTCTCCAAGCTAGGTTCTCTGTATTAAATGAAGTCGGCGACTTCAAAATCCAAAGGTTGCCGCGCTTGCGAGCTAAAACCCCAGGCAAATTATCTTTAGTGCATTGATAGCGTTGGTTGCTGCTCAAGGCTCAAGGCTCATGGTAACTAATTATGTATATAAAATTTAGGGCTTTGGGGGGTTAGGAGGAACGGAGGGTGGAGGGGCGGGCAGCGGGCTTGGTTCGTCAATTTGTGTCTATCGAACGCCAAATTAGAGCAAAAGGAGTTAAGAGGCTGAATTAAACCCGCCGATGATCATCGACAGGAGACTTGTACTACCATCGCAAGGTACTAGGTTAACAGTTAGTTAACTAGGTACTAGGTATCATAACTACCTAGATTCATAGCAAGAGAGAAGAGACACCAAAAATATGTCTCCATCTTTCCTGGCCTTAACCGCGCTCAGGTCGCAAGGTGTCCCTTGGTAATCAAGCGATCAGCTAAGCGAAAAAGATGCTGTTCAGTGTTCACAGACCGTTCAGTGTTCCACCATCAGCCCGTGCCGCTTTGCTTGCTTGCTTGCTCTGGCGCGTCCCGTCCCTTTTTGGTAACTGACTTGAGCCTTTTGTCCCTTCTTCCCTTACCTTGGCCTCGGAAATTCGAGGCGTTCCGAAGTCCGCCATGACGGGAAAACCCATCTCTACCTACTAGTAGGCTTAAGGCTAGCAGGCTGTATGTATGTAAATCTCACTTACAACATAGACCTACTACTAGACCTATGTACTGTAGGTACTAGGTAGCACACACAAAAAATGAAACCCATTGGCTTGGGATACGTTTCACCATATGAACGGTTTAGGATAAAAGAATTCTCGGAGGCAACGAACGCCTTCGCTCTCGCCCATCACCCCCAAAAAGAGTTTGATGGATTACATACATACATACATACTACAGTAAACCTTGGCCATAACGATTCGGTAGACAACGATATTTTTGTATAACGATATAATTTTGGGAACATTGCAATTTTGTATGGGAAATAACGATATTTTAACCTTAGCGATATATCGTTAATTTTTTGACCGCCACCACCAAGATCGTTATGGACCATGTGTAAAAAACCGTTTATTTTGATAAAATTTTGGTGGAATAAGTGGAATTTTGCGTTTGGTAGCCAATTGGACTGCCCTTTTTTCAGGTAAATCTAATCACCGCCACGATATCTAATCGCCGAAAAATTGGCTTACTGCATAATATCTATTGTACAATATTTTTCATAAAATAGTAAGTACCTTTTTCAATAAAATGGCAGTAAAGGTACAACGGCATTACACGGACCATGACAGTGGGTCCATTTCTACATAACGATATCTCTCTATAACGAATTAAGGGTGGTGTTTTTTCCATATCGTTATGGCCAAGGTTTACTGTACTAACCTACTACTACATACCATATAGTAAAGGTTAACTATTATATACACATATAAAATCACACAATCTCAAATTTCCCAGCTCTGAGGATCCGATGATTATAGCCTCTTGGCTATGACGCCTTTTGCGCTCCTCATTGGATACCCTACAGGGGGGACTTTTATAAACTCGTTCATGCACACGTTGTCTGCCGACCTGACCGAACTTGGCGTCGTGCTTACAAAAATGGAAAAATGTGACGAGTTAATTTTCCAAGGGGGAAGGGGGGGGGGGGAGTGTTGAGGTTACATGGTAATAAACAACCCAATCATTGATTAGTATGAAAGAAGGTGTTCTCTCCTTAGGGGAGAAAAAGGGTAGTCTCGGTATGAGGAGAGTAAGTGATATAGTTGGAATATCCGGATTGGTTCGGAAATATAGCATGAGGACGTAGTATCTTGAAAACCAAAAATCACATCAACTTCGACCTCAATTCGATGTTCTGTGGGACCAAATAGTGGCTAGATACGCGTGGGGGTCGGATAGAAACAGAGGATAGATTAGATGCCTACTAACTAACTAGCCATGTAGTTACTAGGTATCACTAGGCAATATCTTTACATACATTAGGTTAGCCAGATGGAAAATGCCGGATCAGCGATCGGCCTTCTTCTATGTAGGGATTCCACGCTTGGGCTGGCGTACGGACCGAGTTTATTATTCGTTACCTGGCTTTAACTCCCTCTTCCGATCCCGTTTCGGTTTGACCATCTCGAACGCCATGTCCGTTACCTGTCAGGCGTTGGTTTTCCCTCCTGAGATATGATAGGTATTTTCCGAACCACCCCCCAAATGCCCCCCCCCCCCTGGCCGCAGATGCAGGACATGCACAGGTTGGGGGGATAACGGTGGATGTTCGGAATAGATAGGGTGGCCAAGCCACATTCTTGCATGTCTCCATACATTGGTAGCCGCGTGCTCCCCTGATTCTCCAGTATCTCAAGACAAAACCCACCATTCTAATCTCAAGTGACCTTACTTCACGAGGTTATCATACATATCTTACATTGCACATATCTAGGTACCCGAGGTACCCTGCCTACCCAGCTACCTATCCTAACTACAGTAGAGCTTGCTTTTGCATACATATGTACATATGTGCATCAAATGTCACCCCAGAAAATTGCCGAGCTTGGTGCGGGTATGTAGCTCTAGGTAGGTAGATAGGAGAAAAGGAGCTCTTGGTATGTATGAGCTAGTGTAGTGGTCTGGCAATAACCAAGTACCCAGGGTAATAGGTAGGTAACGTCTTTGAAGATTGATTGTTCGGAAACTGAAAGGATTTGCTATATTGTACCATATTACAAACCAGAGACCAAGATGTCGCAATTGTTAAATTAGTGATTAGTGCGTTACTGAGCCCCTTCAAGAGTCCGAGCTTGGCATTGTCTGAATGCATGGGGTTTAGTTTATTAGACTGGGACGACTTACGAGGTCTACCACCATCTTTTCAATCTTTTTCATAGCGTCGTTATGGAGATTTTCGTCTCTGTTTGTTTACTAGTGTACGATGCCTGCCGAGATAAACCAGATCTATGTGGGTAATCTAATGTGACCATATCGTGGGTAGGTGGTCCACACACACACACACACACACACACACTCCTGTCTCTGGCTCTCCATCTCTCCTATCCAATACGTACCCACCTATTCTTCAGTAGTTTCAGATATTCCACATGCTCCAAACGCATGCCTCTTCATATCAGAGAGATAGGCCATCCAAGGCAAGACATTCATATCCCACGCGGACCCTCCTTTCGAGATTTGACGTTTATTGTTCCCAATGGGACTAGCTCGGCAATGGCGAGGATGGCAAGAGTGAAGAGATGACGAGACAAGTAACCCGTCCCGTTACGTCGGCGGTGCCGCTATGTAGGTACACCTAGGGTAACAGCAGATGTTTCCTTTTGTGTGCGTTACGCGTACCATCGTAACAGGGGGACCATATTAGGCCTCCAGTATTGAGTATCATTTGCGGATGCCTGCTACGCAGTGTCGCGCACGTCAGTCATGATTGAAAATACAAGCCTGTAACTATTACGATGTTCACCTAGTATAGTACACTATCCACCTACCTATGATAGTCAAGTACATAACTAAATGTCGACAATTATGCCGTATCTCGCCGTCATAACGACATTTTCCTAAACCGACGCGTTAATGCACTGAACACAATGTCTCTGAAGACCCCCATACATTCATTTTACCTCTTATCCGCGACAGCCTTGCCACTTTTTTCTTTTACACACAGTCATAGTTGAAAGCCCTCTAGTGCCGTTGAGATCGTCTTGCCGCGAACTACGATCGATGCTGGTAGAATCGGCACACCCGGACGTTTAGGAGGTATGAGGCGACACGGAATAGTCGTCGAGCATCGTTGAGAACTGCGATATGTCAAACACCTTTCCTACAGTAGTATAGTTAGTATAGTCGTCGATCACGCTAGATCGACAAGGCCAATAGCCACAGCCCAGTTGAGGTTGTATCATTATAGCGTTCGCAAATCTAGTGCAATATCTCAAGAGATGCGGTCCCTAGAAAAGCTTAAGAGATGTCGGCTGAGTGGAGAACTCATGCGCTTCTTAGGGGGGGATGCTATCATTAGCAAACCTGCATATTTAAGGGTCCTAGTGGAAGGAGAGGTTCAAGATTTACTCGTTGGGCTGTCGATGGCATCCTTCTGCGGGAAGCGACGAAGTACAGTAGGTATGCAGAGACTAGCCCTCACAAAGGCAAATCACCTAGGTTCGGTACAGATATCAGGTGGTAGTCTCAAGGTCGCCTACAAAGGTGTGGCTCACCCACACACACACAACAGCTCCAGAATCGACTACTAATGACGAGCCGTGGTTGTCGATTGGAACCATTTGGACCAATTTTCTTGAGGGTTGCAAGAACCTGCAGGAGATTCCCCCGCCTTTCGACGCAGGTCAAATCGGTTTCGGCCTAGCGCCATGCTCCCTGGCTGCCACGACGATACCTCTTCGTCTACTAATGTGAATGGACCATCCTAGACCACTGCGGTGTTGCCAGCCAAGCTCATATCTAAACTGCTTGCCCTCGATAGGGCCACTTGGCTTTGGATTGGCGTCGAGGGGGTATAGAAAAGGCTGGGACAACATAATCAGCACGGAGACCACCGTGCTCCTATTTAGTTACGAGGTGACAGGAAGTATAGAAAATTTTTCATTATGATCTGGCATACGTCCAATGATCATACTTGTTAGGCACCGAATCATCCTAGTAGCCTGTGGCGTCGGCTGGAAATCTATCGTAGCCTCGAAATATATGCATAAACGTGATATCTAACTTATCAGCAACATCTCTAATCAATTAGGACTAGGGGAAACGATACAGAGGGTTGACGACATGAGCATCGTGCAGCTCATACTACCAGCATGATACTAATAGTTTAAGGCATGGAGATGTCAGCTGGTGTCCTAATTGGATGACCAGCCGGTAGGCGATGTTAGGTGAGCATCAATGTCTCTTTCGAGCAACCCGTGATAGTGATGATAACGAAAGGGTCTCCCTCCCTTACAGCCCTTCCCCGTGATTCATACCAAGGGCCGGAAGGTGACTGGTAGGTTGCTCGGCCGATGTAAGGTACCGGCCGTAGTGGATATTTAGAAACACCCTTGAAATGAATTGACCTTATCTTGGGATTTTTCCCGCTCGGCGGAACTAGTGTCGCTACAGCAGACGGGTTGTGTTTTGAAATCCTGGACGTACGATGATGTCAGATGTCGAAGCCGAGAGTTTTAGGGGATGGGGGTTGTCTTTTTCCTTTCCAAGTCCCCTTGTCGTCTGCTAAAATATCGTTATAGGTAGACGACCTTTCTGTAAACAAATTTGAAATCTGCCTTGGTAAGATTGCTAATTCATAATCATACAATAAGAATTAGTTGTTGCATTATCAGCCAAAGTGCAGCCAGGAAGGACTCGGCTGTGTTTCAATGTTCTACTGTATGTATGCATGTACAATCCACCCCTACTAGACGGCATTTCCCATGAACGACAGTGATAGCATAGCAGCAGGAACTGATAAAGAGAAGGGGGGGGGGCAGCCACACAAGTGAGTAGCTTGAATTGAAGCTTCATGGGGGAGAGCGCGAACATGATTGGAATATAGTGGGAAGGGTGGTAATTTCGATGCCACCTCAGGCGGTTTTCACAAATTGCCATCCTGTCTGGAAGTATTCGACGAGCCAATGAAGATGTGCGGACTAAGAAAGTTGTTTCTGTATAGTTAGAATGCGTATGCAAGACCTGGAAGTCCTGCAAGACCTGCAGCGACGTTATGGGCAGTTCAAGTTCAAGTTGGACTAGTGTCGGTCGGTCGTATGCCCCCCATGTCTTTTCCGTCCCTTCCCATGCCTACCTAACCTTCCTGCCTACCTGCCTACTTACATACATAGTGTAGTGCCTACCTACTTGATATCTATGGAGGTGTAACTATGTAACTATCTTTCTCATACATGCTTCCTTCCTTCCTTCCCTCCCTCTTCTCTACTATCACCAGCGTAGTATATACTATATATGCACTACGCTAACCTAGTACACACATAGTAGTATATTCCGTGCTATTTCGTGTATTTTGTGTGGTCACTAGTTCAAGCTACTCAGGTAGGTGCAACTACTTTGTGCGACTCTACGACACTACCTCACTGATCATTGTGGGTTGATTATTTATCATGCGTAAGGTATCCTAGGTATCCTAGGTATCCTAGATACCCTAGATACCCTAGATATACATACTCACTCACCTTACTGGTCCTTACATGATCATTGCACATTGCACATTGCAGTGATGTATGTAGATTGGTCTGGTTTCCCCGCAAACTAAAAACGTAGCCGTATCTTTAACCTGACTTTGTTTTTGCCTCTATTGCAACACCATCTCGACGCACTACGATGCAGTCCACTTTTCTCTATCGTCTCCTTGGGCACCCTTGTGTCCATTTCCCATTTCCCATTTGCGCACCGCGTACAACTGATGCAATGATAGTCGTCGTGCAACCATACCGAGGCATAGGAATTTGTATAAGAGTAGAGAAGGTAGGTATACTGGTATAGACCTACAGACATACAGTGCATGCATACCACCTTACGTATGCCTTGTCTTGCGCTTTCGCCATCTGCGTCACAGCTTGCCAGCCCACCTACAAACTTCTATGCTTCGGTATGCCGCCTACCCAGAATCCCACTGTACGTAAGGAACTGTACGTAGGACATGACATGCTGGGCCATGGACCCTTTGCCATTGAGACATTCTGGATGGTTGTTGACTTGACAATTGACGATCGTATATGTCAGTTTGGCGATGTGGCAACCGTGGTTGAAGGTCGCTGAGGAAAAACCGCCCCCCACGAGTTCCACCCTATGTCCATATTCGTCTCGCGGCTTGTTTGGCTAGCGTTGCCCATCCATATAGACATTGGGTAATTATGTATTACCTATACTAAGTATCTAACCTAGACTATTCGGGGCTCTACTATGTATTGTGCAGTTGAAAGGCGGGCGGAATTGCTATGCAAGTCGTGGAAAATAGGCAGTGATAGCCTGTAATGTTCCCAGCACCGAATAGACGATGAAGCAGTTATTCACCAACCATAGAATAATACTGATATCTGTTATGCATAGTTGAAGCACAGTAAACATGCTCAATGGGATTATGGAGCGAATAAGAGTCTAACTAGTGAGAGAGGCGAGCTCCTACATATGTTGCATGGCACATTATACAAGAGAGTCTGCAGATGGCGTCGTATGTAGTAAAAAAACGAAGAGAAAAGTCAAGCTGACTGCTTGCGCATTACATAGTACGGATAGCCTACTCTATACAGACACGCATGCTAACTATGTAGTAAACAGTTATGTAGTAGAAGTTTTGACGAGGCGGACAAGCGAACATCCATTAGATTGAATATTGAAGAAATTGAATTAAAATGTGCAAATGGTTTTATCCTATTCATCTACACCTATGTATGCTCATGTATGCTCATGTATGCTCATTTTCATCCATAATAACGAATAAATGACCTTGTCCATTCAATGATGACATCCCCATACAAGCCTAGGCACCTAATAGATTACAGAGCCAACATGCCTTCAAGGTCGTCAACCAGTGCAAATGGATGTGTACAGTAGTTAACTTGAACAGGGTAGGGAATCTACTAGTACTAGGGATAACTAATAGGTACTTTAATACATTGTACAATACTCTCTGTGAGTGAGAGAGAAAAAGAAGAAGGGGGTTCGTTTGAAAGAAAGGGGCGTGCCGCGTGAAGTAAAATGGGGAATCAGATCACACGCCCCCTCTCCACCACACCCTCCTCTTGCTCTGTCGCCATTTTTACAGAACATGCCCCCTTCTAATCTTTCCACGCACACCTGCAGCAGCAGAAGATTTTTTCTCTTCTCAGAAAGAGGCCCTTGCACGGGTACCTCCGTACCTGCTGCTACAGCCTGCTAGACCCTCCAGTTGTGGATCGGCAGCAACTTTGGCGCTAGATTAAAAATGGTCTAGCTCATATGCGAAGTTGCTGCAAGGACATGGGCAGCCTGAGAAAGGCAGGCTTGACCTCACACCCCCCTACCACACATGCACCTGGGCATGGGCAGCATGGGCAGTGGGCACTGGGCAGTCCTCTCGCTCTCTCTCGTACTGTTGTACTGTTGTACTGTTGTACTGCTGTACTGTAGCGCAGAGTTGCAAAATGGCTCCACCGAGCTAATTGCCCTTGTCAGTCTAGATGTGGGCCCCCTTGTCTTTGCTGATCGAAACGCTCGCTGATGTGACTGCCCTCTTGATGCAGGCATCCCAACCAAGAAGTCATTGTACCTACGTACCTACGTCCTGGCTGTGTAAGCTGGATTTCATACAAATGAACCTCTTCTCCTCCAAACTATTTCCACCAGCCCACAACCAGCTATCGTACGCTTCGAAAACCAAACCCTTCTTTTCTTCCATCCGCTGCTCCGCTATTGCGTGCTTCATTGCAACACCAAAGCAGAACATGATACAATATTCGACTGCCTTGTAAGAGTATAAACCACCCACCACGCCGCATCGATCTTGACATCTCGTCTTGAACACACTACGCTCTCCAGCTCCGATATCGACTACAACTTCACCTAGATTCCTTCCATATTGGACACGTTCAATAGTCTCGTACGAGTCAAATCAGACAACTGAGCAGGTTTCTCATACCATTCCTCCACAACTGAATCGGCCTCGATATCGATCGAACCAGTCGGCAACATAGCCCACTAACTTCTACGTACCAACACCAAACCACACATAATTCACCATGTCTTCTGATCTATCCTGGGAACCCGAGTACTGCCTTGCGGCGCTACCTACTGCTCAGAATCATGCAGGCTTTCTGATTTCGAGAAGACGTCTTCCACAGCAAGCTCACCTGCTACCACGCCAGGACTAGTTAGTCCGTCCTCCTACAGCTGGACAACTCCTAAACCTCAATCGAAGTTCTTCCTGCCTCCTGCCTACGACTTTACCAACGCCCGGCCATATGGCTCGACCCCTCTACCTCCGTCTTACCTGTCCCAACGATCAGAAACATCATCCTCGTCCTCTGCCCGAGTGCTTACCCCATCGAGCTCACACAGCAGCCTCTGCTCCCTTCGCAGCACCTCTTCGTCAGGGAGTGAAGCCACTCAACTATCAGACAAGGCAAAGAAGCAATTGAGGGACTACGCCAGCTCGTTCGAACACGCTCGCCTTCAACAACAACGACGACGATCCTACTAGGCGAGGCTCTACTGGACAAGCTACTCTTCTATATTTGATTGTACCAAACAAACATGTTATAACCATCAGTTTTACAAACACCACACGACTCATTCATTTCATTATATTCCCTACTTCTTATTTTTTATTATTTACCCTATTTTGATAAGAACGATTAGGCACGACGGACTACACTTTCACACTTTCACACTTTCACATCATTTGTTACTTTGTTGTATAAGAGCATCTTCCGGAGCACAGCATCATAAAAAAGTTTGGGTCATTTCGGGATTCTGTCTTCGACTTGCTTCTACCCGCGGGCGTACTATTGGGGGCTACCGGTATCAGGCACGGCACTATTGTACCACGATACAGTATTGAGATATCACTTGCTTTTCTGTTTGCATGGCACATGGATGCCGGGAATCGGGGGTTTTGGCACAGGAACCGACAGCGATCGGTTAGATTATATCGTTTCGTCGAGAAGACGGGGATGTTAGAATAGTTTAAGAAGCCGTGAAGGGGGTCTACCCAGAATCACAGGCTCATCCGCGCACAGCGTGGATTGATGGGACTTGGAACTTGTTTCCAGGCGGCTAGGATTAGATAGCCTATGCTGCCACTCCAAATCGGCGCTGTATTATTTAGATACAGAAGTCGTTGGAGCTTCGTTCATAAGAAGAATCGAATAAAACAGTTCAAGCCCCTCATAAAAAGCATTTGTTCCTTTTGAATTGTACATATTTGCAATGCCACTTGATCTCTACTCTAGATAGATGATGGATATCTATGAAAATAATACCTACCTAGGTAACTATATGCTATAGTCTTGACCTTGTATGTTGACCTTCCATGTTTGTGATGTGTGCTATCTTAGGCAATATCTTGGGTCTTATTTTAGAGTGCCATCTTCAAACGGGTACTCCCATTGATAGGTACTAGGCTGTTGGGTAAGTACCTGTTCAGGCATATTCTGTGGAGAGAGAACCTTGGAAGTCTAGAATAGTAAGAATTAGAGGGAGTCATTGTATTGCTAAGTGGATCTAGTTGATGTATTGTCGGATCTGTTATCCTTTTTTTTTTTAGTGCAATGCCTAACATTGAATGCAATATGTACATACGAAGTACTAATGGATGGATGCACAACTTTGAAATGCACGATGAAAAAAAAAGTTGTACAGCTTATTAGGCTCAGGTGGGGTCCTAAATTCCGCTAACTAACTTAGTTATTCCAAAAAAAAAAAAAAACTTCAGAACAATTTAAACAACCAGTAACTATTAAATTCCGCCATTTTTTCCCCAGATATGCTCAGACAATGATCGTCAGGCCACCGCGCTAGAGATGTGTAACACCTGATCGCCAAGTCTGACTTCTGAGGACAACGGGATAGCGGATGTGCACTTGATGCAGTTTTGCATGTTGAGCTACTCTATCTAGTAGTAGCTCCAGCGACGGCGGTATGGAGTTGAGAGAAAATTTTGTAGTCTCTTTTTTACTACCTATTGCATCTTGTTGTTGTTCCCTAAAACAGAGCATACTATTATAGTAAGTGACCTCTATGGATGCTTATGGATGCTAATCTGACCCTAAGGTACCTCTCAATCAGGGATGAGTCTCTTTCTCGCAACACGCCATGATCGTCTTTAACCCTTGGTCCAATGGCCCCATGGGGACATATACTATGCAGATTCTTAGGTGTATTCGTAGTGGGACTTTGTGCTATTCCGGCCGAACCGACCTTCCGCGTACGTAGAATAGAGAACAGGTACAATACCATACCTACATAATAATAGTAACTGTCAATATATTACCTCTTTACTCAATGGTACTATATGATCTCATAAGGATTCGATGTTCTTATCAATCTTCAGCCACAAATAGGAGTATCTAATGGGCACATCAGGCCATTGGGTTCAATATTCACTATATGGATGGAGTAAGGAGAACCCGAGTGACGAACTATATCTGGTATGCAACGAAGGCCGTTATGCGAATCTATCCATCTACATCTACATGTATCTGAGATATACCGGCATGCACAGCTATTTCCGCAAATTAACAACGCGGATTCGGATTCGGGGTCGGTGACTAACCATGCCTCCCGTGCCTTGTATAAAAGTAGATTGATCTGAAGGTAGACAGACCGTTCTAGACCTGCTTGTTCAGTAAAAAGTTCTTTCGGATACCAAAAGCGAAGCGAACTATTCTCGTTATTATTCGCATAGATAAAGATAAAATTGTACATACATACACATACACACACACACACACACACCATAGTATGAATTTTTACATAGACATGTACATACATAGCGTCCTGGTCTTACTGAAACAGCTTTAGAATAGATCGATCCATTGGTTAAAGAAGCGACAGAGGCTCCCTCAGTGGATTTGCAAAGTGGCTCAGGGCCAGCGTCAGCGTTAGGGCCAATCGCACCATTTTCCGAATTGCGTCAACGAAATCCCTTTTCCTCCCGCGCGAGACGCCGGGCGAGCAAGCAAGGCAAGTCGATCCAAGAAGAATCTACCGGTTGGCGTCTCGACTCACAGCCTTGAAAAATTTTCTGCTATAGAATTTTTAAAATATGTATGGCAAACAGGTATGGCAATCTCCTGGCCCGGTGATGCAAAAAGGGTCATAAGGGGTGCATACGGTGCATACGGTGCATACGATGTACCCCATTCATTAGAGTTATACTTTTGGTCGATTGGGAAGTTAACTCAGGTACGGCCTACGGGAAGCTATTGTGCTATGCAGGCATCAGGAGCCGGTGCAATGCCTGCCTAAGTAGGTACAAGTCTGTATGTAGCCAAGCTCCAGCAGGTTTCTTCCATGCTACATTATGTACCTAATGACCTTAGTACATAAAAATGTATAATTTTAGACATAGCTTTTCCCTATGTAATTCATTAAAATATCATAAACCTGTTCTCTCTCTCTCTCTCTCTCTCTCACACACACACACACACACACACACGCAGAGATTGTAGATACATATGTACATGTGACAAGAGCTTCAGCCGAGACGCATGAGTTTCAATGTTGAATGGACGAAATAAAACTTGGAAGAGTTTTCCCGTGTCTTGTGTAAGATGCCCAAAGAGGCATCATAGCCCCCAAATCATACGGTAGTTTTACTAACTAAGATTTTCTCTCCTAGGCGAAGTTGAACAGTCAATCTTTCTTCATGCAGGCTGAGAGATAGTTAATTGTATGGAATCAAGAAAAAAAAAAATGTTGGGACTTATGTTTTTTTCTTCTCTTTCTTTCGGTAGGACAATAACAGAAACGATCGAAAGGTTGGAAATGCCACGGACGTCCCAGACCGAGTAATCTACTGACAAGAAACAAAAACAAAAAAAAATACAAAAAAAAAGCCCAAACCTAGGACATTGTTGTTGTTGTATGCAGAATTGGATTGTCTTGCAACTTGTTTCTTATGCGCCGGGCGACTAAAGGGGTGTATCCCTATTCAAGCTCGCTTGTTTGAATTTTTTTTCTTCTCAATGCAATACGAAAGTATGATGGCATGTTTCAGGCTTAGCAGATGAAAAGTTTTTTCTTTCTCATCATTCTCAGCCTTGATCGTTAGCTGGCTGAATAACAAATGAGTCCTTGACACAGCATGAGCTCGACACGTAAGTCTGGAAATCTGGCAACAGTCTGGTAAGCAAGCTTGGTTGCTAGAATCCAACCAAACGTGATATTAATAGCAGCTCTAGTAAGAAATAGGTTGATACTATTGATTATGTAACGACTTTGCGGCTAAGGCGGACGGGGACGCCCAGCGAAAATAGCGGCTGGAAAAGGACGAACCATAGGTGCATATGACGTTGGGTGTTAAAGAAACAGCAGTCAGGCTCTGACCACCAACATAGAAACTTTCTCATTAAGTAATTGGTTGTTGTGGTTTTTGTGCATGAATTTGTTTCTTACAAGCATGTTTCATCCTCCATAACTTGGATCTGTTGATGTAATCAACTGAAAGGTCTAGAGCCTAAGTAGAAGCAATAGAAGTTCTCGGCTTCTTTCAAATAACCTGCTTTACTTTGTTGCTTACGGATTATGTGCCGAGATGAGAGGGTGACCCCCACAAGATTCATATTGAAACTATCAAATTATATGAAAGTCAAAGTTACATATTTATATATGGTATGTGTAGATAATAATATGCGGTTTTGCGTGGGATGGAGGTAAGGCGGGATTTGATGTTAATATCGCTCTGCTACTTCGTACATGCCAATATAACAGCATAATATACGAAGTAATACGATAGTTATATTGTACAGTAAGTTTGGATATGTAGGCAATATGTACAATACCAAGTTGAATACCTAATGCACATGTGGTGCCCCATAACCCCCATAACCTACCACATGTAGCCCTGGGAAGTATTGTGTCAAATGTTTGGGTGAGGCTTTCGGTCTTCCAGATGTCAATGCTACAGTCATTGATTATATCCCCTTAAGTGGCATAAAGCAGCAGCAGACACACCGTTACTAAAAATAACACCTAGTACATCGTTTTCAATCCACTATTCCCACATTTACCCACAGCCCCATATATTGATCCATTTTTCATTCAAATATAACGCGGTACAAAGCTGGCCGGCGTTAGGTTATTCCGGCGTTTAGTGTAACTGTAATTGAGTATGATTTCGATAATTAGTCTTTAAAAAGGGCCCGATACGCCAGCGCCACCCAGGCTGACGATACCGATCCAGCTACGCGTCGTCCGAACGCTTCTTCTTACCTTGAAACCGGCACGCTACGCGACCTGGATAAGCCGTATTTTAGATGAGGCAATTCCCTTTTACGGCTCTCAAACGCGGCTCTCAAACGAATAAGATCTAAAAACGCATCTAATTGTCAAGCTTGTCAAGGAAACCATATTTGGGGACGTTCTCGTCGAGGATTAAAGCTGATGCCAAAAAGTATGGTAAACATTAAGCCACGATCTCGATGTGGCACTTGTAATGTGGCTTTATGTAATTCTAAGTACTGTTGGTACAAGTGGCAT